ATAGAAGTATTCCTCACATTCAGAAAATAATTTCACACTTGTAACATATGTATTAAACTCTCAAAAGAACATATAAAAGTTAATTATTTCTCGAAAAACTGACTAGCTAAGGTATTTAACAAAAACGGATACATCTCATTAGATTTGCTGATTCGACAATGTTTGGAAGCGTATCCATTATACGTATTTGTGGTTAATTGTAGTAGCCACTTCTTCTTCCAACACACAATTATTTCATCAAAATAAAAACCACTGCCTATAACATTATTGAAAATTACTGAAATCTTTGAAAACCTGTAAAATGACTCATCGCACCGTAACTCTTATTCAATCAAAATAGCCGATAAAAGCGAATTAAATCGAAGCATTTCAATTTTTGTTCCCATCAATTTCTTGCTGAGATTTTATTCATTTTGCTGTTTCCTCGGTTCAAGTGTGGACCGAAAATGTCAAGAACACATCTATAATCATCGTTGTCGTCGCAAAAAGGTGCGAAATAAGGTGTCTCAATGCCTAGCAATTATGTTTTTTGCTATTCTATTCGTTCTCTGACGTCTTTGTAATTTTATTGTCCTTCAAAGCCTGGGCCATATTTGCGATTCGAATATTCCAGCTCTCCAACAGTTCTGTCGTTTATAATCATTAGGAACACAATGCAGACTTAATGAAAATTTATGATCTCCGCATTCTGACATTCAAACCAATGTTGCTTCTATTCTATGTTTTTGTTTGTCATTTGTATCGTCATTTATTACATTCATTCGTAAGCGAACAAATGTTCTTGACATACGATGAAAGTGATTATAAATTTATGAAAACTTTCATTTTTTTGCACTTTTTTGCAAAGGGTAATTTTAAAAGAGTTTTTGTTGTGGTCTTATGCAGATTTCAAAAAAATAAATTCAAAAAAAAAAGAGTAAAAACATCTACATAAGTACTCAAAAACCCTATACCCATGGTACAAAAACTATTATAATCATTTTTTATTTGTTTTTTTTTCAAAAAATGTGCAGTACTATTATTAATAAAGACAAAAAATACTAATAACAATATTTTTCTCAGACAATTTAATTCATCCCAGTTCAATAAGATCTCAACGTTTCACTGTACCTCAAACTTTAGTGATGCTCATAAAATGTTCCCTCTCTCACTCAACTTTTATAGGCGATTAAAAATTACGTTGACCTTTCAAAAGGTTTAATAATATTTAAAAACGATTTTATTTACTACGCGATCAGAGAGAAACCGGAATTTTAATTCTACGCAAATCTTTAACAGAAAATTGGTAAAAAGCTATAATAGCTGAAGGTTATCATAATTCCACCATTTAAGATTTAATGCATACAAATATTCAATAACCATCTAGGATTTAATGTGTACAAATAACTACTTAAAGTTCGCAGGCTTCAATGACTATTTAAGTTTATGAACACTGGCTATTTTCCAAGATGTCTCAAGACAACGAAAAGTAAATGAGACCACCCAGGTGCATTTCATATTTAGTCAAAGCAAAATATAAATTGACATCGGTTTTGAACAATTGAAAGCTCCTCCCATTCAGCCTTTGATGCCGACAATATTTTACCAAAATCACTTGCTGTAAATTGAAAATTGTTGATAAAAGTTCAAAAATTTGAACAATTAAATGCATACAAAAATTTTTTGTCGGCAAATTTTTAATTAATACAATTAACTCGAACCGACGCCTCCTTTTCCTAGTCCTAACAATATTAACCAGTTTCCGTATAAAATAATGCCCTATTAACCATACATGGTGACGCGCGAGCAAATAGTCAATTAGTTGTTGATTTGCCTTTTTATGAAAGGGGGAGGGCGTCTGTTGGAACAAGCGGTTCGTCTATACCAAACCAATATTTTGTCAGCGCGTGTTCGTTGTCAATGTCAATCAATGCGATTATCAAGGTCTCCATTCTTCATTTTTTATTTTCGAATATGTTTCTCGTTTTTCGACATCCGGAACTGACTCAAATTTTTCATTTCTGTTTTCATATGCATTTCAGTTTTTCATTGCAAGACTAATACAGGCTGGTTTGTCATAATTAATGATAATTATTATCATTACTAAATTAAATGCATTAGACACCATTCACTTTCATTACTACTCTTCATTTGGAATGTTTTCGGTTTCAGATGTTTTAGATTAGTTTCGTATAAGTGAAACTAAAAAAAGTTTGTTTTATAGCGGACATTTTCAGTTAATGAAGTACTAAAGTCCGCAAACACCCATGCCGCTCGTTTTTCCAATGGCAACAATTATCATTATCTGTTGCTTTTAAGATCTTGTGGTTCCTCATTCTCAGAACTGATTCATTTTACTGTATTGTGAACATCGTGCCGGTACTTAAAACGTTATCAAATAAAAAATAATGTGATTTTTGTGTTTTTCACTCGAATGCAGTCCTCCTGACCGGAATGATTTTGCGACAGTCGATGAAACAGGCGCACAACAAAATTTTTTCGCGGTCATCGAGAATCCCGTTTGACGCAAAAAGAAACGGCGCATCAAGCAAAAAATGGGAAACTTTTTTTTCAAAAAAAAAACTGCCTTCAACCTCTAATTCTGCAGCAAAACCGATTTTGCGGCGTCTTAATCCAAATTATGCAAATCGGCATATTCGGTGTAAACCTGACAAACAATACTATAAAAGGCGAATTGCGAGACCACCTCGAGTTTATTGCATTTCCTCTTCTTTTTTGGGGGCAACCTGTCACAAATTGTATGATTGGGGCCATCGGAGACCTTTTTGCGTTGTTTCCGCGCACCAATATTTTACGACTTTTCGCACCTTATCTTTTCATGCAAATCTCTCGCTCGTTTTTGGTTAGAATAGTGCAGAAAATCACAACAAATGTTTTTATGTTCATCGGTGCAAAAAAAATGCGATCATTTTTAACAATGTTTGATATTGTTGGCTTAGAGCGACTACGCAATTCTCATTTGCATGTATTTCACCAGTTAGTAGCTATCGCTGGCCATTCATCCCTTAAGTGGGCGTGGACTCTCAATCCCTCCCCCTCCCTTGTTCCTTGCTACCACCGTAGCACATTGGTCGTCGGCAAATTTTCTGCTCGAGCTCTTCGGCTGTGATTTGATTACATCTCCTTTTAAGAGAGGTACATACCTTTTGTGTATTTCAATCTCCTATGCAATTCGATTTTTCTCTTGTGACGTCGTTTCTTTGCCGCACTACACCTCGCTTCTCTTATCAAGATTAATTGACTGTTCTCCAGCTGTTTTTTGTTCATGTTCAATTCATCGCCTTCTCCATGTTGGCGCAAACGATCACTTCTTTCTTGTCATATACATATGTTCATTTGTTTTCTTCCATTTATAATTTTGTAAGCATCAGTTACGCATAAAAAATGCGCATTAAAACGTGATAAATGGGGTTCTGTGGCGTGGATCTTGATTAAAATTAATCTTTTCGCCATATCGCATAGGGTTTTTGTGTTCTTAAAAGATTTCTTTTACAGATTTTTTTAAATGTTCCTTTTTTGAAAATCGTCATAGCACCGCAATATCAAAAGAGAGAAGTTGCGTCTCAATTTTTGTTTACAAATTTTTGCATCTCTCTTTCCAATGTGTCGTCCCCTTGAATATATAATTTGGTCGTATTTATTCATTTCTTTATTCATAGCACGAATCGAACAATCCAAAAAAGAACTGCACATAAAATAAGAATTGCAACAATTTTTGAGATGATTGCACAATAAAACAAATGTGATGATCATACCGTATTAAAGTTTCTTTCCCATTTTTGAAGAAAATTTTCTGAGGGATTCAATTACTAAACTCTCTCCAATATCCTGTAATTATCATCCGACAGGTGTATATTATTTCATATTACTATAATATTGCGGTTTCGATTTTTATTGTTATTTTATTCACTTCGCATTTCAATGCTAACGCGATTTGCATAAAATGTGCGTTTTCACTTCTTTTTTTTTTTGTCAACTCGTCATGGAATTCCGTTTTTTTCTTTAGCAGACCAAAAATTTCAACCTTATGACAATGACCAAAGGATGACAGAATTCAGATATTTTATCTCAGCGTTTTTTTTCGCATTTTTCGTTGAAAATGTGAAAACGAGAGGTGAGTGTTATTTACTAGCTGTATAATTAATATAAATTAACAATTTATAAAGAAAAGCAAAACCGGAAGTTTACGCAAAAAAAAAACAACGTGTTAGACAATTTAAAATAAGGCAGCTCACTTGTTATATAACAACAATCTGCGGACAATTTGATCGTATTTTAATTATAAATCCTAGATAAGTTCTTTCTTCTTCGTAATTTAATTATAGGCCTCGTATACAGAATTAAGTTGGAAAATCGACATGTTGCCGTTCTGGTCTTCATTAACTTCGTCAAAAATTAGCTAAAATTAAATGGTTCCTCGGTTGTCCTCACCAACCGCCTATAACGAAATACATATGTACATAATGTGATGGTTCATTTTGATTTGTTGCAATTCCCGATTACTTATACTCCCTAGAGTCCAGTCTTCGTATCGGATTGGAATCCGCAAAAATGTTGCGACACTCGAAAAATATAAGTACAAGTATGTGACAACCATTTTAAAGGATATATCACCTCCAACGAAATCAAATTCTGATGCCAAACAAATCCATTTAACGCGGCTCCAAGCCGTTTCCCACTAATTGTTGCATTGATGAGGAGAGAATGGAACGAATAATGGTGGAGGTCCACAAAATCAAATAGCGCTCATTTTCGGATTAGAGCTAAACTGGTTACGAATATAAGAAAACTGAACCCAATTGAGCGCAAATAATAGTATTAATAAGAGTTGGATGGCTAGAGAAAAATGCATAACGTTTATAAAAATGATCCGCAAATAATTGTGTAATTCTAAAATCACATAAACAGTAAATCTAGGTAAGAAGTAGATTATGTAAATTTTATATGCGTGCAAATAGAAATTGTTTCTTTGTTTTTCAGGCTATGGACCTGGACGGGAAATGCGGGCCACACGTATGTCGGTTGTCGATTTCTGGAAAAATGAGACTAAAGGCGACGGTCTTAATATTCGAGTCGCTCATGGCGTTAACAGCTGGCCGGATCTCGTCGATCAGCTACACGGTAAGTGATGCATTCTTAATTTGGTTGGATTGCGCAATCGGTGCAGCTCGATTGAGTGCGCCGACAAAAAAAGAAACGCGCATGGCCAGGTGCCAAATCCGAGAAAACTAAGCGGTTCGCACAAAATTGGCAACTAAATCTGATGTATAGCGGTGTCCTCTTGTAGAGCCTTTCCTCAACAAATCCATGATGATTGAAGGCGATGTTTTTATGCAAGCCCATAGGAGGCCGAGACATAGGTTTGATTCTATAAACGGGAAATATTAAAAGTAGCGTTGCAGAGCTGTTCCAGTGATGAAGGCTGAAGCCAAAGTGGCGGATCGCATTACATTTAAAGAATGGCTTCGGGAAGTTGCCACCATGCATAAAGGTATGTGTTTCTATCAAATCTCATTTTCTTAGATATCCGCAGCAGGGTTTAAACATATACTATAGAAATGTCTCGCACCATCGGAATGATGATGACCTCATATCGAATTGTACAGTAATCCATCATCGTTCTTTTGTTTGCCGAAACTTTTTTGATTGATTGTGTCGCCAGGAAAGTGGCGCGCACTGTTTTGCGTCTCCGAGATGATGATGATGATATGAAGCAATGTTATTATAATTATAAGACACATAGTAAGAAAATTGAACGTTGAAATGAGGGGGGAGGGTTGGGTGGCCATAACTTCTATACCATAAAATATTTCGGCTTAAGTGGTCGTTATTAGGTATGACACCACCACCATATGTTAAATACGTCTTTTGACGATGCAATTAGAGAGCGAAAGCCAGAAAATGTTCAGAAGGTTTTAGGGCGTGAAAGAAATTTTATTTGAAACGATTACTGTTGGCAGGTAAATGATTGCGGGTTGTCCAAACATTACACAGCGCATTGAGAGAATTGCAATGTGCGCCGACAGATAATAATTGTCGAGGGTGTCTGAAAATGTTCTGCGATTTTCGATGGAATTGCGAGAGCATTGATCTATTTCTCCAATGTTCAAAAAAACATTTTATCTCCTTTTCAGCAATCAAGATCAATTTCCGATCCAATGAAGTGGTCCGCCCAGTTCTTCAAGATCTTTATGCTTCCCAAGCGGATCCATCGTCTCCAATCCTTCAGTACCCTGTCATTCTTCATGCGAATGTCTTCCGATCTCCAAGAAGTGTTGAAGCTGAGGTTGATCCGCATACTTTTGTTGAGAAAGCAAAAACGTTGTTCCCTGATGCAACTTTGTCGTTAGGCTGGACAAAGCAAGCGAATTTCAGCCACCTGCATCCAAAATTCAAAAAGTTTCTGGTTTCGATTATCTTTCAAAATAATAACGTTTTTAGGCTTTCTTGGCGTCAGTTGTTTCATATTTTAGAATATATTAGTCCCCTTGATCAGCCGGTAATGCTGTCAGTTCGTTTGTCAGTGGTACGATTTGTAGTAAACTAAATAGATATTTTGCAATTGATTTAGGCGGCGCATTCAAAAGAACAACTGCTTTGGTTATTAGGCATGGATCAATCAATTTCTCTTCTTCTTTGGAGTGACAGAGACGATAAAATCAATAATTGGGAATCGATTATTGAGCTGAGAAGATCAACAACCAAGAATCGAATTCTCTACGATTTAGATCCGAAACATCGTAAAATGCTCCAAAACATTTCCAATGAGCCTATCGAAGTAAAAATAAGATTTCAAAACACAAATTGAAGTTCGTTTTAGAACCCGAAGACTTTTAGTCTTCAAGACTGGAGAGCCGTCGAGTTCACCTCGTCAAGCCCCGTCCTGTCAACAGTGGTTCGTAGTGAACGTGGCCCCGCATTCCTTGGAGAACCGACATCTTTACTTCTGTCTCAAATTCCACCTCCAAAATTCCCTAACAAACAAACCGTGAATGGAAAAGTTCATTTCCTGCCAAAACGAATTGTGACCGATATTGACGTCGATGAAAGTGGAGTCTCGATTTTCCTGATGGATCGCATTCATGATATTGATTCTCCGAAAATTGAAAGATCAGTTGAGGTGAGAGAGAAGGGCTACAACAAGCCAAATTCAATGTTTTAAGGTGTTCATTGGATACGATGGAAAAGTGAAGATCGAAAATGGAGAGCTTAGGAATCAGGCAAGTTTTGACTCTAAGTCTGTTGGCCAATTGCCAATAAGCGAATGTTACGCATTTGAAGGTAAAATTGGTTTTTGAATACGTTTATCAAAATATGCTCTTTAGTCACGGACCTTGGTAATCGAGTGATTTCGGATGTTTGGACGGTTGAATGCGGAGAAAAGTTCCGTAAGAAACGACACCTTAAACTTGAACTTGAAACCCCGTTCATAAAGTTGGTTTTAACTAAAAGATTTGTCTAAATTTCTAAAATATTGCAGAAATCGCTTCCTCCGTAATGTGGTTGTTGCCAAAAAAGGTGACGGAGCCATCGACTTCCTTCTAGAAGAGTTGCAGCATAGTTCAGCGACACCGGCACTCATAATCTTGCCCATTATCATTGTGACTGTTAATTATCTATTTTAGTCTCAATTGTTCTACTCTGACTTCAAATTTTGGTGCTTTTCCTAATCTGACCTCTTCTGATTCGTCGCGTTTATGTTCTGTGATATAGTCTTTCTTTCAATTTTTTGATTTTGAGCTACACACTTAAGAAAAAACCAAGACGATTATTCCAGTGATTTTCAAATATTAATTGTCTTCTTCTTTTTTTCCCGTCAATGCGTGTATAATAAAACTTAAATGACTCATCGAAATTTTATCAAATCAAAATCAAACGATATCAATCGGGAAGTTAAAAACAAAAAATGATCAGTGAGACGGTTCGCTCAGTTCGTCTGAAATGTTATCTACCATATCGACGATTCTCCTAATTTTGGGGCTATCGATTACCAGCGGCGAGGCCCTTTTTGGGTTTTTCGAAAGCAAAAAAATGACATCGGTGAGTTTTTGTGAGTTCTCAGCCAATAGAAATCAATATTATTCTTTGGGATATTTTACCTAAATTAATGCTTCGATTAAGGCGGCAACGACCACTACCAAATCTCCGTTGGGTAGCGAAGTGATTATTGGTAAACATAGTCATAAAGACACTGATGGTGCAATGGTGACAATTCCTTTGAATTTCCCACCAACGACCTTATCAACCCAACGACCATTCCATAATACAGTTTTTACAAGACGCCCGTCAGCTGGCGATACTGATTTCGAAAACAAACATCCTACAAATGATTCTCGATCCTTCACAACTACCACAAAGGGCCCAAGATTCACAGCTGCCACAAAGTATTGAAAATTTCGGTAAATTAAGTGGCACATATTAAAATTTAGAATTCTCCCATCATCGGATCGTCAAGGATGCCCAAATAGGATTGATGCTTACACTTTCGGGCCAAATGATAACTACGCTTTTTCTGATCGTACCGTTTACATTATTCGAAAAGATCGAATTGCTGAGACAAAGAATGTGGATGAGCTTTTTGAGAGAGCTCCTCGTAAAATTAATGGAGCACTGTTTGATATTGAACGGGAGGTGATGTGGATGATTGCGAATCGTGAAGTTTACGGATACAAATGGCGCGATGATAAATGGATAATGCAGTCAGTTTTCCCGAAGGTATCGCAATAGTGAAAGTGAAAATGCAGTTCAAGTTCCTTTAGGAGCTTCCGTCTTCTGTCGGATTCACCCCGGAAGCTGCGATCCGTTGGCACAACAAGCATCAGGTTTTGATCTCGGTAAGAAATCTTTTTGATCGAAACAATATTAATTTAAATTTCGAGAATGGCGGAAAATTTGCCCTCTATGACGAATTGTGGAACAAATCCCTGCTCTCTGGAAGAACACAGAGCTATTTTGAGGTTTAAAAAGTTTTCATGATTTTTTCATTAAACATTTTTTGTTTCAGAACCTGCCAGATAGAGTTCGAGGGATTTCGGAATGGCGCAATGGTCGTGCCAATGTGTTTACGCAATCGCTGGTGTTCGAGTATGTCATCGATCAGAAGAATATCGTTGGTGATGGAAAACCGCTTGCCGAGTTTTGGAAATGTTAATTTAAAATTGCTTTATTTTGAATGAATTTATAGACAACCGGTATACCTCGTGTTATTTGGTGGTTCTAATGATTATTATGCACATATATATTGTGTATCTAACTGTACTGTACTGTATATGTATACATATACACTGCTCCACAAAAGTTTAGCCTCACACATATTTTTTCAAAAAATGACATTTTTACAAAATTTCAAAAAACGCTTGTATTATTAAAATATGGCTGAAAAGGGTTCTTTCTAGTATCCTATATTAGATTTACACTTACTGAGTCATTAAACAAATTTTTTTCCGAAAATTGCTTTTTGACGATCCACAAAAGTATAGCCTCACCTAGGTTTTTCACCGTTTTTTTGCTTTATTTCTCTTGAATTTGAAATTTTTTTAAACTTTTATGCTACAATTATGTGATTTTCAAGTAATTCGAGCATGCAAACCACTTTCGGCGTTTGAACAAGCCCAAATTATATCAAAAAATCGCTCGAGATTTGGGGCGCAGCCCAAAAGTGATCAATAATTATCTGAAGAATCCATCCGAATATGATACTGCGATACGATCTGGATGTCCAACCTCCATTTCTAGCCGAGAAAAATGAATAATCCTCCGAAAATCATCCAATAACGTGACCAAGTACACCAAAATCAAATGAGAAATGGGACTTCAGAGACGATTCAACTTGTTCTGAGCAAGTCCCGGCATGAGAAAAGACGCAAAATGCGTAGAGCTCCCATGTTGACCGAAAAACATCGCGAAAACTGGTTGAAGTTCGTGAATAAGTTCAAAAGAACGGACTAAAGAAAAATAGGATGTGGTTAAATTCGAAGTTGAGCCACCCGAATTTCAAGTGATCTTCTCAAATGAGACGAAGTTCAATTGTGATGGTTTTGATGGACACCGCAGCTACTGGCATGATCTTAGAAAGCCGCCCATTCGATTTTGGCGGAGAAATATCTAAAAAGGTGGTGTCATGGTATGTGTAGCAACCAGTTCGAACACTTGGGTGAAATTGTGCTTCGTCGCAAAGCAAAGAAGAGGCTCGGGCTATCGATATTTGTTGCGTCGTGAGCTTCTGCCCTTTTGTCATCGACACCGTCACAAAATCGCAAGATGGTGCCCCCAATTTATCGGGCCAGCTGCACTATCGCGTGGATACAAACAAGGAATATGCCAGTTCCCGACTGGCCTTCTTGCTCCCCGGACTTGAATACCATATAAATCGTATGAGAATACATGATCAACAAGATTTCCGATGGAAATAGGCGTACGATAATCTAAAACAGCTGAAACTGGCGATTATCGAGACTTGGAAGAAAGACGACGAACAACTGATTGAAAATCCACATTTATCGATCGACACAGCCTCTTCCAAGTGGCACGCAATCAGGAAATGCCATTCGAATATTAAACCAATTTTCTGTTATGCTACTGTTGTTATTTTCTGTTATTTAAGCGTTTTTTGCTAGGTGAGGCTATACTTTTGTGGATCGTCAAAAAGCAATTTTCGGAAAAAATTTGTTTAATGACTCAGTATGTGTAAATCTAATATGGGATACTAAAAAGAATCCTTTTTAGCCATATTTTAACAATACAAACGTTTTTTGAAATTTCGTGGAAATGTCATTTTTTCAAAAAATATGTGTGAGGCTAAACTATTGTGGAGCAGTGTATATACATAACGCATACGAAACTAAAACGGTTGGGAGATTCTTATTATTCTTGCCAATCGAATTTTTCATTCATTTTCACTGCATTGTTCCTCATTGCCAACTGCACCATTTCCGTGATAAACGTGTAATCGACACTGCTTTGATACGTTAAACCATTGAGATATGTTTGAATGCGCCGGAACTCGACCTATAGTGGGCCATTTATACGCCGAACACTCTTGAACTCCCCTCTCGGAGCAGAAAACTCTTTGCCGAATTACCTTTGGGCAATATTTCATCATCGCGTGGAAGCCTTCGCCGTTTTTACAGTGTTCTTTCATCGCAGCAGTTTCTTTAGTTTGATCACGATGTAAGTACGTCCAAGGTAGATGGCCTTGAGCAACATTTTCGGGTAATTTGCTGCAGCTATCAACAGAAAATACCGGATATAAGTTCAATCATCATGTAGAACCATGATTCCAAATCGTCTTTGGGGGACTGCTCCTCGCCGTAGTGAGCAGCCAAAGAGGCATACCGATTTGTTCCCCTGAATTTTACAAAATCGTTTACAAACAAATATTGAAGAGTAAAAGAACCGAAAATTCACGTCGCTCCTCGGTGGTTTTAGATCCCCGTTTTTGTCCTTAAATGACCTACAAATACCGTAATCTACTAGAATGAGGTCAATTGTTTCCGGCGGTGCATTTAAATTGCTAACAGTTAAACAGAAATTGGACGCCTAAATCGAAAAATTGAATTATCGTAGAGTTATAGTTTTGGTTATTTTTAACCTTAATATCTCTGTGCACATATCCAATACTATGTAGTTGCTGGATTGGGGCAATAGCCAGTAAAGCTAATCTCAATCCTGTTGAAAGTGAAAAGCGGCCATCTTCAAACATGAACCTCAAATTCATCAGATTTTCGCCAAGAAGTGGCATTATGATGAATTTGAAATGATCTTCAATTTTACCCCGATCAATCATCCTCACTAGATTTCGAGCATCTATAAGAAGTTTGACAATTGAAATTTTCCCAAATCTTCTTTAAACCTTTTTTCGCTACTTTATTCATTACGCTGTAATCTTGATCTAATCCATGAGAGTAGGCTTCACAAATCTCGAGTTTACATGCGAATGGTTTTCCATCAGATCGCCTCAATACTTCATAAACGGCGCCATAGCGGCCTTGCGAAATTTTCCGCCCCACGGCGTAGACTCCCTCTTTTCCACGAATCAGACAATTTTTGCTAGGAAGTTTGTCATCGATGGAGCAACCCGAGGACTCACTAGCTTCACAACTTTCAAGGTCAAATGACATATTTCCTGAAAAACGTCTATTTAAAAAAATTTATAATCTGTGGAAAATTTTTGCAATTTCTTCTATCATATGATAGACATACACCTGAAATCTTTGCAAATAAATCCGCCGTATGGTGTAAATATCCGAACGAAGATGAAATAAACAAAAGAAATAGCAGCTGGCGTTGTGTGGATGATTTGGCCATTTGCCAGAAATCCGGCAACAAAATTTTTGCGATTGCTGATTTTTCAGCTGTTTACCATTTTCTTTTTTCGAAAAATTATTTAATATACGTACATAGAATGGCACAAAAGAGATTGTTTAAAAACATGTGTTTAAAAAGCTTTGGAAAATGAAGTTTATGCATTCATTAATCTGAAAAAAAATTTTCAAGAAAATCACTTTCAAGTAATACTTGGAATTTGGGAAGAGGAAGAGCAAAAATAACAATGTTAGACATTTTGAAGGATTGCTACTCGAATAACTATCAACAAACGCGCAGAGATAGAAGAAAGCAGAAAAAAAAAAGAAATGTATGCTGGGAAAAAGCATCACATCTTTCACTTTGATAAAAAGGAACAAGAAATTAGAAATAAATACCATAGTATAATTATTGATAAGCCGCAAGTTTTAAAATTTGTCATATTGTGTTGTGAGTTTTCAAGAAATAAGAAGGAAACTTAAATGTACGTATTAAACATTCAAAAAATACGATTACGACTAGTTTTATCCAAACTTTTGAAAGCGCGACCATTGGTTTATTAATATTTTTAAAATTGGATACCCTGAAAATGGATTTTTAACTGCTTCGGAGCTTTAAAGAACATTCGGTTCAAGGAAACGTATCCAACACAACCTGATTTTATAGGCTTGAGTGAACGACAACACGTTTACCTATTTATTATCGGCCAGGCACCAAATGTACCAGATGTTCTAAAAACCTTGAAACTTGGAAATACTTTTAGTTGGAGCGAACAGCAATAGCAAAAGCAAAAAAGAAAGAACAAACAGATAACAGAAAAGCGCATTTGTTTGAATTTGGATCCGATTGGATTGAATTTGACACTGAAATTGCAATTTAAGAGCCCTATTGTCAGCGTACACACACTTCGCTATGGCCTTGGAATGTTTATTTTCCAGGTTCCATATCAAATTATTTTTTTTGTCTTTTTCTTGAATTTCTAACCTTATGGAAGTTTAAAATTAGACCATATTGAAAAGCGCTTGCTCATTAATCTACAACAAATGTTCCCGAAACTCAATTTCGACAATTTTTCCTACGTGGAAAGGATGAGAAAAATGCCTTACCTCAAATGAAAAAAATGAGTTAAATATATTTCGCCGTCAAAGAGAAAGAGAGAGAGATAGATAGAGAGAGAGAGAGAGAGAGAGAGAAAGAGAGAGAGAGAAGAGAGAGAGAAAGATGAATCAGACAGCTGCCACTATCCATGCGGCCTTGTTTAGTGCCATGAGCATGGCAACAAACACTTCTTTGCCATAACCATTTTATTCATAAAAAGAAAGAAACCGTTGAAAATAATAAGTGTGAGGTACTGGGATTTACATATAGCATTTGACACCGAGTTACTTTTTCGCTTTTCCGCCACGGGCTCCTTTTTTTGCTTTTTCTGACGATTTCACTGTCAATCGTCCAGATGTAACTTTTACGACAACTTCAGATGACATCTTGGGAGAATCATCATCGCCATCTGTTTCTTCGTCTTCTTCATCTTCGAATTTCTCGACAAGATTTCCTTCCTCATCCATTTCAATTCCTTCAAAACAGAATAATTTATCAACTAAAAAGAAACCTACCAATTGAGTTGACACCCTTCCGTTTTCCTTTTGAGATATCATCGATAGAATACGGTAGCATTCTAGTCTCCTTATTCAAGGTTCTTGTGAGTCCAGCCTTAACTTTCGTCAGAATTCGGCTGGCGGGATCGATTTTTCCAGGCCAAACGACAATTTCAGTAAGAGCTTCGGAGTCATCCTTGATCAGATCATATTCCTTCATTGTCTCTATAACTTCTGGTACTCCAGCAGATTCTCGAATGAGAAGTGGTTTCGTAATTCTTGTGCGAAGAATTGGCGCATAATCAAGAGCAAACGAACATAAGTTTGCTGATACCCTAAAAACGAAGCAATGCTTGAAATTTCAAATTATTTTTCTTCGTGTGTTTCGTTTTCTTTACTTGGACACCCACCACGTAAATTAAAGGATTAAAAAAAATAAACGTGTTGTTTTTTATTTCTTATACCCATCGATACTATCTTTCAGTAAGAAGAAACAAATAAAACTTTCCAACAAGCAGGCCCAATTTTTTATAGCATTTTCGTCAGTTAATTTTGTTTTAAAATAGTTTTCTTTAAAATTTCCTGGCTTTAATGAAAATCTATAGAGATTCTACGCAAGCTGCCACACATACATAATTGGAAATTGAATTATCGGTTTACCAATTATAATTTTGAAAAAAATACCAAAGTTGTGCGCGCAATTCAAACGTTGAAAAAATATTTCAAGTCAAAATCTCATTGGCGTATACTTAACTATTTCCTTAATGCAATTTTTTAAATGTAAAAATTACTTCAAATGTGTGTGCATAACAAGTTGTTGAAGGAGACGTCGACGTTTTCCCGCCGTTGCATTCTTTCCAAGCCATGATGGAAACTGTAGCATTGCCCTTAAATGACCGCCAGTGGCTAAAGCTGGCAGAGCTGCTGAGATCATACTCTGAAATTGCAATTTTAGTAATTAACGCTATATTTTTCTAAACCTGTTCATTGAGCAACTTCCATGATCCACCACCTCTAATCTGCCGTTCAATATTATCTCCGAGGGAGATGAAGTCGGAAGCTTTTCTCAATCCCCGAATCGCTTGAAGAGGACTGGATAAGCTGTTTTTATGAAGAAAGAAAACTAAAACATTACTGGGTACCTATGCTTATCATTTTTCATATTGATATAATTTTCTTGCACAAACAAGGGCATGATTCCATAATCTACAAAGAACATCTCATTCTTCTGAAGAAGATTAGCATTTGAATCAAGAAGGCGCCTCGCAGCTTCGAACGGACCCTAAAAAATATCCGTTTCCGTTTTAAGTGTATAACCATAATTGTACCAAGGATTGATTCTTTTTATCCACTTTGGCTGAAGTTGACATCGATCTCAATTGTAAATTGTATATAGTCTGACGTACATCGTGCCCAGAAAGTTCAATAAGCTGGTCCAGTTCCTCTTTAGCAATTTTAAGTTTTTCAGAAGCGCAAATCGTCATCATTCGGGACTAAACAAGAATACTTGACTAAAAACGTTGAAAGATAAATTACGCGGATCTGTTCAACTCTTGGTTTGGAGAATCTCAAATCGTAGCAATAATTGGCTAATGAGCGAATTTTCGGGTGCATGCGATCATTACAAATGCACAAAATTGGAATTTTCGATTCCTTGATGATTTGTATTAATTCAGAAACCTGTAATCGTTTATAGCATTTGTTCAGAAAAAATGATTAATTAATCGAAAAACGAACTCCAGCTCTATCCTCATTTCCTGACATTCCATCAACTTCATCCATAATAAGGACGTGGTGCACTTTCAAGTTATCTTCAACACATTATTATTATTGTAAATTTGGCGTAGAAACACCTTGCGGAACTAATTTTTTGACGCTAAAAAACTGTTCAATCTGATGAGATCCAGACAATTCTCCAACTTTCGCCTCCAAATGCTTTTTGTTGCGAACATCAGAAGCGTTCATTTCAACAAGTTTTAAGCCCAACATTTGACATGCCATATAAGCGCATGTAGTTTTTCCAACGCCAGGACTTCCGGAAAGAAGTGCCGCTTTGAATGGTGTGCCATCTTGCTGAGCCATCCATGGCGCTGGTTTCGCTATAAAAATTTTTTTCTTAATTGTGTCATTTTTCTATTGAATTCTAGTAAAGTCGAGATTACTGGTTTTCTCACGTTTTTTAATTTTCGCGCCTTCTCCAAGATTGTGTTTTGCCCAGTCTCTCAGCCACACGAGAAGCTTGTTCATCGGACTCCTCTCGCCGAACTGACCGACCAGTTGTTGAACATTTTTCGGTTTGTACTTGTCCACCCATGGAAGATCCACATTGGTTTCCTATAAATAATAGATAGATGTTCAAATGCTCATTTCACAATTGACATTGTCAGATTCCCTTTTACCAAACATTCGCATCGAATCTATGTAAAAAATTAGTTTTATAAATGAAAAAATGTATTAACGGTTTCGATAATTGAAACATTAAATTGGGGATTGTAATACTTTTATTAAATTTTGTCACAAAACACCTTGTTTTCCAAGAATTTTGAAATCGCTTACATGTTTTTTCTCCAAGTTTTTTTCTTGTCTTGATTCTTCATCATCTTCAATCAATCGTTTCTCCATAGAAACGTCCTTTTCCTTTTTCGGTTTGACATCTCTCTTCTCTACAATATTTTTTTTTAACTCATTGAAAAAAATAACCAGATTTTGAACCCATTATCGGTGATATTTTGATTTCCGAACTGTTCGACCTCTCTTTCACTACTGATGGTTTCTTTTTTTGCGGAATAAAAGATTCAAAACTATCGTCGGAATCTACGAATTCATCATCGACTTCCGGTTTTTTGGCGTTATCTTTTTGCGGCGGGCTTATTTTCTTCACTGGATCAGTTGCGGCGACCTTCTAAATGTCAAAAAGGTGGCTTAAAAGTTATTCTGCAACAAATTACAAAAAGTTTTTTTTGGGGGGGGATAGATTTAAAAAAATCTTCAGGATTAATCGCTGATTCTGCTTTCCTTGGCTTTTCCGGCTCAATGGTAGGTGTGCCTAAAAATATTCAGCTTTCAAAATATCCTTCAATTTATTCACTTTTAGGTGAGCTTTTAAGCTTTACAAAGCTTATCGTTTTCTGTCCCGGAGGCAGCGCTTTTTTTCCTTTACTTTTTTTGATATCAGTGCCTCTTACTAACTGGTCTTCATCTGAAAATATTTCCGGAATCTCTTCTTTCTTCGACCTTCTTTTTGATGAATTTGGGTGTTTCTCAGAACTCTGGTAACACTCAACTGACATTTTCGTCTAAAATTAAGTTAATTTTGCGTAAAATATAGGTAATTAGACCTTCTTATTCGATTTTTTTGGACTTGTTTTTGTTAGTAGAGCGTCATCCTCAGTATCTGAAAGATCAAATTTTGTTTTCTCTTAAATACTATCTTAGAACCTGAAGATAACACAATTTTTCTCTTGCTCATTTTAGTAGGAACTCGTAGGTGTTTAGGTAAAGGGTTCTCGCCGTCAGCTAAATGAATAAATTTGTATCACTTCTACAGAACGAAACATTACAACTCAATTCCAATTCCTTGCTAATATTAGAAGACTTCTGTAAAATAGAATGGAAGCTTTGGCAACAAAACGCAAATATAATAAAAAAGAATACCATACAATTGCTTTCCAACTGTGGATTATCCTTGAACAACGTTCAAAAATTCAAATTCATTGTTTACATTATTTACACTAAATCGCGGCCTAACGTTCATATGCGGCGTGTCGTTCAATGCCCGCCTACTTTCATTAGTCGTTGTCGTCTCTGCTGACATCGTGCATTCTCGTTGTTTCTCTGTTTCATCCTATAGATATATACATATTTAACATAGGGACGAATGTGCGTACGTAAAATTGAGAGCATCTCGTGTCGCGAATCAAAACCTCATTTGTTTTGAACAAATATAATTTGTTTGGCTTTATATCTTCGATGCATTCATATTTTAACGTTTTCTATTTGTTTATTTTTTGTTTTTCAACTATTTTTCTCCTCGAAAATGCGCTATCGTAAACAATTTACAGGGCCTGAAACATGGCCAAACTGGCCCTCGATTTTTTATTTTTGCGACGGTTTGGACTCCTTCTCAAAATTCTATTTCCCGTACATCGGCACGCATCAACGACATGGATTGCTTTATTTGTTGTGATCTCAACGTTTATCGGTATGTTTCTTTGGCACCAACTATTCCACAATTTATAACGTTTTCAGACCAAATAATGACATATCTCGTGGGAATTCAGCCTAGTCTTTTCTATGTTGCGCTTGGTAACAAAGATCTTTCCAGCTTTAAGTTCTTATGTGCAAAAGGAACTTTACTAATAATTGGGAAAGCATTTGTGAGTTAAGTTTTATTTACAAAAAAAAAATTAAATTTATTTATTTAGACGCTAGCACTTACTAAATTTTTGACCACTTTTCTATCAATTAAATGTCGCGAGATTTGCAATTTGACGTTGCACCGTCTTTACTTCAAACGCCAAGCGTTTTTCAAACTGAACTGCTCTACAGACAACTTGGACAACCCGTGAGTTCTATTTAAAGTTAGAACGTATTTTTGGAATTTCAAATTAATTGAATGATCAATGTTTAACAATGAAACGGGAGCCTTAAAAACTCGTGAAAAAATAAAAAAAAAGGACTGAACACGAAAATATCCTTGTCTTTGGAACCGGAAGAAAAAATGAAATTACTAATTGTTATGTATATTTTTTAATTATTTTCGCAATATCTCAAAAAATAGTTACACTAAGATAAATGTATCGAAAGTCAAAAAATGTTTACTAATTTTTTATTTTCCTTGAGTTTTACAGAGATCAGCGTCTGACGCAGGATATTGAAAAAACGACGAGAATCCTATGTATCGACCTTCTCGCTCCAGTCTTGACCGCGCCATTCATTATTGGATATTATACATGGCTCACTTATGATAGGTAAAGCTCGTTTGTATATTAAAAAATTGTTTATTGTTTTCAGTGCTGGCTGGGTAGGTCCCGCAGCTATCTACGGCTACTTCACGATTCAAACAGTCGCCAACAAATTCTTGCTCACTCCAATTGTCGGACTTGTCAATGAGCAAGAAAAAAAAGAAGGAAATTTTCGGTATATTTAATTTTGCTAGGTTCCCCATATCATTACTATGACGTCGTTCAGGCAAAGACATATGGAAGTTCGAGCAAATGTCGAAGCCATTGCATTTTATCGCTCAGGCGTTCTCGAAAATGTGATGGCCAACCAAAAGCTCAGACTTCTCGTCGCAATTCAGGTATAGAATTTTATTGCAGTTAAAAGATAAAAGTGATAATGTTTTCAGAAGAAACTGACAGAATGGAGATTCGCTTTAGGATTTGTTACCAACATTTTCGACTATTTTGGAGGAATTGTCTCGTACTTGATCATTGGGTTTCCAATTTTCTTAACACATCAATACGATGATATTAGCGGTTCTGAATTGAACGCCATCGTGTCGAGGGTGAGTTTTGATTATTTTTTTCAAATTGTTTCTCTTTCTCTGCACGGAATGTCTTATCACACGACAAATGACGAATGCTCAAAAAGTGATCAGAGATGTTTAAAAATATTGGAGAGGGATGGTTTATTTAAAACTTGATAGAAAAGATTTCTAAAAGAAATAACTGTCATGGTTCATATAAATAAGCTGTTAACTTTCATCGTAGCGCTTACATTAAAATGCCGAAAAATGTTAAGTTTCTATTAATGGTGTGCGACAATCAAAAAGAAATCTTTTTTTTCATTTTTCTCTTCGGCATATCTCCTTAAAATTCATTGTGATTGGTGATTAGAAAGGTATCATGTCCGTATGAAGGCTATTTGATCGCGCTATATCTTGGCATCTTTATAACAAATGGCCGCGGAAAATGACTTATGGGCGCGCCTTATGGTCAATGAGTTTGTGCGTGAACCCTTATTCTGGTTTTTGATTTGTTTGGAGCAATTTTTCGTGTGGAAGTCGCACAGGGGTGTAAGGTTTCAAATTTGTAAAAATGTTGCTTTTATCACGAGGGTTTTGGGATAAATACAGAGTTCTTCCAAAATGAAACATGTTCCACCTAAAGGTAATTTACGAGTCAGAAGACTGATATTCAAACGCGCACACGGCTGAAAACCTTATACCCTTCGTTCCCATCATCGAGAAAGCAAAGAGCAAAGTGCGAGGGGATTTTACGACTCTATTTTTTTGTCCGAGTGAGCCTGACAATAATTTGATTTAAAGAAAAGTTCATTGAAATTTGAAGTTTTGTTACTCTGGATTCGACTTCTACTCAAAACAGTGATAAATTACGTATTTTGAATTTTTTTAAAGATAAAAGAACAACAGATGTTAGGAATAGATTGCATAGTTCAGTTTTCATGATACTCCAATTACTTGAAAACACGAAGTTTAAAAAAAGCTTAAATAGGTTAAAATTCAACGTTAAACGATCTGTAATAATTTCAATTGCCCATCAAGCCCATCTCTAAAATTTGTCTTTATGTTCCATTCTGCGTTTGGCCTTGACTTCTCTCATGGTTGCTCGTTTCTGCAAAATGGAGGCGTTTGATTGCGAAAGAATACCCCTCTCTCCATTCAAACCAGGGCTGTGCGGCAATGGAATTGCCGATTGCCGAAATTGTCGATTTTTCAAATTGCCGAATTGCCGAAGAGAACGTTCGATCGGCAAATTGCCGGATTGCCGAAATTTTGATTTTCGGCAATTTGCCGAATTGCCGATTTGCCGAAATTTTGATTTTCGGCAATTTGATATCAAAAAAAAATCGGCGAAACAAAAATCAATGTCCATTGAATAATTTGCGATACCGTGAAAATTTGGTATTTATATTTCGAATTATCGTTGAAAACATTTAATAGACGAAATTTTGATTTTCGGCAAATTGCCGAATTGCCGAAATTTTGATTTTCGGCAAATTGCCGAATTGCCGAAATTTCCGATTGCCGCACAGCCCTGATTCAAACCTTGAGGGAATTTATTTTAGAGATGAGAGAGCGAGAACAGGAAGAATTGAACAATTAATATTAGGAGAAGCGCAGAACGCGGTTCCGTCTTCAGAAATGGATGTAGAAATAAGTGAAATTATTACTACATAGTTTGAAAACAATTAGTTTCCCATAAGGTACCCATTTGGTTAATTATTTAACTATTGAACTAAAAATTTTTGAAACAAGTTCAAATTTTTTTTAAGTCGTCTCAATTTTAATTATTTAAGCATTTTTTTTAAATCGACGATGTTAAAAAATTTGAAAAAATTACCTATTTCTTTCTACAAATTAGTTTAATATATATGTTTCTTTCAGAATTCCTTCTACAATCTATACCTGATCTATAGCTTCTCGACAGTTCTCAAATTAGCAGGCGACTTCGGGGAACTTGCTGGAGTCACACATCGGTATTTGTTTTCAAAAGGCATTGTTTCATTTAAACTTTTTAGTGTCATTGAGCTGCACGAGGAGCTCAATCGTCTTCATATAGACTGTTTGGAGACTGATCGACCGCCATCCACTGTTCCATCATCGGTTGTCGTCATCGCCGCCGATGATGAAGATAAGAGTCGAATGCAGACAATTGAGGAGATTCATGGAAAACAGCTCTCGTTAGAGCGTGATGAACAAGAGGAAGAAGAAGCCCAATATCTTCTAGGCGGAAAATCGAAAGATGAAGACGAATGGCCAGATGATGGTGTTGCGATTACTGTAGATTCTGCTACATTGTCGCCACCCACTGATCACAGTCACATTATTGTGCAATGTAAGATTTATTCCGGTTGAAATCATTTCATGAATATTAACTACAGTACTATCCTTACAAATCATCCAAGGACAGACATTGCTCATTACGGGCGATAGTGGCTGCGGTAAATCTTCGCTTCTACGAATGCTTGCAGGTCTCTGGAATTGCTCATCAGGTACTTTTTCGACCGTTCTCCTATTAAAATTGGTATTTTAGGAAAAGTGGACTGTCATTGGCGGCGTCGATCGCAGAACTTATTCTTCATTGCGCAAAAACCATATTTCCCATCTGGTGGCGTTACACTTCGCCAACAACTCGTTTACCCTATTAAGGCTTTGCCGGTCGAAAAAGAAGTAGCTCGTTTGAGAAACATCCTTGCATGGGTACATTTGGAGTATTTGATCGAGCGTTGCGGAGGATTCGATGCGCCAGTGGATTGGGATTGGATGAAGATGCTGTCGCCAGGAGAGTTGCAGCGACTATCGCTGGCTCGTGTATTCTACACCCATCCGAGAATCGCGTTTCTTGATGAATCGACAAGTGCAATTGGATTTGAGCATGAGATGAGTATCTACAAAAAGTTGCAAGAGGTTGGCCCATATTTGGAATGATTTAAACTCAATAACCAATTTTAGGAGAAAATCACCTATGTAACCGTTGGTCATCGCTATTCACTCAAGCAGTTCCATGATATGGAATTGAGAATGAAGGGACGCGGTGGTGAATGGACTCTCCATGACATCGATACGGCATCGATTGCTAGTAGAACGGCTAGCTTCCTGGGAACAGACACCGTTCTTTCTATGTAAAAAAAAATAATTGTTAAGCAAACTTTTCAGATTATTAATTCAATCTGTTTTCCTCTCTCTCTCTCTCTCTTCATTTTTAAGGGTACTTTCAGAAAATTGTAATTACCTTATTTCGAAGCATTTAACCATCGATTGATTGTATATCGACCCGAGCTTACTTTACTTACCTTACCAAATATTGAGATTTATACATTTTATGATTTATTTTGTGCTATTCGTTCAAAATGGTCGCTTGCTTTACTCATCCCAATGCGTTTTTGCCTTTCTTATATTTAATCGATTCTTTTTTTTTCTTTTTGACAGACAAATACTGGTATTATTGTTTTCTTCTTTGAAACAGTTTTAATTGCCAAGGTTTTCAGGATTTGCAAAAATAAATATAAAGTTTATTAATTAACAAACGTGAACTTGGCATGTCATTTCTTATTCAATTATGGGCCCTGATGAGGTTTGAACTTTTCCAAAGCATGTTTGAATATGAATGACAAAAATGTATAGGAGAATATGGATTTGGATCCGGCGTTTGAGAGGATGGTGCATTTGACAGCGGGAATAATTTCAGGCGGGTGATTATTTTTTTTAATTGAAAGTACGTAGCTGGTCCAAAAAATTAATAGCGTTACCTAGAATTTAAATTTAATCATTAATTTTTAATGTGAAAAAATATTACCATCGCAAAAATCGATCGGTTCGAATAATCATGGACCACCTGAATTTAAACATTGGGAACCTGGGTAACGTAATTTGGATATTCTCTATTGTCGGCGTCGCGCGACTGCGGACAATTGTTTAAATACCAAAAGGTTCAAAATAAAGGTTGATGAGCGGTTTAGCCCGTAAACCTACATTTTTAGTTTTACGACAAGACAAAACTAAAATGGAAAATGAGCTGGGCCTTGTAAAGACTAATTATCGTACGCACGATTTCCGAGGGAAATGATATATTTTAAACATACGATTTCCGGTAATCACATTGTGCATACGGCCCCTAGCGGCCGATGCTCACGGGGGGCAACGTGCTCTTTGGGGTAATCTGCTCAAAGGGAGCAATGTCTCTGTCTCTTAGGGGTCAACCGACAGGGTGTCTCAAGAGGGGAGGGCATTCTACAAAGTCTCAAAAGGGGCAACAGATTCATTCTCTTAAGCAAGTCGTCGTGTTTATCTTCTAGTTTTTCCTTGTGTTGCTTGTTGGGCAAGAAACATTCTTAGGGTGCATTGATATTGTCGATCCACATTTTTGTTCGGGTTTTTCTATGTTTTCTACAGTGGGTACCTTTCCGTACGCAGTTTGGTGAAGCGCTTTCTTTGAGATGTCGATATTTAATCTTTTTTACATGTAAATCTAAAGTAGCCATAACAGTGAGACCGAGTGTTACGTGACGAAATAGTAGACGCAGATATTTACATTATGCAGTGTTTTGTAGTAGCAATAATACAATTAAAAAAACAATATACAGTACTGGCCATAATGATGTTCGCCTAGTGTTTTTTGAGCATAACTTGGCTCAAACGCAGCCGATCGGGCTCAAATTTTTACCATATCTTTAAAACGCGTTGAAAATGCGTTTGATTGGTATCGCATACTGCAGAAAAGTTTTTTTTTTCGAAAAATCACAAATTTCATAAAAATGCGGAAAATGGAAAAAATGACACAATGTGATTTGAAAGTCTCAGAAACCCGAAAACATTACAAATGTGTAGAAAACCTGTTTTCAATTTATCAGTACTTGTTTGCGTATCCCTTGGCATCAATAACCGCTTGGCATCTGCGAGGCATCGAGTCCAAGAGGGTGCGGATCACAGCATCGGAATGGCACTCCATGCGGCTTCGAGTTGAGCGAACTTATCGTCGGCGGTTGATGCTCGGAACCCTCTATCCATGCGTACCAGTTCTTCCCAGAGATGTTCGATCGGATTATGGTCCGGAATCTGCGATGGCCATGCAACAATATCAAGTCGGCGTCGCTGGAACCAATTCTTTACATGTCCAGACGTGTGCTTAGAGTCGTTGTCTTGCTGGAAAACGAATGCACTTCCGACGTTTGTCAATGCCCAAGGTCTTATTGTGGTTTCCAGGATATCTTTGTGCTGGTACCGATCCATGATTCCATTTACACGTCGGAGCGGTCTCATGGCGGTGTCGGAGGAGCAGTCCCAAACCCTGCAAGATGCTTCACCGTTCGGAGGTGGTACTTTGGCATGAATGTGGCTTCAATAGGTCGACGAACCATCTTGATTCCATCAGTTCCGAACAAGTTGAACTTCGATTCATCGATCCAGATGTGTTTGGCCCATTCACATCGTTCCCAGTTCAGATGATCCTTGAACCATGCCACCATCGTCTTTTGGTTCTCGTCACTGATCAATGGTTTCTTCACCGGGCGTCTTCCATGAAGTCCATTCTCCAACAAACGACGTCTAATTGTTCTTCTGGGTGGAATTGAAGAATTTGGCGTTGCCACAAGAATCTGGATATCTGCTGAAGTCCGTCTAGGATCTTCTCTTGAAGCCCGACAGATGTTCCGATCTTGGAGCCTAGTAGTTTTGCAAGGTCTACCATGTGATTTCTTAACAAAAATGCAGCCCAATAGATTAGAAATAGTCCAGAATGATTAAAAAATCGTACATTTTGTCTTAATCGTTGCAAAACTTTTTGGATTCCTCTTCGGGAGCACAGGAACTGCTGAGCCAGAAGGCTTCTGGACGACCCAGTCTTATGACCGTTGACGATCGCTTTTTGAACGTCCGCCGTGAAATTTTTCTTTCCAGAAGGTTGAAAAATTACTAAAAACATGTTTCAAGTTCAAATTTCAAATAAAAAAATTTTTATGGACAAAGTTTGAAAAAAAAATGAAAAATTGGTAAAATCGAAAAAAAAAACAAAAAAAAAATTGAAAAAAAATTTTTTTTCAACATGATGCAATTTTTGTTGTTCCCAAGGTTGCGCAACTGTGTTTAGCATTTACAGTAAAAATTTCAGCCCAATCGGCCGCGTTTGTGCCAAGTTATGCTCAAAAAACACTAGGCGAACATCATTATGGCCAGTACTGTAAACCTGATGAACAAAATGTTCACTGAAGCATTCTCGTTAACTCCTAAAAGAATAAATCTATTTCCCCTTATGAGACTCTGTAGAACGCCCCCCTTGAAACACATCGTCTGTTGACCTCTAAGAGACATTGCCCCCTTTGAGCAGATGACCCCCAAGAGCCCGTTGCCCCCTTGTTACCCCTTTTTGTTGCCCTCGGGAGCATCAGCCGCCCCTGGCAGCCGTTTTTCTTGAAACAAGCTGTAGACTATGATATAAATTTGGAAGGAAGAGTGAATTACTATTAATAACACTATGATATCGTGTCGAAATTTCATGTGCATGGGTTCTCTCCGTGTATCACTATTTGTTCCTTACACCGACGCCTTCAACGACGACGACGACGTCAACGTATGTTTGATATTATCATCACAATCATCTCACCCCAGCAATTGCGCGAATGTTGCCATTTTACCATCACATTTGATGATCAAAGTCGAATAGAATTCGACACGTGACAAGTTCAGATAAGAGATAGAGTGGGTGTAATTGTTCACTTCCTCCTGTTTCATGCCGAATGGAGAAGCTTGATGATCGCAAGGCAAAATTGATGCATCAGGAAGTAGAGAAATTGAAAGAGCCGTTTCTGTTGGAAATGGGGAAGTATACGAGATTTTTTTTAAATAAAATTTTCGCCTTTTAAATTGACAGCAAAGACTTACATATTCACAGCTACCAATCTTAAAGTTAAAATATATCTGATTTCTTAACTTTAAGCCTATCTTCATTTGCAAATCTCCCGCTTATTAAAATTTGGTAAATATAATATCCCTTGCAGCGAAAAAAATGAACCGATTTCAATATAAATTATTTCTTTACTTGATTCAAACTGAAATCGCCGAACTTGGACGTTAGAAATATGTTTTTTACTAACCAAAACTTTAATTTTGTTCATTTCGTGAAACTCAAAAGCTTAATTCGTCTACAAACAATATTAAATCGAGACGAAACCAAACAACAATCAATCTCGAACATTCAAAATTCTTATTAAACGCTCGCCCTTGAAGAACCGTCAAACCGATATTCAAAACAAACTATTTTTTCCGAAAGGTTTTTTTTCACCGTGGTTGATTGATCAGATGTTCAAGACTGCATATGATAACAGTTTGAAGAAGAAAGTTTGATTTCATACAGCAGGATAATATTATTGGGTATGTAGCTCTTTCATAACTTAATTATCGAGCGTTATGTTAATCCGCTAACAATTAATTTTGGTGTATATTTTCTTATATTGAAATCAACAGCTTCAATGCAAAGAGGCCGTAATTAGGCAGGAAGATTCTTTGAGTGTATTTCCAGGAAGACTTTTACTTGACAGGAATCATGGATAAGAAGTGCAACGCGAAAGAAGAGTAAATTACACATTATCATTCCCTGACATAACAAAATTGAGCCATTATGATTTATGGCGATTATTTACAATGCGCGATAGACCAATTATGAACATAAACTGAGAAATATTGATAAAAACGTAATGAGCATGACGATGACGGTGTGAAGAGACGATCGATAGCGAGATACTGGAGAGAGATGGATGACAATAGGCGTGGCCTGTGGGAGACACTGAAGAACGAAAATTGACTAGAGACTGACCGGCCCGGGCTTTGGAGATTCTGTTTGACTTTTTGCTGTCACTATCAGTCTATCTCATTCGTATCGACAATGTCACTTACTGTCTGTGATTATTCTTTCCCCTTTTTGGCGCATTTTACTTTTTTCCTTCTTATTCTTGTTCGTCATTTTTACACTCTGTTATCATGCAGGAACTTGGACATTTGAGCAACACCTCGCGACCTGCGAATTTCAAATTCCAGTTTGTGATTCGCAGTGCGCCACCAAATTGAGCTCATAATATTCTGCCAACGCTATCTTAAAGAGGGTTCATCGGTTTGTTGGCTTCACGCCAAATTCAAATCGCGTGAGACAACGCGACACGCGAAATCGACGCCATGACGACGTCAGATAACAATTCGGTGATTGCGGCTGATTTTCTCGCTGGCATGCTAGGAGGTTTAAGGAGTTTACTAACTAGATCAGAAATTGTAAAGAAATGATTTTTTTTAAAGCTTCTTGCTGGACGATTCTCCCCGCTCATTTTGATTTGTTATGCTTTCAGGAGCCGCCGGAGTCCTTGCTGGTCATCCGCTGGACACGGTCAAGGTGCGACTTCAGACGCAACACATGACCGTCGGCGGTCCGGCGCCACAATATCGCGGCACGTGGCATTGTTTCTCGAAGATAGTCAAAAAGGAGGGCTTCAAAGGGCTATACAAAGGTATTATAATAAATCATAACTTAAATCAGCTGAGGTGGATCGATCAAGTGTTCACACGATTCGCCGCCATCCATCCATTCACTCATTCTGTGATAACTGTGTCAGAGACAAACATGCGAAAACGCATGAAACGAGATCTTTTTGGAGTCGCGTGGTCGCTAAAGATTGTAAATCATTGTGGGGCCACGAAGACATTGACGTCCTTCACAAGATTACGAATATGATGACAAAACAATTTGTTGCGAGGCGTGGAGAATCTTGAAACATATCACGTGTAAAGCCCTGGAGTTTGAAGATTATTTTCAGGACTATCGTCGCCGCTTGCTTCTTTGTCCGGAATTAATGCGATAGTTTTTGGTGTACATGGTTCGGCATGCCGCGAATTCAAGAATCCTGATTCCCTGGAAGCTCACTTTTTTGCAGGAGCCGCCGCTGGGGTCGCGCAGAGTGTTGTTGGTAACATTACTGAACAATTTTCAGTTTTTCCCTGATATGACAAATTTAAAATTTAACAAGATATTGATTTCAGCGGCTCCGACGGAACGCATCAAACTTCTACTTCAAATTCAGAACGACGCCGCACACACGAAATTTCGTGGACCCATCGACGCCATTCGCCAACTTGTCAAACAGCATGGAATGTTGTCGTTATCAAGGTAGGCCGTCGCTGGTTGAAACCGATTTTCCTCTCCCCCGAATTTTCGCCATCTTTTTTCCTTTCTTTTTTTTGCATAGATATTTCGAGAACTGATATCGGACTGCGAGAAAAGAACGTGGTCAACGTCATCATTCAATTTAATTGTCTGTCTCGACAGTCGCGCAAAATTTTTTAAAAGTGCGAAGGGAGTAGTATTGATCAGACAAATCTACATTCATATCGTTATGACGAAATGTTGCGATATTTTTGCAGTGCTCTATTCTGAAATAGCGCTTTAAAGAAGTGAGAGTGAGTACATGATTTTTTTCCGAAAAAATAAAATCTTTCAAACTAAAATTACTTTTAAAACATAGAGGAACTGAAGCAAACTTAAAATTATTCAGCAAAATAAGTTTAAAATTTAAAGATATTAATGATATCTATCCAAAAAAAATATATTTCTCGCATTTCTAGAAATTTTCAGCATTTTATCTCTCGCATCTATTTTAAGGTAAAACAATTTTAACCACGATTTTATATAAATACTTCAATACTTGTCACTTACCTGATTCATGAAAATTAAAGAATTTATGTTTTAGAGGATTATTAGCAACCGTTGCGCGCGACGCCCCAGCCTTCGGCATCTACTTCTCCTCGTACGAATGGATGGCCAGAAAAATGAGCAGAGACGGAAAAATGGAATCGCTGACGAGTATGCAGTTGCTTCTCGCAGGCGGTGGAGCTGGTATGCTTTCATGGATGTTCAATTACCCGGCCGATATCATCAAGTCCAGATTTCAAGTGAGAATATTTGAGTTTTATATAAAATACCATCGCACAAAAAAAAGAATTTGAGTAATTGTGAGCTGCCGCATTTTTTTGGGTTGACAAATAAAATTTCGGTTTAAACAGTGAGAATTTGCGTACCGTTCTACGAAATACCTGCGAATCAAACTCATTGTAAATCTTCACAGGGCATTCGTTTTTTTTTTTTGCGATTGTATTACAATCTACTAAAATATGAATAGGTATCAGCGAACAAATTCCTACAATTTCTTTTAAATTCCAGGCTGAAGAATCATATCGAAGTTACTGGCAGTGTATTCGTGAGACTTATGCGGAACGAGGAATGCGCTCATTCTTTGTTGGCCTCAATTCAGCCCTCATAAGGTATTCGAAAAGAAGAAAACATTTCGAGTATTTTCTAATTTTTTAGAGCATTTCCCTCAAACGCCGCAACATTCTTCACCGTAGAATGGACGTATCGGATATTGCTGGACTTCAATCTGCTGGGAATGTCGAAGGAACCGAAATCCGATATCCAACAACAAATTCAACAGCAAACAGCGCAAGTGAGCACAACATTTTTTCATTCTTTTTGGGTCACTTTTAACTTTAGCACCTTGTGCGTTTTTTATTTCAAAATATCAATACGTAATTTCAGACGGCTGAGAAAAAGGAGAAAAATATTATAATTACTATAATAGACCAATTGGTGCGTTTATGCATGTATTTGGTTATTATCTGTCTGTCTTGTATCGCCAATTCTTAAAGGTGCATGCTCCTTTAAACTTAACTAACAAATATTCCTTGTTATTTTATTTTTGTTCTTTCCAATTTTTAAGCTGTAGAAATTGCAGAAGAACAAACGCTTGCTGACGCCGGTGGACATTTGGACGACGAACTGCCACCATTTCCTTTTGCCAGAAGCCGGCTCAACATCTGTAGACCCGATGCTTCATGGTTACCGATTCTTCTAACAAAGCCTTGTTACTCGCATCATTTTCGTTGTTGGATTTGCTTTCCCGTTCAAGTGCTTTTGATTTTTTTTGTAATTTTCCCACCCCCGCATATGATTTTTTTTTGATTCGTTGTGAAATACCGGTTTCGTACATTCTGATCTACTATATTGAATTTCCTTGTTCCAATGATTATTGTGATATTTTAAAATATTATTTGTTTAGTTTTACACACAATTTTGTTCTCACTGACGCGCTGACCAGCTCAAACAATATACACACGGGTTTCTCCCACACGACCATATTTCCAAAATTTCCAACTTATTCCATTTCATCATTCGCCTATCCAATGTTTTTTTTCTCAAGAATAAAAAGCCGAGTATTCAAATTGTTCAGAGATTGGTGTTTATTGCTTTGAGCAGCGAGACCACTTGAAAATCCCATCGCGGATCGCACAAAATTGTTGAACAACTAAGCATCGAGCAGGACACAGGCACAGGATTACACGACGGTTTTTGGACGAAAAAAATTTCATTTTTTTTTTACTTTTGAATGTCTGAATTTACGCCACTACAATTTTTGTCACTTCTGGTGTTTTAATTTTTACATATTATTTACGTTTTATTCACACAAGTAATACAGAAGAAACCATTACATACATAAGTGCGAGAAAGTAAACTCAATTGACTGAACATGTTAATTTACTTTTTTTAAAGTTGTGATCTCAATAAGCTTTGGTCTTGACCAAAAAGGGATAATCAAAGCGAACACGAATCTACGTTCTCTTAGTACATTTATTCTTGATAAATAATGTTCATCATCTTCTCTTTTTCATCGACAACATCAGAACTGGAATGTTGCCATTTGATTTATTTTCCGAGGTGTCGTTCATCATCGTCTCCCACTGTACGGTTTTTATTCAGCAAAGATCCCCAATCTTGTCCGCAACATTAATTGGAATAAACGTTTAAAACTTATTGAGCTCATCGTTCTTATTTAAAAGCTACGAACGGTGTCAAACGACGAGAGAGAGAAAGAGAGAGAGAGAGGAGGGGGGAAGGGTAATTAAAACATTTTGTCACGAAATCAGTATGTATATGTAGATTTATGGAAGGGAAACGTTACAATTTGACAGAAGATTAAATGACCGTATACTTAAATGAAATATACACAATGTGACGCACTTCTTTTTACCTTGAGACACCTGACAAAAAAAAATGAAAATAAATTTTAATTTCGTCCACAATTATTTGAATTCAACGTAAGAGCCACAGTTTTTGCAATTCACTAAAACTAGAATATTAACTGGTTTACTAATAAATATACTGAAGTTAATCCAATCAATTGTATACATACCGCATATATGGCTATGTATAATGATAGTACTACGCCACCTAAAAAGTGCAAAAATACGTTGTCTGGTTTTTTCATACATATTATCATAAGAACAAGTTTTTTGTCATATATCCACGCATTCAAACGCACACCATCATTTTTTACGTTTGGTTTCATCTAGGGGTGGGCTTCCTTTGCAACCATGTAGACAAAAAATAGTCTAATGAAACTATTCAATTATTGCGTTTAATCGTCCATAACTGTTCAAATTTTGTTGACCTAAATTTTAGTGAAACATTGATTTTGTTGACCTAAAGATCAAATTTTATTTTCTATTATTATCAAAATACTTATATCTGTTGATATATTAAGATTATTCTTGAACAATTATAAATGTGTTGTTGAAACATTTGAAAGTTGGTTATAGAAATTTCGTCAGGTGACCCAGAACTGCGATTGCGACGTACGCAACGGGATCCCAGCCCATTGTTGAAGACGTAGAAGACCCTGTTATTCTGTAACAATAATCCTATTACACAATCATTGTGTATCTTCCACACCTCCCTCGCCGCGTTTCCTTTTTCTAAAGCTTCGACTGGTAATAATTATACAATGAATATAACGATTTTTAAAAAGTTGATGTTTCAATACTCATGCTTGGTATTCGAGTAATATTGAGTTATATAAATAATAATACCCGTTTTCATTCTTATTTGAAAAAAGAAAAACTGATGATAAAAAACCTATTTATTTCAATCATCTTTACTTTATTGGCGGCCAGACGAATAAATGAGAAAAAAACTTGTAAGAGAGTCATACCGTTAGGTTGAAATTTTCTAGCAAGTTGTCCGCGGATATTTGGCGGTTTTTCATTTTATTATATTTCCTTGACCATTCGATTTCATTTTTGCTCCAATAAAGAAACAGCATCTATACCTACTTTTCATAGACCCAGACATTTTCAAAAATCTCATTCTAGTACCTTTTAAAATCTATAAACTATAGTGTATATAATTTAAACATTCATGTCTAAGGACGGAATCGCACGCGACACAAGAATTGGAATATTTATCAAACCGCGCTTCGCCATCAAGGTCGGAACGCTGTTAATCCGTCTGCCGTCTCTCCGACTGTCTTCATATCAATTTTCGAATATGTACATTGAGATATACATTCTTACACTTATATATCAATTAACAGCAGAACGCTATCCCTTTTGTACACCCGTTCGTTTTCTTATGATTATTTTTTGCTGCTGCGGTTTGTGTAGGTAGCACTTTCTCGTAAATTAGCCATGAACAGACCTGTTGGTTTGGTTGATTTCGATTCGCTAATTATGTATATTATATATACACATCCGTTAGATATCGACATACTCTCGATTATTCGATTAGCGCACAATTCAATGTTGGTTATCCATTCTAAACATTCGCTATTTCTTTAGTTTTGATCTTCAAATTGATTCTTTTCAGATAAAAGAGCTGCTATTAAAAAAGATGAGAACTTTTTCATTTGGTAAAACTAATTTCTGTAGTTCGATTCTCATATGTGTAACTCGGAGTAAGAAAAGCTCATAAATGTGATTTAATTAATAAGGAGAATTCAATACTTAGGGATAACACTTCAGCAAGTGGAAAAAAATTATACATAAAATTTTTCCAACAAAAAAATTTCAAAAATCGACATTCCACTGATGCTAGTCGGAAGAAAAACAATAAAAATGAGATTGAACACACGATATTGGACACATGAGATTTGTAGATCAGAGAAACACGTAACTTTCCCTTCCTTATCGTTAATATATATTGACGAAGTCCAAGAAAGCAACATTTGAAACTTTGGGCCGACGCAATCAATCATCGCGCGGAAATTTGCAACCATCGATTCGTCGGGGATAAACAACTTCATATGTTTATCACTCCGAAACATTCTCGGAGGCGTTGTCTATAAAATCAAATTTATGCAAAACTTTTTTCTACCCTCTACTATCATCAATTATAATCGACACATCGAACCGCGGCCCGGTTTCACCTATTTTTTGCTGTATTGCGTTTTCTTTTTCTTCTATTGCTTTCGTGTTGCCTTCTTTGTGGTGGTTGTCGCACATTTGACGGTCATTTACACATGGGCCACCGGCTGACTACGTAATAGCAAAGACGAAGAAGGAGAACTTGTAGATGTTTATCTAAGCACAAAAAACCTATTCGCGCATTTCCGAAATCGTTGCAATATCTCAAAGTGTTCTCGTTAACAGACAATGGGTACGCTTCTCGTGTTCGTCCTACCACCACTACTCCAGCTCATCCCTTTCGTCGAGGCAGCCGAGACTTGTCTGAGGTTCTTACATTCTAAGATGTTTCCCTTCAATATTAAAATTTTTCAGTCAACCGCAATTATTTGGAGTAATTTTTGGATCCGTTGCTGCCGCTTTCGTCATTTCCGCAGCAATAGCCATACTTTTATGGATCTGCCTACACAAAAATGGCAAGTGACGCTAATATTTTAAAATTAATTATTTTTCGGGTTATAACTCTATGGAAATTAATCTTCCATTGAAATTCCTTATGCATAGCGCATTTTGCGTCCTCGTGGGAATAATGGAAATTAATTCTTTAATAAAAACAATGTGTAGTGTATGATATGAGTGTGTGCCGCGATGAGATCCCCGTGTTTGTGATTTAATCATGACCTTTACTGCACTATGTGGGAACCTTAAAAACAATATTTCTCGTGTGTTGTATATGGTGGTGAATTAATATATGTTAGAAAAATTCATAGTTTGTTTTTTTTTTGGACTGTGGGTTTCTTATCCTATAAAATGAACCGAGATCTCTAGAAAGTCGGTATTTATCTTGATGTGAAATCTGTACCACATTTAGTACGAGACTAGCCCAATTTACGTTTTCCACTAATTGGTAAAGCGAACTTTTTACAAAAAAGAATAACATATATTCATATCGATGAATCAAATAGAAAAACTACATTGTATTATTGAGAAATGACAAATGTATCCAGCACCGTAATCCTCGCAGCGATTTACGGAGTTTTTTTTTTAATTTTCTTTAAATTTTTTTGCTGTATTTTCTTATTTTCTTTGGAAATCTTTTATTTAAAACCTGTAGAAAACGAGATTAATTATTTATTTTTCAGAATATGCACTTTTCCATTTGTCCAATTGAGTCGGGAATTATTGTAAAGATTTTGTCGCTCTAAAAATTATTTAGAAAATGAAGAATACAAAAACAAGATAATAGAAACGCGCACAAAAAGCAAAACACGAATAAATAATTTTATTAACGACAAAAATGTTTTCTTTTAAATCTCTGTTGTTTTTACCAGAAAATATCGTTTAAAAGGGCTTATTCTGCTAAACAAATTATTAAACTCGATTTCTGCAAAATTTAAATAACAAAATTTCGAAAGAAAATACGAAAATTGGGCGAAAAATAAAAAAAATGAATATGCGAAATTAAAAAAAGTCCCCCGTAAATCGCTGCGAGGATTACGGTAACTGTCCCTTAGCAATGCGTACAAAACGCAGGACCCTACGACACCTGCATTTGTCATTTTTCAACAATATTAATAGAAATACATATACATGCATACATAGAAAATATGCGGAGAAAAATATGCGCATTTATTATTAGTTTCATATTACTTTCACATAAAACACAAAAAACAACAATTTAAAACATTTCGTCATTTTCACGAAACAGTGTAAAAATTTTTTTCACAAAACTATATACCCACTTAATAAAAAAAAACTCAGAAAGAAGCATCGAGAGTTACAATTTGAAAGAAAATTAACTTTTAATAATTAACTGGACATCCATTGAGTCGTGTTACGTCAAAAATTCGACAGTCCATTGATAAATAAAGGTTGTCAAGAAGCTGTTGATCGACAAGCTTCCAGGCTTCCACTATCGATTCTACGGTTGCGTATCACCTGGATGGTGCGGCGAACTCGATGAAAAGGGGCTCAATCTTGCATGAAAGAGTAATTTTTGTGTTGATTTCGACGCCAAAATGGCAACAGATCACGTCATATGACGAATCGGTAGTCAGAACCATTTATCTTTGGCGAAACGAAGCACAACTTGACTCTTCCATGCGAGCTGATTGCCGCCCACCTCATGACGCATCCTCCTTTGAAGTTTCTACGCAAAAACCGCAGCTTCTCCATTTTCAAAGCGTGCCGATAGCCACGATAATCATCTGACCTGTCACAATTAAACTGTTTTTCATCAGAAAAGACTACCCAAAGGAAGGAAACGAGTTTCATGAACGTTGCAGTTATTCTTACTCGTCTCCAGTTAGTTCGTTGATTCTTTTTTGCAAACTCCAGTCGTTTTTCACGATGTATTCGAGTCAACATCTTATTTTCCTGTGTTTAATGAAGTTACTCTTCGATAAAACACGCCGGACGGTTTGATTTGACACCATGAGATTGAATTTCCTCCGAATCGTTTAGCACGACACGGCCGAATTTGACGCTCTCCACAAAAATTTGTCCGAAAGCAGTGAAGAACGACCAGTCGACGTTTTTTGACCATAAGCAGCTAAATTCTTAGCATATCGCCTAGTAACATTATGATTGCGTCCCAGTTCATTCCCAGTTTGTCGATAAGAGGGAGCCAGCTTTGCTTCAATTTTACCTTTTTTAAAGTCGATGAGCGACTTTTTCCGAAGCATGTCTTAACGAACAGTAAAATGCAAAAAACAAAAAGACGAAAAAAATCGAAAAAAAAATGAAAAAAAAATAATGGAGTGGGTATATAGTTTTGTGGAAAACTTTTCCACCTTCTCGTGAAAATGACGAAATGTTTTAAATTGTTGTTTTTTGTGTTTTATGTGAATGTAACATGAAACTAATAATAAATGCGCATATTTTTCTAATTGAAACTATTTCTGGAGCTATTCGCGTTTTCGAGTTATTCGACAAAATTGGGGTGGGTATATAGTTATGTGGAGCACTACGTATATACAGTGCTGGCCATAAAGAAATCAATAAGTGAGATTCTAGAAATGGGCATAGAAATCGTTGAAGATTTTTATTAGTCATTCTTGAATACAAATAAGCAAATATTTTATATTCATTTTTTTAATAGGAATTGAATTTTTGTTTTAATTTAAGCGAAAATAATCATTTCAAAGACATTCAATGTGAATAGATTCTAAATTGAACCAGCTCTGCTAATTGTTTTCGAACAGAGAAAATGGGTTGATTGAATCAGTGAAATTTTTTGTAGTGTTAGTGCAAATTAAAAAGAAGAGAATTGAAATTTTGAAATAAAGAAATGTAGTTTCTAGCTATGTTTTTCTTATTTTTGAATTTTATTTGATTTATTTTTAAAATTTTGTGTTACTACATTTCATGATGAAAAAAATTGTAGAAACAAACAGGTGAATTTAATTATCTAATAATTAACAAGAATTCAAATACCGATGATCAACTTTGCTATGCATTGAAAACTGATCGGCTCAAATATTTAAGCTTCTCCTTTCATTTCAAAACAAATTTATAAACCTTCTAAATATGATGATTGTGAGAATTAAAAATCAGAAATAATAATAATATAATTGAGATTTCAATGAGAAACTCGGGCAAAACTGCGAAATTCCTCTAATTTGATGAGCTTTTCCTTCTCGAATTTTCCTTGAATTGACATGTACTTTTTTGACCAACAACAACAACAAATATTTAATTAAAAAAAAATTCGAGAACGGGTTCAAGGATTAAAACGAATTTAAATGAAAAGATTTCTCAAAAAAAAAAAACCAAAGCCGAAGTGAAGAGAAATGAACTTAAAGAGGTGTGAATACAGTACCGCTCAAAAGGTTGGAAACTTTTGGTATTTTGGGCATAACTTGATCGAAAGCGTATGGATCGAGGTGAAACTTTCAGATATATTGATAAATATAATCAGAAGATTATTGGTACGGTAGTCTTATCATACGCAATTATGTGTGAAGTTTTTGTGGGCTTTTTCATTTTTTTTTCAAAAATCACGTTTTTTCAACTTTTTTTTTTTCAAAAGTTTTTTACTATTTTTCTGTGCTTTTTTTGCATGCAGTTATTATTTTTGTAATTTTAGACATGCCCATTATCGAAAAAAAGCGGAACTTGACTGTTGAACAACAACGAGCAATTTACGCAGGGCTTCAAACGGGAGCAACACTGCAGATGTTGGCCGCCCAGTTTGATGTCACAAAATCTTGCATTTTCAAATGTTTGAAAAGATGGAAAACTCAAGGAGGGGTCCCAAAGAAGTACCATATTGGCTGTCCACGCGTGACAGATTGTGCGACTGATAGAAGCATTGTACGAGTCTCCATATTCAACCCGTGAATGACGGCACCGGCGATCCAGCACGAAGTTTTTGCGAATTCTCCGTCGCCTGTTTCGGTATCAACAATCAAACACCGTTTATCAGCGGCAGAATTGTTCGGAAGAATCCCAGTGAAGAAACCGTTCATTTCGGAGAAGAATAGACGACGCCGTGTCGAGTGGGCTAAGCAACTTCTGAATCGGACGCGATTTGACTGCACGGGGGAGGAAATTGCATGAAGGGGGGGGTGCCTTTTCCGGAATAGGCATTGGCCCCCTTCACCATGTGAAAACAATCATGGATCGATTCGTCTATAAGGAGGTCCTGGAAAAGCAGATGTTGCCGCATTTTAAGGCAATGGGTCGTGGTTGTGTTTACCAACATGACAACGACCCAAAGCACACTTCCAAATTTGTGAAATTAAGAAAATTCGCTTTTTTTTTTCTCAAATATTCATCAATTGAGGATTGGTTCGCAAGCCAGCACATTAAGGTTATGGACTGGCAAAGTCAATCCCGAGAGAAGAGTGGCATGCAGAACCGCCACAAATTCGAACGAAAATTCCGACAATTGTAAGAAGAATGGAAAAAGATTCCACTCTCGGTCATCGACAACTTGATCGACTCCATGCCTCGCAGGTGCCAGGCAGTTATTGACTCCCGAGGCTTTGCAACCACGTATTAACCTTATAATTTTAGTTTCCAATGATTTTGTGTTAATAAACTATCCTTCCGATAAAAAAAAACCGACATATGTAAATTGCATATCCAAAAAATGCGTTTTTACGGATTTCTGAAAAAAATTGGTCTAAAATCAATATTTGGTAAGCACGAATCATGTCTAATATTATATCGGCAATTGCGTAAGAAACAATCAGAAAAAAGTTCATGAAAAAAAGTTTGATTTCAAAAAAGTTATGCCCAAAAAACCAAAAGTTTCCAATCTTTTGAGCGATACTGTAAGTATGAGAAAATACACGAAAAAATGCCGGAGGAAAGGTTCCGCGTAAATTGCAACCACACATAAAATTGCTGTCCAATAAATATCGAATAAACTTTTAGTAGAGCGTAATTCACGATGACGTTTTGTTTTTGTAGGCGACACGAAGGAAACTGATGGAAAATCCGCATATGCTAATGACGCATGCGATGTTGAGGATAAATGTGTAGATGCTCAGAAAGTGAGCTTCAAGGATAAGGTAGGCGGATCATTAATCAAATAGCAATATCAACTAGTTATTCCAGATGACTATGATTGATTCCTTTAAGCTAAAGCGGAAAATGGAGGACATAGGAACTCAAAAAGCCTACTCTATGGAATTCTTAAATGAGGTAACAACCTTGATAAAAATATAGTCGGCGTCCGGCGATTGCTGTAAGCGGGTAGTTTACGCGCATGCGCCTTGAAAAGGTCTCGCCACGCGTAAATGCTTATTTTGCTGTTTTCACGTGAACTGCTTGATTTTTCTTGATGATGTTTCGCATTTCCTTGAGTTTCCAACGTCATTCGATTAAAAAATAATCGAATCAGTCCATAAAATTTTATATAACCTGTTAGTCCTTGCGAGACCATTTTGATTGACGCATTCCCGTGAATCTACCCGCGTACAGCAGTCGCCAGACGCCGACTATATATATTTTCGAAATCGCGGTGGCAAAATGCGAGATATGTCCACGCGCGGAGAAGTTGCGTCTGTGTATTAAACGCGGTCAACGCTAAATATGTGTGTCAGGGTAAATCTCCCCGTTTGTTTAAATAATAGTCATGGTAGTTAATAAAATTAATGGATATTATTATTTGATTACAAAAATAATATTTATTCTTAGGTCGATGGAAAAGTAGGTGTGCAGTTGACGGGTGAGGATATTGGAGGCCTCGGCTTCAACATTCAAGGCAACATGAACGAGGGAATTTTTGTGAAAAGCATTATCTCTAAGGGAATTGCTGAGCAATGCGGAAATATTCTGATTGGTACGATATTTTATTACAAGCGAGTTATTCAAATTATTGCTTTAATTCTTAAGGTGATAAGATCAAATCTTTGACAATTAGCTTTGAAAATATGGTGTTCGAAGATGCGGTAACAATTCTTAACTATGCTTCTCCTTACAAGGTCAAGCTTGAGCTTGAGCGGAAGCTCAGTGACAATGCTTCGAATAGTGATAGTGAAGATGGTAGGAGATCGAAAATAAAATCACTAATCCGTGGGAAATAATTACAGAAAAGGAGGTCAGATATCATCCTTTGTTCAGGAGCAACACCTTGACTCATGTTCACTTCAACCCAATTGGATCAGGATCACCGAGGCCTCAACGATGTGCATCAGCGGACTCTAAGCAGAAACATGCGTTGCCCAAGAATGGTACAAAATTTTTTTTAAATATTTGATTAGAGATTTAGTGGCCGATAGTTTTCGAAACAACTTGTGGAGATGGCTGAAAATCGAAACGTTCGTGAGAATATTCTTTCTATGCAATTTTCGTGCTCACGGGTTAGACCCTTTCACAGCTTGAAACGGGGAACGCGGGGTCCCGCTTCATCTGGGACACCTAAAATTTGGGAAATCGGTTCCCGTGAGCACTCGCTGATAAGATTACCTCTAATGATTTGAGTTCGAGTGTTCCGGGAGCTTGGCCACCCCTCCTTGAAGATTTTTTAGTAGATTCTGAACAATTCAATTTAACTAATCCGTTGAGACATTCGAAATACGTTCTAATGGTGTAGGTGCCAAATTTCGGGTGGAATTCGCCAATGCAAGAGATTTTAGATCTTGAGTTTGTCTGGGAAAAAATGACTTTAGAATGTACATCGAATGAATTAAATTTACTGAGTTTGGGTCTTCGTTGATTTATTATCGGCATTTTTCGATGAATTCTTAATCGAGCCATTGACTGTCGCATTATTTTGAACCTTGAAGTTATAACTCAGCGATTCGATGAGCGGTCGCCCCCATCAAATCTTTTTTAGTTTAGGATAAAATTTTGAGTTCTAGAACATTTTGGGACAAGCAGGGGAAAAATTCAACTATTCGAAAGTCGAAACAAAAGTCGCGCACGGTTTAACTCGAGAGTCTAAATTGATGGCGGCGTGTAATTGGAGGGTCGTACTGGCAGTGTTTAAAAAAAATTGGAACGAACAGCGACACCTTGAGTGAACTTCCCTGGTGTCAAACTATTTATACAGTACTGACCATAATGATGTTCGCCTAGTGTTTTTTGAGCATACGCAGCCGATCGGGCTGAAATTTTTACCATATCTTTAAAACGCGTTTAAAATGCATTTGAATGATATTGCATACTGCAGGAAAGTTTTTTTTCGAAAAATCACAAATTTCATAAAAATGCAGAAAATGGAAAAAAAATGACACAATGTGATTTGAAAGTCTCAGAAACCCGAAAACATTACAAATGTGTAGAAAACCGGTTTTAAATTTATCAATACTTGTTTGCGTATCCCTTGGCATCAATAATCGCTTGTCATCTGCGAGGCATCGAGTACAAGAGAGTGCGGATCACTGCATCGGAATGGCACTATATGCTGCTTCGAATTGAGAGAACTTCTCGCCGGCGATTGATGCTCGGAGCCTTCTAACCATGCGTACCAGTTCTTCCCTGAGATGTTCGATTGGATTATGATCAGGAATCTGTGGTGGCCATGCAAGAACATCAACTCGGCGACGTTGGAACCAATTCTTTACATGTCCAGACGTGTGCTTAGAGTCGTTGTCTTGCTGGAAAACGAATGCACGTCCGACGTTTGTCAATGCCCAAGGTCTTATTGTGGTTTCCAGGATATCTTTGTGCTGGTACCGATCCATGATTCCATTTACACGTCGGAGCGGCGGTGTCGGAGAGACAGTCTCAGACCCTGCAAGATGCTTCAACGTTCGGAGCTTGTACTTTGGCATGAATCTGGCTCCAATAGGTTGACGAATTCACTTGATTTCATCAGTTTCGAACAAGTTGAACTTCGATTCATCGCTCCAGATGTGTTTGGCCCATTCACATCATCCCCTGTTCAGATGATCCTTGCACCATGCCATCCTCGTCATTTGGTTCTTCTCACTGATTGGGGGATGGCATTGAAGCATTTGGCGTTGCCACAAGCATCTGGACATCTGCTTAAGTCCGTCTAGGATCTTCCTTCGAAGCACGGCAAATGTTCCGATCTTGGAGCCTAGTGGTTTTGCGAGGTCCACTGTGTGATTTGTTGACAAAAATGCAGCGCTATAAATTAGAAATAGTCCAGAACGAATAAAAAATCGTAAATTTTGTCTTAATCGTTGCGAAACTTTTTGGATTCCTCTTCGGGAGTACAGGAACTGCTGAGCCAGAGAGCTTCTGGATGACCCAGTCTTATGCCCGTTGACGCTCGCTTTTTGAACTTCCGCCGTGAAATTTTTCTTTCCAGAAGGTTGAAAAATTACTAAAAACATGTTTCAAGTTTAAATTTCAAATAAAAAAATTTTTATGGACAAAGTTTGAAAAAAAAAAATGAAAAATTGGTAAAATCGAAAAAAAAACAAAAAAAAATTGAAAAAAAAAATTAATTTTTCAACATGATGTAATTTTGTTGTTATCAAGGTTGCACAGTTGTGTTTAGCGTTTACAGTAAAAATTTCAGCCTAATCGGCCGCGTTTGTGCCAAGTTATGCTAAAAAAACACTAGGCGAACATCATTATGGAACATCATTATTCTTTAAGAATTTCTGAGTTTTTAAGTTAAATCAAGTATTTCATCTACCGAATCTCCAACGTTTTGGGTCGTTGCTTCCTTCTTGTCACGCTTTGATCTACCCTTTCTCAAGGATTTATCAACCTTACTATCCACCAATTCTGAATTCAAGATTATTATCAAAAGAAGCTTCAGTCTTATCCTACTCCACTCTCTAGCAGTTTTCGTACTGCTATCCAAATTCTCCATGTGAACAGGCTAAAAGATTAATTTAGATGAAATTGCTAATTTGAAAAATACTGTTCGTATTGAATTTCCGACAACTCTAACCGGACACTTTGTCTCTTTTTTGGTGCATAGTATGAATGGAACTACCTGAATTAGATAAATAAAAATAAAATTACGCTCTTACTTACAATTAAAACGAAGGAATTAAGTATATAAAACGCAATATAATCGAACATAATGGTAGAAATGAAAACAGTTCGCTTCTGGCCAGCGATCACATAAAAATAATTATTTTTTCGAAATGTGAAACTGGAACACGCATTGGTTTTCAGAACAAGTACCACCTCAACCGGATTCAACTACCGCGGAAGATAAATCGGAAATTAGCGGTGAGCCTTGTAGTTTACAATTATTTCAATTAGAAAAAAAAACACTTATTTATAATTTTTAGGATCCGGCAAGGATGGAGATATCAGTCGCCTGGAGAGCAGCGACTATGGAAGTGATGGAACATCGGATTGTAGAGAGAGCACAGCTAGCGCGGAGTCACAGAAAACAATAAGTGATCGCATTGAGGTTAATTTAGAGATTTCGAACGCATAAAGTCAATTTTTACAGATTACTGACATTATATTTGATAAGGTCAACTCGCCGACTCCACCACCTTCTCGCAAGTTGGAACAATGCAATGAGCTTCCGCCAAAGCCTAAAAAAGTTGTTTCAAGAGTTAGTTGTTTGGAAGTTTGATTATTTGATAGTAATCGTTATTCAGTCTCCATCTCCAAAGCATAAACCACCTCCGTCGCCAAAAATCAATCGCTCTTCTAGCCCACAAAAGACAGTTCAAATCGAGGATTCTACTCAAACACCGAAGTTTGTTGCGGAATCAAAGCCAACTCAAACTGATTTGGCTCCAGTTCCACCTCCAGTCAGTTCGATCCCAGTGAGAAAGGTTATTGAAGAGAAGACCTCTTCTCCTAAACTGGTCAGTATTCTGTTCCCTATTAAAATATATTATTCTATTCAGATCAGGAAGGCTAATCTATTACCATCCCCTGTTCCGAATGCGGCTACTGCATCTATCCCACTCCCAGTTCCTGTAATGGAAGAGCAGAAAGGTCCAGAAATCACTGATGCGCGGATTTCAAGAATCCCAAAGCGCTCGGACAGCATCAAAACGAATGTGGTTGAAAGGAAGCTGCCCGCGTTACCGAAGAGCGTTACGCAGCGGAGTCACAGTGCAGATAAAGTTTGGATTTATTATTTTCAATTTCAGTAATTTACTGGTATTATAGAGTGATAATGTGTGGAGCAGGTTGTACCAGGAAAAAAAGGGACAGCTTAGGAAAACGCGAGATGTCTCATCTCCACCAACTGCCCATATCTCGGCAATTCCAACTCTAAATAAAGCACCAAAGGTTCCAGATGACAAGTAAACCAATAAGTTAAAGCATCCACTCATTTTCTTTTTCAGATACGGAACGTTGACAAGAGAAAAGAGGGACAGACTAATGGCAAATGATGCGGAACTCGAAAGGCAGCGGGAAGAGCTGAGAAAGCTGGGAATTCTCTAGAAAGATGCATCTCCTACACTGTTTTTTTTTTTCGATCTGTGATTTTATCCGAATTTATTTAGTTCATACTCTTTCTTATTTTCCATAGACAGCATTTCCGGATGTTTTTTTTCTTGCCACACACCTTCTCCAAATCTTATATTTATTATTATTTTCTGTACATAAAATTGGTTTTTTGCGAATAAATTATGAGTTATTTGATTCTCTGTGCCCGCCTGAATAAGAATTTTCCAGCTTTTTGAATGACTGAGAAATTTTCTTACGTGCGTTTGTAAATTGGTTCAATGATTTTCTCGCCGAAGACAATAAATAATGTTGCGATTATTGTGTTAAACATAATCAAACTTATTGACAGGCTATAAAATAGTTCGACAGAGTATGTAGTACTGCAACAACGAAATTATTTAAAATCTTTTAACACAATTACCTGTAGCATCTGCATTGTTTGATATATTTTGAACCCAAAAATATGCTTCGAATTACTGGATTTGTTGTTTCGTTCAAAGCAATTAACATTCTTTATCCTGATATAATAGAAATGACAACTTTATTCACGCTAAATTTAGATTTAAAAAGTTGTGAACGATAGAGGTGCAAAAGTGCGTTTCGGTGTGTTACACACATTTCCTCTTTTAAATGAAATTTAGGCAATCCGAACGGAAGGTATGGCGTAGTTCTCGCGTTTTGGACAAACAGAGGAGTGTTTTCTGCCGCTTAATAATGAATTATCTATCATATTCGATAAATTTTTTAAACCATATTTTCAAATCGAGTTTGACACTTTCTCAATTGAATTCAACAATCGTTTCTGGTTTATTCATATTTATATATTTTTCAAATTCGATTGATTGAAATTTACAACTTCGTTTTTTGACGATCAGTTCTGATTTTTTGTTTTCATTGTTTAGCTATATTAAATCGTTCGTTCACTTGACGTTTTTCAATGTTTCTCATTTTCAGATCAAAAGGATGAATATTCCTAGTATGAGTGTCATAGATCCCTCACTTGAATTAATCGATCCAACACCAGATATTCATGATTTATTTATGGAATTTAATACTAGGTGAGTAAGATTTTTATTTTAAATTATAATATTGTAGACGTCACGCGACTAGAAAATTGGCAAAATGCCAAAAAAACTGACCGTGCTCAAGAAAATCAAATAAAATATTTTGAGAATCAAATATTCAATAATAAACTCTAAAATATTTTGAGAAATTCTAAAGTTTATTGATACTTTCTAAAACTTATTTAGAATCGCTAAACTTAAAAATATTTTTTTTAATCTTATAAGATTTTCTAAAATTTATTGAGCATATTCTAAATTATCTCAATAAATTCTAAAATCTTATAATAATTTCTAAAGCTGTTTGAGAAAAATCTAAAATATTATAGAGGCACGTTAGTTTCTCAATATATCTCAAAATATTTTATTTGATTTACCTGAGTGCGGGGTATGCGCTTTATAAAATGTTTTTTTTTTTTCAAAAAATTCTTACATAGGAAATATCATAATTTTTTAAAACATTTCTTATTGCATGTATACGTCCGTAATTTGTTATGCTTAGCCCGAAAATCTACACTTTTATTTTTCGTAATGTGGTTGATTTACAGATTTTTCGGAGGAGCATTAGCGTGCTGCGAAGTGAAATGGAGTCCAAGAATGTACAGGTTGCACATTGTTCTATTATTTGTTTACATAAATTTAGTTGTGCCGGGATTTGTTCCTATGAAGTTCGCGGTGGGCGCGGTGGCTTGTGCTCAATCCGGTTGAGCAAACCACTCCTGACACTCAGACCTAGAAAGGATTTAGTGGAAACTTTGTTGGTGAGTTTCTTAAAATTCCAATAAAGTAGACTTATTGAATTGTAGCACGAAATGATTCACGCCTTCTTATTTGTAAAGGAGAGAAATCGTGATAGAGATGGGCACGGGCCACATTTTCAATCTCATATGCACCGGTAAGAAGTTTAGAGGACATGGAAACAAAAACCTCATCGTTTTTACCAGAATTAACAAAGAAGCGGGCACGAACATCACCATTTATCACAGTTTTCATCAAGAAGTTGCTATGTACAAAACACATTGGTGGAGGTTAATTCTAAAGTCAAATTTGTTACAGTCGCAAAAAAAACGCGGTTACCCCAACTCTTCAAATCGAAATTTGAATTTCCAAAAAAAAAAAACTAAAAATAAAAATTTGGTCTTGCACGCTTTTACGCGTTCGCTGCGTATCAAGCCTATGCAAAACCGCAAAATATTACCATCGCCAAAAATGAGCGTCTTGAATAATTGTGAACTATCGCACTTTTTCGTTGCGGCGGTAATTGAAATTTCGACATAATCAGGGGGAATTTGGGAATAGCACTCTGGATAACCTGCGTGACTAATTTATCGTAAATCGAAACAGGGCGCTTTTTTTAATATCCGACAGTTGCTTGTCTTCGACAATACTACGTTCTGACTGTTTTTATCTCAATTATACAAAACATTAGTTTTATATTATTTTAAGGGACAATTGATTTATTTGAGCAGAGTCACGTACGAGACACGATTGTAAATCTATTCAAGAAATGTGTATTTTTTTCATTTTTTTAGTGCATAGATAGGTCTTTACTTAAAAGCGAGTTTCGCACAATTTTAGCTATAATATTTAAAAAAGCGAATAGAATTTTTGAATTTTAAGTAGTCTTTTTCTGAAAATAAACCCCGTTGTTTCATCGTTAGTATTATCATAAATATCAATTCAAACTTTGTAAATTCGTCTACGACCTAATTTAAAGAATTTTTGAATTAACGCACGAAGCTCTTTCTTTAAAAAATTTTAAAATAAATGATGATTTGGACTACCTTAATCCGAATTAAATGATAAAGCAGAATATCGCTGTTAAAAATGTAAAGCGCTAGGAAAATCAAGTACCTGTGCTCATAAGAATGTTATTTTAGTAAATGGAATATGACTACGTTTTAATTATTAAAATTTCACGTGATTAAAACCAAATATTCATGTAATTATAATTAAAGGGCCAACGTAAAAATAGAATTAGAAAAAACAATGCAACTTTTTTTGGTATTTAAAATAAAATATTCACGGTCAATTTTAATCGTGTTTCAAAATTTCCTTATAAGTGAAATCATCAGGTGTAACGGTATGTGCAAGAATAAGCGACCGTTTTATGGATATGTTAAGCGCTCAAGTAACCGTGAACCAGGTCCGAACGATTTGTGGTGGGCTCAGCATCAAGCAAGCTGTGGGGGTACATATTACTATACGTTTGTATCTACAAATTGCTAAATTTTTTCAGGAAAATTCATCAAAATCAAAGAGCCGGAAAGTTATGGTCAGAAGAAAAAACGAAGCAAAGAACCAGTGAAAAATTTCTCACCTCCTGTTCAAAAGAATACGTTAGATAATTATTATGTGGCAGCTGGAAAACCAACGAGGAATAGTAAAACTACTCTAACGAAGGTTTTGAATAAGAAAAAGGACCTTGTGATATTCGGTGGAACTGGAAAAAAGCTGGGAGGAGATAGGACTGCGCAAAGCGTAGTATCTGATCGTCTTCCGAAATCAAACGACCTTCCGAGAAAGCACAATCCAACGAAGATTGAGGTCATTGTACTTGACGACAGTGATGAGGAACGAAGTTCAAGCTCTCAAACTAAAATGATTAAAAAATCTGATGCAAAGAAATCAGGTTTATTTATTGCATAAAAAATGATTTATTTTTCTTATTTAGATTCTCCTGAAATTTATGTCGATTGCGATGATCTTGAAGTTTCTTTCGTTGTTCCTGGTTTGCCAGGTAGTGCGCAAATGATCATATGCCCATCTTGTAACACAGAAGTAGCTGAGGAGCTTATAAATGCCCATTTGGACAATTGCCTCGCCTGAAAAATTAACTAATTTACTTACCAATGAGCTCTTGTATTATTTTTATCATTCTACTGGTTTAGTCTATTTGCGCGGCTTTCAATAAATGCCCTCTTTCTCATTAATTCAGTTCACTTCTTGTTTATTGATTTATAATTGATGAGAAATATATGATTGAATCGCTGATTAGCTCAAAGATTTATTTTTAGAGAGTTATCCTCAAATTCTGAAGTTTTTAGTAATCACAAAATTGAAATACTCTATATTTAGCGACAACGACGCTAAAATAGGTTCGTTTAATGTGTCAAATACTGAACACTGACACGTTTCGCGACGCTGGCGCATTTCTCGCATCTTCATTTTTCATTAACTTCTCGTGACAGCTTTTTCTAAAGTTGAAAAAGAGATTTTTTCTCATTGATTTTAGTCCATTTTCATTACACCTTGCTTAAACTAAAAAAATTTGGACAGCACGAAAGTATCTTTTGGAAAATTCATCGCTCCTGTAGTGATTTCTGACCAAGTTCATACTGATTTTTGGAAATTATTTTCTAAATTAAATTACTTGATTGACGTGTAGTAAACAGATTGATATACGGTCATGCTCTTGTCGCTATAGTATCGCACTGCCCTAGTTATTTTGCTTTCAAAAAAATTTAGTGAGATGAGGAATTTAGTAAAATCAACATATGGTATACTTGAATTTTTTATCGTTGCAACAAGGACTAAAATTTTACAAAAAGTTTAAAGACCCAATTTTGACCGGATTCCGCCATCTCCGCTGCTCTTTTTCGGCTCCATGTGTCTCTGGCGTAGCCGTCTTCTAAGTTCTGGTCGTTTTTAATTTCAAACTCAGCAAACCGTTCTGTACAAACCGCGGTGAATGTAGATTTCATTGGATCATCGATTATCTGAGAAAGCGTGTGATTTTGAGAAACGAAAACATTTGTTTTCACCGCCGTTTAACCAAATCTCGTGTTTGTGCGCCATTTCTACGATACGATTTGTTGAGAAAACGTTATGGACCTATTCATGAAATGTACTTTTTTTACAAAAAAAAATTTAGAAAATTACTTTAATAATTACATTAAGCTTTTACAACCCTGCATTGTAAAAATGAGTATTTTTTTTACATATATTTATTGCATGAATTGGCCAATTTGAAGTTCAATAAAATAACAAACTTGCCAAGAAAAAAATAAACATCATTTTTTTTTATCTCGAGCCAAAATAACACATCAAATATGATAAGATCATACAGAAACACGAATTCAGAGAATACAGCAATAACCACCTGACTCTCTGCAACTCTGACAATATTGAATTTTCTTTATATTATTTGTGGCAACTCTTATGGACCTATTCATGCAACGAAAAAAATTTAAAAAAAATCAATGTTTTTCATTTGAATTCCCTATGCATGCAAGCTGAAAATTACAAAAAATTGACGCGATATATCGTAATTCTCCGCTATTTATTTTCAAAGGCCCACGCGATAAGTTGCGCAGGTCACGTCGCGAAGTCAGTACTGTATTTTTTTAATGGCTGTTTTTTTTTTAAATTTTTTATTCTTTGAGCGTTTAAAACTTTTTTTTTGAAAATCTGTAAAAGTATTTTGTTTAATCAACGCTGTTCATAAGAAGCGTCGAGCGAAGACTGCATCAACTCAACACAAATATATATGATATCACAATTTTTCATGATAATTAGTATCTAAATGACAAAAAGTAGACAAATATTGTCGAATTAGGTACTTATACCAATAATTGTTTTTTTTTCCACATTCTTCAATCCATTTCCTTTTCAAAGTTTTTGAAAAATACGGAAAAATAGCACACAAAATGAATGATAAAAAATACAGTACCGACTTCGCGACGTGACCTGCGCAACTTTTCGCGTGGGCCTTTGAAAATAAATAACGGAGAATTACGATATATCGCGTCAATTTTTTGTAATTTTCGACTTACGGGCATAGGGAATTCAGATGAAAAAAATTGTTTTTTTTTTTTTCATTGCATGAATAGGTCCATTAGTATATATTACGATATTGATAACATTTCAGTAATATCAATGGACGAAGGGAAAACGAATCACGAAGGTCGCTCTCGACTGTACAAGTCAAATGGTTTATTTTTTCAACGGTTTTTCATGGTATTTTACAATTTTTACAGGTTTTCATGACGATTTTCGAAGAAAACGGCGTGATGACGGAATTCAAATACGAAAACAAAAACGGATGGACATCTTCGAGAATCGGAGGAAAATTTCACAAAATTTCGCTGATAATGACGAGCAAGCCAATCCAATGATCATTGAAATTATGAATATGCTAAAATGCGGGGATAAACAACGAGAAACCGCTTCAATCAAGGAAATGGCGACCAAAATGGGTATTAATGAAATTTCCTTAAAAGATTTGTGTGGGAGTGACGTTCTTTCTACATTGGCTGAAATGTTTTGTAATCGGTTCGACTAAAATAATTTTTATATTGAATAATTTTTCATTTAAGGCCAAAGGATGATCCAATGCGATCAATCATTGTAGATTTTTTCCAATTTTGTTCCAGAAATGCAAATGATGGGGCACCATTGGATCATCTTGCCATTGAATCGCTCTGCATGATGCTATTGTACGTCGAGCCAAGGCTCAATTACCAGAAAAATAGACCTATCTTTCCAGTGAATACATTTCGGACACAGTTCTATGCGATACAGCTCAAGCTTTATCAGTTTTCATTAGCAGTTCTCCCGGGTTCCGCAACATTGCATTGGATAAGGCGATTGTTCCTGGAGTGCTTACTGCATATGAAAGAGGGCAAATATATTTTCATGAAATTCTTTAAAATTGAATGATTTTTTAAAGAAGTGATAAATTGAAGAGATGTTTAATGTGGACCGTCACTCATCTAATTCACAACCTACATGAATACAGTCCCCACGTTGAAGAGGTTTTAAATCCAGAGGGCTTTTTATTATTCAAGTTTAACAGGTCTCTCCACTAATTGAAATTATCTCGTCTGGTATGCAAGCCGTCAATAGATCTTTGCAAAATGACGCAGCTCGTGCTTGCGCGCTTCTGATTGAATGGCCGGAAATTTGGGATGTATGTTATCAGTTTTCAAAACCATTTTCTTATTTCTACGTGTACTTATAAAATCTCCAGCAAAATTCCCATATTTAATAGTTTGAACTCGCAAAAAATTAGAAAACTTTTTGAGGTCGAAAGACGTACTAAATTCGGATAATCCAGGGCTTATCTACAGGAAATCCATACAAGCAATCTGCTTCCATTGCTGGTCGGCTCATTAGCTTCAACGCAAAGGGATAATCAATTCACTATTCTGCGGGCAATCGACTTTATAACGCAAACGACTCCAAAATTCACGAGGGGTTTGCGATTTAATATTAAATAATTTGAAAATTGTGTTTTTAGTATTGATTGACGCTGGACTTCTTGAAAATTTCATGCATTTGATTAACTGTCGCGGATTATCCAGAGATATTTGCTTCATTTTGTCTAATCTTGCCGCTGAAGGGGAGGGAATTATCGATGTAACCTATTTAGTCAAGAAACGAGAAAATAAGGAGTATTTCAGATGATGATTACAACAAACCTCCTCAGAAGTGTAGTAAGAATTATGGAAACAGCAGAATATTCCACTAGAAAAGAAGAATGCCAACATTTTTTTTAAATCTAAAAATGTATATTATATTTCAGGCTGCCTTCACATTATCACACTGTTGCCAATCTGCCAAAAGAAGTCATATCGCGTATATTTTGGAAATTGATGCCCTGCCGCCATTCACTGATATGCTTACATGTATGGATGCTGAGCTTGTTCTTTATGTAAGTTGAATTTTTTGATTGACTAGAGGAATAAATAATTATTCATCTTAGATTCTCGATGCTATAGAAGCGCTGTTACAGTATGGTGAACATAATTTAGTCCCAGGTATTTTTTCTATTAAAATTTCATTTCGACATAATAGCTTTAGAATCCACTAATCCTGTGTCAGTTCAACTTGAAGAGATTGGATGTCGCGAAAAGCTTGAATTTTTGTCGCAAAGCCAAAATATGGAGATTCATATTAAAGCTTACGCGATTTTGGAGAGGTGGGGTTTTTGGTATTTTCTTAATTTTATGTATATGTTGTCGGTTTCAAGCGACTGATGGGAATTTCGTTTGAAACCGACAATTTTGCGGCGACTGCTGAAATCTGTCTTACGGGTGCTCTTTTCGCTATGGTCTCGTTAGATGATTGTGTATTTTGTTATCTTCGCGTGTATTAATTTTTTTTAAGTTTTTCATTTCCTAGGATTTCAATTTATGATGTCAATGATAAACCAATTAGTCTTTGCGAAGCCTTAGTGAAAGACGCGTACTCAGCATTCACCGGACGCCGACCATAATACACTTTTAAAAAATTGGCTTCTAGATTTTTCGATGATGACGAAATAGTGCAGTATACAGCTTCTAAGCAAGAAGTTCGAAATTCTGTTGATCAGACGATTAATTCCATAATTACCCAAATATCTATTGATAACTCTCACATGTGAAAATCAATTTCTTTGTTGGTGAATTTTTAAAATTCCGTTGATTGTCGTTGAATTCGATGAATGCCGTATTGAACTTCCAGATTCTTGACTGTGTTTCACATCAACTCAAAGTTGTTAATGTATTTAAGATGTTCTATTTTTTTTTTGGCGTTGCGCCATGACGGAACATTGGCTAGCTAACAAAAAATACTATAGGCTCGAAGGTGACGCGAAATCGTGTGAATTTAAATTCGAATAAACTAAAGTTGCACACTACAGCGCTCCTAGTCCTTTCAATTATTCAACATTTAGCCTATTTTTCCAATTTAGCGCGACGCCGACAATGTATTTGAAACAGTTTTTGTTTCCCTTTCCCCGGTTTTTACCACTTGTTTCCTCCCCGTATTTTCTTTCTTTGCCCTCAACCATCGCCAATTGTCATTGCTAACCAACAAATGCATGTCGTATTTCTTTCCATAAAATGTTTAACCATTTACTCTTTGCTCATTTTTCGCCAAGCTCAGTTGTTATATCTGATAGGTACTTTTGGAAAAAAAGTCGTTGTGCTAGAATTTTTGAATTTTGGGATACGGCGTGCCTAAAAATAGTTTTTTAAATTGAGGTTTGAATTTCTGCAAAACAAAAGATGCAGGTCAAAACTGTTTTGATCCTATAAAGTTATTTCTCTATCAAAGTGGTGTTTTCTCGCTGGTCGTACAGTGTCGTTTGTTTGAACTCTAGAGCACGACTCAAACAACCAAACAGGTCGCAATTTTTCATTCGCTCTCAAACTTTTTTTTTTCAGGAGCCTCTAGTTAACCGGACGGGTATGTGTGTTGTTTGAACAAGTCTAATAATGTTCCCACCGTATGCTTACTCGATTTTCTATGGCGTCATTGTGGCGTCTGTCGTACTCATCGTCGTTTCTGTTCAGAAAACGCATCTGGAGATTCAGGCGCACAATGAGTGTGAAATGACTTACATTTATAGGCCAATGAATTATATAGTAAGTTGTTAGTTGAATAAATAAACTCCTTGTAGTGTATAAACAATTTTTCAGCCATTTAATGTTACGCTAACCCATAAACTACGTTACGAATATGGCTTATTCCTGTACAATGAGGGGATGCATATGCTGCATAACACGTGGGATATCCATATTTCGTATATTTTCAAGCCCTTTCTTTTCAGAGAATTCCTTCCCAATGATATTCCGGTGCTTTTTATACCAGGAAGTGGCGGTTCGGTGAAGCAAGTGCGATCCATGGCATCGGTTATGCAGAACAAGACCGAGTCTAGGAGTCTTCCTGTTCGATATCGATTTTTTGCTGTAGATTTCAAAGAGGTTTGAAATTTATCAATTCATTCATTCAAATATCAATTATAGCAATTATCATTTGGTTCCTCTGCAGTTTTAGAATATCAAACGTATTTTGTGATTGACGCAATGAAAACTATTGCAAATATCACGAAATGTAAGAAGGTTTAAAGTTTATGCATATTTCACAAGTCGATGTTTTATTTTTATTGAAGATGGTCTTATTCGGACACTCTTTTGGCGGTTTTGTGGCAATGTACGCATTCACAAATCGGAATTTTCCGACGAAACTCGTAGATTTGGTCATCCTAAAAGCCACGCCCCTTTCGGCTCCTCGTAAGTAGTTAGAAGAATTTTGATTGAAAACTACTCTTAAAATGCTTTCAGCAATTATGGTCGATACTTATATGCTTGGCATGTACAATAGAATGCAAGAGTATTGGTTAAAAAATGGCATGTCGAAAGAACATGATGTTGCTGTCGCTTCGTTTAATGGCGGAATGCGTGATTACGTTATTCCTCATAATTCGACCTATATGAGGAATGTAAGATTTTAAATCCTTACCTTTATTAACCTTTATTACCTTTTAAGCCTTTGCTAGCTAATCTTAAGATAAATATTCAGATTATTAATGTCGATGTTAGCTTAATCGAAGGAGTCTCGGATTTTGGAACTGATCATTTAGCAATTTTATGGTGTAATCAAGTAGTAAGGTATATATGGAGATATCGATTTTTAAAACTATTTATCAAGTTCATACACTCAGATTTATAAATATCTTTTAGGCATGTTACGAGAATAATGGAACTTTACATCCAACAATATATGAACAAGAATTTTAATTCCAATATTGAAATGCTCGGTCATTTCTACATAAAAGACGTAAGAAAGGTCTCTCATAATTCATTAGCCCAGCTTTCAGCGACATACTAAACGAGAAAAATATAACATTCTTAAATTCGGAGAGAGAACCACGGGTGTGCCGATTAAACTCCCTGTTAATGGGCGGCTTGAGAAGCAGACAATTATGGTATTTATATTATTTTTGAGTGGAATCAAAGCTTAATTAGTTTTACAGCGAAAATTTGGCGCGTTCTTTGTGATCCAATCGCATAATGAAAACTCTATGTTCATTGAAGTCGTCAGCAATTGTGGTACATTAACTAAATAATTATCCTGATCTACGTAATCCGATAATTATAGTCTCATCAGCGGTTTATATGCGCGGCAATGGCTTTTTCCCGAAAAAGTTGAATCGCGCCAAGAACTTGTCAAGCTTTAAGATTTTCATTCAACAACCGCAGTCTAACGACTTCATTCATGTGGTGATTCGTGGCCCGATTGGTTGTGATTTTGATATTTCGACGAGAACCACCGATACGTCCTACTGGAAGTGGTATGAGGTAAAGCACCTCAAATTATAACATACATTTATGGAAATCGCAATTTTACAATTTTAATTTAAGGGCATTTTTCGGAATACATCCCTTCTTGCATCATCCTTCATCCTTTATTGTATGCGATTTATTGTTTATGAACGATCAATACAGATTCGTGATCCGATCAATTCGCTGCTAACATTAGCAAGGTAAAGATCATCTTTTGGCTTAAATCACAATCATGTTCTATTTAGTCTTCCACCGTTAGTTATCATCTTTTCTAATGGAGGTCTGCTACAGGAGATAACCCCTGTTGTGCTTGGAGCCCTCTTCGCAACATTCTATTGGTTGTTTGCATGTTTCTTGGGAAGATACTTCACCAAGATAAACCGAGTGTAAGCTACAAGCAAAATAATTATTATTAACTCTATATTTTAAGAATTTCTTACCAGCTACGAAGGTTCTGGTTTTGGAAATGCCCGATACTTTTTGTTGGTTCCTTCTTCCCTTACGTTAATAGTTTTTTGGCAGCTATTTATCTGTCATTGGTGTGTTTGTGTTTCACAAAATTAATTTAAGTTTGCTACATTTCAGACAATAAACTTCAAGTGTCTCATGCTATCGATACCTATCTCACTTCCTCTACTTCTGCATACTTACTACACTTTTACAACCATAAATCCAGCTGATCAAGTCCAAACTGAATACGACTTCTTCAGTGCTTTCGGCTTCATCATCCCTGTGCTATTCATGAATGCCTCGAAACATGAGATTCCTAGTCAGGGCCTGCGAGGTGTATTCTATTTCTTTTTGATTGTTGAGGTTTTGCACCAACGTTTACCGGTGGAAACAATTTCATTATCATGTGTTTATATACTTGTATATTTAACTTATTTAAAACGGAATTAAAACGTTCATTATGTGGTATTAATTTGTTGTGATTGATCTCTTGTAATAAACTCAGTTCATAATATCTTAAGTAAGATGATTTATGAAAGGTTTTAGAACCTTTAAAAATATTTTATTCCTAGACTTTAAAATTTTAAAAATAATATTGGAATGATTTTAGGGGGAAAATGAGCGATGAAAGTGATTACGAGGTATGGTATTATTCAGATACTTACAAGCTTCATGAAGAATTTAACGCCGTTTCCGTAGAATATTTGAACATTGATTGTTTTTTACGAGAAAAGGAAGAAAAAAATTAACTTAATTCCAGGACGATGGCGCAATGTCGGATTGTCGCAGTGACGATCCGAAAAAGCACGCTCGGGAGCAGCACAATGCTTTAGAACGGCGTCGCCGGGACAACATCAAAGATATGTACGCGTGCTTGAGAGAAGTTGTTCCAGAGGCAAATTCTGAAAGGGTACTATTTGGTCATAAAAAAAAACTTTAAAAAAGGAAATAGTCGTTTCAGGCTTCACGTGCAGTAATTCTCAAAAAATCCATTGAGTCGATACAAAGTAAACAAGCTATTAAGCAGCAGCTCACGGAAGATATTCAAGAGCTCACTGAGGAAAATGCTAAACTGCAAGATCAGGTGTGTATCTACTGGTGGTGTTTCAACCAATAGGAATAATATTTAGCGACATGCAAATAAGTCGAATTAGTGATTTTTTGGGTTAAACTATACAAATACGTGTTTACCTTGGGTAAAAATAGAAATTTTACAAACACTGAATAGATATATAAGGAATCGAACTCGAACCAAATTTTTATCCCTATTGCATGCCAAACGTCGACGGGGTAGAGTTAATCCTGCGCAATTGTCATCGTTTTTATTATTCTACAGAAGCAATGCAGTCTGTAGTTCTCGATAAGCTGTACTCTGTTGTAATTATGGAGATCTAGCGAAACTGGAAAATTCCAACGATCTTTTTCTTTCAAAATATTTTCAGATAGTCGCCCTTCGAGCGCAATTGGAAAAGAAGCAAGATGACTAAATGAGAACACAATGTATTGAATCATTCCAAATCACGAACAAAGTATATGTCATTTGCAACCCAATATGTAAATAATCCAGCAAATAATAAATGAAGAATTTGGTGCAATTTTCGTAACTACACATTCAGAAACTCTGTATGGATGCTCGGAAGGTGAGAGGGCCACGGATTGGTAACAACGAAAATAAACTGTTGGGGATTATCGGCTAATCCACGGGCCCGGAACGTCCACCCGTTTGTCCTATATCGCTTCGATATCTTGGCGCTGAAAGTAAGAATGCAAAAGTAATAGTCGAAGCGACTTTTCGCCGTTTTGTTTGTCCAACCTATTTTTCGTGTGCCCTCCATTTTAAATGTTTTGACGATTTTCATTTTTGAATATATGTTTACCTTTACTAAAGGTATAGATATGTAAAATCTTCATATGCGTCTGTGGGAATCGATTTTTCCTTTTAACATTTTATGACACATTTTATAAAGTGATTTAGAAAACAACTGCATCTCTGTCAAATTTTTTGAATTGAGGTCACTGGTGTTAGTTGTGGGAATTCAAAGTAATAATTTGATTTTTCTAACCTAGCTGCCTGATCACAAAATGACAAATTTCGCACTATAGCACAAAGCGTAATTCCAGGTCAGCGAAACAAAAGAAAAGTGGGCACATGGCTTCTAGATTCATTCATTGAAAACATATTTCCCTGAAACCGGAGCAAAAATTGGCGTACATTTTTATTGGTGATTTACATATCCAAATCGTTCCCCTTGAGACTTCGTTTTTCTTTTCCAATTTATTAGAGATATTTTTACGAAGGTTTTTTATATAAAATTGTTCCGTTCCCCAGTAAGGTGAACAATTTTTAAAACGTCGTCTGTTTTGAGGCCAAATCGTGTCGCGCTGTTTCTCATTCATATCCTTTACGGTTATCCAGTACATGAATTAGTGTACACACCATTTGAATCGCCTTCGAGCAATAAAGAAAAAGGGAAAGAGCGGCGACCTCTGATGATGCGCTTGATAATTGGTAATTGAATCGGAAAATTATTACAAAACGGCAACTTGCGATAATGGGCGGAGCCTTATTGTTCCAATTGTTCCACACTATTATTTTCCAGAATCCAAAATGCGTCGGATAGTAGTCGTCAAGTTTTTCCTAGTTCTGCTAGGATTTGGTAATTCTTTGAAATAAATATTTTAGTGTATTAAAATGGTATTCACTTTAGCTTCCTGCTGTCAACCACCATTACCATTGGGATATCAAACAAATGTATTACCATTAACTGCTCCAAGTCCTCTGCAGTACGGTCCAACAAATGGATTCGGTATGCTTTAATAAGTTTCGAGTATAAAAAATTCGCATACATTTGTTAGCTTCCGGAATCCCAATCGACCAATCCGCGCCGATTCCTCCTCCACCTCCACCTGTAACTCCGCAGATTTCTGATTATGATGGCCAATTAGAACCAATCAATGCAAAAGCTCACAATTCAGAGGTATCCTCTTTAGAGAGAATTTCCAAAGAATTTCAAACCTTTTCAGAAGATAACACCGTATCCGGGGTATATTCCACCACCTCCAGCGGCGTCAACATTCCCGACACTGATTAATAATAAGGATGTTCCTGTAAGTCAACATTGTGTACTGAAATAAAAGAAATCGAACACATAAAACTATATAAATTTTAACCATTAGGAATTTCATTAATTTCCATCGGTGTTTTATTACAGAGATTGGAAAAAGCTCTCATTTAATGTACTGTATTTACATTAAATGGATTTTAAAAATTATGTAAAACTATTTAATAAGATTTGAACAGTTAACAATCGGATACGAATTTACACAAATCAGATCCGATTTGTTTTCAGTTACCACCAGAAAAGAAATGTATCTCATATGAACATGTTTCGATATATGTCACGATATAACAAAAGGACCTGCAACAATTTGAATAATCAAAGGTGCATGCAACATCAGAAAAGGCGCTCCCGTAAATTTAATCCCATACATTAATCTCCGGATCCCAACTATATACAAATAAAAAGAAATTTGGAAAAAAAATCGTGCTAGAGCTTTTTCCAAGATATGTATCAGAAAAAATCATTTTTCTAATTTTTACTGTAACCAAATTTTATCAAATCATGTGCGAGGGTTTTAGGACGTTCGTCTTAACCAAATCCATCAGCAATCTTCAAACACATATCAATCTTCACAATTAGATATTCAAACGTTGGATCCAATAAAACAAGGTCGATTTTAGTCCTCGACTTTTGATATTATCACTATATTTAGACTTTTCTTGCCCGGACGAAATCACCACAATGACTGACTTCTTGATATGTGTGCAAAGGTTGTCCACCGTAACATTAGACGAAACCAATTTAAAATGTGATTTTGAAAAGGATTCTGGGTGCAGGTTTTTTTTTATTTTTATTTCGTTTTATCGTATTTATAACAGATTTAAATCGATATCGAATCCGCTAAGCGTTGGTAATTTCCCACGATCAGACCACTATAGCTCTTTTGCTGCTCTCGCTTCAAGATCGCCTCAAACGCAACCCATTGGCAATTTTGTGTTCTTCATTGAACATCGGGTAAATTAATTAAGGAAAATTCCCCAATTTGGAAAATTTAGGGAACGAAAGATGAATTTGTTGTTTCAACACCAATTATTTGTCAAAAGGGAGATGGGATTTTGAAGTTTGAGTACGTCGTATCATTCCAGCTAGTCACTATAATTCGTATAAATTCAGTTACTGGATTGTTGGGAACCAATCGGAGGTTCTTTTAAGGGTATGCACACAAAACCACATCGCCAGATCCTGCACACAAGTTAGAGACTCACCAATAGTTTTGATTATATTTGACGATGTTCAGAAAATATCCTATTCTAATAAAACTTCCACTATAGCCGTTGAGGTTGTACATCCGAATTCGACATTCTTTGAGCTCGAAATTGTCGCTTCGGATATGATAAATCCGACTATTATAGTATACGATAATATTGAATATAATGCAAATTTATGTGAATGGGATGAAGAAGAAAAAGTAAGATTTTTTAAATTAATTTATTAAAAATATTTTTAGGCTACGGATTCTGATACGTCTATCTCTGTAGATTCATTTTTTGACGACGATTTAGCAACAGTTGAGGCTGAATCTACGAACATCGTTGAAGCGACTCCAACTCACGATATTGAACCACTTACAATTCCCATAAGACCGATTCGATTATCACCACAGAAAAAGGAGGACGGCGATCTTACAGTGAACGAGGAAGAGATTGAGGAAAACAAATATGAGTCGATGTGTCAGATTCTCTATTGTGATTTTACCAATGATTTATGCTCTTACTCGAATTATGTAAACGATTCGATGCCGTAAGATCATCTGTAAGTAAAGAGAAACGTTTTCTACATTTTATCAGGCTAGCGAACTGGCAATTGGGAAATCAAAAGGTTGGAAATCCTCACACCGGTGTGAGAAATCAAAATGGAGGTAGTAGGAATTCAATATAAACCTTTAAAAGTTTAGTATTTGAGGATTTCTCTATGTTGGCACTGATAATCCAGGAAATTCGAAAATCATTAACTATGTACTGGAATCCCCTGATCTATCGATTAATGAGGATATTCAACTATCTATTGATATCTATCGAAGAAGCAATGACATTACGTTGCAGGTTTTTCCATTTCGTGCAATTTGTGAGATTTATTTATTTCAGATATGCTTAGACACACCATTTTACTGTCCTTATACGGCAAGTCGTTTTGAAAAAGACGTTTATTGGAAGGAAGGTGAAATTTTCCTAATTCCTAAAGGGACCGTGAAGGTACAACTTGTTTCCAATTGAAATTTACAAGCGATTACAGATTTTCCTTCGAGCAATTCAATGGCGCCGATTCAAATGGCTCGCCATTGACAATATCAAAGTGTTATCGGACAAATGTTAACTATATGTATTATTTATGCATTATAGTTCAGCCAATGCGTTTAACCTACCTGTCTGTAATTAATAAGAGTAATAATGTGGTGTTCAATTAATAAATAAATTCATAGTATGCAAATAATCAATAAATAAATAATCTAATTTGAAATGGATCCTGTTGACGCTGTGAGTAATTTCGTAACATTTTCATTATTTCATGTGTTTTTTTCAATTTAGAATCAGTTTGATTTGCGGGTTATCCAGAAAATGATAACCAAATTCCCACTGTTTAAATCGGAATTTGAATTGCCGCCTCGAAAAAGTGCGGTGGTCCACAATTATGCAAGGCGCTCGTTTTTTTCGTTGGTAATACGTATACATTGCTAAGAAATTGCGACAAGTCTTTAATTTTCTAATAAAATTACATTATCCACCGTAAATTTCCTAGAAATCATTTTGCAACTTAACAGAGCTCAATAAGATATATAACCAAGAATTCGAATATTGGAACGAATTAAACCAGTTTCTGTCCAGTTGTAAATTATGCCCTAGTTAAATGTCAGTATTTTTCTTTGTTAACAAAGATTTGACAATTTCTTCCTAGACGGTTAATGCGTAATTACGGTCAATCTTAATTTTTTCGGCCTATCACCGAGATGTGTTGACGCATGACTTTAAAATGTGGGATTTATGTTTGTTCCGGCAACTCGATTTTCTTTACTCTTAGTTCTTTGAGTAATTCATAAATATGAGAAGACCATTCTGTACACAATCAATTGTCGCGTTAAATTGTGTTAATTGCCATCTGCTTGCCGAACAAATTCTTCACATGGCTCTCACATGCTCGTTCTTGCGCTACCCAAGAAGTCTGTATTAGTTTTGAAGAGCCGCCTCGGCGAGTCGTGTTGAAACTAGTTCCGTTGGTGTTCGGCAAACATTTCGTCTGCCTTATTCGGTACACAAACATGAATGAATGACTGGCTCATCACCCTCCCTTGAACAGTGCCAGTGTTTTTCTTCTATGCACTCTCCCTAGCCATTTTTAGAAACACCTCGCTTTTTCCACTTTGTCTGGGTGTGTTTTAATTGTCATATTTTCTAAATAGGAATAGGATTAAAGGAAATTTTTAAACTTCTTAAAAATTCACAGCCAGCAATTTGAATAAACCACCTTGGCGGGATCATTTTCATCCCTGCGTCTCTCCACACTCGTTTCTTTATAAAAACATTCCTTATATATTATCTCAATAGTTTTGTTCTTGGAAATCATTGGTTTTGAAAATGTTGGTTCTCTTATATTTCACTTATAAAAAAGCTGATTCTAGTGTTGTGTGTTGTTTGTTAAGGACCTATTCAGGAAAAAAAGGAAATGTGTTTTTTTTTTTTACAAAAAATAGTAGGATTAAATGCACGTTTTGGAGAAATGCATAATTTCTTTTAATCCATAAATAGGCCCATTAAAGATTTTTTCGTTCTTTTCTAACCTCATTTTTTTTTAAATCTTGTAGCCTATTTAATTTTAAGTGTCGAACGGAAACGTACACTTTCCCACACGATTCTATAATTCACATCAACGACTTTTCTTTTCGATTTTTTTTTTCGAAAACTTTAAAGCATATGCAAAACACCTGTGCCCTCCCCCCTCCCACCCCCAATACCATCAAAATTTCGCTTTGCTCTTTGTTGTAACATATGCAAATATAATAAATTTCTTTTTTTTCGCAGTTACCAAACGATCAGTTGCCGTCAACGTCAACGTTGGCGTAGTCGCCGCTGTACTGTTTGATTTATTATTCATGAACAAACTAGAAGAGAACAGAGTGAACGAAAAAATGATAAAAACATTATCATTCCTTCATGCCTTTTTGATGGTTGTCACTTATTTCTCCGAAATATATATTCTCTCCATTATTCAGCAACCCAGATAGTCACGATATGTCATGACATGGCTAAAATCGTAGAAAGTTCACAACCCCCACCTCCCCCCCTCCCCCGAAAAAAAGGCCAGAAATGGAACATAATTACATAGTTGGATGCGGCGGATTTGATTTTGAAGGACGTAGGGATTTGAGAAATATTGCAGTCCTTTTCAATCCATTTTAATTGATTTCCTGTGCAATTTCATGCATTTTGTATTACTTTCAGAACATACTTTCACATAAATATTTTTTTTTATTGCTTTAATGACCAATTAGTGTACATATTTGTATCGAATGTCATTCAAGTGCCAGGTACTTCACATCCACTTGTTCCTCTTGAACGGCTATACCATTCGATTTAAAATATTCATACAACAACTATATTTTTCCACGTAAATGGCAAATATGAAGGCGACGAAAAACAACAAATGAAAACTGGTCAACTTCAATTACTACGAAAAAACAAATCTTGTTGCTGACAAGAATAGTATAAAATTTACTCGTCAAAACAAATTTCATTTTCGCCCATTTCCCTCCTCCCATTTTTCTGATGTTCACAGCGGATTAAGCAAATGTTCGATTCAATCGCCATTTTGTCCTCTTTTCGATTTCTGTTGGTATTGTTAGGTTTGTTTGAACTACTTTTTAGTTAATACGACAGTTTGAAGGTTGAGATGCTTCTCAAAATTTGCGTTTTATGTAGGTTAAAGATATAAGAAATGATCGTTATTAATTCCGATGATCTATCATTTTTGATCTAATTTTCTAGACCTCCTTTCGGTCACTCCGCGCGAGATACATTCTGTTTTATCGCTTCCCTCACGCTTACTATAATTGCTTCGGTTTTTCGAATTTCAAACATTTACGATCCCGGTTATCGACATAATTTTGGGTTCCGTTTTGCTATCCCTCTTTCCTTTCAATTTTCTCCCATTTTGTCAAAAAATCCAACGCAGATAATTGTTGCTGTTTGAAGAAACCTTCATACAGGATTAGCCGCTCCACTTGAATGTTACTTTGCCTTCACGCTGAATGCGTTATCAAAGAAACGAGTGCCTTCAATAATTGTGGACCACTGGATTTGTTCGAGGTGGTATATCAAAATTCCAATTTTAAACAGTGGGAATTAGGGTACCATTTTCTGGATAACTTGCAAATCAAACTTACGTATTGTTCAAACGACTTGACGAAATTTAAAAAATTACTTGCTATGTGCCAATGCGTCTCAAAGCAGCGATAAGTACGTAAGACTACGTACATTGCATTATAGTGGACGCGCATTTAATATTCAGTCAACGAAAAATTTAAATCTATGCTGATTTCACGAATTTGAAGACTCCGCCTCTCTACAGTCGTTTGAGGACGACAATAATATCTCGTTCGAAAATATTATGGACGTATTCATGAAATGAAGTTTTCCTATATATACATTTTTATTGCATGACGAAGTCCAGTAATGTGCCGCACAATTGCTAATCATTATGCGAGGTATCGTCCTGTGCCACGCCTTTTATATTTTCAGATGTTTCTTTAAGATTGAACGTTAATAAAATGTTAAATAGCAGTGTTTTAAAATATCTATGGTCAAATATAAAATATCTATGGTCAATTTAAAATATCTATGGTCAAATATGTCATAGACATCGTATAAACGTAATAATTTCATTTTATTTGTTTTCGTTTTAAGTATTAGAAATGAGCATAATATGATGCTAACGTGTCTGAAACAGGATTCCATTTAGAATTTTAAAATAGAAAAGAATTAGAACAATATATAAAGAAACCGGAATGTGACCTTGTGTCCCAGCCCGTTCATCATTTTTTACACCTTAAATTCAAATTTATATCTTCTTTGTTTTGACACTAAGCGCAATTTTCTCAGCTTTCGGAATTAATTTCCGCTCGCGCAGGTTTCGGTGTTTTCCACCAGGAATCATGTTTGTTTTCCGAGTCGACAAATATATGTGCCTACGTATTCATGTCAATGTCTACCGGCAAACTCGCTATTAATGTTTCATTAATTATAGGCAAGGTTTGCATTTCTTATCATATAACTGAGCTCGTGGTTCATTTATGTATTTGCATTGCGAAATACGGCTTGAATAGTAAAAAATAGTGGAAATTTTATTTCCACGTTTTGTTTCTCAAAAACAACAAATTTTTAGATTTTTCTCAAACGTTGCTGTTTTGTTTTGTTCATTCCAACTTCTATTATTATATAATTGCAGTTTTGAACAAGAATATCTAGAAGCAAATCGGATGGATGGAAACGTCACATTAGGAAGAGGGCAAGTGTACCCAATTCAAAATTACAAGGCATATCGAATTTTATTTTGAATATATGAGCAATCATGTTTAGAGAGGTGCAAAAGTTTGGCATCGAGATCCAAATTTAGTATGGATAGGTGGAGACCTTGAAGATGATGTGAATTTCGATACAAGAAAAGTAAAAATTCTATTGGAAGATGGAAACGTGAGATTGATTTTTTATTTTCCTATTATTTGAAGAATTTTAGAGAGTTGAAATTGAAATAAAATCCCTAGAACAGTTACCGTTTCTGAGGAATCCTTCGATACTAGTTGGAAAGGATGATCTCACATTGCTTTCATATCTCCACGAGCCCGCTGTCCTTCACAATCTTCAGTTTCGATTTGTTGAACGCCAGACGATTTACACGTACTGTGGTATTGTCCTTGTCGCGATTAACCCATACGTCGATTGTTCACATATGTATAATGATGATATAATACAGGTATTTCGCAATTGTAGAAATGTTTTTGTCAACTGTTTTTAAGGTATATCGAGGGGCTGGAAAGTCAGTTCGTGAACTCGATCCGCATATTTTCGCTGTTGCTGAGGAGGCATATTATGATATGAAAGAATTTTCAAAATCGCAGTCAATCATTGTTAGTGGAGAATCGGGTGCTGGGAAAACTGTTTCTGCCAAGTTCGTTATGCAATATCTCGCCTCAGTGGCTGTAAGTAGAAAATCGGGAGAAGACGGAATTGAAAAGCGCGTTCTCGCCAGTAATCCGATAATGGAAAGCATCGGAAATGCGAAAACTATTAGGTTTTTTGAGTGTAGTTTGAAGCAGAATCTCATTCTTCTGATGTTTAGGAACGATAATTCGTCGAGATTTGGAAAATTCATACAGATAAATTTTTGTGATCATGGACGTAAAATTGCGGGCGCCGAAATGAAAACATATCTTCTGGAAAAAAGTCGGTTGGTGTTTCAAGTGAGTTTTGATACGGACCAAACATTTTGAAATTTTGATATTTTTAGGCTCCTGGTGAGCGTAACTACCATGTGTTTTATCAAATGTGTGCGGGACGGTACCATCCAGTTATCAAAGATTTCCATTTGGGTATTACTTGTAGAATTTATGTAAATATTAATAGTTGTCATTTTAGGATCTTGTGAATCGTATGCTTATTTAACTCAGGGCGGTGACAGCAGAATTCCTGGAGTTGATGATAAAATTGATTTTGAGAAACTAATCAAAGCATTGCAAATGTTGGGATTTGAAGATGCCCAAGTTTCTGATGTGTTCCGTGTGCTCGCTGGACTTTTGCTTCTTGGAAATGTGCGCTTTGAAAGTGGGGAAGGATGTTCTACAGTTACGGTATATTCATATTTTCATAGTAATAATGGAAGTGGCTCAATATTAGGGCTCCAGCCAAAACGACATTAGTCGCCTTTGCGCCGAACTATGGGAAATTAACGAGGATGGTTTGAAAATGTGGTTGACGAGGCGCGAAATTAAAGCAGTAAATGAAGTAGTGGTGAAGGCATTGACAAATAATGAAGTAAATATTATTTTAAAATAGTAATATTTAAAACATATTATTCAGGCGACTAGATCTCGTGATGCCCTCACCAAAATGATCTATGCGCAGCTTTTTCATTGGCTTGTCGATCATATAAATTTGGCTTTAAACGACAAGGAGGAATTAAACAAGAGTAAATCGCCAAGTCGCAAAAGCAGCGATCGTTTCATTGGTGTCCTCGATATTTATGGGTTTGAGACGTTTGATGTTAATTCATTCGAGCAATTTTGCATTAATTATGCTAACGAGAAGTTGCAGCAGCAGTTCAATCAAGTATAGACAGTTTAAACATTTCCCATGTGCATTGTATAGTATTCAGCACGTGTTCAAATTGGAACAAGAGGAGTACATTCGAGAAGAAATCGACTGGGTTCGGGTTGACTTCCATGATAATCAGCCGGCTATTGACTTGATTGAAGGTTCCGTTGGATTAATCAATTTGCTCGATGAACAGTGCAAGGTAGGCAATAAATATTTTCCACCTTCTTATTTCCTCTTATTTCTAGAGGCTTAATGGATCGGACGGCGACTGGTTGAGCCAGCTGAGCAATAGTGCTGAACTAAAGAGAAATCCACAACTCGCATTCCCTCGTGTTCGTTGCAACGACTTCATTGTTCGTCATTTCGCAGCTGATGTCACCTACACAACCGATGGTTTTGTTGAGAAGAATCGAGATAGCATTGGAGATCAGCTAATCGAGGTCATTGCTTCCAGTCGGCGCCCATTCATGCGTCAGATTGTTAGAAGTATGCTAACTGTAGAAAAGATGTCGATTCCTGGAAGAAAAAGTGTCAAGAGGACGGTGGCTAGCCAATTTAGAGATTCACTGAGAGAGCTTATGAATGTTTTGTGCTCGACGAGACCTCATTATGTGCGATGTATTAAACCAAATGATAGTAAAATCAGGTGCAGTTCTTAAATAGTCTTCATAATTATAGTAAAATTACAGTTTTGATTTTGAGCCTAAACGAGCTATACAGCAGCTAAGAGCTTGTGGAGTATTAGAGACTGTCAGAATTTCGGCAGCAGGATTTCCGTCGAGATATCCGTTTGATGAATTTTCTCGTCGTTATCGTGTACTTCACACCAAAAAAAGAGCGATGTGGCGAGATGAGCCTCGTAGGTTTGCCGAAGTTACGTGTTCCGAATGCCTTGAGGTATGAAAGGAAAAAATGCATTTTTAAATTCGAAAAATTCATTATAGAATGGAAAATATGCACTTGGTAAAACGAAAATATTCTTGCGAACCGGACAGGTAGCTGTTTTGGAGCGAATTCGCCTTGAAACCCTCTCGTTGGCAGCAGTGATGATTCAAAAGACTTGGAAAGGATTCGTCACGCGACGAAAATATGAGATTATGAAGAAGTCGTTGCTCATTGTGCAGGCTTCTTTGAAGGCGTTCCTGGCATTCAGAAGAATGAAGTATTTGCAAATGCATAGAGCTGTTATTGTGATGCAATCGGCTGTCAGGTTGGCAAATTCACTACTTAAAAAATTAGTTTTTTTTAAACATCTCAGAGGCTTTATTCAAAGAAGGAAACATGAGAAGATTCGCGCATCAGTGATCGCGATTCAAGCCGCTTACAGAGCAAGTCTTGTTCGAATTTATGTTGAAAAGGTGGGCGAAGAGGTTTGTAAAAAAAGAAACTCATATCTTATATGTAGGTTCGCTATGAGAAATCCGCTATCACCATCCAATCGGCTTGGCGCGGGTATCAAGTTAGAAGGGAACAAATTGCGAGAAGAAAGAAGATTGTAATGGTCCAATGCGCTGTAAGAAAATGGCTTGCCAAGAGGCGGTTGAGAGAATTAAAGGTATTAATTATAATTATTCGAGAGTGTGCTAAATACTTTTTTTTAAATAGATCAATGCGCGCTCTGTCGATCATCTCCAGAGACTGAATACTGGTTTAGAAAATAAGATAATTGAGCTACAGATGCGTTTGGATAGCACGGTAAGTGTCATTTTTATGTTCGTAATATTTGACTAATGGATTATTAATATTCAAAAATGTTTTCGTGTTTGACATCGCTTTCGTTTCGGAAGCATTTGCCGAAAAACGCGACGAATATTTGAAAACACAGCACGAAACGCCAGAACGCAACATTTTGCTGTCTTTTATGTACCTGTGAACTTCTTGTTGTGTTTTCTTCATCATATCCATCATTCACGATCTGTTTTATTTACAACTCGAATTTTTAATGTGAGTTTATAGTTTACCCACAAAATTTTTTAATCCTTCCGATTCGTATTGCCAATAGTTTGGATGAATATATCATTTTTCAGAATATCATTTTTAGAATATATCATTTTTCAGCCGAATGTGGCTATTTTAATGTTTAGGAATTCCACTAAAAGCAATTATGTTATTGTAATTAGGTGGCTAGGAGTTGGGTACAAATGGTGGTCGGTGATAAAATTCTATGAAACCTGGACGTTTTACATAATGTATGTTTTTTTTTTTCAGCTGTGTTTCCTTCAATTCTTATAAATCCTGCAAAGTGGACCAAATTTTTTTTATTGAATTCTTCTTATTTTCACTCACACTCACAATTTTTTACATATTAGATGATTAGTATATTTCATGAGTAGGACATGTTCGTTTCTTGTGGAAGAATCATACATTGCACTCAAAAACTGGTTTTTTCTCATCTTCCTAGTCGCCGCTCTGAAAAATAAATGAAAGATAGTATAAAAATGCATCGACGATTTTGTAGCAGTTTTCCAATGTTTTTTTGGACTGGGGGTTTCACGTCGACCCGGATATGCCCGTCAACGGCGATTGATGACGATGATGACGATTATGACAGGAGGAACTGTTTGATTAAAACGCGAGAAACGAATTTTAGCGGCGCCTAGGTGCTTGTGTTTTGTTTGTTGGCGGTTTTTTCATTTTCTCGGTTTCGTGCTGCCACCGCGGTCAGTATCAATCCTTTTAATTAGTATACTTATTTAGAAGAGAATCGTCCTAATTTTACAAATTCTGCAATATGTATATCCCAGTTATTTGGCCAAATTGTTATCTAATGTTTGCCTTATGAAGTCGAAACTTCAGATATTGCAATTATACGAGTTTCCCACAATTAAAAAAAATGAATTGATTTTTTCCAAATATCATTTAGAGACAAGTCATTTTTTGTTGATATTTTAAAAATGCAATATGTGTACTATGAATATGTATAAAGAAAATAGTATTTAAATTCATCATTGGATGGGTTCTAATTGTTTGCCAAAGATTTTTGAGTTGTCAAAATGCCTCGGCGAATTTATTATTTGTTTTAAATTTTCGTCGTTTCCGACAAACGAACACCACCAGAAACTGACTCTGTATTTTTGCCTAGTAAAATTTTTCTCCGAGTTTTTCGCAATATGCCGTTGAATTTATTTTGCCCTCAAGTATGTCGTGTTCACGCAGATTGTCCCATGGGGTCAAGCAAGCTGGCAAATCTGTCACGTTTCTTGGTGTCGTTCGGCAAATTGTTGCCATATTCGGATTTCACTCACGGTCATGGGCGTTTCTTTTTTGACGATTGATTACTTTTTCGGAATTATATCACTATAGAAATTTTTTACTAATACGGATATCTTATGCTCAATACAGGAATAGCTATTCCTAGCGGAGTAATTTAACGATCCCCGATTGCCGTGATTACTCCGAATTTTGCCATATTCCTACTTTTCGAACCATAAATCATCTATAGAAAACCCCGTTCACAAAAAAGCTGTAATACTTTACATCCGTGTTGTCAAAAAACAGGGCGAAATTTTGACAACCATGTTTAAAATATTTTCTAAAGGTTACTCCAGTTTCGTTTTAAGAATTTGTCACTATCTTATTTAGCTTCGAACCTTTTAATGTTTTTCTCTATCAAATCCGTTGCTATAGGTTCATTGATGAGATTACCAATGCGTCTAATGTGATATGGTCGGGCGTTTGTGGAAAGCGAGATGAGGGTCTATTGGCGTTTTCTCGTGCTTTATTCGAACTCACGCGTTTCGTGTGTTTCCTGTCTTTATTGTGACTTTTGAATTTATTAATTAGATGTTCCGAAATTTTTACGTGATATCCTTTTGCAGACGAGTCGTTCGAAGGAGGAAGGCGAAAAGTTGACGACTACGCTAAGAGATTTGGCTCGAACCAAGGCCGATTTGGCCATAATGGAAGAGGAAAGGTTTGTCATTTCCCGTATAACTATTGATTTTTAAAATTATTTCTAACTGGAATTTTTAGAAAACTGTTTGCATTTTGTTGCTTCTCATAAGGTAATAGAAAACCTCGAAATAACTAAGATTATTCGAAATTCCTTGTCTAGAACAAAAGAAGAAATTTAGAAAAATTATATGACGCACGCATACTTTAATTTTGACGTTTTTTGAAAAATTGAACAATGATCATTTAGATTGACTTTACTCGAAGCAAAAAACCGTGCCGAGGTGCTACAGCTCGAAGTCGAGCGTCTCGAGACGGAATGCGACTTGAAGGAGGCGCTTCGCGGTGGAATGGAGACGAAAATGGTGGAACTTCAAAGCAAGTTGGATAAGGTTGGTGATGTTCGAAACAACCTTGAAATTCCGAAACGTGTGCAAAGATTATTATCTCAATTATTTTTGGTTCGTAATACCACACGAAATTTCGAGAAATTGTTTTAGTGTGCGGTGCGCGCGACCTGTAAATCTACACTTTTAGTCACTTTCAGTAGTCGCGCGAATCCTTCTATATTTACTATTGTTAGTGTTGTTGATTATTTTCTCCGCGAAAGTGCCGGCACTCATTTTTTTTGACTCCACACAACTAGGCAAGTAGTAACCAACAACGAGTTGAGCGCTTCCGTTTCTGTTGGCGCAAATAGATCAAACTCGAGTTTATATGTTTTATTTCTTGTAGCCGCTACGTTTTCCCCTTTTTCTAGCGTCAGTTTGAGGTCACCGCGTTCTTTTTTGTTGATTGGATACATTTAAAGAAAATAGTATAATAAATGTTGAATTATTCCAAGTTTTTTGGTTGAATGAACCTTATTATAGTTGTATTTTTTTACCATTTCAACAGAGCCCCATTTTTTGATTAAGTTTGTTTCTTTTTCAACAAAGAAATTGGTAGAATGCTAGGGACTTGAATAATTAATATTCTTCCGGCCTTTTTTTCTTCATGAAATCAGCCTTCCTTTTTTCTACATTTTATTTCACGAGATCCTCAAACAAACATAGCCCTGGTTTTGAAAAGTAAATATTTTTAGATGGAATCTGAAACTACTCTCAAAGTCGCCGAATTGATGGAACAGCTTGAAAAGGCTAAGAAAGACCGAGAGGTGTGGGAAGAAGAGAAGGGAAAACTCCTTTCTGAGCTGAATACAGGTAGTTGAAGTGTGAGTTTGTATTTAAAACTAGTGCTATTTTACAGAGAGAGCTGCACGAAGTGCGTTAGATGCTGAAATCGTTGCGATGAGAGATCAACTGATGAGGAATGTCAATCTTTTCGAGTCCGGGGCGTTTTCTCGAATGTCCAGTATGAGAAGGTCTAATAAGGACGATGGTTAGTTTATCATATTAATTGTTTATTTTCCTTAGTCCAATTTAAGACTCATCTCGCACAACGTCGAACGTGTCACAGATCAATTCGTTAGCTGATCCCCCAACAACTGTGCCAGCGACATCTTTATCGATACGGGGATCGCCTGAAGCGCAACTCGACGATGTTGCGCTTATTATTCGACAGCAAAGCATGATCAACGAAATGAGGCAACGTGTTGAACACTCGCAACGTGAAACCGCTCGAATGAAGGCGATTCTTGAGGCTTCGAGTTTGATTGAATCGCTCGACAAGAAAACATCGCTTCGAGCATTTGAAACAAATAAAATGAACGTAGGCGACGTTTAGAATACAATATTAATTCATCTGTAATTAAGGACCTTGAAAACGCCTATAATCGTTTGAAGAATGACATGGAACGACTCACCATCGAGAAGCAAAGACTTGGATTGGAACATGTTAATGTGCACTCGGTGTTTGAGCGGATAATGGAAGAGAATGAAAGGTAAACACTACATAGACATTATTTTCGTCCATGATTTGAATAATGCGCCGGCCATCACCTCGTTTAATTATTGTTTGCAAAATTTTAACTTTACTTTAATAGGTATCGAGAAGAATCAGCTGAACTGCGTGCAATGCTTTCAAATCATTTTGAACGTCAGTCTGTCGCTGGTAGTGGAAGCCATTCACGTCGATCACCGCGCCCCGATTCTGGACATTGTTCAGGTGCTGATTCCGAGGATGGCAGCAGTGGCGACCTTGAAGAAGATCTTTGTATTGAACGTCAATGCCGGCAGTTGAAGAGTCTTGCTGAGTAAGAAAAAACGGCCCATCACTTGTTTTTTATAAGTTCGTCATAATGTTTTTTTTTAGGAATTTAACAAAAATGCTGACTACACAAAATCAGGAAATGGAGCGATTGCGACAGCAGCGAATACATGAGTCTCAAATTAATTTCGTAAGTTTTTCGTAACATGTGAAGGTTTACATTGGCAAAATGGGTGATTTCTTGCTGTAACGATTGGTATCAGAATCTGGTTTTTCGTATTCGTCTTCGTCGTCGGTATCGTCATTCTGCCTCGCGGTTTTTGACAAAGTTTATTTAGTCGTTTAATTTGCATTTTTACGAACTAAATGGGGGTGTATGCTGAATGCGCGAAAGCAAAAACCAATTTAAAAAAAACCAATCCATTGCTGCTATGTTCCAAATTGGACATCGGTATTTTTCCAAAATGTATTCGCTCCAATTGACTCTTACGCGACAACCTTTTAGTGATTTTCTTTGATCCTCTTGCTATTTTTTCTTTCTATTGTTCAATGACTGAAATCGAACCTCTTCCCAGTTGCTTCCACTTTCTGTGATGTCTTTCGAGATCGTGTCCTTGTTTGTACATCACTTCGCACAAGTGCCGCCTTCTGACCGACAGACCGAATGTATTCTCCCCGTCATTTCATTGTTTAGGCGTTTACCCGAATTCTCTTTTTTCGTCAATCAATGGTGCCATTAATATTGTTAGTAGTAATAATAATAATAGTAGCATGTGTATTAACAAGCGTAGTGACCGGTCTAGATTTTATTGCTACGCTTCTCTCCCGACAAATCCCTGTTGCATCAGTTGTGACCCGAAGTTTCAATTTTTGCTGTCGTTGAAAGATTAAAATTGTTCTGCTACATTTAAGCTCTTACTTAACTGTCTACATTATCTGTCTTCTGTTTTTTTTTTCAAATATGTTTGTGTATTCTTGCTTTGCTTACAAAATAGTATTCTAATGACATTTAAAAACGATTTTAGAAATTTACGGGGTGGGTTTCCGCAAAGAATCGCCAATTCAGTCTTTGTTTGAACACCTTTGAATCGCTTTTCTCTCACTTGTCATTTCGAATACATTGTTTAATTTTTATAGGAATTTCAAGTGGGAAAACATAACAGCCGTTATTACTTGACCAATTCACATTTTTATGTGCCTAGCTGCACTCGTCCGTAGAAGTCCAACAATTAATGTCCGTAGAATTCCAACAATTTTGACAGCACTCTCAACTTCTTTCTAACCGATTTTGTGACAATTACTATAATCGACTAAAACTTGTTTTAAAAAATAATAAATTACAAAATGCGTTGAATAATAATAATAATAATAATAATAATAATAATAATAATAATAATAATGGTTGAAACCAACTGGTTGGACACGCATGGGAAAGCCTTGGTCTGAATCTTTTGGTGCGTCTCTTGAGGGCGCACGTTATTTCGTCGGTTCATTTCCGCCGGCTTGCGCGCACACACCTGACCATTAGCGCGCACTTTATAAATTATTTTATATATTCTAGTGTTTAAGTATCCCCATCTGGCCATGCCTCACATACTCTCCGTTCTCTGTATTTGGCTGTTGATTTATTGTTTTCCGTCAATCGTATAGGGTTCATCAGTTGCAATATAAACGTCCAGTTGCCGTTTCTGTTGTATTCTCGAATGCGGAATTTCGTTGGATTTTACTGCGATAGTACATAGAAAATCTTTCAAGAAAACATTTTTTCTTTATAGTTCTTTATAGAAATTGGTGTTTTCTAGAAAAAGGCTAGGTTCTGTTATTGCTGTTTTCTAGTTTTTGTTCGCGCTCGCTCAAAAAAATACGGCATTGTCAATTTCGCCATATGCATAGCGCATCGCAGGTGTTGAACACGTGTTAGGCCTATAACCATACGTTTCATTTTGTTTCGCGCACATTCGACTTTATAAACACGATTCTATTCTCGGTTTCTCGTTCAAAATAACGTCATTTTAATTTCGTGTGCGTGCATGCGATAGCTCTCAAAAGCCGTCATTGTTATGTTTGCTGCGTTTCATTCTAGCTCATTGCTATTAATTCTTTCCATTTTGTATCACATCTCATTTAAATTTGAACTGACTTACATTTTTTGCACTCTCTCAAGTCTTTATTATTAGTTATACGTCCAAAATTGGGAATAACGTGTTAGCGTTAGCTTTTTGAGGCGAAAGTCTTTGAGTTGCCCTGTCTTTTTTCAACTAACTTGAAATTTTGTACCCCATAAAACGAATGTTTTATGAGGCTCACCGATTAAAAAAGCTCGCCTTTCTTATGCGGTAGTTTTCGAAGAATTTTGAAAAAAAATAAGTTTTGAAGAATATAGAAAAAAGTCTAGTCTTCTAATATCTTATTTCTTTCTTTTTTTTTAATAATTGGCTAATTATTGATTTTGTTGAAATTCTCGAGTTTTCATTTGTTATTCATGAGCTGTGGTGGTCCCCCCTCGTCTCTGTGCTGCTGCAGTTTGCCCTCGAATTCCTCGGACATTTTGATTTCTGCAGCGGATTTTTCCATTTATCATTCGTCGTGCCGGCTCTTCCGTTTTGTTTCGCGCAACTATGTTTTTTGGATTTTTGTCGTTTTCTAGCGTTTTCCTCGCGTTTTGATGGAGTTTGACGACGTTGGCACCTCGGCGACGGTTGTGACGCCGACAAGCGTTAAAGCGCGCATGACCTCGTCGACATCTGACTATTATTGTATGACGTTTGATGAGCCGGACGACGTGAACGAGGATGAGATTAGCAATTCGAGCAAGGCAGTCATCATTCAAGCCTTTCCATATATCTTGGTTTAAAATTCAAAATGAAAATTTTCCATTTCAGAGGCCTTCGGATTGCTCGTTAGAAGAGGCTGTTCGAGGAGTGCACAAACATGTTCAATTGTTGGCTCAGCAGAATATGGTCAGATCCATGTTTTATGAATTTTGCAAGTATCGCGAATTTTTCTGAATTTCAAATATCTTTTTGATGATTTTATGAAAAAAAAAATAATTCAATTGAGTCGAAAATGAATCAAGTTTTTTTTTAAATTCACAATGTCGCAATTTCGGAGAGTTTTTTGTGTTTTTTTTTTCACATTTTTTTAAGTGAGACGTACTCAGAAACACGAAAATGTTTATGTTCAATTTTTATTGCAGGATCTTAACGAGAAACTTGCCCGTCAATCGGACGAACTTGCCGAGGCTCGATCGCAACTTCGCGGCTACAGTGGACCATTGGGACTAGGTGAGCAAGGCGATATGATGATGCGCGCGTTCTCACCGGCACGCTCTCTTCTTTCATCAATCGAAAAGACGGAATGTGACGGTGTTTTGCTTATGACGGCCGGGCGCTGCTCATCCACGTCTACTGACGCGGTGACGACGTCAACGCCGTCATCGAGTATCTATCACTCCTTCGAGCATTCATCAACACAATCACGTTGGTATTGGTCGCATGAGACGGGAACTTCGACGCCAGAATGTTGGACGCCACCAGTGTCGTCCGCGACACTGACGAGCTCACAGTTCGAGTATCCACCGAACGTGCCGACATTCTACAATGTTCGTGATGCGATTGCGACACTTCTTGCAAGATTCGCACGTCAGCTTGGTTTGACGCCACCTTAGTCCTCAGCTGTTCTTGTAGTGCTGTCTTTTTGTCTTTTGGATATCAATGGTTTCATTTACTTTCTTGTCTCACACTAATATGGATAATGAGAGTGGATTAATATAATATTTTAATAACCACTTTCCTCAAAACCTTTTCAATGAAAGCATTTGTACTTGGAACACACCCGCTCTTTCTTCTTTCCGATAACGTTCACTCACCTTTCTTTTCTTTCCACTGCACGCCACACCCACTTCAATTTTTTGGTTTATTATTGAAGCCAGTCTCTTCTGTTGTTTGTGTATAGTTAGAACAGCAAGTATTTATTGTGATTTGTCTTCTATTTGTTGCTTTTCTTCAACTCCATCATCACCATCTAGAAAGTTGGATGGGCTCGAATAAGGTATAAGTTTATTAATTATATGTCTACCCGGATATTATTTGTTTTTTTTTTCTTACCTTTGTCTTAACACCGAAACACCTTGGCGTTTGGTCTGAATTTTTTCTTTTGTTTTGTTATGGATAAAATTTTTAGCTTTATTCATAGAGAGATTTTTGGTTTGTTTTATTTGAATGCTTATTGCAGAGCACACATCGGACGAGGACATAATTAAGCTCGAGGCTTTCCAGAAGGATTCGGTGACACATTGCGGATTATTAGAGGTGTACAACGTGCCCGAGTTCGCGCGAATTATTGTTTGTGGTGAGCAAATTTATGTGTGTGAGCAAATTTTTTTATGGTAAATTGGTTATTAAAAATTTTGAAATTCTTTGAGGTGATTAGAATTGAAATGAAGAACAGATTGACGAATTTTACATAATGTAGAAAAAAGAAGTAAATGTTTAAGAAAGATTTCATAACAAAATAAATATGTGAGCAAATTTGAGATGCTCAGGTAAATCGAATAAAATATTTTGAGATTTATTGAGAAACTAACGTGTCTCTATAATATTTTAGATTTTCTCAAACAGCTTTAGAAATTATTATAAGATTTTAGAATTTATTGAGCTAATTTAGAATATGCTCAATAAATTTTAGAAAATCTTATAAGATTAAAAAAAATATTTTTAAGCTTGGCGATTCTAAATAAGTTTTAGAAAGTATCAATAAACATTAGAATTTCTCAAAATATTTTAGAGTTTATTATTGAATATTTGATTCTCAAAATATTTTATTTGATTTGCCTGAGTTGGACGTTTTGAACAAGAAACTTATAAAATTTTTTCAATTCTCTTTCCAGAATTCAAGCCTCGAATTGCTCGCCTTTTGACGAAAAACTTACCGGCTTACCTTCTGCTCGCCGCGTTCCGTGTTCACGATGAGAATAAAGACGACACGGCACTCACCAGTCTTTTTTCTTCGGTCCACATTGTACTCAAAGATACGATATCGGTTAGTCTTTTTTTCCATTCACCAACGTCCATTTAATTAAACATGATTCGTTCTTAATGTGTTCCATTTATAGAAGCAACATGTGATTTCTAATTTGATTCTTATCTTTGTCTGTTTTTTGAGAAAATTGGTGTTCAAAAAGTACAACGTGGAAATGTAATTTCAGAGTTCGCACGATCTTGATATTTTGTCGTTATGGCTTGTGAACAGCTGGCGGCTGTTCAATTTGCTTCGCCAATATGGTGGAGACGATACGAATCCAGAATGGCAAGCGGCGAACACCGAACAGCAGAATCGATATCGCTTCAAGTCCTATGATGTGGCACCGATTCGCGAGCAACTAAAACTGCGTGTCGAAGAGATTTATTCAAATTTGATGAAGAAGGCAATTGAGCATGTATTCTCGCCGAAAATCGTGCCGGGCATTCTGCAACATGAAAGCAGCAGTGATCTTATGACGGCTGGACAGGAGAGAAGGGGACCTGCGGGAGGCGCGAAGAAGGGATTGGATGACTTATTGCAATTTGTAAGCGATTTTATTTTATGATTTAACATTCTCAATATTCAGATGGACCTTGTACATGCCAAATTGGTCACATATGGAGCGGATGCTATTATAATCAACCAAGTTGTTGGACAAATGGCCCATTGGATGTGCTCATTGGCTCTGAACTATATGATGTTCCGCCGGGATTTGTGCAACTTCGAAAAAGCTATTCAAATCAAGTACGGTTTTCTCATTCAGTCTACACATTTTATTTGACCGTTTAGACATAATGTTACCGAAATTCAATCTTGGTTATCTTCGAAAGGACTTGCTGGATGTAAAGAGCACCTCGATCCGCTCGTTCAAGCTTGTCATTTGCTTCAAAGCCGGAAGGACGCCTCAAACCTTGATACGCTTTGCGGCGAGATGACAAGCAAGTTAAAGCCGCGACAGGTCGTCGCAATCCTTCAGCATTATGATCCGTCCGATGACATGGAAGAAGGTTTATCACCGGAATTGCTTGTGAAAATTCAGAAGAAACTTAATGAGAGAGCGATTCAGAATGGAGATCCACCAGAGGAGAAAGTAGACTACTTTACAGATAATGTAAAATTACTAATGATATTATCTTAGGACACACTTCTGATGATCGGCACTTACTTGCCTCCATTCGACACCCAGCCGTTCTCATATTCGGAATATCCACTCGAAACCCTCAGCTTGCCTAGCTGCCTTCATCTTCAAAATATTTGTCGACTTGTCTAAACGTTTTCTGTGAATTTCTTGTGTGATACCGGTACTCATCGTCTCCCTCATCGAAAATATGCTTATCACTTAGATTCTTTTTGTATTCCATTTGCATGTATTCTAGTCAGTTGTATGCATGATTCTTTGAAGTTTATTGATCAAAACTAACATAATTTATTGTTTGAAACTGAGCCAGAAATACCAATTGTGGAACCAATTTATTTATTATTTCTTCTGTATATTACGACGTGATAATAAATTATTGACTATATTATTTAAAAAAATGGGAGAGACTGTGAGTTTTTATTTGCTAATATATATATATACATAGTCGGCATCCGGACACGTGAATGCTTGTTAGTTTGTTGTTTTCACGTGAGCTGTTCATTTTTCTTGATGAGATTCGCGGACGCTGACTTAATGTATTTAAATACATACATATATGTACAGTGCTCCACAAAACTATATACCCACCCTAATTTTGTCGAATAACTCGAAAACGCGAATACCTCCAGAAATGGTTTCAATTAGAAAAATATGCGCATTTATTATTAGTTTCATGTTACATTCACAAAATTCAACAAAAAATAACAATTTAAAAAATTTCGTCATTTTCACGAAAAAGTGGAAAAAATTTTTCCACAAAACTATATACCCACTTGATAAAAAACTCAGAAAAAGGATCGAGAGGTAGAATTTGAAACAAAATGAACATTTAGTAATTAACTGGACCTCCATTGAGTCGTGTTACATCAAAAATTCGACTGTCCATTGATAAATAAAGGTTGTCAAGAAGCTGTTGATCGACAAGCTTCCAGGCTTCCACGATTGCCTTTTTGAGATCCGTAATTGATTGAAAATACTTGTTGCCATCGTAAATCTTCTTCACCATAAATCCCCAGACAATTTCGATGAGGTTTATGTCTGGAGAACAGGCTGGCCAGTCGAGAACTGGGATTCTACGGCTGCGTATCCACTGGATGGTGCGGCAAGCACGATGACAAGGGGCTCCATCTTGCATGAAAGAGTAATTTTTGTACCTATTTCGACACCAAAATGGCAACAGATCACATCTGATGACGTATCGGTAGTAAGAACCACTTATCTTCGGATAACGAAGCACAACTTGACTCTTCCATGCGAGCTGATTGCCGACCACACCATGACGCATCCTCGTTTGAAGTTTCTACGCGAAAACCTCAGCTTCTCTTTTCTCAAATCGTGCCAATAATCACGATAACCATCTGGCCCATCACAATTGAACTTTTTTTCATCAGAAAAGACTACCCGAAAGAAGAAAACGAGTTCAATGAACGTTGCAGTTATTCTCACTTGTCTCCAGTTAGTTCGTTGATTCTTTTTTGCAAACTCCAGTCAATTTCACCTTTTTCAAAGTCGGTGAGCGGCATTCCACGAGACATGTCTTAAAGAACAGTAAAATTGCAAAAAAGTTCGAAAATACGAAAATATACGAAAAAAAAAATCGAACAAACGCCAAAAAATGAAGTGGGTATATAGTTTTGTGGAAAAATTTTTTCCACTTTTTCGTGAAAATGACGAAATTTTTTTAATTGTTATTTTTTGTTGAATTTTGTGAATGTAACATGAAACTAATAATAAATGCGCATATTTTTCTAATTGAAACCATTTCTGGAGGTATTCGCGTTTTCGAGTTATTCGAGAAAATTAGGGTGGGTATATAGTTTTGTGGAGCACTGTATATACAGTACTGGCCATAATGATGTACGCCTAGCATTTTTTGAGCATAACTTGACTCAAACTGCGGATCGGGCTGAAATTTTTACGGTGTACACTAAAGACAGTTGCCCAAGCTTGCAGACAACAAAATTGCATCATACTGAAAAATTAATTTTTTTTTTCAACTTTTTTTTCGATTTTACCAGTTTTTCATTTTTTTTTTTCAAACATTGTCCATAAAATTTTTTTCATTTAAAATTTGAATTATTTATAGTCTGTAGGGCTGCATTGTGGTCAAAATATTACACAGTAGACCTCGCAAAACCACTAGGCGCTAAGATCGGAACATCTGCCGTGCTTTAAGAGAAGATCCTAGACGGACTTCAGGAGATATCCAGATGCTTGTGGCAACACCTAATGCTTCAACACCATCCAGAAGAATAATTAGACGTCGTTTGGCGGAGAATGGACTTCATGGAAGATGCCCGGTGGAAAAACCATCGATCAGTGAGGAGAACCGAAAGACGTGGGTGGCATAGTGCAAGGATCATTTGAATTGGGGACGACGTGAATGGGCCAAACACATTTGGAGCGATGAATCAAAGTTCAACATGTTCAGAACTGATGGAATCAAGTAGATTCGTCGACATTCTGGAGCCGGAACTATGCCGAAGTACCAACTCCCAACGGTGAAGCATCTTGCAGAGGATGGGTCTGCTTCTCCGACACCGCCAAGGGACCGCTTCAACGTTTAAATGGAGTCATGGATTGGTACCCGTACGAAGATATCCCGGAAAAAAACAATGAGACCTTGGGCATTGGCAAACGCCGGACGTGCAAGACAAGACAACAACCCTAAGCACACGTCTGGACATGAACGCCGACGAGAAGTTCGCTCAACTCGAAGCCGCATGGAGAGCCATTCTGATGTCAGTGAAACTTTCAAACCCTATTGTGTCATTTTTTGTCGATTTTGTGGATTTTTATGAAATTTGTATTTTTTTTATTTCCTGCATTATGCGATATCATTCAAACGCATTTTAAAGCGTTTTAAAGATATGGTAAAAAATTTCAACCCGATCGGCCGCGTTTGAGCCAAGTTATGCTCAAAAAACACTAGGTGTACATCATTATGGTCAGTACTGTATATACATATATATCTAGGCTTGCTCATTTAATGCTCCGCAATTATTGCCGGATAACCGAGAAAGGAATATTCCGGAGCGAAAAGACGGGTTCAATCAAATTTTCCTGAAATTTTTCTATGATAATATATAGATATCAGTATTCAATTGTAACGATTAATTTTAAACCTGGATTGAAGTTCGGATTGGGAATTAAGAATGTTTATCGAAATGTCTATGTTGTGAAAGTAGAAGAAAGTAAGGATTTGCTACAGAATTGTAGTTCACGTATTTTTGATTTCTAAGACTAACACGGTTATATTTTTGACAATTATAGACTCTATAGTTTCCACATTATTATCTGTTGCTGATAGAATTCTTGATGTTGATGGCGAGCCTGTGACTGACAATACTAAATGCAAATCTCTTCTTGTCAAAGGTCTCAAAGAGAATAAAATGGTTACGGTACTTGTTGAAAGAGGACAAACTCCAGAAGCAAAAAAAGAAGCAACGGTAATAATTTGACATCGAAGGATGCGACATTATTTTTCTTAGGATGAAATGAATGAACAACATAATCAATCCGTCATGGCTCCTCCAGATGTTCGAAGTATTCTGAAGAGGCTAGAACAGAAAGTGATTGGTGTGAAAGCTAGTAATGATGGAGCTTTGACGAAAAACGCAAATCCAAAAGATCGAAAAGTTTGTGTTGAAGAGGGTCATAAATCGGTTATGATTTATATGGATAATGAGGAAAAGCGGGACAAATTAAAGGTTTCTTGATAGTTCATATTAATTAAAACAAATTTTTGTTTGCAGAAAGTGACTAAAGATGATAAATAGAGTTCCTTGTGATATTTAAATAAATAAATATAATTTAATGGTAAAATTTGAGAAAATCGGTTTTCTTCGGTGTGGACGAATCACACAGGTTACACAGTTTCGTCATTTTGATAAAAACAACAAATTTGTTCTATTTTTCGCCACTGTTACCCCAAAATTTGTCACTATTTCGGCCGAGTTTACCGAAATATATCCCGGTAAAAGTTTTCAAATAAATTGTTGTAGGGCTACTCATGAAATGTAGTTTTTAACACTTTTTGTAAAAAAATGGAAAATTTACGTTTAAATGTTCATTAAATGTGCATTCCACTAAATTTGTTACAACATTTCATTGAAAAAACGTGTAAATTAGACATTTTTACGGCAGGAATGTTACCATCAACAGCCATGGCCGAAGCTACTACGTAGTGATACAATAAAAGACTAGTCCGCGGCCGTTATTTGTGTAGTTCACGCGGATTCCAATTTTTATTTTCTTCCATTTTCCACACTTTTTGCGATGGCGAAGCACATTCAGCATGTTTTCATAATAAGTCAAGCTGGAAGTTTAATATATGATTGGAGTTCTGATTCTGGCGAGGTATTTTGGTTTTTTTTTGTTGAATTTTTCTAGCCTTTTTGCAGAATGAAGTCGTCTTAACATATGAGTACCCATTAAACGTTTTTCTCGAGCGGAAATATAAAAAAGTAATGGTGGTATTCGGGGAAAAAGATGGAGTTAAGATTGGGTAAGTTTTTCATTTTTAAAAACGACGATGTAATATTTTTCTTTACTTCAGATACTATGTAAAGTCGGTGAATGACATTCCAGTGTTTGGAACGCGATTTGAAGTTAATGGCAAATCTGTTGATGTTTTAGATTATTTAGAAAAAAAGGAAAGCTTTCCGGTAAATCAATGAAACATATATATATATATTTTTTTTTATAATTTCAATATATTAGGTAACTCTTCGATATGCAGCTCCAACCATTAACGCGAACGATAAAATTCATTTATCGTCGACATTTTATTCATTGTTCACTATTGCTGTTCAATTGAGTCCAACACCAAAAAGCTCTGGAATTGAGGTGTTTGAAAAGCAATAAGAATTGATCAAAAGGAAAATTATAGATCTTGGAAACATCACAGTTCAAATTGTTTTGCTTGCAAACGAGGACTGGCGTCAAATTTATTGTAGTCACATCGGCGGCTTCGAGCATCCCAGCCGACTCTCTTCTCACCAAAATGTACGAAATTTACGCTGATTTTGCTCTCAAGAATCCATTCTATTCGATTGACATGCCAATCAGGTAAGACTTTTTTTCTGAGAATTTTTTTTAACTTAATGTTTTTTTACTCGCAAACTATTTTATTTTTTTGAACTATTTCTTTGAAGGTCGCACAAGTTTGAAGAGGAACTGTCTGCGTTGCTTGAGAAAGCCGAAAGAAGCAATGGAGCGATAATGTTTTAATATCTGCGATGATTCACTACATACGGGTTTATACCAGAATTCCCGTTTTTTTATTGGTTTTATTGCAAGCGAATAAAATAGTATATTTAGATCAATCTGGAAATGCCACAAGATTAATAAAACCCGTCAAATATTATTATTAACACAAAAGTGGAGTATCCATTGATTTTTCGGTTGGAACAACAACACGCAGGCTGTTGCCGTTACTGATTGTTTGGAGCTCAACTTCTTCGGTAACACGTTTAGTAGAATGCTGAAAATGATTATAAAGTATTGAAAGGTATTTGAAAACAATACCTGCGCGAAATCATTTCCATAGGTCCTGAAGCGAACAGATTCGCCACGAGTCCATGCATGAGTAGGAGAAGTTTTCTCGCTGCGTACCACTGGCGTCAACTCACCTTCTTTGAGAAGCAGCGGCTCGTTTTGAGCTTCAATTGCTCCAGCTCCATTCTCTTCATCCTTCATTTGAGATCGAGTGTTTGCTGCAGCCCATATTACAATTAAGCACGTAAATTTTATTTTACCGAAGGATTTGTTAATTTGGGAAAAGCTCTTAGTGCGATTCCATGGACGACGTGGATTGCAGCATGCAAGACGCCGGAATTCTGTCATTCGGAAATAGCAAAGAGGCTGGCATACGGAATGAACTCCAATAAGAACCTGAAAATTCACAGCAATTGCGAAAAAGCCGAAAACTTGTTAAAAAGTGGATGAAAAATTTACACAATATGTAGTTCCCCATCTTTTTGAAAATGCATGTTACTCGCAAAAAGTTTGTGAATGTTTTAAATTGTTGGGTTTCTTTTTTAAATATTTTCTGGTAGCTCGTGTTTAAAGCTGCTCCAAATTAATTCTCATACTTGAAGCCACCAACGAATCAGAGTGGAGCCACGTGTGATTTCAATCAGATTGTTAATGTGCAAAAAGGCAACCATTTGAATTCCTGAATATGGGCATAAGAAGAGCAAATCCACAATCTGAAATTGATGCCCTTTTCGCTTATTTTTTATTAAAATTTACCAAAACACTTCCGATTACGTAAATGTACTTGTGTCTCGACATTGCTTGAACCCCCTTCCACCTTATGAAAACGAAAATTTGCAAAATGGAAAGTTGGAATTTTCAAAATTCCTAGCGTCGGAGTCAAATGACTGATCGGTACACGGCTTACCGCTACTCAAGTGCGGTCTAGAAAAATTGGTCGAGACTTTCAAAAAAGCTAAAAATGCAATTGCGGCTCACTATCTAAGGCTAATTTTCAAAATTATGTGTAATGCTTAGGCACGGTTTTCTTTTTATTTAGTTCTACTTAATAATAATAACGAATCCAGGTGTGGCCGTGGCCATACCCATTTGTTTGAGAACAATTTTTCTAGGATCACGTGAGTTGCGGCGAGTTGGTAGAAGGAAATTCATTTTCTCAAAATCAGTGAAGAATTTGTAAATTTATCTCGATGGCTATACACTGTATACACTCTTTGTCTCGAGACTCATGGCACATAGCCAATATTATTATAATTTGGATCAGTCTTTTGACACCGACAGTACTTGCTGCCACTCGAGCAGTTCGAATTTTGGCCATTGATTGGACGATGAATTGAGCGGTTGTGAATTCGATGGCTGTCATCGTTGTTCAGGCACCCCTCGTCTTTGAATTTGCGAATCGTGCAGAGAATGCAAATGTAGCACACCTAAAATGTGGCAATAAATTAACAACAAAATAGGAATATTAAAAAAAATAACTTATCACCATCAACCTTCATTTATACTTTTCAGTCATTTCCCTGTTTAAAGTTCATACTGTTCGTTTAGAAAAATTGTTTCTCATTTTTCAAAAATCCCTGCGGCAATACATTTTTGTACCCTCGCGACACATGTATTTTTAATTTGTTTAGCTCGGGAGCACTTATTACACATAAATAATCATTTTTAACTCACAATAACGATAGCCAAAACTAAAAAACAGAGAACCGATATCATGAGCATACTCAATGTTGCCAAATCGATTTGAATTCCATCATCTAAAGGGGGAAGTGTGAGTGAAAAAATTATACATTTTTTTAACCTTCATCCGGCTGGCGGAAAGATGGAGCCGCATTGGCAGATGGAATCAGAAGTCCGAGACCAATTATAATGCTAATTAGCCAACTGAAAACATGCACTATGATTTACTTCGGCGTGCTATAACAGTGTCTAATAAACACATCCGCTTACTAGACACTCCAGCATGAGACAGATGTTATTTGCCAGTTTTCTTACCAACATCCAAGAATCCCGAGAACAGCTTTTCGTCGGAAATAACGCCTATAATGAAGCGGGTAGCGAATAACTATGAATTCGTTCGTAGTAAAAACCAAGAGATTGAATATAGTTAGAAGATTGCATATGCGAAGGCACACCAATGCGAATGTCGAACCCTTTAAGTATTGGATGTTTAAATTAGAAAGAAATGTTGAACACACCCGAAATAGAGCAATTCTTGCGCTAATAGATAGATTAAGCTTGTACATGGAATTTGCAAAATATGGTAATCCATAAACCTATTAACTAATTATTAAAAGGTATTAGGAAAAATCTCACAATTAAGCAAATGCCTCGAACTACATCTAATAAAGCACAGTGTAGTACGATCACGTAGAAAACATTGGAAAGAACGCGGTGACGATGCCTGAAACTTCAGAATCTTTATAGCTTAATTGATATTTTCTCACCTTAACAATGCAACTATAACAAAAACATTAAGAATGACTGAAAGAGCTCCAAGATGACCACAAAGGAACACAGCAGTTGAGGCCATCTGAAATGTGCTGCTTTGACGAAATAAAATACAAAACGTTTTGTGCCTAATGCTGGAATCGAACCAGCGACCTTCTGTTTACTAGACAGACGCTCTAGGCAGCTGCCACTGAGCCAATTGGCTCAGTGATTAATAAGGTGAACGCGCTCTTAAGAGCAATTGCAGAAGAAAGGCATATAAGAGATGGCGTATTGTCGCGAACAGACGCAATTGGTGATGAAAAATTTTAATTGGAAAAATATGAGTATTTCGCGAAAACCAGGGGCTATTTGTTTTAAGTCCAAATATGCAGTATAGATTTTAATTAAAAGAAACGTATCCAATTCCTAGAAATTGTGAAAAGATGGCGAAACCGGAGCGAATAAAATTGAACGAGGAGGTTGATCAAGAGACTGGAAAACGTGATAGTCAAAACAACGATTTTTCAAAATGAAGAAAAAAAACGCATGCCAAGCATCGAAAAATTTTTTATGCTACGGGATTGAATGAAGTAGAAAATCAAATTCTGACGCCCATCTGTCACACCTATTCATAAAGCAAATAGTCCGGAAATTGACAAAATATCCTACATTTGCGGAATTCGGGGTAACCTTCGGAAATAGGACTATTTCTCATTTTTAATGGGATGGTGAGAGTTCAAAGGGGAAAACGCACATCAACGAATAATTATTTTGAAATAGTCAGTTTCAAAAAACAGACAATGAATGACGTCGAGGCGAAACCAAAAAGCTTTGTAGTTTTAAAAATAAACAAAAACTTTTCATGAAAAACAAGTAAATACTGTAGCTTTTTTGGAACAGTTGAATCCAAATTTTCTACTCTTGTTCGTTTTAGATCTTATTTACACGTAAGAACGAGGAGCTTTAAAAATTAATTTTCTTTGTAAAGTGTTTTTTGGAACACTCAAGGACTCTTCAAAACTGAACCCTTGGAGTAGAAAATCGTCACAAGATTTAAACGAAGGCGCATAGAGTTCCAAATTTTAATATAGCCCTAAATTTATTTCTATAATCGTTTTCAACATATAAGGAGAAGATGAAATTTCAAAAAAGTGTGAGAAACCAAACTACAGACGCTTTTTTTGTCGAAATTCTCAGATTTTGGAAAGAAATATGCCACACCCCTTCGTAGAGTTTCGCGAAATGTGGGCGGAAAAATATGGAAAATGTTTTCGAATTTATGATAGATCAGAAACGCGCCGTAACTTTCATCGAGACAAAACAACGAAAATGTGGGCAAATTGAGTTTAGGCGGTTCGAAACAAAAAAACCATGATAATGAACCTCTCAAACTCGTACAATCAGCGTTCGACGTCACCCTTTGGAAAGCAGGATATGTGCGTATGTGTGTGTGTGTGTGTGAGAGCTGAAATTCAATTTGGCACCCTTTTCCCAAATGTTAAAAGAAAAAGAAGGATGAGAAGTATGAAGATGAAAACACGCACATATACTCAAAAGAAATCATGATGGCTGCTACTGCAGCCAAACCTACACTTGGCCGGGGGGGGGGGGGTTGGGGCATACGGTGAATATCAGTATCGAGAAATTTTTTGAAGGGCAAGAAATCGAAAAACAAAAAGCGATTCCGTCGACCCGAATTCGAATCAGTGATTGTGGGAACTCCGTGCAATGGTAGCATTTTGCTTTCTTTCGTGATTAGAATGCGGAAAAATTATCTAAAAACATAAGTTTCCGTATGAAAAACTAAAAAATGCTTTATGTCGAACAGTCCTTCTCTCTACCAATTATCGAAGTCGCGTTAGTCGCCTTCAACGGTGGCTAAAAACCCCGGGCCGTGCATTCACTGGATGTCTTTGCTTGTGTGCCGCCCTAAGCAATTGACCCGTTGTCAACAAACAGCCCCATAAAATATATAATAAATAATAATAATCGTGGAAATTTCTCTGAGTCAGTGAAAAGAAAACTTGGCTCCTACCGATTCCTGATTGTAATTCTCATAATAGGCGATGCGTGTGGAGTTCTCAAAATAGCTCGCATTCCCATGAAGCTACAATAAACAATTTAAAGAATAAAAATCACTTAAACTTTACATATGTAAAATTCGCGTATTGGTCCTCAACCATTCGTACGATTTTGGGATTCGTGAGAGCCTGAAAATTTGGTATAATCAAATTGAATGCACGAAAATTGTCATTGAAAAACCGTTGAATCGGAGGTCTTTAATTAGTATTTTCTTCTTAGAGTCCAAAAATTGAACTTCCCTCGCTATTTTTGTTTCTTCCCCAGCCCAAATTTAAAGACTCGGGGAAATTTTGCGCACGCATGCGCGTGTTTTGAACAGGCGTGCGGCGGGCATGCGTCAGGCGTGCCCCGTGTTGACACAAGCAGCCTAACGTATCTTTTTGAAACTCTTGAGAGAATCAAATGGGTAGTTTTAGAGGCAGTTGCCTTTGAACTATATCCAAATATAGTTTGATTCTGAAAAAAAGCGGCTAAATAATAAACGATTTTATTTATTTTATATTGCAAAAGGTCAATTCTAATAGCCATGCTTTTCGAAAACAGATTGTAATTTAATTTGCGAAAAAGTAAACCCTTGACACTTAAAAAATTTACCAGGAATTTTCAAAAAAGAAAGTCGAGCATTTGGATGGCTCTAGATTTTTGGGACCCTAATAACCTATGCGAGTTTCAAGAGGTGAACATACTTATCCGCCTTTTTTTTCACATGAAAAATACTCTACTTGAAATACACCAAATATAGATTCGCCTTGAGACTATGTCCTGAGGTTATCAGTGTCTATGAAAAATGCAGTAGATGAATCTAGCATAAGAAGCAACGGTTTAAAGTTATATTTATCCATTATTAATTCTGTTTCTAACATAAATCCTATCGAAACCGTACCTCAAAGAGTGTTAAATTGTCGAAAAACTCGATGTTCTTCATAATGAAAGCAGTCTGGAAAAATTGTTCCAAAATTCGCTCTCGATTCTTCCGTTTTTTCTTCTCTTGCGTTTCTCTTCTATCTTTTTCTTTTTTGTTTTGATGACGATGTCACGACGAAGTACGATACATCGCAATAGAGCACGTTTTGCAATATTCCTCGGGCTAAAACGAAAAAGAAAATTGATAATGGAGGATGTATTATATTTATATGGAATGAGAGGGCGGACAGACCACAGGCCCAATTGGATTAGATTTTCTCATGCTTGAATATGGATTGTATGGTGAGCCGATGTCTTTCTATGACATTGACATATTACTAAAGTTCTGGCAATTATCAGGCATTGCCTAGGCGAGATGAAGAGACCATCGGTATTTTGTTGCTCAAATACAAAAAAATCGTCTCGGATCATTCACTTCAAAAAATTGGTCATTTTTAAGACAAGTGGGTATTTTTTGAACATTTTATTTGACCTCCTGGTATCTGAAAATGGGCTGAAATTAAATGGGTTACTCTGATACAGTTACTACCCAAATTGAATTGGTTAAAGGCTGAAGATTTCTGGTGACCAGCCCGTTTTATCACACATATGCAAAACTATAATACATATATCGACGCCAGCAAACATTTGTATACCAAGAATTAAAACCAATTGCTTCAAACTTATGCATGAAAACACTTCTATAAGAGTTAATATAAAGGCCCGTTGCGGAAAAAACTTGGACTGGAAGATCAAGCAATGGGTTTTATCGGCTTTTAGTCCGATTTCTCATTTTTAAAGTAAATAATCACGTGAGAATTAGGAATATCAAAAATGAATCGGCTTTTGCAATTTTTTTGTATTTAAAACATGGTCTATTCAGACCACAACTCAATGGTTTTCTGTTCTTTTCAACTTCGTGCTCAATTCTTCTTTCTTCCTAAAAATTGAAAAAGACGAACAATTTCCATGAAGGGAATGAACTAATTTAAACAAATGACGCGCTTCGGCGATTCTTCCAGTAATTGACAAATTTGCATTGGAAATGAAGCGACAGCAATTGATTCTGAATCTTGAATTTCAAGGTTTTACATGAAATTCTTATGTCGCCGCACTTCGAAGTGCGGCGACATAAGAATTGCGATCGCAGAACAACGAGACCCAACAAATGTTACGTCTTATGATCCTTTATTATCACATCAATTTTAAAAAGTCCTATAGACAAACGGTTCGAATCTTGAACGGTTGAACAACGTAACGATGAAACCCGACTATTAAAAAAATGTGAACTCGGTTCCCTGATATGTGCATGAATTGGTAACATAAAATGAATCCCAAATTGAAAATGAAAGCCTGAAATCGATGTATTGTCGAAGACGTACGAATTTGACAAATTTGAATGATCAAAATTGCGAAATCAACAAATTTTCGCTTGAGCCTTTGATATCTACTGTGATTTTCAATACATTTCTTATCAAATCGAAAATGAAAAAAAAAAACAAAATTTGAATAATAAACAACGCCCCCCTCCCTCATCCCCTAAATTCGTTCGTCCTCGACAATATTTTGGCTCCAATTTGAAAGAAATAAATTTTTTTTTCGATTTTTTTTAATTGCTCCGTCCGTACGGAAAATCTGGCAAAACGAAGAAGAAGAAAAAAACGTTATTTGTGAGCGTATTAAATTTCAATGAAACGTGAAAAATTCAACATACGCATTTATTTTCCTTTTACGCAATTTTCTGAGGAACTAGACAGACTATGAGCACTACGTAAATTTCACTATACTACTTCAAATATTTAAATGGAATACAGAAGTTCGAGATTGGCGTCTTCATCCTCACAGGCAGTTGTCAAGAAAAAAACGAGTGAGAAACCTGTTAAAAATGGTAGTTTCCGTTTAAATATCGGTTGTGAAACAAGATTTCTGAAGGGAACAAAGTGAATATGACAAATTTCACGGTTGACGATTGGATGAAAGAAGTCGGAAATATTTATGGATCATTCGAGGTCCGAGAAAACGTCAATGACCTTCATTCTTATTTAGGTCCCGCTATGGAAATGCTTAAAACGGTATGAAAAAAAAAAAAACTTAATTTTCCCTGACCAATATTTTCTTCTTCAGATCGAGCCCTATTGCAGCTCGCACCTTACAGTTGAGATTCATAAGCTTTTGACCTACTACGACACCATGAAGAAGATTTGTGTGGAGATGTCTGATCGCATGGAGCTACCTGAGGTCAACCTCTCGCAAACAAACTTGGCCTCGTCGGATTCGGATACGAATACGAACAAGAAAGAATCGCCAAAATGTAATAAAACATCCAATATTGAATCAGGAGGAGTTGGAACTGAAACTAAGAAGAAATCGTCAAAATCAGCTCGAAAGTCAGCGTCAAAGGAAAAGAAAAACTCTTGAATTGATTCATTCTATCCGTCAATACATAAATATGTAGTATGAACAAATGGAAAGGAAGGCATTTAGGTGTTTCGAGAGAAAATAAGGCGAACAATTTTGATGAGATGAGAAAAAACATTTGAAGTGAAGTTTTTGATTTTTTTTTTTCAAATAAAAATACTTGATGAGCGATATTGAGGCCATATCAGTGTGGCTTACAAAATATTAGTACAAGACAACACACACACACACACACACACAAGAATTTAGAACCTAAACGATATATGCATATTTTGATTCGAGAGATAGAAAAAGGCAAGAAAATGCCGGAAAATAATATAATATATAACATATATAAAGAAACAAAACAAAAAACGAAATACATCCTAGAAGGTATTTACAGTCAGTGGCGAGGGTTATGTAGATCAAGAAAATTGTGGGCGACGACAGCTCAAGATGATTCTGGAGTCTCTAAACGCCTAATATTCCGAGGTGACAGATGCAGCGCGCGATGACGTTAATCTAAAAAACTTCGCAGCTTCGACTTCTGCATTAATTTTAAAATCATACCCGTTCTCCCTGGACGCAACTCCCGTCGTTGCTCTTCCAATTTGCGAAGCTGACGAAACTGGTATTACCGTTGTTGTCCCAGGTGGCGGAGGGGCTACAGCACCATTAAGCGTTGCCTTCAGTGTATTCCAGAAGCGGAAGATAGGAGGTGAATTGCTGCGCGACTTCTGATTGCCATTATTCATTGTTGTGTTTCTTGCAGTCATCACATCATCAAAGTCCGACGTATCACAAGACGATGCTGACGATGATGATGGTGACATTCTGAGGCGATCGTTAACTGATGATGACGCTGACATTAGAATAGCACCATTTGCTGTTTGATTGTCAAGAATTGTAGTTCGAGAATCTGAAAATGCGTTTATATATGTTTCTTCCTAGTTCATGTATGATTATAACATTTAAATAATTGGTTCAGTGAAGTTATTACCACAGATGTTATCAATTTGAAGAAATCGTACCATTCAATCCTCCACTTGTCAATCCTTCAACAGCTTCTTCTGCCGAATCAACGGAAGCACGTTTCTTCTCATCAACGGATGCTTGAAGCACGATTGGTGTAAGCCATTCTTGTGGAATACACTGCGAAATTGTTATGTTTCGCGTGAAATTGTTGATGAAAGCAAACCTTTTCTAAAAATGGAATGCTTCCGCTCAAATTCGCCAACCGATTAACCCAATTTGGGATATCTTTGCCAGTGAGTGCTCGAGCAAGAACCGCGCTGAAGTGATTGCAGTTTCTGGAGATTAGGTGATATCTGTAACAAGGAAATGCATAATAAGTATATTCTTTCAAAACGAAATTACCGATCTCCACGGAATTCGTCGCCAAGCGCTTTAATAAGGCGACGAACATCCATTGCGCTGTGCTCGGTCTCACCAACCACAATCGACTCCCTGCAAGTTTGCTGAATAAAATGGAAAAACAAATATCACAGCAAAATAATTCTACTTAACATTTACATTGAAAATAAGCATATGTCTAGTGTTTTTTTGAACCGACCTTTCATCAAACTGTTTGAATATTTATAAAAAAACTATAAAAACGTGGTCAAACCGGTATTGAAATATATCCTTTTCATGAGATTTTTATTTAAAATAATAAATGATCAAAATTTGTCTTGTTTAAGAATGTTTTAATGGCTTCGCCAAACATGATGGTCTGTTGTTAAGTTTTGCGTAATTACAGAGTTTTAAATAGTGCTCTAGATGAATTCAGCGGAAAACCTCAAACTACAAATTTCGTAAAGATATTCAAAAATAGTGAAAAATCGAATATTTGAAAAACAGTAATTCTATTATTTGAAAAACAGTAATTCTAATTATCAGTATATACTGATGCTAATTTACAATTTACCACAAGTCACAATTATATTTTCGAATATTCCCAAAAAAAATCCCCCTGCGCTCACTTTACACTCGTAATTGAGTTTGTTCGCGGAGAGAATATTTACTATTACCACGGGATTATGACGTCGTCGATAGATTTTGCCCTAGTTGCTGCGGTATCAAAAAAATTAAAATCGAATAATTAATATGCATTGCATACTTTTTGAAAAACAACATTTGAATAAACATCAAATTTTAATAATTGAAATAGAATTAATAAAGCTACTCACTTGAACTTGAAATTTTCGCCAAGTTCTTCGGCGTCCTGTGGTGTATTTTCAAATACCCCGCTGAATTGATACGGATGACCACCGTAGGCATACTCTTAAATCGGGTTTTTACATATTTCAATTCGTTTAGAATACCCACCAACTCCGAAAATTTCGATTCCCGAATGAAATATACCAAATCCAATATTTGAGGCGTAATCGTTTAGCCAATACTGTAATTAACCACATTTTGAGAAGCAGGTGGTCAAACAGGAATTTATTTTTTTAACTATCAATGTCACAACGAGGCGCGACAAATAGGAGTCTATTTTTCAAAAAAATTCGAAATATTCCGGAAGTTAAAAATTTCATTACCATATCATAGACATTGAGTCGAACAACAGCTTTCTTGCGCGTCGTACATGCTGCCAGGGCTCCTTTCAAATCCATATCGCACGTCGCCGCGGCGGCGAACTTCTGCAGCACAAAGTGCACCAATAAATGTTAATAATCTGACGAGACGACACTTTTAACCAAGATAACAAGAGTAGTGAAGTATTTACAAAACTTATTGAGGTTTGAAAAGGAAAGAATATCAAAAAGCGAAAGATGAACGAAAAGGAGAGAAGCAAAAGAGCGAGATATTTTTGAGAATAAGTGGGATCAATTTCTTTCTTCTAAAGTGTTATTTTTCTTTCAGTAAGAATAATATTAATTATGAATTTTTTTGTGCATTTTTTGTATTTACTTGCACGCGAACTTCGCCAAAAGTTGGGATATTCTTTCAACAAAACAAAGAAATTGTTTCGAAATAATCGGCTCAAAAAGTTGGCCTTCACTTTTACTCTTTCAGCCACTCATTTTGAATGGGAATGAGGGCCCGACCCGTGCGCGGAATTTCAATGAAAATCGACACGAGTAGGGACGCACTATAATAATAATGAGGAGAAATGGGAATGAACGAAGAGGGAGGGGGGGGGTCAAACTGCGTTCAATCAACTTGACATTCCAAATGTCATACCGCCCCCCTCCCCCCATCCCATATAATTCGAGTCTACTATACTAGTCTTGCCAATTTTCCAGTCTTTCCGCGAGTGAGCGCGCGCGAGCAAATATACACCTTGCGTGCGCTCTGTGTATCATCCGCTTCGACATCACGCACGTGTATGCGTGCCGTTACTGTTGAATTTGGCAGTGTGGCGGTGGCCGCGCCGCCGTCTAACAATTCTTGTCAATATTGACAAACGCTTCAAGGTTTTCGCGTAAATGTGGAGCGCAGCTAGAGAAACTCGAAATGTCACAGTGTGCGAAAATCAGCCATCGACAACGGGGCATGCCAAATTTTCGCAGGTGCCATGTTGTAGGGAAGCATTTTGATAACATGTATAAGGCCAGCGTTAAACGTGTAAAAATCTCGGTTTCGACAAGTTTTAAACAAACCAAACCTGCGATCACGTGACCAACTAGTATATGCAACAACTTGAAATAATACCATCGCAAAAAAACGAGCGTCTTGCATAATTGTGGCCCATCGCACTTTTTCGAGGCGGTAATTCAAGTTCGAATTTAAACATTGGGAATTCGCGTACTACCCTGGATAACTTTCGACGATAACTCACCGTTATTCAGAGCAGGGTGCTCGTTTTTTGCAAATGTAATAATAAAAATTCAGCAGGAACAAGTAAGAGAAATCGGAGATTTCAAAATTTTTGAGTAAAGGAGGGAAACCCGAAAAATATTTATAACTGGCCAAACATGGCAACTATGGCGTGTTTCTTATCGCAAATCGTATAATCGATCGATATATTGAGGAAGGACGGCGGCAAGTGAGGAAGAAAAAGAATGGTGGAGGAGAGAGAAACGATGCCAATAAAAACTTGCCACATCGAACAAACGTTTTCAGCAAAAAATCACAGTATCTCGCGGATAATTCGATAGAAATCTCAGATTATCCATGACGTCGCGAGATTCTAGAAATTCTGACCATAAAAACTTACATGAACAATTTACAGAAGTGGACTATAAAATCTAATCATTTCTATGTATATGTATGTTTATTGTGTAGCTTCTACAGGCCATTTAATACCACCTCAGCTATTCAATATTTCGGATAACCCGAGCAACATATTGAGAGTAGTGAAAAATTCAATTAGCCAAAACCACACACGGTTTAGTTCAAAACTATAAACTGAGTGCGATGTGTAAATGGAGTGTCGTACTGGCAGTGTTAAAGTTTTGGTACGAAAAACGGTACTCTGAGGGAACGCCATGGTATCACCATGAATATACCAAAGCCACCACAATTTGTCTTTTAATAATTTCTGAGAAAGTTTTATACCGAAAATGATCTACAAGCGAAATCGATAGTAATCGGAATATGAGTAACATAGTAAGCATTAAAATCTCGAACACCACGGTGAGACGAACAATACTGGTTTTCGCTTCATCATAAGAACAATTCTACAAGGGAAGAGTGGGAAATAATATGAAAAACAAGCAAACACACAAACAAGCAAATACAATGCAAGGTCGGATGCCCTTCAGTGATCCGACGCGAAAAATGAAAACTCATGCCGAAAAGAATAAAAAATAATGTATCGCGCGACCAATTCAACAAAATTTCGTTTGAAATCATATAATAAAATTCATATTAAAATTTATTTCCAAAATGAGAGGAAGCTGCAATGTTCGTAATTGAAATTTTTCTCATTGAAAAATTGCCCAAAAATAAATAATTTCGAAAAACTATTGAAGCGCGAAAAAGTTTTCAACAAAAAAATGTAAGAGGGTTGAAAAGGGAAAAAATGCCGCGATTGCTTAATCATGACTCATGCTGCCATATTTCAACATCAAGACTGTAGGGGCCAGAGAGGAAAAAGGGCAATTATTCCCATGGGCTTCGAAAAACTCGAATTTTTAATAAAAACCACTGGATAGAGTTGATAGAATGGAGAGAACAAAGAAGGAAAGGGTATGTGCAGCGTGCTTAATAATTCTTTTTTTTTTTATTTTTGACCTGCTATACACAGACAAAATTTGCTATCTCATTTCTGCAGGACCTGGAAGAGAGATGCCGTCTCCTTACGGTTGTAAGTGTAGAAATGACTCACACGGGAGTAAACATGTGAAAGTGCCAGATGAATTGCTAATTGATTTGATGTAATTAGTTTTCGTATAGTTTTTTATCTACTAATATGTTTTTTTTTTTAACTGAAAACCATTGGAAAACAATATTACCATATTCAATATTATATGAGAACTAGTTTCTGACATTTCGAAAAAAAATCAAATCTTGATGATGAATTCGTACAGCAGGAGACAGCAGAAAATCACAACTTATCAAAATATTTACCAACTATACAATTATTGAAGCACAAGCACAAGAGAGGACTGTGTGAACTTGAGACGTTAAGAGCCGTAAAAACCGAAGCAGACGAAAAAGCTCAACTGGCACCGGAAACGAGCAAAAACGCATCAAATGGAAGGGGCCACGCAGCGAGACGCAGACGCGGCGAAAACGAATCGCGTGCGCCAAGACCACGGCCGGAATTATTTCGCAAGAAAACTGTGGAACGAGGGGAATGAGTGAGAGAGAGCGTGTGTATGCCGATCACATCCGATCAAGGCCACAGGCGTGGTTTAGTGTGTGAATCGGCAGACAAAGTTCCTACCATTTCTTTCAAATGGTAGAAAACGGCAACATTCCTCTAATGGGCAGTTGGTCCATGCTAAGTAGTGTGTCTAGATATTACAAAACTATGGGAGAGTTATCGGAGTGGGCATGATATTCGGCGGAATTAAAAAAATAAGAAACATTTTATAGAAACTGAAATAATAATATCCATTTTTGTTTCAAAAACATAACTTAAAAGGGATACACAGTTAAAATTTATATTACTATCCCAATAAAAACGAGAGCCATAGCACTTTTTCGAGGCGGTAATTCAAGTTCGAATTTAAACATTGGGAATTCGCGTACTACCCTGGATAACATTCGACGATTCGGATACTGTACTCTGGATAGTCTGCGAAGCTAACTCATCGTAAATCGGAATGTATTGTCGGCTTCAAACGACTCAAGGGAGGCGGGCTATCAAATTCGCGAAATCAGTGTAGATTTAAATTTATTGTTGACGGAATGTTAAATGCGCGTACACTATAATGCAATGTACGCAGTCTCGCATACTTCTCGCTGCCTCGAGACGCATCGGCACATAGCCAATAATCTTTTAAACTTCGTCAAGTCGTTTGACTCCGACAATAATAACTCACCGTAAATTGAGGCATGGTTCTACAATTTTTGCGAATGAAATACATTTGTGAGAAGAGACAACTAGATAGTAAAAGAAATTATCAAAGCTTTCTAATTTCAAAATTCGAGCGGAGCTTAAAATTTTATTAATCCGATTCTCTGCGGTGAGTAATCTAACAATTTGTGTCTTGTGACATGAAAACAACACGATTAGCACTCAGTTTTTTTTATTTAAAAAAATCATAATTATTTTTGCGAAAGAAATACCAAACATTGCCCATTAGGAAAATTTAAAAAGCGCACATCAGCTCCCAAAACAATGAATTACCTGATCCTGATTTTCACTTAAAATATTTAAAGCCGTAAGGGAAACAACTGATTTTGCTTCGATTGAAATTCCGTTATAAGATTGCATTATATCGAATTTCATTAATTTTGCATTCACGTAGTTTGTAAAAGAGCACGGAGTAGAAAATAATTAAATATAAAGCGAGGCAGGAAATTCGATGAAGGAAATGAGAATCCTTCGAGGGATTCTCTCAATTTAACTATATTTGAGCAATATAGCTATTTTTAAAATCAGAAGAAATAAGGCAATTTGATTTATTCCTTTTAGCCGGAACTAATGATTCAATCAGATAATATATATTAAACATTAATATGCCCAAGAGAAATAGTGGTGAATGCAATGAACCCCTTTTGATTTATTAGTATGAGTCCACTTTGCTATTTTTAGAAAAAGAAAACATCTGAAAAACACTATTAATCTTTTGAAAACGAGTAAATCGCGAGTATTGTAAAAAACAGAAATATTAGAGTACTGGGTATGCAAACACTGGCGTATTCAACTACACCAAATGCGCCGCAATCGACGGATTTATTATTATATTGTTCGATGTTAAAATTGAACACTAAACATCACTGATATTTTTATCATCGCAGCATAATTGTATACAATGATAGACTACATTTTAGTATACATTTACAGTTTTCATTAGTTATTTATTGATTGCTCTTCTATTTTTTTCATTTTCAGATTTAATGCTCACCGGAAAATTCATCATTTTTTATGGAATCCGAAATTTATCAACAAAACCCCAAACATTCATCAAAAATATTAAATTTCCCACAATTGATAACAAAATTGTGACATTGGATGCTGTTTATGAGGTAAACATATGTAAATTTAAAAAAAATCAAGAAGATTATAGGATAATCTTCCAGGAGGATCATCGGTTGGTACTATTGTAGCTCTTCACGGCGCTTTTGGGTCTCATCACGATTTTCAACAAATCCGTAAAAATTTGGACGATTCCATTCGTCTAGTCGCAATTGATTATCCTGGATTTGGAATAACATCAGGAAAAATTTTTACTAAAAATAGATACATTATTAATTTTTAGGATATCCTAATCAAAAATTATTAAATGAAGAGCGTCAAAGCTATACAAACGCTTTATTAGATGAGCTAAATATTCCAGGAAATGTGGGTAATATTTTAAAGTATGGTCCAAATTTAAACTCTCTTGAATACAGTGTATTTGGGACATAGCCGGGGAGCCGAAAATGCGCTAATCACTGCTGTGGAGCGACCTGTAAGACTTTTCAAGTAGAAATAAAATTATTTTTTAAAAGTCTTCTCGATCTCGTCATTTAAAATTATTTTCAGAAAGCATGTGTAGGGCTTGTAGTGCTCAACAGTGTTGGTCTGCGCGAAGCAAAATGCCAAAAAATGTGCAACTCAGTGAGCAGAATTTATTGGAGTCTTCCGGAATGGATAGGAGATTATTTATTACATAAAGGTTAACTACGAACATTTTCACTTAATTGTGGTTTTTAGGGTTTAAAATGAGCGGCTATAAATATCTAAAAGACGGAAAATCAGCCATCATTTCAATTGATGCAGTTCTTTCAGTCGGTATGACCGATAACTTGCCATATATTGCAAAAATAAATGAAACGAATGTAAGCCTAATTTTTGAATGATTAAAATACCCAGTTTTAGATTAAAATTTGCGCAATGTATTCTGGAAATGATCATTTGATTGAAAAAGAAATTGGAAGTGAAATTTTGGACCATTACAAGAATCTAGAGAAGTTTGTAAGATTTATTTATTTAATATTTGTAATTTTCTTTTATTTTTAACAATATATTTCTGGGTGATGTCACCAGTGCCCCCAGTAGCCCCAAAATATTAATGCATAGCATAAAACATATTTTTTTAAAAAACCTTCAAATGGTGTTATTAAATAATGAAATATGAACATGTAAGTGTCATATTTAAAGATGATTAGGCAAGTAATGGTCTCTTAAAAAAGAAATTAAAAACAATGAGCTACTAATTCTTATAAGCATTTTAATGTTTATAGGAATTATTTTACTTGAGTAATTTTCAAAAAAAAAATCGGTAATCAAAGATTTATTAATTTTTCAGGACTTCGAATCGGAAATCGATGAGAATTCGATTGACGCCATATTGAAGGCGATTATTATCAAAAAAGTATAAAAAGTTTTGTTAAATTCCTTATTTATTTTGTTTATTTACAGGGTGTTCGGATATTCATCGAACAGGATGGGCATTACCAAAACAAGACGCGCGCGGATTTGATTGCCAAAATTTTGCAATCGATTCTTTTTAACTGTAATAATAAAATTTGATTGGATTATCTTGTCCGTGGTAACAGAATCCGACCGCAAAACAAGATCAAATATCAAAATGTGTAAAATTTCACCCACCGTCCCATTGATGACCCAGCACTATAACAATGCGCTTTTTAATGAGTTCGTCTTCCGCGCTTTCTTTTTCATTCCACTTTGGCTCAGCACGTCTTCATTTTGCCGCGTTTCCCATTTAGTTAAGGCAATTTCCTCCCACGGAAAATCCTCCTGTTTCGGCAATCCCACCAAACATAGTATGAATTAGGCAATAATATCTCATTTGTTTGAAGAGTTTTGCAAGTATCGTAAAGTTAAATTGTGTAATTTTAAATTTTACGTCCATATAACTTAATTTTTTCCATACATTTTTTCTTCAAATGTTCAGCCATAAAATGCATGCTGGTCACTCGATCGAATAAAAAGTAGATGAAGCCTCCTTTTCAGTAATGCAACGAATAGATAGAACACAATTTAAATTATTTATTGCAAGCTCGTTTTTTACATCACAGTTATTCTTCCAATAAGTTTGACAGCTTTACGAGTTTCTTCTCTCTTGGAAAAATTGTAAATTTCCAGAAATTATGAGAAATGGTTCTACTGGTGGCCCATTTTCATAAAAGTCGTGGGAAATTGTTTCGTAAATGGCTTTTTATCATGCCCCTATTTCAATTTTTCTACATTTCGATTATATTTAGTTATGATTCGCCGGCGGGATGCACTTCTCCGCAAACGGAATTCCAGCAAGATCTGTGATGTAAGCTGTGCAAGACCCGATGTTGATTCCAGCCAATTCAAGGTGACTGAGTTCTATTTCAAATATAGTTAAACTAGACTAGCCGAAATGCGGAAGCGGCGTCAACGAATTGTTGATTTACGACGTTTCGCTATAAATTTCAATCATTTCGAACCGGATAGCTGCATTATTTTGTTGAGAATTTTCAATTAAAATTCCACCATCATTTTTATAATTCGTTTTGAAAAATGAATTGTCACCATGATCGTTGATTATTTCATTTGCTATTTATATTATAGTGTGCCATATATTTTGTTCTACTTAAATTGTGAATAATGGAAATTGATTCACACGAATATGGGAGAAAACATGCTGCAGACAATCATCGGGTTACCGAACTCTTTTTGAAACGTCTTATCCAATTGCGAATGCACTTGCGAACTAGCGCTCCAAAATCAATACAGGAAGGCATGGCGATTATGATCATAATTGTGGCGCTCGCGCACATTCGGACGGCCAGTATTGTTTGCTCACGGTGAGCAGTCCCGGTGTGGCCACCTCCGGAGGCGCACCCCAACCGCCAACTGTTTTCTTAGCACTCATGACCGTTCGCGTTTCAGGATTTCATTGATTTTGCAGCAATTCTTGCCACTTTCTGTTTTAATTGTTTTTTCCTTACGTTTTCAAATAGAATGGTTTTCATATGGGAGCTCAAGAAATTCGCCATTCCACGCACAATCAATATTTTGAACGTAACCATATTCTAGGAAACAAATAACCATACTCATTACTTTGCAAATGTATTATAGAAATATTAACTCAATTTGGGTTCCCGTAAATCGTTACGCGCCTTTAAATAATTTATTTTAGTTTCGCGATCGTATTGCATTTATTCACGATTTTGATTGGAATTTCCGTATATTTGAACATTAACAAATTAAAAAATTTTCTTGAAGACTGATCAAATGCCAAAAAATTTAGGTACATAACTTATGTGTGCACCTATACGACCGATTCAGGTAGACTCTTATTTTCCTGTAAGGTGTTATAAATAATATGACATTACTTCTTTGAATGATATATTGTCGAGGACGGAAAAATATACACGAGCTGCTTATTATTCAGAATTGGCATCATGCCCTTGAACAACTTTCAATTTGATATTGTTTGAAATTCGAATTTAAGAGATACGGTATTTATCAAAGAAGCAAGTAAAACTTTGTTCAATGCTTTGCACTTGTAAACACAAATATGATAAACTCATGTAAATGTGTCCAATTTCTCTCTCTTTGACTGTATACTTTTTAATAAACAAATTGTAAATTTAAAATAATAATAATAAATTGTGAAACTGATACTTTTAATGTTACCTGATACTTCTCTGGTTCGTTCGTCGTCACCACCCTTCTCTAACTCTCGCGTTCTATCACAATTCCAGCGATGCTATTCTGCGTCTCTCAATCTCGATCACTCACTTGCTTTTTTCAAACATTGTTGTAGTATAAGTGATTCGTATCAAAAGTTGAAATAATCACTCTTTTTTTTTTCGGCTGGTATTTGTTTGTTTTCTCATATTTTTCTTTTTATGGCCGTTTTCGAATAGTAAGGCCAACTGTGTGCTCAATTTTCTACATACGTACATATACATATCTCTGACGTGATCTAGATGTGGGGAATCTTCAAAATTATTACTTTTTGATTTAAAAACTCCAATACTAATGCAAAATATCATAAATCGTGGAAAACTCTGACGTCAGAGTACAATAAAAATTTTCCTAATAAAAAAACGCCGAATAACATATTTGTGTTTCTCTTTCTTATTATTATTTTCAACCTGTGGGCACAACCACTGCTCTTCCCATGTGGATTAAAATATCAAAATCCGATTCCAATTCAAAACCATTGCATTCTTTTTTTTTGTTCATAATTTTTTTCTTTTGACTCCAACGTTTTCCAATTGAATACAATTATATACGGCATAATGCATCTGAATCAAGTCGTTCGTTTTCTGGTCTCCTATCGAGTACAGATTTTATACGTTTTCCTGCCGAAATATGGTTTGAGAAGATGCTGGCTGTCTTTTTGACAACCAATTATTATGCATGTATTATTCATGTGTTTCATTTTTCCGATTGTGTGTGTATATGTGTAGAATTCTCTTTTACACATACACACAAAGCGTGCTAGTTGGGAGTTTAAATACAAATATTGTTGAAACACACCTTTCAGCGGTCCTTTCCTTATTTTTTGAAAAATTCTCATGTGTTTTTGCTTATCACATTTACTCTCTGAAATTTTGATCTACCAATAAATTATATTTTCGTTATGGCGCAAAGGTATATTTTCTGTGTTTTCTTGGTTTTGACACGAATCAATGAAATTAAATGACTTTTAAAATTATTATTTATAACAAATTTCTAAAAAAACATATGCTTCAAAATTCTTCCAACGCCATTCATACTTCCAATCCTTCAATTATTAAATTTTTTTAATTTTTAAAATTATCTTCGAACCGCAATAATTCAAATACCATTTTTAACCTTTCGATTTTTTTTTGAAAAAAAATTAATGTTCCACTCGGCTGATCTACGTATAAGACTTTTTTAATGATTTATTTTTCATGAAGATGAAATATATTCTCTAGAACGTTTAAAAGAGCAATGAAAACATCGCATTTTATTCCTAACAAGTCTTCAATTGTAAGTCTTCAATTCCGATGACAATCCCTTTCTTAACTCGTATTATAAATACAAAAAAAAAGGGCCGACGATTTGCGTACTTGAGAATGTATACAATTTCTTACCTTTTATGTTTACATAACTTATTAATGACTCAGAAAACGAAAAAAATTGTCGTATGAACAAAGATGAATGAATTGATTGAAACTCTTTCCTTTTAAATAGTCAAGTCTTATCAAGACACATTCCTTGTTCGCAGCGTTCTTAATTTATTAGGCCATTAGAAATAAGTTAGATCAAATGACCTTTTACGCTCATATCTGGGCGGTATCATAGAAGAAGTAATCAAAACTCCGATAATGAAAATAAAGGATTTTTGAAAAAAAATGGCTAAAGGCGATTGCACATTGTTAATCTATGGCTGTTGGCGGAATAACCTGTCACTACAGAAACCATATGGTGTTGCAAGAAATCTGTTTACTTTTTTCTCCGCCATTTTTGGGCAGTGTAGTTGCGTGTCGAAACCAGTTCACATTTGCCTTTTTTCCTGTCGAGAGATCGCCACGCCCACTTTCGAACTTTGACAAAACTGTGGGAGAGAGTGCGCCGACCAGAGGGCCGGGCGACGGCGGAAGGGTGGCTGAGCGAGCGGCGAGACAATACTTTTGTCTCTGTGTCTCTTACACTTCAATGCAGGTGATGCTGTGCTGTGCCTCTCCACCTTCGACGACATGATGATGAATTTTTGTGTTCGTTTTTTTGTCGACGTTCAAAAATTGCAACTTATTGTTTGATCACTTCTCATCCTTCGAGACCCTTCATCGCTTTTTTTCGATAGTTCTTATCGATTTTTTTTATCTTATCGCACTGCACAGTTTTGGAGCATCTGCAAAAACAAAACACGCTTAGATTGCAGTTTTGAGTTTCATGCATATTTGAAGCGATTTCGAAGTCCCCGTTATTTCTGCTCTATTTTTTATCTACCTGATCTCTTATGTTTATTTTACTGAATATCCAGAAGTTATGGATAAGAGTTTGCTTTTTCGGGCACGAGAAACGGAAAAGTAATTCTTATCGTAGAGTTGAAATGACCTTTGACCTCATGCTCCGCATTCCGAAATTCTGTTTTGATTTATTTTCTCTTGGTTAATCGAATACATGCAGTTATATTCCAAATTTTCGCTACGAGCATGTAGTCTCTTCAAAATTCTGTCTTTTTTAAAAATCGTCTAAATTTTTTCTTTTTTTTTCTATAGAGTATAATTTAATCGACTTATCGATAATTCCTATAAATCCTTATCAATTTCTTCGAAATTCACACGTTTCGCTTTTCATTTCCTCCCAACACGTATCTGTGGTTCAGATCTCGATGCCAGTGTGAGAAGAAGGCCCGCCACACCTAAAATCCGTCATCCAACAGCAACCGACATAAAAAAGAAAAAAGACATAGAAAGAGAGAAACCGTTTTTCGTATTATATTCATAATTATATCGTCTCGCTATCTTTCCGAAATTCGCCGCCGCCAAAAGCGTCTCCATTTGAATTCGTGCCAAATCCATTTGAATTTCGGTTACTTGAAGACGACATTTCGACAACGATGCCTAATTTTGGCGAGCAGCCACACACGTCCTATGTAAGTTGATTCCACCTCCCCCTTGCCGACTTTTTTTGTGGTTCTCTGGCTCATTTGAAAAACCACCAGTTGTTGTTACGCGATAAAACACATTAATTTCGTCTCGCGTGGCTCTTTCGATGACAACCGCGAATATCAGATTTTTATTCGGATCGAAAGACATATTGTGGATTCCTATGAAATCGGGAAGCTTTAGCAACAAAAGAAAGTCAGTGCACTTCTCTTTTAGTTTGTTGCACTTTCAACATTACGTGAATCAATTTTACGCAGTAATATTAACTTCACCTCCACCTCATTAGAAGTTGGAAATATGCTCCCGTCATGCGTATTAACAACAAGATCGTAAAAAGCAGCGGCTACATGTTTTCCCGTTGTCTCAATTTACATACAAAGTGACCCAAGGATTGGGGGATGTTGGGGAAAAAACCGAAAAACAGGTCACTCGGAATCGCAATTGACCTTTTGCCCACCTCATTCAGTTTTTGCCCTGCACGTTTTTGTCATGCATTGAAATCGTTTTTGGCAGGTTCACGCATCAAAGATGGCATGCGGTATTAGTACATAATGTATGACAATTAATCATTATAAGGTGTTCGAGGGCGGGCGCGATGGACCGGTTTTGCAAAAAAAGGTATTGTGTGAGTTAGACTCATCTATGGCTAAGTTATCTATCATCATCCTTGTGATTGAATACATTATTATTATCAATCAATTGCGATTCACGGTTCATCGACACCGCCTTGATAAATGTCCTTGCTATCATAATCGCAATGAGCGAGCATACCTTTTGCATATTCATGCCGAATTCAATGAATTCCCGAGTAGGTGACCAGGCGCGGTAAGAAGTTTTTGAAGGACATTTGCCAAACAACATTCGAGGGGTATATATGGAAATAAGAAAATAATTGATGGTTACCGGTATATTTATGGTTCTGTCTGACCTATGCGAACGTATTATATAAATGGATCTAAGGGATTCACGTACGTTTTGTGATTTATAGCATTTAAGTAAATTGGATTTATTTTTCAAAGCATTCATTCAAAAAAGGCGCTTCTTCTTAGAGAAAATGACTTCGTCCGTGGCTGGTTGTAGCATTGTTTGGAATGAATCATGACAATTTGTCGGCGCAATTTCGTTACACTAATTCAATTATGCCAAAACTGACAAAAGATTCTACGTCTTGTTTCTTTTGAAGAACAGAATAAATTACAGGCTCGCCTAAAATCGGTGATCGGCCGGAATGCAGTTAACGTTAATGCATGTGCCCTTCATCATACAACAGATACTTTGCTCCAAGTTGCTGGGTAATTAATTCAGTGGAATTCAAAAATGTATGGTTCTCGCTTCAGGTCATCAATTATTGTCAGCTCAACAGCAACTTTGGACAAGTTAGAAGGGCACCTGATATCAAGAAACAAGCAGATTTTTACATGTGTTGCTATAACAACTTGCGGAAGATTTGCAGCAACTGGAGAATCGGGGCATAATCCGAATGTCCGAATTTGGCAGCTACGTGATGATCAGGGCAATTTTGTTGGAAAACTTGTGCGCTCGATGCCTGCACATACTGTATCTATCATCATAGTGGTATGAATTATTGGAATTCCATGTTGGAAATTGTTTTGCAGAAATTTACTCCTGACGATAGTACACTAATATCTATTGGTTGCCAACATGATGCTCAAATCATCACCTGGAATTGGAGAACGGGCCAAGATATGGGAGTTGGAAAACTCACATCTCCAGTCAATGCCATAACTGTGTCCTACGATTCAAGTATGTGTGTCACTGTTGGTTGCAAGTCTGTCAAATACTGGTTTCTTCCCATGGCTTCTGATGGTGTTAACAAACGTTCTGGGCTGACGGTAATTGTATATCATAGTGGAAAATGTGACCAACTTCTCAAATTTCCAGAGTCGCTCGGCAATCCTAGCGGATAAGCGAAACGTGACCTTTGTCGACGCCACATTTTGCGATTCTTCGAATCGATTAGTTACAGTCACTTTAAGCGGAGAGATTCTAGAATTCAATGGAAATAAGAAGGTAGCGTCTAAGTTAAATCAAAATCAGCATGGGAATCACTGGATAATTCCATTTTAGTACGTCAAATGCTATTCGTGGAAGGACACCTTCAAGGCCGTATGTGTCGCTCGAATACCAGAAGGGCTACTTGTTGGCTGCTCTGATGGTTTAATTCGACTTTTCTGTCTTATCGGAGACGATCTCGACTTTCTTGCTGATCTCGCGCCTCCAATCCATCTCTTCCTGGACCCGGCACTAGTTTACGAGCCGCAACAACTTGTGGAACATCCTGAGGATGCTATGTATGTAATTCATTTCATGTTGAATGATTTTTCTTGCAGGTTTCCTGAACCTCGTTGTATTACTGCCAGCCCTAGTAGTGGCTCGTTTGTCGTCGGGTACGCTGACAGATCTCTCATCGAGTTTTCTCGGGAACACCAACAATGGTCATTCAGAAGAGCTAGTCTCGCCCATGTAGGAGCTGTGAACTGCATTGAGGTTCAATCAATTTTAGTATGGGAATATCTCACTACATTTATCTTAGAATTTTCCATCATCATCACCAAGCTTACCACCCGGAACTGTCATTACCGGTGGCAATGACGGAACAATTCGATTCTGGAATTTCACCACTGATGATGAAGAAAAGAAAGAAATCGTCAACATTTTATGCCCAAATCTTCTGAAAGTCATCTATTTGGAAGATGATTCAGCACTTCTTTTAGATAAAAAACAATGTAGACTTAACAGCTAGTAATATTAGGAAATTGTGTGTTTAGATGAAGCTGTTGGCTCAACAGATAATGGACAATTTGATAAATCTGGCGTTCTTTGTACACGAATATCGCACGACGGTAGGCTTATGGTGGCTGGCACTGTGACAGGAACAATTTTGTGAGACATAACTTTTGGTTGACTTAATTGAAAAATCCTACATTTAAGCTTCATCGATCTCTCGTTTTCCGATATGCCTACGCTGGATGTAGTAAATGCGCATGATAACGAGATTGCCACTTTAGATTTCTCCGATCATGCAACCACCTCTAAACACGATTATCCCACTTTTTTGGCATCCGGCGGGCGCGATAGATTTGTGCATGTGTTCAGGTAAAAATATTTTTAAGTTGAAAAATGTTCGAATTTTTTAGGAGGATACCCTACAGTTCCCAATTTTCTCATTGTGCCGTTCTTGACGCTCACCAATCTGCTATCAAGTCGGTTAAATTCGCGTGGAATGCCGATAAACTGCATCTCTACACATGCTCAAGCGATAAAACGGTTTTGATCTGGAAACTGACAGGGATTAGCGACGAGCGATGCGAATTCTCTCGAATTCACCAACTGTCGATACCATCAAGTATTTGTGATATGAATTTTGTTAAGCATGCCGATATTCTGGTTATCGCGGGACATGATAGGTGAGACTAAGAGTTTCATAATTGTCATAGCGAATTTGAATTTTAGAATTCTTCGTCAATTCGACCTCAACGGCAAACTAATTCGAGAAGTCAAAGGTGCCGACGACGATGTCGCCCAACACGGCAAAATTGTCAAAGTGACAACCGACTCATCGGCTTCATACGCATGCGCAGTGTGTTCTGACAAGTTCGTCTACGTGACCGATATGCGAACCGGAACGTGCCTCGCTGCTCTTTGCGGATTTGGAGCTCCACCAACTGATGCAGTTTTTTCTGAAGACTTCAGGTCGGTTCACGTTTCCAGTTTTTTTTAAATCCCAGTTTTCTTGTTACCACAATAAGCCTTATTCCCTAATCGATTTTAGAAATGTGATGGTTACTACATCGCAAGGTTTCATCTTTATCTGGCGACTTGCCAAGAATCTCACAGAGCGCATGGTTTCAGCACAAGTTCGACTCATGGAGGAGATCACAATGAGGTTGTGAATTCTTGGATTTATTGGCGCTTAATTCAATTTAGTAGCAAAAGGCGTTGAAATTTTGAAGAACCGGGTTTTGAGATCGTATCAGAGCAAAAGATCTCAAGCCCGATCCAAATCTCGACCCCGATTCAACTAGTGCGGCGTTCAATCTTAGCTTATTGTGTTTTTCGCGCTTTCTATTTCATGTTGTAATCCTTACTGTTTTGCTTTTTTTTAAAGAACATCGTCTCCTGATAGTCTATTAGGCAGTGGAAGTGAAACGATAAGCGATTCAAACTCGCTGAAACGGCCTCTCGGTGCACCGGAATTCAGCGGATGTTCAACGTCGTTGTGCTCATATCAAGCCGACGACGACGATTCGACTCAATTCTCATCTTCTGGTACGTTAAAATAGATTTCTAAGAGTATTAGAATTTTTGGGAGTGTTTCCAACACGAACAAGAATTGCCGTAAGAACTATGAAAAAAAGGAAGTACGCACCCTGGGGCGTATTTGTCACAGATTTGCGTTCAAAACCCTAGCGTTTTTGCACATATCCTGAATTTAAACCACGTTTTTTACAATTCTGATTTGAGGATTTTTTTGCAATTCTCGCCATCACGAAAGCCGTTTTTCAAATTTTCAGTGCGAGGAAGTCAATCGAAACGCTTAAATCCTGTGAATTGGCATCAGATTGGCAGCTCGAGTTTTGCTCGCCTCGGTGATAGGTCGGTTTTTGTTTCTTTCGTCGTTACACAATTTGCATACGTACAACTCTCCACCCTTCGGCCCATCTCGTCGGCCCATCTGCTTTTGTCTCATTTTGTTGCCCACCAACGCTTCAAAAATTGTTTAGTACAATTTTATACATGCGTTATGCGTCATTCTACACCCGTTCGTTTTTCAATTTGCATACCATTTTATTCGGTTTTTAAAGTGTTTTATGTGTATCGTTCAAACTGAAGGTTACACATCCGCGAGTGATGAGAGTACGATGCCCAGAGTCAACGAAACAAAAACATTCACCGATGAAATCGTAAAAATTTATTTGAAATTTGATTTGAGTTTTTTTTTAGCTCTCTCGTAGAATGACTATAGCGAGCTGTCTCCAGTAAAATCTTCATTAGAAGATGCGAACTTTTATCAGTTATTTTATATATGTAGTCTGTTTCGCATGAAATTGAAAAAAAAACAAAAATCGTACTGTCGACGTCATGCGACTGCGGAACTCAACAAGACCTCTCCCTAGCTTTATTTTTCGGAATTTGGCCAATTTTTCGCAGTCGCCCGATGTCGACAATACTAGGGATAAAAAAGTTCAAATGGGGGCCCGGAAACATTTGTGGAACGTCCAACCGAGCTCAGCAGCATCGCCACTCCACCTTCCCTCGATTGACTGGCGCTGAGCAAATATGCCTGCGTCTCGTTGGTTTGCGCGCTAGGCTGGTTTACCGGCATCTTAATGGACTGGTGTTAATTTGCATAAATATTTTGGATGGATTATCGCAACTCGTACCGGTTGCTGCGCGCGAAACGCACCATCACGTGAAGCGGCAAAACGTATTTGATTTTGATTAATTGATTTTCAGTTTGCTTCATCATCAAATTGATTCAATTTGTTTCAGTGTCATCATAGCAAGGCTAAAGCTCATTCAGCCTTTCCGATTTATCTGAGATGAAGCGGTAATTTAGAGTTTACTCCATATTGCTTCAATGAATTGCAATATTTACTAGCTCAGCATTCAGATCATTCGCAAATTGTTCTGTTATTTACTTTTTCGTGATAATGGGAAGCCCTTCGCTACTTGTAAGTGATCTATTTGCACTGTTCCTCCAAAAATTTTTTTTCATTTTTGTTTCAACACTCCTTTAGGATATCAGTTTCGGACAGCTCCTCATTGCTTGTTTACCGTGCTCCGCTTCGGACCCTCTTGCGATCCCATGGTATCTCGTCCCACTTTTCCGTTCGTCTTTTGTCTTGCCGGTTATGCGAATTGTATATACATGTTGTAGTTTTCTTGCCGCTCATCTTCCGATATGCATTTTTTCGTTTTGAAAATGTACGACGACGTCGTAGACTATTATCACATAAATGCGCTGAACCGTTGAATAATCGCCAAAACGACGACGACTTTTTGCATAGAAAATTTACTATTATGGGTGGTTGTCCATGATTTGATGCATCACTTGAGTTTTATTGTACGCGCGGCTTTTGTTATCTGTTTTGCGACTACATATTTTAAAGTTGAGAACTGGAAAATTTCTTGTTATATTGCTTGAATCCGAACGAATTCTCACAATTCCTAAATTGTTCCTTTCTGCAAATTTTCGATTAATTAATTGGGAAAAGCCAATCATGACAAGCTGTTTCAACAAATTGTTTCATTTGCCGAGGCGATTCCAATATATGTATATATGTAATGTTAAATCCTCGTTCGAGAATCATCATTCCCTACCAAATTTTATTGAAGTGTCATTTCTCCCACATGGAATTTACATAAAAATGAGGATATGATATATTCGAATTATTGATTAACTGTCATCCGTTTCGTCAAATATGAAAGGCTAAATATGCACAATTGAATGGTATTTGTTCAACGCATTTGCGATCGACACATTCCGGGAAACTGCGACAACAACAACAACAACAATTATATTATCAGTTCTTATCAATATTATCTTATTATGGATTGCGTGCGTTCATAAATTCTGAACGCATTCCATCGTTTTCCCGTCATCACATTTAGCTTTTGGGTGTAACTTTATTGCCGTTTTTTGCATTTATCTTTATTCCAAGGTCGTTTTTTTCTAAAAAAAAATGTGTTATTTTAATGGAAGGCTTCTTTTCACGCTTAGGGTGTTTCCTTTTAAGGCGGCAGCGTTGTTGTCGAAGGACCTTTTTATGGAATTTCTCCTGACTATGTTTGGTAACTGTTCGTCATCATCGCGACATGTCCTACATACTTCCAAACACGTCTCCCATTTTTCCCATGCACTCGCCTTTCTCATTTTTTTGTTAAACAAACATTATTTTTCACTTCCATCTATTTTGGATAACTTTTCATAGAGGAAAAACACATCATTTTTGTACTTGTGCCGATTATTATTGTTTGTTGATATATTCGATAATTCGGGTTAATTGTGGATTACGGCGTTTTTCGTGCGGCGACCTTGAAGTTTTATCGAATTCCTTGCGATATTCGTTGGGCATTTATTCGTTTTAATTTAAATGTTTGACTTGGTTGTGTTTGTGTTGTTGTTCAAAACAGCTGATTTCGTTTTGATGACGGACATTTTATGATGTGTGAAACACATGCTCGGTCGATCGCCGCCGACATTGCGCGGCGGCGGCGGGCCATCATAATTTTATTTTTGATTGCATGATGGATGAGAAATTGTTAAATGGCGCGGCATGATCAGAGAGTGACTAAATCTTGACAGTTTTCGGATTTTCAAATTCCATATACTACCGGATTCTAAAAGTAATAATAAGTTGTAGGCAGACTAACCTTAAAATATTACATAAAATTATGTTTTGGAGCTATGAAGTTGTATAAAAATTACTTTTTTACAATAATTCCCAATGATTTCAATTGTGCAGATTTCTTACCTCTCGGCTTTTAAAAAATCCTCATTCGTTAAGGTCATAATTAATAATGCAAATATCGAGTGTGAAAGATATATGAGAAAACACTTGTTTGATTCGATATCTCTCGCCGTATTCTCTGGCTTTTCCATACTCTATCGTTGATCCATGGACTTTTGTCAAAAATCCTCTTCATTTTCTTGCTCCCACATCACTCGTTTTCTTTCCGCCGCGGGTGATTCGTCTAAAATTATAAAAAATGCTGGTGTGTATTCGGTAAAATGTCAACAACGAGTTGAAGTAATGTTGAATTCAAATTTTCAGCTCGTTCTCGCCATCGGTTCAGTTGGCACCGGCTGTTGAGAGGCGAACCCATACGAACATATTCGCTTCACCGGACCAATACGGTATGGTTAAACAACATCAAACAATTAAAATTCAAATGATATTTTCCAGAAACTGACGCATCAGAAACTCAATCGGATTTTGTTTCGGCTTCGTCATCGCGTCGAAAAAATCGCATCTTCTCAGAAGAAGAAGACAACGAAGATTCGGCCAGCCATTTTGGAACCGTAGGTGGGATTTTGTCCTATTTTTGTTCAGAAATGCTATGATATAAAGTTACAAAATTTACCAAAAATATCTTCAGGGCACCACACACATTTCTTGTCGCCACCATCTCAAGAAATTCGGCGTTCGGCTTCTCCCGGCTACCAGCAAAATAGCGAGCAACTCCGCGGCTACCAGAGCAGCAAATCCATGATGAACTTAAGGTATCTATCATGCATTTTCTTCTCTCATCTCAACATTCTTCTTCGTGTTCAGAGACGTCAATGGAGGCGGTGTTCGAGTGCCGACAGCTAAAGAGCTTATGATGTCCACAATTGCGGCTCAGCGAAACGCGGGTAATCTCAATCGTTCTCGTTTTCTTTTAATTTAATTATTGAATGTAGGATCATCATCACATTTGTCGAACAACAACACCAGTTCATCTGGCAGAATGAAATGGGGCGAAATGGCACCGGTGCAGTATAATGGTGTGTGGTTGTTGAAGGATTTGAAATAATTTTCTCTCCGCGAAATTCTATTCATTAACCGAATTGTTTTTGTGTGCACGTGGCGCGGTCGCATCACCTTTAAAGTGGTCCTTTAATGAGGGCCGGAAGATCTGGGCAGGTGTGACGAGAGAGTGTTGCGAAATGCTAGACGCCGATATCCCGAGATGTCCTTGTTTCTTGCCAGTTGGTTGCCAAACACCGACGCCCGCGCGATTTGAAATTTCGTCGTTTCTCCCCATTTATGGTAACTTTTCTTTGCCTAATTATAGTGTTGATTTCGACCTCTCTCGTCACTAAGCGCAAAATGAAATATCCCAAAAAAAGAGAAGTTTTGGGCGTTTTCTCGACGGTTTTCCCTTTGAATACATAATGAAACGGCTTTAGACTGGCAGCCGGCCTCTTCTGATATTCATCACATTCAACCTGCAATGGTGTCGTCGTATATCAATCAAACCCACGGTTAGTGGTTTTGCTACTTTTTGCCTAAATAAATTGTATACATTTCAAATAAAATTAAATTATGAAAAAAAATTGTACAAAAAGTTCTTCCGATGGCAGTTGTTGCTATTGGAAAACGTTTTTTATTTCGAAATGATCATCGAAACCTTGGGATAGATCGCATTGATTAATTACTCACGGCTTTTGTTTGACTCATAATTTTTTCGGTGAGCTATCAGATTTTAAACATTTTAAAGATTTTCTTTTGAATAAAACACCGTTTTTAAAGAAATTCTGCCACATAATCTTTTGGATAATCCGTTTTTTGCAGGATATCCAGATTCAACGTCTCATCCTCCTCCAGTAGCTCCACGCACTTCGTCGCGTGTTCTATCGACTCCTCCATCGCAGCAGGCGATTCAGCAAATTCAGGCGAATTCGCCATTCCGCAGAAAGTCCATGGAACGCAACAGTTTGTCTAGAAAATTTCTTGATAATGGTGGAACGCAGCCCAAAACGGTTTGGAGTCCGCAGACGCTGTCAACGAGCTCGGCAACGCGACGAAGCAACTCGAATCTTTTTGCCTCCTCCATGGATTCCAATACGAATTTGGCAAGGAAATGTAAGTTTTGATCAATTTTTGCATTTTTTTATAAGATGGTTTTGTAATTTAAATGATTTAGCAAATTACAAGCAAAACAAAGCTTTGCGTATAAATATCCTTAGGATTCTGTTCTCGCTGATCAGACTCTCCCAATTTTCCCGATCTAACTGTACGAAAGAATTCCACCCTGAACCCCCATTTTCAGACCACAAACCAGATTCTCAAAAATTGCGATTTTCTGCGATTCAAACTCGCGAGATTCATTTTGATGATGATTTTGGCGCTGGGTCTGATCATTTTTGTGCTAATGATAATGTTGATGAGAGACGAGTAAGCTCCACAACGGCAACATCGCGAGCTCGACGCAATCGGCCGAACACAACGGTTGTGGATATGAGAGAGACGGAAGCGGCACGGCGTCGCGTGTTGCGATCGGCATCGAGTAAACGTATAGGTGATCATCACAGGCGTCCCTCTTCGTATTCTTCAACGCTTAATTCTATTTGTTTGGGATTGCATGCTCATTTCCATTGGCTTAACAGAGATTCCGAACCGATCTTGTTATCGACAATTTTCTCAGAAATCCATATTGGCTAGTTGATTTTCTCATTCCGATTCTAAAAATTTTCAAGAAATCCCCATTAAAGCTTAATAATTTTGCTACTAACTTCAATTGTCGACATCACAAACCACAACCGAAAAGCAACAGAAAATCCATCACAGAGAAATTGTACGCACATAAACATATTTTGAAAACTAGGAGGGGTTTATCTTCCTTTTGCTTCTTTGAAGGGTTTTGACTTCTTCTTCTTCTTCTATTTCTTCTACCCACTTTTTTTTATTCACGGGATCACACACACTTGGGAATTGCATTAATTTCTAAATCAATCACAATTTTTTCAGCTGAGGAGCCGACATTCTCATATTCGCTTCGTAGTCGGAGCCAAAGCCCGAATAAATCGGCTTTGAGCCATATGCTGAATCGCGATTCAAGCCCATCGTCGACTGCTACTAGCAGTGTTGTTAATGCGGGCTCGCGAGATCGAACGATGCATTTACAACAAAAGCGAAGGGTGAGATAGAGGGATTATTGAGAAAAATTCAAATCGTTTTTGGTTTTAGGATTCTGACATCTCGTATTTCAAGTCAGCTAACAGAGGTAGAGACGAGATGAGGAAGAGCACGGATGCACTTAATAAGCTTATGGCTGTTAGAAGCAAGTAAGTGTAAAGTAATGTGAGGTCATTAATAATTGCATTTTCTTTTCAGACTTCATCAGTCAAGTGAGAATTTGCGAAAATCGACGGAGAACTTGTCGCTTCTGAAGCAAATAGACGATGATGGTAATCAACGAACGCGAAGTATTACCAACTTGAGGAACATCACAAAAACAGGAACCAATGGCGCCGAGACCTTTGGGATATTTGATGCCGATTCAAGAAATCGCTCCGGGTATGATTTAGATCTACGCGTTTTTGATTTATTTAAATTGTATATATTTGACAACTTACTTACTTACTTACTTAGTCACTTAGTCGATCCGTCCTTCGCTTGCAGCGCGGATCACAGCTTTCCATTCGGCTCTGTCCTTAGCTCGAGTTGTCCAGTATTTGACGATGCGGTTGTTCCGGTCTCGTACGCAGTGGTTCTTTCTCAGCGAGTCGTTCCATCTCATCGGTGGTCTTCCTACCGGTCGTTTCCAGTCTCTGGGATACCATTCCATAGTCGACGTTGTCCATCTTCCATCTGTTCTTCGAGCTACATGTCCGGCCCATCTCAGTTTTGATTCCACTAGGTGTTTGATTGGATCTTTCACTTTTGATAATTGGCGGATGTCCGTTCCATGATATCCTCTTTCTCGTTGTTCCAGAAATGTGATTCCAACCAACTTTCTTTCTAATGAGGCATGCGTTACACGAAGGCGATTTGCCAAAGCTTTCGTGAGGGTCCATTGTTCAGCTCCATAGCAAAGCGAGGGGAGAACGTGGCTGTCGAATAGTTGGGCTCGAGTTTTAGCGCATGTGATGTGGTCGGTGGTCGATCTGATGTTGTTGAACGCCGCCCATGCGGCTCTTCGTCTTCGATGAAGCTCGGGGAGGAGTTCATTCCGAGGGTTGAGTTGGCGGCCTAGATAAACATATTCTTCTACATCTTCGATTGGGTATCCGTGAATAGTAATCGGCAACGGGTCGCAAAGAGATGTTCTCATAGATTTGGTCTTCCTTTCGTTGACTTTCAAACCAACTATTTTGCTCGCATCGACCAGATTTTCTAGCATTTCCGTGGCTTCTTGAGGTGTGTGGCTGATGAGTACGATGTCGTCGGCAAATCGTAAATGATTTAACTTCTTGCCATCAATCGAGACTCCAAAATTCGACCAGTCTAGCTGTCGAAATATTCCTTCCAGGCAAGCGGAGAATAGATTCGGAGAGATGGGATCTCCTTGTCTAACACCTCGTGTGATCGGAACGTCTATGTTGTTGTAGAAGGGTCGCAAGGTTGTGGAGCAATCGGTGTAGCAAGCTTCGAGGATTTTGACGTAGCTTTCATCAGTTCCTTGTTGGCGCAGACTTTCCCATACTGCTCTAGGTTCGACGCTGTCGAACGCTTTGTGGAAATCTATGAAGACAAGAGCAATAGGCATGTTATGTTCACGAGCAATTTCGAGTACTTTTTGAACTGTGCCAATGTGGTCCATTGTAGAGAAGGAACGGCGGAAACCTGCTTGTTCGACGGGTTGGGCTTCTTCAAGTTGGTTTCGCATTCTCGCCAGGAGGCATTTTGTGAAGAGCTTGTATAAAACTGATAACAATGTTATGGGGCGATAGTTTTCATGATCTTCTTTATCTCCTTTTTTGTGAATCAGGCTGGTTTTTGATGTTTTCCAAGCATTAGGGATGGATGTTGATTTGAGGTACCAGCTGAATCTATTTGCGATCAGTTCAAGAATTGAGTCGTCACAGTGTTTCAAAAAGTCGGCCGAGATCTTGTCGCTTCCGGCTGCTTTTCCGTTTGCAAAAGATTTGAGCGAGTGCTTTACTTCGGCAAGGAGAAAAGATGGTGTTTGAGACGTGTCGGGTGGAGCGGTAGGATGTGGCGGGAGCATGTGGCTAGCGAACAAACTGCTGTAGAAGGCTCCAATTTCTTCTTCGATACCTGTTCTTGATGTTATCCTTGCTCCAGTGGTGCTGCTCTTGAGGCATGGAATTGTTGATTTGAACTGATTTATGTCGCGAGCGACTTTTTTCAAACTCATTCTTTTTTCGGCCGCGAAAAGGAGTCGGGTTTTGGCGTATTCATCGTGGTCCTTCCTCAAGTTTGTTCGGCATTGTTCCGATAGCAATTTGAATGCGGGATCGTCTCTGCTCATGAAGCGACGTTTGGCGAGCAGTTTCTTCGTGTTTTCGGAGATTCTCCTTGTGGCGTGATTTGCAGGCTTGATGAGGGCTTGTTCTTGAAGACTTTGAAGATAGCATATCAGACGTTCGTAGTCTTCGTCGATATTTGGGGTGGTGGGAAGGTGAGCTCCGATAGTGATTTGAGCAGCAATTTTGGAATCAAGGCATTTTCTTGGTGGCATTCTCTTCCTGATTTCAGCTGACTTGGTTTTCTTGATGTTGAAATGGATATTGCAGCGAAGCAGGCGATGGTCACTTCCCGTGGTGAAAGAGGGAAGCACGTTCACATCGGTTACGAATTTTCCATTTGATAAAATGTGGTCGATTTCGTGCTTATGGTTTCCATTGGGGCTCACGTGGGTCCAGCGTTTGTTCGGAGGCTTTTGAAACATCGAATTTGTGTGCCATATTCTGTTTGATTCGCAAAATGTGGCTAGCAGTTCTCCTGATTCGTTCCGTGGTTCCATCGAATTGGTGCCAATGTATTTTTCTTGAGCTTTTCGTTCTCCAATTCTTGCGTTGAAGTCTCCGATTATCAACTTGAACTTGCTTCTACTGCTGTGGTATAGATCTTCGAGGTTTTCATAGAAATCCGCTAGTTCTTCGTAATCAGTATCAGCAATCGGAGCGTAGACTTGGAAAACGGTGCAATCGAAGCGTTTGTTGACCATGAACTTGAGATAACCGATCCTTTCGTTGACAAATACGACTTCTTTTAGACTTTTCATAAGACGTCGGTGGACAATGAATCCAACACCGCCAGATGTTGAGGAAGCATTTCTGGATCCGAGAAATACTCCGGTGCCGTCGATGTGTGTTTCGTGGGATTCTGATGCTCTTTTCGTCTCTGCGAGGCCAATGATGTCGTACTCGATTCTTTGCGTCTCGTTTAGCAGCTCTTCGAGTCGTGTTCCGTTGGATAATGATCTGCAGTTGAATGTTGCGATTCGGGCGTTGATTTTTCGGGTTTGGTGGGGTTTCCGGTGTTCCTGGATTGGTTGAAGGTAGACGGTGCTGACTCCGAGATTAGATCGCCTTTCTCGACTTTCATCAGCATCTACCGTAACTGATGAGGAGGCCGAGTGCGGAGAACTAAGGCAGTTTTGAAGGCTGTTTGTAGCTTTTGTGGTTGCCCCTGGGATACCCAACAGTAGCTTGCTGGGCTAAAGTTGAGCCTTTAGGGAGGAGAGTTGTGGACGAAACCTCCGACCTGCGGGAGGCGGTGTACCTCTTAGCCCACAAGAACACCTACTAGTAGTGACCAAATCTACTAGCTAGAGTTGTAAGGTGGTGTGGTTGATCTTCTTCGCCACGGAGAGGCTCGGTACAGAAGAAGACCTTTGGGATATTTGATGCCCCGAGACCTTTGGGATATTTGATGCCGATTCAAGAAATCGCTCCGGGTATGATTTAGATCTACGCGTTTTTGATTTATTTAAATTGTATATATTTGACAAATCCATTCAAATGCTATTTGCGAAAAATGAATAAGATGGCGCTATCAACATTTTTATTGATAGTTATCAGTTGCAATTGCCAAAACTCTTCCAATTTGTACCATTCATTTTTAGATCGACCAGTTCATTGGCTCAATCGAGAATGTTGGCTAGAAGTGTCGGCAATGTAAATGATGAGCTAGCCATGGAAGGATCTGCAAGAGCCGACCATGATTCGCCAAGTAAACGCTTAGCCAATACAATCCAGATGATGAAGAAGGCGAGCAATCCCGATCTGACAGCGCCCGAGCAATTTGAAGATACCGGAAGCCCGTTTGCGTTACGAATGCGCGGTGCTGTTCAGAAAAAGGTGGATCGCTTTAGACCGCGAAACAAGTCCGCGCGCAATCAGACAAGCGAGGAGTCGGACTCGAATAACAGCGATATGACGCCATTGAGCATTAACAAGAGAGCATTGGCTGCTGGAAATCGGTCGACAACGACATCGGATTGTTCGCCGGCTTCTTCGACGAGGTCCTCGTCTATTGCTTATGGTACGGGAGGTAGATAATTATCCACCGAAAATACAAATAAAATTGTCTGCATTTTAGGAATTGGGTCTGGTACGTTGTCTTCTAGAAGGCTCTATGAACGTGACCGTTCTTCAGGGAACACCACAACCCCAAAAAGAAGCGCAAATTATTTAGTTACTAAAATGAGGTCGGACTATACGAAAACTTGGCTACCTGACTATAATTATTGTTATAGTGAAAAGTCAATGGAAGGTCCCGATCTCGGTAGCGATGAATCGCCGCGTAGCTCCGTGAACTCGAACGAATGGCAACATTTGATTGAGAATTCTAGAGACGGAACCAAAAATCGTTAGTGATTTCCTAGCATATTACTTTGGGAATTTCTAGTTTTCGGTGCACTTTTTACCTAATGCTTAACAATATTCTTACCTCGATATTTGTCTATTTTCGTCCTCTATTTTCCCAGTTTCAGCGCTTGTTTGCCACGTCCAGGATTGTATTCAACAGCTTCGCATCAATGTCGATAAATCATTGCAGGCCAAAAAATTGGTAAGGCTTTTTTCTTCCTGGTGTCACATTCATTTGTTCGTATCGTTAGCGTTGCTTCCTGGGGGTTTGTATATAATTGCATTTGTTTATTTTTCAAAATTCCGGGGTTCTTAATTAAGATTTTCTTTGAATGCATTATCAAAACTTTAATTGATTAAACCGTTTATTTTCAGGTGGAGGACGATATGAGTTTACCTATCGAGAAGAAAAAGATTATTATGTGTGAAATTGAACGGTCAATTGAGAAAGTCGTAGAGAAACTGGTGCCGAATCGGTAACATTGAATCAAGAAAATGACCAAAGTTATTAATAGTTTTGGAATTTAAGTAGAGAGGAGACAAACGGAAATCTGACACCTAGCGGCAACGATTACACACCACTCAAAAGTGCGAATATTTATGGAGTTCTCAAGGAAAATCTTTCGAAATAATACCCCATTTGTTGCAATATTATAAAATACCAAGAATCGTGTAGCTTTTATAATTTTTTCTGTGATAAGATGTTGCCCACCCATCGAACGAATCGATTAATGTATTATTTTTATTTGTTTCATCCGGTCCTATCACCATTTTTTAAATGCTCATTCTTTTTTGTGCTCCGTTCGCGATTCTTTTGCTATATATATACATATATAATTAACCAACCGAAATGTAACTACACTCATGACGAAAAGCTTTTTCATTGTATGTGTCTTCTTGCTGATTTTTTGCACCCTGTATTAATATTAAATATTCCCTGAAGTCGAATAAAATAAACGAAAATTGGTAGACATTTGAATCTTGTATTCATTTAAAATAAATGAAGAAATTGAGAAAATCCAATTTTTTTTTAACAACAAATCCAGGTCTAAAGCTCGTTGTCTCTTCAGAAAAAAAAAACTAATACGGTCACGTAATTATACTATGAGGAGCAGTGACAATGACGTCAATTCTTATCGTACTGTAAAAAGGGCACCACTCTTATCGATTTTCGCTGCAATTGAAACAAACAGCCAACAATACGTGGAAAGCAAACAACAAATAATATATGTATATCGTACATTGCACATTATGCGCTCATACAAATCGTTTCTCATCGTTTCTTCAATTATAATAGGAACAGTTTTCATATTATCGTAAGTTTTATTAGTGGCTATTTATTATCATTGATAAGTTGTTTTCACAGACTCAACAATTCTGAAAGACCGACGGTTTTAAAGAAACGGTTTGAAATTGAAAAGTCGGATGAGGAATTGAGTAGTGTGAAAGTTAGAACGTACAAAGGGTATATATCCCTTAAAGAGGCTCAGGACAAGGTGCACCAAACTTTGAAATTAGCTTCATTTCATTATTTTTCAGGTGTTTTGTAATTTTGGATACTACATTAGCGAAATCAGACAGCCTGTTCCTGTTCTTCGGTTTCTGAATGAACCAACTTGCGAGAATGTATTTTTGACATTATCTTATGTGACGTGTATCTTATGTGACGATTGCAGATTTTCTCAGAATGGATTCGAATTTCCAACGAGCCACAACCTCCAGTGCCACCAAAAAATATGTCCGCAGCTATGATTGACCAGTATTTGTTATATGGTTATACAGCTGTTCAATACGTAAAATTAAATTTTGCTTTTATAATGTATACCGAGAAATTTAGAATTACCATAACGATCGAAATTCTGTGGACGGTGAGAAGCCTCGGAACTGGGAAAAAATTTCCGAACTGCTTACATGGAAGCCGTTGACTCTTGCAAATATGGCATATGGAGTTGATGGATGTAAGCTTCTGCTAATTATCTTTAATCATAAAACATTTAAGTGTCGATGTATAATGCAATGAAGTTCATTTCCTTGAAAGGCCAAACGGGATTTGTGGTGGGAAGTATGCAGCCTTGGGTGGAAGTCTACGCGCTTCTTAATGGTATTTTAACATTTATTTTTGTTATCATCAATTATCGTTGCAGGAGCTTCAAAAATCCTCACCGTAGAATACAATAAACTGGTAATCCAAAATCAATTCCAAGACAGAATGTCGTCAATTCTTCCTATCGATTTTGCGAAAAAATGGGAAAGGTGCGATTTTTCCATTTTTATTCTTTTCATAATCATTTTTAAGTTTTGCTGATTCGTTTGATTTTGCCGCCAGCTTTTCGTCAATAGAACATTCCGGAATCGGTCGCTATGGTGATCCGTTGGATCCGATTGGCGATTTAAGAGAGATGCTAAAAATTCGATGTATGCTCAAAAAAGGAGGTAGAATAATTTGACGTTTTTCTTTGGCTCTTTTTGGTGCTTTTAAAATTTCAATGGTTCGGTTTAGGACATCTTTTTCTGGGAATGCCTCAGGGAACCGACGCCATTGTGTTCAATTTACATCGCATTTACGGACCATTACGTCTCGCAATGATGTTTGCAGGTTTTGATATGAATTTGAATATTTTCATTCTCAATATGCAGGTTTTGATTTGATTCATGTATTTGATGGTTCCCATCAACAGCCGATTTTGTTTGATGCAAATGAACTGCATCGTCACGGAATGTTTGCGCATGTTCAGAGGACATTGGTACTACGAAAAGTTTGAATTGTTAATTAATTAAAGATCTCTTTATAATATTTATTTAATGTCTTATTATGTAATTCTGGAGTTTAAACTTTCTGAGCTTTTTCTTATGCCTTTTCTAAGTTCGCCGTTAAATGTTATTGTGAATATTCTGAAAAATTATTATTTTTCGTATTATTTGTTTTTTACCCATCGATTGTATGAATAAATGACCAAGTGAATGTTGTCATCAAGAATCGAACATTTTGATCTTCTACAAATGGGGAAATAATAAAAAATGCTGCAAGATCAAAGGCGAATGCCATTCCCTGGAACACGGTTTGCTTCAAATAATTCATATCCCTTTTTCGCTTCTTGATTGCTTCTCGATTCAAAACGGCTTGTCCGATCTCAATATGAGGTGTTCTTTGAAATTCTTTGTATTTCCTTTCAAACCTTTTTATTGAGGGATCGAATCTTTAAAACAGTGCAGATGTCCATAACGATTATAAGAACAACGAGTAAAGCGAACTTGCAAAAATCGGCGTACCAGGAAATAAAGTCACACGTCGGCGTTTCAAGATAGTAGAAGAAGCCATCGCGAGGATTGAAGAAAATCCTACAATCAACTGAAAAATGCATGATTCAGAATTTCTCTATATTTATACACGAATTTTACGTATAATATAAAAGAGTGTGCAAACTCCAATTGCATAAGTCCACGTTAGGATAATAATTATTTTTGTGGCAAAAGTGCTGAAACGAAATTCGTAAATAAAAGACAATCGATGTAACCTGAAAATAGTGTCATATGCCATTGGGGTATAGCATGCTAGAAATCGGTTAAGAGATATCAAAAAATGCGATTGAGTTGATAGCTCGTAACCAATTAAAATTGCATAGCAAAAATGATGTGAACAGGTTTCGAATATTTCAATGTTACTAAATTAATTTGATCTTCGTGGTTCAAACTTTGACCTACAATATCATCGTTGGAACGATGTAGAAGAGATAGCCTGAGTTTAGCAATGCTGCTCCCAGTGCCTGATTCGCTGTGAGATATCCAAATGAGTTTTTGAAGAATTGTAAACGATAGCACAATATTATAACAGCAAAATTGCTTATGGTCCCAATTGGCGACACGACTAGCAGAATATAGCCACCCCAGGCATTGACAGCCATTTTGGAGAATAACAGGAGCTTTATAATGAGGATGTCGTATAGCTCTGATGTTTTTTTCTTATTAGTGATATTTAAAAAAACACTAACCTCGTTAAATGTTCACAAATATTGATTAATTTTTTTTTCAATTGGTTGAACACAATGTCTAGAAATTCCACTTCATGATAAATGTGTTCACATTATAATTATTTTCTTGACTTTCTGAACATTAATGTATTTATATAAGTAGAAACTTCTAATTACAATAAAATTATTATAATACATATTGAAATTCAATATATTTCATATTTGCAGTTGTTTTTAGTCCAATTAATTCCTAAGAGACAGTGCACTGAGAACAGTAGAATTGAATATTCCATAACAACAATATTACTGTTATTCTCTATTGTTATTGTTAATTTTTTGTCTGGTTAGCATAATAAATAAGTGAATAAATAATGATGTTGATATACATTTTATAGTTTCGAACAATTTTTTATGCTTTTAATACTTTATTCGTAAATTGATCAATTTAAACGATTTAGTCATTCGTTACAATGCCCGAATTGTCTTCTGGAACGAGTTTCTGCATATTTTTTGTTTTTAGTTTATATACATACCTCTTACAAAATATTGTACATAGTAGGCTCCTGAGCGATAGTTAGTGTTCTTGATTCTCAAAGTTCTTCCGGTCATTGGTGTCATAAATTTGCCGTATTGCTCGTTTTGATGGAACGCTTCGCTGGATTGTCTGGTGCCGTCAATGAAGCTTATCAGTATGTCGCTTCTCATGGAATTGACCACCTAAATTCAAAATATTGACTATTTTTCCCTGTTATACATAATGTTACATTGGCTCCACTTAATCCGCCATTAGATCTCTTCAACAAGAATATTTCTCGAACAACCAGGTCAGAATTGGTAATCAAACCAGTTGTGGTGTAGTTCGTTGTTACTGTATTTTGAATTTCTCCTATTAAAAATTCATATTAGTTTTAAACGAAGATTAGGCGGATTACTGTAGATCGGATCAATTCGAAGCGCAATGGAACCCTTACGCAAGTCCTGGGTTGTCAAAACGGGCCCCCGGCCCGGCCCTGGGCCCTATAGGGCCGGGCCTAGGGCCGGGCCGGGGGCCCTGTTGTTTTAAACCTTTACAAGATAATTTTCATTTTAAACTTCTGCGGACATTTTTCAGTTTGTTATTATTGAATTATTTTTCGAATACAAAACAGATAGATCTATTGTTTGAAATTTACATGTTTTATATCTAAAAAATTTATTGTAATAGAAAACAAATTAAATATTCAAGTTGGTTTTCGCCTGGATTTCACTGAATACAATGAGCTTTTCAGCGTATGCAAACGACATTCGTCTACGATTATTAGAAAAAATGAACTTAACGTGACTTAATTGTCTCTCAACCGCAGCTTCAGAGGTTGCACATGAAAAGATTTTCCGGGCAACGCGGTACAAATTGGGTAAAATAGATCTATTCATAGGCCAATAGATTTCGGGGGAATTCCTATTCTGGTCGATTTTATAACGATTAATCTCGTCATTTATGGTGCAACTCGTTGGTGCAATAGCGGGGATGATTTTTTGTAATATGGATGGAAGCGGAATTATTGGTTTGTTCTCATCTTGTTGCCGCATCTCTTTGATGTTGAAGCAGTCGTTATGAACATTGGTGATATATTCCGCTGCATCTTCATAAAGATCAAATGGCAGCTGAATAATTCAATTATTAAAATTATCAATAAGTTATCTACCGAATGCTTGTCGCAGAGGTCTTGTAAAACCGTCAAATCCTTCGTAACTGGATTTAAAAACGTAGCCGCTGCGTGGATTTTGCCATACGCTGTTACATTTTCTTTTAATGCTAAATACGCAGACTTGCTTAATGTCCGCAATGCCTTAAATGAAAGTTCATTTTAAAATTATTTTTGTATTATACTTCATAAGTCTCGATACATCAATTCTTCATAGTGCACGAGTAGACCAATATAATATGGAAGCGCGAAGTGCATTTGAACGCTTTCGTTCTAAGATTTTAATTATAAATTGAATGAAATTAAGTTCTCACTTGATTTTCAACACACATATCTTTCAATGGATTTAACGTTTCAATGATGTCTTTCATGAGACCGCGATTTTCCACTTCATTCAGTTCATAAACGCCACTTTTAATATCTTCGGGAAACAATTCAACATTTCCAATCAGTAGGTTGATATGAGACGAAAACCAAACTAGCATATCATATGTCGAGAGCCATCGGGTGGAAGAAATTGTCGGTGGCGACAATTTCAGTGTTCCCAATGTCTAGAAACAATATTATATTTAATAAAATGCTAATTTTATATTTAATACTCACGCATTTAATTTTTGTCATTTTCGATGATAAGTTTTGGATAAAATCAATGAGTTTTTCAGCTTTGAACAATATTTCCATTTCATTTGCGCTCAAGTTCTGTTTTCTAATCGTGGTTTTGTATGGGTGAATGGTATGAACAGATACAAGGTTCGCTAAGTGCGACAAACAACGAACATCTGAAATTTTATTGAAATTTCGGTTTCGAAAAAAATCTTACAAGAAAAGAATGATTTTCCTACTGAAATCATATTCGAGGCACCGTCTGCAACTAAAATCGCCTTTTCAACAAACTTCGATTCCCATCCAAAATCTTCGAATATCTCCCGAATTATTTTTATAATCTGCAACATTGATTATACATTTATACTAATCGTTGAAACCTCAGAAGACGTCTTTTCTCTTTCAGTCACAATTCGCGCAGCCAGTGGAACAGTTACTTGATTCCACCTTGAAACTCCATCTTCATCCAATTCGTCAGTAATAAACGACATTTTCACGCATAAAAAATCTTCGTGAACTTTTCCATAATCGATGAGTATCGCGGCATACTTCTCGGTAACGTGATAACCGACCTAGGTTAAATATTCTCATTCCTATTTTTGCATTTGAAATTCTTACAATATCTTTAGGCGAGTCCTTCAAAGAATTCAATTTGTCTTCCATGCACTTTCTAAGTGTTGACCGACTTGGCACTGAAAACCGAACTCCAGAATCTAGACCTCTTCGACTGAAAATTTTTACTATGAACACATTAAATTACTATCGTTTTTTACCCAGTTTCTATAAGTCTTTCGCAAAGAACCTTGAATGGTTCTTTTTCCATGATATTTAGTGGGAGACCCGTCGAAATAAAAAAATCGGTTAATATATCTTTGATTGGACATATTTCTCTGTATTCTGATGTGCATGGTTCTCCAATATCATTTTTTTTTTACAAGACGATGTGTGCCTTCTGAAAAAATTATAAATTCTTCATGAAATTGCACGTTTCTTACTTAACGTGGCCACCTCCTGATGACATGACTTCGAAACATGATGAACAATACAAAAATTTTGTAGGAATTCTTTTCTCGTCTTCTATTACCATTACTTTCCATACCGCATTATTTTTAGTTTTTTCCTAAATTTATTTCATTAAAAAGTTTATTCTAGTATTAATAATTTTACCAAAACGACGTTAGATTCCATTATTCGTTTCTTCACTTCTTCTTTATTAAATGTCCTATGGTTTGTAGAAGTTCTTGATTTCGGCGTCAACGGAGTATCCATATGAAAATTATTTTATTTAATTGACATTTAATCGCTAATTAAATGAGAAAAGTTGCAAAGAATCAATAGAATGAGAGAAAAAAACTACTAGAAACGACGCTCCGCGTTTACGCTGCCTATTGTTTAGTGTAATTAGCGTCGGCGGCAATTCAAACTGGGCCTGTAGGGCCCCCCGGCCCGGCCTCGGCCCTATAGGGCCCAGGGCCGGGCCGGGGGGCCCTGTTTTTTTGACAACCCTGCGCAAGTCCATGTAAAATGATGGGATTCTTAGCGAGAGTGGCTCAACGTTTTCAAAGTATCTTAATTTGAAATATAAGCCGACTAATAACACAATAATAAAAATACTGAGAAGATTTATCTTCAAGATTCATCGGATTGCTGAAAAATGCTTCGAACAAATCATGATCATCCGGCATTCCTGCATAAATTTGATATTCAGGAAAATTCATCTAAAGAAACTAGTTTTTCTGATTTTTGTAATGTCAATTAAACCTGAACAATGTCAAAAAGTGTGATCGCATTCGTTGGATTTGTATTGAGAAATACGTACTTCTTTGGACCAACTAGCTCAACTGTGTTATTCTTCTCAATATCGAGTACTTTGATATTTTTGGCTATAATTATTAAAAATTAATTTAATATTTCCTAAAAACACAGCTCACCAAATTCAGTAGTTTCGTAATAAATAATTCCTTTCAATGCTCTAATTGATTCTAAAGAGAGTGTAGTAGAGATTCGGACCTCGCCAGTTGGATTCCATGGTTCCTTGAAGTCGGCAGAATATGAATATCGTTTATTACGGAGTTGAAAAGCACTAAATATTTTTAAATTATTCGAAAATATCAAGGAATTCTTCAACTCACTTGATTTGCTCATTTTCAGTTTTGAACCAAATTTGTTGTAAATAATTACTGTTGTCGGTCCCTGCTGAAACGAACACAGAAATCGGCTGATGGTTGTTCAACGATTGTCCATTGACATTCAAGTCATTCAAGTAAATGTACAGGGTGTCATTTAAGTTCCCGCACAAAAGTTAGACGCCATGAAAAGCTTGGCTGTCGCACTTTTCGTGCACCAATACAATTTATTTTTGTTAAATAAGGTGTATTTTACTTACTTTTCAAGTTTCACTTCATTCGGATGTGTTTCCGAGAAATGGCGAAGGCTAACATTCATCGCGCTTCCATTATCGAACTTCATAAGCGAAATGAGCGCCCGACAGAGATCATTCAACGCCTCGGTGTGCCTCGTAGAACGGTTTAAGACACCAACAAACGTTTCAAGGAGCTAAATACGACCAGTGACCTTCCCAGACAAGGAAGACTCGTCTCAGTAACCACTCCTCAGAAGATCAACGCCGTCAAAACGAGGATCAGGCGAAAACCGCACAGGAGCATAAGAAAGATGGCGTCAGACATGGGAATGAGCATCTTCGCTATGGAACAAATCGTCAAAACAAAGCTTGTACTGACCCCATATCGTGTCCAAAAAGTGGCAATTCTATCGGCCGTCAACAAGCAGAGACGCTTCGAAAAAGCAAAACAACTTTTTGCTCGCACGCGGTCTGGAGAACACCTCGCCACTGTCTTCTCCGACGAGAAGCTGTTCACTGTGGAGGCGGCATTCAACTCACAAAACCATTGAGTACTTGCCCAGACATCCCAGCAAGCTTCAGAGAAAGGAATAACAATTTATCCAGCCTCACATCCTGCCAGTGAGATTGTTTTCGGTGCCATCTGCTCAACCGGGAAGTGCCCCTGGTTTTCGTGGATCAGGTGGTGAAAGTGAACAAAGAAGTCTACGTTCGGGACATTTTGGGGAAGCATATGATGCCCTGGGCCCAAACGCATTTCGGTGGGAAGATATGGGTCTTTCAACAGGACGGAGCACCCGCCCCTACTGCCAAAACTACTCAGGAGTGGTGCCAGACCCATTTTCCCGACTTCATCAAGTCATCCGAATAGCCTGCTTGCTCCCCAGACCTGAACCCGCTTGACTTCTCCGTGATGGGGTCTTGCAGGAGAAGGTCAACGCAAAACCCCACTCAAGTGTAGAGGCTCTGAAGAAGACATTACTGGCGGAATGGGACAATCTTTCCATCGAATACCTGCGTACCACAGTCACATCCTACCCGAAGCGTCTCTGCGAAGTCATAGCTGCGAAAAGAGGCCGAATCGAAAAGAGTTAATAGATAATTATTTGTTGTACTATAGATAAAAAATATTTCGAGTCTCGTTTGATTTGGACTTTTAGTTTCAGAAATATACGTCTTCAAAGTTGTGCGGGAACTTAAATGACACCCTGTAATTGGCGTCGATCGCTGTAATAATGTGCAACATAATACATAATTGATTTGGAATGCATCTAGGGTGGCATTATAATTACCTGGTGCCAAAATTAAGAAGATGGGGATAAGCGGAATCATTTTTTCCTGAATTCATTGTCATCAACCGTTCTTTTAAGGCATCTCTTATCACAAAAAGTGGCGAAAAAATAGGCGTTGCCCAAGCTTAATTTTTGAACTCATTGAAGGGGGGGGGAGAGTTTGTCATAGTCTGACAAAATTATGATCTGCAGTTCTTGACATCACTAAACAATGATAACATTATTCAAGAAGAGGAACTGGATTTTCGATTTGTTACGGTTTTTGCGATTCTTCATTTATTTCATTTTATCGCAAATTTATTCATTTTTTTTCCAATTTTTCCTTGACTAATAGGTGAGAGGTTTTGAAATGTGAAAAAAACAAAAAAACAAAATGATTCAATCAGGACATCAGTCGTAACAAAAATCTCTCGCGGTTTACTCTAAACTTTCGACCGGACAGCATCACCCCTGTGCGGAAACTCACTTGGTGTCACCCTGTTTATATCGGAAACAACCGCGGTTTGTCCTTTATGAATTTAATTATTCTAAAAATATAGAATGAGTTCATTCATTTCCTAAAAGGAAGACGTGGGCGGCTTCAATGGAAAATCCTCTCAAGAAATTGCGGGCACCCATGAATTTGGCTCGAATTTTTCTTAGTATCAGTTCTTTTGAGAATTTCGAACCCTTTATATATACCTAGAAAGTGATTCAGTATTTTCCCTGTAATTAAAGTAGTTCTGAAAAAAGTATTCTTTCCAGTTACATAGATTTTCGTCAACTATCAAAGTTATAAACACAAGGGAAAATTTTGCTCAATTCTTATATATCTTATTATTTGTATTACATTTTCCATTTTTATTATTATGCCGATTCAATGGATTGCCTTTTCTCTCTTACCGGTAAGTTTGGAATGATTAAAATTTGCGATTATCACGCTTATTCGAGATATCGTTTATTGGGACAATTTGTAATTGGCTTACGGTCTTACTCTGTTACAAATCAACAAGCTTAAAAAATGCATTCGTCTACCTTACCGCAAACCAAGCTCTCGGAGATGCTATTCATTCAACCATTTTCCTATTCTACATCGCACCAATGATTATACTGTAGGTTTTAACATTAACATTAATCTGGTTTCTCATTTTTTCAAGGAATGATCCGGCGTTGAGTCCATATTTGAATAATTGTGGGTATTTTTTGTTAATAGCCTACGACATGTCTTGCCATTCTCATTTGTTTCTTTCACTTAATCGATTCTGCGCCTGCTATATACCCATCGTGTACGAATCAGTATTCACGTAAAATTTTAATTTAGTTCTTTGCTTGCAAAAAACTTCAGCTATCGACATACTCATTTGTTCATGGTTGCTTCATGGATCTATATTTTAACAACATCAATAGTCTTTTTTGTTTTTTGTAAGTTTACTGCTTTTATTTGTTTATAATTATATTTGATTCTAGTAAAATGCAAGATCATCTTCGATTTCACAACTCTCATGTTTCGCTATCCGGATACGCCGACGTGCAATTCGGTTTTCTGGTTTGCGAATTTTTGCAAATATTTAATTCTACTTGCGTTTGTGACTATTCTCGACATACTAATAATTATTAAAGTTAAACGCATTAATAGTCGGGTTTGTCAAACGATTCGCATGAAAATTATGAAACGATTTTTCATGTTTCAGCACACAAATTCAACGAATCCCGCGATTTTTGAAAAACGACGAAGAGATATGAAATATTTGAAACAAATCATTTTTCAGGAACTCGTTTTCGTTTGCGAGATTCTCACTTATTTCGCAATATCTCCTTATGTGGAAAATAAGTATTTCAAGTTCTTTCTAACAACGTTTTCGTGGTGCAGTATTCATGCTATTGATGGGTTTATCTCCATTATAATGAAAAATTGATAGTGGAATATCGATTTCAGGATTCTTACATTAGTTTTCAATTCTAGTCTTCGTATATTTCGAGAGAAGCGAAAAGAGCTCAAATTAACGGAAATGTAATAATGAAATATCCTCGGTTTTTCATTATACATGGAATAAAAATTTTAAAATAATGATTCAGACACTTTTGGTTATTTAATTTTGTACTTTTTTTTTTAATTTTCACGAATCAGCGCAATTTGATTAAAAAATAGTATTCTCAAGAGGGAATCGAATCATGCTGGAATTAAACTTGAATCATGGTTTACAGTTTTTAAAAATAACTAAAAACCCATTTAAAACAAAATCTGAAATCTTATATATTTTAGATAATAATGTTTTTGCATACAAGATTCAAGTAAATGTCGGCCAAGAAATATTTCGATAAAAAAAAAGATCGAAGATAGTACTATATTAGAAAACTAATAATAGCGACTTGAACGCGGTCTGAAAATGTAGCCCGATAACGTAACCATATAAAGGTTTGCCCACTGTTGTTTTAAAGCGGTTTTGAGCAGAAAGATGGCCATGAAGAACATACATATATACATATACATATACATATACATATACATATATACATATGTACATGTATATATCGAAACCAGTCGTACTGCTTTATTTGGGCGTCTCCTGAATTTCCTTTCATTAGTTAATACTGTTTGGCCTCATAAATTTCTTCCCAATATTTTAAATGATTGAAACTTCTCCAATCCAAACAAGATGATATTGCATTTGGCTAATTTTGCATTCGCCGAAATTATCTCTAGCTTCTTTTCCTATGATTAATCAAAAGCAAAACTTTCGGGCGGGGGCCTTGTTTTTCGATCTTCTGTTGACTCAATGGAGACGTGCCAGGCAAAGTTTAGACAATTTTTATTCCTTCAATGATTGTGCTTCAGGAATGGATCGGATTTCTTCTACTGCCGGTAGGAATTAAAATATAAAGTATTGTAATTAGCTAATTAAGCTCTCACTATTTGGAACTGTTTGTAATTGGATGGTAATTATTCTGAGCATTCGGAGCAAATCGTTCAAGCATGCGTTTGGGTATCTCACCGCGAATCAGGCAATTGGAGACGCTCTCATTTCAACCATTTTCCTTTTCTACATCTCTCCAATGATCATAACGTAAACTTTAGAACTTTAAAACTTATTACAAAGCCCGATTTTAGACAAGATGGATTTCTCATGCAATATTCGAAGCACTTCGGTTTTATTCTTGTCATTGCTTATGATCTCTCAACCCATTCTCATTTTCTAATCTCCCTTAATCGATTCTTAGCATGCTATGTTCCATTGATATATGAAGTAGTGTTCAGGTATGACTTTTATCGGTCCTAAAAGAATTAAAATTCAATTTTAAGCTCGTGCGTCACTGTCTGCATTCTTCCATTCACTTGGCTATACTCAATTGTGGCTACGATAGTTATAATAATCATTTGTGAGTTTCTGAAGTAAATCATTTCGAATTAGTTTTTTTAAATTTTATTTTAGTTGATTGCCAGTTCTACTATGATCCTAATCATGTTTTATTTTTGTTTCGGACCAATTCATTTTATTGTAAGACACTTACAAACAAGATTCGATCAGTCAATCGAAAGGTGCAATTCTTGTGTTGGATATGCGTTAATTGTCTATCTTCAGATTACACACACAGTAGTCGATCAGCAGTCGCTTCTGAAGCGCAAACGGGATATGCAATACTTGAAGCAGACGGTTTTACAAGGTTTTGCATTTTCTGTGGAACTTGTCACGTATTTCTTGATCTCGCCGCACGTGTCGAACAAAATTCTTAAATTTATGATTAGCATCTTCGCTTGGTGCTTCATTCATGCAACCGATGGGTAGGCATTAAAATTAAAGTTTTGTGTTTCATACAAATACAGAAGAATGTTTTCAGATTTCTGACGATCTTCTTCAATTCGGAATTTCATCGGATTTTGCAAGGGAAGCATGAGACAATTAATCGATCCCGTAGCACCTAATTTACGATGTGTGATAGTTATTGTTCGTCATTGTAACTAATAATAAGTGTACATAGGCTTGTCAGATACTAGAAAAGGTCGACCGGCAGCCAAATTGACAATCCAATTAGAATACTTTCATATGTAAATAGTTTCACAATAAAAGAGCAAATTTGAAAAATAAAGAAATTTCTCACTCAATATGTATTGCCGAATTCTTTTGTATATACAGAAGGCCTGTGACAAATCTTTCAAATACAATTTATAAAAAATGATGTTGTTGGAGTGGCATTTCAGAAAAGAAAATATATGGGAACAAATTCAGATTTGCTTTAGTAATGTCTATAAACAGAAACGGGCTACTCATTCAAATTATCAAATTGCCTTAAACAGGTAGTCATTACTATCGCTCTCACTTGCTTTTATTGGATGACGTACATATGTACATATATTCGCCCGGCACGCCCAATTTTAAAGTCATCATTCCGAATGTGGATTGGAAAAATGATTCAACGTTGTTCATTTCGAAATGTGCAAACCTGGGTTGTCAAAACGGGCCCCCGGCCCGGCCCTGGGCCCTATAGGGCCGGGCCTAGGGCCGGGCCGGGGGCCCTGTTGTTTTAAACCTTTACAAGATAATTTTCATTTTAAACTTCTGCGGACATTTTTCAGTTTGTTATTATTGAATTATTTTTCGAATACAAAACAGATAGATCTATTGTTTGAAATTTACATGTTTTATATCTAAAAAATTTATTGTAATAGAAAACAAATTAAATATTCAAGTTGGTTTTCGCCTGGATTTCACTGAATACAATGAGCTTTTCAGCGTATGCAAACGACATTCGTCTACGATTATTAGAAAAAATGAACTTAACGTGACTTAATTGTCTCTCAACCGCAGCTTCAGAGGTTGCACATGAAAAGATTTTCCGGGCAACGCGGTACAAATTGGGTAAAATAGATCTATTCATAGGCCAATAGATTTCGGGGGAATTCCTATTCTGGTCGATTTTATAACGATTAATCTCGTCATTTATGGTGCAACTCGTTGGTGCAATAGCGGGGATGATTTTTTGTAATATGGATGGAAGCGGAATTATTGGTTTGTTCTCATCTTGTTGCCGCATCTCTTTGATGTTGAAGCAGTGGTTATGAACATTGGTGATATATTCCGCTGCATCTTCATAAAGATCAAATGGCAGCTGAATAATTCAATTATTAAAATTATCAATAAGTTATCTACCGAATGCTTGTCGCAGAGGTCTTGTAAAACCGTCAAATCCTTCGTAACTGGATTTAAAAACGTAGCCGCTGCGTGGATTTTGCCATACGCTGTTACATTTTCTTTTAATGCTAAATACGCAGACTTGCTTAATGTCCGCAATGCCTTAAATGAAAGTTCATTTTAAAATTATTTTTGTATTATACTTCATAAGTCTCGATACTGTTCATCAATTCTTCATAGTGCACGAGTAGACCAATATAATATGGAAGCGCGAAGTGCATTTGAACGCTTTCGTTCTAAGATTTTAATTATAAATTGAATGAAATTAAGTTCTCACTTGATTTTCAACACACATATCTTTCAATGGATTTAACGTTTCAATGATGTCTTTCATGAGACCGCGATTTTCCACTTCATTCAGTTCATAAACGCCACTTTTAATATCTTCGGGAAACAATTCAACATTTCCAATCAGTAGGTTGATATGAGACGAAAACCAAACTAGCATATCATATGTCGAGAGCCATCGGGTGGAAGAAATTGTCGGTGGCGACAATTTCAGTGTTCCCAATGTCTAGAAACAATATTATATTTAATAAAATGCTAATTTTATATTTAATACTCACGCATTTAATTTTTGTCATTTTCGATGATAAGTTTTGGATAAAATCAATGAGTTTTTCAGCTTTGAACAATATTTCCATTTCATTTGCGCTCAAGTTCTGTTTTCTAATCGTGGTTTTGTATGGGTGAATGGTATGAACAGATACAAGGTTCGCTAAGTGCGACAAACAACGAACATCTGAAATTTTATTGAAATTTCGGTTTCGAAAAAAATCTTACAAGAAAAGAATGATTTTCCTACTGAAATCATATTCGAGGCACCGTCTGCAACTAAAATCGCCTTTTCAACAAACTTCGATTCCCATCCAAAATCTTCGAATATCTCCCGAATTATTTTTATAATCTGCAACATTGATTATACATTTATACTAATCGTTGAAACCTCAGAAGACGTCTTTTCTCTTTCAGTCACAATTCGCGCAGCCAGTGGAACAGTTACTTGATTCCACCTTGAAACTCCATCTTCATCCAATTCGTCAGTAATAAACGACATTTTCACGCATAAAAAATCTTCGTGAACTTTTCCATAATCGATGACTATCGCGGCATACTTCTCGGTAACGTGATAACCGACCTAGGTTAAATATTCTCATTCCTATTTTTGCATTTGAAATTCTTACAATATCTTTAAGCGAGTCCTTCAAAGAATTCAATTTGTCTTCCATGCACTTTCTAAGTGTTGACCGACTTGGCACTGAAAACCGAACTCCAGAATCTAGACCTCTTCGACTGAAAATTTTTACTATGAACACATTAAATTACTATCGTTTTTTACCCAGTTTCTATAAGTCTTTCGCAAAGAACCTTGAATGGTTCTTTTTCCATGATATTTAGTGGGAGACCCGTCGAAATAAAAAAATCGGTTAATATATCTTTGATTGGACATATTTCTCTGTATTCTGATGTGCATGGTTCTCCAATATCATTTTTTTTACAAGACGATGTGTGCCTTCTGAAAAAATTATAAATTCTTCATGAAATTGCACGTTTCTTACTTAACGTGGCCACCTCCTGATGACATGACTTCGAAACATGATGAACAATACAAAAATTTTGTAGGAATTCTTTTCTCGTCTTCTATTACCATTACTTTCCATACCGCATTATTTTTAGTTTTTTCCTAAATTTATTTCATTAAAAAGTTTATTCTAGTATTAATAATTTTACCAAAACGACGTTAGATTCCATTATTCGTTTCTTCACTTCTTCTTTATTAAATGTCCTATGGTTTGTAGAAGTTCTTGATTTCGGCGTCAACGGAGTATCCATATGAAAATTATTTTATTTAATTGACATTTAATCGCTAATTAAATGAGAAAAGTTGCAAAGAATCAATAGAATGAGAGAAAAAAACTACTAGAAACGACGCTCCGCGTTTACGCTGCCTATTGTTTAGTGTAATTAGCGTCGGCGGCAATTCAAACTGGGCCTGTAGGGCCCCCCGGCCCGGCCTCGGCCCTATAGGGCCCAGGGCCGGGCCGGGGGGCCCTGTTTTTTTGACAACCCTGGTGCAAACAAAAAATGACGGTGAAGAATCATATTTGCCACTCCAGCTTATCAATTTCTTTTGTATAAAAGTGTTGCTCGTATCAATCTAAATACGTTTAGACATGCAGTCGACGCTTATTACCTTATACTTTTTAGGTAAGTTCATTGTAATATGTTACATCATGTATTTTTTTTAAAGTTTTCCAAGAAATTTAAAAGTTGCTTGTTTATTTTTTAGGTTTCTCAAATGCCTTTATCATTTACTTTCGAGATTTGCCAGCTGGTGGAAAACAACTGAATGATGTTGGTGATCCATTATCGATATTCATTTCTCGAAGCACAGATCGAGATTCTGATTTGAAGCAGATTCAGTTCAATTCTCTGAAAAAGTTTGCATTTAACGACATTGATGATAAAACTGAGCATTCTTCAGTGCCTATGACGTTTCAGTAGAATTTCAAAAGAATGATTCTTATTTGCTTTTGCCTTGGAATCCTGACGGCTCGATTACGGTAACCACATCGTTATCAAGCAACGCTTTAAGCGCAATGAACGGATTCATTTACTATGAGAAAAAGAGTCTTGCAGACAGTATGCTTCGGATTTGGATTTTATTATTATAGAAAAATTAAATTTTGAGCTTTTTATGTGTATGATGTTCAAAACTCTAGTTCGCTTCTTCTTAAAGAATCTTCAACGGTGTTGTTTTTGAATTCAATTCCAGGCAACGCTGTGGAACTTTCCAAAATTACACAGGTTTCTATCTAATTGTTAGAAACAAAATTAATATACATTATAGACTGATACATCGCTTTTTCTCGTTTATCCAGGAATTCCTCAAGCGACTCAACCGAATATCATCGATGCCATTTTTTCAAATCCTTCAAAATTTTCCGATGGAACCAAAAAGTAACGAATCGGTTGGATATTCAAATATTAAATGTAATTGTAGATTTTTCATGCACATTGAGCCATTATTTTTTGGATTGGACAGTTTATACGTGAAAACAAACGGACAAGTGGCGTTCCAATTCGAGACAAAGGCAGATCGTATCGAGAGATAGATTTTATTGAGAATTTGTGTGTTTTTTTTTTCGATTTCAGCTAGTCTCCAAGTCACAGCCTCTTATACTACTACTGGATTCGTGATGAATGCGAGAGACACCGCCAAAACCGTTTCAGTTATTAATAGAAATGGCAAAGTGTCTGGAACCACACGAGTAAAAGTATGTATGTATATTTTTCATTTTCATTGAAATTTAGTTTATATTTTGAAAAAAAAAGAGAATTTGATATGTTCATCTTATTTGAACAGGGTTTTTGTTTATGAAATTGGAAATCAAAACGTCTTAAAAGTAAAATTTGCAGATGATAAATCGAATGGGAGCCGATGTTGCCCTCTCAATTTCGTATGGAAAGACTGGTTTAACTAATAAAGTATTTTACTCGAATAATACTTATGATAGTTGGATGATTGACGAAATCGCTAATAAATTAAATATTCGAACAAATGGAATTGGAGACGGAAATTATTATTACCTTCAATACTACGTTGAAGGTGAGAATTAATAACATTTTCAAGAAAATTTAGTATATTCTTCTAAAAATTGTTCTTTTCATTTAGAAGAGCAACCCAAATCCACTACGAATCCTTCAACTAATCCTTTAACCTTACCGACATCAAAACTCACAACAACTAAACCGGAAGTAACTACAAAAACATCTGGAATCACAAAACTTCTAACTGCATTTGCTACATTTTTAGTATTCAGCTGGAATAATTCGTAATGGATGTTAATAATAAAATAATTATATATTTATTCTCATTTTTCGAAAGATTTTATTATAATAAAATAAAAAAAATACCGCTCGAATTTTCTTTTTTTTTTCTTAAATATCGAATTTTCTCAAAACACGGAAACATAACGCGGAACAGGAAAATGTTACGGAAAATGGTAGACGGAAGACGGAATTCCGTGCAGCTCTGGTATTCATGCACGTACTTAATGCACGTAGCTAATCAAAGTAATATTTTTAGTAACTTTAACACATTAGGACTTTTGTTTGTGAATCCCGAAATTCGAAAAAAAAATCACAAAAAATCAGCCGTATGCTCCTGAAATTTCGGATTAATTTAATTAAAAATAATACATTAATTGAATTCATTAATTCGTCCTCTCAAACTTCGTGCCGAGAAAAACAATGTATAAGCTGATTAACAGATTTACGACGCAAACCGCCCCTTTAATGAGCGAGAGGGGGGGGGGCGGTGATAACCTCTGTAAGGCAGTTCAAACACTAAAGTGGGTGTTCTGCAGTGTTGGACGGTGACGTTAAACCTCAGGTTTGAAGCCTATCATATGAAGAGAGCGAATAAATTTCGAATAAAAACTTTGCAAAATATAATTGCTCCTTGAAATCTTCATCCGATGTATTACATGCGCAAAAAAGAAACGAGCAATTCGCGACGATTTACGGTGAGTTTGATTCGCAAGTTATCCAGATCCGATTGTTCCGAATTCCCAGTGTTTTAATTCAAATTTGAATTACCGCCTCGAAAATGTGCGATGGTCCACAATTATGCAAGGCGCTCGTTTTTTTTTGCGATGGTAATAAAAATATTTATTCAAGAAATGTATATTAAACAATATTTCTTAAATTTCTTGGCTTCAAGATTAGAATTTCTTGATTTTTGAGTCGTCGTTGTACTCATATGAAAGTTATTATATTTATCTCACATTTTATTGCTAATTACATAAGAAAAATAACAAAAATTGCCAATTATTGATAGAATGAGAGAAAACAAACATTATTAATTTAATTTTTGCATTGTTTGAATAAAGTGTTTTCTAATGAATGATAAGGCAAAAAATCAATGTACGCCTTGTTGCTTAAACTTCAATTTTATATGTATATTTCGACGTTTCCTTTAACATTTTATTCATTTCGAAAAGAAGGTCAAATAAATAAAACAACTGGTTGAAATAATGAATACCAATTTTGGTGGTGATATAAGAAAAATTATAATGTTTAAGATATTAGTTGAAAAATAATATATTTTTGTATATGTCATTTGTGAAATATTAGAAAACTTGCACGACAATTTTTTCAAAACAATTTTTTTTATCTATGAATTAATTAAAAGTAGAAAAATCAACATGTACTGTATTAACTTAAATTAAATTTTCGTAACTTCCTCTAGGTTTGAATTCGACTAATTGTTCCCTTAAATGAATCCAATTCAACTAGGTCTCCAGTTTTAAAGTGTTGTGTCGCGTGAGATACAGCAATAAGACTAGGAAGACCATATTCTCTAGCAACGACAGCACCTGAAAATTTAATTTCAAAATGCAGGACATATATTGAACGTTCTACCATGACTAAGAAGACCACCAATTTCTGTGACAATTCCGCTGATTATTGGGAAAAATGGCGACCAGCAAATATCGGTGTAGCGGGTTATTAGAATTTCTCCAGGCTGAATATTCGACATTAATTAAATCACATGTTATCTATTTGCTTTTGTCTGCTTGGCTTCTTCGATATTTTTTGCCACTCTTGCTTTCGCTACGATTTTTCCCTCACACACGGTCGTCCCGCGAAGTACGACATCCACAGAATCATTATATTTAATTAGATTATTTTCGCTTATCTGAAAACGCAAAAATGTTGGAATACTGAAGCCATGCACTGCACTGGATTCATCGGACCGTGTGAGACCAGTGGAAATTGCATTCCTTCAAACTTTGAGGTGATTTGTTTGCGGCGAATTGCTCGCGTGACTAAACGAGGACTTCGAGTGGAATTTAGCTCTTTGAGCTCATCCACCGTAAAATGAATCCATAAATTGGCATTTGGAATGTAACCCTGAAAAGAAGCTTAGAAAATCGATAAAGAATTAACAATAACAAAACTTTTTCATAGAGCTTTTGCCCAATAAATCTGCATGTTTTTCTAACAGAGTTAACTGATGAAACAAGGCAACTCTTCGCGGATTCTCGGAAGGCGACTCCTCTATGCGTTTGTCCAATAAAATATTTTAACATGAATCTAAAAACAGAAAAAATGTAAAATTATGAGATCAAGTTCAGCCAACCTTCTTAGACCAGTTGGTTTGCATTTCAAATTTTCAACGATACTATCCTCATTTTCGACAGTTTTCCCACTAGTTTCAGGGCAGTCCAACATGCTCTTAATTTGAATTTCGGACGAAAGTAATAAAACAAAATTGATTTACTTTGATTGTGTGAATTAGCAATTCATTATTCTCTTCCCAAGTTGTTGCATTAATATATAATTCGTTGGGACCTCTGAAATCTGAGATTGACAATTTTTCAAATTAATTTTAAAATGTTGATTTTATATTTTTGGAGGCGTGCTCGTGAATATTATGTTTGTCAATGCACTTGATTAAATAGAAAATGATTTAATGTCCACATCGCTTATTTTTTTGATAATGAATACTACCCTGCTAAATTTTTCCTTCCCCGATAATGTTTGTATTTATACAGTTTCAAATATTACCGATGTCCATGAAGTTCGATGAATCTTTTCAATTCCTTTCGACCATTTTCCCCTCTCTTAATAATATTCAATGCATTTCCAGTGTCAGAGTTTTTAAACTCATTGCCCAAGCGATCCTCTTTAATAGCCGCTGCAATTTTCTGAAATTAAAAGAGATTGATGCTATATTGAATCTATAGAAACCTTCAATGAGTTTGGAACATCGGCGCTGATCACATCACTACGAGCATTATTGGAGAATACATTCGCAAAATCGGAAAGATTATCGTCGCTAAGCTCGCCACCTAAAATTGTTATTTAAAGAATTTTATAGTGTTTTGGAATATCATACTATCGGATCCACGAATAAGCATTCCGCAAATGACATAAGTAAATGAAGACGACATTGAGATGAGTGAATGAAGTTGCATGATCTAGAATACTTGTATAATCGCTCAACACACTTTTAACCTCGCAATGAAGACGATGCTGTTTTTTCAAACTGTGAAATGCTTCTTCAATTGTCCACCCTGACGACGGAATTAAGTTCTCAATTATTTTCTCTGCTTCTTGTATCCTCTTCAAGAGTCGCGACAACGAATAGAATATCATTTTCAACATTGAATATAAACGTTTTAGTGGAAAATGCTTCGGAAGGCGTCCGAATTTCTCAGATCCTTGTTTAAACATTTCATCATTTAATAATAATTCTCCAGCAACGACAATTTCGATAATTCGATCTTTCTGCGAGACTTCCCATGTGGGAAGGACAACCTTAAATATTAACTTTAGTGGAAACCGGTAACTATTTGAAAATCAAACCTCCAAGAGATTGATAAACACTTTTCGGTGTTGAATTGAGAAGTTTTTCCAATTTTGGGTGCTGACAATTCCATTAAAGTCTCGATTGGTTATGGACTGTAATAACATATCATAAATTTCTTTAAAATCTGCATAAAAACTCAATCTACCCCAATAACTTTATCGAAAAGAAAACAATTTGCTAACGCGTCTATTGCAGTGATCGGAGCTGGGAATACTTCGCTAAAATTCGGTTTCAAGTTATTGCAATCTTAAAAGCCATCGCTTACCCAACATTCGCATTACAGAATATTTCCCTCTCACTTGAATTGGGTGTATCGAATTCGTAATACATTTCAAAGTTTGTTTCTTTATCCAGTCCGGTGATATCGCGCGACTGCACCAAGTAGATTGCGTCTGTCTGTACCACAAATTCAACATCTTGCGGTTTCCCGAAGATTGATTCAAGATATTCCCCGACACCCCCAAGTTTTTCAATTTCGTCGTCCGACAAGCAGCATTGCGAATTATTTGTCTGGAAAACTTAATGAGCGGTATTTATTAACTGCACTGCACCATAATCTTCTTGGATTTATCGAATCGGTTCATATGAATTTCGTCAGGAGTCTCCTGTCCGCTAACAATTTGCTCTCCACATCCTTTCAAAGCATTTATCACAATTTCGCCTCGATCCATTTTCACAGGATTCGCGGTGAACATAACCCCTATTTTTTAGTCATGAAAAATATTTAACTTTTTTTTCCAAAATTTTACCAGCTACACCATTTCTATTCATTTCCTGAATAACAACTGCCATTGATGGATTCAAAAGCTGTCCATAATTCCTTCTATAATTCAAAACTTCCCGCCGGAAGTTCGATGACCAGCAAAGTCTTAACTTTTCAATAATCTGAAAATATCTTCAAAGTTTAAACAAAAAAATTGTTAAAAATTAAACTTGATTTTTCGGAGTATCCAAATAGGATTCTAATTGCCCAGCAGATGATAGATCGGCTCCGTCTTCGCCTACAGCGGACGATCGAACTGCGTAATATTCGCTCGTCGGAATCATTCCGAAAATTTGTATTGCCAATTGCTCATTTACTTTAGATTCCAAAATTGCTGTCTCAATTCTGAAATTTTGTAAAAAAAAAAGAAAAACACATAAAAAAAGAGGACTGATTTAAAATTAATTTGAACATTGTCATATCTAAAAATCTCACTCTTTTCCAATTTCTTCTATGTTTCCATTAGGGTCATCGAGTTTTGCAACCAGCTTCTGCAATTCAGGATTAGATTCCATGTGAGCGTCGAAAGCAGCCGTGGTGACAACAATTCCTGGTGGAACCGAAAACTCAAAAATTAAATTTAAATATTTTTCAGTCGTCTCATAGTAAATTACTCCATGTGATATTGCTTGCAGTTTTGCCAAATTCGAACCCTTGCCTCCCGTTAGCAGTTTATCATGGCATGCTCTATGCGAAAATGAAAGTACCTGTCGACATTTTTCAACTAAATTTGCTTTATATTCTAAAATTTGTTATTATCATTAAAGGCAATTTTGAATTCAATATGCACCAGGAAAAGAATCACATTGGACATTTTCGACTATTGTTGGTTTTCCAGATTCCACCAAAAACGCCAAACCAACTTCATTTACGTGAACGACATACAAAGAAATATGGAATATTGAGAATGAGGTGTAATCAAACCTTTAAAACAGAAATATTTTGAGAAACTCCATCATTTCTCAAAATTTCGAATTTGGTGATGACTTCATCCTTCCTCAATTCAAAGGGAATATTGTCTTAATTATCTTCACATCTTCAAAATGTACTTCCATATTTTTACCTGATTTAATATGGATATCTATTGGTCTCAAATTATTGGGATTTAAAGAAGAAATGTCATTAATCCACATTGATCGAACTCGTTCATTAGATTTGAAGAAATTCCCATGTACAATATTTTGGGAATCTTTAAAAACGGCGATTCGATGAGAGAAAGCATTGCGATCCTATAAACAACATCTATTTGTGTTTTTGTCTGAAATCGTACACTCAAATATCCATAGAATTGCTTGGAACGGTTCGCAAATTCAATTGGAATTTTTTCGCGAATTCCTCTATACCTATGCTCTCTGACATTTCCATCAATCCTGAGTTCGGCGTGATATTCTCCCAACTGATTGATTAATTCTAGTGTACGAACTCTGAAATTAATTGAGAAAGTTTAATGGATATTTTGAATATCCCACTTATCAATAATTTCCAAATTTTTCAAAATTGCCGTTTTTTCTTGTCGAATAATGTCTTCGTACACATCTGGACCTCTATTACTGTAGAAGTATCGCGCGCTTGAGCAGCTTCTCCACCATCCAGAAATTGTCACAAATTTTCGCAAACCTTCGGAATTTCTAAAATATCCAGTTAGATGTATTTTTATTATTTTAAGAATAACTTCAAATATCCAGTAAAATTAATTCTCCACTTCCTGTAAGGGAGTCGCAATTCGACGATCAACGGCCCAATCGAATAGATTCTTGGATCTTTTGCTGAAATTTCGAAATTTCTTGAAACTTTTAGCGAGCAAATTTACATTTTGACACAAATCTCTCTGAATAAAGGGTCCCGTTTTCGAAAATGACAACATCCGCAGTATGAATATGATTCGAAGTGAGAATTTGAATGAAATACATCCCATTGTTTATAGAACCTCCACTAAATGTTACGATTTCCTGAAGATTTAATAATTTTTTATGAATCAGGAAAAATTGAAACATTAAAATTATTTGCTTGGATGACCGAGAAATCAGTTTCTAATTAGCCTGATTGAAAATGAATAATTCTTGAGAAAACCCGACTTAATTTTTTTCACAGTATTATTAATATTTCTTGCTTTTCATTGCTGTGATCTTCCAACTCACTTCATCTTTAATTTCCTCATATTTCCATTCATTTTCTACTGCATCAAGAACATTGTGAATCTCGTCTGCATTAGCGACAAATTTCCTAAATTTTTAACTTTCAATAAATAATTATTACATTATTTTCTTACTTCACTGGACGAAAATAATTGAGGAACCAAATAATCGGATAGTAAATGAAAAAAATGAGCGGATACAGAATGGATTGCAAAATCATCTGAAATTTAGTGAAATATCCGGGGAAAAGAATGATTGTGAACAAGAAAAGATTGAGCTTTAAAAACTGAATTTGTACTTGTATGAGGAATCAAATGCCAATTGATAAGAAACCAACTGATAAAAAGACAGAACATTGATTTGTCTTACTTATCATATAATAATCTTAACTATTTATATCCACAAGAATGTAGACAAACTGCTGTTTGTTATTTTCGATTTCTATTTTATATTTTTATTTTTTGTCGATTGTTTCGAAAATTAATTATTTTCTCTCAGAATAGTTTACAGTGAAAGAATAAGAACAAAGGAATGACTAACATGGTTTCTTTATACGCTGTGTAGTCACTCTCCCTATGATGATCCTCGAATTAAAACAGTTACAATAAACTTATGTAATTCGCATAATAACTATGTAGTATTTACATCCAAGTATGTATGAGCAATGTTGTTTCTTGTATTTTATTTATCTAAGGATATTTCCTTAAGATTATTCCACAAATCCAATAACTTTTCTATTGTTAATTGTTTTCGTTTTGCCAAAAGAATTTATCATCTTTTTCGCAGAAAAATCGCTAACAAAGAAAAAAAGAAAAGCATAACTGAATATTATTTTGAGAGATAGCCCAACACAAAGAGTTGGGATCGATTACGAGGGGACCTGCCAATATATTTAAACAAGTCAAACATTTGTTATTTGCTACAGGGGATTTCTACATACACATTATATACAGCAATCTAAATCAAATTCTACCAAACTGTACATTTATTTTCCGGATTCATATTCGTCCCAACTTTGCAATCGAATGCTCTTGCGAATTCGATTTGATTCGAGAACACCGCGTTGATCCGCCATTTTTCGGGAGCATGAACATCTGTGTACAGGCGATTGAGCATGAACTGATGGCGTGATTTTCCGCACCAGACCTAGAATTTGTGAGGATATGCTTTTTATATATCCAAAAATAATTACGTGTGCATTGGCTATGAAAAATAGTTGAATTGGTGTTTTGGCTTCAAGTCCTCGAATTTTTGGATCATTTTTGTTCTTATTCATTTTAAGCGCCTAAATAAAATAAGGAAAACCAGGGATTTTCAGGTGAAATTTTTTGATCTCACTCCAAGTGCAGCACGAATTCCACCATTATCGGCAATGTTCTCGTTTAGTGTCAATCGTCCATCAACTGTCAAATTTGTTGAGTCTACCTTAATATCGGAATACTGTTTAATGAAGCATCTCGTGCGATTTCCGAATTTTTTCATTGTTTCGTCATCCCACCAATTTACTCGATTTCCATATTTATCGAATTCCGAGCCTATCGAGAGAAGTTCATTCAAATAGAATAGAAACTGTTTTAAAACCTGAACTATCAAATCCGTGAGTGATTTCATGGCCTATTGCAGCTCCAATCGCACCATAATTTACAGAACTAAATTATTGTTCGACATTGATTGAGAAACCCTCAGTTCACCTTGGAAGTCTACTATCGAAGTACGGTGGTTGTAAAATGGCTGCCGTCAATGCTGAATTTTGTTAATGTTTCTCCCAAACAATACAATTCGATAAACCAATGCTATTACTCGTCGGATCATAAAACGCATTCACGTCGGTAGAAGGGAACTCAAATTCGAGGACAGTGCGTGTCGTATTCAGTCGCTTCAAGACCAATCCCTGAGTCCACTGCTGAATTTTCAACATTTGAGTGTAATAAGTATCGTTGACCGTGAAAACGAGCTGCAAATAATTCAAACTAGTTTCTGACTCATTTTTTCATGTTGTTGAATGCCAATGTGGGAGCTGTTCTAAATTGGTTTGTGTATGAAATAAACCAAACAAAAAAACGATTAATCTTAGATAGTTTTTCGGTGCACGCTTGAGGACTGGTTTTTTTTTCCAAAATGTGACCTTTTTAGGTGAAATATGTAATATTGTGAAGTGAGGTGAAAAATCCTAAAATCTTACGTTTTTATACTTTTCCGCGATTACATTATAACTAAGAATCAGATCATTGTAACCGATGAACTTGTGAATCGAATGAAGCTAAAAAATGTTTAGAATATTCTATAGTTTAAGATTTTACTTTATCCAGTGCGGCACTTTTCGTTTTATCATCCATCCAGGTGCTAGTTTTAAGCATTTCCTCAAAACTTATCAAAATATTGGAAACCATTTCTTTAACCTCTTCCCCTAAAAATCGTGTAAAATTAAATAATAATATAAGTAGAAAGTTACGAGAGGAGTTGGGAAAGTACTTGTTAACATAAAGCTTAGCAACGACGTCATAGAATATCTGGCTGGCTGTTGACATACAATCCTTTTCTTTGCTCTGAGTTTTGGCACCAGATATTGCAAAATTGTAAGTCTATAAGACTGGATTCTCAATCTGCAATTGTCAATGTCGTATACCTGTAGGACTTCTTGATATCGACTGTCGAAGAACTCTCCAAAATACATAACCGACACCCAATCTAAATAATACAATAGCGTCTTTTCATCCAGATCGCAAATCAAGTCGTCGACTTGTCTTAAGGCGTCCTCATCAATTATCTGGATTTCCATCGTTTGTAAGTCCTTCATAAGATCAGGAGTTAGGAAGCTTTTGAAGTAATCGTCCCAATCAATATTTGTGGATGTCGACTTCAATGTGTTATAGTCCATCATTACAGTGGTGCGATTGTACTGATTACTCTGAGTAAGCTAGAAAAATCGATATGTAGCCAACGCCTAGATATAAAATCAGTACGTTTGCAAGGAATCTATCGACGATGAAGAATGCGTTAATCCGATTTTCATATTCCTCAGCAGATCCACCAAAAATCATTCCATTGTAGTCATCCATTTGAAGAAGATCAAGAAGTTCCCTCAAGAAATTTCTCATGGCATCATATTCGTGGCGATATTCCTCCTTAGTGTATGAATTGAATCCCAAGCTTGCTCCAGCAGTAGACACCTGAATGTCGTACAAAAGCAACGCGAAACGGTTTTTAAGTTATCCAACTTTTTTATACGATGAAAGAAACACAAGAATCTCACCTGCAAAACTCGTAAACTGGAATTGAGTTCATTGATTCCCACGGAAACATCTATGAGAAAATTCATAGGTCGAAACTCTATCATCCAACTCGTTAGGGTTGTTGTGTTTGCTTCACGCGCTTTCCTGTAATAACCCTTCAAGAGTTATACTTCAATCATAATGCTAACTTGAGCTGCTGCAACAACACCATGAGAGCCTGATTATCAGGTGATCGCTTATGAGACATACATTTCTCATAGAAGTCGTGCACCAACTTGTGCTCACGAGTGGTATCGACACTGTGATCTCCGAGAACTTCTTTAAAAAAAATTCAATGCATTTAATATTAAATTCTGATTATTCACATTGAACAAATATTTAAATAGAAATTTTATAGCACTTTTCTTTCCACATCTTTATTTTCTGAACCCGTTGCTGAAGCTGACCAACCTCATGGAAAACGATCATTTGTCAATTCAATTTTTCTTGGTTTAACCCTACATCAAACTCGAACTTTTCGGCTCTCGATACATTTTTTCACTTTACAAATCAGCACCCACCTTTGATTTGTGATTGAACTCGTTGTGTGAGCAAGTCCATATGTCCAACAGATGTTTCATCAATATCAATATCATGTGAATCAATCCATTTCTGACATACATGACCGTAGAAGTCATCGCATGGATCGATGTCGTCGTCAAGGATGTTAACCAGTTCAGGATAATCGATAATTGATTGCGTGGATGAATTAGAAGGCATCAAAGTTGGGGAAGCTGAAGGGTCTCGGTAATCTGAAGAAACAATGAATAATAAGAATGTGGGGTTTTTTTATGAACTAAAGCTACAGTAAGACTCGATTGAAGAAAACCTTGAATGGAATTAGTGTCCAACTCGCCATCAGTAATCGTCAAGGTGTCAAACGAAACACGCCCATTCGAAGCATTGAAGTTTTTAAAATTGAAGCTAACATCCTTCGAGCTGAACTGAACACCGCGTAGTATTGTATTCAGGTCAACACCGACGCTCGCCGAAATTACGATGCCAGCGGAACAGAACACAAGGAATAAAATATGCATCGACAAATAGAAAAATCGACTAATATGGCGGCAACCCGGGCGCGCTGAAAAGAGGCTCAAAATGTGATTAACTCGATGAACGACCAGTTCGAAAGTGGCGTTGATCTCAACATGTGGTTGGCTGGTCGGGGGGGGGGGGTCCTTTTTTTCGCAATTTTTCATGTTTCCGCCTCCAACGTTATTTGTGCCATTTAATTGGAATGGACATCCGAAATCAAGACCTAATATCTATATTTCACACTTTTGGTTTACTCATAGTGTCGAACTGGTTTCGCCAGAATAAGTTGGGATAACGTTAATTTTCACAGAAAAATGCATGAACGTCAAATAGCAATTTTTCGAGAGATTTATGTGAAGAGTGGGTCTCTGGAGAATTTGGTTTCGAAGAAGAAAATTCGCTCCACCGAAAAATATAAACAGAAGAATATGCTGATGAAGATATTGAAGAAGTTAGGTTAAAATGGAATTTGGAGATCTTCGACACAACTTAAGCTTTCACCTTATTTTTTAAAAACTAAAAGAAAAAATCGTTTTCAATACATTTTTTAGTATAAAAAGTAACAATGAGGAAGAATGTTATAATTAACATTGAACTTTTAAAAATTTAAATCATACTTTAACCATTGAAAAAAAACATGTCTACATAGTTTTTTTTCTGAACCTTCTTTTCAATTTGAACAACATAATTTTCATTTTGCTTTTCTTCCCATTCTGAAAAGGAACGCTTCACATGTAAATATTCTTCCTAATTTTGGGTCAGTCTTGACTCCATGTTAAATAAACATTTCTTTTCTTATTTTCATGTATACAGATTTATTGAATATTAGATATAATAAACAATAAACATTTTCGAAACTCTGGCAACTGTCATTCTTCTCAACTGTGTACTCGATTCCAAAATAAAAGCGTCGGGATCAGTGTTTCGAGGTTCTTCGATCTGGACCATCCCATCATATCGGTTCAGAAACAAATTAGAATGATAATGTCGGATATGGTTTGTAAAACGTTTTACTTTCAGAATCAGAATACCATTCAACGAGGGGTATATAGCTCTGACAATGTGGGGGGGGAGGTCATCGCATCTTGGACAACTGAAAAATAGACCATATTTAACTACAAAAAATATAAACCCAATTATGTTGAGTTTAAACAAATATTTCATTGTATTACAACCTTTCTTGTTAAAACAGCTTATCATACTAAGAAAAGAGAATTCCGAGAGTTTCCTTGTTTTATGAAGACAAACATGGCTTCTGATCAGGTAGATGTACGTATCAACAATCTTATAATAGCGAAATGTTCGTTTCGTAAAAATTGGCACAACAATACAAAATATTTTATTTTTTTTGTAAAAAAATCATTAATAAGATGCTTTCTCATCAGGGCAGTCAAGCTCACGTACGAAATCGAAAGCGTAGCCAGATGAATTTTTCTAGAAAAAATAGTTTGTATTTAAAGGCATGGGTACGGTACCTTTGATGGGACAAGTGCAAATCGATATCGAGTTCCGTTATAGACTACAGTATCAAAATATGCTTCACTTGAATATTTGCGTTCAGTAATTTGTACTAATTTCACGAATCTCGCCACTAAACGTGAATATTGAGTTTGTAAGCGCCAATTCGTTAAAAAAAACTCACCATAAGTTTGGTCGCATGAACTGAAAATGGCGTCATCCGTGAAATAATCCATCATTTCACCCGGTTTACTATCTAAAACCTTATTGATAATGCCGATGATGTCACGAATGTTCTTCGTGGTCGTTGCTGATGAGCCATCGGTAGAAGTGGCAGACGGAGTGGTGGTGCTTGAAACGCTGTTGCTAGATGAGTTGGCTGTTGAATCGGTGCTGAGTATAATGAGTGTATCAGTGATAGGTGGTTGAGATGTGGAAGGTTGGGTAGGTGGAGCAGGTTGAGCTGCCACGAGAACGAAGCCAATTGCGAGAACTAGAGGAATCTGCATTTTCTTGTTCTTTTCTTCGCTTTGGTGCCCATTATAAAGAAATTTTTGTTGTATAATAATATGTATACAACATTTATTATTAGTCGCCTCATCACTCCTTTTTTTATTTTTGATGACTTGCACAACATTATGGCCCAATGGAGCAGTATTTCATTTCGAGACGACAAAATGTCATCTTAAAAAGAAAAACAAACTATTTTTAACTTCAAAAAATGCCAACGAAAAAGTCAAACAATACTATTCCAATGGATTCTTGTATGTAATGGAAAAAATTAATTTAATTTATAGAAATTAAAACAAATGGCACATAAAAATGCACAGTATTCTGCTATACCGATATCACGGCGATTGCATGTATTGATTTTTATTTATAAGATAATTTTTTCAGAGATCGATTTCACAATCGACATTTCAAATTTTTCTAGATCAAAATGTTAAGTTACATTGTCTACTTGAAACGAAAAACCTTGTCATTCCAATCTTACGCTTTTTCCGTTTTTTTTTTTCTTAATTTTCAGGTCAATTCCAGAACGAGTGGCGTGCGCAGTTTCCCGGAGGCTCACCCCGATGACGATAACATTCGCACCACACTATTCGTTGAGATCAAACCAACCAAAACTTGGTTAATGCGATGAAAGGCGCGAAACTTAACACCAAATCATTCCATGTCAGACAGCGTTGCCGAAATTGTTCAGTTCAATTTTCACACATTTCTGTCAGAAAGCTTGTGATTTGTTCTGTACATAAAAAGAAAAATGGACTCTTATTATTTTTCTTTTAAAAAATAAAGAATGTCTTTATTTTTAATAGTAAAAACTAGAACAAGCAATATGCTTCTTTCAAACAAGAAAATCGATTACACGAACGCGATTAACGGAACATTATTTAATTTTAAAATAAAAATTTTAAAATTCTGGACGTTGAAAAACGTTTTAATACACGCCATTTTGAAATTGAAATTTGTTTCAATAATGTAAAAACGTGTCATTGTTAATCTATCTGAGATGAAATGACTTCCTAGTTGCCTTTGGGAACTCTATTTGATATCGCTCCATTTTTGACACCCTGAGTACCGCCCAAACGGACCACATAAAAGGAGTAGACCACTGAGTATATCATTGTTTATTCCGTTTTATTTTGTTGTTTAATACTCATTCTATGTTTTGCAGCAATGTGTACCTTCTCCGAAGCCTACAAGAAGCTTATCAAAATGATGAAGGCGCTCAACAAGGAGGAGCTGCTAAACTACCGCATCTTGCGCCGTTTGGAACGCCTTGCCAAAGACGTCGTCGAGATTCAGAAATGGAAACACTGCACTAAGGAGCGTTTGATTGAACAGAATAGGGCAGCGGTCAAACGCATAAACGAAATGGCCGCGGAGTTTCATCCGAACTTGCGCATCGATTGGGAGCAGCTCCGACCCGTTATGCAATCTTTTCTAACTTTGGAGCGCAAATTGGCCACTGCGGAAATTGTAGGAACTAAAGAAACAACCCGCCTCGAAGCAATTTGCATAAATCTCTGCTATGTGAATCGTCGAGCCATCGGAATGGTAGTTGAAGGAGGACCTGAGCATAGCGAAGACTTTGAATTTGTAAGTTGTCATTATTTTTGGTCTTATTTCGTTTAATTCGCATATGTACATTTAATTCACATATTTAATTCACACATGTATATTCAGGATTTTTCCATGGATCACGAAGAGCCAATGTCACCGGCATCTCCGACACCACAAGATGATGATTTTGGCTCTCAACAAATATTGAAGCTAGCTGCTTAGAGTGCCGCTTTGACTTCCAGATGCACTATGCATATTAATTATTTTATTAATTGGTGACAGATTACGCGGTATTTCTAAATTGTAATATGTGTTGAATTTCCTTTCAATAAAAAGTAAGAAATCCAAAAATAGCGTGTTTCCGTTCATTCGTCATCACTTTGTGAAACACTGTTTCATTGGACCTCGATGTTGTGAAACTTGCAAGCATAATCAAAAATAAAAAAATGATTTGGTTTGGTGATTAATAAACGCTTTATTTAGAAATGCATATTATACAACAAAGTTAAGGGTCAATGCAGAAAAGAGAGGTTAATTTCAATGCAAAAAAAAATGCATTTGGTTTTCTTTTCTTGCTGCATTGAAATTTTACATAAAATATTTATATGCATTTTATAAAGAAGCGGCGCCACAGCTTCTTTATAAAATACAGTGGTAGTATGATCTGAAAGCTGTACAGAACAAATAATAAACGTTTCAAAGAAAAATTACTGCTTAAAGTAGCAATATTCATCTCGAACTCTTTGGCTAATCCGATTATTTTAATTATGGTTAATTGCTAGGTTAGCCTGTTGTAAAATTTCAGACAATAAAAAACGTTTATCAGCCATCAACTGTCTTCAGATGCACGACCAGCATTAATCGAATAGTTTTTTTTAGATGAGATGACTCGAGAGATTCGAGAAATAGGAAATTTCCGCGTTAACACTAACATCTAACAAATATCACAATTGAACTGCCCTTCTGCGTTTGCCGTTCCAATGACCTCATTTGCCAAAAAGTTGGGATGCGGTTTATGCATTGCCCTAGGTGTTCGCGTACTACTCCTACTTAATTTATTTATTATTTTACTGTGGTGCGTAAAATAAACTTCTGGAGAGATATGAACATCCAAATCCACTCTTCTTCTAAACTCTTCTAAACACAAAACCCAGGTTTTTAGGTAAGTCCGAAGATTACAACGCAATTGGAAGATCATGTGAAAATGCAAATGTGAGAAAATTCGCAATTGCCATATATAGAATATTTAGAACATAACTCCAATATAAATACGTTCAGTGTCAAGTAATGTGGTAGCTATCAGCTAAAGGAGGTTTTATTATTATGAAAATGGCAAAGAAAGACAATTAACTATGCATTTTAATTAATCATTCTGTTTCTTGTTTTCACATGTGTTTTACATTCAAAGTATTTATTAATTCCCAATTTGAGAAAATAAAATTCAAACAACTGTCATTCTTCTTAGTTGCGCTCGTGAGCCAACTTTATTTGACAACGTCAATTGAGTAGAATTTCGCTTCGGGATGACCACCGTATTTGTACTGGAAGCCTCGAACATTGGAGAATTCAACTTGCTATTCATTCCGAGCAGTGATTTTATCACCTCGCGATATTCAGCACTAAAATATGTCTTAAGGGTTTCCATAAAATGAAATTAGCAATACTTGATGGCATAGAATACAAATAAATTGGAAGAAGCTGCAAAGTTAACAGTAATTCCGGCGTACATTTGAATGAGTTGCACGGTGAACTCATCGCTCGTAATTATATAGGAAAGCGTATTTGCTGTTGTAGTAGAGACCAAACCAAACAGCACAAGTCCTACTGTAACAAGGATTGAGCGAAAAACACTTTTGAATCGGGAACCTGGAAATATTACATAATTGCCAAGTCTTTTTATTTATGATCTTACTCGCTTTATTGGTTTTTAATAAATAGTAGACTGTTCCATAAACGCATACTACAATTATATAAATGAATGCGCTGCTGAAAGTAAAGGCTTGAAATGAGTTTCCATTCAATGATAATGGGTTGGCACAGATCATTTGTCTAAAATAGAGAAACGGAAGCATTTTGATTGTAGAAAAAAATTTACTTTGATTCATCAGTATCTCTTTCAATAAAACCGTAGATCAAAAATGTGATGGCGTAAACTACTGGAAATGTCAATTGCGCAATTATATACAGTGTGGGCTCTTCCTGATAATATCGGTATCTAAAATTTGAATTAGATTATATAGACAATTAGAAATATAATTGTATCTACCGTGTTGGAAATTTTACTGCAATTAAACGATCAATTCCCATGCTTAAAATCAAAGGGCCGCCTGTGGTAAACCCAATTATGGGTAGTGTAAGCATATAATAACATTGAGCTTGTGTTGAAGTTACTGTAGCACATTTTAATTTTTTTTTTAATGTTACGCTCACAATTTCCGAAAAGATGAACGCAAAATGGGAACTGTCCGCTGACATGTATCAAATCGGCCAAACATGTGATAGAAATGAGAATATGGCACGGTGAACGAAATCGCCTAAAAAAATAAATTTTCGGTTTCTGAAAGAATATTCAAAAAAATTAAAATTTCGGAATCGATAGACGAAAAATATCTAAACTTTCTGGTAAGATTCATATTGTTGTGCGTGATTTGTAATATAATCTTACTTGGTTCGAAAGGTGCAGAGGAGCATAAGAAAATTGCCGATGACACCAATAATGGTGCATACGAGAAAAAAGAATCCCAGCGGAAGGATAGCGGTATTGATATAATCGAACATTATGATCTAATGCTGCCAAAATGAGACAAAAATCGCGTCCAACCCCAGTTGGTGTTCGCCGTGGGAAACTGAACTGAATGTCACGGGATCGAAGCCAAGAGAGCAAACTGCACAATTGAAAAAAAAAAACAATTGAATGAGCAAATTAGTTCCGAATATTGTTAAGACAACATAAATTAAATTGTCAAAGAACGAGAGTTGTGATTGATATTTATTCAATTTAAAGATTATAAAGTACCCTGACACAGGAAGCAATTCATGAAAGTTATTTGCGGAGCATCACAATGAGTAGTTTCTCCTCGAACTCGAATTTACCGGCTTTAGAGGTGCAAAAATCGCGAATTACGCGCTCGTCGCATTTTGGAGTGTTTTTCACCGCCGGGAAACATCCTAGAATAATTATTAGAAAAATTCGGGCTGGGTGTTATAATGATTTCTGATCATTTTTCTAATTATGAATTTGTTTGTTTTAATTAAAATGACTTTTGATTATTTAAAGATAGCAAAGTTTCCACTAGTGATTTTATTGTGAATAATAGCCGAAATAAACATTTTTTTAAACAAAATACTTGAGCATTATTTCAATAATATTGAATGGTTTTCGTCACGAAACAATTGGAATTGAGCAATTCTGAAATTGTGGACGCATAATAAAAATGTTTCAGAACTCGTATATGGTTGGCTAAAAAGAAGGAAGATTGAAATCGCAAACCAAATAAGAGCCATGGTTCAATATTTTGGTTTTCAGACTAAAAACTAAGAAAATTAGAAAATCGAAAGATTAATCGTAAATCTGGTTCATAAAAAAATATAATTATAAAAGGTACGGCCACTTCCGGACATTATTGATTTACGATGTTTTCGCAATCCACCTACTTCTATAATCAACTATTCAAAAATAGAAACTGGAAACAAAATTTCTATAAAAAGATATTCAATGTAATCGTGTTTTCTTAAAAACTGCACGATTCATTTAAGGTCTATTGCGCATTTTTATGTGTACGTTCATCGTCAATTGTTTAAACATACCTGAATAAAGTATATTTTCCCATTGGGTCTTGTCAACCGAAATCGGTACGGCCACCGAAAAGCAAACAGTATTGAGATGTGCCTGGAATCAAACGTTTTTAAGATTTGCTCGAAATCATGTTTTCTGGCGTTATTCAGTGTGTGGAGAATAAATCGAATTTGAATAATTTGATCATTATTAAAGGTGATTTGTGAAAATGGCACGCAAATCTTAAGATCCCTATTGTGAAGGGTTAACTTTTTTGGAAATAATTGTTAACATACGGTGTAGATGTCGCGGGACTTCGACAAATAAGCAAAAAATCATGATTGACCTACAGGCGAGGGGTTGCGTCTGTGTATTATACGGACAATGCAACTACATATAAACAATGTTGCATAAAAATTCCCTGTCCTATTTCTCTGACCCAACCATACAGTCCTATTTCGACGATAAGTTATCAATATTTTGTAAACATACAGTACTCATCTGTACTCATATGCAGAAGATGCAAATTCATAAATAGAAATTCTTCTTTGATCATTTTCCCAATAGAAAGAAAATTTGTTCACACGTACCGCATTTGCGGAGGCGAGCAATTCCTCTTTGGTCGCTTGCATTTTGCGCCACAGCATGAGACACACATCTGGAACAGGTAGCGGAGGGTTCTTGGGTCGTGAGAACACCACAATTTGACCGTTATCTGAACATTGATGATTTTTTTTAGTAAAATTATGTTCGTCGGAAAACCTGTGAGAAGCTCGCGAAGTGTTTTGAACAATCCATCGATGTTAGTTACATCATGAGAAATTTCGTTAAAAATGATCAAATCGAACTTCCCGGCCTGAAAATACGGTTTCTAAATTCTATAGCACTACAGCCTTAAATAGAATTAAATTTCGAATTTCCTAGTTGAAAAATATTCAACATTATTCCACACGAAGTCACTATATTTGTTCACGTGATTAGTCGCATACATTGAAATGTTGCAATTGTTGAAGCGAAAAAAATGAGAACGTAAAAACTAAAGCTTCTTCCCGGAATTAATGCCAAAATATCAATGCATCTCTTGCTTTGATATCTGATCACCAAATGACTCCCCCGGTTGTTGTCATGTTTCCTTGAAAGTTTCAAAGTGCACATCAAGTTTGGTTTGTTAAAATTATATCACAATGTCAAAAAGGAGGAAACATTAACCATATGTCATTTAAAGTTTAGAATTCTCATGTTTGTTTACACTTTGTCGAGTTGAAAGAGTTCATGCTCCCATTATATCCGTCGTGTTGTGACATCTACCTGTGTTGCAAACACGTCTACGTGACAATCTCTTCGTCGAACATTTTAATAATTAATCAAAAACTCTCCGATTCCGCCGCCAGCTGACAGCAAATTTCGCCGATCAAAAACTGTTTTCGCTCTGCCAACTGCCGAACAAACTAATAATAAAGTGGCTGTTCGGAAAACACAAACGATCAAATTTCAAAAATCGAACACGACTCCTCTTGGCGGGAGACAAATCGCTTCTCGGGAAACACAAGAAGATGACATGTTCATAAATTGAGAAAATATGTGCGAATTCGTTTTCGATTGTGAAATATTGAATCAGTATGTGGAATCTATTATATTGGGAAATGAGGAAATCCTTGAATAGTCCTATTTTCAAAATTAAAAATAAAATACTACAAAAATCAAGCTCCCTGGGTATTTGTGGACCAACATAGGGTCCTCGTTTTTTTCGATTGTAATCAAAATATGTTAAAAAACATTATTTGAGCTATCAAAACTTGTATAATTCTTTAGACTCTAGCAAACGAAACTTACCGATTCGATGTTTTTGGCGTCCTTGATGATATTCCCTTTATGGTACGTTACATTAGATGGTATGCCGAAAGTTGGCTTCTCACCGTCGCTCATAAGGGTCAACCTGAACACATTTTTATTTTAGGCACATTTTTTTAAAAAACAAGTTCACACTTATTAGTAGGATGATTTTCGGCGAGAACTAAAGCAAATGTGCAAGCTTCTTCAGAAACATCCAAGATGTTGAGCCCGTCGGATTTTCCAATCTAAACATCACTTCTTTTTCATTTGGCTCCTTATTTCTCGTACCTTGTCCATGATCAACTTCCAGAAATCGGAGTGATGTTGGACTTCGAACTTTTTCATTGCATCGTACTGCTCTTGACCGAATTTGATCTTCTGAAACCGATACCCTGAGAAATTTGCTTTAAAATTTGGGAAAATAACTGACCACCATAATGCTTTACGAGCTGGATCGGAATGATACAACACAACGAGTGTTGAGGGAGTGCGCTCTCTTTGCTGAGAATTGAGTGCACTCCTACTGAAGAGAGATATTCAAGAGGCGGATACACTCGTCATCAAAAAACACAAGTGTTCCGGCAAAAAAAACAAGAAAGACCAAAAATAAGTGGGAAGCGAAAAAATAAGATTAAACTATGATGATCCTAATAGTTTACATTTATAACACTTTTCTTCCCCCTTATGGACAAAATTTTGAACAGTAAAATTCGAGTTTAAGCTTAGAGATTATAATTAATGCATATGTCCAATGTTGAGCAAAATCGGCAGGAATCATCGGCCATCAGAGGTCGACGTAACATGTTCGGATACCTATAAAAACAAAAAGAAAACGAAAGAAAAAACATCTAAAGTGGGTTTGAAGACGCTCAACTCATTTTCCTTCGGATTCTCGATTTCTGGTCTTTCAAAGAGATCGTATTATGAATTTGAAATAAACAGTACATAAATAAAAAGTGTGCAATGTGAAATGTGGGGTAAGACAAACAGATTTGATATCATCCAAAATTTCATGGACAAAAATTTTTTTTAAGATATAAAATTTGAATTCATTTGAAGTTGAAGCATTTTTTCAATGACATTTTTGCCGACATCCATGGTGTTTCAATAGAAACCTTGTGATCAACGACTGTATAAAAGTCAGTTTCATAATTCATTATTTCGTTTTATCCAATTAAGATCCATTTGGATGAAATAAACTTTAAGAAGACATCTATCACAAGTTGCTTTCAATCTCACTGATATTTACCAGCTCGCCACTGATTACTTAAATCTTTAAACCCAATTTATATGACTTTGAGATCTCAAATATACTTTAGATGCCGAGTGTCACTTTTTCTGTAAACATGTCGTATTCATTTGAATTGATTTTCTGATCGTGCATTTTCACTATACTACGAGCATCGTCAATGTTCTTCCCGTCTCCACCCCTTTTCATTATTATTCATATATTATCTGAAAAACCGTTGAGTGAATTTTTTGGTGATAACAACCGCGGAGTTACCCCCAAAAGAATTATCATTTCACTAGCAAGCCACCGTTTTTAAAGGATCACGAGACTAATTGTCTACTTTATGAAATTTTGGAGTTTTATTTCATTTCTATATACAGTTTCATCATGGTATTGTCGACGCCGTGCCACTGCGAAACGCCACAACGGCAATGATCTTGGCGCGAAATTAAGAGTGTAGATTTACAGACCTAAACTGTATAAGAATAGGTTAAAGGCAAGCGCCGCACACTAAATCTTATCTCAATTTTTTTGGCATTTAGTCAATTTTAAGCAATCGCACGACGTCGACAATATATTTATTCTCAAAGCCATTTTTAATAAATTTTCTTTTTGTTGTTGAAAAAGGTTATAATAATTTTTCAGTGTAGTGCACCAAGTTTGACTACATGAATTTATAGTCAGAAGCCATTCGTAATTTGTCATAACCAATAATAATTAGCGCTTCACTGTTTCAAAACCCTACAATCCGATTGAAATTACGTGATGATGTGCAATCTTCGGAGAAAATTTGAAACTTTGATACCGAATTTTTGATAAGATACCAGCATAGTATGCCCTACCGAAAAATATGTTTAGCAAAGTTTGAACCATAAACTTTGTTAAACACAGTTACTGTCGGAGTGAAACGACTTGATGAAGTTTAAAAAATTATTGGCTATGTGCCATTGAGTCTCGAGGCAGCGAGAAGTACGCGAGACTGCGTACATTGCATTACAGTGTACGTGCATTTAATATTCAGCAAACGATAAATTTAAATCTACACTTATTTCGCGAATTTGATGGCCCCGACTTCCTTCTGTCGTTTGACGCCGACAATATGAAAAACAAGATTTTCACCATCATGAAATGTATTGTGCTTTTAACAAATGGCGGCAAATTGCGGTAATTTTTTGAGTCTCGTTAGGCAAATTTTAATCTTAATGATAGGAGTGACAACCTTACGCAAATTGCTGATAAAACCAATTTTCCTGATTAATATACATAATTCTGATATTAAATCGACTTCTCATAATTTTCAGAAAGAGTTCTGATCATTTAAGAAGGGTCATTATCATCAAAGTTACCGTCAAAAGCATAGCTAATCTTATTGAGAGAGAGAGTTCTAGAATTTCTCGAGATTTTAGAACATACTCAAAACCATTTATTCTTCCATTTGACTCTTTTTTTTTTCATTTACCCGTTTTCAGTAATCACTATATTCGTCACTTTTGAAAGATAAACTATTTCACGTCACTCTATTTGACCTTTTTTTCAAGTCTAAAAATGAAGGCATGTGACCGAATTTGATTAATCACATTGTCTGTATTCATATTTGTGTTTACAAAAATTGCAAAAATACCGATTGTCGTCATGACCCGCACATTTTTTTGCCCGGAATTTTGTCTTATCGTAATCCAATTATCTTCGAACCCCGATCTGCTACAACGATGAATTCTGTTATCGATTTCGAAACGTTCTTCAAGCATAATTGACATTCTAACCCGAAATTTCCGTTTTAGAAATGACCGCTCGCACAGAAATTGAACACAGATATATCAAGCGACGGAATTCGCTCAACAGTCCGGGTGTCAGAGACGGATGTAAGGTGAGACTTTCAGATTTTCGATCTTTATTCAGTATGTAATATTCAGAACCGCTGCGCAACCACAACAGGACATCATCCGGAAGATCCTTCAGAATCACCACCTCCAAACCCATTCATCAATCCTCATTCAAAACGCCCAAAATCGATTAGTGTATGTGTCGGATCGGTTCAAATGGTAAGTGAATAGGTATCTTGTCGCTTGGCGAGTCAACGGAATCCCGCGCGTCCTTCTCATCGAGAATTTCGAGACGACCACAGGTGAGACAACGCGAGAGACAGTTTCATTTCAATTTCGTATCACCGAATTTTTGCGTATTCCGGCATAAATGTGAATTGCAGGGTAACGAGGTGTATAGGCCGCCAGCGCAACCAAGGACACTAAATGATTTTCAATTTGTGCATCCGGAACTTCTAACCATTCAAAATTATGAGCTTCAAACAATTAGGTATTACTAATGAGTTAAAATGAAAGAAGAAAACAAATTTAGGGCACCTGCTTTATCCACTTCAGAAGTCTTTAACGAACCTCCTCCACTATATGTATACAGAGTAATTCCTTCAAAACAAAGTAAGCCAACATTTGCGTAAACCTTTAAAGATAATTTCTTTCAGGGAAGGTTATGGAACAACCCCCAAACCATATAATAACCTACATAAAGAGGAAAAAGCACACAATAATTGCGTGGACATTCGGAATTGTGGCTATTACAATTTGCATAATAGTCGTCACACTTCAAACGAGAGGAGATGTACATTAAATCGCAGTTTTCTTCATTAAATAAATTTACAAAAATGTTGTTGGTTCAATAAGCGTCGAGCTTTTCGGCCAATGTCTTGATGGATCGGATCACTGGGATACTAATGGAACCATTGAAAAATTCTGCCTAAACCATTAAAATTGTAGTTGATTGAATATTGAATAAATTTTGAACCTCAAATACCAGATCTAAACGTTGTAACTGAGATTCCAAGGCCATTAGCCGGCGTTTCCCATCTCGTCGTTTTTCCAAATCGCTAGATTGACGAATCTCCTTCAAAGAAAATTATTTCACAAAGTTGTTTTGCTTCATAAACATACGATGGCCTCCTGACATGTGAATCCAATTAGCCCTTCTAATGTCCGATTGTCCACCAAAGCCTCAATACTCTGTGAGCAATCTTGTAATTGAACCTGCAAATATTTTATACTACTATAGATTTATTTAATAAAAACTGCAAATTTTTAAGATCAAGCACAAAACTTTTTATCTTCTTGGGGCAAAAAATATTTATATGTGCATTTCGTTAATACTGTAGTTTTCAATTCATTTCAAGCTAAATCAGATAAGAAATGCCTACAAGACTATGGCGCAAAATTTTTTTGCAAAACCTCTAAATATATGAGACCTCGACATACCTTCATGGTCCATAAATTATCTACAACTCGAAGCGGTTCAAGTACATCTTCAACAAATGCCTGACAATATTAGATTAAAGAAAAGAAACCCGTAAAAATGCAAACCAGTATTGAAAATCTGCGTGACCCGACACAATATTTCATTTTTCGCACAACGTCAACTATTTGACAGATTTTGATCTTATTAAATTCATTTAATGCCCGTTTTGCTTCAGGATCTATTGAAGGTGATTTTTTTTTCATTGAATCTTCAACAACATCGGTCAAATGTACTAGAGGTGATTCAAGCTCAATTATTTCAATGTCAGCACTTTCTTTCTTCACTTTTACGGGCAGCTGAAACAAATTTTTAATTTTAACAAAAATTCAAGATAGTAAACCTTTTTTTTCATAGATTGAGTCGTTAAAGATACAGGTTCTTCCCCTTCTTCAATTATATTTTCTATATCTTCATCCGAATCATTATATTTTTTCGTGGTTAGCATTCCAGGAGCACAAGAGGTGGTCTAAAAATTTCGTTTGGATAAGTGTTTTTTTATAAATGTGAAGTTACATTTATTGTTGTGGATTGTTTGAACTTCTTTCTAACAGGAGATTCAATCAACTTTCGATTGATAGACGGTTCAAATTCTTCAACTTCCGAATTGAGGCGTTGTGTGACGGATGAGACCGTTACAAGCGGCGCGGTTTCCGCAAGAACTTCTGAATTACAATTCTATGTTTGCAAAAATTAATTCTACATATATACCGTTTTCATTTGGGAAATCGTCAAAATCATATTCAATATTTTCTTCGAAAATGTTGCTAAAATAGAATTCTTATAAAAAATGCAAAAAAATAAAAATTACGGTGAGGGTGAAGGAGCTCTAGATTTTGAGGACGATAAGATAGTTGATTGCGATGGAGCGGTAGATAATCTTTGAGAATGACATCTGTAAAATTATGCGAACATAAAAAAATTCAATTTTAAATTACTTTTGTTTTGGCTTTATATATTCCATGTTTAAAAGTTTCCTATATTGGTCTAATGGGCGATTTTCGTTTAATAGAGGCAAACATTCTCCACCCAAGATTTGACAATTTTCTGATTGAAGAAATAGCGTGCCTTTGAGAAGCTTTACTGGTGGTGATATTGCAATCTGGACAAAAAATTCAAGAAAATTTATTAATTGCAACCTACTTTGCAACCTGGTTTTATGTACAGCGATAATTGAGGAACCCGTGTAAATTCTATAGCCTTAATTTCCGTTTGTCCATCAAAAAGTGTTAATTTTAACATTCTTGTGAATTTCTGCAAATCTTCGATATAAAGTAAGTTAGTTCAAGAACAAACTTTGTCGTTGTCATCTTCTTTTTCATTAAAAACTGCATCAAATCCAGTATTATCAGTGCTAGATCTCTCATCCAGCTTGCACACTTGAGAATAGAACGAACTTGCAACATCAATAATACTGTTAATCTAAATTTTATTTCATATTTCAAAAACATGTAATATATATATATTCACTAACCTGACAAACAACAAGCCCTTGCAGTTGTGATTTTGAAGTTGACGGTTGAATTCCGTGATTTGCAAATACTTCGAAGCTTGAAGATTCGAATGGAGCAAACTTCCATTGCTCAAATACCAAATTTGCAAATTTCTCATCACTCTAAACCCTGAAAATCAATAAATTTCGTTTTTAAAATATAGTCCTACATAATTTTTTGATGCCGGCAATTGACTTTCGATGAATTTAATTGTTGCGGTTAACCAATTTTCTCTTAATAAAATGAATCGGTCCCCGAAAAACTGTAGAAGATATGAAGAACGATTATTCATTCATATATACTGAAATTTTAGAGATAAATCAAAGGGTTATTCGAAGAAATAAATAAAAATTTCAAACTTCGCGGACACGAAAAAACACCATGCGGTTGTTGCTTTGTTTTGTGCGGGCATTGCATTTACTTTTACAAGCCCCGCCTTTTGACAGAATTTATTTTTAATTTAAGCGTTTTTCTCATAGAATTAATTGTTTTCTTGATATCATTGTTACATTTTGATGATTATTCAAAGAAATATATAAACATTTATCGTAATATACACGAAAAAATAAATAATTTATTTATTGCAGTATAATATGGAAGAAAAGGAATCAGATGGAGAGCGTCATGAGTCAGATACCGATTCAGATTTTGACTTTGATCCTATTGAATATGAAAAAAAGTTTATAATTAAAATAAAGCTTATTATGTTCCCTAATTATTATCTTGAAGAAAAAATGAAAATCTAAGGAAAGTTGTTCTGGCCGAATTGCATTACCACGATGTTCGTAAACTTCTCAGAGATAGGCGGTACAAAGAGGTAAAAATTTTCTCGTTTTTTTATTGATTTGAATTGTGGTTTAGGTTGAAAAAAGGAAAGAACAATTAAGAAATGAAACTTGTCCGGAATATTTAAAGCGACGACAGGAAATACTTGATACCGCCGAAATGAATCGAATGGTATGTATTTTTTGCCAATTAATTTGTTATTTTATTGAAATTCCCCTTTTATTTTTTAGGAATGTCTGGCAAGGTATGAGCTAAAGAAGGAAGCACTTGCGAATGAGATTTTTGCCAGGCGTGAGTACATTCTAACCGAACACGAGGACGATAGATATGTGATCAAGGTAATAAATTGAAAAACACAAATTTCAATAATTGCTTCAGCAAAAACTTATTGATACCCTAAAAGAAGTAATAACGAGAAAGAGAAAACGTGAAAACAATGTTATACAATTCTTGGAAATGTCATTCGGTAAGAAAATATTTGAATAATCGTTAATTCTTTTTTAGCTCTCCCCAGGGGTAGCGATATACAGTATGAAAGGATTAGTAATCATAAGGCTCGAAAACTTTCTTCTAGACGTAGAAAAACGATAGTCGAACAAACCGATGAGCCGGTAAGAGATAAAATCTTTGTTAATAAGCACCCAGAAAATTTTTTTAGGAGAACGTTATTATGTTTAAAACGGGAGCTCGTGATAAGATAATTAGAAGTAGAAGGCCTCCAAACCGATGGCAATCATCAACACCCACTAGTCCAAACGATTCGTATGAACATGAACAGCCCCAGGAAGTTTCATAATAGAATTTAAAATTTTTGATAACAACCATTGTTGTACATACAGTTGTATAATTGATTGTGAGTCGCTAGAAAAATTTCAGTTATATTCTGTGAAATAAAAAAGTGCATTCCTTCATCACTATACTCTCGAATGGAATCAAATCAATTGTTCAGGCCATTTCCTTTTGTTTTCATTTGTACGAAGCCTTTCAAACGAAATCATTGTCCTTGCTCCTCGTTTCTTTTTGTATTCGATAATTTTGTTGTCGTGCTTTCTTACATTTCTCTGCCTCGGATCGAAACAATAGTCGTTTGGTTCCCATAAGCGCCAAATTTATTAACGTTTTTGTCGTCCCGATGTTCATATTGTCAAGTTTTTCTTGTTCTTCGTGCATTTGCATATTATTCATAAATGCTTCTTTGTTCGCTATGACGAATTGAACAATGATGAAAATGAAGTCCAGTGAAGGCAAACTGTGTTTCGATATTTTTTTTAGGGAATATTTAGTCGAAATTAACGCTTGCCTAATATGGTTTGGAGATGACCACACTAAAAAACAAGACTTTTAGTGCTTATGGAAGTTTTTGGCGTAACGGTAAAATTGTCCATCTGTGCGAATCTCCCCAAGTCTGCACTTTTGGCGGCAACAAAAAAAATTGAAGGCAGTTTATCCCGGGCAATTTATAATCCTGTTATTGGGTGTAATAAAAATGAAGAAGCACACTCAAAATCAACGTTTATTTGACGAATCCGTGTCATGTTACAACAAAACATTGTTAAAAGGCCCATATTTGATGAATTCTGGTCGTGATGGGTTTGCCGGTGTCGTATTATGAGCGGTTGTTGTCCTCATACTGGGCTCGTTTGCCGCGCAGTCCTTTCAAACTCATCATCGGCACTCGTTTGCCGCGGAGGCCTCGTAATCCCGGAAACGCGAACATATCCGGATCGACGGATCGTTTCAGAGACGGCTGAAACATCCAACGCGGCTGTTGGCCAATCTGCAAATAGAAACATGCCGTTTCGTTGCCCTCTCAATTTTATGGGCCCTTAACCCCACGCCATATATGCACATACATATATTTGCCAATTTTCGACAAGTTTCATGGTCGCAATAAAACCGGATATTCGGCAATTGGTTCAACTCAACCGTATCAGTATTAAATTCAAAACTGCGGAAATTCTCAATTTTTGTCGAGAAGTAAAATCTTGAGAAACTTTTGTTTCGATTGATTCAAAATGTTCCGCGATTTATCTGAATCGTAATGACGATTGTGGTCCCTCTCGAATTACCATTATTTTTTTTTCGATTTAAAAAGTTTTTATAACACGATTCCAGCCTAAATGAAAATTGGTTAGCATTGAATTGCTTCGAACCTTTCTACGACGGTTATATATAATATACTGGCACAACTCAATTTCCGGAGACAATTTCCTGAAAATCTAAAAAAAAAATGATGTGATAGAAGCATTCTCATCGGTGATAGTGCAGAAATTGTCTGAGAAATTGAAAAATGTCTTTTTTCTGAGGCTTTCTTTTCCGAAAAAATTGCCATTAATACTAAACTGGCTGACAGGATCGACGTCTTTCATAATTTAAAATGAATAAGTCGCATCATTTCTCACCATTTAGCATTTTATTTTAAACAGTCAACGATGATTCAAAGGTGTATAATCTTTGAAATTTTGAGTTTTTGTAACATTTTATGTTGTTGAAAAGTTTTTTCTTTTATTTAAATAAATCAAAAGTTTCTATTGGTTTTTTAGTATTTTGTTTTCAGCTCAATCTAAAATTGAAAAATTTAGTATAGAAAGTTCATTGTGCCTAACGACAAAAATCTCGTGACCGTGAAATGTGACCATGCGTTTATTAGGTCGCCAAATTCAGAATACTCGAACTTCTTAGGCTCTAATGCAAAAAATATGTAGCTCAACATTAATTCAGAATTCTAAATTCTCCGCACCGAATAAAATATGGACTACAAAAAATGGGACCTAGCTGATACGCATACGCTTTATATTAATCAAATATGCATTGTTTCGGCGTCGGACCATGCCAAACACACAATGAAAGATGAATCGCTACAATTTACGAGTCAATTGGGACCATTTCAGTAAATTGAATGCTTATTGTCGAGGGGTTCCGATGAAGGGATCATTTGTTTCCTTTTTAAAATCGGGGACAAGCATCATTTTATTTTTGTTTTCTCCGCCGAATTTTCCCACATTATTTCCAGATTTGTATTATTATTACTATTGTGACTAATTGCTGCTAAAAGTTACCTTTTTCTTAAATTGGCGACGTCAATTTATTTTCGAAGGTCGCTGAATTTCATGTAATAATTTATGAAGATTTCATGTTGTGCGTGCTTTGTTTGTTTTTCACTTAGAATTCTTGAGATAGACTTTTATGATCATTCGCTCAATTTTATTAATCTGAAAAAATGTAATTTCCAGAATGGTGTTAGTTAGTATAGCACCTTTCTTGTCATATTTTGGGGCTTCCGACTATTCCACATACGCATTTATTGTCCAATTTTGTTAATAAAAATTTATGAGAAAAATAAAAACCTTTTTGATCGTCGTTAAAAAAACGATTAAGTTCTTGACTCCCAACGAAATGCTAATTTTCGGGGGAAAAACAGGAAAGGAAGAAGATTAAATTCACAGCCTATACTAATTTTTTTAATGGTTTTCAATTTAATATTCTTATTTCATTTCGTTTCTAGGACCATTTCTTATGAGCGCGACGTAACGAATGACTACCGCCCTCCCCTCGCCTATTCTTTTAAATAGGACAAACCTCTTCTAAGCCTTCAAACTGCTGCTGCGTTTGCACAATGGTGAAGCAGGAGAGGAATAGCAAGAAAATCGTATAGAGTACGGTAGGAGTCATACTGTAAGTAGGCTGGACTTGGATGGAGAAAGTGAGCGGATAGGGGGCTCGACAAGCTCTAAAATGAGCTCGACGAGAAATCGAGCTCCCTCTCTCCTCCTCTTTCACTCGCTAGCGCCGAAAAAATGGGCGGAGCTTCTTACGGCTCTGACGCCGACAAATTATGATGTCAAATATGTATGTGTTTATTCGTACAAAAAAGGCAAAAATATCTAGTCGCGTTCATCGGATTCTGATGAAGCTTCCTTCTTGGACTCGATTACTGGATCGGATTTTGCCTCAGGGTCCATGTAGTCGGAATTGAAGCCACCGCGGCGGCGACGCGAAACAATCAGCTCGCGCTCTTCTTTCGCAAACTCGGTTTCAAGGTTAAGGATTCCTAAACATTATTAGCATATCATAAATTTCTTTGAATTAAAAAAACCAATATCGAACGTCTTCTTCGGGGTCTTGCCATTGGTAATGTAAGACTTTGGAAGGGCGAATTTCACCTTGCGCGATCCAGGCTGAAAAAAATAGCTCCGGAAATATTTGTTTTTGGCCCCAAAACATATTGTTGAAGGGTTTTCTGATAAACGGAAATAAAATTTCAATGTAATTCACAAAATATAATTGAATTGTAAGTTCGAAAAATTCCAAATTCTGGAAAATAAATGACAATGCGAGACTCGAGTTCGAATAATTATATTTTTTTTTTCGAAACGATAAAGACGAATTTGTTCTTACCTTGAGATCGTCGCAATCATGATAAACTTTGAAAATTGGATCGATTGGTGTCAATTCAGCAGTTCCGCCGGACAATTGAAACTCCCCATTGGCGTCGGTGTATCCCTGATCCAACAAATCGTCCGGATCCGGTCCGGTGTCCTCCTCCCAGAGCTTGACACGAACATTTGCCGCCGGCTTCGTGCCACAAAGCAATTTACCTTTTACGGCGATTGATTGATCGCGCATGGCAGCAGTAAGGCCGATTAAAGCAACCAGGAGAAGGAAATGCGACTTCATCTGAAATGTTTATGTATTTTAAATGAAACGTATTTTTTTAGAATAATGTGGTATGGGTTTCGTATCGAGTCTATAATATAGACCCACAATTTGTGCCGAATGGCGAAATGAAGATGAAAACGAATTGATAAGTTATCAACAAACATAAACGGCTCTCTAAATGCATAATGCTCAACAAGGTTACCTACATATAGTCGAAATAAGAACATAAAATGTATTGGCAAAAACATGGACCGGAAATCGGGTGACATGATCGAATTTAGTGTCAGGAAGAGTGGAGATCGGGGTGATTCATTTGAACTTGTTTACGATATTGAACTCTCGAGACGAAAATTATCAAAACTACAACTGATAAGGAAACCTTCTAATTGATAACCGAGCGCTTGGGTCAATCAGTGTTAGTTGTTATGTTTCACAACGTTTCATTTTCAGATGCTCAAAAATTTTCTTCTGCTTGCTACTTTAATTGGTGTATGCTCAGCCTTGGATCAATCCTATGCCGTTAAGGGAAAACTTCTATGCGGTGCGAAGCCAGCTGCCAACGTTCGTGTCAAACTGTGGGAGGAGGACTCTGGACCAGATCCTGATGATCTCTTAGCACAAGGATATACCGATTCAAATGGAGATTTTAAATTGGAAGGTGGCACCGCTGAATTGACACCAATCGATCCAATATTCAAGGTCTACCATGATTGTGACGATGGAATTAAGGTAAACAGCAAAATAAATTTTGTTAACCACTCAAAAGCATATCTGAAAAATATCGGGATAAATTCTAGTAAGATCCATCTGCGGACGTTTTGCAGTTCGTATTCACCAGGAATCTTTGCGTATTATTGAGATATTCCTTTTTTCACGCTCGTGGTTAATACTTCGTTAAAACTCTGCAAAATTCTCACATATCTATATATTTTTTTGGTTCTTGCACGCCAACATTCTCGGAAGAAACAGATCATCCCGCCTTATCTTCTTTGAACTTATTAAAATGCATCATACGTAAACAGAAGAAGTATTTCGCTAAGCTCAAGCTCGGGCAATTCTTTATAAGGTATTTTCGGGCATGGAAGAGCTGTCAAATTGGTATTGACAAGTGTCTTCATTCTGTAATAATACCGACACTATTTGATTGTGTGTGAGCACACATACATTTTCGTGTTTTGATAGTCGTATAAGCTGTATGTATATTGCGGAGATGATAATAAGTGGAATTGTGCGTCGAAAATAGCAATTAAAATGTGGATAGTTGTAGTACCGATAAGCGTCTTAACTCATAAGTGCAAGATTTTATGTTTTCAGCCAGGATCACGTAAAGTCAAATTCGGACTTCCAAAATCATATATTACAAATGGAAAGAAAGCGTTGAAAACGTTCGATATCGGTGTTCTCAATCTCGAGACAATTTTCCCGGCTGAGGAACGCGAGATGATCGTATCGAGAAGACGCAGAGAACTGGACCAACTCATTGATGAAGCCTTCGAGGGACTATTCTAACTATTTTGCTATATGCTTTTTCATTCATTTCCGAATAAGAATAATTGTTATAAGTAAGCGCACGAAACTTTCACTGAAACACACTAATTACTGTCGCGGGATGAGGTCCATTCTTCTGGTTTGCACAGCGAAAGTCTTATAGGTCATTTCGGCTTTGCTGACTGGACGGGTAATTTACTCACACCATGTTTCGCCTCGTTCCTTTTGCTATATTTATTGCAATAAAAGGTAAACCATATATATATATATATATATATATATATATATATATATATATATATATATATATATATATATATATATAATTTTAGTATTCTTATTAATATTTTCTAAGTAGTCTATAAACTTTCTCAATTTTAATGTAATGAGCTTTGTTCGCAACATTGATTACAGTGAATGCTGAAATCAGTACCTCGTCAGACTTGAATTGTGACTTTACCACTCCAAATTGTCGATGGCGAAATTCGACAGATGTCGGTGGTCGTTTCGACATCGCTTCTACTCTTGAGCCTGACATTCAGACTAAAATAATGCCACTGGATGAGCATAATCGTGGGCACTATTCTGAAAGCATTTTACAACACTGTTGGTTTCAGCTACCCCATTTGCTTATACTTCTGGTTTGATGGGTCGGACATTGGCGTTGTTAGTATCCGAGGTGATCACATGTCAACTTGGAGGGGCAAGTATCAAGTATTGGTACTTCAAAACTGGACAGTATTCACAACTGGAAGTGTGTATACGACAACCGCCTGGCAATAAAGATCTGAATACTATGAGGTAAATGAGAAGGACAAGATTTACCAGTTAATTGTCCGCAGACTGAACGGTTAAAATATATTTGTTTCGACATCAAGCATTGTCCATATTATTGACTTAATATTTCCAGGTGCTATGACGGTGTTTCTTCAACATTTGCTCGTCAATGGATATTCCGTGCTGTCGAGCTTCCACCGATTGCTCAGCCTTTTGAGATCGTGTTCAAGACGTTCTTCTCCCCTCCACAAGACGTTATTGCGATTGACGACATTGTGTTTGAGGCAACTCTATGCGGTTAGTTTTCATTATTTCGCCGTTTTCTTTTAACTTCCCTTTTTGTTGCGACTGTCGGCGCATTCTAGGCTACAGTCGCGACCGTCGTGAGATTCGTCGCATCGGCTACCACGATTGGCAATCGTATCGGCAATCGAAACTTTATAACGGCGAGTTGATGCTGATTGTCGCTCAGGATGTCGCCGACAATTTGAAATCTACAACCACGACAACGACCACTACTACTGAACCAGAAACGTCAAGTACTATGAGTACTACTATAACCACTACTACTACTACTACTGAAGCTACAGTTCTAGAAGCGAAAATAAGTGTAGTTTCAACTACTGAAACCACACCACCAGATCAAGGAGGGCAGAAAACTACAACGACAACGGTTTTTCCTAGTTCCACCACAACATCTCCGGTGGATACTGAAAAACAGTTTGCTAATTTCGTCCAATTTATTAAACAAGCGGCTCCTGTGATTCCCTATATTCCAACATTAGTTCGATCCTTATCCGGATTAGACCAACGGCCTGAGCTTGTCCCTATAGACGCCCCGGAGTTTCGAAGGGCACCTCCAGTGACGTCTTCTCATTTTTACAACACAAACCAGCCATTGCTTACGACTTCTCCGCCTGAGAGTCAGGAAACTTTGATACAATTGGCCAAGAAATTTGGGATAATTGATGATGAAGTCGAAAAAACTACAATGGTCATACCAACAACCCAAAATCAGAATCAATTCGGACTCAAGTCGAAACTAACGGCGGAATCGATTTATCCGCAAAACCTGATTCAAAAAAAAATTCCGCTAAGACGAAGTTCTGTGCCACCAACACCAGTAGAGGAACTTCACAGGAAACTTTTTACTTCAACACCACCCTCCCCACAGACCTCCACTTCTTTAATTGTATTCAAGCAACCAACGTCTGGAGAAGAAGACGTTGCCGAGAAGCTAGCCGACATTGCTAAGCTACTTCCATCAGGGGCGGTTCAGGATCTCACCGCGCTTCGTAACATTCCAGACATTGAAGGACTAACGAAAGGAATGGATTTGTCGGAAATTCGACGACCTGGAGGTTTTTCGAAATTGAAAAAACAATTTATGGAAAGATTGATGAGACGAACATTGGGATTGCCGCTTGAAAATGATGACGTACGGGTGATGCCACCCCCAATTGTTCCGATGAAAGTGACAAGGAAAATGATGGCTGAAATGGCGAAAAGGAGCCGAAGAGCATAATAGCATAAGCATACATAATATTTTTGTAAATTCGGATCTGTGTTCTGTCTGTGCCAGCATTACCTCTGTTTCAAACTCAATGAATTCATCTTTTATTTCTGATACTTTTGCGGGTAAATAAATTATATGTCGCCATTTTTTTCATTTTGTCTAATTTTGTAATGGTATATTTTACCAAAATATCTCCAATATTCAGAATCATCCAATAGTGGAGCTTCAGAAGGAGCTGGAGGAGCATTCGATAGTGTGATTTCGAATCCGCAGCTGTTAGATTTTGAAGGGAATGGTAACACTTATCAGAGCAATGGGACTCTATAAATGTGTTTCAGATGTGAGCATTGATACAAGTCAATTTGAGATTACTGGACCACCTCTGACGTCCCCAAACAGACCAGTTCACTTGGCAGCTCCAACAAAATCTATTGGAACCACTGATCTTGGAGGTCCAAGGACTGGCGCAACGTTTCGCTCTTTGTGTCCCCAAATAGATTGTAACTTTGACGATAACGTAGGTTCATAAACAATAAAATAGCTAATTCCTAAAAAAATAGACATTTTGTAACTATGTCACTAGTTCTTCGAATTCCACTGCTGATGATGGCTCAACCCTTAATAAGTGGATGTTGTCGGCAAGAAGTGTCTTGAACTCCCTAACTGGAATCCCGTTGGATCTTTCAAAATCTGGATCCTTCATTTACGCGGGCGGACTTAAAGTGTCGCCAGATGAGATTTTCGTATTGTCCTCAAATAAACCAGCCAAATTTCCGGAGAATTCAAGACTTGATTTTTTCGCATATCAAGCTGGAATCCGTGGACAACTTCGAGTATGCATTGATGATGATACGAACTGCCCAATTCTGCTGGAAGGAAGGTAAAACATTCGATTCATTGACCCTCAGTTATTTCAAAAAAGCTTCTAGGCACATTGATGTAGACGCTCAAAGATGGAAGAATTATTACTTCAATGTACCACTTGGGGAGCATGTAGTAATATAATTAAAAATTTCTATTATCATTTGTTTCTCTATTTCTTCTTTCTAGATCCATTTCATAGTTGACGGTCTTTTTGACAATTACGTCATCGGATTGGATAATATCCAACTTTTGAATCGATTCGGAACCGGAGCCTTAGCTTGCTGATTACGATAATTTATTATAATACATGTGAAAACCAGTAAAGTTCCAAATAAAACAAAATATACAAGTGACTACATGAAATGAATACAGTTTTGACGTGTGAGTCTAGTTTTCGCGTTTCTTCGCACAGACGAGGAACATTCCGTTGACCTCATAGAGAACACATGTACGATCGTTCTCAACATAAAGTCCGGCTTTGGCAAGCGCATCCAACATCAATTCCTTAGTTATGTACAAACATGTGAATTTGCGACCGCCAAAGCTGCACCAGGTTTCCTCAAAGATTCCGCCGTAGACCAAATATCCTGTAATGTTGAAAATTTCGATTAACTGCATATAGATTGTTTCTCAACCTCCTGGCTTCACCTGATCCGCAATATTCTTAATTGCCTTATAATATTCTTCATGATTGTTGCAGCAATATTCGACGCAAAAAATGGTGACAACAACCTGAATGGAACTTATAAACATGTCACGCTTAGTTAGCTATGAATAATCCCACATTGAATTGGCCTTGCAGCTCATTTGGACACTCGACAGACGGCGAGGAGAAGCAGTCGCAGTAGTAAATACCTCTGACCTGTAAATTTACGAATTGCTCTCTGTATCTACACTCTAAGCGTTCAAAACTTACCTTATCTCGAGTTGCTGGGGTGATTTCTTTAACCTTATCCCAGGTGATGCCTTCTCTTGAAAGGATCATGCGGAATGGAACGGTCCAATCGAAAGTCGACTCACCGTTCATCCATTTCTCAAGTTCGTCGCGGTTTTGTTTCAGATAGTCGGCAAGGTAGATCTGAAGAGCAGACTACGAGGATAACACGAATTGAAATTTAAAACCTCGTTAGCCATCTCTCGATAGCACGCTGCGACATGCACAGTTGGACCCGCCCCAAAATCGAGAACCTTGTTAACTTTCCCAACTCTCGCGACGATGTTCGGCAAAAAAGTAAGGACCATTTGCATGGCGGGATCGTCAACTTTTGTGTAGAAGTCCTTAATAATGGCTAGCATAATTCAGAAGAGAGAATTGATTGAAAGTACATCAAGATAAGCGTTCGTGGAAAATTCGGTAAAGAAAGTTGTGCGGTCAAGCAGTTTTTCTCCATCCACTTCGCGAAGGACTTCAGTGGGAATGTTTGATGGAACCGGTGCTTGAACCTCTTCCTTCTGGAATTTTAGAGTAAATAGCATTTCCAAGAATTTTTTGTTTATCAGGAATTTAAAAGACCATCGAAATTTCAGCCACCAAAATGCATTTGATACTCACCGGGTTTTCGGCACCGTACGTCATTTTTGATATTTTATTTTTTACAATCGCGTCTGCAAAAAAAGTTCTTTGTACTATTCGACATCAACATATCAGAGAAGCGACATGAAGAGAGGAGAAAAGTAAGCAGCCGGCCAGCTCGAGCAACTCCCGCGAGCAATGAATGCTCCTGCCCGGATCACCGAGAGCACAGGCTTTTTTAAACGCGTCAATCGGCTCACCGGCACCCTCCACTCTCAGCATATTATCTCGTGGAATTTCTCGCCGTCTCTGAAATCGAGTAAAGATTGAAGAAGGTCACTAATTGTTGTTCAGCGTCATTTGTTGTTTCGAGAATATTCCACATGCTAAAAAAGCGATACCGCCCAATTCATCATCCGAGCCTCATCGATCTTTGAAATAAAATAAATATTTGAATGTCCGAACATTCCAATGATTGATTTAGCTTTTAAGAATTCGATATATTCTTTTCATAAGATACAACAATACAACCGATTAAAATTTCACAATAACGGCCAGTAAGAGTGCCAACTGAGTGCTATATCATATAATCTTCAAGAACTCTCTTATAGGAGCTTCTATCAGAAATCATAGAATTTTAAAAATCTTGAGTAGGCTTTGATAAATTTTGTTTTCCCCATCAAACATAAACACTATATGAATACTCGTACACAAAATGAAGTGACAAGTGTGATTTCTCAAAAAACATCTTTGGGAAAAAATGGTCAATAGCCCTCCATCCCCTGAAAGGCTTTTTCTCGAATTTTCCCGAGTGTGGAATGACGCCAAGTTGATTCGTTGATCTCGTAATGTGAATAGTGTGTAGTCATTCCCATAATTCAAGCACAGTACGTGTCTAGTGAATAAATCCGATTGATTTCACCAGCGTAAGATGCTTCATAAAAATAATTGGATCGCATCGATACGAGGAATGTGCAGCTGGATTTGCATTACGACAAACAATACAATTTTGAAACAAAAAACATACACACGCCCTTCAAGTTTTTTGTATTTAGTGGTCATTGCAAAACTAATTAGTATAATTTATATTTTCACAAATATAAATATCAAGATATTTCCTTCTTTAAGACTTGCAACTTTATATAATTTGTAGATAAAACTTTCTTATATATACGGAAATGTAATTTGTCCTTTTATCCTGCTTCCCAGATGGAACAATTGCTCATTATAAATTATTCTTGCTCATTATGAATCATATTGAATTTTTTGTGTTTTTTTTTTCAAAACCTTGTTGTCCGTAAGACACGGAAACGCCTGCTTTGAACACTCTGGAACCGCAAACAACTGTCGGACGAGATGCGACGGAGAAAGCAGTACGAGAGATATCGAGACACTTGAACTCACAAATATATATCCCATCGAGATCTTTCTCTCTCTTTCTAATGATGCTCAATGCTCGACATCCCGAGCTGATCTATGGAATGGAAACGTCGCGAAAACCACGAATGAAGAAAAAAAGTTGGAAAAGAAAAAAACAGTTTTTGAAGCGATGGAAAATTGAGAAGAAAAATGAGCAGCCGAGAGGATTCGGTGACAAACATGATTTTTTACAATCTTGCATTCGCAAAGGGTTCTGACTTCCCAGCAATTACCGGAATTTTATTTAAGTGTATATATTAAAGCTCTAGTAATTATGAAAGACGCATTGAATTGTTTCGCTCCAAAGCCTGAAAAACAGAAACACGCAAAGATTATACATGCAGAGCGTAATGATGATCAATTACTTAGATAAAATATGAACTGTTATTCACAAATTTTTCTACAAGTGGTCAGACGGCTTGTAAAAAGCTCTGGATTGTTATTTCAAACTTTTTCTCAATCCTCAAGTGTTGTCTTCAATTCAAAAAAGTATTCGTCTTTGTTTTTTTTAATTTTAGAAAATTGATCCTCGATCTATTTTCATTTGATGATATTTCTAGAACATTGGATTAATATTAGAATAACAACGGGCATAACGAGATACGTAAATCCGTGTTGATCCGATCAATTGTCGATTCGCGTAACTATAAATTGGAAGATCGTCGACATCATCGAATACAAAAATTTATATTTTTGTTGACAATGAACACGTGGATCGCATTGCTACTTGTTTCTATCGCCTTCGTTGCCGCTTTGGAGGAGAGCGGTATCTAAAAATATTCATGAATACTATGAAACGAACCTATTCCAGAGCAGAATTACGTTAATGAGCTGGTTGGAGCCGGAATCTCTGAAGAAACAGCAAAGGGAATCGTCGATATTGGAATCAAACACAAGGTTTTTTCTTAGCGCCATTCAAAACCAAAGAAAATATGCGAACATTTTAGCCTGATGCCTCCAACCCCAACGAGACTGGCCGAACAATCTTCGAAGCTGTTCAGCGCGAAACCGAAGAATACATAAAGACGAGATCACAGGAAGATCAAACCGCCTTCAATCAATATATTGCTCAGAAGAAGGCTGAATTCGAGCAACCATCAGTCATTGAGAGCACTGCATAAATAATTATCAATTATTTATTTTGTAAAATATTGAAATAAAATCATGAAACTTTGTTGCTTAAAGAATAGATGTTCAAATCCGTCTTTGCTGTTTCCTCTTTCTGGTTCTTGTCTGAGTCTGAATGTTATTATGTCTAATGGGTATATACCGTATATGGTACACTAATTCCCACTCCTTGAATAATTACATATATGTAATGAAATTTAGTGATTTTTTTCCATACATTTCAATATTTCATTAAAAGTTTAACATTTTTTATAGAAAATATTCAAAACAATTGCAAATATAGTGATGTGAGTCCATCATAAATCGACGAATAGTAACCAAAAATAGGCATTTGATTTAGCAATTCGCCGATTTTCAAATAAAATTGTTCACGTGATTTCGATTGAGAAACTACGCGTTGTACCTGAAAAATCGCTCAAAACTCAGGAAAAAACTCAATGAAAACTCTGACACGGCCATTTTCAATTAACTGAATTGCATTTTTCACCCGATGTGGTTTGCAATTGTCTTGATCATCCAGAAACCAAAATTTGTATTTTTCAAGTATTTTTTCCTGTTATTAGATATAATAAGATATAATTGTGTTTTTTTTTTTTTAATTTCACCTTATTCCCTCCGGTTTCGCCATCCATCTGAATTATCACTGGAGGGTTTTTTTGATCTCCATATATCCATTCCCACCCTGCCGCCAAACTATAACGTGATTTTCGGTATATACAAAATTTCTGAACAAATTTCTTACCTATATGGAATGTAATCGCAGATAAAGTCTTCGCGCAGACAGAAAATCTTGACAAGATCTGGATCGGTAATATACACCGATTTTTGCCACGCTAACCACGAATCCACCAGTTGTTGACTAGATTTTTTAGGAGGCAAATAGAAGTTTGCTCCATTCATTGTTCGTTGCCTATCAATAATATTGAAAGTTTCAAGATATTTAGCTCACCGAATTTCTGCAGTTCCGGAATATCCTTGCTGATCCAATAAAATATCGGAATTTCTAAAATGACCAACATCGATTTCCGCAAAGAAGTTTTTCCTCCATATGGTATCGGCCTAAATGCATGTAGTTTAACGAAAGAGACCGTTCAGAGATATACTTGAAGCATCCAAAAACCTTTTCCCATTGCTTGTAAGGCTTTTATGATATTTGTTCGCATTAGGAAAAAACTCATGTAAGTCACATCGTACGGTTTGAATGGCGTCTATGCTGTTTTCAATGAGATCTCTGGAACAATCAAAACCTTACCTGTAAAACTGGAGCTAGCCAAAGCACAATGTTCAATTTTGGGTATTGCTTTCTCAATTTGACTTCTGATGTTTTATCCATTACAATAAACACGATTCTCCGGTGAACAGAGTCGAAGTGTTTTGTATTGCACAGAAAATTAAGAGTCATCCGAACAGCGTGCTGATTTAGAAGAATGACTCCGAAATCATTGGGCATTTTATCGACGACCCTTTTAAATTCGGCGTTTTCGAGAATCTCTTGGGCGCGAAATTCAAGTTCATTATTTCGCATTGCCACAAGGTTTTGATAATTCTCATAAATTTTGTAAAAAACGATTGAAACTGGAATAGCCGTTATTAAAAGAAAAGCGCGGCGAATACTGAGTATGATCATTGTAAGAATGAAAAGGATTTTTGGTTTTGACCTAGACCAAAATTCCATCTTATCTGATCCGATTTTTTATGCCTTGTCTAGTTAGCATAATTCTATTTATTTGTTCTATAATTACATACATTTCGTTCAATTATTCCTTCTAAAATACCTTCTTCGGCATTCTTCGATACGTCCATTTATCATAAAAAGCCTAGAAATGGTTAATAATTTTGCCAATTAAATGCTTACGCACCTTATGTGACCTAAAATTGGATGAACTTCCGAGTTAATGAAAATCCATTGGCGAGAAACAAAGTTATTTCGAAGAAATTTAGATAATTGGTTTTGCTCCTTTTCATCAGGCAGATGCATTTCGATATTGATCTAAGAAATACGGTTGATCTTCGTTAGATTTCTTTTTCAACCTGACAAACATGAATTCCTTCATTTTCCAAGGCTCCGTTTTTTTTCAAAAAAGGGAAGAACCGGATATTCGGAATGCTCAATATCCATCATTATTTGGTCTACAATGTTTTGTTTCACGTGGGCTTTGATGAAAGTCAGTAAGTCAATGTACATAACCTCTTGGTATCTGTACACATCTAAAACAGTCAACTATGAACGATAAAACTTTGACGTATGGACGACGACTACCTTCCAAAACATACGATCTGAAACTTCCATTTCTATCGCCAACAGCCATATTGTAAAACGTCCCAACCTGGAATGATTTGTTGGTTGTAAGAAAAATTAAAGGAGCTAACTTCTGAAAAAAGTTCAGCATTATCTTCTTTAGCTGGATCAGCACCATGGAATTCGCATTCTGCTAAAACGGTTTTCATTCGCCTCTCCGCTTTGACGTCTTTTCCAATGCCAAGCGAAATTATTGAACATTTTTGGAGAGGTGTCAGTGGCATAAAGTGGTATTTGAATTCATCAGAATTTGCAAAAGCTGCTAATTCGGCATTTTGAAGAGCTGGTGCGCACTTATTGACAATATAAGCGAATCGTCCGGTCTATTAGAAACCACCCCTACTTTTTAACCCCCACCCCTGCTATTCCACCCCGACTTTTTAACCCCGACTTTTATTTATGATACCACCCCCACTTTTTCACCCCCAATTTTTATGTTTCACCCCTACTTTTTCACTGCACTTCAAAATTTGAAGTTTCTAACAGTAATGTTTAACAGTAAAATGTTTTTAATATTTTCAATAATTCAAGTTATCAAGAGGAGATTCGCAGGACTGATGTCTAAATTACATTTTTCAGAAACTATTGTCGAAGTCAAACGACTTGAAGAAATTTAAAAAATAATTGGCTATGTGCCAATGCGTCTCGAGGCAGCGAGATTGCGTCCATTGCATTATAGCGTACGCGCATTAAATATTCAGTCAACGATTAATTTAAATCTACATTAATTTCGCGAATTTAAAGGCTCCGCCTCCCTTCAGTCGTTTGACGCCGACAACATGTAGTGTTCTTATGAAAGGTTGACAATTTTAACAAGAAATTAACTATTCTCGGAAAACCCTGTTCAGAAAAATTTCGTCTTTTGTCAAAACGTCAACCTTTCATAAGAACGCTACATAGTTTCTGAAAAATCTAATTTAGACATCAGTCCTGCGAATCTCCTCTTGATAACTTGAATTATTGAAAATATTAAAAACAGTAAAATTTTACTGTTAAACATAACTGTTAGAAACTTCAAATTTTTAAGTGCAGTGAAAAAGTAGGGGTGAAACCTAAAAATTGGGGGTGAAAAAGTGGGGGTGGTATCATAAATAAAAGTCGGGGTTAAAAAGTCGGGGTGGAATAGCAGGGGTGGGGGTTAAAAAGTAGGGGTGGTTTCTAATAGACCGAATCGTCCCCATAGCTAAACATTATTTCAGTTGTTAATTTGAATCCGACTACCTTTAAAACGTCATGCATATATTTCTCAACGCTTTTTTCGAAACAAATGGCAGAATTCAAATCGTTTGAATCATTTGTCTGAATGAAAAAAACATTTAAAATGTGTAATTGAATTAAATTTGTTCCAACTATACCATGATTTGAACATTACTTTTGTATAAAAGGTAAAAAAAGAAAAATGATAAGATAAGAATAGAAACACGAGGAACTGATGGAGCCATCGGCAAATTTGGTTTGGATTTCGGCTAATTGCTTCAATCCAGACAGTAAACTAGTTAATTTCCTCATCTTCAAAAAGCCAATTCGAAAGTTTGTTGTACTCGTTGTCGCGCGGATAAACATCTCCGCGTTCGAAGCGTTCGATTTCAATCTGTCTGCCATGTTCAATCATTTTATTTTCACAAAATAATTCATCATTTAGTAGTAATCGCAGATAATATCGGCCTAGTTGTGGACGCCGGCAAACAGTGGATGACCATCCTTGGTAATGATGAAGAGGAATGGGTGGTCAGCGAGGAACTCGCGAGGCTCGTTGATAGAAAACATTGCTGACTTCGTCATCAATTCGACGGTGCTTGCGGCAGCGGCTACAGTTCCGCTTTCGTCGACCTTTAAACTTTCAATATACTACAAAACTCAATTAAAAAATACATACCTCAATAATCGCTTTATGAGTAACTTTAGAAACGTAGATATTTTCGGCAAGATTTGTCAAATCAGCAGCTTCCGTGAATGCAGTGGTAATACCCAGCTTTTTCAAGCCACATTCCAATGGAAGTTCGCTTTCAATCTTCATTTTTGGAATTTGAATCTTCAATTTTCATGTTTAGATCATCATTAACTTGAAAGCGAGATAAAATTACATTCAAGAAGACTTCAGAGGTATTCGACACTAGCGATTGGATTGTGTTAGCATCAAGAGTTTTCAAGGCTTCCTGGAGTCCAAATCTTTTGCTTGGGAGAAACACATTGTATCTATAAGTTTCGTCTTTGTATGGTAGTTGGAGCACCTGCCAATCTCCGTTTTCAGAAAACAGACGGTGGACTTCTCTTGCACGCAGGAATTTTATCTGAAGTTTTGATATATTTGAAAGTCAAGATTGTTATCAATTTAACGGTTCTCTTATCGTCGGCAGTTTTGAAAAAGTCCGAATCGAGTGATTGATGGTCCTTAAACTTTTTCTGCCATATTGCTTCAAAGTACAAAGCGTTAGCAATAACGGCAACGAGATCTCCGGAGAAAGCAGTCGGTTTGATGATTTCTTTAATGTGATCGGCTGTGTTTTCTTTTACAAAATTGTTGACCGCCTGATGTTATAAGTAAAATTAATGTTTTTAATTGTTTCGCTACGTCAGCAGATGCTTGTTGATTCGCGAAATCCAATTTTTCAGCAGCGGCATTGTACAGCTTCTGAATAGTATCCAAATAGTCTTGCTTTATGTCGAACTGGTTACTGAACGAAAAAAAATGATTTTTTTAATAAAAATGTTCTTTTAAACTTTGTAAAGATTCGATTAGCCAATTTCACGTGAGTCCCTTTTTCGGCGGAGAGCAATACAGCTGAGATATTTTGATAGTGTTGAATGAGCTGTTCGTCAGTGGCTCCTTCAGATTCAAATTATTCAATTAGGTTAAGGCAAATTTACCTTTCGCAAGAGCTTCCTTAATTTGATTTTTGGTTTCACCATTAGCAGCAGTGTGAACTAAAACCAATGCCAAAGCGATCGATATTGGTGAGAAAACCACTGACTCAGTCAGGTCATGCTGGCGAAGCAGCGACAAACCGAAGTCAGTTTCAGCTGTTAACAACTGAGCCATACTGAAAAATGAATATTGCGAAACCATAACCATAAGTGTGAAGAAATAAAAAGTTTCATTGAAAGTTTTTTTAATAGTCTGTAATTTTGCGTCAGATATTGTGAGAACACGCATTTTCTACAGTAATCAAAAACGGGAGCAAGACTAAGAAATTGATTCGAAGTCAAGCATATGACCCAATGTTGTTGAAAACAAACAGCTGTCTCCCCGAAAAAATCAACACGATCATTTTTTTAGCGTTCCACACGAAACATACTTTTCACCGTTGTCCGACATTGAATCGACGAATACTGATGAAAGTTGAAACCATAATGAAATGATTAGATTGTCGCGGTACAAACTACTTATAAAACACGAACGAATATGTTTGTTTGTGTGTATGATTCTTTTCCATCTGCACGTAACGCTGCGTCTTTTTCCATTTTGTTTGTGTTCTTTTACACTGCATAAAACTGAGGACGGCCAAAAATGCACGGAAAAACGGAAATTGAAAAAAAGAGAACGCGAACTTGAAGGGTTGGAAACAAAAATAAAAGTCATGAAGAAAAAGAACACATCAGCGGTAATACAAAAGTGAAAGGCAATTGAATTCGCTAAATAATATTGATTTCAAAAGATCAATAAAAACAATAATTGAACTAATTTCGTCATTAATATATTAGGAAATGGCAGGTACTAGACCAAAACTCACGTGTGAATATTTGTAAATTTCATATACAAAATAAGTAGTACAGGTTGGAATTACCTTTTTTTAATTGGATAATGTACTATTATGACATACATATCTTTTGGAAACACTCGCAGACTTTGAAAGAGTAAGTGTAGATTCCTAATTAAGTTCTTGTGTTTACTTTTAAATATATATTAATATAGATTGTTGGGACAAAAAACAATGCTTGTAGAAAAAAACAAATCTAATGAAAATTCCGGTGAGATTTAATTTCAACATGCTTTCAACTAGTATTTATTCGAAGGTAGGCGAAACTCAAATAACGTGTCTCAAATATCAGTTTTTGTTTTATTTTTGTCATTCCATAAATAGACAATTTGCGTATTACCGATGAGCTCGATTCATCCGACTTAATCTCAACGATTTTCATTTTATCAACTTTTTCAAATTCCTAATAACCTAGTCAAATTTGTGATTTTATTGGAAAAGAATTGTCAACTATCCAACAAATTTCATTGTTTTGTGAGAAAAATCTATAAATATCTTCCGCATTTTTATTTCTCAAACTTTTCCCTCTACGACTGTTGTTCTCATTCAAAACGATTGATTTCTTTCCCATTTAAACAAAACAATTTTTTTCGGCAGAATTCCAATTGTTCATAAATCTGACACAGCAATTTTAAATTTTCCTCGAATTATGCTACAAAGTTGAGATTCATTAGACATGAATTATTCATTGAAATGAAGACTTTTGATTTGCACTGCTTCTTAGTTTTGACGCCGTGTTAGAGAGTTCGTAAAAATTATTAATATACATACATAATTTTTGTAAGATTAATGAAGGCGATTCTTCTTACTTGGGAATTTATGTCTACTCATTTGTATTTATTTCAATATTCAATGGCGTGAGAAATAAGACACCGCAAAATCCGCCATTTTCATAAATATTTCAAATTCGAAATTGAAATTTTATATATGTCAAAACGAGCTTTGCGTATTCTCGCGTTTCATTTTTTGGTCTTGTTTAGACGAGGGGTGAGTTAAAAATTCAAAAAAAAAAGATTGCTCAAGTTTCCAAAAACTATTTCGCTTGTCACACTAATCGGATTTTCATTTTTTTTCTGGAAAAGTACCCGTTTACATTAAATTTTCATTCACATTTTTCTTTTTGAATTCTATTTTGCTTTTTTTTAAATATAAGAACGAATTTTTATACGAATTTTTTATTTAATATTTACATCTTTTCTCAAGATGTGCAATTTTCTTATTGCAACTTGCTGCAATTTTTCGACTTTGGTTCTTTCATAGACGGATGTAATTGTTCAATTGTAAATTAATGTGCTGAATGTGCAAACATGCTTTAAGCGCAATTTTTGCTCGAAAATGAGCATCTCACGACCTTTGCATTGTTTCAAGAATGTTTGTTGAATGCTCACGTCTCATCCAAGAGCACAATTGAATTTCCTGAAAAATGAATTAAAGAAAACACGTCCAAGACGATTCTCTTTCCAAAACAAAAGCGCTCAAACTTCCTAATTCGCTTCTGTAAAATTTCGTGCCATAAATAAATAAAAAATATTTTACGTGACCTTGCCTTGTAAATTTTCCGCTTCTTTGCGTCTCTCGATAGGAGACAACGAGCACGTCGCCTAATTAGGTCACGCGTGAAACAAATATTTCTCAAAGTTTATGTTTAAAGGTGCATAGCTTATTACGTGCTATCATTCGTGTAACGATTTTATTATTAGAGAAACCTTAATGTTAGTATATCAGGGGCTATATAATCCATACTCGGTTTCTGTAATTTGACCTACTGTAATGTTTGCTGTTTTTTTTTTCAGAAAGTACACATTTTCTCAGGCTTGACAGAAATAACTTGTTATTGACTTCTATTAAGAAAAGTGAAATTAGCTGTCTGCAGAGAATTCAAACTTTTATTGTCACGTTCTTGAATTTATTTAAAAGAGCAGAAAAACACGAATTTCTCAAAACAATGTAAGGGCGACTCACCCGTTTTCAATTAAGATTACTGTAGATAAATTCTTTGTTTTCAAAATTTAGCAGCCAAAATTTATTGGTAGCGTCTTTTTTCTTTCAAAGCCTTTGTCGTTGAATAAGACAACAAAAATGAGGAGAGAAGAACAAATTTCGCAATGGAAAACATTCGGCCCCCCAAGATTTCTACACAAAAACAATGAGAATTATGTGCAAAAAAAGCCGCAGCACATCCATATTTCCATTTTCCATTGAAATTCCTGAAATGTGAAACATAATATTCGGGTATGTATTTTTTGAGGCGGCGGACACGTATAATTATGCGCGAGCCACCTTCGAAAGAAAGCGGAACTAGAATGTGTATAGAATTTCATATGTGGGAGTTTTTTTTAATCTACTGAAAATAAAAAAGTTCTGAAAATTGTCCGCAGATGGCCGTTTTCGCATAATATTGGCACCGCGAAAACGAATGACAGCATATTAATTTTATTGAGTGTCCATAGAACCCGGAGAGTTTTTTATTCCTTCAGGGCGATGTCTGACACTGCTGTATTTTCGTACCGGATCGTCTTGCCGGAATCCTTATTTTCGTACCCACGAGACCATTTATCTTCGAATAGGTAAAAACAGATTGATTAAAACACAAAAATTAGCACAATGTTTTTTTTTTGAAAATTTTTTTGTATAAATTTGATTACATTCTGCCTAATTTTTTTCATTGATGTACTAACTTTATTAGATTTCGAATTTCTAAAGTTTTGTATACTTTTTGAGTAACATATTTGCTTTTCATAAAAAAAAAATATAAAATATATGCAGCATAAAGAATGTGTAGCTTCAATTAGAAAAAGGTTCGCTGAGTGACTCCCGGAGCCGCCATCTGCGACTTTCCGCGCTATTCAGTCAGCCAGCTACTATCGAGCGGAATTGCTCGAGAGCTCGCAACGGCTTCTCCAACTCACGCGTTTCATTTATTCGTCAACTTTATTTCAGGGACGATTATCTATGTATAGTTGCAAAAATTACGCAAGGTTTTGAAAGTGACAACAAAAACAACCACGTGGGTCCCTTGCGACATTAGGTGTTTAGAAGGTTCTCGTGAGTGGAAAATAGGCGGCATGGCCAATTATTCGGGATTCAGAGTTCTCAGACGTCGTATAAAGTGTATAAAATGCGATGTGAGTTCTCGTTGTTTAATTGCCTCGGTTTTAAGTGGGGGGGGGGGAGGGTTCTTGTTCGATTCACATGCCCTAATGATTTGTTTGTGAGTCGCGGCATTTTGATATATTCATGCTAGGAAAAATACTCCATTGTTCTCTACATCCTCTCATTGAATCTTCTACAGGAATTTTTACTTATTTTTCACTAGATTAGGATACCTAAATATTTTTTTTCAAATTCTCTATCATTACAACAACGCATTTTTAGTGAACTTAAATTTTATTTTGAACGTTTTATACGTTTCTAGAAATTATGTATTTTGAATTATTTCTTTATTTCTATCGTTTAATTTCTTTCTTGGCCATTTTCCTCCATTTTGACGTCACGAACATCGTATGAATATTCTATTAATTGATCTTTCTAAAAACATCTTTTTCATTCTTCTCAGCTCATCCTTTTGTCATAGTAATTGTAGCATTCATTCTTTTTTCATGTTTGTATTTGTTAATTAATCAGGAGTGCGTTCATATTTTGCAGACATCGTCATGCAAGTCGCACCACGCCCTGCCATGAGCACGACTGGCCTGGGAATAACGCATTCGCCTCCGCCGCCTACCTCTTCTACTACTTCATCGTCGTCAACATCGTCGCGGCGAGTCTCACTACCAGCGACACTCACCGTCAGTTATCGCCAGCACTATCGCCATCAGCATCAAAGTTTTGATCATCCCGCGATGCTTCTCACTCCCAACTTCTCGCCGAGTCACAATCGAAGGTTCGTTGAGAATTTTTCCTTTTTCAGTATTTTTTCAAATCTTTCCTTTTGAAAAAAAATCTCATGGGGATGTTTTCTTTTTTGATTTTGTTTTTTATAAACTCAGTTTCCATATATCACACCCATGCGTTACATCTAAGCCGGCCTTCTTAATTATAGAATCAATCTAATATTTGTGAAAAATATGAAATTGCAATTAATCGCTTTAATAATAATGATTTATTTGCGGGAAGCTATTCATGACTTCATCCCTGGAGATGCATTGTTGTATGTTAGCGGAAGCGATTATTGGATTATTTCATAATATATTAAACCGCAAATTCACTTGTTTTTGTTCTTAGGAATACATATTTGAAACATTATACTTTTCTAGAGTATTGCAGACGGTTTTTTTTTTGCAAAAAGCGAAGTAAAAATAGACATAGAGGACAAAAATTGACCTACATGTTGTATGTATGTTTTTTTTTTAATGACAAACTTCAATGGATATCGTCATTTTTAAAAACTACCCTCCCCTTTCAAAATATAAGCATGTGCATATTTTACTAATTTGAGATTTTATTTATTGGCTTACACCACCGACTAAAACCAAGAAAATCTTCAGAAGTTTGCCATCCACTCCTTTGCCAAATGGAGCTCATCGCAACCTTCCTCCTACTCCACAGAGTCCGTCCTATTCAATGAACTCAATTATCGTAAGAATATGAATTACTACACAACATTTCATTGATTTTACAGAATGAAGAACCTGAAAGAACCGCCAGGACCCAACGCCTTCGAAGTTTTGATCTACGTGATGGTCATCTTCTTGATAAAGGATTTCAGAAGAAAATGAGCGAAGATGAGGAAACTCTGCAGATTTACAACAGACGGGGTAATATAATGATGAATTGTTGAAAAAAAAATAAAATTGAAATTTCTAGACAGCCGCCGCGCCACGTGTCCGGACATTTACTTATTCGATAGCCAAAACCATCTAATGCGCCATGTAGTTATTCGAATCTACGGAAACAAAAATGTTGGAAAGAAAAGCTTGGCAAAACGAATACACCATTTGGCGATTAGCAGCACCCCCGAAACTGTCGACGGTACACAATTATTAAAAACCATTTTGCATTGTTGCTTTGCAGAAATTTCGAATGATGATGAAAATAATAGCGAGTTTTCAAAAATGACGAATTTCCTGCTAAATGGAAAGGAAATGACATTAGAGGTGTTAATTGGGTCTTCTCTGGAGGTGAGCTAATAGGGACCACACTATTAGAATTATGCACAAGAAACTATTTTCAAAATGCTTTTTCTTTTTCGAAAGGTTGTCAATTATTTAAAGGACAAAAACCTTTTTCCAGAGTTGTCCATTCATGCAATCAAAGACCATCAATCTCGTGATGTACAATGTTGATAGTCGATCATCATTCATTTACGCTACGAACATTTTAGAGCGATTCGTGGAATTGAACAATGTTGAAGTTCTCCTGGTCGCCAATAAAATTGATTTGGTCAGAAATCAAGCGGTCACCTCGGCAGGTAATCGAGTTAATTGGGATTAATCTCGGGAAAAAACAACTGTGGCCTTGCTGATTGAGTCTTTACGAGAAATGAGATGGAAAATTTAGTTCGCAAAAGAGAATCTGACATTCCAGAAAATCCGATGCACTTGGTAAATTACAAATTGTTGGTGTTTTTTTAGTGAATTCATATGACTTTTCAAATGCGACCTTTGGTCGAGAGCAGATGTTATTCATGTGTAAATATGCGTTATTTTATTATGCTACCCATTCGTGTCTATATGAGAAACTTCCAGAAATAGATACGCATTTTTTATTCCAACAAGATTAATTTACAGAAGGCAAAAGCGCAGCAAAAACATTCAAATGCGAATATATCGAAGTGTCGGCGCTAATGGAAATGAATATCGAAGAATTGTGGACAGCTATTCTTCAAAAAATTCAAGTTAATCTACATTCTAAGCTATTCGCATGGAGTAAATTCTAGGAGCCTGGACAACGTCGTAGACCATCGTGGGTTGAGCGTCTTCTAAATCGCGGAAAGGATGTTGCAAAGTCGGCGGAAGTCGTATTTCATCGTATCATTCCGGCATGATCCAGCATGTCTTCGAGAAGACAACCATATTTCTCGCTCATCCTTTTCCTAATCTGCAATTATTTTTGTATATACACAAATCTTTGGATTATTTATTTTAATATACCGTAGATTTTTCATTTTCATCAACAGTTTCTCTGATTTGCATAATCGCACGAATTGGAGTTGGTACACAGATGACAGCGGCAGCAAACGGAAGGAATTTGGCGTATTCTTTTTCGAGCTGAAAAGAAATTTACGAGTGATGTTCTTAGACAATCTTACCATTTCCACACTAAACGAAGGACTACAATGATTTGAAAGCTCTTGATAGTATAATTCTAGCAGTTTTCTTGTATTCGTTCGACGATCCGAACCACTCAGGGTGCTACAGAACAAGCGGGTTAGATCCTGAGCAGGGTTACCAAAATTAGAAGTCTAAACATGTAAAGTCAATGTGATTCTTTTCTTTTTTGACACCTGAAAATCACAAAGCGCTTTGAACTTTAAGCATGATGATTCTTGCTCTTTCGCGAATAATAGATTTGGTGGCCAGACGTCGCCATGGCAGAGTACTCTCTCAAATTCGCAGTCGTTATTCAGCTTTTCAAGATTTTCCGACTCGAAAATTTGAACGAAAGCCGCAATTGATTTTTTCATGAGATTCTCTCCAACCAACTCGGCGAAACCATTGCTAAGGAGCTTGATGAATAGAGACATATTCTGTGAGAAAAAAATGGAAATGTAAAACTAAACATGAAGAGTAATTGAAGCAATGAAGCCCAATATTACCTTTTCACAGAACAACTCGACAAACCAGGTGTCTATGAGATGAATTGGAATGGTCGATTTTTCTTCTTTCGAAAGATTATATCCTAAAGCGTGAAATCGAGCAACTTGGATTACAACCTAAATTTTTTTCTTGTATTTTTTAAACGTTTGAGTGTTAATGTATGCACCTCAGTCACTTGATTTACTGTCAAATTCTCCATTACCGAAATCGGCTGGCAGCATTCAATCATTTCCATCGTAATATGTCCTGCATCAACTTTTCCATTCAAATATGTCATTTCCTTCATATCATAGACTTTTGGCCGAAGAATGTTAGATTCTGGATAGTTTTCAAGGATCTTATAGACGGAAACCTCGGTGTTATGCATCTAAAAAAAGAAGATATAGAGCAATGTTTTTTTTGCAGATACAATTTTGAATCGTTCCAGAGTGATTGGCGATGCTAGAATTTTTGACTGCTCTTTTAATGACATCTGAAAATTTGAAATTTTTGCATACATGTATTTAAATATAGAAACCTTGACGACGAGATCCCTTTCAATCGAATTGAAGCGAACCAAATTAACTGTCGATAAATTTCCCTGAAAATCGATTCTCATTAAACGTACATAAATACTACTTTAAGAGAAACCTTTCCAGCTCCGATATCCTCTAGAACAATTTTTTCACTATTCCTTAGAATGGATGAAATAGGCGACAGAGGATTTTCAGAAATCAAAATCATTCTGAAAGTGTTTACTTTTATTATCAAAACTCTTATTTTGATAGACCATCGATTAAATCAAAAATGGAACAAATGAAGTAACTCAATTAAAAGATCGGGAACGTTGTCTATCGAGAACAGTACTCTTCTAATTACGGTGCGGTACGTTCTGTGATCAAGGTTAATACACTTTTAATTTTAAAATTTATGATATTCTGACAAGGGAGGTCATTTTGCTGTCCGTCTTAAATTTTTTTTTATTTTTTGCATACAGATTCTTTAGAAAATTTCCAATCGAATGAACTAGGTCTCTACCTGCGCAAACTTCTAGTTATCGAGATATGGACCTTCAAAGTTATAGCCCCTCCCCACGTGAATTTTGCACACAAATGTGCGGAAACTCGAAATGAAATAACGTGATGTCTTATCTCGCGCTTTTATCCTGATTCAGCAAGCAGTTGTGGTTCAGTGGTGTGTAGGTTATGTTGTCATGAATGGAGTTGCAACTCATCAAGACATCACGTTATTTCATTTCGAGTTTCCGCACATTTGTGTGCAAAATTCACGTGGGGAGGGGCTAAAACTTTGAAGGTCCATATCTCGATAACTAGAAGTTTGCGCAGGTAGAGACCTAGTTCATTCGATTGGAAATTTTCTAACGAATCTGTATGCAAAAAATAAAAAAATTTTAAGACGGACAGCAAAATGACCTCCCTTGTGAGTTACTTCGAAATTTACGATGGTTTGCGGCACGTTCATAAGTCGAGCCCAATAAAACAGTTTTTTCCAAATATATATCTCCATGAGCATTTCTTGATACTAGACTGTTCGTGTAATCATACTTTAATATCAATCTGTACGACTTGGTCCAAAACAGTTTTATGTTGCAAAGAAAATGCTAATCGAATGATAATTTGCGGAATAATTCAAATGAATATGACACTGTAAGTTAGAAACCGTCCAACGGGTTTCTATGTGCACACAAAAGAAACATCACAAGTTCACAAAGTGTTCATCAAATTAGTAGTTTCTTGTGTGTAAATATTTGACGCAGCCAGAGGCGTTGAAAAAATTGCCCTATCCCGCCGACAAGTGGCCAAATTAAATAGTGTTCTTATTTGTTTAGAAACTTTGCCGTTAGATGCCCAAGGTCTAGACATCCTGTTATTTTGAAGTGTTCAAAAATCGACTGAATGGACCGTCTACAATTCGACTGTCTGCAGTTTTGTTTGCGAATTACTACATACATAGTTGATGTGTGGCAACAAGATAAAATAGTGTCCGAATAGTTATTTTTGAAACAATTCCTTATCAGTTTTAAGAAAAATGTGAAGAGCCAAAAAATAATCAAACTTGGTTACCATGGCAATAGTAACACAATCCAAATTAATACTTTATGATACACCGGATTAGTCAGCTCTGAGGCAAGTTGGCACTAATTTACTTTTTATCAAATTCGCACGTTCGCCGCACACTTTTTCGAAGTGAACTTTATGAGTTGAATCCATCTAAAAAATATTTTGTCACTGCGGCAAATAATAATAAAATTTCACCATCATTACAACTCCTTGATTGTTTGTCGTTTTTGATATACCCGATCCAGTCGTCAACACGAGTAGCTGATGATTATAATAAAACTCGTAGCCTTTCTTTGTTACCTGAAATTTATTGTTTGAATTTTTCAGAAAACAAGCGGTTACTAGGGTCAAAGTTTGTAATACGTTTTTAGAAAAGAAACCCGCACACGAGCCGCTTTTTTTTTTCAAAAGATTATGAAAATCGTTGCATGATTTATGGTGTTTACGTACTGCGTTAGAAATCGCAGTAACGCAACACCTCGGTACATTTATAATTTTACTGCTTTTAGCAACAACAACAAAAAATGAATTGTTGTTTGATCTACGCACCTGATTAGAGGCAATGATAAGGGCCATATTGGTCGTCTCACAAAATTCTTTAATATTCTTTGTAGTTTCTTCTAAACATTTCAATTTGAAACATGAAAAATTGAATGTGAATGACTACCGATTTCTAAAGGAATATTTGAACGTTTAGCGTCTATTGGAAGAAATTGAACACTTATTTTTGTTTTGGCCAACTCGTTGGCATTATTACTGAAAGAAATGGCTGAATCAAATAAGAGATTTCGACCAACTTTTTCATAATAACTATATTTTTTTCATTGGCCGTGTTTTCCAGCGTGGTCATCGAATTTACGCACAATATTTTCTTGTTAAGTACAGCGCACAATGGCACTTTATTGAATAATTTCTTAAATTGTGTATTCAACAATTTCCATTGGTTCGAGTTGGGGAATCTCAAGCGCAATTCGCCGAGAAAACTGTTATCCTTCCTAAAAAAAAATGAGTGTACATATTTAATTTCAAAAAAATTATACATGGCCAAATAGTTTTCCAAGTAACCTCGGATGATATGAATATTGTCCGGGTAGCAGTACTTGGAACAATAGAGTAGAACGAATACTTCTAAAGAGAACTGACCGCCTTCAATCAAATTGCCAAGAAATAGATATTTCGATTCAAAAGGCCAACCACATTTCTTAAATGTTTTATAGTTATTTTACACCATTTTAAAACAGTTATGGAATTACCGAAAATACATCTAGTAAGTCACTATATTTGCTTCTCAAATCCCCACAAATATTAATCGGAGCATTTAGGATTATCGGCTCACACGGTGATCGATGGAATATTTCCAAAGCGTCGTTGATGAGCTCGAACAAAAACCCAAAGCTGTATTGATGCTCAACGGGACCTTTTTCCAAATGGCTTTTGAGTACGCTTTCATACAACTCTCTCTTTAATACCATTCCATACTCGTCTTATCGAGTTTTAGCAAATACCTTGCTTTCCCGTGGCGAACAAAAACCGGTGACATTCATTTTGACAAGAATCTCGAAAAATCTGAAACGGTGAAATGAAAGACACCCACGTCTCATGTTACGTTATTATTTTGTTTTTTTTTTTAATTTAGATATTATGAAAATGTTTCCAGTTGAACTCGATGTTCCCTGCATTCATAAGAAATTTATTTGTTTCGAACACATTTCAAACTTTGAAAGGGATTTATTAAAACATGATTAGCTCTACTAATAGATTTTTGAATATTTGATTAATATTCACCCGATGAAATTTTAGAGATCAACGGCGTCTTGTTTGTGGGGCGTGTTTGGTGTGAAATCAGGAAGAGAGAGGCGGGGACAAATCGGGTTTTAAAGCAATATATGATCTTGACTAGGATTTGGTGCATTTATAAGAATCGTTGAAGAAGTTCATACTCTGCTCGCGAGTAATCGGGAATATAATGAGGTTGCTCCTAAAAATTGTGATAGGGATGATAGGATGGATACTTCAAAAATCGAGCCATACCGATTTCTCGTGAAGTACTACAGTCGGACGAACAAGTTTGTCGCATATACAAGTTGGTGGATTGCAGCAAGGGATTATCTGAACAAATTTCAGAATATCATATTTTCATTAGCGCGATTACTGTTTTGTTGAAATGTCCAAGAATCGGAGGAACTTTAACAATTGAAGCTTTATGTTTGGTGAGGATTTGAGTGGCGAGGAAGCGGATCTCTTGTGATTTCACCGAATTTTGCAACGGATATTGCTCATAAGGATCGCGGATCAAATCAAAAACCAGCGGCGGATAGTGCTTTTGTAGATCCTCATCAGGGCAAATTTGAGAGACATACCTGCCAATTGTCGTTAGATTTTTTACGAAATTCCATAATTTACCAATCTTTCTTCGGTTTTCCATTCGGACAGTATTCGTCAAGCTTCGGATCCGTAGTCGTGTTTAGGAAAATTGGAGAAGTTTTATAATGAACTTTATAGTTGCCTATGCGGATTGCCATCAAATTCGTATTACAGTAGAAAATGATTGGCCTCCTTTTTCCAAGGCTACCTTCCTCTTCGTCAGATTCTCCGCGGAGTTCATCAATAATGTTAATTCCATCGAGTTGAAGTTGCTCCTTCTTAACAAAAAAGGCAAGTTGTAATTTGTATTTTTGAAAATTTCACCTCAAAAAGACACTCATCTTGCATGGCCCTGAATGTTGGGTACAAATCCATGCTCGAAATAACTTCGTGTGACACTCTTCCTGGCTTAATTGTTCCGGGCTGCCAAGCTATAAACGGGATTCTGAATCCACCTTCGTAGCTGTTTGATTTTCCTCCTTGAACGTATTGATTTATAATTTTTTTTTTCAACAAAGTACCTTTAAGCCCTGCCGTCGAACCACCATTTAGGCACAACTCGATATGTGGTCCGTGGTCCGACATAAGAATTACCAACGTGTTCTCCGCGATTCCCGCGTTCAAAAGACTGTCTAGAACTTCCCCAACTGCCCATGACATCTCATTAATCGAATCCCCGTAGATGCCTGAAATTACGCCTTATTCGGAAGCTTCCATGTTTTGTATAGACCTCTAACGGAAGATCCTCGGAATCTTTTACTGGCGAATTGTGTCGAGTGAACCTGTGGGAATGAGAAATAGAAGAAGAAGGGATTTTTATGTTGATCATGCGTCATTCGATTATACAAAAATCGCTTCCAATCGCCTATCAAATGTTCAGTCATGTGCTCAAATTTCATCGGTTGCTGAACGATTTCGTCTCCGTCATACAAAAAGCAAAGAGAAGGGTCAGGTCCTTTGTCGTAGAACTCCTAAAATAATCGAATTCTGGGTTTCCAGATGACGTTGTGAGTTACTCGAGTTGTGTCACATTGCCAAACATTTGTAAACGGAAGATTTACACCAACATAATCAAATCCACGTTTTGAAGGCAAATGCGCTCCATCGGATGAATTGTTCTCATTTATACCAAGGTGCCATTTTCCGACCATACCGGTAACGTAGCCAGCTTCTTTTAACATTTCAGCTATTGTAATTTCTTGCTTCGGGAGACCTCCAATATCATATGGGACGAATACTCTTCGGCCTCCAACAACTCCTAATCTGATGGGTAGACGACCTATAGAGATAGATTGCAAACAGAAATATTGTTAAAATGCAATGCCTGTTATGAATCCAGCCCTACTCGGACTGCACATACTGTCTGCTGAGTAAGCTTGTGTAAAACGTGTGCCTTCGGAGGCCATTCGATCCAATTGGGTGTATTCTTGAGTCGGGTGACCATAAGCGGCAATATCGCCATAGCCTACAATTATGATTTTTTTTTCTAAACAAACAAAAATCGTTTATAAAGAAATTTTGTTATGTGATTAAAAATGTATTGATTTATTGGTAGTACAAACTTTGATCCCGAGAAGCAGATCGCCGATGACCTTGAGATTGATAAGAAACAGTGTTAATTCGTCGTTTTCTCTTTTTATGTTCGTCTGGGAGTTCATTGATTTTTGATATATACTATAAAAGACAATTAAAACTAAGCAATTTAATTTTTGAATTTTTAAATTTGTCCTTTTAAATAGGGAAACATAAATCTTAAAATAATTTTAAAAAAATGAAATGTTTGGACTAATTCATCAAATAATCAGAAGTCTAAACGGAAATTTTGACCTATAATATCGTGGACATCGCATGCGGATTACGTGACAATTTTCACATGAGATCTGGTTTTGAAACACGCATTAAAACCAAACCCAAATCATCGATCATCAAAATCACAATATTGGGATGATCGGGCGAAGGTGGTCTCGACCGACATTCTTCCACCTGCAGCTGCTGGTAGGTCAAGCTAAAGGCGCATAGCATTAATATTAAATTGCGCCTCATGGCCTGCAAAAACACCTTTTCAATGTGGTTGAATGCATGAATATATATATATGAAAGTTATTTCAAAACAGGATTAAATCGACGGATATTTGATATTCATTGATCGAAAATAAATAGACAATAGTTTCGATGTTCGTTTTACAACTATATTTCTAATAAAAAGCCAGCGTTGAAATTTCAAAATAAAGCCGTATTATAATAATGTCGAAAGCAGCAAAGGTTAATCATAGATATTCTTGAAACATACAATTAGTGAATAATGGTTTTTCGTGGTGAGAAAATCAAAAAAAAATTTTTTTAACGATTACGAAAAAATGGAAAAAATAAATGTTTTTTTTTTCATATTTTGCTTTATATTTTATTTGTTTATAATAAAAATAGAAAATTATTTTACAAAAATTAATAAGAATATACATATATATACATACGACCCTTGCTTAATTTTTGTGTTTTGATCGCCATTGTCGATTTTCCACAAAGTCGGAAATTTTGAGTTTTACGAACCGTGTTCGTTTCGGAAAACAAATATTCTGGATTGGACTATTCAAGAATATGAGTTTCAAGAATATTTCAAGAATATAAAATTTCCCAGATGCCTAAGGTAACGTCTTTTAATTTTCGGGATAATGGCAACATAAAGATAGGAAGATGGAAAGATTCGGAGAAATATAGTGAAAGTGATAATTCAATCTGCATACAATAAAGATATATGAACAATCCTATTGTAAAGGTTCGACACATTTTTAAATTTACAAAAAAAGTCAAATTAAAAGTTTTTTGTGGTGAAAGTCTTTTCACCACAAAAAAAAATGACTCGAAGAAACGTGTTTAAAAAAAATCTAAATGAATTGGAGATCCGACATTTAAACCACCAATTAGTTTGATTATTCGTTGCTTCTATTTCCCTCCTTTTATGTCTCAATTTGGTGCCGAAAAAAGCGCGCCTGCGTGGGGACCATCTGAGCTCGCCCGATCCGAGTAATTCGGTTATCAGGTTTGTGTCGACCAGACATTTATGAAATGCACCAATCTTCACGTGATCTAGTCGAACCGAAAGAAACACAAAAGGATTGTGAGAAAATGCCAGCGATTTGCAGCGAAAACTAAAGAATATTTCAATTATCAAACAAAATGGGAGGGATTTATGTTAATTATGCGTGCGCGCTTCGCATCAAAGTGACGTTTGCATTTTTCGAAAAAAAAAAATAAATAATAGAATTGTGAGAAATGAGTGTTATGGATTGCCGATCGACAAGAATTTCAATTTTCGCCATTTGAATAATTAAACTTTAAAGCAGTTAGAGCGAGAAAAAGTCATCATTCTTGAACATTTTTTCAAAGAAGAATAATTATTTCTAGCTTTCGGAGAATATCAATAATTTTTTTCAATATCGCGAATGAGAAGAAAACTTCGGGGCGGTTCATTTTAGGCTGCCTATTATTTACTACTGCATGATCCCAGGATATGAGAAAACTGGAATCCGTTGTCTGAGTCGTTCAAATTTTAATTAATTTATTTTTTGAAATTATAGAAACTGGACAACGATAAAAACTATTTCAAACAATTTCAGGAAACAGTTTTATAGTCTGATTGGAATTGTACTCTGAACGGAAAATGAGAATGATCAACAACACGAATTGCAATACCGACTCTACAGGGTGTCATTTAAGTTCCCGCACAACTTTGAAGACGTATATTTCTGAAACTAAAAGTCCAAATCAAACGAGACTCGAAATATTTTTTATCTATAGTACAACAAATAATTATCTATTAACTCTTTTCGATTCGGCCTCTTTTCGCAGCTATGACTTCGCGGAGACGCTTCGGGTAGGATGTGACTGTGGTACGCAGGTATTCGATGGAAAGATTGTCCCATTCCGCCAGTAATGTCTTCTTCAGACCCTCTACACTTGAGTTGGGTTTTGCGTTGACCTTCTCCTGCAAGACCCCATCACGGAGAAGTCAAGCGGGTTCAGGTCTGGGGAGCAAGCAGGCTATTCGGATGACTTGATGAAGTCGGGAAAATGGGTCTGGCACCACTCCTGAGTAGTTTTGGCAGTAGGGGCGGGTGCTCCGTCCTGTTGAAAGACCCATATCTTCCCACCGAAATGCGTTTGGGCCCAGGGCATCATATGCTTCCCCAAAATGTCCCGAACGTAGACTTCTTTGTTCACTTTCACCACCTGATCCACGAAAACCAGGGGCACTTCCCGGTTGAGCAGATGGCACCGAAAACCATCACACTGGCAGGATGTGAGGCTGGATGAATTGTTCTTCCTTTCTCAGAAGCTTTCTGGGATGTCTGGGCAAGTACTCAATGGTTTTGTGAGTTGAATGCCGCCTCCACAGTGAACAGCTTCTCGTCGGAGAAGACAGTGGCGAGGTGTTCTCCAGACCGCGTGCGAGCAAAAAGTCGTTTTGCTTTTTCGAAGCGTCTCTGCTAGTTGACGGCCGATAGAATTGCCGCTTTTTGGACGCGATATGGGGTCAGTCCAAGCTTCGTTTTGACCATTTGTTCCATAGCGAAGATGCTCATTCCCATGTCTGACGCCATCTTTCTTATGCTCCTGTGCGGTTTTCGCCTGATCCTCGTTTTGACGGCGTTGATCTTCTGAGGAGTGGTTACTGAGACGAGTCTTCCTTGTCTGGGAAGGTCACTGGTCGTATTTAGCTCCTTGAAACGTTTGTTGGTGTCTTAAACCGTTCTACGAGGCACACCGAGGCGTTGAATGATCTCTGTCGGGCGCTCATTTCGCTTATGAAGTTCGATAATGGAAGCGCAATGGATGTTAGCCTTCGCCATTTCTCGGAAACACATCCGAATGAAGTGAAACTTGAAAAGTAAGTAAAATACACCTTATTTAACAAAAATAAATTGTATTGGTGCACGAAAAGTGCGACAGCCAAGCTTTTCATGCCGTCTAACTTTTGTGCGGGAACTTAAATGACACCCTGTACATGAACAAAAAAAAAACGTTTTATTGGCTTTGTGTCTTTGGCAAACTGTACACACAATTGAAATATTAGATGGGGTCGTAAAAATTTCCAGTGGAAACACCGAATTATTCGAAAAAAATTTGAGTTGAAATAAAAGTTTTGAAAAACCGTATACGAAAAATGTTCCGACCAATGGTAAATATCGGGTCTTCTGATAATCAATATAATACACTTCCTTATTTGGCAACAAGGTTATTTCGTCTTTTATTTTCAATATAAGCGTGTAGGTAACAGGCATAGAATGAGACAATATGTCTAGAAATAATAGCTAAAGAATGCTGAATACTATTTTCTTTAACAAACAAAAAGATCCATAGCAAATTATAAAGAGGTGACCTCAGGATGCACTTTAATGCAAATTGAATTCAAATCCCAAGAAAAATGCAAAATTCCTGACACTGTTGCGGATGTAATTCTAACCGGATTAGATTATTTCAAGACGATGAGGTAGATCATAAACTAGGACCTCGATCTAACCCAAAGGCGATGACGTGCGTCATCGAAAGCTATACAATCACAAGGAACCCCTCCCCTTTCTGAAGTTCGTTAAACATTTACAAGTTTAACACAGTAAAGTGGCGGATTAGGTTCGTCGTTTTTTGACTGCCACAAAATACGTTGAAAAAAAAAAGGACGACTAAAAAATAAATATATAACGATAAGAATGTGTCAGAATTTTTAAGTCGTCATTTGGTTTTATAAAACATGCATTAGGTCTTACAACTTTACTATTATCTCATCCTGCTATGAAGTTTGTGGATTAGAAATTTTTTTTTGCAGTTTTGAATAATCGCACCAAATTAGCAAACAACACTCTAGTAGGGTTTATTGCAAATACAGTAATCAACAGTAACGTTGGGCGGAGCTTAAACGTCCAATGGGTTCAATGTTTACCGACTTTTCAATGATAAATGAAACGGAGATTATAATCAAATTAGAATCTAGTTTTCGAAGGAGAAAGTTTGTGGAAAATTCCGATTTTCTTAGGTTTAAAAATGAACTTTTCCAATATTTTTTAAAATGCATATTGTTTTACCAGTGCTACTCCGTGGAAATGTTATGTGTCGTAACAAAACACGGTTCCATTAAGTACTTACATAAATGATGATAAATTCAATTTTTACTTACTGTAGTTATACATACAATCTTGTAGAATTTTATGGTCTCATCGCGAGCGAATGCTGATATTATAATTTTCACAATAACTGCTAGTTTTTAATAATAATTTTTCAATTTTCTTGTACCTACAACTTTACAGAAGTTTTTACAAGTTGAAATAAGCTCAAGAATTTGATAAAGCAAGTGAGTATGAGACAATAGTGAACCTAAACTATAGTCTGCCCAAACATAACAGCAGGTGACCCTGAAATAGAATTTTTAAATCATAATTGGTAATGAATTTATAAAGATTTTCACGCGGCAAATTTTATTTGATTTTTGTTTAACGTGCACCATTGTACACTATTTCGACAATTTTCAAAGTCAGTTTCTTCTCAGAAAATGTCGAATTCCAAGAAACTACAGCCCAATGTGAGCATTTTTTTCGTGTCGCTCTTTTTTTCTTCTTCTGTGGTCGGTCCATTGACGCAATGTGGTCCCCGGGTGGTCCTCATGTGTTAATCGCATTTCCCGGCACGTCATAAGAATGCAACATTAATAGTTTATTTTCTCAGAAACCGACGGAATATCAGATTATGAAAATTGTCGAATACGAGACTGCCGACAAAAAGTGAGACGCATTTTTTGGAGGGACCATTGTGGCAAATACTGAAAAGTTTAGAGTTGAAAAGAAATGGTTTTATCATGAGAATCGCGCTTCGACAGATTCAGAAAGCACTGGAAGATCAACGCGCGACGTGACACCTCAATCCAACACATCGAGCATGTCAAGGTATTAAAATATTCACAAGGTCATATTTAGTTATTCCTTTCTAAGATTGTATACATTTCAAAGCAAAAACCTCATTATGCGCCCCTTTCAAAAAAAAAAACTCTTAAAATGCGATTTTAAGCTCACCATTAGCTCGTAAAATGAAGCAGAAGCGGATTGAACTTGCCGAAAAATTGAACAAATGATCACTGTCCATATTTATACGTACAAATAAAGCAAATTTTACAAGTTAGTGGTTTCGTCACATCACAAAATCTACAAAGAATTGGCTAACAGGAGATCAGAGAACGTCAAGGGCAACGATTCATCATTAGATTAGATATCGCTTAAAGGAACACTAAATGTTTTGGTGGCGGTAGTACTGTAGGTATTCCTTCGGTTCATGTTCCAATGGAGAAGGTAGCATAGTCGCTTCTTTAGAAGTGCACGGAAATGCTCGGAAGACAAACAGAAAAGCAAGAAGTTCAACACCTTTCCAGTAACGGTCAGAGAGTTGCACACCGCTTGGATCATTACGTTTCGTGGCTCCTTGTCGAAATTTTTATGATCATGCTCCTTGAAAAGGAAGAAAATCGCTCCAGGCGCATTGCAAATAATGAAGCTTGTAAGGATCACACTCACCATTATAGTGACCTAAAGTAATTCTGAATGTACTTTGTATGACTACGCCGCTGCTCACTTTTCGCTCGGTCTTGCTCCTAGCGATAATCAGACTTTGGTGGACATGACTATCATTCAGCATTCGGAGAGGCATCGAGTTTTGTTTAAGAGCTAGAATCAAGAGAATGTTGAGAGCAGCGGAGACGATCAGCGGGACCAGGACGACAAGAAGCATGTGAAGTAGCTGAAAAAATGTTACCGACTGTTTCGATTTAAAATGTTAGTTATGATCCTTGATGGAGAGGATATTTTTAAAAAAATGATTTATGAATCACAAAATGAGGCAAGTTAAATATCCTCTAATATCCTCTTACTTAGTCACTTACTAAGTGACTAAGTAAGTTAAAAATATTTTAATAATTCAGATTCAATCTCAAAACCACGTTTTTATTCAAGAAATGTCGACATTTTATAGTCAGCGTCCGGCGACTGCTGTACGCGGGTAGATTTACGCACATGCGCCTTGAAACGGTCTCTGTGTGAACGCTTATTTTGCCGTTTTCGCGTGAACGGTTAACTTTTTCTTGATGAGTTTCTCCTTTCCTTGAATTTCCATTCGATTTAAAAATTATCGAACCGGACCATAACATTTTAAATAACCTGATAGTCCGGGCGAGACCAAAAAAATGACGCATCCTCGTAAATCTACCCGCGTACAGCAGTCGCCGGACGCCGACTATACGTTTCTTTTTAAGTTTTCCTCCAAATGACTCATTTACCCGACACTCTGTTTCTGTTTAAAGCATTGGTCTTTGATAGGGCTCGGGAAAAAAATCAAATTTACATATATTCATGCATATATGTACATGACAACGTCCTTGTGACTAACCACCAAATATCGCGATATCTTGTGAACGGCTCGTGTTTTCGGGGAAACAAAGTGAATGAGGGTGAGAAACAGACTGCCGACAACGATCAGAAACATTATGGCGATGAAACGTGGTGACGTTGATCTGTGCATTACACGTAGGAATTATGAAGATTGGTTGGAAAATTACCGTTTCGATGTTCTGAATGGACTCCGGAAAACTTGAACGCGTTCGATTGTTGCATACATCATACACCTGCAAAATAATAACTAAAAATTTTTTTTGACAAATGTGACTAACATCTTAGTCATGACCTACCAAATAGAAATTGCTGAGAACCAATTGGTCATTCCTGAAACATATTGCGCTAGTCCTCGATACCATTGTGAATGCATGAACACTCGCTGCAAAATTTAACATTTTGTTATTTCGTTTTAAAATCTCTTCAGTTACCGTATAGAAGAGCACAGTCGGGATATGGAGGATGAGAAAAAACAGATCCGCAAACGCCATAGCTGAGAAGATCTGGTATTAGAAATAATTTAAATCAAAGTAAAACAGAAGTTTTTGTTGACTGCTGCTTTTATAGATTTTCTAGTTAATTGGGAAAAACTAAGGATGTGTATTTAGGGTTCAAAAAGAGATATCGTTAACCTTAAAGGGTAAACATCAAGAATCACAACATGGAAATTTTATTTCAAAAAAATTGGTTATGCACCATCTTTACCAGATTTGTTCTACTTCGCATTGCACGACTCAATAACACAATCAGGTTGAGGATATTTCCGCCGCATCCGAACAGAATCTGTGGAATCAGGATTTTTGTGTTGACGAAGATGATTATCTGATAGTAGAAATGGGCGGATGAGGCGGCCGACGCGAGTTTCTCGTCCCCATGGCTTGAATTCATTTCTGGAAAAAAAATGAACATGGTTAAGAAGTGAATCATGCGGCATTTTGGAATTCAATTTATCGCTGGACAGGCATTCAGAGCAACATTAATGGAAACAACAGGTGTGACTTTCAATATCGGATTAGGTGAATGTCTAAAAACTGAGCAATGAGTTTGTCCTTGTTTTAGGTGTATATCTAGCAAAGGGTGAACAGAGTATCTTTCTCACGGTGAGAATGGAAACATATTTTGTGACGAGTTGTTCACTTACTTAGTCACTTTGTTCAAAAAAACAATTAATCAATCCTTTGAAACAGTATCTGATATTTCAAAAATGATCTGATTCGAATAATTTCACGAAAAGGAAAGGCACTGTATAATTAAATAAGCTGGATGAATGGGAGTGGCCTAGTAACTTTCAGTTAAGAGAAAAAATAAATAATAAAATTTCAAATTATTAATTCATGAAAACCAATAGAAATTCGATTCAATTCTATTGATCATGCTTAGCTTTATTAGCAGAAAAAACCTAAATAAATTGTTGTTGGAATGCGAACCATGCAAATCAAATATGTGTATCGAAAATTCTAATTAGTCGCGTTGCAATCTAATAAGTTCGTTGACAGAAAATGAGGGAAGAAGAGGGCGTGGCCATTACCGTAGATTTAGTGGTTTCGGCTGGATTTCCGATAAATGATTGAGATGCGAGAGCCAAAATAGGCAGAAATAATTACTCGCCCTTTTTATTTTATTATTCAATTTGCCTTAAGAATGGACCATAAGGGAAATTGGTTAAAAAAAGGACACAACTTCTTTTAATTTCCTATTCATTAATTAGGCATTCAGGAAAGAAATAGATAGAATATAGTTGTCAGCTAGCTAGTGAATCCTTCAAGTTTGGATTAATACTGCAATTATTCAAAATGGAATTAGTGCGAGAAATACCGAACGAATTGCGAGAATCGTGAGAAAACCAAAAGAAAATAATTTTTGAGGTCGGAAATTCGCATTCGATTAATATTTATGTGAATAAGGAAACTCTTTGCGGCTTTAGAAAACAAAACGAAAAGTTTACCGGATTAGCGGATTTTACAATGTCCTTGAACAAACACTTTTGAGTACGTCAAACATTGACTCAAATGAATAGTGTAATGAATACAATGAGTAAGTCATAAATATACTGTGAATTGTACTTATTTAATCAGTATGTTGAATAACATCACTCGCTATAATCCGTTTTAAAAAAAAGCCGCTGCAAGACAAAATGACGGAAGATGCGTTGCGGTTCGCACGCGGTTACGGGTTTTTTTGTTTTGTAATTTTTAGAAAGTTCCCCATGCATTTGACGACAGAGCGGCGTCTTTTTAGAAGCAGACTATAAGTACTTATTGAGCTCGACGCAAAATTCTAATTTCTGACTATACTCTACCAAAATTTTTCCATTTCATGGCCAAATAAAATATATAGATGGCGTTTGAGCCCACGTTATTTGTAACGAATGTGTATAAAAGAGAGTTTCTGGCATTGGATTTCTCGATAAGAGTAGACTCCAATATTCTCAATTATTCATATCAGGGAGAAACACGTCGGATGTTCCTGTTCTCATGTGAATTTGTAAGTATAGGAAATTAAGAAGCTCGCTAGACTTAAGACCATTACCATTAACACCGAAAATATAAATTGAACCAATTTGAACGTTTTTCAGAGAATGTTTGATATAATTTTTCCCACTTACGATTCTTCAAACCTCTTTTTTTGCGTTGGTAATAGGCCAGACAATAAGAGAAAACAAAACTTCAAAAATAGTTTCGGTGTCAAATTATTTTTCAGTTTTCTCTCATCAATATTCATCCTCGTCGTCAAGGATTCTTGTGACCCGGCCACAACCCGCCGGAAGCGTCTGCGTCCGTAAATTTGTAAACAAGATTCTCGGATGATTCACATACTTTCAGGAGAAACTTATACTTAATATAAAATTAGTTTAATGAGGCTTTCCACATATTCAATAGAATCGGAAGGAAATAAAAATGTACGTCTAATTATGATGCTGTTGTCAGTTCCAGGGGCATGAAGGATTGTGCGGAACAAAATTTTTGTGAAAAGCACGGGATGAGGGGGTTGCTCTTTTTCTTCAATGAATGTATATAATCGAAGGGGTTTTCTGTCAAATCTCCTTTTATGTTCTGAAATTGGTAGATCAAACTATGTTCCGCTGATTGTATTTAATAGCCATTAACCGATAGAATATCGATTTAATAGCGAACAGTCTTGAGAACTAGTCACCAACTTATTTTATCCTAATTTAATTTTCGTGGGCCATAGTTTTCCGGTTTTTTTGTACCAAGGTTTCTGGTCCCTTCGGTTTTTCAACTCATGAAGCATTGCCTCCAACTCTCCTCGCCCTACTCCTACCTAATTAGGATTTTTTTCAATATTGGTTTGGAGTAAAATAACATATTGAAAATATCGTTTTTAATTATATGTATGAGCAACCTCTTATGAAAATTTGGAGGTTGCCCTTGAAGATTAGGCGGTTTCTAACGGAAATCAAGTAGAAATAAAAGTATGAGAAATGAAAATAATTGACGAATAAGTGGTAGAATGTTGATGATTCAGATGTGAAACTTGCCAATTTAAAATCAAATTCTGACTTTCATAGAAATATTGATGCAATACCCATATGGGATTCGCATTTCCTCACACAAAATAGTTGACTTTTTAACTTTACTTTAATATTAAGAAGCAGTTGTAAATTGAGAAAAACCGCGTTTTTCAGCGACTTTTACGTATTATTTCTTTTGCCATTCAGGAAATGGCAATTAGTGAAATGAATTGAAGGAAAGATTAGCAGAATGCATGATGAGCCTTATTCTGAATGAACAAAATTTCTCAAGAAATGAGTGAGAGCCAATGATATTTTAATTTATGATATTACATCATTTTTAATTATGTCGAATATGCTAAGGCGATTTTAAAATAATCATTTTTATGTAGTAAACAAAAACCGAAATTTAAACGAATAATGTGATCCCAAATACTATAATTGAAATTTGGGCGTAAATAAATAGACTAGAGTGAATTCATAAAATCTAATTCATCCATCACGTTCTAAACCGAATGTTTTTCCGGCATTTTGAAAAATAAAGAAAGTCTTATTTTATGTTCAACAACCTGTGCAATATGGCGTGAACGTGAACAAGAAGCTCAACCGATAAGTCCTAAAGTGTTTGCCGAGTCTTATTTTCGAAACGTTTGTAACGTTTCTTCTCAATATGTTTCCAAAAAAATCTGAGAATGTATTTTGATAAGGTAAAAGGGCGTGTGTAACTACGTAGAAAAAATTAAATGTGTAAAGTATTTTCATTAATTTGAATATTTTCTAGGGAAATACGCCTTGCATTAATGAGATCTAAGAATATTTCTCGATATAGATGATGAGATAGACGCTTGAGATTTTTCTCGTGACTCATTGGATCGGAAATCCGAAAAATTAGAGTTGCAGAGTTACTGAAAATTTGAAATTGTCTTGCGTGCCATTGTACTTTTTTCACTAACAAAAATAACGATGAGAAATTGGATGGAAAATGGAAAAACACATTTCTCGGGGGCCAAAATTAGGGTTATAAATGTCAAATAGAAAGAAATAAACAGAGAAACAAAAAAACGTGGCTCAAATAAAGTTTCACGTCGCCTCAAGGCATGTGAGCGATCCGGTTCACTATTATTAAGATTCTCTCAAAAATAAAAAAAATGGATGATGAAGCGGATTTGATGAAATGAGAAGAAGCCCCGAAATTTTATGCAAATTTTGAATTTCTCGGAATTTGAAAATTAAAAAGACAACGCGGAATCGATCGTGACAATTTTAGAAGTTTCTAACACGGTAATCAAAGATGTCTGGTTTTTCAAGAGCTGAAAATATCCGCAGGTCAAAAAATACTTTCTTTCTTTTTTTGTAGTCTTGAGTTGTTCTAGCTCGTATTAGCCTTTTTCAATCTCATTTTTATCCAACAAATCTGCAAAAAATAATTACTTCAAAAATTTCAAAAGGTTTATTAGAATCGGACCAACTAAACTATGTGAATTTTACTCGATGAATTCCAGCGAAACCCGTAAATAAAACCTTCGCCTTTTGACAATATGGGTAACTTGTGATATTCAGGGTGTTTATGATCCAGTAGTGATGATGATGAATTGAATTCGGATGCTCGTGTGATTCCTTCTCTACCATTAAAATTACACATGTTTTTTACGGGCAAAACCTCATTTCCGTTTTCCAGACTTCCATTTGATCCTGAATGCTGATCACTGAAGAAAAATAAATATTTCGCTCATATAATACAACTCACATTATTTCATTTTCGCTAACTAGTGCTAACAATTTATCTTCTAATTCCTCGTTTCTAGCTTTCAACTTTAAACATTTTATTTTCAACATAAAACGTGAAAAATTTCAAATAAAATGTTACCCTTATAAAATCCTTGTATAAAATCTCGTATTTCATTTTCCAGTACTTCGCATCACGATCTTCTGCATCATTCATCTAAAATTTGAGTTAAACAAAAAAACTTCTCAAAATAAAAGAAAATATCACACAGCTATTGAAGCCGATTAACAAATTGCAACACGTTCGCATTCTTTCTTTTATTCGGATTAATTCACAGAGAAAAAAAAAGCGTTGGTCTCTTATCTAATCTATTATAAATACTATATTTCAAGAAGTGAAGATAATGGAAGTTGTGCGGTTGAATATAAATATAATATATTTCATGTTTGAAATAAATAATAGTAATTTAAATACAAAATTAAATTTTAAAACATTAGCGGAGATCATCATCTCCGTCGGCAGCGATGGCGCGTTTCACTTTAACAAGAAGAGAAGTTGCCCATGGATCAAGTCTAGAGAGAACAAGACAAATATAGCGTTTTTCGGAATGCGACCAACCTGCTGATTTTATCGTAATTCGCGACCACTTCGGTGAACGTCTCCTCATTTTGATCCTCAATCGCGGCAAGAATTTCCTGAGATCAAAAGTTAAATTTTCTACCGAAATGGTTAACATATACATATATAAATATTTTGGTATCGATACAACATATATTGCGTGATTTTAACATCTTTAAAATGTGTTGATTACGTTCAATACATTGAGACAAATTTAAGGGTTTTCTTACGATTTTTACCTTGATAAATTTGCACTCGCGGGAATCAGTGAATGATGGTGAAGCATTCTCATACTTTTGCAATGCCTGTTGTGTGTCAAGCTTAATTTTGTGATTAATTAAGTATACTGGCCATATTTTGAGTCCTACCGGATCAATGCACAAATGACACAAAAGAGCCTGGAAGAAATGCCCCTTGGCAGCGTACTTCAAAGTAGAATGATCAGCTTCATAAAACGCAATTTCCTGAAATTTGGTATATTAAAAATTAATATACAAATCGAAATACCTCAAAAACGGAGATAGCCTGACGGTACTGCTCAAGCTCCGCAGCGTACTACAATAGGTTTGTTTGTACATAATTTTTTAGGTTTAATATATACCATTGCAACTTTGACAAGACATTTGCTAGCGCTGCTTTTTTGCTCCTCGCCTTTGTAGTAATCCGCGGCTTGTTGGTAATGCTTGATGCATTGCTCTTTGTCGGGCAACTCAGACTCGTACCTAAATGTATTCATATTTTAGTGAAATTTTTAAAATATTAATCAGAGTATTTCCACTAGAAAAGGTAATAAATGCTTACAACTCGGCAATGGTCACATGATTCTTAGCGGCCATTGTAAATCTGCCCATATCAGTATAGATTTCGGATGTCTTCAAGAGGCAATCAACAGCAAGCTAAAAAATAACCTATATCTATCGCAAAAAAAGAAGCCCACTGGATTACGGACCATCATATATTTTTTAAATTTCAGTAACGATGGTGCTCGTTTTAATTTATATATTAAATAAAACAGACCTGTGGATTAACTTTTCTGTAGCAGTTCGCGGCCTCGGCATATTGAGTGGCACAGTCATGCTTCGAATCACCCTGGCTTCCATAAACCTCAGCAGCTTTAACAAAAGCATCTCCAGCTTCCTTCCAAGATTTGGCCATTTTGAACAAGTTTCCGCCCTGAATTTTTACTAATTCGAGATAATTCTACAAATTTTGACGAAAAAGTACAAATGTTTATTTCATAATAATAGTCGCTAATGAGCAATTCGTCGTTTCGCTTTAGTTTTAGGTCGCTCAGCAGATTTTTGCTGGAGTATTGCTACATCGTCGCTATCATTAGCCCATCCAGAGTTATTCACATGAATCCGGCTCATAGACGAGCATAACTCTTCATCGGCTCGTCGCCGGCGAGAATCTTGTTGAATGAAATGCGTTGTTCTTGCGTGCTCATCGCGAGTTCTTGCATTTGTGAACATTAACGCGCAGTTTGGATGAAGACAACGGAAATGTGCAGACTCCGGGTGTTTCGCAACTTTTACAGCAAAAAATGGACTGTGAAGTTCGTCACAGTGAACATCAAGCATATGAGCTGTTTGAAATGATCTTCCGCACTCTATACATTGAAATGAGTGCGATTTATAATGCTCTTCAAAATCAAGCAGATTTTTGGCCATATAATTGCAGCCTGGCGATCCGCACTCAATTTCACTGCTTTCTTCATCTTCATTTTCCATCATTTCATCATCCTATGGATAAAACGTCAATTTTTGTAGTGCTTTGTCCTATATTAAATTTATCGATTTTTTTTATTTACCTGAATGAAAAGGTCGGCAGCTTCACCTCCGCCGCCACCACTGCCAAGAAATTTGGAGAAAAATCCGCCACCTCCCTAAATTGGATGTTTTCAATAATTGTTTTTTTTTAATAGAAACCTTCAGTTTTTTCTCTCCTTCCGCCATCTTTTGTCGCGCTTTTGACTCATTATCCGCCATCTTTTTTTATCTAAAATAAAGAAAATCGATAATTCAAATAAGGAAAAAAATAAGAAATGAATAAAATTAGAGATCAGTAAAACCGAAAAAAATTAAAGATTTATCGAACGCATGAGAAGCAGAGAGAGTGAAATCGATGAGACACCTCGTGGTCCTTATTCGTCTAGTTCTCGTGTTTTCACGGCGTTCACACTAGTGGGATTTACATGAAAAAAGATTTTTCTCAATGGAGCGCACATGCAGCTTAGCGCTATTCCGGTGCATAAATTCAACAAATTAAATTTGTGAAATAAATTAGAAATGTTCTCTAAATGGAGCGTTTTTTCAATAAGAACGATTAGTTTTTATATTTCTTCGGGTGGATCATATTCACCGCAATTTATGGTCTAATTAGTTATAAATTAAATAAGTTATTTTAATTTATATCGGATCTTTTTTTTAAACATAACATTTTTAAATGATAAAACCATCAATTAAACGAAAGAAATACTACACAATCGAATTATGATATAAAAATTGATGATATGTAGCAGATGAATTCAATGCGAGTAGATAAAGACGCGAGAGAGATTGAATTCGGAAAAAGAGGATATAAGGACATTTGGAAAATTGCAAAACTAATAGGGAAAAAATACACTTATCAATTTGGAAACAAATGGATAATCAACAAACACATTTAACAAGATTCTCTTTACCGATTTCATTAGGCAGCTTGAAAAGAACAAACACAAATGACTAAAAAAAAATACATTTTTGAGTTGAGGACGTCTTTCCATTGGTCTTTTGAAGTAATTCGGAAGTTTAAAAAATCTCGAAAAGCGAATTGTCCGTGATATCGATTCATCACTCCGCCAGCTTTTGATTTTCGAGATGGAGTGCTTATCTGAATTCAATAAATGAATTCAATGCGAGTAGATAAAGACGCGAGAGAGATAAATAGAAAAAAAGAAGCTGAAAACGGTAAATTAACGTAAGAACTAACGAAATTTAAAAAAAAAAACAACAAAAAAATTATAGAGAATCTCTTGCAACTTCTCCGCCGAAATGACACACTATTTACATTTAAAATTTGCAAAAAAAATAAAAATAAACAACTATGAAATGTTTTTCCAAGTGTTACCAAACATAACCGTATAACTCAAACCATATAATATAATAATAAATGATATTAACAAAAGAGAGAGTGAAAAAACAGAGAAAAGAAATGTGAATATTTCTACAGTTCAATCTTTAAAAAACTACGGACCTCTGAATACTTATCCGATTGAATTATAGTTAAGCTTTTTCGATAGAAAAAAGCCTTGCGAAAAACGTGGTCGGTGCACTTTTTTGTTAAAATTTGAGAAAAATTCAAAAAACTTGAAAAATGAGCCAAAACCTGGCGATTTTTAAAAAATTCGTCTGCGCGACAAAGACGCCAACAATCGATCACTGACACAGTTTGAGATTTCATTTCAGGTAAATCCCACTAGTGTGAACGCCGTGTTTTTGACGCATTGTTGGCAAAATGGCCGAGTTTGTCTGTGGCGGCCGCGGTCACATGATGCGTTTCGCAACACCATTTCAGTTGAATATAGGTAAAGATTTAACAAAAAAAAACGGAATATGCGTTATGGTACGGCTCTTTTATATAAAAGCCGTTACAATTCAAATTCATAACAAAAATACGAAGGCGATGAAAATGTGTTTAATAATAAAAATTTTTACTCAATGTATGGTTCGCGATAATGAACTTATCCATGAAATATTAAACAAGGTAAAGAATTACTTTTCCAATGCAGCAATAAAAAAAATTCCCGTAAAATGTAGCTTTTCATTTATTTGTAATTCACGTATAGATCCATAATTTAATCAGTTTTTGTCACTATTTCTTTCAAAATATCCCACGATTTCATTGAAATGAAAAAAAAACTCGATCTTCAAAAAAACCCTTCAAAAAATCACTTAGTCCCTTAGTCGGTTCTTCCTTCGCCTATTGAGCGCGAACCACAGCTTTCAAAGCTTTTCCGTCCTTGGCTTGGGTGGACCACGGGGTGATAACGGCTCCTTCAGCTGTTCATGTGGTGATCTCCTTCCGAAGCGACTCCGACCATCTCATGAGAGTCCTTCCTCTTGGCCGGGTCCAATTCCACAGCCGCCACCTCGTTAGAAGAGTAGTCTTCCAAGGTACACGTATTCGTCAACATCGTCAATGATACTGACCGAAATAATAACCTTGGCGGAGTCTGCGATGGGGTTACGTAGGACTTTGGTCTTTCCAGCGTTAATCTGGAGTCCTACTTGTTCGCATCTCTCAACCATCTCACCTAGCATCTCGGATGCCGCTTGCGGACTGTGCGCTATGAGCACGACTTCGTCTGCAAACCGCAGGTGTGTGAGGTTGCGGCCATTCATTCGTAATCCTGGAGTGTTCGTATTGCCTTCTGCGTCGTTTTTGAATTGACTCCAAGACAATCCACGGAAAGAAAGAAAAAAATACGTCACGCATATTACACAAATTTTGAATACCGTACCTTCTTATTTGCTTGATCCTACTGACCCATCATTATTTTATTTGATACAAATAAACGAAGAGTAGAGGAAACCACTCAAAAAACTTGTAAAGTGGATGCCGAAAGAAGGTCATAACTTCATTTTCAACGCATTAACTGCCAAATAATGCGCGCTTCAATATTCGTAATCGTCTCATTATTAGGCACAACGCTTTGCCAAATATTTTACCCCTCATCATATCCATATACGGGCTCATCTAGTTCTTCAAAAACACAAACTGTATTGGTGCCACTATATTATCCTACTGGAATGGCGACTGGCAGTATTTATGCAGGATATCCAAATATGGCGGCTGGCGGTTATGGAATGACTATGCCACAACAAGCGATGCCATGCTGCGAAGGATACGGGGTAAGAGTTTAAACTCTATTTTAAAACAATACATAAATTTCGACATCGAAGTGAATCACATACGAATGAAAACTTTTTTAACAGGAAATGGCTCCTCCACGGCGCGTAAGCAATGCTCGTCGATTCCTACAAGGTGCAACAGAAGGTATTCTCATGGGAAGTCTCGGAATGCTCGGCGGTTTTAGGCGTTGATATAATTCAGATATTTTCTTTGTTGCTTTCAATAAAATTAACACATTTATTTGAGATCGATGGGTTCAGTCTGATGTCTCCATTGTTCACTTTCTTCTTCCCCGACAAAATGCGCAACTGAAAATTCAACACAATTATTATGAAATTGAAGAAAAAAGTGTAAAACTTCAAGTGCATTTCAAGTTTTTTGTTGTCAATCAATGACCAAATATAATTGGCATTATTGGTATTGTTCGAGTTTTGCCGGTTTGGGGCAGACGCTTATAGAATTTTGAGATTTTTTTTTAAATTTTTTCGATGTTGATTATTCCTTTAATCTTACTCACTTTCCTCGGAATCGAGATCCTCTGGTTTCTTTTGGAATCGACACCCAAATAATGTCGCCACTATTCGCATCCACAGTTGTCATTCCCTAAATGGGCATTCACACACTATTTAACAGAGAAATTTACCCTTGATGATGATCGGAAAATAGCGGATGTTGAGGCGAAAATCGTGAAAATAAAAAATAGGCCAAGAAGACGCATAATTAGCGCTGAAATTGCATTAATATGAACAATCTAGAAATTTTTCACCTGTCGGTAAAATGCGAAAAACGACAAATGATTACGTAACATATTGAAAATTATTCGTTTCTTTAACTATTTACGCAAAACTGATTCATTAGATTTTCTGAGAAACTCATCAAAATACACGGGGGAATTGAGTTCAACAATTTTTTGATGATACAAAATTGAATATTCATTCCCCATGCGGCAAATTTTAAATTTTTACTCGTCTGTCTAGGAAGAACTCAATTCTAGATTGCTGTAGCTCAATGTTCAGAAGAATTCAGACCATATTTGGAGATCACAGGATTTTATTAATATCTTAATTTTAAACATATTTTACTTAAGACTATCTTTTATTCCTTGAACTTTTAAAGCAAAAGTTGTACTATGGAAAAAAGCAGTTCATTACGGCTAGCCGAGCAAAAAGAGTACGAATCTCAAAGAAAAATCTCTAGGGTTAATGAAGAGGAAAAATCTAAAAACGTCATGATTTTTTTTGCTTTTTTCATTAAAAAAGAATGATTCTGTAAACATAAATAATTATATTTCTTTTTTGAAAGAATGACGCTGCCACTAGGAAAACATAGCAAGTCAATTCATCGTTTGCATAAAAAACGAGGTAGTATGAATTTATAAAAATCCTTTGAAACTTATATTATCCTTGTTTATCTCAATATTTATTCAATTCATGAAGGCTGAAAAACAGAAAAAAATGATGGATAATGAAATTGGTTGGCTGGTACCCATCTAATTAAAATGAACTACTTGTTGTTCTTCTGCTGAAAGCATTAAAATGGGCATTTAAGTGATCAAAAAACAACAGAAAACGAAAAAAATGCTGATTTAAACAAAAATGTTCGTCCTAAATCTCAGCGCTTCTATTTCTACTGGACCTTCACCAAAGCTCTTGCCGAAAGAGTCCGAATTAGTCACGCTGCGCTTGAGCGAAGATTGGTTGGCCTCACGTTATCACAACAATGTGAACAAGATCTTCATCCAGAGGACATCCGCATCATGTCTAAAGTTCGGGACCCCCTACACCACATCACGAAGAGGAAGATGACCTGGGCTGGACACGTTGCTAGAAGAACAGATGGAAGATGGACTACTCTTCTAACGGAGTGGCGGCCGTGGAATTGGACCCGGCCAAGAGGAAGGCCTCCCATGAGATGGTCGGACTCGCTTCGGAAGGAGATCACTACAAGAACAGCTGAAGGAGCCGTTATCACCCCGTGGTCCACCCAAGCCAAGGACGGAAAAGCTTTGAAAGCTGTGGTTCGCGCTCAATAGGGGAAGTAAGAACCGACTATGTGACTAAGTGACTAAGTTATCTCAATATTTATTCAATTTATGAAGGCTGAAAAACAGAAAAAAATGATGGATAATGAAATTGGTTGGCTGGTACCCATCTAATTAAAATGAACTACTTGTTGTTCTTCTGCTGAAAGCATTAAAATGGGCATTTAAGTGATCAAAAAACAACAGAAAACGAAAAAAATGCTGATTTAAACAAAAATGTTCGTCCTAAATCTCAGCGCTTCTTTTTCTTTCCGTAACCATAAGTGCTGAAATGAATCGTTTTAAAGTATTCAAAATCTTCTATCTTACTTGCACCAGTAATTTGAGTACCCTGAGCCATAAGGGTACATTGTATTTAATCCTCCAATCCCACCATAGCCTAAACCACCAAGGCCACCAACTCCAAGTGTTCCCAATCCGTTATAAAGACCCGGATACGCACCGCCGTACATTCCTCCTGTAAAAAAGAGTCTTTAAAATAAACATTTTAGGTGGATTTTAAAGAATGGTTTTATAAATAAAACTTATAGAAACATCAAAAACCCGAAGAAGAATCAAGATCAAAAGGATTTAATAAATGTGTGACAGAATAGAGAGCCAGTCTTTTTAGAAACAGGCTTTATTTGTCAGAAAATGGAAAAATTGCGTCAAATACCGTAAGTCTGCAAACACTGATCTCATAAATCCGCACGTTCAATTTGTTTTTTTTTTTTTCAGAAATTTCGAATTTTGGATGTTTCTTTAAAGACTAACCAAACTTTTTTTTAGAATGGCTCACCTATTCCACCTAATCCATATTGTCCGGCGATTCCAGGATATCCATACATTCCCAATTGCCCATTTGCTACACCCAACAATAATAGTAAAATGGTAGCAATTCTGTGCAGCATAGCAAAAAATGACAGAAAAAACCCTTGCCAGCCTTATGCCAAATGGCACGCAAATCGGATTATACCGATAGTTTTTTGTACGAACAGTTTTTATTGTCAGAATTAACCCGCAAAGAGAAAAAGAATTATTGGCAATATTTAAAAAACTGGCTAGATCAAAGTCGATAAATCGGAATTTATGTTCTTTGTGGATAATCGCTGCGATTCAAGTTGATCTGTAAAAAGGCGTTTTTGTTTTCTATTTCATCTCAAGTTCGTTAACCATGATAGTTCGCATAAATGTTTGAGGTTTCTGCGTATTCTGAGTATGTTGGTGGTGGTGTCGACTCCAGTTCGTCGCTAAAAAAACCGAAATTCAGTGTATATGCTATACATATTGTAAAAGACGGACGATTTTGAGAGGTCTGAGAGAAATAAAGTTCCTTTGGACGCAATTTTTATTTCTTTTGGTTAACCGTAGGTCACTGGTCCGAATCAGACCCAACGAGATCGCGTTTTGTTTGTATTAAATATAACCTACTCATCATAATAATCTTCCACCTCATCGTCGTAAATTGGTCTTTTCATCACATTCTTCAGATACCACATTCGATATTCATCATATCTATCCTTCCAATGTATAATGTATTTGACAATGTAATATACTAAATACATGCTCAATCCGACTAGAAGAGCAACAAGAAAAAGAAGAATGAATAGATAGAGCCATTCGTAGGGAAAATGATCAAAAGTTGATTGAGTCGAATTTGAAATATCGTTGATTTTTGACGCAACAATGTTGACCTAAAGCTGTTTCCTAAAATGAAAACAAAAATATGTAGAAAAAAACTTACGTGGGTATCAAATATACTCAATCCAGAATTCATGTCTTGAAGAGCGCTCGCAAGGCCTTGATCAATCTAGAATCGGTGGATTCACATCGTATCGTCAATGATTACAACTTACATTTACAAGGGTCAAATTAATATTATAAATACTATAATAAATATTTTGAATTTCCTGGTCGACGCTCATTGTGTAGGTATTGATTTGGGTCCGCTTATCAGCACTTCATCACCAATCCAGGCCAAAAACGGGGCGAATGTTTGCTCATGCTGAATCATACCGACGCGAAAGGCAGTCATGAATCGTAAAAAATTGAAAGTGTTGACCTTATTTGAATAGGGATTAAATCGATGAGTAAAATACATTCATAATTGAATATTGTAAAAATGAAATAAAATTTTAACTAATTTGCTGTTCCATTAAACGAGAATTACATTTTCATTCATTATTGATTGAGTTTTCAAACTCCCTCAAGAAGACACAGTTTCAAATACTGTAACAAACGAGGGACCTCAGCTTCTGATTAACTTCAACGATTTGATAAAGATGCTTACAATGCTTGCCAGTTCATTTATAGTGAATTAATACGTTTATATTCGCGAATGTTATCTTTATCATTTTTCTGTGGGAATCAAGATGATTAATGTATTCACTTTTTACGAGATCCTACATATTTAAAGTAAATTTGTTTTATTATTGAATTATTAACGATAATATTCACAAAAAAAACCTTGAGATCAAATTTCAAACTCAGGTCTCAAAACGAAAACATTCGATATATAATATAATATCAACTAGTCATGGATGGAAGGTAAAATTAGAACATAAAAACTATTTAAATACACCGGTGGTGAAAATTGAGCGGAAATGTGACACAACAGCAAGCTATGTCTGTAAAAGGCACGATGAATGGAAAAATGATCCTGAATTTAAAGGACTAGAAGCCAATACTTTAAAAGGGAAAATGAACAGTTTTTGGCAAGAAAGACTGATGTTTGAATATGCGCATAAAATTGAATAACGAAAGAATGAACTAGACGAAATTATTTGTTGCTACACTTCGAGTCGAACTCCATATTGTCGAGGAGGCTGCTCCATGTTGTATTTTCCAGCGTCGTCAGTTCGTCGTTGATAAGGCCGATCGATTGAGTTGGTTTCTAGAAATTGAATATTTCAACAATTTTCAATAAATTTCTTAACGAAGAATAGTTGGAAAGTTACATGAAATGAAAATTTGCAATAGATTTAGGAGAGGACAGTTTAATGAAATAATAATTTTTAATCTTTGTAATAATAATTTTTAATCTATCAATCAGCCATTTTTAAAGGTGTGCTGATCTGAAATGAAAAGTGGTATATAATAAATTTTTTGAGAGCATTCCTCGTGCTTTCCCCTGTTCTCTGAGATCATGTCCACATTCCATGGTCCATTATACATGTACTCAGCTTATCTAGTGCTCCTCCATTAATCATGGAAAAGTTCTCACACTTGTTTAAGGTTCCTATTTTCATTATATGTTGTGTATAATTAGATGGTAGTGGATATTTATAATTATTTGGCGTTGGTGTGTCTGTTCTACGTGATCGACGTTGTTTTTCTTTTATATTTTTTCGAATTATTCGTTTGAAAGCTAAAAGCCAAATTTTTTAGTATTGAATAGTTGTAAGTTATATTATTCAATTATTGTTTAAAATTAATTATTGAATACATTTCAAATTGCTCATTTTCAAAACGTTAATAGAAAAGTTTAGTAAGAAAGCAAACAAAATTACAGGAGCAGCTCACAACAGAAAATACCTCGTGGTGGTGGTCCCAACCTTCTCGGCTCGTTTTCCATCGGAATTTGTACGTGTCGCATTGAGCTTCTCGGTCGAGAAGACCTCGTAAATGACTGTTTTTCCGACATGAGCTTTCGTTCGCCTGAACACAATCACACCGTAAATGGAAGGGCATTAAATAACTCAAAAATTCAAAGAAAATAGTTAGAAGTTGTTATCATGCGAAAGGATCAAAAATCTAGGCGACGAAACAACTTACTATCATCGTTTTTGCTTTTCATTATGACATATATGGCATGCGCTTTTGTTACCAAATTCAACAGGAGTACCACGGATAATAATAGGAAAACTACTATCAATGTTATGAATAATAGATAGAATACCCAACTGTTCGGCACCTGAATTTAAGCCAATTTTTTTCATTACAGTTTTCCACTGTAACTATTAAGATCATACCTGTTGTACGGTCTCCCCAACCTTGTATGTTACACTACCAGCGTCTTTGGCAAGATTAGCAACAGCCTTAATTATTTGCATACATTTTTCATATATTTCAATATATGTATATTTTACCTGATCAAAATTGTCGAGTGTTAAATTGATGCGACCCGTTATACCCGAAATTTGTCCATTTATATGAGCGACTAATGTGCTCAATTGTGCCAGTGTACCACTAAGCTCTGTGATCGTTTGGTCGACCGACATCCTGCAAAATCGAATATATCAATGATGAAACTGTTTGTAAAGCGATGAAGCAAAAGAAGCCCATCGACGACGGGCATGTTTTTATGAATACTAAAAATTCTCGTGTGCTATTCGATTCGTATGCAAATAGTGCCACGATATTTGGAGGAGGTGAGAGCAAATCGAATGAAACAAGGAAGCGAAATAGAATTAAACAACTAATTTAACGATTCCCATTCCTTTTTTTTCAATGGTTTTTCAATGGGAAAAGGGGGGGGGGAGCTGTGGTTGACTATCAGTAGTCGAAGCAATGAATACGAAATAATGTCTCATCAAAATAAATATTTGTTCAATTGATTTCATAATGGTCCAACCGGAATCACAGTGACAATCTACTATGCGTCTTTTAGTATTTGGGAGGGGGGGTTAAGACTAGAATTATAGTGTTCCAAAAAATTAATCGACTCTGAATATTCCTGAATATTTTGCATGATCAATTTTCTTTCCTTAAACCTGTGAATATATATATATATATATATATATATACAGAAGTCAGGAGCAGTAGAAAAGAATGATAAATTGCGAAAAGGTTTCAGACATAAGCATGATCCTCTAATGCGTGTTCGACAAATAAACAAACAAATACTCATCAATGATACGAGGAGGAGGAGGAGGGAAAAGAGTTCAATTCATTGGGTTAGTCATGTCTTTTCCGCAAAAGATGATGACTCATGATATTGCACAAATACCAGAAACTGTGAAAATAATACATATTTGCATAAATCTTAAACAAGTTGAAAAAACTCGAGGAAATTATTGATCGGAGCAAAAATCATATGAAACGCGGTAAACATGGCATTGAAATGATTTGCGCTTATCATCGTCAAATCAAATTTATCATAGTTGTGTTCAGGGAATTGATATTTGTCGACGCATAAAACCCTCTATTGTATTGTAAATGTTTCCAATTCCGACAAATATTGCGGGAGGGTTAGATGAGATTTCTCGTCATTTATCAAGACATTGTGCATATGAAAAGAATTTACACTTCTCGAAATATAATTTAAAATAATAACCACACTAACACTATCCGAATGACAATGTGTGAAAACTATAAATAAAATTCGAAAACGCGTTTTTTCATGATAAGATTATAAAACAAAAACGTCAAAAATTATTTGATAATAACAACAGAGATCACATTATTTAGTACCCTCAAAAACTACTTTGTTTTAAGGGAATTTGGCTTAAAATTTCCAGTTTCCAGAAATCTGAACAATTTCATAGAACTTATTGGCATCTTTAAGAATTTTTGTAGAATTCCATCTCCCTTCAGCCGTTTGAAACCTACAATATAGATATGAAATAATTGTAATCGTTTTCCAGAGAATGAAACAAGATGATTGCACAACTTAAAAAATATTATCATTTTGGTTTCAAATGTTTGAAACAGCGAAAACCGTGATTTATAACTAGCGCTCAGACTGTGAAAAAAAACCCAGGTCAACACAAAAACTCGACCTTTCATTCTGATCTCGAGAATAGAAAAATAAAAAATAAAAAGGAAACTACAAAATTTGTGAAGCAATTTGTGCTCAGCCCTCTGTTAATTGTTTGTTTTTCACTGGTCAGTATTATAGATGAGCATCATAAAAAAAAACAGTAAGCGGAAAACGAAAAAAAAAAAATCGCAATAAAAATTGGAAAATGATAGTCAATGGGGTCGTAAGTCGTTTCTCCCGCGAAGAGAAGCTTTCGTGCACCCGCGCAACCTCGTCTTCGCCTAGAGCATTGTGTCGGCGACTGGACAAATCGCACACTATTTCACCTTGTCGGATCCTATACCTATGATGGCGCCGGCCGACCGACAGCGCTCTGGTTAATATTTGTTCAAGTGGGAGGACAGGAGGCATGCGGTGCAGGTAGTGCCTCAGGGCGGAGGCCCGACTGCTGCTGCTGCTGCTTCTGTTGGTGGATCGACTCGATATGCCATATTAGTTAGTTTGCTTCTGTGTACCGCAGTAGGCGTAGTGGTTTTCAAATGTTTGTTTGTCGTTTTGAGAATGACCGCGGTTGGGTCAGGTGTCCATTCGGGTATTGTTGCGCTCGGCGAACACTTGGCTTTTATATTGGTCGCTAGAAATTCGACACAGTGTATTCAAGTGAGAACTCAAAAAAACTCAAAAGTATCACACCATCGATTTGGCTCTATATTAAGTAGTCTTTGATTGAAAATGGTTATTCAAATAAGATAATTTTTCATTTCAATGAAAATATGTATATTCACTCTGATTATTATTTTTATGTAAAATCTGAAATAATCTAGTAAATTTTAACAGTACAATTTCTGGTATAATCTTGAGAGAAACTTTGAACGCGTAAATTATACAGCATGACATCAAGCAACTAAAAAAGTTTATTAGAAGTTACATACTTTTGAGTTTCCTGCTTTTTCAGACGAAAGGAAAGGTAAAGATGTGATGGCTGCGCGAAAAATGCGTGATATGCAAGCAAAACGAATAAATAAAGCAATTAAAATACCTGCCACGGAGCACCCTTTGGCTCTTGCGAGGTTCCCATGAAAAACCAGACTAAAACGATGCTTGAGATTTGACGAAAAATAAAGAGCAAATATGGAGTGAAGGAAGAAGAAATGGAATGGAATTAATAGATAAAACAAACGCCAATCGTATAGCAAATGAAACAGCTCATGTTGATTGTTTTATTTAATGTTTTGTCTTTTTGAATATAAAATATTCTCACCTATTCTTCAACAATAATAATGGAAGCGCAGCGGACATCGGTTTTGTATAGTGCGGTTTGAAAACTAACACCGATCGAACGTGACTACTTTTTACTATGCGATATAAATTATGCACATTTTCGCAAGTTATAATTTATTCATACAAAATCTGAGATCGCTAAAGGTGTGAGCCCGAAAACACAAAATAATTGCCGCTGATTAAATATTCTCGATATCGGTTTCATTCGACACCTTTTTGCCGAAACGATACTCAACAACGCTTTGTCCGAATCGCATAAACAGGAATATAAGCTGAACGAAAACTTTTAATATTTTTTTCAAGAGATTGAATCTTACTGTAATTATAACGAGGATTACGCCAACAATCACAAGCACGATGAGCTCAGTAACCGGCCAATTGTGTGTTTTTTCGTTAACTATTTCCTGAAAAGGTGAAATTTGCTTTTATTTTTTTCCGAAAAAATGTATTATGAACTGATACTGATAAATGAAGCAATCTTTGGCAATCAATTTTCTTCTATTTGGTAAATATGCTAACCTCACGTTACTTCTCTTTCGTTTTGAACATTTAAGGACTGTCGTATTTTTTCGATGCGGTAATTCAAATTTGGATTCAAACATTGAGAATTTTGGTACCGTACTACGAATCAAACTCATAGTATTGTTGAAATCAAACGACTTGACGAAATTTAAAATTATTGGCCATTTGCAAATGTGTTTCGAGGCAGCGGAATTGCGTATATTGCATTATAGCGTACGCGCAATGAAAATTCAGTCAACGAAAAATTTAAATCTACAATGATTTCGCGAATTTGAAGACCCCGCATCCCTTCAGTCGTTTGAGGTCGACAATAAATCGGCATAAGGTGATCGTTTTTTTTTTCTAATCTTACTGTAAGAGTGTGACGAAATAGTGGACGCAGACCCGCAGACATCTTACAGTAAGATTTTTTATTTTAATTTTCGCACTATATTGATTTGAGTTACTAGAAAAACGACAATACTTTGCAGTAATATTAAATAATGTTTCAGGTAAATTTTATAAAAAAAAAAACGCTTACCACTAACCGATCCACGTTCTGTATTGTTTCATTTTGAAAGGCATCACTCATCCTGTGGTATGTTTGTACCGCTCTGTCAGCAATTTGCAATCCGGCTGCTTCACCCTGAATACTACATATAGTATTGCTTTTCAAAAATACTTACATCGTTCTGCAGGGTGTTTATCTGTCCAGCAAACATTTCAATCTGAAATCGATATAATAATATGCTGGTTTTCGCAAGATAAATAAAAACATACCTGATTCACAACATAGTCGATTGAACCGTTTGCATTCGGAAGGGGTGTTGATGTTATTAAAGGCGCATTGTATAAAACATAAGGGTTTTGTTGTTGTTGTTGCCACATGTTTCAGGTATAAAGTGATAGTGACGAATCGATTGAAGGTGGAGGTGGTGGCCGTAGGCACAGCATGACGCAGCTTTTTGTCAAACACAAACACAAACGAATTGTTTGCATAAGCAGTATGCAGGCTCAATTTGATGCCCCAAGAAATGAATACAATATTTAGGAGAGAGCATTTTTGAGCAAAAATTATAAGATCTAATTCTTGACTTGAAAAACCCGATCATAATCTGATGCTTTCGTGTATTTTTTCGCTTGTCTATTTCCAGAAACAGATATTTAAGTTTTAAGGAATTTGTTTGATTTGGTTTTGAATGTTTTTTCTTTATTTTAGAAGGTCTTCTTTAAGAAACCCCCATACATTTTAGTATTCTCGATATATAGATATCGTTCTGAAAAAAAATCATCGAGGCCGCGGCCTAATTGCATTCAAAACTTCGGCCACTATCTATTTTTAAGTCGCGATTACTTATAAAATATATATTTCAGAAAATTTCGGAGCCTTTCCCATTTCAGAGCTCAATGTTTCCCTGCTCAAGATTTCGAGCATTGTGCCATATATCTGTAACAGTTCCAAGTGTGTCGAGTGCCCGTTTTTCAAAAGAAACATCTAAAAAATTGACGGAACAAAGAAAAAATGAGCTAGAGGTGAGCCTCTAAATAAACAATTTTATTTCTGAATAATATTTTAGGCGGTTGATGGAAAATCTAAAGTGCTTCAAAAGAAAAAACGTTCAATTTTTGGGACGAGCACCGTGCCAGTCAATACGAATTTTCCGAATCCGAAAGGAGTTCCAGGCTACGATCCAGAATTTTCCGTTAAAGAATTAATAGCTGAGATTCCAAATACAGCGAGGAAGCAGTCAAAGCTTCTTGCATCAGAAGCTTCCGATGTAATTAATGAAATGTCGGTAGAAAAAACCGAAATGCTTGAAGACATGGGATTTCTACGACATAACGAAGCTCGAATAGAATATAAATTTAATACCAAAGAGGTTTGTGGTTGAATTCTATGAAACATTGAATTGCTAATCTTAGAAACTTGATTTATGGCACACAGGATGTGACAGTGACTGGAACGAAGGTTTTTCGACGTGCTCGCTTCAGAAAACAGAATATGGGACAGCGTTGTTTAGCGGAACTATTTCGACTAGCATAGTTAAAGATGGAAGGGTAGAACGAGCTGGATGGGCTTCAATGAAGCTTGAGGACCGAAAATCGCTAAATCGCAAAAAATTCCTCTCAAAATGGCGTAATTTTTCGCATCTTTTTCTAAAAGTAAGACCTCTCAAACTGGCAACAACCAATTTGACATCGTTCAGATTCGCGGAGACGGAAGAAGCTATAAGATCATGCTTCATTCACCTTTATCGATGGATTTTACTTGGGGAGACTCTTTTTCATATCCATTGCACACACATGGCGGTCCGTATTGGCAGTATGAAAAAATTCCGTTTTCAAAGTTTTTTCATACGGTTGCCGGAAGGATCCAAGACAGGCAATATAGGGTGAATTTGGAGGATTGCAGCTCCCTTGGAATTGTTCTCATGGATCGAATTGACGGACCTTTCCGACTTGAAATCGATTACATCGGAGTGTACAACGACACTACACATTTCGAGGACTTTGCTTATGAGACATATACTCTTCCATTATTCAACACACACGGTTTTTAAATATTCGTTTAATAGTTTTAATAAATAGGAGTAGCTAAACATTCACATTTATTTCATCGTGAACTACGAACAAACGACTCCAAGTATTTACATACGATTCAAATCGAAAGTGATATTCACCTACAATGAAAAAAGAAAAAAGGTTGATGGATTGATTGGTTCGGAAACGTCGAGATTCTTATACTCCACCGAATCATGACTAAAACCTGTACGGAAAACAAGAGACAGTAATGCGTTCGACGCAATTGTGTACAACGTCGCAAAAACACTAGAAGAAATTTGAAGAAATGAAGATGGTTAACATAACAATTGCAAGATGAATTTACAGAATAACATCCTTCTTCTTGTTCTTTGAAATGATTGGGATGTAAGGTTCAACATCGACCTAAATAATTCATTTCATTTCTTAATTCCGAATGTGCTTACCCTATCTCCATCTATGACGTGGGGGCGTTGCTCTATAGCTTTGTTGGCGCTTTCTCTTGAGTCGAATGTCACAGAAGCAAATCCCCGATGAAGACCGGTTACGGAATCCTGAAATATTAGTTGTATGAGAGAAAAATACATTCATGGATAGCTCCTTACATAGAACATATTAACACTTTGAACTGTTCCATATCTCTTAAAGTATTGCTCTAATTGATCTGAAAATTATAAACTCTTATAATTTTTATGCACGCTTAATGATTACATACTTTTACCCGTTATCCATTTTACATGAGTTAAATAAACGGTTTGTCCAGGAGTTTGCGGTCGCGATTCGATCAATTTCTTGATATTCGTTGTAACACCTCGTGATATCGACCGCATTCTGGATGTAACACCACTTGAAAATGAAAATTTCGTCAGATGAAGAAGAAATTAAAAAAAAAAAAAACAAAAAGAAATAAAACAACGAAAAACCGAAACGATTACGGAAAGTTTGATGAAAATCATATGATTCCTTTAAAAAAAGTGACTCGTATTTTGTGTACAGCAGAGCGCACATGCTCGTTTACAAATTAAAATTCAAAAATAGGATCTTTAATTAGAAAACTGAGTTTAAAGCTCTATGTTTTTTTATTGAATCAACATATAAAACGATGAGCGCGTGATAACTTCAAAAAATCATTTAATCGATTACACGATATGAAGTAAATATAGTAATCGCATCAGAACAAAGATAAACGTAAAATATTTACACATTTTTAAACATTTCTCATGCTTTAAAATGGAAAAATGAGTGGAATAGCATGAGGTTCCGTTTTTATGAAAAATCTTGCTATGGTGCTTGCGGATGGGATAATATCGTACCAATCGATTTCACGCATCAAGTGTGATCGTTTTTGGGTATAATTGTTGGCTTCCCGATTATTCGACGCTTTTTGTTATTCCGTCGTTTTGCCATTCAGATAAATATTGTTACATAAGTTTCTTCAAGGTAATAACACTTAATAAAAATTATCATGAATATGCACATTTGCTGAAAAAAAACATTCACGAATAGTTTTAATTGTTTCTTAAATTACAAGAACCTTTTCAATTTCCAATGAAATATTTCCGCCCTCAATTTCAGTAAGATCGTTTGATTATTATCATATTAGTTCATAGTTCCCTGTCTACATCCAACGTTGCCATTTAATATTCAATGAGATAAGAACTTAAGCTAGCATATACTAATTTGACGCTTCCAGTCTTACAGAAGGCCAGTTTAATGAACATTTCTCGCATAAATCAGATGTTTCGAGCGCGTTTCCGCGAGAAAGTGATAAGCGTATTAAATGTAAACGGCGACAAGTTAGCAGTCGAATGCAAAAAAGCCGGATTCACTTGTACCAGTTTGTTTTTTATTCGCGCGCCCAACTAAATCAGTTATCTGGGTCATCGCAAGAATCCGCACTCGGCACACTTATAAAAGCCAGCGGGATATTCCAGTCGAGACGAGTCTGAATCGAGTCTGATGCACACCCTTCGGTTATTAATAGGGTGCTGTATAGTGGCTACGTGCCACGCAATTTTCTTTCCAATGAGTGGCGGTGGTGGTGGCGGGTGTTCCTGCGGTTGTGGAACACCACAGCCGCCGAGCTGTGGATGCCAGCCAGCGGTAAATTGCTAACCAGAATCTTCCGAATTGTCCATAATTGCTTACAGTGTCCACCGCCTGCATGCCCAGTCTGCCCACCGCCTCCACCTTGCCCACCTCCGCCAACTGCCTACTGTCCGCAAGTGCAGCCAGTTTATGTGCCCTCATGCTGTAAGTCTCTATAATTTATAATATAACAAATACCATTTTTTTAGCTGGTGGAGCTTGTGGAGGATGCGGAAGCGGCGGAGGATGCGGCGGAGGCGGTGGTTGTGGTGGAGGTGGTTGTGGTGGTGGTGGTGGTGGTGGCGGCGGAGGATATTCTGTAGGAGGCGGTGGCGGCGGATATTCCATCGGTGGAGGTGGCGGTGGTTACGCTCCACCTCAAGCTCCGCCACCAGCCGCAGGTTACGCTGGAAGTGCTCCTCCACCGCCACCACCACCTCAGGCAGCATATTCCGCTGGAGTTGGCGGCGCTTCCAATTCGTATCGCGGAGCTGCCGCTCAAGGTGCCGTTGCTGCCGAAGTCAACGAGGATGGTTCAGCTCCTCCGGTTGATCAGGTGTTCAAAGAGCCGTGCCAAGCACCAGTGAAATATATCATGTTGCGACCGAGAAAAAATCCTGAAACCGGACAAACTGAATTTGTTGAAGAGGAATTGGACCAAGTCGAAAACCCTACTCATGTTGAAGCCACTGCTTCTCCTCTTGACACTGCTCTAGGAGACGAAATTGCAGCGCAAGAGGCGGCCAATACAGAAGAGGGAAACGAGTTTAAAGCACGTGGAACAAAAACGGCATTGACGGATGAAAAATGCAATAGTAAAGAACTTCAGAAGCTCGTATTAACGGTGAGAAAAAAATCTTAAACTATTCAACAGCAAACTTAATTTTCAGAACATTGTCAATAATGACGCTTTAGCGTCCAAGAAAGCAATCCATGAAGAAGCTCTAGCGCAATTCACAGATAGCACAGTTGATGTGATTTGCTCAACAACAGGATTCACTTATCTCGTCTCCACTACCGAGCATTGCGAAGCTCAAAAAGATGGTGTCATTTGTTTCGTGTACAAGCGCCCGCTATAATTATTATTCAAAATCTAATAATTAAAAAGAGAACTAATAAATTTAACTAATTTCATTATTAATTTCACAATAATGGCTCATTTTCCCCGTCAGCACATCTGTTGTGATGAGTAGTTGGGCATCTTGATTCGAAACCACTTATCCCAGTCGTCTGTGTTTGGCTCTCCTCGACGATATCTAAACTGAAAATCTAAGATTTATGCGAAGAATAAGGTGTAATGAGCAATCACCTGCGATTCACGACGACCGGTTCACGTCGTGCCATTTCAGCGGGAGTCTCGTTTTGCAGAAGAGCTTGCCTGAGATTCCATAGTTGCCCACGCACAACTCGAAGTTGGCTGTTCACCAAGAGATAGTTAGAATTGTGAATTCCGTGTCGAAATAAACTTTTAAGTTCCGCACACAATTTGTGCACAAACAATGGAGTCAAAAAGGAAAGCACGTGCTCCCTTAATGATGGGTCAAATTCTAATTGAGCCCATGGCAAATTGGACCATCTAAAGGGAAACGTCCGAAACCTCGAGGCACATTCCGGATGCCTTACAGGAAACGCTAAGCCATTGTCAATTGCCGCCAACTGAATTTCTTTTCCAGGAACGTGCCTAATGGTTCGAATTTAACAATGAAATTGGGAGAAGTATCGTACTTTACTAGTAAATTATCCATATGTCTATCGGTGTTGCGGATCACATAGTCCACTATACACATTTTTTGAAATAGCACTCGAAACCTAAACCTGAGCATTGTTCATGTTTCTAAAGTTGTAGTGAAACTTAGCCTCCTCTTCTTCCGATAATAATTTTTTATCGTAATTCCATCTCGCGAAAACTGTATTTCCACTTTCGTAGCCCTTGACATAGAGTTGAAAACTTCCCTCTTTTGGGCGAACGTCAGGGTTACCGAAAAATCGCGAGTAGTAAAACGACGGAGATGCAAGTTTGACAATGCGTGTAGTTGGAACAACGTCAAGCTGATTATCAACTAGTTTCGAAAAGTTAGAAATTATTTACTTGCATCATTTCGCTGACTATACTCGCCGCTGCTTCCGACAAATATCCAGTGTTTGGAATAAGACAGGCACGTCCAAAACAGCAAAAACAAAGCATTCTAAAATTACATCCACAAAATTTTATGGATCCGGATCTGGAAAAGAAGTACCGTTGGAAGAATTTAGGCCATTTTGGATTTAATGATGCGAATGGCTCTTCATCTTTTGGCTTGAAAACGCCTAGAATTTCTCCGTCAACGTCATAGACAAAGTAAGATCCTAATGGATAAAAGCATAATAAATAATTAGAACATGACACTTCTACCTGAGCTCCCTTCTGGAATTAAACTTGGGTGAACTCCTTTATTAATAGCTTCTTGGGCACGACGAAATATTTGCTGAAACTCGTCATCAATAATTTTCCTGAAAATTTGAGAAACCTGACTACAACAAATTAATTTCTAGGACGGAAAGTACCTATTCTCAATCATAGTGTTAGCATCGGGACTGTTATGAGTAGGCGGGCTGATATTAATGGTTGCAGTACATGAGGTCATGTTAATACCTGAAGTTTAAACATTTATCTAAATACACATGCAATAAAAAAAACTTCAGAAGATAAAAATCACACGAAATCGGATGATTATTTCACAATGAAATAATTTTAAAAATAAAATCCGAGTTGACGAAAAAATGAAATAAATACAGGGGTATCAAGTGGTTCACGTTTACGTGTATTGAGTTATTTTTGCTAGTTATCCCATTTGTAGAACATCAAACGCGAAGAGATTTGTAAAATTCCAGAAAAACTGGCCGGACATTTTCAATTTTACGAGGTACGTAATAAGCAATTGTAGTGTTTGCGAATAACGCAAATTGTACACTACAGTAATACCAACATATAAATAAAATTCATGCTGTTTATTGTTGAATCAAATTAAAATTGGAGATTATTTCACCTAATATCGTACAAAATTAATATTTCAATTAAACCAAGTGTACGTGATTTTCCCACACTTCAACTGCAGGCACCGAATTAGAAGTTTTCAGTTGAATGGTAGAGAAAATCGCTCCAATGGAATAAAAAACTGGGCGAACAACATATAGAAGCAGCATTGGCCAGATGAATGCCACTTGTGACAACGAAATACGAATGAGCTGGAGAAGTGGCTATAAAAATTTTGTGAAAATCGTTGTTAATCCCGACGCAAACCCGAATGATCCAAATATTAAGAAACGTGAATAGCGCTACAAGAATTCCAGCAATGGCAGCTAAAATTATCCCAAAAACGGTGCTCAGAATAATGTAGAGATATATACGAGTATAATCAAACACCTTAATTTTGAAAATGAAGAAATATGTGTATTATTAATCCATAGTACTTGTCGACTGAAGTCCCAGACGATTGCGATCGATTTGTAATCTTTTTCGGGTTCCGAGAAAATGTCTTTGAACGATGTCTCAAAGTCAACGATTATATTTTGTTTATGTAATTAAAAATTACATGACTGAGGTAATGTTCATGTATATCATTACCGCTACCACCACCACCGGTACCACCATACGAAGAACTGACATTTTCCATGACGTCTTTTGGCCTGAGGAATTCCCAATTTTTATTGAAGCAAACAACATTGTGCAATTTTTGCTAGACAAAAAAAGTTGTACCGAAACATGGGAAAATTTTGATAAGAAAAAGCATGTGTTTGACTTTCCATAAAATAAATCCAAAAGAATTTTCAATTTCTTCAAAAAAATTATTGATCATTTTATTATTGAACGAAACAAAATCTCACCTTGACTGCCGATGAATAAACGACTGAGAATACCTCAACTCTGGAGCATACCTTGAATCTACGTGGCGCTGAGGCTCTTTACTAATTACTGGAGCAGAAATCTTCTTCTCAACCTCAAATTTTTTGCTTTGAATTTGTTTCTCAATTTCACTATAACGCGGTTTATCCACGCTATCACTGCTCGAATGATGAGGGACGATTCCTCGCAGATATCTTATCGCTTCTTCATCTTCTTTACTTCTCGGAGTTTGCACTAAATCCTTTTCAGAGGCAAGATTGTGTATTGCATGAATACTGGTTTGCGGAAAAAATTGCGACGGAGTTTCGTCCACTGTTTCCTTTATTGCCTTGAAACTTTTCTTTTCAGTTTCGACGAATCGATGATCCTCGGACGAATTGCTTCCAATTGACCCCTCGTTGATGAACTCTTTTTCAACATCAGAGTTCATAACGTTTTGCTCGAGCCCTTCAATTGCTTTAGTGATCGATTCCGACATTTGTTCTTTTTCATCGTAGTTGGACCAAGCTTCAGAAACAACGTCTTTCACACTTTTTTCAGATGGGGGTACCTCCTTTAAAGTTGCATAACTTCATTATTGAAAAAAAAGCATTAGTATGAATATTACAAATAACTAATGAACGCAATTTTCGCCCAATTAATTTGTTATCACAATGGCAAATACAATTTGAAAGAGGAAGGTGAAATTTTTGGCAATTTTTAAAATTTTCGGCGTAATCAAACTAATACATATAATTAAAACTATAGTTTTGAGATTTTTACATTTTGATTACAAGAAACTCTTCAAACTTACATAAATATTAGAGAAGTTGCTCGATTGCTCTATAACGGTAGCATTACTCATCTCACTTTCTTCATCGCTGCTAGAATGCAATTTATCCATTCTATAGTTTGAAGTTTCAAATGTCGGTGAATAATAAAGGTTTCAAAGGAATGCATCTGATATAATGTTATCAGTTCAACAACTTCGTGGTGGTTGTTTTAACAATCGGAAGAATGATATTGCGATAAAGTGTGAAACGAAATTTGAGGTTATAAGCTTTGGTCTTCACAAAACTGCAAAGAATGTATTTTAGATGTGAATGAAGTTATGAAGTGAAATTGACAATTCAATACTTTGAAAACTTTTTTGAATGCTAATAAGTACCTATGCCTAAAATCCACGGATTTAAATGCTAAAAAATCGCAAATTCCAACATCATTTTAAACTTCAGTATACATAGTTTTGTAATAGCACCGTCGCATAAACTATTGAACGTGAAACTCTATCCATTCTGTTATAAAAGTAAAAGTATCGTATACTACATAAATGAGCGTCTGGAAGCGTTTGATCGTTTGAGTTGCAGTATAGAATGATTATCGCATTTCTGAATCTCGTGCTGCAAATAAGAAGTATAGATGAACTCAGCAAAAAATTCAACGAATTTGAATTCTTCTTTTAACATATGCTTCCATTTCAGAGTTCATTGATTTAGGATAATTTAGTTAGAAGAATCTAGGAGGAATCAATTCACAATCAAAGCTGAATTCTGGTAACGAATTCCACAAATTGAATTATTCTCATTGTTGAAATGTTATATGTCTAATTAATTTGCGGTTCTGAATCACCATCCATTGTAGCCAGGAGTTCAAAATCCCCACTCTAACTGTTTGAGGCAAGTGTGCTCTACCGAAATATAGCGTCGTTCGGGAACCGCAAAATAGCTTCGATCGGATAAAAACGCGTCACCGTCTGAGTTCAGAGAGTGTGCAAACATGAGAGATTCTACGGACACTTGGCGTCAATTTGCAGTTCGTTCCGACAAATGTGCTCTATTGCAAGTTTTGCACCGACACCAGTGGCACTATAAAAGGCCGTCGAATGCGCCATTTCGTCAATTCTCGTAGCTCCTCGAGTTGTGGGAAGCCCGCCTATCTTGTGGGCTCGTCGTGCCCCGCAAATCCTGCGAGCTCCACGTGCCCCCGCATAACCTGCGGGCTCCGCGTGCCTCGCATATCCTGGCGGGCTTGTCATGGCCAAGGATCCACACGGTATGTCATCGCAATCCTTCTTCTCAATTCCTTGTATTGCAGATCCGATGAGAGCCGCAGTCGTTGCTCATTCGAGCTCTTCCGATGTGCTATGTCGAAAGTGTCGGGGATTCTCGACTGGTGCGACTCCGTTAGCCAGTACTAACCCTACTGCAGTGTCGCGTCCAGGCCGACGTTAAACCCACATTCATGAGTAGACTTAACACGTGAAGATGAGCAAGAAAGGGGAATGACGAAAGAGGAAGCGGATTCAAAAGGTAAAGGAGTCACAGTCTATCAGAATAACTCGGACCATTACAGGTGCCTTGAATCGAATGGATCTAGTCGAAGGCGACGGCTCGAAGAAGCGACGAGGAAGGAACAAAAGCGCCGGGTTTTTGGTAATTTTTGGTCAGGTCCAAGTTTTTTTTTTTAATTGTTTTTATTATTATTACTATTTTTCTCGCACCAGTCGTACCACTTAAGACTGTCCCCTTCAATATCCCACCACTTGGGATTCCCTCTCTCCTCTCTATACAGTCGTACCACTTACGACTGTACTTCCTCCTGGTCCTACCGTTTGGGACCATCACTTCTTCTTTTTCGGGGAATGCCGGCTTCCCCTTCTCCTTTCTGCCACCCGTCGTACCACTTGCGACTGTCCCCTTCTCTCTATCAGTCGACTGATCTCCCTGCCGTACCACTCGCGGCTTCCTCCTCTATATCCCACCACTTGGGATTCTCTCTTTTTTTTGGGACCACCCATTTCTTCGTTTTTTCCGGTGTGTGTGTCCTCCATACTAGCCAGGATGTCATCTGGCCCAGACCTATATTGACGTGGATTGGCCAGCTATGTCAATATGTTGAGAACACAAAAACCACATTACCATATCACCAGTAGACCCGGGGCCCAGCCAGACGTGGCTTGCCCAACCACTTCTACTTCTATTATCCTCGGATGATAGTTGTGGGATGTCCTTGGGTGATCCCCATGGTGGGATCGGCGATGACACATCACGTTTCGGTACTTCCTCAAACAGGCGGCTTCTTTGCGACAGCTCAGTCGCGAGAAATATTCAGAGTCAACCCAATGCTATTAATTTCAACGGCCCTCTTTTAAAACCAATACATTGCAAATCAACAATCTTCGCGAGTATCAACTTCAGAGTGTGAGCTTGATCACATCCATCTATAGTTCCCACTGGGAACTAAGGAATTCTTTAAGGAGGGGGACATGTTTTTAATGTAGTCTATGCTATTGGAGTCGTTGTGTAAAATGAGAGAGCGCAGGCGGAGAAAGATAAACCAATTTTGTTTCTCTTTTTTTAACTGCGATAATTTTTTTCAGCAATTTTAAAATTCCTAGCAATATTTTGCTAATTAATTGCTTTAAAACGATTCCAATATAAATTCGCACATTTTTAACTTATTTTTTTAAATTTATTTTTTTAAAGTAAAATAGGCAAAAATATTGAGCATCTTTTCCTAACTTTCGCCGAAAAATGTTTTTCAAGCCGTTTTTTTTTTGCTATTTTCTCACCAAATTTTGTTTTTCTTCTCCGTCTTCATTTCTTTTTCTCTTCAAATATATCGATTTTTAGTTCAATGCGATGAAACGATTACTTTGTCGTTTTTTGCGAATCCAATCTAGCAGAACATACTCAAACTTGCCTACCAGGTCCGCAGAAAACCCCTCACATTTTAACAGCAAAAGTTACTCTGCTCTTGTTGCTGCCGGTGTTGGGACCACAATTGGATTATATTCATTGGTGGACACCGCAAAGTCAAATTTTCTTCGGGGTTCGTTGGCCAGTGAAAAATTGTTTCTGAATGAAGCAAAATTTAGATGAAAATTCTCCAGAAGCACATAATGTGCAAACAGACCATAAATTATCAAAACGAGAGCTTAGATTTCTTCAATTCGCTTCAATTGAATATGACGATGTTATTTACATGAGCCCGATGGATTTCATCGATTCTCTGACTTTAGATGGCCCAAGAGGTATATAGATTTTTAGTCCCTTTCATACCATTATAGTTTCAGAAAGAGTTTATCGAAGAGTTCTTAAGGAAAAAGATATAAATCGTATTTTATCGAAAACTCCTCCATTTCGACACGGCAGTAATCATTTCTTCCGTGATTTAGATCAAAATGGTTTGATTTCGTACTCGGAATACATTTTTCTTCTTACGCTTTTAACGAGTAATTTAATAAAATCGGCATTAATTAAAAAATGAGTTGAATTCAGAATCAAAATCTGCTTTCCGTATCGCATTTTTGATGTTTGACGAAGATGATAATGGTAATATTGATTGTGACGAATTCATGCTGGTAAGTCGTTTTAACGAAATAAATATTTGGGAAAAGAAAAATCGAGAAGCGCGATTATTATGTTTACGTGAGTTTTTTCCTATAGCCGTGCAGTTTGATTTGTGGCTTTTTTTTTAAATTAATTCATTTGCAAGTGAAGTATTTTTCTTTCAATTAACTGATACAGGCAAACTTTTGCTAGATTATTCGTTTTTACAATTTTTTTCACCATTTTTTAAATTAATACATATCGGTCAAGCAAAATTAAAAAAAAAAACAAAATTGTTTTGTGTATGATTTGAATTTTCCCTTCATTCTATTCTGTCCTGTTATAACCCTGGTGATTTTTCTTAAAATTGAATTTCAGCAAAATTTTTTAAGCACGCAATACGATTTTTCGATGCAGCCTTATTGCACAAGTATTTATTTTTTAAGTTGATGGAACTTATATCTGAGAAAATGCTTACTTTAGCGCTATGTTGCTGTTTTTATGCAATCTAGATTATTTTAGTGCGGTTTTAGATTCGAAATTTAACGTCTTCATTGCGTTCAACAAATCGCATAAAGAATTACGCAGAAACGACGACAAACGACGTAAGGAATTCGTGAGCACACCGATATCGAATGTTCTTCAGTCGTGCCAACTTGATGCCAGCGACTATCATTTCGCAGTCACACGCATCGGAAATGGCTCACTGTTCACCGGCACTGATTCCTATTCGGTCATGTTCACTGTAAGACAAACTTCATTTGATTTGGAGCATGGAAATTAGTGGAGTGCATGCAATTAAACGTTGTTGTTAATGTTGACGATGTTGTGTTGGCCCCAGAATCCCCTTCGCGCTTCTCAATTACCCAATTTTAGTTGATAGTTGCTCTTTATTTTTTTTTAGTTTCGGTTGAACTCATTTTTCAGGTGTCACGAATGTTCGCATCTCGTGCCGCACAACTTGCCGGCACTCGACTAGTCCATGTTTGATATTTTATTTTCTTCTACCTTTCAAATTGACTTTTAGCTTCTCTCTCAGCTTTTCATAGTGTATCGAAATAATCGTTCGTTTTTTAGAAAAGCGAAGAAGAAGTGAAGAAACAAAAAACGACACTTTTAATGCATTTGTTTGGTCTGAGAGGAAATGCAACATTGTCGTTTGAGGAATTTCAATTGTTAGTGTGAAGCGAGAGAAAGAAATTTAGATAAGAAAATTGCAGCTTTTATGAGAATCTTCAAGATGAATTGATGGAAATTGAGTTTTACGAATTCGCGCGTGGAAAAAACGCAATTTCTCCTGTCGATTTTGCTCGATTGATTTTAAGGTGAATTTACTCAAATTGTACACGTGTTAATTCAAACTTCAGATATTCTATCATCAATACTGATGATTATCATAAATATCTTAAACGAGTCCAGGAGAGATCTACAGAAGACGAATGTGGAATCACGTTACACCAATGGGCGACTTTCAGCAGATTTTTGAACAATTTGGCCGAATTCCAGAGTGCTGTTCGATTGTACATTAATAGCAACGTACCGGTTTCGGAACCCGAGTTTGCTAGAGCTGTCAGCTGCACTATTGGAAAGGAGCTCGACCCAGCGGTGGTTGCAATGATCTTCCGCATTTTTGATGAGAACAGTGACGGAACACTGTCTTACCCGGAATTCCTCGCGGTGATGTCTGATAGATTACATCGAGGACTACGCGGAAAGTTAGAGAAGCCTTGGGGATGGAGACCTTTTAAAAATTGTATCATTAATGAGCTGTCACATTTTTAAAGAATTCGCTTGCCATAATAAAATGCCATATTGTTCTCATTCATTGCTTGAAAATAAATGAACACAACAAATTCGTAAACAAGGGCAATTCAATACAATAATTATTTTGCGTTTGCTTCGAAATTTAGAACTTGCTTCACATGATCATTGTCAAAACCGGCAAAATCGATAGTGAGCGCAGGATAGATTTGAGGGATCTCATTCGCGTTTAGTTGAAGCAATTTACTGAACCAGAAATTATACAAAATTCTTATTTCGTGAATAATTTACCCAATTGGGGGCATTGTGGACCGCTCCTCGATGTACATCTGCATTATTTGTCGACGAATATGAAGATTGGTACCAGCAATTACAATGCTAAAATTATGCTTTCCCTGAAATTTCATTAAAAAAAATCAAAAACAAAAAACAAAAATTACGTTCGAAATTCCTTTCGATGAAAATTGATGTAATTGAACATTAGGTGTATATGAAGTCAGAATTCTTGCTACTTGTTGTATCGAATACTTAGTTTCGTCATTTGGAGTATAAGCAACCACGGCTAAAGCTTCTAGTGCAAGTTCGCTTAAAAAAGAAAATTAAAACTAAATAAATCCGTCAATCTTACGTGGCCACAGTTCCTATTTGTTTAACAATCTCTTTTGTATCGTCATTGATAACGATTTCAGGATCAATTACATTCCAATCCCAAATAAGTGTTCTTAATCGGGGAAATGTTGCGCATATGTGACTCAAAAATATTCGGCCAGCATCTGCAGGTTCGTAGAAGAGTTCCTCAACGATTAGTGTTCGAACTGTGACCAGTTCAATTCCTTTCTGAATGGTTATTTTTACAACGAACAAATTGGTTAATCATACCGTAAATTCTGTTATATCAACCCCCGGATTTCCAGATAACTTTAAAAGACTAACGTCTAAATAGTCATAAGTTTCCTGAACGACATTTTGGGAAAGGTCAATTCCTCGTAAATTCAGCTTTCGAAGTTGTTTCATAATCATCGCCCATTCCGCTCTGTTGAAATTGGTTTCACTGCATGTGAATCCAGCAAGAAGGGTAAATCTTTGAGTTTATCACTAATTAAAAAAAATTCACTATTTTAATACCTTTCTAACAATTTCATTAAGTTTTTAGCGTTGACATCAGTTTGACGAAGAGAAAGAATTTTTACGCGTTCAAAGAATAAAGCAATCTAGATTATTTAAAATGTAATAGGCAGAAAAATATTTTGAAAAAAACCTGCTCATCCGAATAATTATCTTCTAGATAATAAATGATTTGTGGCCAAGGATTTCTACCAAATACTAATTCAATAACTGTTGGTCTCAACTTGAAAAGTGATTCCCAAGGAAGCTCTTGAATATTTTTTGGCCCATCATCCATATCTGAAAAAAAAATTAAAAACCTGTTTCCAGACCTGAACGAAACTCAAAACGTTCTTGCCGAATTGGCTGGCATTCTTGATCCTAAATATAACTCCAGGAAAGTTTTCCACATAGCTGCTCCGCTCCGACATCCACACGGTAACCTTTTGTTCAGATTTGTCCGCTTCCATGCCTAAACCATTATTTTTAATAATAAAAAATACAGATTTGGAACACTGTGTTTTTTAACGAAAGTATATATTTATACATAATAAATTGCAATTTGAAAATTTTAAGATTAAAAATTTTTATAAAAATTTAAATGTTTCATAAATGTTGGCCGAATGAAACCTCGGCCAGAAAAAAATTTTTTTTCGGCCACTTAAATAATTTTGTTTATTAATAAACAAATTATTTAAGAAATATATTTTTAAACTGTTCCTCAGCACCTAAACTGAATGTTTAAGAGAAATGGATGTAAAAGAAACCGATGAAGAAATTGATCCCGTTCTCCACGCTTCGCGATCGGCTTTTGACTATATTTTCCGTCTTGTATATCCTATATATTATTTCGTAACAATACCTTTTCGATTGCTGAATTGGTTTGTCACAAACTTTCCAATATTCTCATCAATTTCACTGTTTACGTTTGCCAGTTTAATTCTAATTGCATTTTTCATTTTTCGGAGACTTTCTTCGCGTCCCCGAGAAAATTTTATTTGTTATGTTCTCTATACTGTCATTCCTTACGGAGTATCCATTGTGTACACAGCGATTAACTTCTTTTTCCCTCAGGTATGTTAGATCTAAAACATCATTATGATTTCAAAATTCACAGGTGAGATGGATTACAAAAATCGGAGGTATCCTTCTTCATCCAATTAATTTCATTCTGAATCTTGTCGCGAAAATCGATCACAGGTTTTTAATTTTTGGTTGTTATTGTTAAAGCAAATTAAGACTGCTTTAGAGCCGAGCCAATACGCCGTACAGTTGAAGCGTTACATCGATCAAGGAACGGGACTGCATCAAAAATGTAAGTAATATTTCTTTTTGAGATTTTGTAAAATGCTCCCTTCACAAACATTGGTCATATGTTTGGAATTTTAAATGCTCGTTTTAGCGAACTTACAAAAAATCAAAAAATTTGAATAAATGCCCAAGAGTAAACGTCTTGATGCTTCGAAAAATCAAATCTTTGCAGAAGATCTTTGTTATTTTTCAGGTCGCTAGCCGAGGAAAAACTAAACAATGAGCGTTTCCAATGTCGAATTTGTCAACTCGAGGAGAAACGAGTCTTACTACGGCCATGCAATCACTTATGCTATTGTGAGCGGTGCAGTAAAGCCATTCAAAGACAACAAGTCAGTCGGTGCCCGATTTGTGATTCGTTCGTAAACTCTTATGAAACGATATTTATATCTTAATATGTGTCGCTTATAGTGCACTTTTAATTAAAAACTGATGAATTGTTCTCACTTGGATGATGTTCTAGAATAAGTGTTTTTATTGTTAAATGCGAAAAGGCATGTGTAGCCTCTAGAGAGCAATCAAACACTCGATTATCAGGGTCCGTTCGAAAAAAAACACGAATCGCATATTTCTTGTTCGGCTGGCTAACTGCTAAACTTGACCCACAAATTTTTGTTCAACTGCAGTTCTCATTATTTTTGGTTTCGATTGATCTTCTTGTTTTCATTTATATCTTGTTGTACCTTAAATGTAAATAAACTTGTTTCTGGCCCAAAGTTTCAAGAATTTTTTTGATGATGATCAACTTTTCTTTTCTGCGAGCTATTTGAAATCTAAAATGTGTGTGAAGACTGACTGAATAAACCTTCAAACAATTGGAATCTTATTGAAATTCTACGCACAAGAGCAGACTTGCAGTTTTTTTCTTCGTCTTCCTATTATTGTTTACCATCGACATACGTTTTCCCTGTTTTCTTTTATACATTTCTCTTTTTCATTATTCATTTTTGTGTTTTCAAACTTTTGATGAAACGAAGAGCCGCCCGAAACAGGAAAACAATCGAAAACAATACTTAGCATATTTGTGAAATTTGCATCACTTCAAGAATAAGTACTCGAGAATTCTGAAATTTGTTTTGGTTTCAGACAGCACTATTAAGATTCTTGTTACTTCACTTTTTTTCTACTACATTTTTTTTTCATTGCATGTTTCATTTCGCTTTTGAATGAAATGAATGAGAAGGATAAAATGAAACATGCGAAAAATTAATGAGGAAAGAAAAGAAAAAAAAAATGAGCTGAGACCAATTGAAATGGATTACCGCCGAAGTACATTTTTTACTCTTGTGCTTCCTCTCATCGAATTGAATAGTGTTTTATGGTAAATGTATTTTAAAGGTTTCCATTATTCGTTTGATTTAAACATTAAGACTAAACTCTGCCATTCCTCAACATTTCTGTGGAAATCCTGAGTATATCCTTTTAAAAACAAGAGAATATTATTCATAAAACGAGAAGAAATCATGATGACGCACGTTTCCTTTTTAAAGTCACCAAAATAATGACACTTTTGATGAAAAATGAGTGAGTTTTTGCCAAATAATTCGTGTTCGGACATAATTTGGCGCGTTGTGATTTATTTAAACCAATGAAAACCAGTGAGCATCTGGATTTTAAGTTTTTTTTTCAAGCTGTCGAACATCTGCTATATAATTCATAAGTTTCACAACGGTGCCAATATTAATCGCAAGATTAATATTGCTGATAGGTTTTTAATTTTTGTTTTTGTAAATTAAAAACGATAGCTAATAGTTAAGAAAACCACCAAAGTCAAATTAAAGACCTCGAGCCTAAAGGCTGTATCTCTCAGTTACAACCTCTTTAAATTATTGGTCCCCTCCCCATTCAAATCAACCATGTTTTCTTTTTTCAAACAATTTAGATTCTATAAATACAACATTCCTTCCTTTTAAAATAATGAATTACTGATTTCAAAGAGTTCAATGTCTCTCAACTTCCTCATTCAACGGGTATAATTGGCTGTGCAGTTTCGGTTTTTTTCTGCGGACCAAGTCCATAATCCTCGAAATGAGTCGATTCATCGTCATGTCCAATCTTCCTCTGCAAATGACATATGTTGTGAATTGCCTGCAGACAACATCATTCATAAACTCTTCGTCGCGCTCATTTTCAGTCGCAAAAAATTCTATAAAAGATTATCTGGATTAAATTTCGCTGACAGATTTACTCGAAATGTCAGAAATGTTGGGAAAAGCTTCTCCTTATTTTGTTTGAGAATTTGATCATTTCGATAATTTTGTTTAAAAGTTTGCATCGAAAGTATGTCTTCAAAACGCCTATTTTGAAAAAAATTAAATTTAATGCTAGAAATTTTATTTTTCCCCATTTTCCCTTTTTAGGTAATTAAAATCTGTTTATCCACATAGTGGATTCCTATTATTCATTTTTGAAAACCCTTGTTTTCTGCTCATTTTGATCAATGTGGGCGTTATTAAAAAAACCCCGATACATATGCTATATTGTGTGCCAAAAAGTTAAGAAATTTTTGAATCAATTCTTCACATTTCCCAGTCCCATAATTTCCTATTGTTCCATTTATTTCTTTCGAAGTTCATCTCATTGTTGTGCCCACAAAATACTCACGATATTTAAACTCTATTTTTTGTACTATGCTAGGTAGGAAATGATAGGAAGTACGCAATTATATTTAATTTTTTCCCCTTCGTTTCTTATCATTATATCCTTTTTCAGGCAATTCGGAACCCAACTATCGTTGCGATCAAAGGTAAGGCTTTTTGCAAAATAAATACGTAGAGATTTTGATTAGATCAATTTTTAATAAATATAATGTTCGTACTATAGAACAAGATTATTGTTTCTCAGTTTTCACATGTTCCGTCTATTAATTTTGGCATGATTAACATATCTGCTAAATTGTTGTGTGAAACGATTTTCTTCGAAAACTTCTAGATGTCACCCACTATATTTTTACTCGGAGAATTGCTCTTTGAAACATTAGAATATTTCAATTAGGGAGTGAGAAATATTGAAAGATTACAATTCGCATGACTTCATTCAAAGATAAAATGAATGCGATAAGAATCATCTCAAGGCTTCAGACGTAACTTATGAAAGATCCCATAAAAATGCATAATAGGATTCTCTAAATAATCAATGGAAAATCTGAAAATTGCCAAATTATAGACTCTCTTCATTTTGTTGTTTTTTGTTTTCATTTCGCCAAAAAAAGCCAAGATTAAAAAATTCAATTTCGTTTGGTGTCAGTTTCAATTATCGGAAAAAATAAGACAAGGAGCAAAAAATGTTTTGATCCAATCTTCGGCTAATTATTCTTTTTTCGTCGTCTTTTCGGAATAATCCTAATCTTTTTATTTTGTTTCTTTCGTGTTTTAACGGAAATGAAATGAGTAACACGCATTTTTTGAATGCTATAATAAGAACTTCTGATTAGTATTTTGTCAATGATTTTTGAAAAAAAAAACATTGAAAGCTCAAAAACAGAGAGAGATGGAGTGGAACGACAAAGAAACGTTACGTATATGGACATGACAAATGCTCATATGATCGCCGGCTCCGAGTTTTCGGGGCTCCATCAGCGTTTTTGATACGAATCGGCCTCGCGGGATTTCCACACTTCTGACGACCGAATGCTTGTGTGCTTGTGAGTGTATTTGACACCCATTCACCTCGATTATTATTATTATCATTTTCTCATCACTGTCTCAGAAATATGAAATTTCTTTAGAAATTAGTGGAAAAATCAGTAATATGAAAAACACCGGAGTTCTCGAAAATTATTGATCATAAAATTTCTGATTTCGGAGTGAAAATCTCAAAAACCCATTAAAAAAAAGCTGAAACCCAATGTAGACCACCACTCAATATGTATTAATTTATCATTTTATAAATTTATATAGTTCATTCGAATTTGTACCGCTTTGTTCATTTTTTTTCCTATTAGCAATTGTTTGGCGCTTGTGCGGAAGTATTTTTGGTCGTTTCTAAGCTTTAGAAAAAAACACACACATCCACCCAATCAACACAACTATTTATTTGGACCCATTTATTTTACTCTCCAAAAAAATGAGGGACCCCCGAAGAAGGTTGTGAATTTTGAGAGTTCGGAAATAGGTCACCAAACAATGTTTTCGAGCCACGTTTGGGCCAAAATTGGTTTGATTTATTCAAATTTTATAGAAATTTTTTGAATTAAACCAAATGATCGATTCCAGCCCATCAATAATGTGGAACTTTAATATTCATATTTTTGACGTCAGTTTTTTAAGAGCTTCTCCTGCTTATTATTAAGCTTATTAGAAATCGTTCGCCTTGCGAAGATTTTCGTTGGCTTTTAGTCGATTAGCAATCAAATTTTTCTAAACGTTTCACATTTGCACATTTTGCGCATCTTACTAAAAGAAAAGCGCATAAAGCTGCTCTATTCTGTAATTGGTCATTGCGTCAGTAAAAAGGATGAACACATACAATTATGCCTTTCTTCGAAAAATAATTCATTTTATTATCTACACTCTTTATGTTCTTTCCGAAACACTTTTTTTGCCGCCTAAATTTTATTTGTCGAGTTTCGGCGAATTTTGAATGATTCATTTTAAAAAATTGACTTAAATGTACTAGTTGAATATTAAATTGGTAATTTTGTTTGAAACCATTTTATTAAATCCAATTTCACCCAAGTTATTGATTTTTTTTGAAACGTGTGGGTGGTAACATACTAATTAGGGGATTAAATTCTGGCCTTTTTGTTAATGTGTGTTTAGTTCTCATCTTACTGCGTCCCACATTCTTCGAATCCATTGGTTGGTTGCTCACAAACATGGGTGTGCACAAAAAGCTAATATCTTTGCTCATTGACTACTGTAACATTTTTCCTTTGCTTGCTTTGAGTGTCTCAAAAAGGAAGTTCTCAAACTCAGCTGACCCCCCATATCTGATCAGAACTTCGGACATTTCTTTCAAACTTTTAAATTCTGATTTATTGCAACTAAAGATTACATTTCCTTTTAATGTTGACGCATTTCGTCGGATTAAAACAATATTAGTAGTGTTGAAAATCTAAAGCTATTATTGATATAACAATATATTTCACAATATCCGTTGATTTCATTGATTCGAATCCTGCTGAGCTTAAGATCTTATTTTACATTCACTACACACCAGATTCCTAATATAAACAACAACTCACATTTTTTTTCTATGAATAAAATTTGTATGTATAATATTCGTGACGTACCGCGTCTTGGGCGAGAAAAAATAACTATTATTTATTTTCTTCTCCTTTTTTGTCGATATATCCAAAATGTATATATTTGAATTTTTCCCAAGCAGTAATCCGCTGGTTTTTTTCATTTTTGAACATTTTTTGAACATTCAAATTTGAATAGAAAATGCTTGTTTCTTTTTTTATCATTGTTGGGACCACTTTAAATCTAAAACTACGCCCACTATTGTGGCAATATGCGCACACAAAAGAACGCATGTATGTACATATGTTTTGATATTAAATTTCTCAATGTGCCAAAAATTCAGCACATGTCGCACATATTTTTGCCGCCAATAAAATCCGCAAAAAAACGACACGATTTCTCACTTTCAGTCCGGATTACGTGGTCCCGCCGACGTATGTGTGTCTGTTTGTGTGTGAACCGAACTCGTCCGATTTTTCTTTCATTTTTCTCTTTAATATTGCTCTCTGTTCTCAGTTGCTCAGAAGAGAAAGGAAAGGATTATTGCGTCAGTAAGGTGGTGGTTGCCGTTATTGGCAGAAAAGAGCGCAAAAGAAAGTTCATCGGAATTCATTTAAAAAATCTGCACGGCGATGGATTCGGAGAATTTGATGCCATTGGCAGATAGTATTGCATATTGCATTTCCGGACCACACTCGCACTTCTACCATTTTTAAAGATCTCACGCATTCAGAGTAGACCTTAGTGGAACTAGCGCTTCCCACTAGGTTAAAAATTGCAATTTCCCATGGCGTTTTTTTCCACTCGTTTTCACCCGAACCAGCTCACATTTTTGATCTACTTTCCGATGAGCCGCTTCATACATTGTTTTGGTGTCCTTCTTCAGTCGTATTCGGCCTCCTAAATAATTCTTCTTCTACTTCCCTTAAAACAACAAATTGGTATTCGCTTACGCTCCCAAAGTGCACAAATGTGTATTGAAGGTGACATGTCTCATTTATTCCGTGAATTTTTTTCATATACTGGTGTCAAAATAATAAAAAATCATGAGAACTTCTCCAAAAATATTTTGCTAGAAATATAGTATAGGTGCGATAGAAATCTCAAATTTTGAAGTAGCACATTTTTATAAACATTTCTCATGTTCTTAGCTTTTCTAAAATGCCCACATAAAGCTGATACACTAGCAGCTGTTTTTTGATCGCTACCTAGTAGTTCGTGATACTTAATCCAGACTATTATTTATGTGCACATATGGTATTCACCAACATTTTTCCTCCCCTTCTTCTTTTTTCATCTTTTTTAATTTATTTTTTTGTTCGTGCTTCATCGCCTTCATTTGTCTTCAATTTTCCCGCAATTCGACTTTGCTTCTCAACAACTGTACCAAATCCAAATCGAATTGAATTGTGCATCGCCCGAATAGGGGAGGGAGGGGGGAAAGCGGGGGGTCCCTTAATCGAAAATCTAAGGTACCTAATTTGTAAGCGGCCCGTCTTTTTTGAAGAATCTCATTCTCCGACAACGAGAAACCAATCATTTCTTGCATCGCCTTCATTTTCTATTCACAAATCGTCGAAACATCTTTCTTTTAAAGACGATGGATTCCATCGAAGCGACCCTATTTCGAGGGATGATCCCGGTGATTCCCGAGTAAGTTTTCGTGATTTTCTCGCTCAATCAAACATTAGATCAAAAATCGTTTTTTTTAATTTTAGTAAAAATTTAGTTTCCTGTCTCCAGGGGGGTCCCGACCCCTCGTTCTAAATAAACAAGGCGCCAACTTTTTTTGAACAAATTAAAAATTAATTTGAGACCGATGAATTCTTTTCAATTTCGCCGTCACTCTCCATGTCTTCTAAGCTTAAGTCTTATTGTGTTTACGTATCAAGTCTTTGTAAAATTTAATTTTTTTAATTAGTCGTTTTAAAATTTTAAAATCGAAATTGGCATAGTTCGCTTGAAGAAATCACGGGGTTTTATTCGAAAAATTAATATATGTTGCCAAAATCATCAGTAGATATTTGCATTTTTTTCATGGTTACGCAATAGCCAATAACTCAACCGTCAACGATTAATTGTAAAAGAATGGGCGAATGACTGGCGAAATTTCAATAAAAATTCTAGTGAGAATGAGAGCCCGCTTCAATCGCATTTCTCCCCGTTTTCGGCGTATTTCCTTTCTCAATTAATTGGACGGAACGTTTGGAAATTTGAGGACCATCAACGCCCGCCCACATCAAACAGATTTGCGCTGTTATTTCGACTTTATTTTTTCGCACTTCTTTTTTCTTTTTGAATTTCAAATCAATAAAAAACAGTGAAACGAATATAAAACAAAAAAAATGAAAATTGAGAAGCGAATTGAAATTTGATCTATGTACATTATTTCTCGCTTTAAAATTATGGCAATTGTTCGACGTCAATGGTATCAAAATAGAAAAGGGAGCAATTGATGAATCTCGAAGCCGGCTTGCTCACCAACAAATTTTTTTTTTCAGTATTATGATCCTTGACTATGATGGAAGCGAAAACACAACAGAATGCCTGTGCTCTGATATTCAGAGAGAGGATTATTCGCCCCTATTTGAATGGTGATTCACCAACGAAATCAGAGATCTCAACATTTTCATTTACAGGGCCAACTATATAACCATTATTCTGGCTCTACCAGTTCTTTCCATATTTGGAGTAATCACGAATTGTATTAATGTGTTTCTATACACTAGGAAAAGGTTAGCCTTTCCAGAATTTTGACACGCGGTATTCACGGAATTTCAGGCTTCAAAACTCTGCAAACACCTATTTATTATTTCTGGCTTGCAGTGATTTCATGGTGATTGTAACCGGATTATTCATCTTTTGGATTGGTAATTAATATTCTAGCAAAATATTATAATGAAATCACATATATTCAGATTCTGCACGATCATATATCCCCGAGCTCACTCACGCTCCATATACTACCGTATACACATTACCATTTGGTTACATGGCTCAAACCTGCAGTATTTATTTTACTGTGGCAGCCGCTGTAGATTGTTTCGTAAATGTAGCATTTACAACTCAATCCTAATGAATATTTTCGAAATTTAGGTTTGCTGGTCGGCCCATGCCGGCCACTATTGTACGGTTCGGCGTGCCAAACAGATCTGCATATCGATTGTGATTGTTTCAATAATGTACAATTCACTGAGATTTCCGCAATTCAACTTGCGCAAATGTTTCAACGACATCACAAAGGTTGGTTGGATTTGTCGCAATTATTTCGGCATTCATCAGAATGCATTATAATGAGCATGGATTTGTCTACAACGGCCTATTGAGAAAATTAGGATACGCGATTATGACTCACAAGTGAAAGACTGGAGGACAGGAGGCCTAATTAGACAGAAAAATTCATAAAATATATTGTAAGACTAAATGTTGCAGTTAGCTTAGTAAACGTCAGGATCAAGTTTTTTTTTTAAACTTTGCAGAATCTTCTTTTTAGACTGCGAAATTAGATATTCATAAAAGTCGTGTAATAGACAAATGCATCTAGAATATTTAATTATTTGCGCATAGTCATGAAAATTGCAAAGCGTTATAAAAATTGAACTGTTTAGGAGGAAGTAATTGAAATCTGTCCGACGTCCCTCTTTGTTACAATTAATTCGGTATATAATATGTAAGATTAATTTTTTTTCAGTTCAACATATTTAATGCTGATAATTTTCCAGTTACATGTACATGGTTTTAATGACACTTTTGCCATTCTTCTTTCTGTTGTGCATTAACGCAATTATTGTGAAGCGGCAATCAGCTCAAAAATCTGATGAAAATGCTCCAAAAGCTCAAGGAAATTCGGATGACACAATCACAATGATTATGGTCGTTATTCTGTTCTTAGCTTGCAACACACTGGTAGTCAGAAGAAGAACTAAAAAAAAATAAATTCATTTATAGGCGCTTCTGGTTAATATTATCGAGAATTTCACGGAACCCTCGCCGATTCTCCTCAATTTTCTAACGGATACTAGCAATTTCCTGGTGGTCCTTAATTCATCTGTCAACTGCATTATTTACTTTGTGTTCAACGCTGATTATCGAGAAATGTTCATGTGAGAATAATTTGGACGAAGAGAAAGCATAGTTGGATTTCAGTGTATATTTCAAGCGAATCCATCGAGCTATCATGGAAGAGTATTGCTGCTGTTTGAAAGTGAATACTCGAAGATACTCATCCTATCAACCAGTTTCAACTCGTTTGGTTCTTGATAAAGTACTTTAAGCATTTTGTGAAAAAAAAAAAAACAATTTACAAGCAATCATTTTTAGACTCGAAATGGCAATAGCAGCACTAAATTGATCATTCCGAATCTCGAAATTAATCGCAGTGAGCAGCCCAGCTTTGAAGGTATTTTGAGCTGGTTTGAAAATTTGGATACACTGAATTCAATTAAGAATCCGAAACAGTTTCGTCGCCTATCTGGCAACCACTGACTACAAGAGATTTGCCAAATGTCGATTGGCCGAACACATTTGATCCACCAAACATCGAAGATGACATTGATTCGGGATGGGATGACGCGAGCCAGGTTTTTGATCTACTACCGAATTTCATAACAATTTGCTTTCTAGCTCTCAACTAGGAACGGGACCCGTCGATGGATTGCAGAGGTTAACATAGTCGATTGCGAGCAGCGCGGACATCGACCGCATATTGTGGTCCGTCCACTCGCCACACTCCCCAACAATGATACCATTTCAATAACCGCTTTGTAAATTTTTACGAAATATTCAAACCCGCTCGTATAATCTTATTTATTCTTACCGGTGACTCTGGCTTATCTTGAAAAGATAATAAATATATGAATTGTGAGCTCAGTGTCACTCAAAAGACGATCAAATTTGATGATAAGCCTCGATTCGAATAGTTCAAAAATTCAATATGAAATTCGCGCGATATTTATAACAGGATTTTTTGACAGAAAATGTATGAAACAAGGAATTAAGTGAATATGACTGCGAAAATTCTCAGATGTGAAAGCTCGGAAGGCTCATCCTATTCACTAAAATTAATCAAGCTTTGGATTTGTTATCACCACGAGACACTTTTTGGCCACTACACCAAATACGATTATAGTTGATCACACATACCCCATTATTGTTTTATTCTCTTGTTTACTTCCTTCTAAGTGTATTTTGAATCGATAAGCAGCGAATCGTAAGGCGGGAGGCGTACTGATAAACATAATAGGAATGATTACGCTCATTCATTCATACCTTTATATTTCCTTATCTGACTAGTTCAAAGTTATTATTTTTTTCAGAAATGAAATTTCTCATTTGCTTATTTTTGGCATTAGCTGTTGTATCTGCTATGCGTGACCAGTCAATTGCCGTGAGAGGAAAATTATTGTGCGGCACGAAACCGGCAGCTAATGTCAGAATAAAGTTGTGGGAAGAGGATTCCGGACCAGATCCGGACGATCTTCTTGAAGCTGGATACACCGATGCTAATGGAGAGTTCCAGCTTTCTGGAGGTTTTTGACGTCGTAAAAATTTCATATTTTTCAAAGTTTGATTTAAAGGGGAAGCTGAGCTGACGCCAATTGATCCAGTCTTCAAAGTTTACCACGACTGCGACGATGGAATTATGCCTGGGCACCGAAAAGCAAAGTTCTTGATTCCGAAGTCTTACATCACCAACGGCAAAGTTCCAAAGAAGACTTTCGACTTGGGTGTATTGAACCTTGAAACCATTTTCCCGAAAGAGGAACGCGTAGCATTCATCTCACGTAAGAGACGAGATTTCGACGAAGACATTTTCTTGTAGACAATTGATTTATTCTTTAGAATTATGACATTTTAAAGTGATACAACAAAATAAAAAAGTAAACAAATATTATGTAATGCATTATCGAACCCATTGAGATTGAAGAATGGCAAAATAATTTTCGGCTGTCTCCTTTTTAGCGACGTTTTTCCCAAGGACATTTCTGATCTGTAAGTTTATTTTAAAGAAAATCCAATATTAAATAAGAACTATTTAAAATAGAGAAGATGTGAAAAACCGAACCTCTACTACTTTTTTGTGAGTTGTCACTCCGTCCGTTGATTGATTCCTCCTGGAAACCCTCTTGCAGAAATGCATCGATTCATGCTGGTAGATCACAATTATTGCCATAGAAATTTGAAGGACTATTGCGATCTGTATAGTGAAAATGGATTAGCTTAAAATGCACTATTTAAATTACTGTTCTGAGAATTGTAAAGATAATCCAATAATTAGGAGACGCCCTACACGCGTTGTTATCAAAAGAACGACCTACTCCAATTACATAAGATGTTACGACAAACATTATAGCGATGACATTGTCAAGAAGAATGAACGGAACAAATATTCTAAAAAATTGTTTTTGAAAACAAAGAAACATACATAATAATACCTTAGAGCTTTGATATTCTCGGCTAATTGGTATCGAGTAGTCAACGACAATCGCCCCATCGCTAATTCGGTTTTTCGTTTGTTTACCAGAAATAAAATGATTAAAACCTAAAAATGTATGAATCGTAATTAATTACGCTGATTAGAGTTGTTACAATGGCTATGATAATTGAGAGAATTATTTGAATATTGTTGACAATTGCGACCCCACTGGCTTTGTAAATACACATAAATACAACCACAATAACCTGAAAATGAAATTGGATTTGCATTGGAGATGCTAAGCCTACACATAAAGCTTGACCGATCGAGTAGATAAACCAATGACAGGTTTGCTCGTATTCTGTCACCAAAACAGTGGCTGCTAAGCGTTCAAAAAGTGCCAGAATCACTGGAAATTTCATATTTTCGTCAACTATTCCTAATATAAATTATTTGCCTATGGGCTGGGTATAATAATGCGCAACGGTAAATATCATTTCCAATATTGCAAACGTTACATCGTCAATGAAAAAGAATTCAATCAAGTTGCGAAAAAACAGTATAAAATTATAAACAGTGTATGCAAGAAGAATGAGGAAGAACGAGATGCTAAAATAACTTGATTAAATTTTATGTAAATTTATGCAAAAAGAAAACTCACACAAATAATGGATGGAATGAGTTTAGATGTTTTAGAAAAAGAACAGCGACGACGATATAGATCGCAACCAGGGGGGCATAGATTCCGACAGTGTATAATCCAACGAACTCTTGCATCCACAGAGTACAATTGATGGAGTCGTTGATCATCATGGGACATCGGTGGGTTTACCTGTAATTTAACAATTTCATTTCTCGGAAGACGAACAAAATTCACTTTTAATAGGGTATTAATGAAAATTATGTCCGATCTGAACTTTTCTTCAGCCTAACAAATCGATATCAAGTTCGGGGGGAAACTATTGATAAATAAGTTTCAGTGAAAATACTAATTAATGCAATACGTTTTAGGGCATCATATGAGAATGACTATCAGGCTCTAATTAACGGCTGGTTTAATAAACACCAAGTTTTTCATTATTGATCGTGTGACCTATCCGCTATATGCTGAGAAGTGAGTAGTCACGATTAGGAAATAAATATTTGATACTAACTCGATTCAAGTTCTAAAATCATTTGGCTTACTTTTTTATATTGTTGAATTTAGGAGGAATTTTTGATGCAAATATGAAATTTTTATCAAAATTCTGCATATGATTTTGCCATTGCGTGCTACTAATCGAAAAAAAAAACAAAAAAAAAAACATATATATGCCGTTTCGGTAAGCGAAAAACACAAAATAAATTTCAAATGCAATTTTTGGACAAAAATAGAGGAAAAAACAAATCAATGCTTGGATATTTAGTATAGTTTTATATAATTATAGCACAAGTTTGACATTAGACTAGACAAAATTTCTTATTATTTTGGAAACAATTTGCCTGGGTAGGATAGAAATGCACATAAATGCCATAAAAAATAGGGTGGAATGGGAAAAAATAAATGAACTCTGGGAACCGCAAATTTTCAGCTGTTTCTCCGATTTTAATAAAACAATTATGAATTTCGAACATCTTTTAGCTTTCAATTCCACCCCGATGCCACCCACATATGGATCGCATTTATGAAACCCAACACCTTCATAAAATAATCCACCGTGAGAAAATTGGCATATTGCATAATTAGCCCTGGAGGGTATATACATTTGTATATCGCTGGAACAAAAATAAAATGGACGTGTGGGTTGATATTGGTTTTGAATGGGGGGCTTCACCGAAATATTTGCGCTTGGGTCCGATATTGAATCTTTTATTGTTTGCACGAATCCACAAAATTTCTTCAACGATCTGTTTTAGATTCGGAAAATACAAACACAGAGCTTTGATTTAAAGCTAGAACTTTAAAATATTGAAAATGGAAAACTTATTTCTACATATGTTGAACTATTACGCAGTTAAGACATTCTCAGATTTTGCCCAATGTGCCAGAAATTTGCCTTTTTTTCGAATAATCAGTGAAGCAAAAAAATTCAGAAAAATTATGTGAACATATGAACATAATAGTTTTATTGGTGCAAAAAATTCCATGCAACTTTAATGGATACTGTAGGTTTGCATATGTTTGAAACGCATCCAATTCGTCTTTCAAGTTTCTGCGCTCAAATTTTATTGCAAACCAATTCTTTTTCCAATTCTTTTTAGAAAAGATTTTATTAAAAAGAGAAAATTGAAAAACATGCCATTGTTTTTTTTAATCAGCAGGTTTCAGATATCTTAGAAAACATTCTCACGGTGTGTTCGGTGATAAACGCACGACACTATAGATCAATTGTCAATTGTGAGGGTAAATTTCCTGAAAGTTCTTTTTCCAATAGACGTCATATTTTTTTCTTGGATTTTATTCAACTTTTATTAAAATACCTGCAAATTTAAATATATACAACTTACATACCTTATGTTAGGACATTACGTTTGTGGTCATTTGTTGTATTCTGGAATAATTAAAACTCTATTAATGTTTTAAAAAGAAGATTTTGGCATGTTTGCAAAACGTTTTGGTCCCAAAAATCTTCTAAATTGTTAAACATCAATATTCTCACGCAATATTTTATAGTATGGTGTTACTGGATTAATTATAAATTTTACACAATCAAATTAATGTGTTTAAAGAGGATTCGAGGGTATTTAAATTGTTATATTTACAAGGCTGGAAATTAAAAAAAATATATTTGTAGCGAGTCAAATTTAAGGTATTTTGGTTGAATTTACATTAATTTAGTGACCAGGAATAATGCCTTTTTTGCTTTCGAATATTCCACTGAAGACATTCCATTACTTGTTTTCCATAATGACACTGAACGAATAGGTAGCTATATCCTCTTATCAAAAATTATATATCAGGGTTAAACTTGAATCACTAGTGGGCATAGGAATAATAATTAAAATATTATTTATAACGAGAAATTATTTGAATATGTATGTATTTTACCGCACCCTGTATTATCTTTATATGCAAGATTATATGTACAATATATAGAATCATTTCCAATGAATTTCCAGTTGTCTGAAATGCGCCGCTTGTCCGTCGAGGCCCGTATCCTGTCCGGAAACTGTCTGGCCGAGTACATTGCGAACCTGCGAATTAATCTAAACAAATCCTATCATGTTTTGGATTTACTGTAACAGTATTGACTGTCGGTATTTCGGAGCTCGATGAGACACGGGACGACATCTTTCGACGAACTGTCCCCCAATTTCGCACTATTTTTAAAAGCCCAAAGTGATTTATGGCTATGATAGGAATTGCGTATTGAATGAATACGGTCATCTTAATGAAATGCGTTGTTCTTAATTATATATGTAAAATTAAAAATTTACCACTCGGAGAAGTAAAAACTTCTTTAGATATTGATGAACGTCGTAACAGAGATTCAAGTCGAGAACATAGGAAACATGGAAGAAAGTGTCAGTGGCCAGCAAAATCCATTGAACTGTTGAATCAATGACGATAATTGGGACATATAACCTATAATAATTTGATCTACGGTTTTTTGAATTGAAATTGAAAATTTTTGATGCGATAATCCGTGTTTCTCTTTTTAAGTTCACACATCAACTCCTACCTTAGAGCCTTCACATTTTCAACCAATTGGTATCGTCTTGAGAGTTTCGATTTTCCGGCAGAGGCTTTTATCATTATGCGATTAGCGGTTAACAAGACAATAAGACCCTGAAAATGTAGTCTTTAAGAAAAGATCATTTTGTGTCGAGAAAAAGATAGAATGGACAATCATTTTCGGAAAGTGTTTACCAATGAAGTCACCAATGCGAAAATAGCTTGAATCTTTTTGGTTATGTTGCTGTTCTCCAGGTCTTTCCGATGTTCGAATTCTACCGAAACAACATAACACTGAATTGCATTAATATTACTCGATAAGAATTTTCAAATTACAGCTGCTGTGTAAGCGCAGGCCAGCACGACCCACGGTCGCCAATTCTCATATTTTGAAACGAAGATGGTTGCGCAAAGGCGTTCGATTAATCCAATCAATACTAAAATTATTGAAACTAAACATTTTTTTAAATATTTCCATTACCAAATGGTTGGACCATAAAATCAAGAATGACGAACATTTTTTCAATATTTCGCACACTGGAACTTCTTGTCTCAATTGAGAACTTCGAGGGAAGTGCAAAGAAGGAAATATTACGGATAACCTGAGTCGTTGATCCAAAGGTATAGACTAGAAGAAGAGAAAGCAGTACAGTTCTGGAATGACGGCATTAAAATAATTTTGTGAATTGTCTCAATTTACGCAAAATTCGGATGAAACATCTTGTTTCTGTTGAAAAACGCGAGAAGCGACAACGCGTAGAGCAATGCAAGAGGTATAAATAATAAGAACGATATTGCCGATATTAGGATGATGTTTTCATCGCCACAGTTTTCATTAAAAGCTTGTTCCGCTGACATTTGATTCCTGGAAAAACAGTTATTGAAGTGATTAAAACGTGAATATTGTTTGAGAAAATAAAGTCGATCAAATATTTTTAAATGGATTTCTAAGTATGCAGAAGATCAATTCACAAAAAGCTTCTTAATTAGAGGTTGCCTAAGAAATTAATGTTTATGTACATTAAAAATCAAAAGGTGAATGTTTGATCATTATACATATATTATGATTTGATATTCACGTCAATATATAAGAAAATTATTTCTCACAATTGTTTGTAGAGATATTTTGTAACACGTTGCATAAATTAAGTGAATGCATGTTTATTAATTATCACAGAAGGAAATTAGTGTACAAATGAGCAAACACCAGCAATTCAGTTATTGGATAGCTGAATTAAAAACGGAAAATGACGCAAAACCAAATTTTTTTGTGCATATACTTTAAATCTTACGAACAACAGGTGAAATTTCAGGTTGAAACGTAATTTTCAATAATTTTTTATGTATCGATTTTCGCGAAAATTCGTACACAATGTTTTGCAGAATTTAGACTTTTATTGGTCTGCATTTAAACTGCACTACAGAATTTCGAACGGCTTATGGCTTAACAAACCACACCCACTTTTGAAATTTTGCAAATCGATTCGAAAATGTGTTGAAAAGGTGTGACGAGCTTTTAGCGCAGATGCTAAAATATCAAGCCCTCTGAAATACAGTACTGGCCATAATGATGTTCGCCTAGTGTTTTTTGAGCATAACTTGGCTCAAACGGGGCCGATCGGGCTGAAATTTTTACTGAAAAAGCTAAACACAGTTGCGCAACCATGGGAAAAACAAAAATTACCTCATGTTGAAAATTATTTTTTTTTTTAATTTTTTTTGTTTTTTTCGATTTTACCAATTTTTCATTTTTTTCAAACTTTGTCCATAACAATTTTTTTATTTGAAATTTGAACCTGAAACATGTTTTTAGTAATTTTTCAACCTTCTGGAAAGAAAAATTTCACGGCGGACGTTCAAAAAGCGATCGTCAACGGTCATAAGACTGGGTCGTCCAGAAGCCTTCTGGCTCAGCAGTTCCTGTGCTCCCGAAGAGGAATCCAAAAAGTTTTGCAATGATTAAGACAAAATTTTCGATTTTTTAATCATTCTGGACTATTTCTAATCTATAGGGCTGCATTTTTGTCAACAAATCACACAGCGAACCTCGCAAAACCGCTAGGCTCCATGATCGGAACATCTGCCATGCTTCAAGAAAAGATTCTAGACGGACTTCAGAAGATATCCAGATGCTTGTGGCAACGCCAAATGCTTCAATGCCATCCAGAAGAACATTTAGACGTCGTTTGGGGGATAATGGACTTCATGGAAGACGCCCGGTGAAGAAACCATTGGTCAGTGAGAAGAACCAAATGACGAGGTGGCATGGTGCAAGGATCATCTGAACTGGGGACGATGTGAATGGGCCAAACACATCTGGAGCGATGAATCGAAGTTCAACTTGTTCGGAACTGATGTAATAAAGTGGATTCGTCGACCTATCGGAGCCAGATTCATGCCAAAGTACCACCTCCGAACGGTGAAGCATCTTGCAGGGTCTGGGACTGCTTCTCCGACACCGCCATGAGACCGCTCCGACGTGTAAATGGAATCATGGATCGGTACCAGTACAAGGATATCCTGGAAACCACAATGAGACCTTGGGCATTGGCAAACGTCGGACGTGCATTCGTTTTCCAGCAAGACAACGACTCTAAGCACACGTCTGTACATATAAAGAATTGGTTCCAGCGACGCCGACTTGATATTGTTGCATGGCCATCGCAGATTCCGGACCATAATCCGATCGAACATCTCTGGGAAGAGCTGGTACCCATGGTTAGAGGGCTCCGAGCATCAATCACCGACGAGAAGTTCGCTCAACTCGAAGCCGCATGGAGTGCCATTCCGATGCAGGGATCCGCACCCTCTTGGACTCGATGCCTCGCAGATGCCAAGCGGTTTTTGATGCCAAGGGATACGCAAACAAGTATTGATAAATTAAAAACCGGTTTTCTACACATTTGTAAAGTTTTCGGGTTTCTGAGACTTTCAAATCACATTGTGTCATTTTTTCCATTTTCTGCATTTTTATGAAATTTGTGATTTTTCGAAAAAAAAACTTTCCTGCAGTATGCGATATCATTCAAACGCATTTTCAACGCGTTTTAAAGATATGGTCAAAATTTCAGCCCGATCGGCCGCGTTTGAGCCAAGTTATGCTCAAAAAACACTAGGCGAACATCATTATGGCCAGTACTGTATGTATTTTTTTTTTGAAATAACAAACAAGGAATTGACGGGTGAAATTTGCTGCGAATATTGATGCCAATTCTAACGTTAACAGAAACTCAAGCAACTTGCAATTATGTTTAGCACAAAACTTGTTTCATTCGTGGCAATTCGGTCGGTGAAACCAATGTTAATACGAGCAAATGAAATTAGTTAAAATTTGTGCGAAGTTAGATTGTACTAGGAATTTGCGTCAGGAACAGCAAATTACAAAAAAATGAAATTTCGATTTCTCCATTTTGAAATGAAGTGACGCTTGGTGTTCAGAAAAGCGCCTTTGCGTTTGGGCGGGTTCGCCACTTCCATGCCCACCGAGTGCTGCTTCGGGCGAGCCAAACTCACGAATAATTATCTGATTTTATTTGATATACATGAGTTATTTTTTCATCGTATCAAATTCAGGATCGTGAATACTTGAAGAATAGCCGACGTCCGCCGACTATTGTTTGTGGGTAGATTTACGTGAATGTACATTTAGTTATGATCTCGTCAGAGCACACTTACTATTTTGCATTCTTTGGCTCTTTTCGCAAACACTGAAAAGAGGCGTGATTTTTTAAGATTTAGGAATTCGAAAATTTAATTGGAAAAAAAATTTTTTTTAAACAAACCTATCCGCGCTGGACGCCGACATTACTTTCAGATGTCAAGTATGCAGCCTTTTAATGTTTGATAAAAAACTGTGCAACTTCGTTTTCATGAATCTTATCGGAACTTTTTTACACATTTATTAGCTGAAAACTCTAATATAATTGCTCACATGTGGGGCTGTCGATCAGTGTATAGCAATCGAAGGACTGTATTCAAATTAAAAAAAAACGTTGTTATATGAAAAAATTTTGTTGAAAATCACCACACCCACAATTATCCAAATTGGTACGTGCAAAAAGTTCAGAGAATGTTTTTAGTGTGACCATTGATAATCGCTGTCAACAAGACGAATTGAGAACATGAGTAAAAATTGCAGATGGAAAACTTCCTATGTCGTGATAAACTGCTTACAAACTATGTGCGAATTTCAAGATTCGAGGAAATGTTGTAGAATTAATAATGTAGAAAATCTGTTACTCATATATTTTCAATCTTATATACAGTATGTACAATATTATTCTCATATAAATTTTCAATAAAATGAATGTTCTTTGAAGGATATTGAATTGTGTAATACTGAGAATTGTGTGACACACCGGTAAATTAATTTACACAACGAATGCATGTTTTGCGAAAAAATATTCTCAAATTAGGTCATATAATTTTGTAGAGTTGTCTTCGCGGTTATAACGTGTGATAAACCATCATCCATCCGTCTTTTCTTTTTCGTCATTTCGGATGACGACAATTTGGCGTCAATATTTTCTGCGCGCCGCCCCCCATTCGGAATCAAGGACAGATCCCTCTCTATCAATAGTCGATCGTTGTCGTCGCTGCCTCGCCGCCGGCGTTGCTGTTGCGTAACATTTTTTTACTCACTTCGTTTAGTATGCCATTTATAGGGAAAACTAACTGCGATAATTTGGCGATATCGCATTTTCTACGAATCATAGACTTTTTCACGTTCTCCTTAAACATACATATGTTATCAAAATCAAAATTTAGTGAGTTAATTGCCACGTGGAAGATTCGTAATTTAAGATTTCGTTTTTATGAAAATGTTTGAATGATCAACACTACCTTAAAATTAATTAAATATATCTGTCGGTACCGAAGAGGTCAAACATTTGCGTGCAATTTTACAAAATTAATGATCATATTACACTGTATCCTAACCATACTGATTTGATACTGTTTTCTACCGTCTAGCTAAATTATGATGTTCTTAAAATGCTATCAATTTTCAGTATGACGTTCGCGATTTCCACTTTTGCGTTTCTTGTACTCACTGCGACCGCCGCATTCGGATGCCTCTACAAAGGCGAAAAATACAAAAACGGCGACACTTGGGTGAGTTGAAAATGGCGAGAGGTCAGATAATCAAATGACCTCTCCCTCAAACTTGATAGTTGATAAGAATTTTTGAAGATCGGGTTGGTCACTTAGAAAACAATTCTCGGGGATGGAAGGGGCATTCTTTTCTTTGAACCTGATGTTTATATGAAAAATTTAAAGAATGCAAGGTTTAATTTTCAGATCGCGCGATCTACATTCGTTCTTCGGTGTGATATTTCAAAAACGGGCTGGAAGACCACAGTGATCGGATGTCGAACAGCTGAAGGTGTCGTCGTGATGCCAGGACAAACCGTTTTTGAAGGAAATACGGTAAATGGATATTTTCGATATTGGCAATTGAGTCGCTATTTTTAGAATTACGAATGTCTTAAAGAGAGCGACGGAACTGTTGAAATTCGGCGAACTCTAAATTTGAAGAGACGCAAGAGTTGTGGTGATCGTTCAATTGGTCATATCTCTACATGTTTCCACGAAATAAAAAAGTGATATTCAGGTGAATCATGGATCTTTGAAAAGAGTTTCATGGCGAAGTGCACAGAATCCGGTGTACGTATTACCGATTGCATATCAGATTCTGGAATACCTGTTCCTTTAAATGGTTCATTGGTTCTTAGTGGAGTTAAATATGAGTGAGATTCCGGAAACTTTCCAATAAAAAACGATTTTTTAGTTGCGTAATGGAGAAAAATGGCAAAATATCTCTTCATCGTGACGCAGCTCCTCAACAAATTGTTGGCGTTCGAGCAACTACCGTAACCATTATTTCGATTCGTCGCACAGTTTTGAATATTTTAGCTAAGTCCGCTTGAAATCCTTGGGCCGATGTTCAAAACGTTCGGAGGAGATTTGGACACAGCCCTCGAAAATGTCAAAGAAGAGGTCGAGGTTACGCCAACTAAGGAAATGGTTGAAGCCACTGAGACAACATGCAATTTCGAAGGCGAAAATCGACGAATTGGAGAAATGTAAAGATATTTTTGTTTTTATTTATTTGACCTTCACTGACTGAAAACAAGCAATTATAATGTCCATTTAGATACCCGTATCTTCCTCCAAAAAGATCATAATAGGTTGTCGCAACAATTTATTAGGCCATAAAATGCGATCAAAGAAACGAAATGAATTTGCAGCTGGATTTCCGACGGAATTTTCACAAAAAAGTGTACCGAAGATGGGGCGACAGTGATTCTCAACTGTATTGTCGATGAGAAAACAATTATCAATGTTGACACCGAGTTGACAATTGGGAGAAAAGTACGAAAAACTATATTTATTTTTTTTAATATTTACAATTTCAGACTTACAAATGTTACAGAAAAAAATCGGAAAACCGCGTTTTCTATGAAGTTCGAATCAATTAATTATTTAAATATTCACTATTGAGAATCTTAACATGTTTTACTATTCATGATTGCCAGTTTTGAACGGGTATTTGGTTTGTTGAAATCTCGAATAAAAACATTCTTCGAGATTATTTTATTAGATCAGAAAAATTATCACCTGGGAAACACACATTTTTTCATTAAATTTATTACACTCACTTATGGTACTATGCAGATTTTGTAAGAAATACTCAAAAAACTGGTTAAAAGTTGTTGTAATCCACCTAGAATTTTAGGTTCTTTTTTTTTTATTTATTAAATGAATTTTCAAAATCTGTATAGTATTATTATCCGGTTCTTCTAAAATTATGCAGATCAGACAGACAACATATAACACAGCTGAAAATTTGAGCGATAATTCTTTTGAGACACCCGACTCCAATGTGTGGTCTCGAGAGTGAATTTCTCAAGAATTCCTAATCCCATATCCAAAACTTTCATCACTTTTATTCCGGCACTCTCGTTCTCAAGAGTCTCAAAGAGTTTCTTGGGAAAAAAATTCTATAGGTATCGACCGTTTTCCACGAGTGTTTATTTTTTGTCCTTTTCACTTTTTCTGCTAATCACTGTGGTCAGTGGCCTTAATTCTTTATAATGCTCATTTCAATAAATAATAAATTTATAGACAAAAACAAAAACTAGTTAAAACAACAAAGCGAGATGTTACCAGATGCTTGCTTATCAAAAGGAAAAAATATATAATATCTCGTATTCTGATGTCTTATTAATGAAAACCCTTACGAAAAAAATACGTATGACGACATGTCTTGCAACAGCCGATTCTGGTAACCGCCCGATTTTCCGGAAAAAAAAATATATTTTACATAAATTAGATCAAAGTAAAATTTTTAAATATAATTACTACGATTAGATTACCAATCGGTTTAAGATATCAAATATTAAATTGTTTTCTATTTTTTTTAAGATACTCCTCTTTCTCCCTCTTTCTTGGTACTTTTTATATTTTATGCTAGATTGCGTTGTCATATTTAGTCACATACTGATGTTTTTATTCAATGTTTGCGATTTTCGTGGCATATCAAAAAATCGTGTAGATTTCTTATTTGTCAACAACAATTCCCAACTTGAGAAATTTCTATTTTCAAGCTTGTCCGATATGTACATATGAATATATTCATAACTCGAGACCTATAAGCCATATAATTTTGCAACCTTTTTTATTAATGTTTATTTAACTCATATATGTATTAGCTTTTAATTGGACTCAAACTAGAAATCAAAAAAATAATCGTTAAAAAAACTATTATTGCACCTGAAAATTCTTCGGCGATAATGAGCTCATTTAACACAAATGGGGTCTTATACGATATTTAATTTTATATAATTCTTTTTCTGTTGGTTTCGTATAGCACACCCTATTTGCTATGCTCGTATAATTATTATTCGGTATAACATGTTTCGCATTATTTATAGGTTTTCGAACCATGTGACACTTTCGTTGTTAGATTTTTTACCCAATTTTATTTTCATTTTTAGATAGTATATTCGAATTTTGTTGTAAGGTAAAATAAATTCACACCTCGAAGAACATTTTCGAATAGCTTATGATTTTTTTTGTCAGTTACTAAGATACACTGAGCCACGAGTCTTTGATGATGTTCTTCAAAGTCGTCGATTTGAAAGATTTTCTGCTTCAATTTTAATTAGCTTCTGCTTATTTATTTTTGATCCCTTGCCGTCATACGATTTTTTGGAGAAATTTTAACATCTAACAGTAGCCATCACTAGATCAATTTTCAAATTTTTTCCATTTTTATGAAAGATGCAAAATGTTTAATTTCGAATAAATTGTCTCACGAAACTAAAACATTGTTCCTATAGCAAAAATATTTTTTGATTTTTTCTCACAGAAGGAAGTTAACATTTGCGGGTGGCAATTAATTGGAATTTACACTTTATCAAGCTTCCTTCGTTTTAGTTTGACTATTTTTCCAGCAACACCCAGAAAAATTTTGAATGAATGGTTCGAGGTGTCCAGAAACGACGCGCATGATCCTTAATATTGTCTCGATTGCCGGCACGCTTCCAATGGTTGTTGCTTTTGTGATGCTAGCAGTGCTGCTAATAATGCATTCAAAATCATTTCATCCATTATTCACGTATGTCTTTTTTCAACAAATTCTTTAAGCAACATTATTTTTCAATTGTCTTTTTTCGCATTTTCAGCTTCATGTCTGTAATTCTGAACTTTGATTTTATTTACAAGCAACAATAAGTTTAAATATCAGTAAAATTAGTGAAAAGATCGAAAAATGCCAAAGATTAAAAATAAAATAAATTTAACAGATATGCTTTAATTTACTCAACTTTTAGCGCTTCCTTCAGCTCATTGGTAATATCTTATGCTATATGTAATCTGTTTGTGGTGAGCAAATCAATAATTGAACAATTCGATGAGCATCACCCGTTAATCGATATCATCGACTATTTATATTTATGGTCATATTGCTATATTCAGCCTTGTGGTAAGTTTAAAAAAAATGAAATGCTAATTGGTGTTATTTCAGTTGTTGTTGGTTTATTAGAAACATTAACAGCTACAATTTTTGCTAGCAAATATGAGAATTCGAGGCATTGGGTCATATTTTTTCTGCTACAAGTGTTAAGCGTAAGTTCTTTAAAAAAACGTGATTTTTTTTAAAGTTTCTATGTACAAATAAATTTAATTCATTACAGATAGCAGTAGTGTGGTATGAAACTGTGCTGACCCTTCATGGCTCATATGCTCAATTAGTTAGCACTATTCAATTAGCATTTTCTTTATTCATCTGCTTTGTATGTTTTTATAATTTCGAAAGCCTAACTATTACAAAAACGAGCACTTTGACTATTTGGGGAGTTCGGGCACCGTACTCTGCATAACCTACTAATCAAACTTTGCGAAAATTATAAAATTTCGATTTTAGTGCTTAATTATTCTCTTTTATGTTAATCGCCGGCTATCTTTCAACTCTAGACATAAATCCGCCTTGACAGTGAGGTACCAATTAACAGAAAATGTCAAAGCTTTACGGTAATTATATATATACGGTTTAAAAAATGTTGTTTTTAAGAATATTTGTACCATTTGTTATTATTGATAATTGCATTTCACTTATGTATGTATTTTCATCAATCTTCTTCAACGTCGATGTAAATTTCGATATTGAATCATGTCGAAAATATGCGAGCTATATGGTCATGTTTTTCGTTTTCCGCATAGTAATCAAATCGTTTCGTTATTATATATTTTCGCGCCGCTTTTTCAGATTTTGATCCTTGCTCAATTCTCAATGCCCGTTATAGTTGTCAAATTGCATTCGTCAATGTGGTCTCGTGTTCAGAATTATTGCCGAAAACCCGAAAATGAGCAGAACAAGGTTTTAAAGGTTTATTGTCGGCTTCGAGAAAATTTACCAAAAAATTTAAAAAAGGTTTAAAGCAAACATTTAATCTAGCAGAAACGCATCTCTAATAGTTTATTTGCCAGCCAATTAACGGGCGACGTTCACAATACCTCAACTTTGACTCTGAATTTCATCTTTTAAGTTTCAGATCAACAATGTACTTGGAATGGATGTTGCTGGTATCGAAACCGATTATTTCACACAGTTACAAACATATTGGGCGCAAATAAAATAGAAAAATATTATAAAATCACTTCAAAATATAAATGAATATTTGTTAAAATATACATATGTATATCTTTCGTATGGGCAATATGGAGAGATTTAGAGAAAATTCGGCATCAGTGAGCTTGTCCCATTGATAAAAATGGTTCCCATGACGATTATTGTATTTTCCCATTTTGTTCAAGTTCTCATGAAATTTAAAAAATGTTTCACAATTCTGATTCGTATAAATACGCAATGGCTTTGATATAGCAATAACTGTCATGCGCATTCTCGCCACACTGGTAGGATTATTCATTTTTTGTCCATTCAATAAGGTACCTTCTAGATAGCCGTTTTTGCCGCCCCACAATTGGCTTTTGCTTATTTTGCCGATTGCAAACCGGCATGTCCAAAGAAATCGATTTGCAAAATTAAAAGCAATAAATGTGTACCTATTGACCATTTGATGTTATATGGAAAATAATATTAATGAACGGTTAAAACGCATATAAGCTCCCCACCATGTGCACTTTAGGCCCCCAGGGGAGAATTTTATTTCAGGTCCCCACATAATTCGAAATTGGTCCACATGTGACGTGATGCTATGTTATTTGGCACAGATGAGGTTATTTTACTCACAATCGTGTCGGTATAATAAAAACATTGGACGTGAAAAGGATTCATTTTATTTTAATATGACAACAAGAACTAGGCGAATATTAAGTACGCAGCTATTCTAGCGTAAGTGTTCAAAGTGCAGATGTTTTAAACTTTGTGGGTTTCTTTTTTTTGGTTAGTATGCGAAACAATAACTAAATCCTAATTAATTTATACGTATAGGTAATATTTGGAAAAAACATAGTATTATTTTTTTTACATTTCCAAAATTTATTGATAATCGGCATTGAAATAAATCAGTTAAGCGTCTTCTTCGGCTGTTTTGGAAGCTTCCTCTGTATTTTGCCCAATTCACCTTTTCCAAATACTGGGGGTTTCACTGGAACTACTTTAGTTGACTCGCATTTCTTGGTTGCGTAGTTGCAGAAGATTTTCGGATTTTTAGGGCATTTCGGATTGCAAACTGCTGATGTTACACCTAAAAGACTGAAGACAACTACCTGCAATTGGAAGCGTAGATCAGAAATATTTGGAATATGGCTTACCAGCAAGAAGAAGCAACGCATGTTTAAATTATTGGAGTGATGGGTCTGGTCTTACAGGGTGTCATTTAAGTTCCCGCACAACTTTGAAGACGTATATTTCTGAAACTAAAAGTCCAAATCAAACGAGACTCAAAATATTATTTATCTATAGTACAACAAATAATTATCTATTAACTCTTTTCGATTCGGCCTCCTTTCGCAGCTATGACTTCACGGAGACGCTTCGGGTAGGATGTGACTGTGGTACGCAGGTATTCGATGGAAAGATTGTCCCACTCCGCCAGTAATGTCCTCTTCAGAGCCTCTACACTTGAGTGGGGTTTTGCGTTGACCTTCTCCTGCAAGACCCTATCACGGAAAAGTCAAGCGGTTTCAGATCTGTGGAGCAATCAGGCCATTCGGATGACTTGATGAAGTCGGGAAAATGGGTCTGGCACCACTCCTGAGTAGTTTTGGCAGTGTGGGCGGGTGCTCCGTCCCGCTGAAAGACCCATATCTGCCCACCGAAATGCGTTTGGGTCCAGGGCATCACATGCTTCTCCAAAATGTCCCGAACGTAGACTTCTTTGTTCATTTTCACTCCCTGATCCACGAAATCCTGGGGGCACATCCCGGTTGAGCAGATGGCACCGAAAACCATCACACTGGCAGGATGTGAGGCTCGATTAATTGTTTTTCCTTTCTCAGAAGCTTGCTGGGATGTCTGGGCAAGTACTCAATGGTTTTGTGAGTAGAATGCCGTCTCCACAGTGAATAGCTTTTCGTCGGAGAAGACAGTGACGAGATCTTGTCCAGACCGCGTGCGAGCAAGAAGTCGTTTTGCTTTTTCGAAGCGTCTCTGCTTGTTGACGGCCGATAGAATTGCCGCTTTTTGGACACGATATGGGGTCAGTACAAGCTTCGTTTTGACGATTTGTTCCAAAGCGAAGATGCTCATTCCCATGTCTGACGCTATCTTTCTCATGCTCCTGTGGGGGTTTCGGCTGATCCTCGATTTGACGGCGTTGATCTTCTGAGGAGTGGTTACTGAGACGAGTCTTCCTTGTCTGGGACGGTCACTGGTCGTATTTAGCTCCTTGAATCGTTTGATGGTGTCATAAACCGTTCTACAAGGCACACCGACCCGTTGAATGATGTCTCTCGGGCTCACATTTTGCTTATGAAGTTCGATAATGGAAGCGCAATGGATGTTAGCCTTCGCCATTTCTCGGAAACACATCCGAATGAGGTGAAACTTGGAAAGTAAGTAAAATATACCTTATTTAACAAAAATAAATTGTATTGGTGCACGAAAAGTGCGACAGCCAAGCTCTTCATGGCGTCAAACTTTTGTGCGGGAACTTAAATGACACCCTGTATTTGGGTCTCGCTAATAATCGATTATCCAAATTTGTTGGGAACCACGAATTGAATGATGGGAAAACATTAACCAATGAGAATGTTTGCTGATTTTTTTCAAATAATTTCAATATTGATGCAGATCGACAAAATGTTTTGAAACCAATTTATTAATCTTAAAAATAACAGTTATCTTTTTCCATACATCACTCCAGAATATGCTGCTGACGGAATATATGCTGGTGGTGGAGGCGGTGGCGGAGGTGGCGGTGCGAGCGCATAGGCTGGTTGAGCATAATATGCTGGTGGCGGGGGTGGCGGCGGCGGCGGTGGTGGTGGAGGTGGTGGAGCTGCCACCATCATAGGAGCTGGAGGAGGTGGAGCAATAGGTGGAGGAGCATAAGCATATTGCGGCGTTTGCTGAACTATTATCGTTGGCTGTCCGCAGCCACATCCAGCCATCCTGAAAAAAATGAAAGCTGAAAATTATTAAGGCGCAATGCGTTATATAATGTTTCACATAATGTAAGATTAAGCTAATTAGTGAAGAGGATCAAATCACTCACCCACAACCGCATCCTCCCATAAATTGAGAGCGAACTTCTGAGCAGAACATTAGCAGAATAAAAATAGTCAAAAATCGGCACATTTTTTCTCATAAAATTTCTCATTGTCTTTGTTTTTATACTCAAATTATCATTAATGAAATCACTTAACTAAAACCATTGCGAGAACAATGAATCGCCGAAGTGAAAGTGTATTGAGTGGTCTGGAATTTTGTAATTGAGCGAAACCATTTAGAAAATAGTTAATTATAATAATATCGTTTATTTTCAAGTCGTGATAGAGTTATCTTTCGTAAAATGAATCACTATAGAATGTCTCGTTTATTAAAATATGTCTCGTTTATTAAAAAAAAATAAAAAATATGCAAATTTTAATAATTCTACAACGCCGTTTTTAAAGATGTTGTCGCTGTCGTTAATGCCGAGATGTGAATTTCGTCAGGCGATTTGTTCTTTAAAAAATATTGATCGAATCCTTCAGTGATACCCTATAATTTTTTTATTACACCATAGGATTCTTCCAGCCAACTCAAAAACCTGTATGCATGTTATAATTAGAGTCACAATCGGTGCGATTTGATTCTCATGATAAGCCACAGAGATGGCGGCACTGATGAATAACGCAACTTTAACGGCGGCTTGTGTGAAATTGATGACGTCACGTAGCCACCATCGACGCTCCGTCTTTTTGTCGATGTATTTTATCAAGTTCTCAACCATTCCTAATAATTTTGTGATGAACTCTTTTAGCGAGCCCTGAACAGTTGTGTGTTTATGTAGATGAAAACAATAATTAAAATGTACATGGACTTCACAAAATACTGACCTCATCGACTGCTGGAACTTGATTGCTCGTTCCTTCATCTCGAATTTCCTCGCCCGATTCTTTGACCCGAACTACTGACTGCGAAATTCTCAACGTCTGCTGTAGAAGATCCGATTCGGTCCTTCGCGGCTTTGCATCAGGTTTTGCCAAAATCGCAACTTCCTCTATTATTCTCGCAAGCACTGCCAATTCGTAGGCAACCGCGCGAAGCATCGAATTTTCATCAGGCGGTATATTCAAATCGGAATGCATTGTAACATTGTTTATCTCAAGCACACAGTCTTTCACATGCTCATATGTCAATTGGGCTGACTGTCTTGATTTCAGATCGCGTTCTAACTCATACTGGAATATTCTTAATGCTTCTTGCATCTGAACAATTATGTAATGTTTCTTGCATCTGAACAACGTGCAATAATTTCACCTTGATTAGAGAACACCTTAGCGGGCGAAGCCTCTCAATGAAGGTGGATTGGCGAGTCCCAAACAAATCGCATGTTACACTCCAGCAATCATGAGGGCGAGCTGGTGGATCATTGCTGCATTGCGAAATATGAGAAATTGTTTGTAATAAAGCTCACTCTATAATGATCTGGGTCGTTGATGTTCCAATATCCACGGACCTTTTTCTATCATTGACATCGGATTTCTAAATTTTCAAATAGTTACAGATTATTTTAAAAATTTTACTTTGTCTTCCGCGTCATCGGCAACAAATCCAGTATTCTCAGCCATTGAATTCAAACAAAGTATTGAGCAATATTTGTCTTATCATTTTGATGATGACCAAACAAAAATCAGCGGCGCATATTTTAGCGATGATAAAATTAAAACTGTCGCGTTTCACAATAATAGGATTTTTTAGTACTTGGGATTTGATCGGATTAGCCTCAGGTTTGGCGATTAAACATTGCCGAAAAGTGAGGGTGTTCAAAAATACAATTACAAACTATGAATTTATTAGTTTACTCTTTACTTCTCATTTATTTCATTTTTCCCAGTTTACAGAAGGTTTTGGCATTGTTTATTTTTAATTGAAATTTATGAATTTAAATTTTAAAGGAACGTAATTACAAATATCCATGGTTTCATAAATCACGACCAGCTGTGACCTCAACGCAAATACCAACGACCACATCGCCACAAGTTTATAGATTGAATAGAGAAGCTCGAATAACTTTGAGAACTGTAAATCGATGAAATTTAAGCTTTTTTTAATTACAATTCTACAGACTATGCCTGGGACAACCCCCGAGAAAAGACGGAAGAGATTAAGGAATCTATCAAAAAATTCGAATGTGAAAAAGCCTAGCGCCGCCGCATCCAAAAGTCTTCATAGTGTAAGTGGTCCTTTGAAGAAAAATCGTCATTTCGATTTCAGAGTTATGTCAAAGTAAATATTACTAATGATCCGCCTTCTTTGGATTTATACGAAATCAATCATAAGGCGGGACTAGATGAATACATGTTTCAGGGAGACATCAATTTCGATGAGTTAATTTCATTACCTATTAAGTATATATATTAGTATGGAGTTTATAGGAGACAGCTTGATCAAATCACATCTTCACTCTCTGCGGGAAACCGAAAGAAGCGACAAGTATCAAAAGTCGCTCCTTTGTGGCCCGAGAAAATTGTTTATTATTATTTTGATAGTGTTAATCCTGTTGGTATGCGATTTTTTTAATATTTTAAATTTTTTGATATCTAGGAAGTGAAATAAAAGAAACTGTACGAATCGCTATACAGTTTTTGGAATCGAAAACATGTATTAAGTTCGTCGAAGATCAAAACGCTTTTAATCGAATAAGAGTAAGTGAAAATTACTGTGAGTACAGTATAAACACTTTCGCCGATACTTGTCATAAATCTGATGATTTTTATTCAGTCATTATTTATTTCTGTTTGAATATTAGTCGAGTCACTATTTTCATTGTTCGATTAAAAAAATTTTGGCCAGAGTTCAAAAAAACAATGATCGAAAACCAATTGTGATTCGGATCTTCCAATGATTCATATTTTAGATTATCAATGGAGTTGGTTGCTATTCGAATGTTGGCATGACAGGAGGGGATCAGGCTCTTTCCCTTGGCTCTGGATGTAACTTGGTTAATCATTAAAATAACTATCTAAAAATTTAGTGAACTCCCGGTTTGATTCAGGATGGAATTGTTGCTCATGAACTTTCGCACGCACTAGGTGTATTCCATGCCCAAATGCGCTCAGATCGTGACGACTATGTTACTGTTGATGTTACGGATGTACCGTTGGATCTGCGGCAAAATTTCATCAAATTCACTGAAGCTGAGTCGTTAAATTATGCGGAATATGAGCAGTGTATCTACCCGGGACAGGATTTCCCGGGATCCCGGGAATTTCGTTTCCCGGGTTTATCCGGGAAATCCCGGGACTCCAATCCCGGGTCCCGTCCCGGTTTCGTCCCGCAACTACCCGGGATCCCGGTATCTCGGTATCCCGGGATCCCGGGAAATTCATTTCCCGGGATGAGCGGTTTCCCGGGAAACCCGGGAAATTCATTTCCCGGGATTAGCGGGTTCCCGGGAAACCCGGGAAATTCCCGGGTTTCCCGGGAAATTCCCGGGAAACCCGGGACAATCCCGGGACAATCCCGGGAAAGTCTGCAAACACCGCGCGCGCAAACGCACACTCTTCGAATATTGCGTATTCTCGTTTTTTTAATGAATTTTCTTATTTTAAAAAGATTCCAATGCTTAGAAAATGGCGTAGGAAGTCCCTATTTGGAATTTTTAAAATTTGGCAGAAAAATGAGTACAATTGAAATGTGCAAATAACGATTTTTCCAAATTAGCAAGAATTTTATACGAAATAATGGTTTTAAACTTTTTTCAATATACTTTTTTCAACGAAAAAACTTATTGAAGATCGATCAAGTAAACAATAAATTATAATAATAAATAATATCGCTGATTCGATCTGAAAAGACTGACTGAAAAGATTCGATTTGAATATGTCGCGAATCAGAATGACAAAGAAAATAAGAAAACTCATAAAATTTCGAAAAAAAACGACAATACGCAATATTCGAAGAGTGTGCGTTTGCGCGCGCGGTGTTTGCAGACTTTCCCGGGATTGTCCCGGGATTGTCCCGGGTGTCCCGGGAATTTCCCGGGAAACCCGGGAAATGAATTTCCCGGGATCCCGGGATCCCGCGTTTCCCGGGAAACGAATTTCCCGGGATCCCGGGATCCCGGGAAATTAAGTTTCAATGAGTCCCGGGTCCCGGGAAAATTTTCCCGGGAATTTCCCGGGAACCCGGGAAATGAATTTCCCGGGATCCCGGGATCCCGCGTTTCCCGGGAAACGAATTTCCCGGGATCCCGGGATCCCGGGAAATTAAGTTTCAATGAGTCCCGGGTCCCGGGAAAATTTTCCCGGGAATTTCCCGGGAACCCGGAAATTCCCGGGAAACTTCGTCCCGGGTAGACACACTGAATATGAGTACGGCAGCTACATGCAATATAGCAGCCGAGCATTTGTGACGTCCGGCGGCGTGGATTCGATTGTGCCCAACGATCCGATTTACGTGTATACAATGGGCGGAAGGATTGTGACATTCTCAGACATTAAAGTTCTCAACACTCATTATTCGTGTAGTTGTGAAGGATCTACACTGGCCTGCGAGAATGGTGGATATCCAAACCCGGCAGATTGCTCCGTTTGCAACTGCCCTTACGGATTTAGCGGACAATTGTGTACTGAAAGGGTAAGTTCGTCATAAAAATGCGTTTCTGAATTTTCAAGACACATTGAATTTTTAAAAGCCGAAATGTTCACTATTTATAGTAAAATTCAGCCAGATTATCAATGCGGATCAACACTAGCAGCAACCGACAAATGGCAATCGGAATCTTTTACGTTCGGAGACGAATCCAATATAAAAAGTGCCCGAACAACTTTTGATTATTGTGTCTACTGGATAACAGCGCCGGTCGGAAAACAAATCCAGTTCAGAATTGATGAAGCGACAAACACTCAGTGCGGTTACGGGTGCACTTTCAATGGAATCGAGCCAAGATTGAAACTGGATCAAACAATGACTCAGCCGAGATATTGCTGCGACGAATTCAACGGCGAGATTCACAATGCTGAAACCAATCCAATGCCTGTGATTGCATACAATCGATACTATTTGACATCTTATAAGTTTTCCTACAAATATGGTAAATCAAGAGCCATCAAAACGTCTTCTTTAATTTGAATGTTTCAGTTGATATGGAAAAACCTTCATGTAAAGATTTGAGCGACAAGTGTGAACAAATTTCCAATGATTTCAGTATTTTCATTTTTCAGAGAAACCTGCTTAAAATTAAACAACGAGCAGTGTTCCCTTTACAATCAATCCCAATTGAAGGTTATGTGTGCTGAAACTCTAGGTTTATGCGGGAAAATGGTTATGGATGTTTGTGAAGACCGCTTTACTGATAAAGAGTGAGTATTCAATATAAAATTTCTATCTTGAATTAAAACATCAAAACTTCCTTTTATAGGTGTCTTGATTATAAATTATCCGGTCGATGCGCTTCCGATGCCCCATTAATTGCTGAGTATAACTGTGCGAAAACTTGTGGATTTTGCGAAACGCCTGTATAGAATTTTTTTCGATAAAAATGAGATATTTCTTCGTGTCTCTCATTTCCGCTTAGCTTTATCTAGCCGATCATTGTTTAGACGAGAAGGGGGAGGGGGGGGGTGGGCGCAAGGGTTCGAGCTTCCCAAGGGACCATCAAAACTTTCAACACCCAGTGATTTGTTTTTGCATACTTTTCAACTAATATGTATTCTTTTGCTTTTCTCTATTTCATGATTTTTGATGCGGTGATTGGATTTCGAATAGAACATGTGAGATACAGAAATCCGGATGAATTCCGTGTGAAACGGGCTCCACGAGTTCGAAGGTAAAATAAAAAATAATTTGCGATTAAAATATTTTAGCAAAAAAAAAATATTTTAGCCAAAACGACATTGCTGTGAACATTTCAAAATTATTGAACAATGTTCTTGAAGATTATGACCAACACTTTCGGCCAGGATTCAACACGAAAACAGCCACCAAAGTGTACATCGACCTTTTTGTGAATACAATGGGACCTGTTGCCGATTTAGCATATGTAAAAATAAATTCAATGAAATTGACGTCAAAATATTTCAGACCTACTCTTTCAATTGTTATTTTCGTCAAAAATGGACCGACGAACGATTGCATTTTAGCAACATCGGTACTAAATCTAAACAATTGTCATTAAGTATGGCAATGCTTGATAAAATATGGAAACCTGATACTGTAAATTATTATAATTTTTACTGTTAAAAATATAACTGCTATTTTAGTACTTTTGGAACGGCGCCGGTTCGTATGTTCATCAAATAACTACACCAAATCGATTGGTTCGATTGGAGCCTGATGGCACAATTCTTTACTCTAGCCGCATAACCGTCAATGGTGATATTGATAAAAAATTTTAAACTTTGAAAAATCGGATATTCAGCTCGTTGTAAGATGGATATGAAGCGATACCCTTTAGATAAACAAGCTTGTCGCTTAATAATTGGCTCATATGCATATTCTTCCGATGAAGTTCAATACATTTGGAGAATTCTGGACGAAGATAAGGGCGTTAAAGTGAGTTCTTCCCGCCTTTTTTCTTACGTCTAAAGTGTCAGGTGAACTACGAAACTATTGCCGATCTTCCACAGTTCTCTTTGACTGGATTAAAAGTGTACGACCCCGCAAATATTACAAGAGACCGTACGATCGACACAATATATGTAGTTATATATATTTTTTTAATTTTTGTTCAGGGAATTATTCAGCACTGGAAGTTCAATTTTATTTTGATCGACATTTTGGATATTTTCTCATGAATTTTTATGTCCCTTGTGCTTTGATAGTTTTGCTGTGCTGGGTCGCCTTCTTCACCAAACGAGAGGCAACCGCCGAAAGAATTGGTATCGGAATCACAAATGTTCTAACAATTGTTTTAATCTCATTGGATAGTAAAACGGATTCACCGAAGGTAGTGAGCAATTGAAACTCTAATCATTTATCGTGATGGTTTTCCAGACCGACAGCCCTACAGCATTGGACGTTTACATGTGGATTTGCTATATCGCACACCTCATTTGTATGATAGAATTTACTGTGGTGCATTATCACACTAAATATAACTCCGGTGATCCGGAAATTCAAGAAGTCGAACGTGAGAGACTGCGGCAGATCATAAAGCAACTACCCAAGTAGATTAAATATTATTTTTTCAAAGACAGACTTCTAATAATTTTGAAGAACCGCAACACATCGCCGAAACGTACCGCGACAACGTAGGCCGGCATTTTCAGAAACTGAAAGGGTTATTCGGATTTATGAGATTTAAAAATTTTTATTGTGTTTAGAACGTGCCATTTACTCGAAAAAACCGGTTTATGTCGATGAAACATCCAAAAGAATATCAAAAATTGGAAAGAAGCCGACCTACTCGGAAAATTAGTCATAATGAGGTATAGGAAATTTTTTAATTATGTATTCACGGTTTTGTGTTCTTACAACAAAATTACAAGAGTATGTGTATGTATATAAGACACCCCCATTTCAAATAGTACCAACCTCATGCGCCCTTGATTCGTAGTGCAACTTTCATAGATTAGAATACGAAATCATTCTTGTGTCAATTAATTTGCAGAGTGGGCGAGACGACAGCTCTCCATCTTTAAATCTTGAAACAATACGACAGGAAAATGTTGGATGGAGACTTTACTACTGGATGAGTGACAGAGTAAGTGGCTAATATTTATATCTCAACTAGTTTCAAATTTCAGAATATTACCACCGATCCATTTGGTGTTGCCCAAAATTCGATCAGCCGAATCGACCGGCTCGCAGTTGTTGTCGCCCCAATCGCCTTCGTCGTCACTATTTTAATCTATTACGATTTCTATGTGAATCGGCCGTTTAATTTCGAGTTTGACAATGAGTTTCGAGTAGTTTAATTTATTGGTACTTTCATAGAGCATACCCAATTATATAAAGGAATTGATAAAAACGCGGCGATATTTGTTCCCAATGAATTACCCATAGAAGCTGCTGACAATGAATATTCTCTGACATCTGGCTCAACTTTTTTGTGGATTTTGTTGTATGTATTGACATATGCCGATCCTCCAAGTAGTCCTTCGAATACGATTAAGCAGAATATTATTATAATAGTCGGAGTAAACCAATAAACTGCTTCGAAGAAGAAAAATATCATATTCGAAACCTGAAAATTTAAAATGTAACCGATTGATAGAATTATTGAATCACCTGTAACACTGGAAGCATCCAAATCATCCAAATGGGCATTTCGAAAAATTTGACAGACGACCGGGACAAGAAAACACCAGGTTGGTACAACACCTGTATATCGTGTTTTTAACTTGGTTTAAAAAATGTGAATATTACCTGATACCATCTATATTGGCTTGCGAATGGTAAGTAAAGACCCTGAGAGCAGTTGAAAATTATAAGTTCTGTCTGAAACGCTATGATTTTAATTGTTTTCATTGATATAATTAACCTACCAGTCCTTGGTTTATCATATACTCTGCGGTGTATACAGTTGCAAGAGGAATCATTAAGTATAAAAGAGGCACAATCAATTTGAGCCTTTCAGTCAAACTCAAATCCCGTTGAGGTACCTTCTCAGTTGAAAACACTTCCCCTCTTGCTTGAGCCGCGTTCTAAAATTTTGAAGTTGCGAATTTCTTATTGAAATATTGAATACCAATGCTATTTCATCATGATTCTTCGGGATAATCCAGGTCTTTGGATTAATTGTCGGTGAGTAAACTGAATTTGGAATTTTCAGTATTATAAAATATCTAAATCAAAAAATTATTTTTTTATTTGGAATATTAACGTACGATGCTGCGAATAATACCGGAATAAACAATTGAATAAGTAAAGCATTTGATGGTAAAAGTCCCGCTTGAGTAATTAAAGCGTATGAAAATGAGCCGATAAGGCCAGCACCTCCGGTACCGGATGACCATGCTGCGATTGTTTCGCTTAAACGCTATTCTGCTAATTCAGGGGATTCTCTTGAGTCTTACGGAATGTAATGGGCAGCCATCGCGAGAAATGTAATCTCTCCAATTCCTTGTCCAAGCGATGCTAGACATACCCCAGTAAGCGACATTGCTATACTTGTTGAATAAGCGACAATGAAATACGATGACGATTGGAGAAGGAAAACGAGAACAGCGCGGAAGCTGTGAGATAAGTTGTTTAATGAACAGTTTTTTGTTTCATTTTTTTTTACCCAAATGGAAAGCGATGCATGAAAAATGGGAACGTTGTTTGAACTATTAAAGCGGGCAAGTTGTCTGCGAGCAGTACTGCACCAGTAGAAACTGGTTGACAATGGCGAGACGTTATGTGATTCTGAAGAATTCAAAATTGATTATTATGGAGTACTTTTCAGTTTACAAACCTCGCAGGTATCAATTGTTGAATTTGTGGAATTCGATTTGTTCTGCTGATCGTCCAAAATATCTTCAGCTGCTGATAGCATAATAACATAGCCATAATTATTGCAAAGACCAAGAAGCCTAAAAAAAGATATAGTTAAAAAAAAAAACAAAAAATAATCACCAAAATGCAGCAATATTTCGAATATTCCCCCAATTGACCATTTTCTGATATCTATCGCATGACAGTAGCGCCCAAAAAAATGGACGCCTTATCACATATTTTTATTAATTCCGCTTTCCACAACGGGATGGCATGTGGTGATAAAAACCCGGTACAATGAGATATGACGCGTTCTTTATCACCAAATAGGTGTAATTTTAAAATATTGTTTTTTTTTTATATTTCGCTATTCGCTGAAATACAAATAACAATAATGTACATATGTACTTTATTTTGAACGGAAAACATCACAATGCCTCATTAAAACAGAAAAAGTACCGGCTTTCAAAGAGTTTGATGGCCGTATATCATGATAATGGAAACAATTTGGTCATTTAAACGTAGGCGGCAGATTTTTCAGACGAGATCCTTTCAGCCCGTTTCACGAGACAAGTAATATATGGAGCCTGCTCGGCGTACGCTTTGAAATACTTTGACGACCGTAGTCCGGTGACAAAATAATTTTGGCAGAATGTTGGAAGCGATAAGAGGATCTGAAATATAGCATATTTTAAAACTATTTTTAATTAAAAAAAAAAGAATGTATTACATTGTATTTTTGGATTTCGTAGGCGACATCCTTGCTGAAGTATAGAGAGATATGAGAGAGAAGAACCGAGGTGCACCAGGAGCAGACGAATACGAACATCATAGTTATCAAGGAACGGAGAAGTTTCGCGTCGCTACACTTTGTATTGCTCGTCACACTGCTCGAATGACGCAGTATTCGTCGTTGAGACTGACGCTCTGAAATAATCTTGCTAATTATTGTTGCTATAAAATGAGTCTAATTTGAGCAGAATGGCAACAGCCTCACCATTGTAATGTAGTTTACAAGCAGTTATGAACACTATGATAACGGATCCTATAATTGTGAACACCGTGATCAATGTGCCCCAGAATCTGACTTGTGGTGGCACCGCTAAAACAAAAATTAATTTGTTCAATTAATTACACATTTACCAAGAGTAACTGTACATATTAGAAGATCGTCATGATTAATATAGAGTTCTTCGATGAACAGCGCGAATATTGAAAATCCTAACGGAGGTGTGCACATTATTAAAAGGTACGGACCACGACGCCATAATTTGTGCCTGCAATCAAGTCTTGAACAACTGAGCTTTTCATTTCGAACAAGAACAAAAGGGATATTTTGGAATGGGAAAAAACCAAAAATCGGTCAATTTGAATTTACCTGATTGGCATAAAAACGGCAAGAAGCAGATCGATTGACATCATTGTGAAGAGCACGGATTGGAATAAAACTGCAAACATGTAGACGATAACTGATCGGAAACATTCGTCGCGATGGGTTCGTGTGAATCTGAAATTAGAAAATACGACAATAATTTCGAATTACGGTCACCTTAATTTGAGTTTTGCGCAAACAAGTTCCGATATTAGGCATATTGTGTGAGCGAACGTGGAAATCATCAAAAGACATCCTAAAATTGAATTTTTTTGTAAAAAAAATCTTCTAAGAATCTGAAATATTCGTTTTGTGACATGTAATTTCAAAAAAGTGGTCATGAAACCATAGAATTTTGCAGCTACTCAACATTCAGAGATTAAAAAATTAAAAGGAAAACCTATTAAATAAAATGCCGATTAAAAAATCTGAGCAAATATGAAAGCAAAAGTGTGCTTACCCATTTTTGTCCTCAGAGACTTCTTCCGACATGTCGCTATTATCAGATTCACATTCCCGAATAATCCGATGATGCAAATTACTATAGTAATCGCTTGTATTGTAGGTGATAGTAATTGGTAATAGTCGTCGGTCATGAAATCTGGAAAGAATTTTAAAAAAAATAGTGAAATATTCGAGTCATAAGAAAATCAATTTCGTGGGAAACAAAATATGATGAATAAAGGAAAACGAAAGGGAGGTGGGGAGGGGAGGAAGAAGTTAAGAAAATGTCAAAAATAGGGTAACGTGATTAGATTCGACATACGCAACAAAAATGATGTCGGCGTAAAGTAAAATAAAGATGAGAGAAAATCTTTTATTAATTGGGTCTCGCAACGAGGCAATTTTTTTGAGCAACTTAAGCACCGCCCATTTCCTTGGCACACTCAATTTCCGGAGAGTTGCCGTCTGCAGCTTTTGAGTTTGCTACTTAATTTCAAAGTAAATGTAGATAACATTTTCCAGAAATAGTTTTTTTTTGTTAAACTATCGAAACAACAAAAATTCGATAATGTTTCTAATAATCTATGCACAATAACAGCGAATTTCATCGAATTCTCGAAACCTACAGCTAATCTGATGGACAAAATGTAACAAATAAATTTCCTGTTTTCCTTTTCTTTTAGGGCTTTAAGATGTTCTTGAACATCATGCTCAACAAAATTATTAAAAACGGCGGCGAAAAGAGTGCGCGATTTTAAGAGACAGAGACATTTAGTTTCTTCGGTGTTTCTACGGCACGAGGAACCAAATGAAATACAATAAGAGGAAAATACGCAATGCGTTTAAATTATTTCGTGATAATCGAAATGAAGATTTTTGATGAAGAAGACCAATTTTATGAACTCTGCCAACTTTTGCATAAAAACTTAAATTTCGAATGTGAAATTAAATATTTATAATATTTTTCACGTATTCGACGAACTTTCAAGAAAATTGTAGAATATTTAAAAACAGAATTTTCAAGAAATAGAACAAATTAAATGGAATGAACATTTTCTTTAGAGAATAGAACATGAACCATTGAGCACATTGCAAACCAATCAGAAGTCACATATTAGCTCTTTTATACGTAAATGGATATTTTCCGATTTCGTAAATATCTGGAATATCGAGAAAAGGGATTTGAATCAACAATCATTGACCTATTTCGATAATCCTTTTTCTACACTTTGTGGTCTTCGTGGAATTATTCTAAAAAAAGTTCTACTCTGAAAAGAATTTAATTTATTGTTGCAACAACGAGATGAAATCCAAATTAGTACTATAAAATGCATGTTTTCATGGAAATAAAACGTTGAGAAGTGGAAGGCTTTCGAATTAAAAAAATTTTTCAAAATCTGAAAAAATAATACTTTTAAAATCTTTTGAAAGTATTATACAATAATCTTCAAAAATCGTTTCCTTGAGACAACAATTTGAAGTTTTTTCTTGGGAATTGATTTGAATCGCATCCGGTTTCCGTTGTAATGAAATCATAGAACATAATGCCCATCTTTTTTAAGAGCCAAGTGACGTGGTCCGCAATTCAGTCTACCCACAAAATGGCACAGAACACTCATGACGAAATTTTGACTATTTAAATGCTTCAGTGAAATTGATATTTTCGTCAATAATGCAATAACTAAAAAATGTGAAATCGAAGAGACTGAAATAGGATATTTGCATCAGCAACCGAAAATTGTTGGAAATTTTAGATACCAATACAAATTTGCAACTTATTCATAGATTGTTCAACCAAAAAATTTGAGGTTAGTATTTGTTTGGCAAAAATGAGTAGAAAACGGAGAAGACGTTTCGTAGTAGTTAAATGAGGAAAAGCATTTAACTGCTTTCCATCAATCGTCGCAAAGTTCACATGCAATATTGCTACGATTAGCATGACTCCGGCCATCGTTTTTGGTCGAGTTAAACTGAACCCCATGCCTCCCAAAATAACAAGTTTTCAATTGTTTATTCATAAAAATTCTGGCAAACTATTAAAATATACGTTCATCGAAAGTGATAGGTTCAATACATAAACATATCACACAGGGTAAGTAAAAGGTTGAGTCGTACTAGTCGATTGAATATTTTATGCCAAAGCCAAACACTGCTTTCGAATGAAACTATTTTACCTGAAAGAAGCAAATAAATCAGAAGAATGAGCTCTCAACAAAAGAATGGATAAATTTCTCACATTTTCCAGAAAATCGTGTGCTCCTGAAGTGGGTTAATTGATGGCAAAATGGGCATGTGACAATCATGAATGCATGGTAATATACACTTGATCTCTTCGAAAGTCAAAAGAATTGAAAATGTACATTCATTCTATTTTTTGAGAATTGTTTGAATATTTCAAATCGATCCGGTTTCAAAATATTTTTTTGGGAGCACCTCGCCACCTTCTTGACTTCATTATCATTCCCAAATTTGGAGACAATTAATCTTTTTTCAATCCCATTGTTTGACCGATTAAAATCTCGCGCTCCTCATTTTCGCGCACTCTCTCTCGCCGATTGCTCAATTCTCACACAAATACGGTGGTTAGACGACGCCTCCTCTCTCAATCTTCTATTCGAACGGTTTGCTCACAGAATTATTCGCGAGCATCAACCACGAATTGAATTCATTCCATTTTTGGCGACTCTCCGATGATGAAGGCATTTTTAATCGCTGTGGTACGAAATATCTCCGATCTATTACATCAGTCCAATTTTCAGGTATTCGTTTATTCCGTTAATGCTACTTCAATTGACTGGTGCGAATATTGGGCGAGAGTTGGAAAGAAGGTACATCTGGCCTAAAAAATCCATTTGATTGTTTAGTTTACAGAGTGAACGCCCTGAATGTGCTGGATACGAACTGCCCAACAAATTAAGAAAGTCTGGTAGGAATTGTTGTAGTACAATTCTCTTACTTTAAACGAAACATCAATTTTCCTACTAACTAAATTTTGCTTTATGATGCATTTTATGGACATAATCCTTCTAAATACGTATCTTTTAGTAAACGAATCATAAGATTCAAAAAATGGCATATTAAAATTCACGAAATTTCACTTTTTCCTTTCAGAAGTTCAATGTCCTCGAAACGAAGTATATAGTTGTTTGGATTGCGAACCGACGTGCCAGAATCTGGTGCCGAAATGCCGCAAGGTACGCCGTCGATTCGCCACTATTTTCACAATCCATGACACTCGCGTGCAACGAAGTGTACAGGTAGACCGTGTGTGTGCCGTGCATTCCGTGTGTTCGCTTTCCCTCACCGTTAAAATACACTTCTAGAAAATCTCACCGTAATATTAAAGGAGCAATGTAATCGTGGATGCGTTTGCAAAACCGGTTTCGCTAGAAATGCTCAGAAAGTTTGCGTTCAATTTCGCGAGTGCGTCAATTATTATCCGGTTAACAATGCTGTTAAAGAAGTAGAACCCCATGAAGAAGGAACAGTTATGCAAAGTAAATATCAATGTTGGTTTTAAAACATTTATTGACGTAATTTTAGCTGTGAAGAAAATGGTGCCAGTAATTGTGAACGACGTATGGAAAGCTTTCTTTAATTCAATTCGAGGTACAGATGCCCCAAAAACGAAGAAAGTCACATTTAAACCAAATAACATTACAACCGAAGGATACCTTCATCATTCGACCACTGCCCACCCACCGATTTTAGAATTTAACCAAACATTTTACAATGTTCAAAGTTGATTTCATCTTTATTCGTTGTTTCGTTTTTTGAATGTGGTTAACATTGTGAATTGATTGTAAATTATATTAATTGCTCAGTAATAAATAAAATTCAAACATATTCTACGGCTATGAAGTATACCTACTAGTAGGCAAAAAAAATGGACGAATTTTTATAAAATTATGGCCTAGCTTTCATTTGTGAAATGTAGGCCACCTATTATTTTTAATTATTTTTTTCTGTAACTTGACAATTTTCTCTATTTATGTAAATTGTTTTAATTTTTCAGTTTTATGCAATGAATAATGGAGTTAGGCGTTTGTTTCTAGCTAGATTGTTATCTACAAAATTCAATTCAACACAAAGTATTCTTGGGTATGGAATAAGATTGAAACAAAAATTTTTTAAACTCTGCAGCAGATGTATTTCTTCAATCTCACCTATTCCGCCTATCGAAATTGATAATAAACTAGTCAGAAAAGGGGATTTCCGCGGTGTTGCTGCATCGAATTCGAAGGTTGGAATAATTTTTCATGAGTATAAATATTATGCAGACTCGAACGAGAAATCCGGATATCATATTATCAAAAATTCAAGACAACCTAAAAAGAAATTATCGGGTTTCTGGTGAAGTAATTCTTCTCGAAGTTGTTCGTCAACTAGAAGAGGATAATGGTAGAATTAATCGCCTCAGAAAGTTTTTTTTTAAATTTAAAGTTTAAAGATGAACTTAAGAAGCGTATTTTTAACAACGCTAATCGCTGGATACCATTGCTGATTGCTAGTTGTGGGCATCCTCTATCAAACATGGAAAAGTCTGAAAGGTGCATAATTTTGGGCCGTCTTTGGAAACAAATTGAAAGAAATAGTAAATAGTTTTTGAAATCACTTTTTTACATTGCATTTAGTGAAAATGATTCCTGTTTGGGCATGGAATGCCAAATTCGAAGTTTTAAATGAGAACGAAGCGGATTGGAATGAAGTTGCAGAAATGGAAAACTTAAGAAAACAGTAAGTTTCCTTGGAAAACTCATTAATTTTTGAGTTTTCAGTGGAACAGAGCCAGATATTCACACATTTCACTTTGTCATTGATAAAGTTGTTAAAAGCGGGGACATTGAAGCTTGTCGTAATATGGTAATTTGAAAAACTTGAAGCAAAAATATAATAAATTCAGGTGTACGATATGGCTAGAAATGGGTTTTCAGTTGATAAAAATATCAACGCTTCGATGACTTATTGTTTTTCGATTCGTGGCCATTACGCTAAAGCCGATTCGCTGATTGAGGTGAACATTTTAAAACAATGTATATCGTTTGCTCTTATTTAAGCAGGCCTCGACGAAGTACGGCGAATTTGGCGAAAGTCTGGCTCATGGTGCAGCGGCGCGAGCAGCGGCGTGTCGTGGTGATAAAAATCGCCTACGAGTCGTTTTGCGTCGATGTGTAGACGAAAAAACCAAAAGATTGCAAATGTCAACCGAAGATATTTTCGAAACAATTTGGCATTTAGCCGAAAAAAGTCATGATGGTACCGGATCCGAGTGCGAGCAGCTCATCGAACAAATGCTCAATTGCACGTCGAGAAATCACGGTTTCTTTCGGAAAATGTTTAGAGAAGTTGAACGCCATATTTCCCATCGGTTATTATTTCTCAATACTTGAAATATATCATCAATGAATTTAGACATTATTACTCGGCCTTAGCTCTACTCGAGGACACTAAACGAGTTTCCGATTGCCTTGAGAATCAGCAGAGAAGTTGTAAGTACATATTACAATTTTAAATTTTTTCTAAAATTATTTCAGTATTCCTATATCAGCTTCTTGGACGCCTTGCTTCGCAACTAATTCGAAACCATGAACCAGCCCATTTGATTCGAGATATTGCCAATCGAGTACACTTTGCTTTCAATGGAAAACGATCGTAAGTAAAGAAATCGTCAAGAGAAAAATTTTAATTTAGGAAATTCCGTGTTCGAATTTACGATGATTTGCTTTTCGCAGCTCTTATGCTTAAGGATTTGAATCTCGAAGATCGTATAGAGTATTTTCGAACATTTGTGGATGATATTGATGCCAAAAGGGAAAGAATTCACATTAGCCTTCCTTTAATATCCTCGTATGCGTAAAAACATTAATTATAGTGTGTTTTCTTTTTAAGAGAATCTGAAATTGATCAGCGACTTGCTATCATTTTCCGTCTCTCCAGTATGGGGTACAAAGACTGGTCATCTATCGATATCGAGCCTTTAATCAATATTATTCTACAACCAATTTATGGTATAAGAATAGTCTTATATTTTTCTAATTGTTTACGATGTTAAGATCATGGAAGACCCAGAAGAGATATGTCAAGACTTGATAAAGTTGGAAGGATTCTCAAAGTTTATCTTTAATTTCTGATGTTCGTTTAAATTTTCTTTTAGAGTTATGGAATCAGCGATAAGAATTTATGGATGATGATGTTCAATTGGTCCAAGAAAAGAGCATTTGAGGAACATCGCAAAATGGAAGAACTATGGGAAAAGCCATATTCGAGAGATCTCAGAGGGTATCGTTTGGTATCAAGCAGAGCGATATCATGATTGATTTTTTCAGATGGTGTAAGGCCTACTATTCCAGTACTTACGATGTTCCAAAGTCATCAAAAAAATCACCGGTGCGAGTGCCTTATGAAAAATTCAAATCGTGCGTCGAACAAGGGGTAATTCGTTTTTCATTATCAAACATAACAAAGTTTTTAGGACATTGCGAAAGTCGCCTCGATACTTTCAAGTGCAGAAAATGGTGGTGGATGGCCAACTGATACAAATTTTGAGGAAATTGTTCCTAAAGTAATCGAATTGTATCTGAATCACGAGTCTTGGAAAAATGTTAAAAATATGCTGATAAATTTGTAGGTTTCGAAATTTTTCAAAAAAAAAATAATGTTTACTTGGTAGATCCTCATTGTCATCCACGTGGAATGAAGAACCGGTGAAGACACCAGTGAAAAATTTCCACCTTTTAATGATTTTGAGAAGGTTTTAAATTAATGTTTAATTAATGTTGAAAATTGTCAATTTTGCCAGAATGGCTGAAGAAGAGGAAAAGTTTTCTGTGCGCCAACTCACTGATTATGCATATGAGCTCCGAAATTTGTTTCCATATGGTTGGAATTTATTTATTTTCTCTTTTATTTTTTATTTATTTTCTCTTTTATTTTTACTCGAGATATTTCAGCATTGTCTCACTACGAGAGTTTTTTTGAGTCGCAAAACGAGTACAAGAAATTATTTGCCCTTTGTTTTGAGGTGAAATCTCGATAAGTCAATGCAATTTAATTTTTTCTAGAGATTGGAAAAAGTTGGACTGACGCCTTCCTCAATTGATGAACTAATTGATTTCTTACGCTGTTTGGTTAAGATTGAACTCATCCAACTGCACCCAAGCGAGACGTTAACAGTATTCTTCATCAATATTGTTTTAAAGCGAGTAGGATGGGAAGAGGCTCTGAATACATGGCAGAAATTTCTGTCGGGACTGCATTGTCCAAATGGAACCGTCGCACTTTTGCGGCACTGCCTTTATCAGAATACGGATGAAGCTAGAACTAATATGCAATATGGTAAATTTCGAATTGAATCCTGCAGCTAATTTTAGGATCAAACAAAAGGAATTTAGTTATTCATCGTGGTTCGACATTTCTCTCGAAATCGCGAATTGCCGTAATGCACATTGCCGTCTTGATTGGAATGCGAAAATATGAAGATGCCGAGAAGGCTTGCGACATTTGTGGAGATTCAATTGATTCCAATGATTGCTTGATGGCCATGAAGTTAATGAACTCGTTGAAATCAAGATCGGTATAATAAATAATCCCAACGAAATGAAAGTTTTTTGTATTATTTCAAGTTGGACGAGCAATTTATGTTGGATTTCGCTGCAATTTGTCTAAGACGTCTCAGATTGTCACAGAACAAAGAAGCTGCACAAAATATGCAAGCTGATTTGCTTAGGATATGCGGTAAAATAGGCATTGTTTTCGATGCTATAATTATTATCTTAGATTCCAAACAAATGGGTCCCACGGCGTTGCGGGTTTATGAACTTTTTTCGGATTATGAGGTTGCGCTCCGCCATGACGAAAAGAGTCGTCTGGCGGCTGCCATTGAGAAACATTCGATGTTGGCAAAGTATGGAAAATTTGATATATAGTCAATATTTGCTTTTTGCAGAAAATGGATGCTGAAACCAAATGGATTTTTAAACCTGACGGAGAATGATGAGATTATTACCAATAGCGATGAAGCCCGAATTGAGAAGAAGCTTAAAAAAGAGTTGAATGTCACGGTTTAAAGAACGAGTATGATAGGTTAGGTTAGGCTAGATTTTTTGTTATATTGTTAACATCTGTTGTTTTGCCCTCCAATAAACTTTATTATTATTAGAAAATTAGAAAAAAAGTATGTAATGGTGAAATAGTGGAGAACACATAGGGGGGGGGGGCAGGTCTGAGTAAAAATTTAAAAAAATGTTGATGTTGAAATTGAAAGAATTTCCAATAAGGCTCATTGTTTTGCGGACTTTCAGGAACTTACAATTCAAGAAAAATCGCCTAGGCATTCGATGAGAATTGTGGACCTATTTGAAAGTAGGTGTAGTTGCAAATTCCATTTTGTTGGGTGGAAATTGAGAAAAGAGTGGGTTACGCGTTCCAGCGCGCTATAAGATGGTAGACAAAAAATCAAGTCAGAAGAATAAAAAGCGAAAAATCCATTATTTTTGTGTTTTAATGAAGTTTTTCAATTTTTTTGGATTTTCTGGGGTTTTTCAAAGGCCGATGTTGTAGGCAATATTAATTACTTATACATATAATACAAACACCCTAGTGGGGATTGGACGAATCACTAGAAAAAACTATATACAACTTCTAGTCAATTAAATAATAGCACTAGATTACAATGCAGAATGGTGGTAGGATAAAAGCCGTTGGGATTTCTATGGCTTGCATCGAAACTTGAAAAAAACAAGGCGAGGAAGATTGAGAAGCTAACCCGGCTTTTGCTTTGACAAAAACTGAGTCGCGCAAGCTAAACACAAAAATGCAGTATAAAATATGAAAAATGATTTTGAAAAATTGGTTACATATTTACATTCGGGAAAAATTGGGAAGATTAAATCTGCGATTTGATCAACTCGAATGTCTTGGCGAGATTGCACTCAATCGATTCAATGCGATTGTTGAAGTCACTTCTAAAATAAAACAGTAAGAAATTTAAATGCAAAAAGCGAAAAAAAAACGCAAACCTTGGATTTTCGATCTCATTTTCAATCTCCAGCCATTGCTTTAGGAGCTGGACCAAGTTGGCCTTCACAGTTTGCAGTTCCTTCTTTTTCTCATTATATACAAATCCTAATCCGTTCTCAACGATCAAAAGGATCTAAAAATGTTAGATGTTTTAAGAAATTGCGTCGCGATGTTACCGTTTTGCGGATTTCGCGAAGTTTTTCCACGCCCGCGTGGCTATTCTTAAGTTTGCGGATCGCCTTCTCAAATTCGGACTTCTTTGAAATGCGGAGATAGCGTGCCTGTCCGCAGACGTTACTGAACTCTTTCTTGATAGTTTTCGGCGCTGGAACAATCTGCGTCTCGCGTGCTTCAAGAAAATCGCGAGGATCATAGAGGCGCTCGAGTTCGCCAGTTTGCTCATTAATCTGCCAATAGGTGGCTGCAAGCATTTGAAGCGTCTTCGGATTGAATACACGTCGACATCCTTTGCATTCGGCGCGGTTCGCGTCCAAGCGGCATTCGATCTCAAAGCCACAAGCGCACACAATTCTCTTCAATGATTCGGTGCGCTCGGGATAGTGAAGCTCGAACTCGCGCTCCCATTTTTCGATCCACCCGGCAAATGAGGCGCAACTCATTGGCCAGTGTGGCTCCGAGCCGCATTCGACGCACCAATGAATTCCGCACGATACGCAATTGCAAGTATTGTACTCATTTGGACGATCGATATGAACAAGTTGCTTGCATGATGGACACTCGCCGAGATCGCCGATGTCGGCGTCAGAATGCTGAAGCATTTCGGTGGCTGTCATCTGAAATTTTTCGAATTTGCCACTTTCTCATTATCAATATAAACCATTGTATAGAAATGCAAAAGAGGCAACGGAATGATAGCTGGCAAAATGTCATACACCGATTGTCCCTCACTGACGACGAATGGGATCTCCAATGGCACGGCTTTGGCGCGAATCTGCTCTATAATTATTTGTCGAAGGCATTGACGACATTGCCAGCAGTCATCGAGCTCGAACAATTCATTGGAAACCGATGTGTCGCACGAGATGCATTTTACTTTTGGCGATGATCTCTCGGATTCGTCATCACAGAATTCCGCATTGTCATAATCGACATGTTCGAATGAATCGTCTTGTGTCTTCATGTTGCGTCCTTCCTCTCTGACTAATGAAGCCATTCGTTCAACGGTAAGCACCTTTGCAGGTCTTGCCATTAGAATGCTGTTGAACGCCGAATGAAAATTTTCGCGGTGGATTTCAAATCGACTTTTCGCTTTTCCCCGTCGATCGAGGCATTCAGGTGCGCGACCTTCTTTCCATTCGCCAACAAGTTTCGCCAAAACATGGATCACATCCTCGATTTGGTTGGCGTGCTTCAAAAGCGATTTCAGAATTTGCCACGAAAACGGCCCGGTTGGAGCGACATGGGAGTTCAAGAGAACCCGAATGACATTTTTCTTCTTCTCAACGCTTTTCTCGATGACGATGACAAGTATTGGGGCAGCAATCGTCTGATCGGTAGCCAATCGCGAAGCATCAATTGAAACACGCTTCTTGTCAGCATCAAGCCATTGAACATCGAGCTTCTCATTTGTTCCGAGTCGCTCAATTTGATCCACAAAATTGTAGTTGTCCCATTTCGATGTGTCCAAAAGAACCCATTCAAACGCAACCGGTGTGCGAAGGATAGCGGAAATGTCCAAAAGATAAAACGGTTTCGGGCTCAAATCGTCGCAATCATCCATTGTGTCCGACGCCTGCTGCATACTCTCAATGCTCTGCCGTCTGACGTACACCGCTGCCGTCGGCTTCGAGATTTTTTCGGCGTCGGCGAGATAATCGCCAAGACAGAATTTGAAATCGCGACTCGGCTTGTAAATTGCCTCATCGACATGGATACTTTGCTCGAGCTCACTCCCTTCGATGTCATCCATTTCCACTTTTTTCAAATGGGCTCGCACTTTGCCAGCCTTTTTGGTGTTATAGTTTCGACTGAACAGTTTTCCAGCCAACACGCGATGGTTTTTGTGCGGTTTGTAGATATTATACTGGACCCGTGGACCAGTGGTGGCCGTTTCAGCAGCGTCAGACGACGAACGCGAGCTATCGCGAAGCGCCGCAGCCGCTTCCGCCTCTTTAGCGGCACGCCTACCGCGACTCTTCTTGCCTTCACCGGTATGAATGGCATTCAACTAAAAATTATTGATAGGCTCAGCCATGAAGCACGCTAGATTCTTACATTAGTTCCTCTTCCCGAGATGGTCTGGACCCGGCAATCACCAGTCTCATCGCGCGTGTGAAAAGCAACAACGTTCGCGTCAGTATCTGCAAAAAAAAAGCATTTTTTGTTGTTTGTTTCACTTTCATCGCTCCAACTGCCTCCAACTACGAGTGTACAGAAAACGACCAAGTGCCAGAATGTCTCGTGACTGTGTCAACAAATTTCACTTTTTTCTGGCCAGAAAAAAAATAACGAGCGCGCGCGCGTTATCGCTAGCACGATAAGAACGTTTTTCCTTGAAACAACTACACGGCAGAACACAAAGTTTGAACATCCAACATATTGTTGAATTTCGTCAGATTTTGAAATTTCGAGAGATTTCCAAACATTAAAATGGGCGACGAAAAAAATGTCTCACCTTTCGCCGTCATCACTCGTTCGACGACGCACGTCGGAAATTCGGTCCCATTTTCGAGAAGCGATCCCGCCGTCACCTCGTTCCACCGGTTGTTCTTGTTGAGCGAATAGGCGACATTGAGCGCGTATCCGTCGTTGCACTCCGACGAGACCCTCTCCTTGCGTCGCTTTCCGAGCACCTGGTCCGGATCGTCGATGGTCTTAACGAGAACCGCTTGATGTTTCTCATGACGCGTCAATTTTGCACCAGCGCCTCGCCGTCCCTTCTCCTTCCTTCCTGTCATCTTTGCATTCAGTTCCGGAAAATCCGAATCACTGAAAAAAATGAATTCAAATGTGATACATAGTTATATTTCAAACCACACCAATACATATTATTGTTTACACAAATTTTGCACATTATAAAAAAAACAACAAATCAAGTCAAAATTTGTTTGTTTACCACCTCAATTTAATCTAAATGCAATCGAAAACAACAATAACAACAACGAGTGAAATCTTACATGAAATCGCTGGTAGACGCATGAAAATCGTTGATAAATATTCGCATCTTTTTCATGTTCAAAAACTCAATTTATTTTAACGCGCTCCTTAGCGTATAAATAGAGAAAAAGCGATTCAAACTCCACGTGATATTGAAACAGTGTGTGACATCATGAGACAAGCGAAACTCGTGCCAAACATCGCCCAATAATAACAACGAATGGGTGGTTTGAGTTGGGTAAATTGAAAGACGGTTCAAACCGGAAACATGACACACTGTATCTTCTCGTTAAGGACTTTTTAGATGTATAATATTTATGATATAATCTTTTCATCTCTTTAGACTTGAAATATGAAATACATTCAACTCATCAAATAAGGCAGGCAGGTGCTCATCACGTATCCTAATCCCAATAGATTATCTAAGACCCCGAAAAAATGTATATTTCGTTTTTTTTTTTCTTTCAATTTGAGCAATGTCTTATGCAATAATGGAAAAAAGCTTAAGCCTAGTCTCACTGAAATTGTTGTTTTCGCTGCGCGTAACAAGAAAACAAGCTTTTCTTGAACGGACGTAAATCAAACTTGACAAAGCAACAATTGAGGAAAAGACTGAACATTCAAAATTTGACAAAAAAGAAACACTTACTCAAGCTCAAATCCGACATTTTTGCTTTGAACGGACATGAAATCAGGTTTCAGGGGAGGAGGATGATGGAGACTGCGCCGAGCCTGAAAGAAAAAATAAAATATTGGTGAGAATTATATGTATCGAAAATTAAAAACAAACGAGAAATACGATGGCCGAATCGAAGCCGTATAATTAATATTTCATGGCTGATTTTGAGCGCATCTGCTTCGATGAGCTCACACGAGTGGTTTGTGAATGTTTTGTGTCGCAACAGGCTTTGGTTAGTAGTGGTTGGTGGCCTTTGTTCTCACACCTATATGTGGAGGATCTCGTATAATTACGGGCGGTGCGGCGTTCTAGTTTGTCAAAAGCAAATAATCTAGTGGAAGGGAGAGAAAGAAAAACATAGCAGTAAAGTCAACTCTAGTTGTTAAAAAAACAGAAAAGATTGCGGAAGAGCTTCAAACCAATAAAAAACTCAAATAATCAATGGCATATTTGAAGGGAATGTAGAATAATCCTGAATACAATTTGAATCGGGTCTATTCGGAAAAAGGCGTCAAAAGAAAATGAAATTTCGGCGTTCATGGTTGGTTGTTTTTTTTCGGCATCTGCCGTTCACTGCTTGCATTCATCACATGATCGAGGGCGACAGAAAAAAATTTCCAGCAATTTTTGATCACCAGTTTCACGGAAATTTTTTTTGATGTTTCGAAGAAGGGAATAATAAAATCGAAGTATTGCTAGGCAGTTGACTGGAGACTAGCAGAAGTCGGTCGATTGGAGGGTGCCCCGGCAAGGAAGTGTGCGTTTGAGGGTGGAGACGAGAAGAGGGAGATGAAAGTAGAAGAAGAAGAAAGCGGCATCCAGATTAGGCGAAGAAGCACGCGTTGTGGTTATGGTGTTGGCAATGGCGAATGGTGAAATGGTGTCTAGGGGTCCCCTACGCGACGAGGCGGGTGGTCAATTATCGGACGACAGATGTTGGCGTGGAGAAGAGGAAAGTGTTCAAGGGGCGCCTATGAATGAGGCCATCGATCGGCCCCAACTGCTCATTTTTCGATGAAAAAAAGTAAAGTAGCGAGAGACGTCAAAACTGTTTGTTATCAATGCTCCTTGAAATATCGAAAAGCTCTGTCTGTGACGATGATGATAAAAAAAATTGTTGGAGAAAATAAAAACCAATTTCTCGCACAAGACACATTTCTAGCTGGCAATTTCTTTGTCTTTCTAAGTTTCAACAATATTGACAATTTTGAAGTGGCTCGTCATGGGACCAATTGTTCAAATTCGTGCCTTATTGAGGTGCATGATTTCTGATATTTGAAAAAATAATCTGGTATTCAACGTCTTTCGCTTTTCCTTAAGACGCTATTTTTATCACAATATGATAAATTGCACTGTTGTCGCGTCGCTCATGACGCAAAGAAGACTCTCAATAACCCAATTTTATGGATTTTTTTATCGTGTTTCGCAGTTTTCGGGGGCCATGCGTCGTGCATCTGGCAAATATCAACTTTCAAGATCAATAATTCAAAAATCTATGATCGAAAAAAAGAAGAAACATACGATGGAAACCGATGTTCTGGAAAATTCCTAGCAAAAAAAAACACTTCAACAATTATTTTCGCTCGGTTAATTCAATTAAAAAGACTAAATAATTATTTACAGTACCCTCGAATTGTTGAACAGAGAAATAAAGCAATTATTCGGCAAAATTGTGGAAAATAGATTATATTTTTTAATTCTGTTTTAACTAAATAAATGGGTGCAAAGGTCACAATTCTCTCCAATCCTTAAAATTAAATGAATAATTAAATTCCAAAAAATTGTGGTGACTTTTCGATCTGCGAAAACACCATTTCGCCATAGTGAAAGTTTTCGTTTATTCATTTCCCGGATTAAAATGAACAAATAATAGAGGGTATAAACGCACCATTTACGACAATAACTAGTTCATTTTACGACTGCTCGTAAATCGAGCAACGCCACAAATTTGAAACAAATTTTCTTCTTTTTTTGCAAATGTACATCATGCTGTCCATGAAAAAATAAGTGCAATATAATGAATGCATATAAAACAGTCAGCTGACACAAACCAGTCAACAATCAGCAGGGGGTTTCAATCGAAAAGTATCAAAAGAACAAAAAATGCGATCTACAAAGGGTGTAGGCTATTCTTCCAAATTAGTTGATTCTTTCTATAAAAGTGGAGGAGGTGAAAGGGGGAAAAATCCGGTTAGCAACAAGTATTCAAACAGACATAACATATAGTAAGAGAGGCGTCGCCGCCGCCGCCACACCGACCTGGAAATGCATACAATTCGTTGCGAGAATCATGCGAAGAACCAAAATACATACGCATCACACACAAACGCACACATACACTCTCACACAGACAGAAATGCGATACTGGCGGTGAGCAAACTGCGAGGACGACAAAGCTCAAACTGACAGCGTGAATCCATTGAGGGAAACAACACGAAATGGTGAACCATTGAGAAACCGCCCATTTTTGGTCATGAGACGCATTTGAATAGTTTCATCTTTCTGGTTTGCCAATCATTATGGGTAATAAAAAAACTTTCTATCGACATCAAGACGAATATGAAGGACCTGTATCATTTATGGGTGTTGTTTATTATATGAAAAAAAAAACTTAAAATTTGAGAAATTTATAGTCGGCGTCCGGCGACTGCTGTACGCGGGTAGATTTACGGGAATGCGTCTTTCGAAATGGTCTCGCAAGGACTAACAGGTTATTTCAATTTTTATGGACCGGTTCGATAATTTTTTAATCGAATGACGTTGGAAATTCAAGTAAATGCGGAACTCATTAAGAAAAAAGGAGCAGTTCACGTGAAAACAGCAAAATAAGCGTTCACGCGTGGCGATACCTTTTCAAGGCGCATGCGCGTAAATCTACCCGCGTACATCAGTCGCCGGACGCCGACTATGTATATTTGTTATTCTTCCTGATTCGCTTGAAACAATTTAACATAGATTTTGCTACGAAATTTTAAGAAATGTACAGTTACAATCGAATGCTCGCGTCGCCTCGGAGTAGACGCACAGAAATGTACACCACCCGAGGAAATTTATATATTTATTCTATGGTGTATCTCTTCATATATAAACAATCGCATTCATAACAACACAGAGGTTACCTTATATAGAATCGAGCTATTTTAATAAAACGCTCAAAGAGTTTTATGGCACATCAGAATGAATTTAAATTTCGCTGAAAAGCAAAGAAAAAAAACAGCCTAAGGTATCTTTTCGAGGAGAATTACTTCCCCTTTTCTCCTATTTTTTTCTTGTTGTTTTTCAAGACGATGTTGGTGGAGAAGACAATAGGAAACGAGTAGAGCCCAACAACCAAAATAATGTGAAGAGTTGACGTCTCCTCGATTTCATCTGCTATTTTTCCGCTTTTTCGCCGTCGCTTCAAATATTTTGTGTGTGTGTGTTGTTATGAAACTTGTTCGAATTTGTTGACGACTTTTCGACGGCCCCTGGGTTGATCGAAGCGAGTGGGTGTTGTCTTCAGAATTTCGGGTTTCAAATATTTGGCAATGAGGAGAAAAAAGAACGTATAAACCAATATGTTGTCGTCAAATATAAATTATTTTGCTCGTCGCGCTTCAATAATAATAATCCAATGAATAACAACAAAATGTCGGGGAATTGAGGATCAAATGCTGTAACACTTCACAACAATTTTGGAAATTTTCTTTGGAAATTTTCAAATATTTTTCAAAGGTGAATTTAGCAAAATATAAACTTCCAGAAAATGTGGAATAAGAAATGTGTTAACTATACCAAATCTTATACATAGCTAATTAAAACAATTTCAAAATTGTAAGATTGAATGTAAGAAGAAAGAAATTGAACATTAATGGAAAATTTGGTTTGGAATAAAACATTTCATTCGATCAAATCAAATCCGAATTACTCACACAACGGCGGCTGCGTTAAATAAAATTCGCAATGAATTTGCAATTTGAACATTTATAAGACCCTTTAGAAGGGATAATTTCAAATTTTAAATGTTCTCACCCATTTGAATTGTCGACGCTTTGCTATTATGATGTTTGCTTCCGACTGAGTGGTTGCTAGTGAAGCCGATGACGAGGTCTGTATGTGCTGAAAATATGAAAATTTTTGAAATTTTCAAAACTAATCTACCGGTTCAGAATCTGGCGAAAAATAAATTATGCTACCCGTTTTCATTGCAATAATTATCATTTGACTAGCTGAAAAAAATATGTTTATAGGTCAATACGGGTGCAGCATCCAGAAAAATTGAAGAATTTTCAAATTTCTTTTTCAATAAGACGTCATCGATCGATTAGAAACAAATCAAAAACAAAGTAAAAATGAGACGAATTGAGACCACGCGCGTGCATGCACAGAAACGACAAGAAAACACACGGTGCACCTAGAAAATATGGTGTTGAACACAGGCACATACATACATATATCTCACATATGTGTGAAAAGGAAATGTTTATTAAAAATTTCTTTGCGAAAAACAGTGCAATTCGACAACTGTTGAGGATCGTTTTAAATAAACTCAATTTACCAATTAATCAGTTCATTGGATTTGTGGCAAAATATGCCATAAATGTCGGGCAACTAGAAACGAGAATATGTCAATATACATACGAAAATTAAAAAAAAAACAACACAGACACACAAAAAAAACATTTTATAGTTTACTCGATAATTAGAATCTAGAGCAAACGTGAAACGAATTACGTAATCAGAACGAGAATACTTTTCAAAAAAAATCATATCTATAGAAAAATTGCAAATGAAAACCAAAGTTTTTAATGAGATTCGCATTTGTTTTCCTTCGAAAAGGACGTGTCAGAGACTATCGGAGCAGTGAATATATTGTGGGTCCATTGCTCGACTCGGTCTCTTATATCTTATCGTTATGACGTGGTCCGTATTCTGGCGATCGGCGAGTGTAATTAAGTACGGTAGCATAGCAAATGATGGATATCACGTGGCATCCACGAAGGTAAGTCAGAATAAAAAGTATTATTGTCAAAGAGTATTAATTTTTCAAAATATATTTTTTTTTTCAAGGAAGGAAATTAAATTTCAATCCTTCATGTCCATTCATGGATTTTTCTTTTCCTCGCCTCAAAAAAATTGGCGTTCTGGGTTTTTTGCAGCATTTGCACGACGGCAAATTTTTTATTTGACGTAATTTTGCGCCTCTTTCATGATGAGTTGTCTGCGAACTGTTTGAACAAAAAATTCTCTTCGCGTACAATTCTCATTGCTAATATTAGCTCGTCTAGACAACCATCATTCGTCTCTCGTTCTTGGTTAATTATGAGGAACTTTTTTTTCGGTTTCTCCTAATACTTCAGGTTTCCATGTTGAGAACGCGAAACAATTGAATTCGAAGCTTGGTAATCCATTCGCATTTTCTTTAGCACCTACATACATTCGTTCTTCGTCAAATTTTCAATTCTCTATTTGTCCGGTTTCGGAAACAAAAATTTGCTGTTTTTTTTACCTAGAGAGCATATTCTAGAGAAATCGATTCATTTTTATGGTTTCCCATTACCGTGTTTTCTAAAAATTTGGGTAAAAATTTTCAAAACTACTATCTTTGACCTGCACCTTCCAATTTACTCCGGAAACTTCCCGTTTATGTTTTACGAGACCCCATGTTATTTCGTTGCTGTTATTGTTTTTTTTTTTGGTTGGGCGGTCGATAGCGCAGCCAATACCAATAGAAACTCATTCGAATATTGAAACGGCCATTTTTATGACGTCGTGTTTTAACCGGATCGAATAGTACCTTAAATTTTTGGTTTTCACACTTTTTAACCACTTGAATATCAATGACTCATTGAAAAATATCCCTAAAATAAATATTTGAAGTATTTCAATTGCTCCTCGGATTATAAAAAAAAACAATTGAAGGAGCATGAATTGCTGGTGGAACCACCGTCGCAAGCAATTCTTATTATTTTCGTAAAAATTGTTATGCCCTTTCATTGGAACAAAGTCACTCAAGCATGTGCATGAATGTGTTGCTCAGAAAGAAATTACTTTTTTTTGAAGTAATTAATATAGTGCTCTTTGTTTCTCGTTTTTCAAACTGGGCAATAATTATTTTGCTAAGGAATTTCACCACGGTGGCAAACATTTTCAATATTCGACATCCATTATACGAAGTCGATTTATTTCTCATTTTTTTTCAATGAAAAATCTCAAGTGTATTTTATTTTTAACTCTCACACAATCATATGTTCGAAGTTGTGAACAGTTTGCAAATAGAAAAAAGGTTGTTAATCTATGCGAGAACTTTCTAAGTATTGTTTTATTAGAGGATTTGTGATGGTCACAAGTCGAAACCAAACAATCAGTAAAGTTCGAAACCATGTTAACTACTCGATGAGCATCTAAAAATATCAAAGTTCGCAAAGTCAATAAAACAGTGCGCGCGCGAGAACCCATCTTTTTTACATTTAAAAGAAATTCCAAAATACTGTGTTCGACAACTTTTCTCGGCAATTGATACATTCGTTTTACGGCAATGCCTACTTTAATCAAATTAACCGCCCCACTCGATTTTTGATCACATCGTCAACAACAACAACACATTCCAACCCATTTTTTTTCAGGTTCGTTCGCAAATTTCAATAATGTGCTGCCCCACAGAACCGCCCGAGAAAAGGTGAGTAGAGAAAATATTATGAAGCGATTTCAAATTGTTAGCTCTCTGTTTGGTGTGAAAACGCTTGCATTAGAAAACAACCAACACGAAATTGGAGATGATACATAAGCAAACAGATACGCGTGCTTGCAATTATCCTCGCGTTTTGAAAAAATTCAATTCTTTAAAAAACATCGGCTTCCTTCAATAAATCCAAGAAATGTTATTTCCCAATGTTCGAATACCATATCATTTCCTTAATCGGCCATAAAATTATATGGGTTTCTCGTCTGGGTTCTCTACTATTTCCATATATCGAACCGTATAAAGCTTCTCCGTCGAATCGGACGGAGATGATACAATTATGATAACAGAAGAGAACGGAAACACTATTACATTTGCATACGTTGAATGCAACTCACATTGTATTTCGTTTTTCGATTCCGAATCAAACGATAACGATTTTTCTTATACATATTTTCTTCTTTAGTTTATCAATTTGAAGCGCCCACGTTTCAAATTGATTCCGGATTGATAACAAATTTATTTTTTTTTTTGAATGAACATTGAGAAAATCGGAATTCCACCGATTTAGTAAATTCCTTTTCGAGTTCATCAATAAGCCTAACGAGTTAAACTAGCATCCTAAATGACCTCTCTTGTATGATCTATCCTTGCATTATTAGGTAGATACTTTAATTCCTAATCTACAACGCTTTCAATTGCCTGAACACCGTTATACAACTTTACACCATACGCTTATTTCCCATATCACAGCAATCGTCGTACAGAACTGCATAATAAATCAATAAGTGTGTTAACAGGCATTCCATTTGCCAATAATTTTTTGGCAAGGTGTAAAACTATTCGAAACAATAAAAAAGCATTAACAAAGTCAACCGGTTTTTTTTGGCCTCGTCTCTTATTAGAGGAAGCCTCAATTTAAGCTGTGTTATTACTCGATCCGTTTCCAATGACTTAATGTGGTTTTTTGGTGACAATCTCATTGGGTTTCGAATTTCTCGTTTTCTCACACCTACCATCTACTTTTCCTTTTTCTTATTGGTGTTTTGCGTCTGCATTGTTTCATTCGAAAATCGACATACAATTGAATAAGCTGACACACAACAATTAATGATGAGTCAACATTCCAATGTATGCTCACTCCCGTGCTTTCGTCTTTTTTGGTAGTTGCTTGATTTTTTCATTTCCAAATTTTTAATGAGATTTTTTTCTTTACTCTCCAGTTTTTCTGGATTCCCTTGTGACAATTTGTCGTGCTATTTGTTGGGCATTAAAAAATGAGAAATTTTAATTTTTAAAAACTTTTTTTCTGTTTACAATTCCTATTTTAAAAGAAGGATTGCATCGCAAAAATGCATTCGGGATGAAAGGGCAATGTTTATTGTGTGAATCTTCTTTGTTTCACACAGGACGCCCCACAAAATGATTCATACAAGCTCACCGTGAATAACGCTAGCGGTTTTGAGTTCAAATTTGTGATCAGTTTTTTATTCATTTTTTGGATCAACGTGACAATTCTCCTCCCCCCCCCCAGTCACTTGAAATTGGATTCCGTTTTCTTTTGTTGAAACACGCATCCCATCTAATTTATTTTCCCTTTTCATCGCCTCATAAACATTTATTAGTCATTTCCTCTTTCTTCATTCAAAATAATATATTCGGAAGCGGTGAAACAGCAAAATATCAATATTGAAAACAATATATAGCGTCATTCTTGTATTATTTTCGTCCAACGTTGACATTTTTTTTCTTTCGGCGAGCGACGATTTATTCGATTTTCCAAACGAAATGCTTTTCAAAGTTTGCCGCATTTGCTCTTTGAATCCACATTTCGACGCTTTGAAAGATTCATCCTGTGATAGGAAGTCTTATTCTTATGTAGAAGTGTTGGACAAAGTGTTCTCTATTTTCTCTTTTTCTCAGTGTTATGAATTTCGTCAAATGGCGGGTGGGGGGGGGGCGGGAACGGAAGCCAGCTTTCTTCTGGATAGGTATCCTATATTTTCTACGGCCAAAGCAGATTGTTTCCAAGATTTTTTTTCGCTTTCAAGAAATATTAATTTATAATTTTTTTTCAGTGAAATGGGTTTTGACAGCTCAATGCTAAAAAGCGTTTTGGAGCAATTTGTGGATGAAATTGGAGAAGAATCTGTCGATTTAATTGTCGACCGTCCTCGATTCGCTCATGCTGTCGTTGTTGTTGCTAACGACGACGGAGAGCTTTGTCAAGCATCATGTATTCGCCAACTTGATGAGCTCATTCTTCATGAGACCCACGTTGCCAACGTGTAAGTATTAAACTTTTATCGGAGAAATTGCATTGGATCCGCGCAACAGATTTATAGAAAGATGTCAAACTCTCAAAGACTCAAAGTTCATCTAATTCGATGTTCGTTTGAATTCAAAAATTAAATTACAGTGATGCTGAATGGGCTGATGAAGAAATTCAGCGGGCTCTTCGCGAACTCGCCGAATCAAAAGAAATGCTTGATACGCCACGTGGTAGCGTGTACGTCGAAGAATCACGCGAGCATCGCCACAAATCATCATCGACCACTACCACCACCACTACTACTCACACCACCAAAAACATTACTAGTCGCGTCGAGGTATTTGAAAATTAGAGTAATTAAAGTTAAGAAATATATTCTCATTTCAGTTCCCTTCAATGATGCGTGCCCGTTCGGCCTCACGTCATCGCAACCACTGAATCAAATCGCTTTGAGACACCTATGCAACGAAACCCCGTATTCATATCAAACAATATGAACGAACCCAGCTTTTCTTTTAATTCTAAATAATTTGCGACTAATTATTTTGATCTCACGATAACTCCGAATAAACCATTTACTTAAAATTCCACATCGACACGGTTTCATCGAGCGAACATGCCGCCACTATACGCTGATTCCAGCATATGGAGGTTATTGTAGCGGAATGTGCGTTGGAGAGCACAAGGAGAATAGTGAGGCGACTAGATGAAAAAACTCGAAACGAACCATCCCAAAACCCGGCAGCAATTTGTTTGAGGTTCGGTGAATACGATAGCGATGAGCAACCAGCAGCACTAAAAAAGTAAATGGTCTGCTTCATAATGAAGGTAGCAAACTTTTGGGGATAATGAATTTGTTTAGGGTCCTCGTCTAGAGAAGAAAGATTTAGAAGAAAAATTGGGGATTTTGCACAACCAACAGCAATGCTCTTTGAGCAACTAGCGATACAAAATATTGGATCCTTTAGTAGTTGAACCTGAAATACTTTATTCTATTAAAATTGACAAAAATAATTTTTCAATATCCGGCTAGTTTTCATGCCGCAAAACTTACAGAATTCGTTTTCGTGTATTCTCCAGACTCTTTCGCATAAAACTCGACACTTCCGTTTTCCAGTCCAACAAACAATTTATTGTCACATGAGCTCAAACACATCGGTGTTGCCTGAAATGAATGCAGGGTTATTGAATAATTTACCGTGAGCGATTCTCACGTCAGAATCCATTGTGATTTGATTTCTGTCCTTCATTTCGGGTTTCAAATAAATTATGCAGTTGTTCCTTTCGACTTCCGAGACGAATAGTAAATTTTCTTCAGCGTCAAGTATAGCACCACAGAAGCCAAAATGTTGGAACGGAATTTTGCGCAAAACTTTCCATTTCTGATTATAAGAATTCGAATACTCGAGAATGTGAATGCTATCACATCGGACATGAACAAGCAACTTTAACCCGCATTTTTGAATAGTTTGAATACGCCTCTGCTCGGAATCATCTAAAAATGATAAATTCTATTGCCGGATATACAAAAGCGCTTTCATTAATCATTATCAAATGAAAATTAATGTTAAAAAAAATAAAAATTTACGAAATATCACTCCAATCTTCAAATTCGTTTCTAAACTATAAACCAATACTTCTCCTTTCATGCTTCCGACAAATAACAATTTCTCATCAATTAAGCAACACGTTGACCCGCCGGGAATTCCATGATGTACGAATAATGGAGACGGAGGACTTTTTGCCATTCTCTAAGATTTCATCTCATTTTCTAAGCGAAAGATGACTAAGCATTTATAAGGTATAACTAAAAACCGTTAAAAATTCAAAACAAATATATTTTTAAATTTTAAATGTTTCATATTTAATAAGACAAAACAACAAAAATAAAAAATAACACCCATTTGAACAACGATAGATCTACTGCAATTATCTCACAGACGTTACGCGATTATCTTCTGCTCTGAAAAAAAAAAACGATTTAAAATTCGAAATGGATAAAATAATTACCCTATTACGGTCCTTCTCATCTTCTCGAGTCCGTTCACGATGAGTCTCCCTCTCTCGCTCTCGCTCTTTTCTTTCTTTTCGCATTTTCTTTTCTCGATATTCCCGCTCCTTATCATAGACCTCTTCTTTAATTTTTTCACTAAAAACACACGTTAATTTGGAATTCTAGACCATATGATTATTTACTCGACAGTTTTTTGCTGCGAAGTTGACATCGTAGGGAAGAATTCTTTCAGCTCTTCAACGAGATTCTGCAATTAGAATACAGTGTGATAAAAACCTTGGTGACAATTTGTACCTCTCCCAACGCTGTTTTAAGATCTGTGTAGTCCTCAAACGAAAAAGACGTCAAGACAGCCTAAAATATTTTTTTATAGAAAACACACAGACGTTTGGATACTTACACCATATGCTACAGTTTTCAACTTTGCAATTGCTTCGAAAAATGCCATCTTCGCAAATTCCGATTGTTTCCAATGCTTCTTATCGATAAACTTTTGGAGAAGTGTTGAAACGAATGTATCAAATGCCGTAAACTAAATTTAAGTCTTGATATTTGAAACGAATTAAAAAATTACCTTATTGTGCAGAACACACAATGATTGTGGGAAAAGATAAGGAGTTGGCTCAATTTCGAAGATAGTCTCAATTGCTTGTGAAGCAACATCTCGCTTAACATACTTGGTATCAAACAACTCAGATAAATCTTAAATTGTTGAATTTATTATTTTAAAATATTTGAAGCTTACTGTTAATATGGAATTCCTTTTCTTTTTCGTTGCTTGGTTTAATAAGATGATATTCTTTGATTAAGTCAATTGGATCAAAGCAGGGATCTCCGGTTTGTAGATCTTTAAAAACGATAACATTAATTATCTCGATATTTTTGCTAGATACCTCTTGCCATATAAAGTCTTTTGAACACAAGTGAAACAGACTTTTGATACTCGGCGCGAAACACAAAGTTTGGTATTAATCGGATGACTTCATCCTATAACATTAGCATTAACTTTTTTTGACAAATTGTATCGCATACCCTTGACAATCCTCCAATAATTGGAATAAGCGCACGAATATCCATGTGCCGTTCGTCATGAAGCTTTTTGGCTCTCATAACTAGCTCAGGAGTTGCCGGCGCTGCAAATATTGATTGAATAGTTAAAACTCATCATTTAATACTTCGTTCTGTGAGCAAGTGCACAATTCTTGCCACCAGTGTCTCAGCTCCCGGAGGACATTCTTCAATAAGTCGTAAGACCTGCTGGTCGTGCATTCCAATAACTCTCATCACTGGCTCAATGGTACGAAGTACAACTTTCTTAAAATTAGTCGTTCCTGCTGCATAGACGGAACCGAGAGGCAGCAGCAATGACGAATCAAATGGCATGATTGTTGTATAAATAACCAACGCTGATTTGTACATTTCATCTGTCCATGCTTCGCATTGCTGAAAGCTACTTGTTTAACTAGCACAAATGGATATTACTCTACTTCTCCTGGTAATTGTGCATAATCTGGAGGTACTGGATCAAGGCAATCCTGAATTTGTTGGACGGCTCTTTCCGTTAAAGAAGTTCTGAAAAAAATTGCCCGTCATTTCGTAAGAATCAATTTGTTATACCTTATATGTGGCAAGTTACACAATTCTTTCGCCGTTTCGATGCAAGATGAACGCAACTGAAAAATTTAAAACATTATTTACATTTTAACATGACCTTACATTTGCTTGTGGCTGGAAACATAGTGCAAAGAAAAATTGCAAAAGTTGAGGTCGTTGCCTATTTCTCGTCAATATCAACTCACGTAAAACCGACATTCCAAGAGCATTGCTTTCCTAAATTGTTGATAAAAACGAAACAAAAAGAAAAATGTTACGGTGTTTAAGCAGACAATCCTTAAATATTCAAATGCATTCGTGGTCACTAATGGTGCTTCCAGAAGAAGTTTGTAGAATAGTCTAAACAACATAGTTCAGGACTCAAAAATCCGCTAAAATAAGTTTCCCCACGGTTCGTTATAGAGTTGTTTTTCAACAAGTTCCTTCAGTAGTTTGCACATAGCTTGATCATATCGCTCAAATCTCGCTTTCTTTGTATGATCGTCTTCACCACTTATTAGCTCCTCCATATATAAGGAGCAATATGAGTACCTGAATGATAATTGTGCAAAATTATTATGGTTATGTTTTACCCTTGGTATTGGGCATAAAGCTCACAAATCCACAATAACGCTAGATCTGTTCGCTTTTTATGATCATCGACAATGAACTTTACAAGCATTTCCTCAAATTTGCTACAATCCTTCTTGTATCTTGATGCTAAACGGACAACGAGTTGCTGGTACATCATGGTAGCGCCACCTTGAACCACTCGCCCTGAATAAAAAATGTTGATTCTTAAAATTCATGACAAATTACTTTCTGCTCTCAAAACCGATTCAAAAGCAAGCTCGAACATTTCTTCCATCTCTTCGTCGGTCATCTTCTTTGTTTCTTCAAGCAAATTGAACGCCTTTTTGGTTCTCAAAACCGGAACCGGCTGCAAATGTGATTTAAACTTCAAAACTGCAACATTTATCTTACAGTGGGCCCATCAATCGTTCCCTTTTGAGTCACAGTACGAGAAATTCCCGCACTGGGAACATGTGCCGGAGTCTGAGCAATGACGACACCGCCTTTACGCGCCTTCTGACGTCCTTTCAGCTCTTCTTCCTTTCGCTTTTTTAGCATTTCGTAGCCAGGACCTATTTCGCGTTGCGTTGCTTGAGTTGCCATCATACGAGATACATCCATCCGTTGTTCCTAAACTCCATTTTAATAAAACTTTAATAAATCTTAAATTCATCACCTCAGTGCCAGCTTGTGCGATAGGAGTATAACTTGAATTGAAAGAAGCAGGCATTTCATCGGGTAGCGTTAACTATAATTTATCGACATTTTTTTGGAACGGTTCAACATCATACCAACGAAATGAACACTAAATTTGTAACGACTTGCGAATTCAGCCTTTCGAAAATATATTTTGCTGTAATTTCTATCGCTTCAGTGTTCGCATCTTTCGGCCTTGTGGAAGCCGAATTTTTGGAACCAGATGTCGATGGTTCGTCGTCATCTTCATCATCTTGAAATAATGATGACGTCGTAAGTGCTTCTAAACCAGCTCTAATTCATTTTCAATGAATGATTATCGAACCATTAGTAATTTTCATTTTCTTTGCAGCTGGTTCCGCACCATTTTCAATTTTCGTCACTTTTTGCACCAAATGTGGTGGAATCGCACGATTCACTTCATTCGGTGACGCTCCTAAGTAATCTGTTAGCTGAGATCGAATTTTATGCTGCATTGGAACAGCGGCAGGTAGTTTGAGAAACCGAAGAAGATTTCGTTTCAGTTCTTTCCTCAACGCTTTCACCTTAAAATAATTTTATTGAAAGGTTCGCCCGCTTAGCTGACCTGTCCACTACTGAGCATTGGAGGTACGTTGGAATGCAAACTTTTCATGGCATCAAATACTCTTTCCAGAGCATTTTCCCACTGAGGCCGGCATCGCGTAATCATACAAAGAGCATCAATTACTGTTAGCAAGTTCTACATAAATGAAATTAACTTTAAAATACTTCGATATTATAAACCTGAGATGTAATATGTGCTATTGTAGTTTGCTTTATCAATGCAGTGAAATTTTCCTCAGCTTCCATTTGAGCTTTTCTATATGATATGAAGCGGTGTCCACGTGGAACATCATTAAGCGATATTTTCGAAAACCGCGTGTTTTGCTCATTTGTTAGCGAGTTTTGCTGCAGTTGTTGATTGGCATCCAACACAGGCTGGAAATTTAATATTTATATCAGCGCCGTTTTTTTAAATTTATTTACCTCTCTGGGTTTTGGAGATTGGCACAAAATTAATGCTTCAAGAAATTTAATGGTCACAGTGCGAATTCCGTCGCGATCACAGTCAACTAAATCGATAATTCTGCTTTTAAGAACATTGAACGATTGCCAGCATCGTTCAGCTTCAACTTCGTTTCCTCGCTTGATCACATGTTCAAGAATAATCGGGTATAAGTTCGTACAGGCTACAATCACCCGCTTAATAACTCGATTATATTTAAGTATGTTCTCATTAGGAGTTAAGTAAAAACTGAGTCTTTCCACGGCTTTCGAACATAATGATGGATCCTTCGCGCTAAAATTGAGTGATAATTCGGTATATATTATAGGTTCTAAATTACCATGCTTTTTGAAGAAAATCTACTAAAAGACATAATACTCGCGTTTCGTTTAACTCTCCAAATTCGAGCATTTCATCTAAGAAATTATCAAGCAAATGATTTGGCCTTGTTGGATCAACTAGGATGTGCATAGCCTGAAAAAAACGTTGTTTTTAATTAATAAAACACCGCATCCATACACATGCTAGAGATTTAATTTTTGCGTCGAAAGTTGTGCCTTCCCGCGCATCTTTGAGTGCTTCAGCGATTCGTTGTGACGCAGATTCGCCATCTTCCGCCAATTCAATAAAATCACCCATCCCTAATCATGCACAGTAACCTAAAAATAATAAAATTTAGAAAATTAATCGTTTGACTACGTGAACGACGAAAATTTTTAACGGTTTAGCGGACGCGTAATAAAAATTTTTAAAACGACATTTTCAGAGGCGGCCTAGGATCATCATTCAAAACCTAGGCCATAGGAACCGACGCGCTTGTTGCGAGTATTTAAAAGAAAACAATTACATATCAGGGCTGTGCGGCAATCGGAAATTTCGGCAATTCTGCAATTCGGCAATTTGCCGAAAAACAAAATTTCGGCTATTAAATGTCTTCAACGATAATTCGAAATATAAATACCGAATTTTCACTGTATCCCAAATTATTCAATGGACATTGATTTTTGTTTCGCAGATTTTTTTTTGATATCAAATTGCCGAAAATCAAAATTTCGGCAATCCGGCAATTTGGCAATTTGCCGACCGAACGTTCTCTTCAGCAATTCGGCAATTCGGCAATTTGAAAAATCGGCAATTTCGGCCATCGGCAATTCCATTGCCGCACAGCCCTGATACATATCAATAATGAACAAATGTTGATGTTGTCGAGAAAGAAATCTTTCAACCAAGACTGCATACTTTTAATGTTGTTAGAACCATTAAGATACTACAAAAAACAAAACGAGGAAGAATGCCACATTTCGTTGAGAAAAGAACATTGTTAAATTATAGAGAATCAAACGTCAAACTAAAATATGAATTATCAATCAAAAATAACGGTGCTTTAGAAAACTAGAATTTTAATTAATTATAATGATCAATAAATAAATAAATACATTCTTATCGCTTTTATTCTTTTGAATATTGAAAAAAATTGCCCCCACGAACGGGAACGAAATAAGATAACATCTTGTTTGACATTATTCGAGACATGGCCTGATGCACTTGTAAAAGTTAGTTCTTATTATTATTATTATTATTATGAAAAAATTATGGATCGTAAAATTGAGACCAAGATATAAATATTCAATGTAAAATATTTCCCTTTCTCAAAAATTTTTAAAAGTTTTGAGATGTTTCGTTTTCTAATAAAAAGGACAACTATATATATATTTTTTTTTTGAAAAATTGATTTCCATTTAGCCAATAGGCTACTGAAAGAACCCTAATTACTAGGCATTGGCCATATAGTCTAATTATCATTGACTTTTCCTATCTCTTCTCCTCCCTATACCAAGCCGCTCTCAATCGGCCAACCTTCAAGTGTTTGAGCCAGTCTGTCACTTTGCTAATTACTTTACGCTCTCCCACATCACTGGTCTATTAGAAACCACCCCTACTTTTTAACCCCCACCCCTGCTATTCCACCCCGACTTTTTAACCCCGACTTTTATTTATGATACCACCCCCACTTTTTCACCCCCAATTTTTAGGTTTCACCCCTACTTTTTCACTGCACTTCAAAATTTGAAGTTTCTAACAGTAATGTTTAACAGTAAAATGTTTTTAATATTTTCAATAATTCAAGTTATCAAGAGGAGATTCGCAGGACTGATGTCTAAATTACATTTTTCAGAAACTATTGTCGAAGTCAAACGACTTGAAGAAATTTAAAAAATAATTGGCTATGTGCCAATGCGTCTCGAGGCAGCGAGATTGCGTCCATTGCATTATAGCGTACGCGCATTAAATATTCAGTCAACGATTAATTTAAATCTACATTAATTTCGCGAATTTAAAGGCTCCGCCTCCCTTCAGTCGTTTGACGCCGACAACATGTAGTGTTCTTATGAAAGGTTGACAATTTTAACATGAAATTAACTATTCTTGGAAAACCCGGTTCAGAAAAATTTCGTCTTTTGTCAAAACGTCAACCTTTCATAAGAACGCTACATAGTTTCTGAAAAATCTAATTTAGACATCAGTCCTGCGAATCTCCTCTTGATAACTTGAATTATTGAAAATATTAAAAACAGTAAAATTTTACTGTTAAACATTACTGTTAGAAACTTCAAATTTTTAAGTGCAGTGAAAAAGTAGGGGTGAAACCTAAAAATTGGGGGTGAAAAAGTGGGGGTGGTATCATAAATAAAAGTCGGGGTTAAAAAGTCGGGGTGGAATAGCAGGGGTGGGGGTTAAAAAGTAGGGGTGGTTTCTAATAGACCCACATCACTGTTACCCGTTTCACCTCATTTTTTTCTTCTCAAAACATCAAAGAAGCAGGTGGTAATCACATGGCGTTACATTTTATATATATGTATCCAATTGCCTATTGTCGCTCTTTTGAAACAATATCAAGCCAAGATTATCATTTCCGACTTGGCTCTATTCAATTTTCTTTTCTATGGTCTTAAGCGAATAGAAACCAGCTATACGGTTTTAGTAGTAGTTGTCAGTAAGTACCTAATTTCGAATTAATGTTTGTTTGTTGATCCTTCGTGAATTCGCAGTGGTAGTGGAATGGAATAAATTTGAAATTTTTGTGACCTTGTCGCTCATGTTAACGCGGTCTATTAATTTTTCAACACTAGTCTATTCCGCAAAGTAGTTTCTTCCATTTTGGCTATGAGCATTCCCAAAATTGATCAGTTTGAATAATTGCTTCGTCAAAGTGCACGCCACCATAATCTCCAAATCTCACACATAAATTTTTCATTGAGCCTCCATTCGAACGACTTTCCTCTTGGGACCACTTAGACTCCAACTTGAGCGCGTCAAATCTAGTAGTGCGCATTATACCCCGAGAATTCTGCCAATATTTCATGAGTCGAATAACAAAGAAAATTGCCATAGATTACAAATTGAATAATTTACTTTGGCCGCAATTCGTGAGTGCATTTGCGATTTTCCTCCCAAATTTTATTGGCTCTGTTGTTCTTTTTTTGTTTTGGTCCACCTCATCTAGCGTTACTTTTTCTTCTTCTTCTTCTTTAAAAAAATGTTGTTTGACTTGAAATTGAATATCGTGTGGCGCTTCCGAATTTTGACAGAGACATGCGCATTCATGTGAATTTCAAAATTAGTTGTCCAAATTCAATTTTTCTCGGCGAATAGTAGGAAAACGCCATTTTCAAAAAGAAAACACCCTCAGGCTATAATTATACATTTAATCCTTTCTTAATAGTATAATACTCCCGCTGTTCAGTATTTTTCTCAAAACGAGAATGTCTTATATAATATTTGATTTAAAATATAGAAACGACAAAAAAATTTGACATCAATCTTGAATAGTCATGTCCGCGTGATATGTTTTCAGTGCCTGGCACCAGTTTTTAATATCGTTTTTTTTTCGTCAACAGCCTTGAAAACCTCACACCCCAATCATCTCTATCATCGAATTCGAAAATACTTTGTCAATCTGTCGGACAGCTGGTTGACCTCTATTACAATACCATATGTTACTCCCTGCCGCCCTCCATCCAATCTTTCTTTTTATATTTCCATTTATTATTGTAGTGTTTCAGGAATGGGTCGGCTCTGGACCCTATTGCTTCTCATCGGTGTCGCAAGTTGTCTTTTGTCGTTAGAAGAGGAAGATCACCTTCTTCACGAGGTTCAGTTTTCATTTGATATCGCGGCACTTATAAAACGAGTCCTGTCTAGTTGTGACATCATTGATATCATTTTTTGTCACAAAATAGAAAGTTTTATTTTAAGAAACTCGCTCAACACGGAATCGAAAAATTTAACGAAAATTCCAACGATTTGTACATTTGGGAACTCGACAGAACGTGGGATGTTGAAAGAAAATTGTCCAACGGTATTCATTACACCCTCGATGTGACTCTAGTTAAAACTGACTGCAAAAAGGTAACTTTACATTTATTTGAATTACTTCACTCAATATTTTTCAGAATGAAAAACACAAGCGTGAGTGTAAAAAGACCGACACCTTAAAGGTAAATTTGTTCGGATTCTATTCGAATCTGATTTTTTTCTGCATTTCAGAAATGCCAAATTGTTGCGATCCGACGTGTGAAAAGGCACGATCTCAGAGACTCATCGAAAGTAAAATTCTGCGAAGAGGAATTCACTAGAAATATCACTGCGTTCGAGTAATTCTATTCAATTTTTTTTCTTTTTTTAATTTGAGTGTTTCTTTTTATAGTCAACGAGTAATCAAGCTTGCACATGACGACTCAATAACAGTAGAAGATCTACGAAGAGCAAAGATTATCAAGCCTCGCGACTATGTTCATTGGAATTCGTTCCTCGATTTTATGGATCGGTGAGAAAACTTTAATTTTGTCCTATTCTCTGATGTTCCCAGGCATGATAAGGTTTACACCAATAAACGAGAGGTCTTGAAACGTTTTCGAGTGTTCAAAAGAAACTCGAAAGTAATTCGCGAGATGCAGAAGAACGAACAAGGTTCGGCTGTCTACGGGCATACGCAATTTTCTGATATGACTCCAATGGAATTCAAGAAGGTAGAAGTTTTTTTTTTCAATTTTAGTGTCAACACAAATATTTGTAGATCATGCTACCTTATCAATGGGAAGAACCTGTATATCCCATGAAGGAAGCCAATTTTGAAGCGGAAGGTGTCACTATTGCCGATGATGATTTACCAGAATCCTTTGATTGGCGTGAAAAGGGCGCTGTAACTCAAGTGAAAAATCAAGGCAATATAAAAAATATTTTCTTGACAAATATTTTCAAAGTTCAGGAAACTGTGGAAGTTGTTGGGCATTTTCCACAACTGGTAATATTGAAGGCGCGTGGTTCTTAAGCAAAAATAAGCTTGTCTCACTCTCCGAGCAGGAGCTTGTCGATTGCGACAGTGTTGATCAGGGCTGCAATGGTGGCCTTCCAAGCAATGCTTACAAGTGAGATATATTCTATTTAATTTCGGTCATGTGTATTCTTAGGGAGATTATTCGCATGGGAGGGTTAGAGCCAGAAGATGCTTATCCGTATGATGGAAAAGGCGAAACATGCCATTTAGTCAGAAAAGACATTGCCGTCTACATCAACGACTCTGTTGAATTGCCACATGACGAAGTTGAACTCCAAAAATGGCTTGTAACAAAGGGACCAATATCTATCGGTTAGTTGGTTTTATCAAACGAACAAATTATATACAATATATAGAGCAAAACGAATGAAATATCAAAACATTTCTTGAGATGAGACGTCCTGACTGTTGAAACCCATTCAGACTCGTTTCGATTAAATGCGTATTTTTTTCCCACATAGAATGTAAATAATGAGAAAGATCGATTGAAGAGATTGTGTGTATGAGTATTTGAAGAACAAACAACGTGAAACGGCAAAGTCTATCGATAATCTATGCTACTCATCATTCGTGCTAAATCTGATCGCCGGAATGATGTTCGTTTTTGAGGTTTTCGCTTTAATTGCTGACGAGTTTCGTTTTGAATGAAATTGTTAAGAGCATTTCTGAAAATCAAAAAACATTCATCAATATTGTTCCTATGATACTTACGGATTTTGAACTGGGTACAACTCATGAGCGGGTTTGACTAGAAAATCGACAGTTGCCTTTTGAAGATTTTTAGCTGCCCATTGGACTAACCGGCACAAACCGTGAAGTATGACAACCAAAAACGACTCTGAGATTCGACTATTAAAAATTTGGAAATTGATTTTTGCTTTCATTAGAAAATTTATTTCAAAAAAATTTAATCGTTCGTGTAGCCTATATTATAATAACTGTATTTATATTTACTTCTCGCGAAAAAAATTGGACAGCTGAGTGGCATCAGCGGTGATTCATTAAACATTCGTCTAGACCACAAAAATCCTATAATTAAGTATCCAACCACAAAACTCGCTTACGCTCTCTTCTTTTTGCGTGAGGCGAATACTTTCGTGCATAATTGGAAGAACTGGCAAAGTTATACTGTAGACAAAGCGGTTTCTTGTTAAGATACCTTAAAGTTCAATATTATAATTTTTAGTTTTTCAAAAATAATTATAACAATACCTTAGTTTTGCCATCGTCTCCATTCCGTTTTCTTTTCTTGCAACCGATTTGCCGAGCGCTCCAAATGTATTCGCGCTGCTTTTCTGTTTTCGGTGATGCATTCTGTTGAGTCGATCGCTGCAAAATTAAGTCTCCCCTGTCTGACTGAGAAATAATGATCGAAGTGGTTTGTTTTGGTGAGAGAAAATTTTGATAAATTATGGGTTTAGAAATTTTTTTGCGCAACTAGCTGAGTACAGCATGGGGATGTTGAAATGACACGGATTTTCGAGAAATCAAACAGCTCGTAAGAGTGCTATGAGACAAGAGAGTAGCGGGTTTTTGATCTAGCCGAGCCTCCACACAAACAGTTTTGATTCAACACATTTTTGTATGTCCATTTTGATGTTCAAAATCATCGGGATTATTTTGATATCATTCGAGTCGGAGGCCTCTTCAACTCAAGTGTTACAACTTTACGTGGTTCTGAAGCATATGGTGATTCGAAGTCAAAAAAAATTATCTTTGCAACATTTGAAAAAGTAAATATATACATATTTTTTAAATCAATTTTTTTAAATCCAATTTTTTATTAAAAATAATTTCTATAGGAATGAATGATTGAAAGCTCATTAGAGTCGGCTGCCAAAGAAACACGTCTCATTTTTCTTCGAGTTTGCACTCTTCATGCTGTTTGCATGCAGACAGACACGTAATTGCCTTTTAGAAAAAATTTAAATATTTCTGAGCCATAAGGTTCTTCTGACTCAGGAAATCGAATTTCCGTCTTACAATTAGAACGATATATATACATATATATATTTTTTTAATATACTCAGAACTTGTATAATCTCATCAATTTCAATAAACCCACCTATGGAAATAGCGTTGGCAACGCATTTTTGCCGATAACCAGCTGCCGTCGACAGTTGCGAACATTTTTGTGATAGCGGAATGTTATTGAAAAAATACTGGTGGTGTGTCAACAAATAACACCGAAAATATCTGGTCTGGAATACTGTAGATAGAGTGTTATCGGTTGGTAGGCGAAGACGGATCTTAAGTGGAAAACATGAAGATATGCACTATGAAGTTGAGTAAACCGATTCGCGTGGGAAAATTAAACACAAAATGCGACTGTGATGTTTTTAGAAGATTTTATGAGTGACGAACGAATTTATTAGAGAGAACATGTGAGATTGATTTGTCTAGCTGGTCCTACGCATCAGATGATCCAATTCGCCAGATTCCTTTGAGTATTGCTTCTTTCCATTCTATGAATATCAGTGTTTGTTATAGATTTATGATTTTTTCATTACCTCAAATCCGGCAGCCCGTTTTTCCAGAATATATACGGGCGGATTATAATAGACGACGTATGGATATGTGAAATAACGATAAGCAGGATACTATAAATATTAAGATATCATTCATTTTTTTATTTTTCAATATCAACATTTTGAGTCTAGAAATCTGATATAACTAATTCAAGGTTGTAAAAACAACCTTACAGTAATTGTTGAGCAATCAGCAGTTGGGGTTAGCTGGCTAACACCCTAGGGGGTGAACGTCATCTCCGCTTTTAAATTTGCCCTGATGGCGAGCTGTCCCAAAATTTGTTGCTTGAGATTAAAAACTAGGGGCTCGTCGAACTCACTCCCTCTCGGACTCTGAATCCAGTCGAGTCCGCCATCCCTGAGCAATTAATTTTTTTAAACTTACGTAGACAGTGTGAACTTGCGTCGGAACTTGTGCAATCGCAATAGAAAAAAGAAAGAAAAACCTAAAACCTAGGTGAATTGGCAACGTATTGAAAGAAACATACCCCAGAAAACTTTTCATTTTCAATATTAAATAACAGTGTGTGGTTCTTTCCTTTTATAGTTGCGACAATTTTCTAACTTATGGTATATTAATCAAAAATGATAGTGTCCTTTATTGCCGAAAAACAATAAAAACAAATTGTCATCATAAACAGAGTTGTATTATTTTTTATTTTACAGGTCTCAACGCTAACACCCTCCAATTTTACCGCCATGGTGTTGTTCATCCGTTTAAGATCTTCTGCGAACCATTTATGCTGAATCATGGCGTTCTGATAGTCGGCTACGGAAAAGAAGGAAAAAAACCTTATTGGATTGTGAAGAACTCATGGGGACCAAAATGGGGAGAAAAGGGCTATTTCAGGTTTTCGCGTATTCTCTTTAAAGCATTTCCATCATTTTTTTTAGGCTTTACCGCGGCAAAAATGTATGCGGTGTTCAAGAATTAGCAACATCGGCAATTGTTAAATAATTATATTTTGCACAACCAGTATTAATGATTCCCTCTATCAATTTGTACATTTTTTTTAAACGTGTAAGCTGATTTTCTTGACACCAAAGAATAAAATGGCAATTATATGTAGTGTTTACTGTTTTCGGTGGCGTCAAAGAATAACCATTGATAAGGGAGGTCCGATTGATAATATCGCGATCGATTTCATTCTTCACAACAAGTCAACCAATGCCAAACGTTCCTCGCGTTTTCCTCACCGTTAATGATTATCGACGATTCGCTGATACTAATCTTCTGAAATCCGCTCGCGACTACTACGAAAGCGGCGCTGAAGAGGAGAAAACTCTCCGGAGGAACGAAGCCGCTTTTAACGAGTAAACCGAATCGCGTACGGTCTCGATTATTCGGATTATTGCAGCTTTCTCGTTCGTCCGAGATGTTTGAGATCCGTGCAAAACGTCGATACGCGCACGGAATGGAATGGGACTAGTGTTCCATATCCAATTGGAATAGCCCCCACCGCGTTTCAAAGAATGGCAACGTCTGATGGAGAATTGAGCACTGTTAGAGGTGAGCCAACGCGACACATCAAACGGTTTAATATTATTCTTTCTAGCTGCCGCTGCCACTTCATCCATTATGATTTGCAGCTCGTGGTCTACTACTTCGATCGAAGATATTGGAAAAGAAGCGAAACAATGCGGAGCAACGATTTGGTTTCAGGTGAGCAATTGGCAGGCACGCCTTTAAATATAACCTTTTTCCAAAAAAAAATTTTAACCAACTAATAAGGTTTTTTTCAGTTATACGTATACCGTGATCGCAGTGTCACCGAAGCACTCATCAATCGCGCCGAAAAATCTGGAGCCAAGGCCCTTGTGCTGACCGTAGACACGCCAGTCCTCGGTAGACGTATTGCAGATACCATAAATGGCTTCACTCTTCCAAACCACTTAAAGTTTGCAAATTTCGATACGGGAGCCTCTCAAGCAAACATGCCAAAGGGAGAATCGGGAAAGTCTGGATTCATGGAGTACGTGTGTTCCCAAATTGATCCTTCCTTAGATTGGACGACTCTTCGCTGGATCAAAACGTTGGAACTTGCATTTTGACGTTATTACAAATTTGGCTTTCAGCAAAACCAGTCTACCAATAATTGTGAAAGGAGTGATGAGAGGAGATGACGCAGAATTAGCTTTGAACGCTAAAGTCGATGGAATTATAGTTTCAAATCACGGAGGCAGACAAATGGATGGGACAATTTCCACAGTTAAACAACAAAGAAAAAATTTTTACAATATTGGTTTCAGATTGAAGCTCTTCCTAATGTTCTTGCGGCTGTTGGAGGAAAAATCCCAGTTTACCTTGATGGCGGAATTCGCACGGGACGAGACATTTTCAAGGCTGTTGGTATCGGAGCAGCAGGGATTTTCGTAGGAAGACCAATTCTTTGGGGTCTTGCTACAGACGTAGGGATATGTCGGCCAAAAATTAGTTCCAACATTTTAACTTAAGGGAACTCGTGGAGCGACAGGTGTTCTCGACGTCCTTCAATCGGAATTCAAACATTGCATGCAACTCAGTGGTTTTCGTTCAATAAAAGAACTTCAAGCTGATAAAGGAACAATTGTTCATGCTTCAAAAATTGCAAAAATATGATATATTACAACGAATAAAAGTTTTAATTACAAACGACGAATACCGGGGGTTGTGATAGGAAATGAAGAACCAGTCATGGTAATGTACATAAATTTTAAGCTGGAAGCTTTGGAAGACCAAATTCATCAACTTCGAGTCCTTCGGCAACCTAAAGAAGAAAAATTCTCCGATAGCAAGTTGGTGACATTTAATAATTTGTACTATTTCATGCATTGTCGACAAAAAAATGACAGAGTTCTTGACACAAAATAAAGTAGATAAACGGGCTAAGCATAAAGATTGTTGAAAGAGAGACCTCTCCCTCGATTTTTCGGCAATTATTTAATTTTCCGCACTCGACAATGCACAGATTTGTTCTTAGGTTAACCTTACCTTAGCTTTTGGTTTCTGGAAATCATTCGGCACGCCAGGTGCTGCAAGTGCCTCGTCCAGATAATTTGTGTCCGTTTCCCCAAGATCTAACTCATCTCCAAGAGCAGCAAGTTCAGCTTCTAAATCAGCCTCGTCAATCTGAAACAATTCAATAATAGATTTTTTTACCATCTAGATACTTACGTCGGGAGTATCATACTGTCTGCTCATTGCTTCTTGAATCTCATTGTTCAAATCTAACATATCTTCCATTTCATCTTGCAGATTTTCTATCTGTAGAATTCTATTATTTTTAAGACATAAAATAATTTTTACCTTATCAATATTCATTTTCTTGTATTCTCGCTGCATGGTTTTCAATCCATCTTTCATTGCGGCAACGGTTACCTAAATGGGGTACTGACTATTCAATTCGTAACAATTACCTGATTATCCTTCATTCCTTGGATAGCAAAGTTGGTTTGATCCATATTAAATGTCTGTTGATCCAACTGACCTTTTTGGTTCTCGTACATCCTTTTTTGCTTGAGAATTCTTAATACATTGCGTTATACCATTCAATTTTTTTTAAATGTTCACCTTAACGCTTTCTGCTTGATTAAATTTTTGCTAGGCCCTTCGCGCATTTTCGACATTTGTTCTTTCATTTTCAATAAATCAGCATCAAGCTTTTGAATTTTTTTGTCAATACTTTCGCTTCTGGACTCTACGTTAGCAATTGCATTATTCAAATCCGGAGGTGGTTCTTTCTTTCCTGTTCCGAAGATGCGTTTCATATCTGTAATTAAGTTAGAGAATTTATGTGAAAAAAATTAAAACAAAAGCAAAATGAATAGTGATAAATAAAGTGACACATGCAATGATGACTGGAGCTGATTGCGAAATTGAATTGTATAACGTAATAAAAATATAACGGACGCAATCACTAAACCTGGGATTAAAATAAAAGAGGTGATCTTCAGAAAGCTAAAGATTAATAAAATAAAATCTAATTAACAATCTGACACACGATTTCCTTCGGGTTTCCAAATTATTACAACATAATATTTTCGAATATTTCGCAATAAATAAAAAACTTTCTATTTTTAAATAATTTTTAGATACAAATATAAAGTGAAGGTACATGTTTGAAATGCGAAAGTTTTGTACATCGCATGAAAAAAAAACAATGAAAAACGGAGAAAATCTTGCGAAATCGGCCGACTTGGCCCCCCGAAATGATGTATAACCGTCTGTGTCTCTACGTAACGAGAGCAGAATGACGTCAAGCGCGCGACAAGACCGAGGTGCGAGTTACGTCGGCCGCGGCGCGGCTGCGCTGCGAACGCGTTTTTCGCTCAATTTTGGTTTTCGCCGCGTTTTGATAAAAACACGGCTCCATGACGTATGCGCTTTTTGGCGAAGCGCCAATTTTTCAAATTTCAATCGTTTCAAGCCCATTTACACTATTATCGCAATAGTTTTTCATTGTTTTTCCCACGTCTTTCATCATGTTATCGACGACGTATTGCTATAGAAAATTTTGTTCATTGATTTTTTGCTTTTTTATCAGAAGAATGGCGAATTTTTAAACTTTTCTTACGTGGTATAGAAATATGTACAATGAAGTAATTAGAAAAATTTTCAGATGTTGCATTGAAATTAAATTATTTATAATTAAAACGTCTGAGCGTACTAAATATGCTGTAATTTAATATTTTTTTTAATTGTTAAGAAATTGAAATCAAATGAGTTAGGTTATTGCATTATAAAAATTAATGGCGATTGCGAAGATTTTGTTTCTTCTATAAACAATACAGAATAAACGGATGTTAATGAAATTTGAGAACTGGTTAAGAATGCCATTATTGAAAAAATATCTTCAATGATTGCCAACAAATAGATGAAAGGTTTTTAAACATCTATTTATGCTATTCTATATAATATTTTTAAAAAACTGACGTATTCCCAATTCAGAGATCGGTCGATGAACGTGTTTCACAATTTGGTTATCATTAATCTCAAGTGACCTTGTACTATCGGAAACTTCATAGACATCAAAAATGCCAGATTTGGCCTTAAATTTTAAGCAATTATTATAAGGAATTTATATGCATTTATCAAAAATGAATAGGTCAATGCAATTTGAAGATGAAAATAACTACGACTATTAATTGTATAACAGATTTTTAACCTAATTAGAGAGCTAAGAACATTGTAGATTAAAAAAAATCTGGTCTGAATTTTATATTCACTTGTTTTTTTTACGTATTCGAACCAGCAAAATTTTTGAAAACGGAGATTTTTTTCCGAAATAGCGTTTGCCAATATTTATTAATTTAGATAACGTGACTGACTATCGTCGCTTAATTGATTTGTTCACTTTTTATTTGAAAAAAAGTAACTCCCTAATATGGATGAATGATCTTTCATTTCTCCTATGTCGACTAAATTTCTACATGTTCGTTCAGAGTTTCTGTGCTGTTTGTTTTTTTTTTTTTCAAATATTTTTTTTTTCCAATTTTAGATGTGCCACTAAAGAGCTTTAAACATTACCATACATAGCACAACTACACATCTTCGATCACAATGGCTGAACTCAATGGAATTTCCGATAAACCTCGAGAAAATGGCTGCTCCCCCAGCAAACTGTTCGAAAAAGAAGCGATTGTAAAGGTAACTATAGAAAGATTAAACACATTTCAGTGGAAAAAAAAACTGTTTTCCGGTTTTTTAAATATATTATCGGAGTCAAACAACTTAACGAAAATTAAAAAATTATTGGCAATGTGCCAATGCGTGTCAAGGCAGCGAGAAGTACGTGAAATTGCGTACCTTGTATTTAAGCGTACGCGCATTTAATATTCAGTCAACGAAAAATTTAAATCTCCACTGATTTCGCGAATTTGAATGCCCCGTCTCCTTTCAGTCGTTTGACGCCTACAATAGTTCTGCGTTACTCAATCCCCTGTTAAACATTCATAGCTGCTTTCCTTGAAAACGTTCAAAGAGAAAAATAGAGGTGGGGGACCGATGTTGCGATGATTATACTAATTATATATCCCGATGGATGCAGTGAAATTTCGCCTACGCAGAAAACCTAATATGAAAATCATTTTCAACATAAAATCACATATTTTTTCTGTTTTAAAATTAGAATATTAGAACCTTTCTTCCCGAATCACTGTTTCCTTTCGCGCCAGATTAAAAACTGTAGCTGGTCTATATCTTTAGATTCCCGGAAGTTGTTTGTCTTCGTCAATATATTAGCGAAATGATTGATAAAAGCTAACAAAAATCTAATTTATAGGAGGGCGAGTCAATGGAAATCGATCAAATAGATGTAAAAGAAGAGAATGGCGGTGCAAATGTCACCGACAATAAAAAACAGCAAGAACAATCTGCGAAAGTAGAAAAAAGTGAAACAAATGGTGATAATGGTGCGGCGGCAGATGAGAAATCGAAGAACGACGAGAACGATCCCAAAGATGGGAAGAAGAAGAGCAAAGAGAAAGCAGACGGAAAAGAGAATCAACCAAACGATACGATTGGCGGCCGAGAAAACAAATTGGATGGGCATGAACTACAAAGGGTTAGTCGGTTGTTGGCGTCTTTAGTCTCCGCAATTGAATAATCCGGTTTGAACGAAAATGCACGGTGTTTAATCTGTGAATATATTAAATCGAAAATAAGAAGTTAAAAATTATAGAAGATTGACTTGTTCTAGGAAGCCATAAACCGAGTAAAGCTCTATGTTCTCTGTGACCAAAGAGCATGGGAAGATCGTGGTACGGGGCATGTTCTTTGTGTTAATGCCCCTGATGAGGATTCACCTTCGAACTCTTCGTCGTTTGTGATTATCGTACGTTTGGAGCAACAAAGTATTACTAAATTTTAAACCACTAGTTATTTAAAATTTTTTTTAGGTAAGAATGTTCTTGAATCACGGATACTCATGGATACCGTTTATCAAAAGCAACAGGTATGTGTTCGAAAAAGATTAAAGAAAAACAATGAGGGTAAATAACTTTTTTCATTACACTAATTATTTTAATTGTTAAATGTACGAAGTCGAAAAAAAGTAATTTTGTTTGTAAAGCAAAACTGAACGTAGAAAAGTATAATATAATCGCTCTAGTTGCACTGATATTTCGACGCCTATTTTGGCAAAGATATTGGTTTCCATTTTTTCTGTATTCGCTGCGGTCACCAACGCCGTCATCATCCCCTCGCTATTGAGGTGGTCGTTTTAAAATTTTTTTTGCGTCAAAACCACCGACAAAACGTCGAAAAGATGTTGATATTTCGGAGTATCCCGGCCTCTTCGCCCCTAGTTTTGTTTCGTCCTCACGGCGATATCTTTTTCTGTCTGCGCCTCATTTTTTGTCGGAGTCTCGCACAAGTGAGGACACAATATGCGAATATCGAAGTGTGTTGCAGCAGCAGCCTGGTATCGCCCTTTGCGCGTTTCGTCCGTCCCCATTCATCTACTTTATTCATTTTCGGCCGCCTCTGGATCATTCGTTCGTTTCGTTATTTATTTGCGCGTTATTGCCTTCCATTTCTGTCTTCGATCGTTAGAATCAATTTTTATGTCATTTACATTTGATTATTAGTATCTCGTGTTCCCTGTAAGTGATTACATCACTACATTTTTGGCAGTAACGTGATTGAAATGATAGCCGAATCGTTTGCCTCGATCGATAAAATATCCGTTATGCTGCGTCTGGTACAGTCTCATGTGCGAGTTTTCTTTTACGCAATCATCATTGTCTTATGTTTTTATTTTCGACGTGTTGTGCGCTTTGAAAATAGGGCCGCGCGAATTTGGTGTCTCATGGAACATGACGCCTAGAATGCTCTGTCAGAATAATTGTTTTGAGAAGTCAGCGAGCGGGGCGCAAGATGTGCCGAATTGGAGGGCGAAATAGTAGCATTGCAGAGAGTGCCCCTTTCCCGTAACCCGTGTGTAAATATGTTTTTTTTTTGCTGGTTGGTGCGAGCGAGCGCACGCTCACTCGTCGTCGTCCTTCCTTCTTCCCGCTCACTTAGTCAGTCGGTTGGTTAGTTGCGTTTTCGTTTTTTGCGCCCACCGCCATCACCATATGTAGAGGAGGCGAAGACGAGAAGAAGCGGCAAAGAGAATGAAAAGTAGAAATACGAGGAACAGTGAGACGTTTTTGGTTGCTTTTTTATTTCTTCAAATGTTTTCCACACAACCAGGCAGTCAACCAGCGTGCGTGCTAGTGTAGTAGTTAACGCGTTCAACAAGCATTTAGCCTCGTATGATCTGGTTTCGTTTTCAAGTCTGCGCTGTGCGTGTTTTCGGTTCGGTTGACATCTCCCATTTGCAGTTCTATTATATAAAATGAGTGTTCACACGTATGCCTAATTTGAGGCGCACGCCTTGGCCAACCATGCGCTTTGTGTATATGTGCTTCCTTCTCGCGAGGAGACACCATCGATTGTTTTTCCAATATTTTCATCTCTTTTGTGTTCTGCTTGGCCTCAAACGCTGTTTACACTTATATCGAGCGAAAATTGAAAGTTATTTGGTTGATTCGTATAGTATGGTTTTGTTTTGTTTTTGATTACACAAACTTTCTAAGTTCATCGGAATTCTTTGCACTCGAAATCTTGAGACGATTTCCTATCGCTTCATAACTTGAAAAAAAATATACTATTTATATTTTCAATATTTAATTGTACATCATTTTTTTCCATTAGAAGATTAAATATTTCATAAGCTGGTTAATCATCTTAGTTATAATTGATGATCACATAAATCTATCAACTTTATTAGTATTTTAGTGAACTAAGTTTCTACAAACCGAAGCGTATCGCAATCAAATATTTGAGAGCAGATTAGCAAAAGCATTTTTCATTTTTTTTTCGCCCAATACTTGTATCAAAATGTTCGGCCTCTTATCTTTGATTTCTCGCGGTTTTCACAGTTTGTCAGCCAATCAGTCCGCCCATTTTCTGTTGCCATTCATCATTATTTCCAAAAGTCTCTCGATGCCTTTTCGTCATCGCTTGTACATTTTTTTTCATTTTGTCGTTCCTGTGCCCCGCGTGATCATCTTACTTTTATTGATTTGCTATCATACAGCGCGAGAGATTCGTTCAACACATGTGAGAAGTATGCCGCGTTCATCGGATAATCGAGATGATGAACCTACGACATCAACAGCCATATTTCCTTTCGATTTTCCCGATATGGACAATGGCCAAAACAATAATGATGACAATGTTAGTTGCTTGTCTAAATAATATTCATAGCGAGTGTTCTCGCAATTGAAAAAATGAGTTGACTCATTGAATAACAATTGCCGAAACTGATTTCATCATAACACACATATATTGTACATATTTCAAACAAAAATAATAATAATAATCGTCAAGATGAAGCGGATTTTTTCTTCATCGGTCGTCATGTTATCTTATCGTTTTTGCACGATTGATGTAATAATGGAAATGATATGTGACTTATCAGTATCAAAATAAAAGAGGAGAAACTTGCATGTTTAGAAAAAGTGCCAACAAAAAACGAATTGTTTAAAGGATTAATAAAACATTTTCAGGAGACTTTAATTGTATGGTCCGAGACCGACATGATGGATCTGGCCCTGTCGTTTCAGGAGAAAAGTGGATGTGAAGAATTGTGGGCGAAGATTTGCGAAGTGCAGGGTCGTGATCCTGGCGATGGTGAGGCCCCTTATGATGATGGTGATGACAGTGACGTGAGCGAGTTAACCTCGTCCACGAGTCGTCTCGCTTTACCGCCGATTGAAATCGGGCGGCTCAGTGAGATCGATACATTATTGCACATGCATTTGTCAACAAATGCAGCACGCGAAAAGATGGCTACCGCTATAGAGAATGAAAAGTTCGTTAACCAAAGTTGAAATAAGAAATTACCTAACGTTTTAGTGTACTACCAAAGCTGTGCGAGGTCTTCCAAATGTGCGAGGATATCGAGCACACGGACGGGCTACGTACATTTTATTCGATTGCCAAGAACTTATTCATGCTGAACAAAACGAGTATTATCGAGGTTTGAAATGATGGGTGTTTACATTCATATGAATATTAACAAATTACAGCTCCTATTGGATGAGAAGTATATACGAGATATGATTGGAATGTTCGAGTTTGATCCAGCTTATAAGCATCCAAGAAAACATCGTGAATTTGTATACACCAAAGCGAAATTCCGTGAAGTTCTTCACGTTTCGAATGAGGAGCTGAAGGAAAAAATTCACAAGTTATACCGAGCACAATACATTCAAGATGCGTGTTTGCCGAGTCTCGGCTTGTTCGAGGAGAACTTATTATCTACATTAAACAGTCACATATTTTTCTCGCGTGTTGACATTGTGACAATGCTTCAGGTAAAATTTACAAAAAAATGTTCCATGTAAGTTATTTGTTTTACAGAAAGATCGGAAAGCCATGAAGGAGCTTTTTGGACAGCTGAGAAGTATGGAAACCTCGCAATCGAGAAGAAAGGATTTGGTCATGTTCTTGAAAGAAATGATATCGCTTAGTCAGAATTTACCGGGTTCCGGCGGTCAAAGCAAAGATAATTTCTTTAGGGTTAGAGTTTTAACTCAGTAAATTAATAACAAATGCAATTGTTTTTGTAGAATCTAATGGCTAACGATATTTTGGAAACAATTGAACCATGTATGAAATCTAAAGATCCGGTGACGCGTTCCACCATCGTCGAGGTTTTAAAATCGTTAGTCGAACACAATCCTCAAACGATTCGTGAGTTTCTACTAAAACAATCACGAGATCAAGAAGATGAGGACGTTTTGTTGAATCGCCTCATTTCGCACATGTTGACTGATAAGGATCCCCACTTGAGTTCTGGCACTGAAGTTATTTTGGTGAGTAGCAAGGAATAAAACTGTTTGTACAAACCAAATCTTTCAGATCCTCAAGAATCTACTAGATCCTGAAAATATGACTAGCATGAAAACAGAGCGCAGTGAATTCCTGCAGTTGTTTTACAATCGTTGTATTCACACACTTCTGAAACCATTGCTGGAAAATGTTAGTGGTGGAATTATCAAGAAAGGTATTATAGACTTTTGTTAGTTATGGCGTAGACAATGTTTTTTTTATTCAGATGATTACACCACTGCGCATCGTCAATCTGTTATGGTGCGCCTGTTATCATTCTGCATTGAACACCACTCCTACTCAATGCGTCAACACTGTATTTCTACCGATTTACTGAACAAGGTTTTAGTGTTGCTTAAATCGAAACACCAGTTTCTCGCTCTTTGTAAGAAGTGATTTCTTTACTGAAATGGCGAAATATGAGTTTTAGATTCTCTCAAGCTTCTTCAGCGAGTTGTCTGTGTCAAGGACGATTATTACGTTCGTTATATTGTCCGCGAAAAGGTTCTAGACGCTGTTTTCGATTGCTTTAAACGTAATGGTACACGATATAACGTTCTCAATTCAGCAATGCTTCACATTTTCGATTTCATCAAATCTGTATGTTTAAGCGTTATGCTTTTTTAAAAATTGAATTATCCTTTCAGGAAGATGTTCGGCCACTTATTAAGTATATTGTGGAAAATCACATGGATGTTGTGGAAAGTGTGAACTATGTGAAAACGTTCAGAGAAATTAAGAACAAATACGAACAGCATCGTGACAGAGAGGAAACGATGAGTATCCGATCCGAGGATAATTCGTTGGCGAGTCCAAGAAGCTTAAGAAAAGATCGACAGGTAAACCATTTTTAATTATAATAGCATTAATAACTGATTTTAGGAGGATCAATGGTTCGATGATGATGACGATATGGATGTTGGAACAATGCTCGAGTCAATTGAAAAAGATGTGGTGACTGTATCGCCGAAGAAAGAAGAAATGACAACCCGAAAAACAGGAATCGAGCCGATGTTCCCGTCGGTGCTCAAACGAAAGAATGCATTTGATGATGATGAAGCTCCAGTTTTTGGAGGCGGAAGTGCGAACCTTGTTAGTCATGCCGAGAAGAAAATTGTGATTAAAGTATGTTGGAGTTTTTTTTAAAAGTTGGATCCAAAAATTATTAATAGGTCAACACGGATAAGTCACCATCTCGGACACCAAGTCCGGCGGCATCTCCACGTGCATCTCCAAGCCCGGGTCCTTCTAGAGAAGATGAAGTTACTTCATCGCAAAATAATAGCAAAGAAAACAGTCCGACACCGACGGTCAAGGTAAACGCAAAATTTTAAATGATTCATGTTTTTAAATTATTATGTTTCAAGTCGCTGGTCGACTACGACGAGTCGGACTCTGATGAAGAGGCCGCTTCACCAGACGCTGTTCCGTCTTCATCGACTGGTAGTCCTGAATCTGACACAAAGTCCATTCCGGAGTCGAAAAAGTCTGGCGATTCACCGGAATACAACGATGTTTCTTCAACAAGTGGCGAAGATCGCGAGGAAGAAGACGAGGAGCTTGCAAGTCTTTCACCACCACTCACACCAATCAATGCGTCGTCTTCTCCTCCATTGGCGGAATCAAGAAAACGGACATCCGATGGGCCAGAACGCCTTGATGTGAAGCGATCTCGAAGCGAGGAAACAGTCAGTGAAGCATAGGAGTTCCGTTTAATCTATAATTAATGTTTTCCTGGTCCATTTTTTCTCTGTCTGGTAGCGGGTCGTTCTTCTTGGAACTCCAATTGGTTTAATATCCCCGAAAATTGTAAACGTTTTGTGCGAATTTTTTCTCTCTGCTGAAATGATCTTGTTAGGTGCTTTTCGAATTTTGAATTCTGACCACAAATTACAATTTTGCCTTTAACAAGAAGTTTAGTAATGAAAAATTCGAGGAACTTGTATAATAAAACCGTTTTGGCACATTATCATTTATTTCGACATTTCGGGTATATGTTTTGTGTTTTTATATTAAAATTTTTTTCTAGAGAATCTTTCAACTAAACTGAGAATTGTGCCGGAACCCATCATCAACCCATACTATTTGTCTCTGTATTACAATCAAGCGTTGAAACCTCATTATTATGTTTATTTCCATATATATATATATATAATTCAATACCTATATATATATATGTATATCTAATTTACAATACGGTAGCACTTGATTTTGCCTGTTTTTGCTCTTTGAACTGACGCCCGGTGTCTCAACAGCACCTGTATCTGTTTGAGTTATGTTTGAAATTACCATCAATTACAAAACTTTTTTCTTGGAATTTATAACCCCGACCTTTCACAATGTATGTCAAACATCTAATGCTACCGTACCGTTTCATTTGTTTTTTCTCTATTCCCTTCATTCATTTGTTTTATTTAACTATTTTCATTCATAAATTTTAGAAATTCAATTTTATGACACGTTTTTATTGGCAAAATACTTCAAAATTATCAGTTATTGATATCGCTTCTTGATGAATTCTGGAAAATAAGGATTAGAATGTTGGGTCCTTTTGGTAAACGTACACTTTGCTGGCTGTGTCAAGCCGTACGTCGAGTTTTGGGTCAGAGCCATAATAGCCGAAAGCGCCGAGTAGTCGATGAGCTGAGGCGGTTGAGTTGGAGTAGCTTGAGTTGCCAACAGCGGATTAATGAGTCCCGCGGTCGGATAATACATTGGTGGAATGCTGAACAAGTGAAATATTGCAATTTTCGGACCACCATTTGAAAAAGGACACCCAAAATGCACGCCCATGCGTGAGGAAAAGTGTAGTATTTAGGGCACGTCCATTCCATTTATTTTTAAGGGTCTTGTTTCGTTTAACAACTTCAAATCTAAACGAATTCACCGTAGCAAACAAAAATTTTTTAAACAAGCTAATAATAAATAAAATATGACTTATTTATAGAAATGATTTTAAAAAGAATTGTATTACGATCGGAAAAAATGAGCATCATGAGCATCAAAAATGAGCTACTGTAATTTAAACAGTTGTAGTGAGTTTGAATCGCAGGCTATGCCTAGTAAGGTCTTTAAATAAATAGAAAATTATACGCAAAAAATTTATAGGCTTGAAACTATTTAGATTGAAAACGTTTGAATGTCGCGCAAATTTTTAACTTTTTTTTCTTTAATTTCCGTCAGACAAGTTCCAAGAAAATTATTTTAAAATAGAATTGATAAGTGTGAATTGAAATGTGTGCGAAATTGCGACAAAGTGTAAACAGACAAAAAGCGGATAGAAACAAATCCCGCCCATTTTCTACTTTTTTAACTAATAAAATTTTACTTAAAAGTATGAAGCAGGTAGGTAAGAAATTTGTGTTATACTATTCGTTTAAATAAAATTTGAATTACCGCGCTGAACACAACCTTGATCCGCTAAAACTTACATCAGGATGCTCGATTTTTTTTCGATTGTATTTAAATAGTATTGGCAGTGAATATTTGATTTTTAAGGAAAGAAGCATAAATTAAAAAGTGGAAAGGAAATATTAGAATGGATTCGAAGCATTTTTTGCAAGATCTTGTTTTTTTCTTCAATTGTTTGTTAAACGAATTTCAAAACAATGTGTGTTGAATTAACTATTTTTGGATTATTTGCGAGAGATGGAGAATCGTACTGAAACGATTCAGCCAGGAGCAAAAATGAAGGAAGGAAGGAAGGAAGAAATTGTCACTTCAAATCACAGCACTTGGATTCTCAATATAAAATCATCAAAGAAAAAAGTGATAAATCTGTATGGGCACACTTCAAAACGCACTCCTAACCTTATTTGGTGTACACTCCGTCAATCATCGTTCACCTCTTAAAATTGCAGAATATTTTAATTTATGTTTTTAGATTTTTCTTATATAAACTATGGCACACACACAAGCAAAAACTTACCCAATGCGTTGAGGAAACAAAGCTTGGAGTTGGGTGGTCAAAGGGATTTGCATTTGGCCAGCGAGAGCTGAAAATTGCGGGTGGAAATGGAAGATCAAAAATATATTCATCATTTTTTGGAAATTACGTACCGGCTAGTTGAACATTGGTTCTTGGTTTGGCGCCAAGATAGGCCAAGTTTACATTGGCTTTTCTTCCATCGATTATGGGATTCGGGTCTTTGCATGCTCTCTCAGCAGCTTGGCGATCCTTCATGGTAACCTGTACAAAGTTTGGTTAGTGTTATAAACTATTTGATTGACTTACAAATCCATAACCCCTAGACTTTTGAGTGTTTCTATCAGTGATAACAACTGCTTCTTCGATATCGCCAAACTGCTCAAAATACTCATGAAGTGTTTTGTCGCTCGTGTGATACGGCAAACCGCCGACAAAAATCTTCGTGAACATCGTGTCGCGAGAACCGACAACGGGTTCTGGCTGAACGAGAGCAGCTGCTGCAGCTGCCTGAGCGATTGGGTCCTGGATTTGAGCTGCATACATTGGAAGCATGATGACAATCTGAAGAAAATAATGAGGTTTGAAGGAGGATACTTGGGGAAAAACAACGAAAACAAAACAAAAATGTTGAATCACAGAAATTCAAACCGTGAGAAAGTAATAATTGAAAAAACAAGGTATTGTTGGTATATCCTCCAACCGACAAGAAACTGATATAATTCAACAAAACGAGAAGTCCATTTTCTCAGTCCATAAGGCTGTCACAGAAAGTGAAAAATTATTACTTTTCAACAGGCAATGGAGCCAAATTTATAGGTGTTTTATTGGAATTTGAAAACAATTTATGCTTTTTTCAATCGAACTTCTCGATATCTCGATAATTGGAATTATTTAATACTAAAGACAAATAGAAATCCTACATAAAAGTTATCTATGTTTTTCGAGAATATTTGCGCAGAACAAACGACAAGGTGGAACACTCGTGAGAAACGTGGTTACTAGTAATTTTCAGGTGAATATTACAATTATTATTATTTTTTTGTGAAATTTTAAAGCGGTGATTTTATACGAAAACGTGAGAGATGAAATGTTGCGGCTCGGGTTGGTAGTGAGTTGATTGAGCGAGCTGGAGCACTTGCTGAACACTCGAATATTACACAGAAATTCGACGATGGACGATTGGGATTTTCGCGAGAGCGCAGACGATGAGATTATATCACAAAAAATCGACAGCGGCTTAAGAAAGACAGTTGAAGACTTCTGTGATTCTTTGACACCTATGCTAATATTGTAAGAACTCCTGAATTTTACGATATTTCAATATTTTGAAATATTTGCATTTTTAAAGGATTGTGTGGGATCTAAGAACGTTTTTTAAACAAAAAGCAATCTTCCAAATTCTTCTTTGACAAAAAATGTTTGTTCGAAAATATATCTGAACAGAGTCATGCATATATGAAATTCTATAAGATTTCATCAGGCTTGTCACTTCACAGCCAATACTCCAAACAATCCTTTGGGACCCTTCTAACACATTTTTGTCGGCTTTTAGTTTTTTTCCTAATTTTTTTCCAATCTACCACCCAATCATTTGGTCCCTCAAGACTAATTTCATTGCTTTTTGTCTCAAAAAGCTTAATAAATCGAGTCAGAGCATCATTTATCATGTTTGGAATTTTTTAAGCGAAAAGGGATTTCAAACGGAAATCAATATCAATAAAGCTTGTGTGCAAACAAACATTGATCATCGTGCGCACAAAATTTGGCGATATTGATTTTTGGGGCTTTTGGCATGAATGAACTGGGCGCGACAAAAATCGAATAAAAAACAATGAAGCGTCCAAAAGACAAGTGACTGAGCTGTCACATGCTCTCAACAGCTGTGCGAACGAGATGCTCGAAGATGAACAACATTTCAGCTACAATATTCCCAGTGACAAAAATTGTATTCTGCCTAGGAAAACAGCCAGTTTTGTTTGGATAAAGCTCTTGCGCTCAACGCCTGACCCGAGCTTGGCTACTGAACGACATACTTGAACTCAATTCTTGTGTTGTTGATCGAAATTTGGACGGAATTAGAAACAATGGGTTTCGAAAAAAGGAGGATATTTTGAGTAAATTTATCAAGATTTTACTTGAAACAGTAAATTATAGGAGTTGGATATAATTATTTTAAAAAAATTGACGACTCGACACTTTTGTTATAAAAATTTTTGGAAAATTTATTATATGACTAATTGGGTTTTTGAATTTTTTGAATAAAAATCGTTTTTCAGGAGATACTACTCGAATCGCTGAAAACAAGAAAAATCGGCCATATTTGGAATGATGAAGGAACAAGCAGAAAACGAGGGGGGGAGGAAAAACAATACAAAAATGAAATGAAGTGGTGTTGGGAACATGCAAAAAACAGGTCCTAAAGCGATAGGAGCAGCGGCCGATGGGAGACTCCACACTCTCCCCTGGAAGTGTGCATCTGCGGCAAAAACAAACACACACAGACAAACTCTGAGTCGAAAGGCATAACGAAAATCGGGGAGAAGCAATGTGCTCGGTAGGATTTCGGTCATGCCGCCACCGACGCTCCCCCCATCTGGCATCTCCCGTAGCGAGTTTCGGGAACACTATTTTTTTGTTGAAGATGAAAAAAGTCAGGTGGCCATTTGAATGTCGAAATTCCGCCATAGCAATTGCCGGTCGCCGGAATTTTTTTCCAAGAAAGTGGCGATATAAATGAAACAAGAGAAAATAAGTCCAGCTTAAATTTTTATTCTTCTAATAGAAATCCAAGTGGTTGGAAATTATTTTACATGTGGCTACTATTGATCATTTTATTTATTTCTCATTCATTCCCACAATTTTATTATGGTAGTATAGGTGTCGACATTGCTATTATGCTAAGAAAAGACGATTTCCGGGTGGAAAATTTGTATGAGGCAGTGTGTGGTTCTGTGTCGTTGATATTTTGGAGCCAGAAATCTAAACAGAATTTGACCTAAATTATTTATGTTTCTCATAATGTATCATTTAGATTTTTCAGAACTTATGTTTTTGTTTTATATTTCAATATAATACCGGTTATAATTAGCAGCAATCTTACAAACATTCATTTTCTTTATAAAAATGTATAAAACATTAATTATGAATGTATATTTTTCTAACGCTTTGTTTTTTAATCAGGTTTCTCGTGCGAACGGATTGTGAAAGAAAACACTTGATAGCAAGAAACTAAATTCGCAAATAGAATAAGCGAATTCAAGGACAGTGATGATTTGATGGAAAGATTTCAAAGATGAAAATGAAGACGGAGTGCCGTAAAGCTGGCGCAATATGAAATTTTGAGGAGCCGAAACAAGAAAGACGAATTTGATTTTGGAGAAAAGTAGCATTGTTTCACTCTCAATTTTCAATGAGCTGCGGTTCGCAATAACAAAAGGTTGCTCTGAGTCGGCCGGCTCACAATGAATGGAAGGGTGTCACATTTTTTTGAATTGCTTATTAGGATTTCCGACGAAGAAATGAGAAGAAAGGGAATGCGAGGTCGCCAATAAGTATACCAATTTTTTTGATCATTGATACAGTTAATGTCAGCTCATTAATAAGAGGCAAAATAATTGGTTAAGAATTGTCAACGTTTTGCTCCTAATTAGTCGCAATTTGATCCAATAGACGAAATATTCTTGAAAAATACATTTGTGAAAATTTTGTAATATCATTTAGAGACCGGAAATGCCTACTCCTCTGGTATTAAATACATATTGCTCTGAGTTTGGTGGCTTGGAGGAAACCAAACGAATGATACGCTCGACTTCCAGAAGTTGGCAGAATTTTCGATGCCCGTCCTTTCTTCATTTCGCGTTTATTAGAAATGCATTCCAAATTAGATGCGCATTTTCGGCTTGTCGTCGTCGAATACATGACCCTAAGAAGTCGATTGTCCCATTGTAACAGTTGGCAGTGCTTCACATTGTATTACACTGTGTGTTTTTTGTAACGTTGGGGCAGATAAAATCTTGAAGAATGGATCATAAAATGCTGTTAATTTCCGCATTAATCCAATTAGTTCAAAACACGTTCCGAGACTATTCAGAGTTTCACGGCAGAATAATAATAACGATCCTTTAAAATCGTCAAGTCAATGGTTCCCATGATTCCAGTGGTTGGTCCTTCATAATAACTTGTTTAATGAGAAGGAACATGCACAGATAGCATCGCTAGGCAAGTTCAGTAATTAAATGTAATCTTCAAACACTTTGCAAATGTAGGAGATTCGAAGTTAAATTTCTATTAAAAATTCAAATCTAAAATTCTACCAAAAATGTTTTTTAAAATGTCGTTTATTCAAATGCCGGTGTATCCAATCAGCATTCGATTCTCAAGCCATTGCATATTATGCAAATTGCGGTGTTGTAAGATTTCGATTGAGGTTCCCGCAGGATACCCAAATTAATTTGAACCGTTCTTTTGCTTAGCCGAACGAAAGCAAAAAAATGTCTACACTGGGATTCTCGACGAAGACTGATTGTCTTCTATTATCTGGCGTTACTATCTCGTATAGTGTCTCTTTGATGCGTTCAACCGTTAAATAATTCGCGCGACTCCGCCCACTAGCTTCTTCTTCTCCTCCAACCACTAACACCACCCTTAATCGGGCACTTAGCTTCATCTTTCTATGGCGGTCGGCAGTCCAGTTTGTCTCGTTTCAATGACGCGTCGCGAAGGCAGATTTTCGAAACAATTACTCGATGATATTGCATTGAGTAATTGAAGTTTACTTAGCTTCATTCCTCTTATTTGGTGCCCATCGTCGTCGCTTATTTTATTCAAAATATGTATTTCTCCCAAGAAATTTCGTATTTTTTACAGGCGACTTGTGCAAAAACGATCATTGCGATTTCAGACTTCGATAAAATTGAAAAGAGTACCGTTCTTATCGTGAACCTTAATCTCTTGAAAGAAACTTCCTTATAAAGCGACGTTGGTAAAATTTTTTGGGAAATTTTCAGGTTGTTTCTCCCGCCTTCATCGTCATGCGCCAATTTTTGCTTCTCGCCGCTATCGCCGTCGCGCTTTGCGCTGCCCAAGACAATTGCTATATCAATGACAGCGGTAAGTGAATATTGAATATCCCATGTAGATCAAAGACCGTTGAACCGGCTATTTATTCAACCATAGGAAAAAAAATGTCGTTAAGGCTTTACCTGCTGCAACAAGGAACTTGAAGCTGCCATGAAATCATCAATGTCAGGAAGTGTAATATTACAAAACGATTGACCGTTGTTCATTGACTAATTCTAGGATCTTCTGGGCGCCGCTGATTCGATCCAAAAATCGGCCGAATCGACACTCGGTGGAAAATTCGAGACGGTCGTCGCTCTTGACGACTTCGCCTACAAATCCCACTTCAAAGAGGGAAAATCGTGCAAAATCGAGAAGAACGGACAATACGCTTTGTCGTGGCAACCGTAAGACGTCGGAACGCGGCATTGATCCATTTGAATCGTTTTTCTCTCGATTTTGCATTTTACTGGTTCCTTCTTTCTGTATAATACTTGAGCTGTTTCAACACTTATTGCCCTTTACCATACAAATCATCAATGTGCAGTATTGTTTTATGTATAAAGACACAAGAATTTCAATGATTTGATAACGGACGAATCCAGTTTCGGTGGGGTATTTAAACACAAAGAATGGGTGCAAATTGGAAGTTTTTTGAAACGAACAAAGGATTATCGCAAATATTTTAGCCGATGAGAAATGGAAAAGATCAAGAATCTGTTCGCAAAATTTTTTGTAAAGAAAAATGATGTCAAAAAATATTTATTTAATGCTTATTATTTAGAATAATAAGAAAATTGAGAGAGTACATTATTTACAAATAAGGGCAAGTGACTTATCATTTTGCTCAATTATTCGGTTTTCTTCTCCTTCTTCTCTTCTTGGGCTTTTGGCGTAGCGGATGCCATCTTCTTTCCTTTGTTGCTTCCGAACCACATCATTGCTCGGCGGAATGGAGCATAAGCCGGGTAATAAGCAGCGGCGGGCGCGGCGACTGCGCACGGAGGGGTTGAGCACGCGTACGGCGAGTAGGCTGGGACGTATTGTGCTGGAGCTGGAGCTGGTGCTGGTACTGGATAAGCCTGGCATGGTGGGACAGCGCACTGAACTGGAGTGTAGACTGGAGTTGGAGCTGGTGCTGGCACTGGGTATGGCTCGTAAATCGGGCACGGTGGAACGGCGCATTGAACTGGTGTGTAGACTGGAACAGGTACTGGAGCTGGAGCTGGAGCACATGGTGGAACTGCGCATTGAACTGGGGTGTAGACTGGAACAGGTGCTGGAGCTGGTTGTGGAGCTGGAGCACATGGGGGAACAGCGCATTGAACTGGAGTGTAGACGGGAACTGGTGCGGGGGCTGGAGCAGGAGCGGGAGCTGGTGCGCACGGTGGCATAGCACACTGCACTGGGGTGTAAACTGGCATCGGAGATGGTGCTGGCGCCGGTGGTGGAATTGGAGCTGGAGCAGGTTCTGGGTAAGGGTTGTAGATTGGTGTTGGCTGAACCACAATGCACGGTGGGTTAGCGCATGGATATGGATTGTAAGCCGGAGCTGGTGCCGGTGGTGGAGGAGCTGGCGGATAAGCTGGCGGGCATGGTGGAGCCGCACAAGCAATTGGAGCGCATGGTGGATTGGCGCACTGAATATTTAATTGTTACAGTTTTCTCTTTCAATATTATTTACCGAAATCACTTGAGCGTAAGAAATTGCCGAGCAGAGGCTGAAAGATAATTATTGGACTCTACGATTTTCGTATAGTGGAATTGATAGAGCGGAAATAATTCGAATGACCATTTGTTTCGATTGCAAAAGAGATTAGATGGCGAAAAAAAGTAATAAATAAATAGAACTCACAGAATTCCAAAGAAGATCTTCATGATTGATTGAGAGAAGACGAAGAATTGAATGATGTGCCATCGGAAATTCAGTCACTTATATACCATACGATGGGGCGTGTGCAATCTCTCGTCGCCGAGCTGCAACTTTGCTTGACACATTTGGCGAGCTGACAGGTTGCTCTCGCCGTGAGACCGGCTTCCGGACAACTTTTTTGTATAATTATGAACGCGCGCATAAAAATTCGGCAGATCGCGTTTTTGACACTTCAATTGGTTTTTTTGATGGATGATGATGTTAGACAAGGCAAATAAATGGTTGCAAATTTTGGAAACTAGTCAATTCTAAGTTTTTAATTATTCAATAAATTACACATTAAGTGAAACTCGGTTGTATAAAAATTTTTTGAAACCTTGTAAAGACACAGTTAACGCGATTATACTAATTTGTGAGAAGGAAGATCGTACTGATGATATTTTAATAACAACTTCGATAGAAATACTAGTAACCCTTTTAAAAATCGAATATTTTTCTTCTATATATACGGGCAACACCTTTTTTTTTGAAACAGCGGAAACCAGAGTTGGGTGGAATTGAAATTGTGAATAGGCAGGTAAATCAAATAATTTTTTTTGCCCGAAATCAGAATGCGGAAAAGACCAAAATCGAAATAACGGAAAACTGCCATAAGTTGATTTTTTTTATTACACTGAAATTCAATTCTAAGCTATAATTTTACTAAAAAAATTTTTCAAGTTTCAGAATGTTTTTTCAGAAACGAGCAGTTTAATAAATCTATTATTAAGCTGCTCGCTTTCCATTTTTCTTATAATCAATAAAAATGGCCATTAAAAACAACATTAAAAACATGAATGTCTAATCCAAAATAATCGACGCAAATATGTAAATTCATCCAAACTTTATTTTTTGTTTTTGCTTCGTCGATCGTAATTGATAATATACATATCCTTGAACTTTTCTTTTCGCTTTTTTTCCTACTAAAATTGCGGTTCATTCAATTCAACAAATACATATATTTATTCATGTCCTATCTCCATTTGTCTGCATCTCCCACTCTCTATTAATCTATTTTTGGTCACGCCTCCGGTCTCGAGTTTTCCTTTAGTATTCATGTTTGTTACTCAACCAAAACTTGCTTTTCTTCTATTTTTCTTTTTCATGTCATATCACTTTTAATCTTTTGAATAAATCGCTTCAAACATTAGTATTTTTCCAGAATATTAATCAATGGAAAAATTGTTTCTGGTCGTGCTTGCAGCATTATTCGTGGAGTTTTGCCAATCAGGTAATAATGAAATGAGAAAGAAATTGAAAAAATTTGATTATTGTATATATTATTATTGTTCCATATGGATATAGAAGATTTTAAAAGTTTTCGTGAAAAAATATTTGTTGAATTTAGCTTCGAGCTAATAAATCATTAAAATTATGTTATCACAGTATGAAGCTAGATAATCTTAATGTTCAATGAGCATATTTATGATGACTAAGCATAGAAGCCATTCACTATCTTATTATGCAAATTATACTATTTTTAAATAATTAGCACGTGCCACGTGAAAAGGCAATTTAGAGAAAAAAAATTGTTAAATAAAATAATTTTATTCTTTTACTGAATTAACGCTTTAAAGGATCAAATAGGGATTAAAAAATTAGATTTAAAAAAATAGAGGCAACCTTTGCAAAAATGACATATGTTCATATAATAATCTTTCAGAAAAGTGTTATAGTTGCTCGTCGCCGAAGTTACATTTAAAATGGGTACGTTGTACAATTCAGTTGAATTGTCAAAAATGAAGCCCCTCTTGCAGCCAAAAGATGACATTTCAAACAAACTCTTGTATCTTCAAGATTTTCCATTAATTGCTAATGAATCATGTGAAACGGTTTTCTTATTTTTCGGGTTTCATTTCTTAACAAAGTTACATCAGGTTTCTGGAGCAATGCCGGTAGTGGATTGTAAAGATAGTGTATGCATTAAAGCAGTCATCAAACAGCCTCCAGCCGAACGAGTCGTTTGTGGTGAGTGGTGAAAATGCAGCGGAAAGCTCATTATGTCTCCGAATGACATTTTTTTGCTTCAACTTTACAAACTCGAAATAATGAATACCGAATTACACATAAAACCAACTCTCATTAAAATGTCAAGAAGTGAATAAGTTCCAAAGCATTATAGAGACGGGCGGTGCTATTGTTCGAGATTGTTGGAGTCGAGTTCTATCAAACGCTATGAAGAATCCTCAAGCCAATAGAAATATGGTTTCTTTTTGGTTGAAGCATTCTATTACAATTTCCTAGTTTAGGTTCGACTTGCTGAAAACGGAGACACTAAAGAAACAATTGGAGTGATTTACACGTGCGAAGGATTTTTATGTAATTCATCAAATGCGCTCACATTATCCTTCTGCTGGCTTCCTTATTTAATCCGAGTTCTTTTGTAACAAAAAAACCCGCAGAATCGAAATGGGTGAGCTGCCATCATTTGACGGGTACAGTTTTTAATAATTGGAATTTAATAATGTAATTGAATATAGCAATATTAATCGCAATAAAGTTTAGAGCCAATCCACATATTTTTTGCAATTCGTTAGAAAGTGGGTACAGCGGAGTAGATTGAATGTGTCCTTAGGATTTGGGAACGGATTGCAAACCTTTAATTTTCGCTAATTTTAATAATTTCATATTGATTTATATACCTTTCTAGCTTCTGGAAGCACGTCTTCGCATTTCCTCAATGATGATTTCGGCTTCTCGGACTTCAAATATTGCAATTTAAAATTTGAATTACTACCACCGCAAAAAAAACAAAAAACGAGAGTACAGGTTGTTCGTAGTAAACTACACTAATTCCACTGTTCAAAGCAAAACTTGAATTGCCGCCTCAAAAAAGAACTGGTTCGTCAAAATTCCAACTTTCTACCTTTTATTTACGATAGTATTAATAAAAATTACCTGTACCGTATGTTGTAGCTCTGGAAGGCAGAATTGCTCAAATGCAAAGCAGAATTGCAAAGCTTCTTTGGCGACCAATTGTTTTTTACAATGTTTAGGATAATGTTTATAATATCTTTGGCAATAGGAAATCACAGGAATAACGCCGTTTGTTGAAACGCACGCCGATGGATATGTCTTGCAAAAATCAATCTAAAATATTCAAACTTTTTGGTTTTTTTCATTATTCCTACCTCTGGTTTGGGGATGTCGCCGTTGCAGCTTTTCACGAAATGCTCACGTTCCACTACACAATATTCGCTAACAAAAACCAGAACTCCTTTCTGAAACGCCAAAACTGTTTCATTTTGAGTATTTTGCCTCATACATCATCCTCGATGCTCACAGATGTTCCATTCGGCGAAACCACCTTCTTCTCTTCATTTTCATCTGCAGCTCCAGCGACCTTGAGCACATTTTCAACGGCAATCTAATCTGTCGGATATTCTTTTTTATACAACATTGATGGCCAATGTTCATTGACTCATACTTTTTGACTTGACTCATGATTTTTGACTCATAAAAATTGTATCATGATTTTTTATTCTTTGACTCATGATTTTTGACTAGTGATTTTTGACTAATTTTTTTTTTGACTAACAATTTTTGACTAATGATTTTCTGAATTTTTTTAGTTGAAATTCCTGCAGTTTTTTCAGTATTCAATTCTGTTTTTTTTTTGGCCAATATTGATGGGTAAGAAGCTGAAGGGTGGGAGGAATTGGGGGAAAGATTATTACTGAAAGGAAAAAAAGTTATTTTAACTTCTGTAAGCATAAAAAATTGTTTTTTTTTTTCAAAGAGAAGCTTAGGCCCAGTTAAGCGGATCCACCGAAGGAATCGACTGTAACATTAAACGAATATCCGTAGTAGGCCAAATGATATGTATGATTTGATATTTTTAGTAGTCTCCGTTAGTTTAATGAAAACAACTAAACACAGTTTTTATTCGCTATCATGTATTATTTAGCGTGAATAAAGGAGGGAAATGGATGGAATAACGCGATAAGTGATTTTTTATTAATTTATTTTGCAAATTATTTTAGCTTATTCGGTCAGGCCTGTTTTAAAACGGCATAATTTTCGATTTCTCATCAAAATTCAGGAAAAACGGAGTATTCAAAAAAATTATTAAAAACTTTTAAAATTAATCAGTCATTGAAATTTTCGATACATCATTATACCGTTAAACCTTTATCAAAATGGTACTTCTAACAAAACAGCCTTCAAAAAACTTCTCAAAGTATAACAATGTGTTATTTTTGCTAAAATAATTTGCAAAATAAATTAATAAAAAATCACTTATCGCGTTATTCCATCCATTTCCCTCCTTTATTCACGCTCAATAATAAATGATAGCGAATAAAAACTGTGTTTAGTTGTTTTCATTAAACTAACGAAGACTACTAAAAACATCAAATCATACATACCATTTGGCCCACTACGGATATTCGTTTAATGTTACAGTCGATTCCTTCGGTGGATCCGCTTAGCTGCGATTAAGCTTCTCATTGAAATCGATAAGCGATGAAATGCCAAAAAAACAATTTTTTATGCTTACAGAAGTTAAAATAACATTTTTTCCTTTCAGTAATAATCTTTCCCCCAATTCCTCCCACCCTTCAGCTTCTTACCCATCAATATTGGCCAAAAAAAAAACAGAATTGAATACTGAAAAAACTGCAGGAATTTCAACTAAAAAAATTCAGAAAATCATTAGTCAAAAATTGTTAGTCAAAAAAAAATTAGTCAAAAATCACTAGTCAAAAATCATGAGTCAAAGAATAAAAAATCATGATACAATTTTTATGAGTCAAAAATCATGAGTCAAGTCAAAATGTATGAGTCAATGAACATTGGCCAACATTGATTCCTCTGTCATACCTCCTTCGATGATTTCAACGGTTTCGGCAATCTCACAAGACTTCCAAGTTTCTCTTTTTCGTTCCTCGTCGTCGTATTTCCACTGGTTTCAAAATCCACATCCGATTCACTGGCAGTTGAAGGAGAAGGCGTTGTACTGGCGACTTTCAATTTGACGGTGGTCGGAGCTAGCGGAGGTATTGTTGACGGATTTGGCGGCAATACCAGCGGAATTGACGATGACGAGGATGGAGATGGAGTAGTGATTGGTGATGGTGTTGTGAAATCGGCACAAAACTCGAGCTCCGGTCTTTTTGCGCAAGCACGCTAAATAGCGATTCAACTTTTTTTTTCAAAATTTCTATTTCGACTGAAAAATTAGCTCAAAAACCCGTTCAAACCTCAATTAGAATACTACGAAAATTTTGGCCACTCGTCCATCCGAAATAGCAAATAAGAAATAGAGCGCCGATTTTCATGATTCAATTGCGTTAAGACCGAAAAAAGAACACACGCAACTGATTGTTTCTCCGCGTTTTGCATCTGCGATGAGATGTTCCGATTGGACGCAAAAGGCGTGTATTTTAAAGATATCAGCCGACCATGTCCTTCCCTCTCTCCAAACATTTTGTTTTTCGATGTGTGATTGGCTGACTGGCGGCGACAAGATCTCTTTATAATACATACATAAATACAATACAAGACTGCATAAAATGATAGTGATAACGTGAATATCAGAGGGTATGGGAGAAGGCGATGAATGCAACTAAATCACTCGAAATTCTATCGAAGCAAAAAAAAGGGGCAGGATAAAAAGGAATAAAAATGCAAAGTTACAAATTATACAAAATGGCGATTCACAAAATTTACATTGGTATTAGTTTTAACCACTGGAGTGAGTCATTGGCGGGAAGTCGTCTGGATCATCGACGTTTGGAGCCATATCTGAATCAGAATTGCCAACGGAGCTAGCTGGTCCACGCATGGTTCCCTCAGCACCTGGCCCAATTTTGTGTTGCTTCACAAGATCCAATTCTCCACCAGCTGGATCCAAGCGATAACAGTAAACAAATCCTTCCGATGTTGCCACAACGACGTAATTCTGTTGTTTATGACTGTAAAAAAATATGTATATATTTTCGAGTTCACATCGTTATTTCATAAAACCAACATACTACTTTGTACCATTTATGATCTTTAATTTCAAACAATAGTTCTCAAAAACTGAACGCTCGCAAAAACAGGTTTTTGGAAAACATCAAAGAAATCAACATCCACATTTGTCAATCTTTCAAAAAAAGTTCAGTTCAAACATTTCGCGAAACGTGACCAAATCCCATCATTTCCCTTTCATCTTCATACATTCTCAAGGGTTTCGCGCCTAATTCGGGAAACACATCTCTTTGTCATTTGACTTTTAGCAGTTTCAAAAATACATACGAAAGGACAGTGACCAGATTGCGCTTCGTCACTCCCGGTAACTTAGCAGTTGCAAAACTTCGCTCCGTTGTTATCAATTCAGTAACCTGATAAAAAATTTTTATTGTAAAAACTAAAATTCGGATGATTTACCTGTGAGGGCATATAATCATTAACTTTCTTATTAAACATTCCAAACCAGGAAGATGGTTCTGGAGCGGCTTCACTGAATATTATAAAAATGCATTAATAAGCGGTTTTTGATATTAAACGCACGTTTGATGTTCCTCCGTTTTCTCAAGCTTGAAAACGTGAACAGTTTCCGTATTCGAAGAGGAGCATAAATAGTTACTGTCCGGCGAAAATGCAAGCGAATGAATCGAAACATATCTTCAGAAATAGCAACATTGAGAAAAATGAAAATGTTTTGCACCACCTTGACATTCCTCGGCGAAATTCGAAAAGTCGCTCGCCATGTGGAACACCATAAACACGAATTACCGTCCCTTTTGTACTTGCAGTGGCGAGTTTTGTTCCTAAAAGCATCAACAATTACATTATTAATATAAAATTTTCAACCGACCATCACTGTTAAATTTAATAGCTGCTAATGGTCCATCATGGGCAACGAAAGTGTTAACGGAAGAAAGGTTTATCGGATCAAAAATGTGAACCTAAAACTTAGATTAAAAGGGTAAAAAGTTGATGGAAATACACACCGATCCAGTTTCTGCACTTCCAGGGTACGCCAAAAATATATTGGAGTTAGCCAATGATAAATCAATTATTCCTAATTGATTCAATGGTGTATCTTGAATGCTATGCATAGACTTTAAAAGGTACATTAAAAAACCTTGGTAATAAAAAAAAACAATATTACCTTCATGTCTTTCAAATTGTATATATAAATACAATCTTCAGTGCAAACAACGATTCTCTAAATTAAATTTTTAATATATATTTTTTAATAATACTTTAATTTTTATACCTCCCGATTCAATTTAACGTTGAGAACCGACTTATTGAATCTATGGTCACAAATGTAGTTTCTTGTAGCGTAGTGGTACACACGCATCACTCTTGGCTCAATTTGGGATACCATAACAATTAGCGATGACGAGTAGAGACGTTCTACGACAACCAACTCACGTAAATGTGGATCTAAATACTAATTGTCCAACCGAGCGGTAAAATTTATTTACTAGATGAAGTTTCTCCTTCGTACATCAGGCTTGTGTTTTCCAAAAGCTCTGGGGTTTTATAGAACATGTATCCATTATGATGACCAACCGATATGGTTCTGAACAAACGAATGACTTAAAAATAATAAATTTCAAATAACTTACTTCCCATCTTGGTTGAATGAAATTGTGAGAATAACATCAGTGTTTTCACTGGGGGCTGATGGAGTTGCCATTCTGAAAAATAAGAATAATTTTTTCTTAACAAATAGGATAAAATGAGAATAATTCGCTCAATAACAAGCACGATGGAACACAATATTAGAACATCAGCTGATAGGCGTGGTTTAGATGTGCTAGACTGCAATGCGCGCATGGTGTGTGCCAGAACGACCGCATAGAATCTACATTAACGTTTTATTCAACAATAGAATACGCAATAGGAAAGTTCCGAATAACTTTCTAAAACGGAAACAAACAAATTAAATGCCCAAATCGGTGAAAACGATTTTTTGCTCTACACAAAAATCGATAATTCCACGTGTTGTGGTGGACGGGCAAATGCGAAACATTTGAGATGCGCACGTTGGACTCTGAAAATATTTGTTTTTTTCAAACGAGCAATATTGACATATAATAACAAAATCAGAAATTCAAAGCCAACTACTTACAATGCGAGATAATTGCTTACACGGGTTTTTTTTACGTAGAAGTCTATTTATTTCCTGGATTACCGCATTCGATTTTTGTCTTTTGAGAAATATCTGTAATCTTGTCTTCACTTCTGATGATCTACTCTTTCCATGAATCTACCTTGCAAAAGAAAATGAGAGAACTGTACTAAAATTTTAAATGCAAGTTTTGATCCAATTTCTAAAGATCATATTCTTGGGTCCTGTTGATAAATTGTTCACAGAAGCAAAACAGTTTCTGTTTCTTTGTTTCTTTTCCATTAATTGTGGTTCGATAATATTGTAAAATAATGAATACAAATATTCTGAGGTGATCATTATTGCAATTATCGTATTCGTGAAAGCGATCACGGATATCCCTGAAAAAAAGTAGTAGGCGTTTAAGGCGATTTTGACGTAAAGTAGTATAAATTTCTCAAAGACGATATTTTGCTTTTGCGATGCCATTATGGATTCATATTCATGTTCAATCAGCAGAAGGTTGTTTCGTTTTAGGCATTAAATTCAAAATTCCTACAAAATAATGAAAGTGTGTCTGCTAATTTCGATTGTTTGTCTAAAAAAAACTAAAATCAAATATTATTTACTATTTTTTTTATTGAAAATCATCTATAGACTTTCATGATGAGTATATGTAATTTTCAGTTTGAGACCTTTCATGAATGTATAGTTAATTGTTGTATACTTGCTTTCGTCATAAATGTTTTTCGGATATTATGGGGATAATAACTTGTTATGTTATTGAAGATTAGTTTCTAGAATATGCTCCAGACGCAATTTGGTCATTAATTGAAAAAAAGAAAACATGTTCACATTTTTATTTTTGAAATGCTAGCCGATTTAAAGTGAGATTTCGTTGCTTTCGTCAGCACGAATAACTCCAATTAAAAATAAACAAGCACTTGCTTTTCATTCTCAATTTCTGCTTATTAAAAAACCGGTAATGAAATTGTATTCTCAGCTATTTATGTTTGTAAATTGGTCGTTGAAGAAAAATTATTTTTATGCACGAACTTACTTTGATTAAAAAACAGAACTAAAAAATTTCTGTAACCCATATATGTTAGCATTAATTTTAATTTTTGTTTCAGTTTCAGAAGACGAAAAAATGACCAGCGATCAAGGTATTAGCATTGAAGTACCAAGTGCACCTGATATTCCATCGGAGGCCAGAATTCGGGTTAGTTTTAAACAATCTTGAATTTTTATTTAAATGAATGATATGCCTTTTTTGGGTTTCAGGTTTGAGTTTTTTTAAGAAATACAATTCTACCCATCGATGTTTAACTACAAAATAAGAATTATGAAATTTACAACAAAAAAAATCCAATCCAGCAGTTGACAAGTGAAAACGGGGTATTAGTCATTCATGTGCTCAGGAGTAAAAACCTTATGGGTAATCGATGAACCTTTAAATCGAAAAAAACAAGTTACGCAGTGAATATTTAATGCGATTAGAATTTTTGCTAATAATTAATTTTCAATGGTCATATATATTTGTAAATTTTCGAAAGAAAACAGCAATATGAATCTATTTTCGAACCTTCCCAAGTTTTGAATCGTAACTAACAAGCTATTTTATTTTTGAAATATTTAAGCTGAAAAATTAATGAGCTCATGACTTTCTTCAAAATATTTTGTATCATTATTTACTGTCTCGTCAAAATTTTGATTAATTATTAAAACAAGATGTATAAAATGCTAATATGATTCATACCAAGTCATTAAATATTTATCATTTCGAGGTGAGATTTGGACTTTGGACGAACTTTCCTCTCGTACTGAATTTGTATATCATTCAAAAATTGGTAAAAAAAAAACAAATCGATGATGCATTTTGAATATTTTAACACTCTTGAGGGTTTTTCGCAAAAACTTACCGGAAATTACCATTCGTTTCGTTTACATTTTCCATTTCCGTTTTTCGCTCATGTTCGTTTCATATTCATAACTTTGTCCGCACATTAAGTACATCGAGCTAGTCAATTAGTGATATCCAAGCGTCGGCCGTCTCGCATTCCATTTCGTCACGAGCTCTCCTACGACTCAGCCATTTCATCCGTCTTACCTTAATCCGATCGTGTTGCGCATATCCGGATTCCCTTCGCTCACTTTTCATATTTTTTTTCGATTATCCTTCCACTTAGCTCGTTGTTCATGCGCGTTGGCAGAGCGCCAAAATTGGGCACACATCCATCGTTGAGAAGAGTTACCATGGTGAGTTACAATCAATTAATAATACATACATAAAATGTTATTTCCTCAACGATAAATATTTCATGATAAACATCTATGATGCCTGTCGTGTCGAAAAATAATAAGGTTTTTGATAGGCATAGTTTATTTTTTGCATAAATCAATGCTTCTCGAGAAAGTTCAATCTTACGCAGTTTTCGAAAAGAAAGAATCTCAACAGTTGCTTGAAAGAAGCTTTTTCCACTAATTTTTTAGTTTTTAGTAGTTCTTTTCTCAAAATTTGTATATTACCATTATATGAAAGCTATCTAATTTAAAAGGACTCAATAAGACAAAATGTGACTCATCGCATCATTTTCTTTTTAGACCACATCTTCCAATTTTTTGAATAGCTTTTTTTTGATATACATTGATTTCGATTGATGTATATATGTAGATAATGTAAGGTATTCATGGAAACCTTAGGTGCTGCAAATTTTTGGACAAAATCTCGGAAACTGGCTAAAGCAACTTTTTCGCTATCTTCCAAGTTTTTTTACAATGTTGTTTTGTAAAATTTGCACGGCACCGTTATTTTTAATATATTTATTATCTGGCTCTCCTATCACGAGATTTATTTTCCTATTTTTTAATGAAATGATACGTTGAATAAAATATCGAGAACGCAAACTTTTACGGTCCTTTAAAAATTATTATCTAAGAAACCCTCCTTCGTATGTTTCAAACAAAATGAGTTGCATTATGATCTACTAATCCAAATCCGCCAACTCAAGCTTGACATCGCGTGTTTGCCAATGATGTATAAAGCTTCCGTGTTTGGCAATAGAAAACAGAATGCACTTATTCACCATCAAAAACTGCCAACGGCAAATTATTACTCTCGCTGTTACCTTTGTTCACAAATAGGGTGATTATATGAATCACATTTAAATGTTGACAGCGTATTCTGATCTCTGATCATCGAATGAGTCACTCAAAATTAAAAGGAAATTTCATTTTAAAATATTGAAGAAAGAAGGTGCTAAGCTTGTAAGCCAAGCTTGTATCTAAACATTTCAAGACAACACAATAGTTGATTCCAGCAATTTAATTTTTTATGCTTCAAAACACCAATATTTATGATTGATATGTTTTGAATGACATTTCGCTGATGTCTGGTATTCGGCTTGCGTGTGATCTTCAGTCTGGGCGGAATCATAGTAAACTACCTAGCATTTATCAAACCTATCAGAAATTCATATCACGAAAGTCCGGGGCGAAAATGTTTTTTGGCCATTTGCCATGACTAAAGTCATCGTACAAAGTTTCTTCTCATTAAATGTAGACGTTAAGATTACAATTTTTAATATCAAATAAATTAGTCATATTTGATTCAAAAATATCCGTTAGACATTACTAATCCTTGCGATCCCCCTGCGATGCTTTATTTCGAATTTAATTATTTAGGTTCTTTCTACCGGCTCTTCGTTGGATTCAGAAACATCTCACAGCACTCGACGATCTCGACTGAATATGCCAATGATGTATCAATTGTATGAAAGCCAAGTACGCTACTACTCTTCAAAATTTTTATGTTTTGATGGATTAACATTTTTATAGTACGATGATCTTCGAGGGACAGTGTATGGTCCCGATTCCCCAGATTTTCATCCAGTTCAAGCCTCAGAAATTCTGCGTAAATCACTACACGGAATTCGTAAATTTTTTGGTATGGTTTCTCTAGACTAATCAGCTTGTATTCAGAAACTAATGATCAAATGATAATTCAAACCATTCTTCACCACAACAATTTTCAACGTCAGAAGATACTCAACGCTTATGAGGACATGTACAACAGGGTAATTTTACTTTCACCATTCGGAATTGTCATCGCTATGTGCATTCGCAGAATTTGATTGCTGATTTGGAGGAGGAAACTGGAGGCTATTTTCTAGAAATGTGTCAGGCTTTATTCAAACCAGCCCACAGCTATGATGCTCAGAATCTATGCCATTCGCTTTCAGTAAGTTTTATAATTGAGGCATTTCCTTTTTTATTTCAAATATACAATTTTGCTAAAACGAAACTACAATTTTCAGAATCGTTATGGCGATAGGTCGGTCGCAATTGAGATCGCATGCACAAGAACACCAAGAGTATGTTTCCATTATACTAGTTTTCTCTTTTTTCTTCAAAACGTTTTTTTCAGCAACTTCGCGTTATTAAGGAGACATATCACACCGACTATAAAAAATCTCTTGAAAAAGATATACCATATAAGGTACGATTAGGAAATTACGAGTGCTAATACCATTTTTATAATTTTAGGTGGAAGGAGTCGTTGGAAGAATGTTAGCTATGCTTCTTTGCAATAATCGCGAAGAATCTTTGGGAAAACGAGTCGATGAAGAGCTAGTTGAGAAGCACGCGCTTATTATCGCAGCGGTATTCTATCAGTTTCCAATCAAAATTTGAGTTACCCATTCGCTTTGCAGGCATCCATCGAAGACATTGCTAAGAATGTACAACTGTTTGAAGAACTTTTTATTGGGCATTCATGGAAGCATATTGGACTTGTGTTCGATCGAGTTGACGAGCTGCGCAAGGATTCTTTGGACATCGAAACAATTATCAGGAAGAATAAGAATATCCATTCAGAAATTCGCCGAATTCTCTTAACAATGGGTATGCCCTTAATACTTGCTGCAGCGTAAAAATTATGTTAAACTTTCAGTTAGAGCGTCTCGTAATACTCAGCTTTATTTCGCGGAGCAATTGCATAACGCGTTGTCACTTGATCGTCCAGATCACGCAACAATCATAAGAATTTGCGTCACTCGAAGTGAAGTAAGTCCAACAGGAAACATTCAACGATAAAATCTTTAATTCAAGATTGATCTATATGATATTTCGGAAGAATATAAGCGAAAATACCAACGCTCATTGGAGAATGACTTAACGCAGACATGCAGCGGTGATTACATGCGACTCGTCACCGCATTGGTTAACGGCACAACCGGAAATAACAACATCTATACTCCGACCCCTGATTCCCTCTAATTATTCTCTCTACCCTCAGTTTCTCATATTCAGTTGTATTCAAATAATACATTTATTTCAATAAATATTTTTCTATAATTATTAGAGATCCTTATAAGCTCATGATGGTCGAAATTTCGGCCAACTACAGGAAAGAAACTAATATGTATGTTAATGCGAATTAGAATTTTGGTAAGAGGCGGGCGATGGTGATGGTGTTGGTCGCTTCTTTGGAGATCGCACAAGTGCTTCTTGAGTTGTCGAACAAATCAAGCGACCATCTCTGGTCCATAATTTTCCTTCAATCAAGCTGCGACCACCGCTAGCAATAGTGCTGTGGTTTTCATAAAGCAGCCAGTCATCGACTCGAAAATTATCGGTATGCATCCAAATTGAATGATCCAAAGTCAAAGCCATCGACGGGATGAATCCTCGCCTTAAATTCGTCGTATTACATATACGATTATATATGTTTTTGCTACTTTGAGTGCGGTCTCAGAGCTGTTTCAATCATGGTGGCGTCCGAGATATAAGCTGCTGCAGCTACATGCAATCTCGGGTCGTCACCAATATTTTCGTTTGCTTTGATCCAGACATACGATCGAAACGCTTCAGTAGGATGTGAATTCGCTGATGAATGAGGGTCATCCTTTTTGAGCAAAAGATAGGAGTCGATGTCGACTGGCCGAAACTGTGAATTATGATGAGTTTTTTTGGAAATTCATTGAAGGACGCCTCACTGAGAACATACGGAAGAATGCAGGCGGAATTTCCTTTTGCTTGAAACGAATCATCGCTAATGCTGGTGCCGGAATGTTCGGATTCTTAGAAAAAATTATTCATTTTATATTATGTGATTAAGTATCACCTTCTTCACTTTTTCGAATACTTCCGACAAATCCTCCAAGCTGTCGGGAGCAGGAACTTCCGGCATTGGTAGCTGATGAACGATCGAGTCAGGCTCAGGCTGAACAACAAATTAATTAGATATTTTAATTATTCATTATCTATCAGACCCTATGGAACGATATTTGAACACTGAAAATTGCTTCACCATCTTGAAGAGCTTTAACGTGTCGAGTGCAAAAACTGCGACCATCACGAATTCGGTCAACTTGGTATAGAATAGGACGGTCCACATTGCCTATAAAATTTACTGTTCTTGAGCAATGGCTTCATAGACATACCACTTTGTACAAAATAACTATGAAGACTGTTCGGCACAAATCCCATATCAACGGTGGCTGTAGCCGCAGAGAGTGCCTATAATTTTATAGAGCTCTTCTAATATACATTATTAAAATTGGGGGCAAACCTGTCCGATGACTTGTCCACCGTACACAACCGGTAATGAGTTGCGACCTTTAAGCAAATGACGAGCTCTAAAATATGAGGAGATTACAAATGAACAAATTGAACGAATTACAAATATAAGTTCTTATCAACCCGTTCGAGATTCAAAAACGTGTCAATGAGACCAGCTCGGATGTCGTCGGCTCGGGACGCCATGTCGATATGTGTGACATTGAGAAGAGTTGGATAGTTTGGAGCGGCTTGGCCATCATCAACCTCCATTGAGCGTGGCTGGAATATCATTAATAGATTGAATGATTTAAAAGAGGGGGTATTTGACTAGTTAAATTATGAAACACCAACAATTTTGGCTCAAAAAATGAAACAAAGGTTCACGCGAAGAGTTACAAAATATATTTATAAAAATAACACTGCCTATCATAATATCTTAACCAATCGAAGGCAGTCTCGTTGTTCATCGTGAATAGATCACTAATGAACGTTAACAACTTTGGATAAAACAAAAAAACCTATATTTTATAATTAAATGAACTATGAACCATTTGTTTGTTTTCACGAATTTTCGGAGTATTTGCATTTCCAATTGGCTACACTGTAGACTATAAGTGCATTTTGAGGTTGAATTAATTGAATCATCAAAAAGAAGAAAAAAAAGTTTTTTGAAGATATTCAAATGACATCTATATCGTCGAAAAAATATCAACATTTCTGCACTTTTTCAAAAACAAAAAAAAACCGAATTCACTATGTTGAAATTTATAACCGATCGAACAAATCGTGAAAAAACGCACCGTAGAGGCCGGCGTAATTCTCTGCGGAGTGCGCGAAAAATTGTCATCGTTACCCGATGGCGACGGCGCCATGCTTGGCGTAGACGTTGACATAGTGGATACGGCCGATGCGGCAATAAAACGCTGTAAAGCAGATAGTTTTAAATGACATTAAATATGGATTTTTGGGCGCTTGAAAAGAAATAACGCAGAATGAAATGATGAAGAAGCAGCAAAGAGACTGAATGCAGTGAGGGAAACAAAAAAAAACAGAAACGAAGGCCGAATGAACAGAGGGGAAATGTGGGACTCGCGCGATTCGCGAGGGCAACCGGGTGTAAATATCATGCACATGCGCGGAGACGCAGAAGAAAAGTGGCCAGCTCTTCACGCAAACTGAACGACTTCTTGCATATACGACGAACAGAGGTGTATCGTGGTTTAAAACGCAATTAAACAATTTAACGCGATTATCCTAACCGCATGAAACCTGTGTGTCCTCCGACCACACTTTTTCTGGTGATATTTCACACATTTTTATGCAACGTATTTATTTTGCAACATTTTGCAAAGGAATTTGTCATATAACAAATAAAAACCCACATTTGCCAGCAACAATGATGGAAAGCAATTGGTGTGGTGCAGCATTCTTGTGATGACGCAGAAATTGTTTTTCAATGCTTGATTCGAAATAATAGAATTTTTTTGCGAAATTGAAGATGACGGGCTACAATGTAGTCTGGAGGTAAATTTGAGCGGCATGATAATTTCAAAGTAATAACAAGATTTCGACCAACTCATTTGCCCGCCGGTGAAACACTGGTTTTCACGGGTTTCGCCAAATCCGCGGGTTACGCTCTTTCAAAGTTACGAATAAACATCTAATTTGCTATTTTTTAATACCACTGCTTTCCCCAAAATTTGAAATCGCCAAACATGAAAAAGAATGTATTGCACATGATTTTGCCGATATAAATAAAATAATGAAAGGGTAGAGTAACGAATTTGCACAAGCACACTTCCTACAGTAATATTAATGGAACATGACCGAAATAGAATACGGTAATTAATTTCGAATAATTAATTGAATTGCCTTTATTCATTTTTAAATTTGCAAAAAAATACTATGACGCCTTCGAGAAAATGACGGTACTTGCCTTCGAACCGTTGTTTGGTCGACACACAACTTGTTTTTTTCCATTTCGCATATAAGCTCCCTGAATTTCAACTTTAACCAGAAAGTTAGATAAAAACTTACGCCCTCTACCAAACTCTCGCCGTTTTGAACAATGACATCAGCATTATCATTAATTATAGCTCGCGTTTCCTTTTTACTACAAATTGCCTGAATATAAAAATCGTTTTCTATGGACAAAAAGAAAAATACAGCTTTGAATACGTCTCCTTCTGAGGAAATTGATGAAATAGATTTGCTTCCTGGATTTACACTATTAACAGTCGTTCCTAATGTACTTTAAAGGTGGAAAATGCTTATTCATTTTTAAGTTTAGAAATTACGTCTCATTCTTCATCAATTTTCCTATAACATTTTTCAAATTTTCTTTTTTGTCGTTGCTAATTCTCATGTAAACTATTGGAGAAAACCAATAAACAGCAATCTAAATGCAATAATTATATTTTATACAAGTATAAAATCACTTACAATTCCTAAGAACGTTAGGACTACACTGCTTGTGCTCAAAGTTGTAAAAAGCACAATGAGTTGTTGATCAATTTCTGAGAAGCAAGATAGTCGACTGAAATTATTTTTTTAAAATTATTTATATATTTAATTCAGTTCAAAATACGAAATATAATGAAATAATGTTTAATTTTAATAATCGCACAGTAGCGAAAAAATATATATTGTGTGTAAATTTGCGGGACGGTGTTAACATCAGCATGAGCGATTACAGTAATCCGATTCTTACTTCAATTCCGAAGCAGCGCAGTTTTTAGTGTGCGGTTTCATAGAAAAAATCATTTCAAAAACAACTGCAACAGTATAAATACCATAAACCAGAGTAATAAATGTAATCATAGCTGAAACCGTTTTAATCGAACGCGCAAAAACAACAACAACAACCATAAGTCATCGTAAAAAGAGAAATATAAGTGCAGAAAATGCTAACAACTTGGAAAAGCATATGAATTTGTAATGTCGTTGATTGCATTTCGGGAATCATATGATAATTCGTTTCCGAAACATACATGTAAAACGGATAAATGGTCATTGCTTGAAACGCCTTTAATGAAAATCGTTTCAAATCTTTTCTAAATATCGGAAACCTGAACACAACCCATCGCATAGATCACGTTCAAATAGTGTTGGCGCCTCAAAACCATTCTACCAATTTCAAATTTATCTTGCGGATATGTCTTAAAGTTCCTAAAAATTTGCCTCTTTTAATGAGAGGAATTTCAAAATCTTACTGCATATTTCACTTTTGTGACTTATTCAAACGCCTCTTCGATGAAAACTGAAATGCAACATTCATACAATTTGAAAATGGATCACGCGGAAAATATTTTATTATCTCATGGTTATTAACACAAAATTATGTACAATTACCGTATCAATTCAATACGAAATCGAGATCGTTCAAATTTGGTTGGTTGCGGAATCAAAATTAGGAGATAGCTTTGGATTAAGCTTGAATTGATCGACGAGTGCCGTCTTCGGAAAATAATGGGCGATTTGAGAGAAGTGTAGAACGCTGAAATATTGAATATAATAAAGGGTCTTCAAAAGTGCTAATGCTTGTTGAAACGACAACACACCCTTTTCTGCATTTGATCCCGTTGTTGAAGTGTCACTAATTGCCATTTGAGGCAGACACCGACAATCAACACGAATAGCTCAACGCACGCCAAAATAATATAGAAGACAGTTCGATAGTGTTTTGTTTCGTTTTCCGAACGTGCTGAAATATCTTTAATAACACAACAGTTCGCCGGTACCAACAAAAAACCAAACCTGGTTTGCCGGGTCGGCGGTTGTCTTTCAATGGGAACAGTGAGATGTACGCCACACTCGCAGCGATTTTCAGTAGAATTCCGACGACCGCGATGAACATGATCGGCCATTGTGTGTTATAGAAATCGCCACGAATTGAGCAGAGCGCGAAAAACAAAGCGAGCATCGGAACAGCCATCGAAATCAACGAGACCGGATAGAACAGAATGCATGGGAACAATGAGACGAGCACGTAGAATATCATGAGTGATAAGGAGAGGCGCTGGAATTTTTAATTAAGGGGTCGAACAATCTTCGAAAAACAACTTACAAGAATATGAGATGAACCTTCATTAGTCGAGCTTACATGTGCTGTACTAGGCGCTTTTGATGCCCTTCTTTCACATTGAGCATTCTCGTCAACTGGTCGCGTATTGATAAAAATCATCTGAAAGCTTAAAGACAAGGATAACGGTGGTGGTCGTAAAATGTTCAGCGTGATAAATTAGTTTCTGCTGCAATCATTTTCCCAGGCTTTCATTTTTTTATGAGAGAATTCCAAGAGGAAGAGATGCACACAATGGACCTGAGCAGCGTTTACATTAATCGGTGAGTAATTGGGCGATAAAAAAAAAATGAAAAATGCTTCGCTCGAGAATATCACAATAATTTGAATTATGAACAATTGAAGTTGAAATATTTTATTTATACGAAAAAGGGAAAAGTGGATTGTCTTAAAAGATAAATTTTATAAATAGTTGTAAATATGAAATTATAAAATAAAAATACAAAAAAATTAATGATAAACTTTTGAAATGGTCAAAATTCCATGGCAAATAATGTTTTCGATTTTCTTTTCTCAGAAAACTATAAAAATTGTCGACACATAGATAATCATAGATCAAATCAGACGTTGAGAAAGTTTTGCGATGAGAACGAAAAAAACGTCTTGGGGGGGGGGGTGCCCGGGAGCAGGAAATTCCAATGAGAATGAAGACGAGAGCCAAACGCCAACTGTTTTTGGGGAGTGGCTGATTGACTGCCCGCGCTCAGGTAAACGTATATCTTGATCGGTTATGACTTGTGACCGCCAGTCGGGCAACGGCTTTGAGAAAAAAAAACTTTGGGGGCAATAACTAATTATTTTTGAGAGATAGGTTGGCAACAGCCAATCGATAAATATTTTCTATTTTTAAATTTTTTTTGGGCGATGTGAAATGTGACAATAATTAAGCGATATATTCTAAAGAAGGAGCAATTCAGACGAAAATTGTCTCGTAAAACAAAAATATGGGAATTTTGATCTAGCTTGAAAGTTTCGTTTAGAGAAATTTCATGTTATCAAATTTCGTTTCGACATATTGTAAATGAAAACCGAACAAAATATCAGAGATTAAGTAAATATTCAAATGTTGAAATTATTGAAAAACTTCTTTGAATCTATTAAATAACTATTTTTTTTTCTCGTGTTCTAAAATGAAGAAAATCATAGGAAAACTTCGCATTTCTAAGTGTAACATGTCAATCATAACCGCATTCTAAAAATTTTTACATCTATATTTCATTCAATTCGACGGGAAAATGTTTTTGTAAAAAGTTAGCAAAAAAAAGTGCAGCCTCGTTATATTTCAGACTCGACTTTTCTCTTTGGCTTGGCGTATTTTGAGGTTGTTTTGACAAGAATTTCAGCTATTTATTTATGTGCATTCCGTTGAAAAGAAATGGGTTTCAAAACAACTACCATAATAAGCAGAAAATACAATTGAATGTTATACGTTTCAAATTTTTTTAAGTTTAAAGATATGCATATAAGAGAAAAAATACATAGTAGAAGAAAGGTATTCTGAAAATGTTAAATTTTCTTCTGTGGAAAAAGGAAAAAAAACATTTTAATCGGAATCGACTTTTTTGTTTTTTTATTTCATGTTTCCCTTTTTAGACATCGCTTTATTATTGGTCCACAAAGCCTGAAATTTAGTTTTTAATATTACTTATCCAGTAATACAAATTTGTAATACTCAGTCAGTATGTCACTTTTATTAATAAGAAAAGAATATAAAATTGATGTGGGTTAGAAATCGTAAAAATTGCTCCAACGATTTTGTTTTCGCTGTGCGAACCAAGGCGGCAATTCAAATTATAAAACAATGGCTCTCCAACTATTTTTTGGTCCACGACAATGGCAAGATTGTGAAACACAAGGGCTCCTCAAAATACTCTTGTTTCTGCCCGAAAACAGAGAAGAGAAAAATGATTGAGCAGAAGCGATAATTGATGGATTTCAATTAATCTTTTTCGAACGGAAACCAATTTTTCTGCTTAATGATACTGCGAGTCATCGATGCCGAAAAAAAGTGAAGTCAACAAAAAAATCGCCGCTTTTGTCATGCTCTCACACCAAACAACTCGTGTCAATGGAGATAAATTTGAAAGAAAAAATGCAGACGAAATTGACACAATCACCGATGTTTTGGGCGAACCCTCTCTCTCAAAAGCCGCTGAGTTCTCCCGTTCACTGGCAAAATAAAAATCGGTTGCAAAAACAATGGATTACGGCAGGGATTATCTGGCAAAAAACGCAACATTATATTCTCGCGGTTTCCCCCACAAAAGGAAAGGAAAGGACGAAACTCAGAAGACATACATCATTTGGAGGGCGTGTCAGGACCATAAAGACGCAAAACGCACATTAAAAGAGTTGGGGGGGGGGGTTTGGTATTATGTCGAAAAACAAGAAGCAACCTAAAGAAAAAACTCAAAATTGAATCAGGTGTCCAAATTTTTTTTGGAATGAAACTGACAAATTTGGAACTAATGCGATTTTGGGAAAACGCAATTTCCTCGGGTTCGACTTTTTTTGGAAAAATTTACAAAATCGAATTGGATTGCAACAAAAATTTAGGTGATATGGTAAAATTGAATTTGAAAAGGAAATATGATTTTTTTTGTTAAAATAAAATTTTGAAACCCAACTTTAAAAAATGTGCAAGCTATTCATAAAATCGCAATATTTACAAATTAATATTCTTGATATTATATCAAAAACAATTAAAACGCGCTATGCGTCATCTCTGCTGGTAGGCAACAGATTCTATATTTTTAAAACATGTTTTTTTTTTCTCAGCAAGCACAAAGCCAATAGATAGTTTTTCCAAAAAAATGGAAGTCCGCCTTACTTATCATTCCTGACGGTTGCTAATGCGATTACCAGTTTTTTCTACATTTCACTAATGTCCAATTCCATTTCTTCGGTTCGGAAGTTCAACAATATTTTTCCAGAAAATTTCCGGTTTTTTACCGGTCGCATATTGACTAATAATCCACTACATTCAATGACGCTTTTAACACAAAAATGCAATTCAGATGGCCTCTTTTTTTTCTCAAATCAACGCCCTGTTGAGATCATTTAACGATGTATAATGTGCGCATTATGCTGAACATATGTGACCCCGCACACCGGCTCACCAGACGTCTTAACGCAATTCTACATTTCCTTCATAAAAAGTTTTATCTTCCAATTTTTTTCTTGCTCATCCTGCATCAATTTGATAAGTTTTCTCCCGTTTGTTGATTGAGTGTTCTGTAATAAAAAAAAATATATATATATATTTTCTTTAATTGTCGCATTCGTCGGCAATCGAAATAAGCCCCAATTTTTGTGTGCATTCTTGTAGAATCAATGCTCGTCAAATTTCGCCAATGGTCTCCTTGAAAACGTGCTTCTTAATATTCGCATCAAATGCGATTGTGATTTTGTATTTCTCATGTGATTATAGCAAAAGTATTTCCAAAAATAGCGATATATTTGGAATCGGGTGAGTACTTTCTTAAAAATTGAGATGCTTTTAAGTTTTAAAAATTAGCAGCTTCAAAATTTGGTCCCACGTTGATGATTTCCTCATTTTCTCGGACTTGAATCAATAGATTAAATTCCACCCTAATCAGGCAGCGAATTATAGCATTTTTTGTTACTCTCGAAAAAAAACTTATCTTTTTGTGAGCAAAAATTCCAGAAATTCGATTGACGCCGATTTTCCAATTATATTCTACAATGAGGCATATCTCGATTACAGGTGCCTAAAGTTGAAAATTCAAAAAACTCGATCTCTCACCTTTCAGGTATAAAACACCACGTTTACGTGTATTTGCAATGAACCCGTGTTTTCCTGATGAATATTTTTTATCAGCCGAAATCTTTTATCAAGTTTAGTTTCACTGTTATTCATTAGTAACAAATACCATTCAGAACTCGTCTTCGAAGCAGATACGACTCTACGGAACTCCTACGGAAGGTGAATGCCCTTGGCATTGGGCCAAAAATTGTTATTACAACTCGTTCATATTCTCAAGTAGAGAAGTCATTCAAAATTCAAAACAACTTCAAAAGGCTTGTTTCAATTTCTTCAATAATTTGTATTTTATTCCAAAATAAATCTTTTTTTCAGGTAAAAATATATCTTGGCTTTCGATCAATCCTTTTGAATATCAAAATTGTGCCGAAACAGAAAATATCAGGCTTGACAATTTGTGTTCAGCCGGTGTATTGGTATTCCCAACCTCAAAATGTTCTTCTTTTCTTTGAGGTAGTTTTTAGCTGGTTCCCCTTGAATAACGCGTATTTTAGGCTTGGATTGCTCAAGGAGCAACTCGATTCATAGCTTATTTTCATTCTTCAACGCCAGATGTCGATAAAATATTATTACATTATCAGAGAAAGGTTTCTTGAATTTTTAAAATTAATTTTTGTTTTCACTGATTCTTTAAGGGCATTTTAAAAATTAAACCGTGGCCTAAATTCGGAAAGTATTCGAAATTCTCGTCATCAATCTATCCCGAGGTTCAGAAAAAAAGTTTCTTCTCACAGATTTTCATGCTTCTAGTTTGATTCTTCAATTTATCGCGTTGGTCACACATTGGCTCAAAACCTTTGCATTATGGATATCGAAACATCACTAGCATCTATTGTAGACTTTGACGAAGTCATTACATCAAAGTTTCAAAATTGAAAGAAATGAATCAAATCGAAATATCTTAAATTTACAGAGATTCAAGAATCAAAGATTATTCACAAATTACAATGAGTAAAAACAAAAAAATTGGAGCTATAAGCTTTCCGCACTTATTAGTCAAATTAGTTCCAAAAATCGACAATTTCAATTATTCTGGTCTATTAAATCCAATATTTCTGGATCGAGAGGGTCCTCCAAAAGTAATAACCAAAATTATCAAATATCATTAAGTACTTGGTAATTTTCAGCTAATTTTCAAGACCTCAGAAATCGATATAATCTCAACACATAATGTTCGGTCATTTATAAAAAACTCTTCTACCGTTGAACAGGTTAATAGAATAGCATTTTTACAAAAAAGTATATACAATAATTCAGGGTGCCGGCGTTTTGCTTCATTTTCGTCATAATAGTTATACGGAATATCACAGCAAGCAAGTTACGAAATCGTTTAAATTTTTTACCGGTGATCAATTAGCCCATATTTCGAAATTACAAAAACAGGTGGCTTATTTCGAGAAATCCAAATATCCAATATACATTTTTAGGTTTCTACTATTTTTGGTCCTGTTACCCCTTCATTCGACCCTTCTATCCTTCATAAACTCAATAAGTGCATCAACCGTTTGGTGTAAGGATCCTTCAGTTTTCACTTTACATTTCATTTTTACAGTTCGGAAAACAAATGTCGGAGTACTGTGGCCTATTGTCATCAAGACCTCAATACAGCCGCGTTGTGGGTTTTCGAAAAATCCGCCAAAAAGATTTTTGTCACTTAAAGCTTACTTTATATGCAAAACATTGATTATAATAAATTGAGATGAACATATTTTTTGCGATGCACACCTTCCACCTAACTCCGCACAAATTCCGCACTCCTCGAACCCCCAATATCGGATTTTAAACTATTCTCAACACGTCTTCGATCGTCATCAGTTGGTGTGAACAAAATATCACGAATCCACGCCATTGTGAACAGAACTTTCCGAAGGAATGATACTGTATAGTGAACGACATCCTGAAAATTAAATACCATATATTAACCATAACCATATATAAATACCATATATACCATATATAAATACCATAAATACCATACATATGGTATTTAATTAATAGTAAATGCTCTGAAAATTTGAAATTCTTACATCGAAAAGCGCCTTATGCGATAGACTGAGGAGACCACAATTTTTCATATTTTGCTGTAATCTTTTCAGTAACTCCTCGTTCGTCTTCCAATGAGCTGTCAATGGTCTCATCTGAATTTTGAGCAGGTTTCAGCTATTTTTGCACCGATTTGAAACAAAAAATTACACTGTTCACAATATCTTCCATACTTTTCTCTCTTTTCTTGTGGTATTCGTTAACAACCTCCTCAATCTTATCCATTATGCTCTCATATTTATCGAATCGCTTTGAAACGTTCTCGAACCACTTTTTTAGATATGTTTCGTCAATGTTAACGCGTCTAAGGGCTCGCGTTAGTCGAAGTTTCTCAATTGTCAAGAGTTTCAGTTGCTCATTTTTGATTCCAGCGACCTCTCCTTCAAAATCTTCGGCGGAAACTCTGCAAAACATTTCGAATATGAAATTCTCAAAATTGGGAATACTCTTCAATTGGCTGAACCAGTTCTGCACTAGGATCACTAAATTTCATGGCTATTGGATCGCTCTAGAACTGTTCGATTAAAGCAAAATATTCGAGTTTTCAACCTTTGCACATTTTTCACCCCCTTTTGAAGTGTTCTTTCCTTTTCCAACCGACATCAAATCCGGAAATTTATACAAATTTTTTTCATTTTCCTTTCGATCTCTTAATTCCGCCGCCTCTCTTAATTCTTGCATTCGTCTTCTCTATTTTCAAAAATAATTTTTGATCACAGTCTACGTCGAAAACCTCATGAAGTTGTTCTAATCTTTTTCGCTGTGGATTCAAGCACAAGGGCTCCTTTTTGCTCGACATATCCTCCGAATAAGTCATCGATTCAGCCGAACCAGCAGGACTCATTGATACCACTTTTTTCGTGTTACCTTCTGGCTTTTGCGCTTCCGTACTTCCAGTTTCTCCCGATCCGCTCCCTACTTTGCTCTTCTTTTTCCTTCCATTTTTCTTCGCTTTTGTTCCCGAATTTTCTTCCGATTGTGTGGTTGATTCAGTTAAGTCAGCGCTGACTCGTTGCTTCTTCCTTTTTCGGACGCCTCCAGTTTTCGTCATTCTGACAAAAAATAAATGACGCTTAACATTTAGGGCATTACACGCCAATTAATTTTGAAATCCCATCAAATAGCGATCCAAGCGTGATATTAAAATTTTATACTACAACTACTATAAATGGATAATACAAATGACAATTTTCCGAAGCCTGAAACACAACAATACGTTTTTAGCTTCGTCGTATTTAACAACTAAATCATACGGAACATCCCATGGTAGAGATCATACGGAACATCCCATGGTAGAGATCATACGGAACATCCCATGGTAAATACAATTACTTTTGCAAAAAACGAGAGCCGTAAATTTTTGAAATCTTGAAGCGCTGGTCATGAAAAGTATCATTGTTGTCGCGCCAAAACAAAAAACGCAGAACCGTAAAAACCAAAAGTTCTCGTTTTTTGCGATGGCAATGAACAAGAACAATTCAAATCAACAAAAATTACAATAAATAAACATAAAGCTAAAACAATATGTTCCGCTATAAGAAACTATATGTAGTTGAATATGAAGAAAACCGTAATACGAAAATTTCATCACTGAAAAATTGATACGAGGATGGAAGACAATTTTAGAGAAAAACATCGTCAAACAAGTCAGGGATTGGGTCAACAGGAATGCTCGTGGAACCATCAAAATTATCATTTATTTTCATGGCACTTTGGTTTTGCGTAGCACTTGCAGTGGCCGGCTGGGACATTCGATTTTTTCGGTTCCTCTTCTTCCTCATATTGCGGGTCATTTGGGGCGGATTTTGCTGAGCGTCTTGTGATGGTTGTTGAGCTAGATGGCTGGGCGTTGAGACAGGAGCTGTTACCAGTGACATAAGTGGTGGCGGTTTTACAGATCCTTGAGCTGAATTGTAAGTCTGAATATTTTGTACCGGCGTAAAGTTTTGAGCAGGCGCATAGGTTTGAACTGAAGCAGCTGACAATGTTGCAGGCATCATTTGTTGTCCCGGAACGCCGAATCCATAAGCTGGCGGGACGGCCACGGCAGGAAGGTGAAGATTCACGCTTGGTACATGATTTGAATTTATTGGATCGTATTGATAAACGGGCTGTGCCGCCGATGGATTTATGATTGATTGCGACACGGAATACGCGCCAGGAATAGCAGTATACGCTGGTTGGTATCCGGTCGATTGTAGATTGCTCACTGCAAGCATGTATGCTGATGGACGGGTTGATGAACCAGTCCGTCGATTGGAAGATGATCCGGATGAATCTCTTCGAGTCCTTTTTTCGCGACTTCGAGACCTCCTGCGTTCTCGATTTCTATCACGAGTCCGCTCTTTTTCACGCTGCTTCGATCGGTCACGCTCTCTGATCCGATCACGATCCCTATTTCTATCTCGATCGATGGTTCGCTCAATCTCCCTAGATCGTTCCCTATCTCTGCATAACTCTTTTGATCGGCCGATTTCACCTCGCCGCGAATCAGATGATGGTTTCTTTCTGTCTTCTGGTTCATCGACTTTTTGTGACTTAATGAAGGTTTCCTGAACACACTTAGCCTCAAATATGCTGAAATAATTTTCTACTTACAACGATTGCCTCCTTGGCTTCCCAAAATTCTTTTGACTTGTTTCTCACAAATTTATCGAAATTTTTGAGCATTTCGTCATCTTTTGTCACTAAACAGTAGCTTAATACATGCCCTTCCCGTTAAGTAAAATAATCAGTTTTTTGTTTCAAAAATCATTCTGCGAAGAGAATGCTTCACAAATAATTTCAGATAAATGATTGAATATCTACATACAGCTGATCTGTGTTCCGTATATAGCAATATCATTGAATAGCGAATCCATTATCCCTGCGACAAAGACAGGTAAACTCTACAATTTTTTGTTAAAAATAATACAATAGATTACCAACATACCTTAAATTTAGAAAACGAATTCCTCATTTCTTTACTTAAAATTCCCATTTCTACAATTTTGTCCATATATTTTACAACACTTCTAATTTCGGCTTCTCTGTAAAGCATTAATGTAAATCGAGTACAAAAACCACTCTACTTTTCCGTCTTTTTTCCCTCAGAAGTTGCTGATATCAACTCCGAAGGAATATTGGTTATATGGCAAAGAGCCTTCCACGAAGTTCGGTCTTCTTTGACTTTCTTTTCAGTCTTGATGACAAGTGGTCCTAAAGACACGTCCAACTCTTTGAAAAACATAAGGTCTCGTTGGGCGATCAAATATTCTCCTCTTCAAATTGAGAAATGAAAATTGGTGATTATTTTATTACTACTTTATATCTTCAGTTTTTCGTTTTCGACTATCTTCAGCGTGGCGTTTTTGTTTCTCCTCTTCTTTTTTCTTCTCTTCTTCGCGTTTTCGACGATCCTCAGCTTCCTTTTTTTGTTTTCCGTCCTCTTCCCGTCTTCTGATTTCCCTATGACGTCGCTCTCGTTCCAATCGGCGTTCTTCATGATCATCTTTCTCATGTTTGCTACCCTTTTTTGAAGATAACCGACGTTCTTCTCTCGTCTTGCGCTCTTCTTCCATTCTTCTGAATTCAGCCAGCTGTTTTTTGATTTTTTCAGCCTTTTCTTTCTCCCTTTTTTCCGCATTCACGTCGTACGCTCTAAAAATATTTTTTTAACTATATAAAATGCATGTATCCCACCTTCCATCAATTCCAATTTCAAATCCTTCTTGCAATTCAGAGGGAGGGTTTTCTGGATAGACAGGAACAGGATCAACCGTGATGTCTTCATGATGGTTCCACAGCGGTTTAAAAGCCATTCTCTCGGCGAGCTCTTTTTCTTGTATGGCTTTTAACTTTTGTTCTTCAAGAAAGCGTAATTGAAAATTCCTAAAAATTTTACTGTAAATTTTGTATTTATTTGTGTACTTACCCTGAATAATAATCAGTATTTCTATGAGAATTTGAAGGCATATCGTCATAGTAATCTCCCGGTTTTTCAAATCTATCTATGGGAACAGAACTGATAGGATCATAACGCTTCGACGTTTCAAAATTCTAAGATTTTTATTATTGGTTTCTTTTGCTTTTAATTAAATACCAATGGATTTTTGGAAATTGATTCGTTTAGTTTCCTAATGCGCTCTTCAAGTTCATAAATTTTCCGTTGTCCCATGATCAATTCATCCTCGAAGTCTTCCATTGATTGAGAGCGAGAGTGCCGGCGCGATCGTGATCTATCATGACGATACATCTTAAATAATTTAAGATTATTTCATTTAAATTTGCTGGTTCCATTTTTTATTCACGAAACTATGTAAGTTTTCGAATCTGAAAAGGAAAACTGTTCTCTCTTGCAAAATTTATAAAGCAAACAAATAATGTATTAAGAGAAAACTTTAAAACAGAATTTTAACAATAATGGGTAAATAAACGCGCGGTAGCGTTAAAATTAAAATAAATTATCGCCCCGCCCACAAATTGCAAGCCGGGCGCGCAATAGTCTAATGCGATCGCATAGATGTTTTACTAATGGGTTTAAACTTCAGTCTTCGATAATTTGTAAGATGAAGAACACGGATTTGTCAAGTTACATTTTGTGGGCAGATTTATAACAAAATTTTGAAACGTGTGCCAACATATTATTAGAAATGTTTGTCCGTCCAATGTTTTTCACCAAGTGAAATGTATGATACTGGGAAATAATGTTGACATCATTACAAAAATGGAAACAATTTTTGATAAATTGGTCATTCGAGACGCGCACAGAAGATGAAAAAAAATGGGAGAAGGAGAAATATAGTGTGTAACGTGAGAGCTTTAGGAAGACACATGTGGTGAGTCTCCCAGTGGCACACAAATCTTTTCAGCAAATTCGAATCGCCTCGTGTTGTCTTGTGCAACATTTTTTGCACTATCATGCAAAAGGTTCTAATAATTGTATTGATTTGTGAGAAAGTTTTCTCAAAAGGCATTTATTTCGTTGAAGAGAGGAATGGTGTGACGTATACTCAACCATTGACAAGGTAGGTCTGTCATTTTTCAATATTAAATTTCCAAACAAAAATCAGCACTTCCAAAGCCGAAGTGGGAGAGCAAATAAAGGATATCTTCGATATCGATTTAGATGACGGGGATCATAACTTCAAACTTCCTGATAAAAATGGTTTAATATCAAGATACATGAAAAATTTGTACGACGAGTTGGAAAACTTAGAAAACAAGTAAGATTTCTTTTACTCTTTCAAAGAAAACAATATTTATTCAGTGGCCAAATGAATGAAGAAAGCTTAACGCCTTGGCTGAGTGCAGACGAAATAATTTCTGTAATGGCTATTGGTTAGTTGAACAACTATGACTCAAATCGCATATTCGAAAATTCGCAGACATTTCTGATCGTCATCCAGATGGAGTTTATCAAATCAAATTTTCCCGCAAAAGCCTTCCCGATTCGAAATCGCACTCGGTTCTTTGCGCTCAATTAAGAGTGACAGTAAGCGGTTTGATTTCGCCGGTTTTCTTTACAATCGACGATTCTCGGTAGGCAAAACGTATAGGAAGGAATATCAAATTGATTTAGTATCGCCGACGAGAACATTTTAGTAGCACACGAGAATCCAATCGTCGTCACTGACGTCACCCCCATTATTTCGAATTGGATTGAAGACATTTCCTCAGAGACTTTCATTAATCTGCATGCCTCTACCAGTCTGTTTTTTTTTCGAAAATGTCACCCCAACTAATCAATTTCCAGGTTCTCCTTTGAAACTTGAAGCATTTATCGTAATTGCAGTTAAAGATGAAGCTGGAAAATTACCGAAAACAAGGCAAATACATATAATTTTTAATTAGTGCAGTGATTTTCTTAAGAAATCGGAGGGCGGTTGCAGCGAGTCCGTTATCCTTCCCTCAACCAAAACGGCAATCAAGGAAAGGGGAATCCGCGTATTTTGAAAAGCGTAAGAGTTTTTTCGTATTATGATAACTTTACAAATGCTTTGTGAAGCTGAACGAAACGAAATCTGCCAAAAGAAAGGGCTGTACGTTGACTTTGATGCTCTTGGATGGAAGGTTTTTTCGCGTTTGACAATTTGCTTAATATTTTCAAGATTTTCAGCAATGGGTAATTGCACCCGAAGGGTTTTCTGCATTTTATTGCGCCGGCGCATGCTCAGCACCATTTCATCGAGCTCTAAATGCAACATCACACGCAATCGTTCAATCTTTAGTAAGAATTAAGCACTGACACTTACCTATTTGGTCGTTGCAAAAGAAATGCACCATTTCAAATCTTTATCTAAATTCAACATCTGCTATTCAATGGCTAAAAAAATTTTAATAAAAATATCTAGGTGAACTCAAAAAAACAATTAGAAAGAGCATTAGATAAGCTTTCCAATGATTTTGAAAATTTCTAAAATAAGAATTCTAAAATCGTAAAGCCTGAATTTATTTTGCAACGGCCTTTGTGTAATGCATTTTATACAGGTTCATCTTGTACGCCCAAACGCCACCACCGAAGCAAAGTGTGCACCATCTTCGCTATCATCAATGAAAATAATGTTCATCGATCAAAAAAAGAATCTTCTGATTAAGCGATATCGAGACATGGTCGTCAAAGAGTGTGGATGCCATTAAAAACTTGATCATAATTTCCTTTATACGCTCGGGTTCAATTCAGTTGTGAGATTTTTTTATTTATGTTGTGTTGTAAAATACCGAAAGTATTCCATAAATAATGTGGTAAATAATTGTACAATTCAACAATCAATTTAGAGGCAGTGAAAATTGCAAACCAGAGCCGATGTTAATTACATTACTTTAGCTCATCAGGGGTTTTCACGCGCTTCCAATTTTGTGGGACTATTAGTCCGATGACTAGTAATGTGTATAGAATCATCGTAAGAATCGCGAAACTTAGGACGTATTCGAGACGATTTGGGCATGACAAATTCATGTAGCAATCTCTGAAATGAAAGATTATCGAGAAAAATATAAATGCATTCTTACGGCCCATGCCAGGATATTCGTTGAACGTGCCCGATTGTACATTGAATACAAGCTAGAATCATGCACGAAGCTCCAACAGCGCGATGAAGCGGAATTAATCGAGCTCGATAACTTCCCGGAGTGCATGGGAATAAGAATGTTAAAAAGCCGAACACAAACTAAAATGTTAATATTCAAATTTACAATAAATATAATTCAAGGATAATAACGCAGATTAGCTCCCCACCTGGTCCCACTGCAGGACTGGTTTGGACCCTCCCTCCCCATCTTGAACAAATCAGATAGAATTCAAAATAAAATACCTGAATGTTGTAGACCAATAAAATTATTACACCAATCCAGCTATGAACTGTGGAAAAATGTTTTTCCTAAATACAAAATTAAAAATTTGAAATACCAAAAAAAAAAAATAAAAACCTTATCAATGTTATTGTTAATAATGATTACGACAAGAGATGTGAGGCCTAATCCAATTGCAGCTCCATGCAAAAACGTATGAATAAGTTTTGAGATGATTTTTGCATTATATCTGTACACTCGATAGCATAATAACGCTATAATTAATTAATAAATATTTGTAAATAAATAAGCAATCTCACCTTCGCCTTGGAAAAAAATGAAAGCTAGAATCATAAGGAAACCATGAAGCATATCACCTTTTCCTTTGCATTCCCTATTTTTTGTTGGCCAGGCAAGACCATTTTCAAACGAGTTGAAGAAAAATCCATTGAGAAGGATAGTTATGAATCCAAAAAAATGAGTGACCGCAAGAATTACTTCGAAATATGTGTTCGAAGATTTGCTTCGCGACTCGTACAAGTTTGGGGGCATCCTAAAAATTAGAAATTCATAAATATTCATATTTCTGTCAAAAAAATTAATTAATAAAATAACAATATTTAATTACTGTGTAATTTTATATTGCATTTTATGCATTTTTTCCTTTAATTGTAAGACAGTCAATCACTTTCTTAATTATTTTTATCGGTGACCGGAAGAAACACAATATGAAAAAATTATTTACATAATAATCTAATTTAAATTCTACATATTAATGATAAGGCTCGTGAATCGCCAAATTCCCCTCTTTTTTTTTAATCTTAAATTTGACTATTCAAATGATTTATCTCCCTCTCTGAAATATCTTCAAATTTTTCGGAATATATTCAATTTTGATAATCGAGATTTCAAAGGTATAAAATCAAAATTAAATGGAAAAAGCTTTAACAAAAAATTGATAGCGGCATGCTTAAAAATTTAAAAAAATTCTGAAAGCTTCTTTTTTTTTTAATAAATTTCGTTTCAGGGCATATGTAAAAAAGTGTTTTAAATCCCAACTAAGCTTAATTCGGGACCTAAGGCTATTTTGGACGAGACGGAATTATAATTATATGGAGATCATAATAAAATTGTACTTTATATAATGGCATATTCCCAAATCGAGTCAAATAGACACTAGGGCAATTTTCGAACGAATGGGCTTAATGTATCAGTTTCAAACGTCAAAAAATGGTCATGAGTCACATCAGACGTTAGCAAAAAGTGTTAAAATCTTGTCATTTTCACTTTGGAATTGACCGTGCTGGAATGTACAAATTGTTTGATGATAACGCTCAACGCTCTTACTATCATTGCGCCTCGTTTATGCCATTCATAGTCTTATCAGAACTTTCCTTCAACGCTCTTACTATCTTCGGCACTATTACTTTTTAGGTCCAACAATATTTGATAATCGGGCCGAATTGTTATATGACGAGGGCGATCGAAGACGAATACAAACATTTGATTGTATAAAAGATTTTTGAAGAAAATTATTTCATTTTCATCTTTTTCTAGAAATTATTGTAATATGATTTTTTTTTCAAATAGAAAAGTTTTTATCGTGTATTTCAAGCAATGACACTTTTTAAGCTCTTCTTTATCCGTTTAGCCATTCTGTCAATTTTTAAATGTAGATCTACATTGTTTATTTTTTGGTGAATAAATAAATAAATAAAAATTTTGAAATAATGTTATAAATATTTGATCTATGCATGTTTGCAATCAACTTACTCATTACTACACCAAACTTTCGATTGAGTACATAATATCAACAGGAGACGCAGCGACACTATCAGAAACCTCCTCGCTACAATATAGCCTTTTCGACAAAGGAATACAATAATCTTTCCCGTTCACTTTAATGATTCTCTCAGACTTTCTACATTATTATTTCACTTTATTACTGAAGAAATATGTACTTCGAAAATTGTTTGCAACTATTTCAAGATTAAAACTTAAATTGGCTGTTAATCAAAAGCTTCATAGCAATGGGTGAGTAATTATGTACATATAATCATATTGAGAATTTTTGTTTAGAGTGTTGTACATTCATCCATTAACATGCTTTTCGCTGGGAATTTTGCACAACCAAGCCGTGCGAATTTCGATGACATGTACAAATTATAATGGTAGGAAAATGTAGACCAATGACTTCTTATTGCAATCCTCCATTTCTTTTTCAGACGAAACACGTAATGTTGAAAGAATAATGAAGGTTTGTCTTGACAGAAGGATCAGCACTCATCAAATCGTTATATCTCGTGACGATTTGTTCAACATTTTCCGTCAAAACGTGATAACACTTGCAACAATAAATGTAATATTTGTTTTTGAAAGAAAACCTTATTCGTATATTTTAAAGAATATAATTCCAACGTTTTCCTTGAAAATCGGCGCACTGGAAGTGGTCGACTCAGCAAAATTATCTCGAATTCGTCATGCCGATATGGAAAAAGAGATTCAATTGAATGCAGGGCACTTGAAAGAACTCACCAAAGAGCAAACGTATATTTTTAAATTGTTTCAAACGAAAATTTTCAAGTTATAGAATAATATATAAAAATGATATAGTCCGGATAGAGCACTTCGATCCTTTCATGGGAATTCTACACCATTTGTATTATAAGGTATGTTAAACGGTAAATTATTAAAAAAAAATTAAAAAGCAAGGTCGAAACGCCATCATCGCCATGTATTATCGACGAAGGCACCTCGATATATGAATCATCACCAACAGAAGCGTTTTTGCCATATTCGAACTTCATTCTGAACAATCGAATACCTTCAAAGATGAACGAAATGGTCAACAGAATGGTGAAAATATACCAAGCGCATAAGAAAATTCAAACGGCAACACTTACATTTTTAATAACGGGTGTCGCTGGATCAGGAAAACGATTGACTTGTCAGACATTCGCCGCAAAAACTCATCGAACGTTTTTAGAAGTTGATGCTTATTCTTTTTATAACGAAAATCCAGCAACATCGGAAGCAAAAATCAATTCTACCATCGAAAATGGTTAAGCATTAGCTTTAATTTTTTAAACAGTAATAATTTCAGCCAATCAATATCAACAATGTGTTCTTTTCATAAGAAACGCACACGTTATAGCTTTTGATGCCTCAAATGGATATGGTAGGAATCCTTGATTTACGTATCATTTTATTGCTCTCCAGATCGTCGCATCATTCAGCATTTTGAGGAAAAATTGAACGAAAATTCGAAAGTGACAGTCATATTTTCCAGCACAACGGATCGTTTGAATCAAATGCCGATGGATGTGAAATCATTGGCATTGTACACGTTTCGTACTGAGTATTTAGAAGAGGAGGACCGTACGAACTGGCTCAAATATTATGTTCCAAACGATGAATCGCTGGTAACTCAAGTCGCAAAGAAAACTTCAGTAAGCCTTTGAAAAACTGAAAACGACAAGAAATTGGAATATTTTAGGGATTCACATTGGCCGAACTTAACAACTTAATCCAGTACGTCGAAATTCTAAGTTTAGACGAAACCTGCAATAGTAATATGGAAGAACGGTTTAATGAGGGCATTCAAAAGCGAAATTCAAGCTTTGCCGACGCGATTGGAGCGCCGAAAGTGAGATTTTAATATATTTTCAAGCAAACTTAATTATGCTTAATTAATTTATAGATACCAAATGTCTCATGGAATGATGTAGGCGGTCTTGAAGAGACAAAGCGAACCGTAATTGAAAGCATTCGAAGTAGTTTATTTGGCTCGTCGGCTCTCAAACGATCCGGAATTATTCTCTACGGTCAACCCGGTTGTGGAAAAACATTAATCGCGAAAGCGGTTGCCACCGAATTCAAAATCTCATTTCTAAGCGTCAAAGGGCCAGAGTTGCTCAATAAGTACGTTGGACAAAGCGAAGAAAATTTGCGCAAAGGTTAGACATATTCTGAATTTGAAACAATTTTTGTGTCTGTCTTCAGTTTTTGAGCGAGCTAGACAAGCATCGCCTTGCATAATATTCTTTGACGAAATTGATAGTTTGGCACCAAATCGCGGAAAAAATGGGGACTCCGGCGGTGTGATTGATCGAATCGTCTCTCAATTGCTCGCCGAGCTTGATAAACTGCACAATTCGCCAAGAAATAAAGTTTTTGTTATGGGCGCCACAAATCGTCCTGATCTCCTTGACTCATCCCTCCTTATGCCAGGAAGATTCGACAAACAGATTGAAGTGTCACCAGGAAATGATGTTGAGTCGAAAACTAAAATATTGGAAGCAATTGCCAGAAAAATGAACATGGATGAAAATGTGGATTTGAAATCTGTGGTAAAAGAACGTCATTCATATTACTTTACGAATCACGTGTTCAGGCTGCGGCGTGCAATGAATCAATGTCGGGAGCGCAACTTTCATCGATTATTTCCAACGCCGCTATGCAGGCTATAATCGAGAAGATTCGCTCAATTGAACTTAACCAGGAATCACCAGAACAGGATGTTAAAGTGACGCAAAGTCATCTGCTAGCTAGTGTGAATAATTTTAAAGCACGAAACACTTGAAATAAATTTATCAAAATTAACAATCTAAATCTTAAATAAACTAAACTCTCGTTTTAATATGGTAAGTGTTGAGGACCTTCTGATATTTTCTTAGGATCACGCAGCTCCATCTCTTTCAATGATCCCTAAAAATAATAAAAATCACGACCTAAATCAATGGTATATTTTACATTGTATACTCTTGGTTTTAAGTCAGGTTTAAGCGCATCTAATGTGTAAGCAAGGAAAGATGCTTGAACTCCAGTGTTACAATGGGTGATAACTTTTTGATTTTGAGTGTATCCATTTTCATTGAGCCCTACAATGACATGTCTTCATTGCAACATTGCATACTTTGCTTAAAAAACTTACAGGCTTCAATTTCCTTTTCTTTTTTTAACAATCCGTTACTGTCTACTAACTCAGCGCTCGGACAGTTTTTGAAGCCTTTAATGCGAGTTCCGTTAACCCCTGAAATTAAAATAAGATTTTTTAAATTGGCAATTTTATTTTTTTACTGTGAGGATCTAATCCGGTATCCTCGGTTCCATTGAACTGTCCACGAATACGGGCATCCAAAAAGTTAATCTCATCTGTTTTTTCAATTAGTTGTTTTTCGCAGCCATTTTTGTCTTCAAGCTCCTCGAAAGTGACAACATGTTCTTTAATTGCATCACTGGCCTTCCAGTTGCCTTTCTTTAAGTAGAAAACTTTACATATTTTAATATAAACAAAATATTACCGGTAATCGAACATCATCAGTTGAAATATCATATTTTGCTTGATTCCACGCATCAAACCCACCATCAATGAGAGAAATTTTTTCATGGCCATAAGACTAAAACAAGAAATATTCTAAATTTCAAAAAATATTATACCTTGAAGAGCCATGCAAGTTTTGCACCAAACATCATTCCACCTTGCGCACCTCTTGAATAAAAGATGAAGTGTTCTCCAGAATTTAGACCGATTAACTAGAAAAAAATTTGTTTCAATTATTAATTCTGCCAGATTTTTTGTTTTACCTGCGCGTATTTTTCAAAAACTTCGGGAGAATATTGAGTCAACTTTTGAAACTTTGACGGATACATAGCAATGTTCAAATCAATGTGAGCAGCTTCTGGAATATGGCCGGAAAGATACAAATCTCGCGAACTGAAATGTTTCGATAATTTTTAGATTCAATTATATATTCATACGGGCTTGGTCGATTGATAAGCATTTCAAACTTTCCATAGCACTCCTTTTCATATTTTTTCCAATCGGGAAATGATGAGATACTGCATGAGCAATCCAAAAGACGGACTCCTTCTTTGTTTATAATTCCCTTTTTGAGAAGATTGTTTACTGAAGCGACATCAATGATTTTCTTCAAACTCATTCTGCAAAAACCGCATCAAATATACTAGAAGAAATAATCTTAACGATGAAAACGAAAGATTAAATTTCTTTTTATACTATAGGTTGAGAATACGTGACTTTTACGAACTGAAAAGCTCCAAACAGTTTACGCCGCATTTTGTTTTTACTACATCACCAGATAATTGGTTGATGGAAAGCAATAGATCATATATATATATATATATATAAATACAATATCTTATTATCCAATGTGAAACTTGTCTCATTCGATTCGAAACGAATTACTATATTCGAAAATTGCTACTTATAAAACTGAACAAATATATTAAACAATTTCAACATTCTATATATAATATAATTAATAATAGTAATTAAAAAATGCCAAATATACAAAAGATTAGAATGAATAAATTTAAAATTATTAAAAATACCAGGTAACAATGCTCCAGTAAACCATGCCCTCTTTTTATCGTATTTTATTTTCATTATTTTTTAATTTTTACATCATTTCTGAAATCTTTATAAATTCATAAGTAAATATATTTACAAATATTTGTGTTATTTTTCCAAGAATTTTTTATAACAATTTTTCAAATATTATTTTTAGATTAATGCAACCTTGATATAGTTATGATTATTCGTTCATTTCTGTCCTTGCGACCAATATCAAAACTGTTTTTAATTGGCGGCACGAGTGGCGCTGGATATGCTGTGTACAATGGAACGACTCTTGAAGACATTCAACATGTTGGAGTTTTCAGATTTGGGCGTGCCACTATAGCTGTAGGATTTTGAAATGTGTAATGATTCAAACGTATTTTAGGTTGCGAAAATTGTATTAGACTATAAAATTTCATTACGAAATATACCTCAACCATCAGAAGAATATGATTCGAGAATAAAAGAGTGCCATCAAAGAAGTGCGGAGAATCTACTAGAACTAGCTCGGGTGAATGGCGGCGTCTTTATCAAGGTATTTAATATATTTGGAACTGCTTTGAAAATATTTATAATTACTGGTCGGTCAACATATTGCGGCAATGGAATATTTGATACCTCAAGAATATACTAGAACACTAGGAGTTTTAATGTCAAGAGCTCCACAAGCCACAAAAGATGATGTTATTTATGTAATCGAGTCAGAATTTAACAAAAAAGTAATTAATATCACTACAAACAATTTACGTTGATGTTTAAATACACAGGTTGATGATATATTCAGTGAGTTTTCCGATAAACCAGTTGGAGCGGCAAGTTTAGCTCAGGTGCATGTTGCTCGTTTGAAGGTTAGAACGTTATTCACAGATTGAACACCTTTTATTTATAATTTTTAGTCGACAAATGAAAAAGTTGCCGTGAAGGTTCAACATAAACGTGTTTATAAAAATAGTAGGACTGATATGAATACAATGGAGGTAATACTATATAGTTATTATTATTTTTGTAATTTCAAAATCTCGTTCTAGCTTTTGGTTAATATCGCCGATGCAGTTTTTCCCGAATTTAAGTTAATGTGGTTGGTGAATGAGGTGAAGAAAAACTTGCCAAATGAGCTCGACTTTCTTCATGAAGCGAAAAATGCCGACGAAGCTGCTAAACGGTTCAAGCATTTGAAGTTTCTCAAAGTTTTCATTAGTGTTTTTCAATTTTTATTTTTTTTTAACGTTTTTTAGATTCCAAAAATCAAGTATGATTACACAACGAAACGTGTATTAACCATGGAATTTTGCGAAGGTGCCCAAGTTGATGATATTGATTACCTTAAAAAGCACAATATCGATCGTCACGACGTCTGTGCGAAAATTGGTCGAACAATTTCGGAAATGATTTTTCTCCAAGGTTACCTTCACTCAGATCCACATCCTGGAAACGTTCTCATTAATCATCTGGGAAAAGGAAAATACGAAATCGTGCTTTTGGATCACGGGTTGTATCTTGTAAGAACGAACCACTGTGAAACACTGAGATAGAATTTAATAATTTTAGGTTATCAGCGATCATATCCGAAAGTTATACTCGGATTTGTGGCTTGCTATTTTGAAGCCGGATCTTCAAAAAATCAGGGTATTTAATTGTCTTTTTCAAATTTGAAGAAAAACTGTATTTACGAAAATTCGTTCTTTCAAAATTTGAAAATATTCGAAATAAATACAAAATAAAGTGATATAAAATCAATTTTTAAAGACAGTCGCATGTCAAATGGGCGTTGGAGAACTTTATGGACTATTTGCTTGTATCGTAACAAGACGATCATGGAAGTCGGTGACCAGTGGCATTGAGAAATCGGAAATGGACAGCAATGAGCAGAATGAGCTACGAACATATGCCTCATCTCTAATTCCGCAAATTAGTGACGTCTTGGCGCGAATGCCCCGTGAAATGCTTCTCATCCTTAAAACTAACGATTTAATGCGAAACATTGAGCACAAACTAAACGTGTTTGGTACCGGTGATGCACATTTTGAGGTATTTTTTTTTAGAGTTATTCCATGTTTTCTATCACGTTGAAATTCTTAGATGTGCCGATGTGTTGTACGAAGCTCCCACGAATTATCAATTCAACGATCGGACAGCTCACTGGAAAAACTAAAGTTATCGTTAAGCATGTATTGGTCCCTGTTTAAAATCTGTGTATTCCAATATTACTTGAGACTTAGGACAGTGTATTTGTAGTTGAACACGCTTTTAGTAGTTCACATTTTTCCTCTTGTGCCTTTTTTGTCGTTACATGTTATGATATTTCACTCACTTCAAGGATAGAACTACATTATTTAGGATATTAACTGTGATAGCATGAGAAATTAGCCGGTTAAAGTTTAAATGCCCACTTTGTTGCCTGCCTTTTTAACGTACATTTCGTCATCTCAAAACAAAAGCTCATTGCAATAAATGAACGTTATCATATCAACAACATCGTGGATACCAGTTGGCGCTAATAACCTAGTTAGCGATAAAAGCCAGTCGCAATGAAGATGTATAAAATGATGGGGTGTTCGCAAAAATCAGGGTTGTCTCGAATGAGCGTCACTAAAGCGACCGCCGGGGCCTTGTGCCTCTCCTCGGCCACTCTCATCCTATCACTTTACGCGATTTATGCAATTTACTCGGATGTTCAGTCTATCTGGTCGGAATTGGATCAAGAAATGGATCAGTTCAAGGTATTCGAAAGTTATGACTTATTTAATTTTTGAAATGTTCAGGTAGCCACGGATGATTTATGGACCCAAATGCTTAGCCTTGGAGCAGCAACCCCTTCAACTCGTCAGCGACGGCAGGGCAAAGAGCAGTACGGTGGTTATGAAGCGCAGGGTGTGAATCCAGGCCCCACCTGCAGTATGTTTCAAATGTGGGTGCTTCAGACTTTTTTCTGTTACAGTGTGCAACTCTGGAAATGGAAAGGGAGATGATGCTCTTGGCACTGGAGGTTGTCCAGCGGGACCACCGGGACCAGCTGGTGCTCCTGGACCTGATGGAATTCCTGGAGTTGATGGACTCGATGGATATCCTGGAAATGACGCTGATGACGCGCAGAACGCGCCGTTCAATGGGTGCATCACGTGTGCTCCTGGAAAGCCAGGAGCGCCGGGAGAGCGAGGAAAACCAGGAATGCGCGGAATGCGAGGAGCGCGCGGAACACCGGGAGCGCCAGGAAACGATGGTAATCCTGGAAACCCAGGACAAATGGGACCACCTGGACCACCAGGTGAGGATGGCAAACCGGGAGCACCGGGAGAGAAAGGAGCCGACGCCGAGCAGCTCACACCGCGCAAAGGACCACGAGGACCTCCAGGTGACTCAGGACCAGCTGGTCCAGAAGGAGAGCCTGGAAAGCCAGGAGCGCCTGGAGAAGAAGGACCGCCAGGACCTGACGGAACCGAAGGATTCATGGGACCCGGTGGGCCACCAGGTGAAGAAGGAAAGGAGGGACAAGCCGGAAAAGTTGGAGACGATGCGACATATTGCCCCTGCCCAGACCGAAATGCTCCGAAAGAGGACAGCTACTCGTCGGCACCAGCGCACAATCCGAGCAGCAACAATGCTCCCGGAGCAAGCTATTCCGCCGGCACCGGTGGCTATTCTGGCGGCACCGGCCACGCCGCCTCGAGCTATGGCAAAAAATAACCTCATCATTCGCATATTTATCGTGTTTTGTATTTATCCGAAAAAGAATTGAGCGGGTCGAGTCGAGCGGTTGAGTCGTCAAAATTATTCGAGCAGTCAAACACACATTCAATAAAATATTATTTTCAAACTTTGAAACAAAATTCGACATTCCTATAATGAATACAATTAACTAGACGAATTTTATTTGGAGCATATAAGCCTCCTCTTGTTGGTTGTTTTCAGCATTGGAAATGAAGAGAAGTGCCTGAAAAATATAATAGCCGCTATGCATACATATAAAATTTTATGGGTTTTACGGCTTTCGGCCGTTTTATTTCCCGACAAAAACTATCAAAGGTAACGGTATTGTGTACATTGAACACATTCTATATTAAAAAATACTATAAAATGAATATACAAATTCTCATTAGTACAATTCTAATTGTATTATCGCGCAGAAAAAAATAACACTGCTCCGTAAATATCTCAAAGTGTTTATTTTTGTGGTCGATTAGAAATCAGCAAAATTTAAAGATTTTTTGATACCACCTTCAATTTTTTTAATGTTCAAGAAACAGTTTCAAAAAATTGAGGACAAATTTTCCGATATTTCAAAATTATGTTATACGTCAATTGCGTTGAAAGAGGTCCTAGAGAGTCGAAATTAGAAATTTTAGAAAAAAAATTAGAAATTTTAGAAAAAATCTGAAAATTCAGTGTCTGGTTTGGGAGCTAATAAGAGGGTGGTTTCTATAACTCATATTTTCCGTAATATGTACATTTAAAATTATTTGTTTTAAAACACCTATGCGACCATGTTCATGAACGATAGAATTGTATTATAATCGAATGCAGATAATCGAATATCCAAAACCGGTTGGATTGGCAAATGGCGGCCTATGAACCTCGACCCCCCGGAAATAAATTTTGAGAGAAAGTGTCTGAGATGAAAGTCTGACATTGATAATAATAATTTTAAAAGATAAAATTCTTTCTTTTTTAATTCATTGGAAGAATATTCGATTTTTTTCATGTTATGACTAGCGCACGCATTCACTTAATAAATTTTCTCGATCTGTGAACTCCGACATCCGGCATGAAATCATCAGAGTTTCTTGAGCTTCCTGTCTTTTATTTCTTTCATTTTTTTCTGCGAATGTTCCGCTCACCTCCAAACTCATAGGTTTGTGCGTGATTACACCAAAAAAGACGTCGTAGCTTCTCGAGCCCATTGCCGGTATATTGACAAGCGGCTCGCTAATTTTGACAACGTCGGGTCTCGACGTTGAAATCAGAAACGATCGTGGAATGCCATACGGATTTTTAATCAATATTTTCTAAAAAAAATTATCCTCAATATTTATGAATTTTTGCGCAAAATTCACCTTTCTGATTAGCTCCTCGGATGAAATCGGCACGTTTACCGAGAATTTTTGAGTGATTCTTGGGGTTTGAGCTGTAGCAAATAAAATAAATGCGTAAACGAGTTGCCTAGTAGTTGTATTAACGACAGTTACAGCGTACTCATTGGTTCCTGAAATAATTATTTTATATTAAAAATTTTCTTATAAGTATGTTTTTCTTGATGTATTCTTTTTGGAGCCTAGCCGTCTTGAAAAAATCTATTTCTTCTAAAAAGTTTCCAAAAGTTTTTCGTTCTTCATATTTTCAAAATAGGTTGAATTCATTATGAATCATCAAGTTCATCGTGTATTTTGTGTCCCGATATAGAAATTAATTTAAGGCGTTTAACGCGGCATCGTAAAAACCCACGCATTCCTTATTTTATCAGCACACAGTTTCTCCCTTATTGCCTTAAATTATTTAGTTTTGCGTCACAAACAATTTTTGAAATGCGATAACCATTGTTTCGATTCTTTGGGATTTGTTTGCAAAATTCGCACGTTCATTAGATTTCGCGACGAACAAAAGAAAAACTTTTTTTGCGCATTTCTTTTTTCACGTTTCAGATATGCCGTCTCAACTATGGTATTTGGTTCTACTTCTATTCGCTATTCAAGAGGTCCGATCTCAAAGAAAATTAGTGTTTGTACAAGCTTTATGGCGACATGGAGACCGCGCTCCACTGCAATTCCCATATCCCAATGATAAGTATACGGAAGAATATTGGGATAGAGGATGGTCCCAATTAACCTCGGTAGGATAGAGTTTAACTTGAACAAAATGGGACGCTATTATTTAAAGCTAGGGATGACTCAACTTCGAGAACTTGGCACATTCTTCCGCCAAAGTTACATTGACACTGGATTTGTCTCATCCAATTTTTCAACAAAAGAGGTTTATCAGCTTATTGCTTTTTACTAACTGCCTTTTTCAGATTTATCTGAGATCGTCCGACTCTGATAGAGCTTTAGTGTCCGCCCAATCATTTTTATACGGGATGTACCCTGCTACGGGCAACTTTCGCTTCGATAATAATATTGATTGGCAACCGATTCCAGTGCATGCAAACTCTCCAGGAGAACCCGATTTGGTAAATAGTTCAAATCTTAAAATAAGAAAAAATATAGAAAAAAAATTAGGTATGTAAAACGACGGCTATAAAGTGCGCGAGACGCGATGAATTAGTTGACAACGATGATGCACAAGACGCCGAATTTTATCAAAAAAAGTATTCCGACCTTTTTGCGACTCTCGCAGAGTCGACAGGTCTACCTAATCTAAACTACACCGATGTCAATGGGTTATACGATATTACTAGAGAGGTGATCCAATTTTATTTGGCCCAATTATAGTACTAAGGACAATATTTTTAGTTGATTCACAATATGACTGATCTCCAACCATCATGGGTATTTCGTACCTGGCCTCAATATGACAATAGAACTTCATTGGATATAATCACAGAGATGAGAGCTCAAAGGATGGTCAATCTGTATAACACTGAAGAGAAGTCAAAGCTTGCTGGTGGCACCGTTATAAATGCATGGATCTCTAATGTCAATCAATTTATTAATCAAACCGACACTTTGAAGATGCATTTGTATTCATCAGTACGAATTAGCAAAGTCGCGCAAAATGAATATTTATATTTATAGCACGACGGTGTGGTTATGGCTTTGATGAATGCCCTAGGAATAGCTGATGGCAAAATGATTCCATATGCATCGGTAATCATAATGAATATTTTTGAAGAAAATAATAAATATTTCGTTGAGGTGAGTTAATATTGAATTCATCTCTGCTAACTTGATCATTTATCTTTACAGATGTTATATCGTAATAATACCGCGGTACCACCTTATGCGATGAGCCTCCCACGATGCCCGCAACCTTGTGAATTTTCAACATTTTCGCAAAACTATCAGAATATGTCCGTAAGCAGTTATGCGGAATTAATGGAGGTTTCGAGCTTGAGATTTGATTTTCATTAAATTGCCTTTAATTTTCAGCTTTGTGGAACTCCATTAAGAGACTGCAATGATGCCGCGTCTCTACGATTAAGTGTTTTATTTTTCAGTATAACTGTTTTAATGTTCAGATTTCTATTCTAAATTAAAAATTACTAATAAAATACCTGCTATTTCTGGAGTGTAAATAATTTGGAATGAGCGTGATCCATCCCCAATGATCGATTCATCTGGTTTTATTGCTGACGAGTTGGAGTAGATTTGAAGAAGATCGCTGACACCATTTTCTGGCCTAAAATATGCAAAATTTTTGGACTTCTTGAGTTGTTTTTGTTTTGCGATTTTCCAGATTGTTCTCTTCGCAAGTTTTGTTGGCCGATGGAATGTCTCAATCAACACGCCGACGATTTTCATTTTTATTATTGTTTTTTGTTGTTTTTCTCTCGCCCCGCTTCCAGTTATCTTTTTCGATTTTCCGCTGATTTTTTCTGATCCTCGCCAGCGGATAAACGACGACAGCTGCTTCTCAGATGCACGCCTCTCATTTCATTTCGCCAACGCCGATTCGTGACAAAATTGCTCAACAATTTGGTTTTCTTGGTTTATTTTTTATACAACTTCGAAATATGTAGAATTCAATTTTTTAGAACTTCCTTAGGAGGAAGGCTAATAATTATTAAATGACGAACCTCACCAGGTACTACTAAAATTTCACACAAAACCGTATTTTCTCTCAGAAAATCTCTTAAAAATCAATTTCCCCTACACATTATAAATTCTTTTAATTACCCGACTTTTATAAAAATGTGACAATTAGTCAATTCCCTAATTTACAGTATGACCGATTACGCCTTGGTTCGGTCACGCAGTGCCATCACTCGCTCGCGTTCCGTCGAGCCATCATCTCGTCTTTACGTGAGTATTTCGATTTCAATTACGGGACCCTTGGCACCACATACTGCATTCCGGAGAGAAAAAAACAAAGCAACAACAAAAAAGATGAGGGGTGGATCCATTATATTACACCACGAATACCTCCCACCCCTCTGGCCGCCCACGGGGGCCCATGTGTCATTGAGTTCAAACATCAAAATTTTTTTCCAGGTCACGAGAACCTCGTCGGTACCGGATCTTACAGCGCATTTTAGATATTCGGATAAGTACCGCCCACAATGGCACACCGTTTACCAATCAACACCATATCGCTGGAGAAGAGATTGGGATTTGGTATTATAATGGGGCAATGATGGTAAAGAAAAATTAAAAAAAAATGGTGAAAATTTCAATGTAGAAAAAAAGAAAATTATTGTTTTTTTTCTCTGCAATGCCCCTTAAAAACTATTCGGCTGTAAATTTTTAAACACATTTTTTCAGTACGACGATTATTGGTACGATAAGTACTATTACTTCTCGCCACTCTATCGCACTTACTATCCGAGCAGACGCTATTATTACAGGTTAACTCATTATGGGGATATTAAATCGAATAGCTTAATTGTTTAGCGACTACTTGCCAAACCCCTACTACTGGAGCCCATACACCAACTATTGGACTCGATACAAGGGCTATACTTATGACTACGATTACTACCCGGCGCGCTATTACCCATCGGCTTTCAATCGCTATCTGAACTACACTTACACGCCGTACAGGTTTATACTAAAATTTGCGACTAGTATAGCTAGTTTTGAATATTTTAGATCATATTTGATGGATTCGCTGTCAACATCGCTTGGACGCGGCCTTTCTATGTACAAGGCAGGTTTGTGCTTGGTTATAGTTTGAAATATTAGTTGGCCTTCATAAATACATAAATATTTCGAAAGAAACCAGATTTATTTAAAGCATACCCTCGCTATCTACGGTACTACTAATCCATTCTCGCCGCTCTATCTCTACACTAGATATTGAATTTCGAACAAGGTTCGTTCAGCAATTCTTTCTTTTTTTGCATAAACCGTAGAAAAATTCGAGAAAAATTCATAAATATATATCTAACAGCGCAAATTGCACATATTCCTCATGCTTTTATTTCAGGCCTAATCCCATACTCAACACTCGACGCTTACTGGCTTACACCGAAATATTGGGACCGGCGTTTCAAAGATTGGCGTGAGCTCTATTGCTCCACCAAAGATTTTTATTTGCCATCGACGTACGATCGAAAAACCCGCCAATATTTCGCGCAGTGGGCCTAAATTTCTCGCTTAGCTTCTTCGTCGCTTCTAATTAAGGAAATTCAATCGCAGCAACCAGGTGCTTATATTTGTGAATAAACTGAATCCCACCTATACTGTTGTTGAATCGAAAGTTGAGCTCGTGATGATTGCCCCACAATCCCCCGAAGATCAACGCGATGATAGGAGAGGATTGTGATTTTCCAGACGGCGACGAGACGAAACTGATAGTGATCACTGTACATGAGTATGAGAAATGTGCTGCGGCTACCAACGTCTCCAACAAACGTCTAAAGATTCGCAAGGTTAAGATCAATTTCCGTAAAAATGATACCGTAAAATGCGCGATTTGTTTCAAAGACGCGTTTTTCAAGCCAACTCGAACCTCTGGATTCGAGCATCGACACGAGATGACCCTTCGATCTTTCGACAATGTTGGAAGGACCAATTGTTTTTGAAGGCTTGAATTCGACTCGCCGATGAAAACAACACTATGATTGGGCAAATAATTGCGGTGATAGACATGCAAATCTAAAATCGATATTGGATCACGGTTATCCCAGCGACGGAAAATTATCTGAAATTGAAATTGAGTTTTTAAATTGCTATCTAAAACTATCACCTTTGTCGAATACATGTCGAAATGGTCGTTGGCAAAAAAGAATGAATCGTATACGAAAGGAATGAACACGGTTTCACCCGGTTTAAGAAACACCTGAAGCAAAGAAAAAAATAGTTTCATTGATTATGAATACCTCGATTTTATCACTCGTTTCTCGAATCATATTTTTCTCAATCGGCGTTTGAATTTTGTTGAGAGTTTTATAAAATGCCCATTCATCTTGATCAAGTACCGGTCTAAACCAATATTTTTTGTCTAATTTTATTTATGATATTGCTAACCTCAACGCTTGATCATCAATTTCAACAACACAATTAATCGGCTCAGAGAGAGTATTTTCCAAAGGAAACTCGAAGAACACTTTTTCTCCGAATGACGGATGGATTTCGTGGCGAACCGTAATTCCTAAAACAGCAAATTTTATAGCTAATACTAAAATTGAGTCAAACCTTTAAAGACAGCTTCTAACAGCTTGGCAGGTTTGCTCTCATATCTCAGTTTTCTGTATGCTGCAAGCTCCTCTTCAAAAATAAACTTTTGCGAGATTTTCTAAACATTTTCAGAGTTTATTAAAGCACATTAGGGACCAAAAAACCTTATTGTCAAACGGAAAATCATTTTTGAGTTTATTCCACTGTTTCAGTTTGTCTAATGACGAGGAATTGAATATTTCTTCATGCCTTTGTTGAATATCAAGTCTGAAATCGTGGGAATATTTAAAGGCTTTAAGAAGATCAAAACCGTTGGGCAGTCAAAAATCGATCGAGTTGTGATTTGTGTAACGTGTTCAGCGGCTTCGCCTGCACCCTATAAGAGTGTGGCCCTTCTTCGCCGGCAAGCTTGTTAGTCGACGTCAACCGTCGTGCCACCGAGCATGAGTTCGACGCAATTGACGCGTTTTCTGTAATCTCTCTTTTTTTCTTGACAGTTACGCAAGCGTGTTAATATTGTGTAAACAATCAAGAAAAAAAAACGAAAGCCGCGCGGATTGGGTGAGGGGGTGCGCGCGCAACATGGCTTCCGGTCAAAAAATTTGATATAAAATCAGCGACTTGCAAATCACCTCAATCAGTTGATTTCAAATGGCTTTACGCATCACAATCACAATTATCGCAATTATTGCGGTTGCATATTCACTACCGCTGAGAAATGAGCAAAACTCCGAGGAAACGACAACCCCATTAACGACAGCCATTGATACTTTGAACGACAACACAAGAGTGAAAAGGCAAGGCGGTTGTGGGTGTTGCGGATGCGGTTGTGGATGCTGCTGTTGCAGACCTAGGCAAGTTCTAAAATTGCTTCCGATTCAATATGATTCACTTCAGATGCTGCTGTTGCTGCCGTCGATGTTGCACGTGCTGTAGAACTTGCTGTTGCACTCGGTGCTGCACATGCTGCAGACCATGCTGTTGCTGCGGATGCGGAGGAGGATGTAGCCGCCATTAACACATTTTCAGTTTTAATCATCAATTATGTTTAGGCTGTGGATGCGGATGCTGCGGATATGGTGGCGGAGGGCGCAAGAGAAGATCGCTCCAAAATTTAAAGATTCAACTTGCTGACAAAATCGCTCGTGAGGCACGCCAAATTGAGAGCATTACAGAAGAAGCTCCGATTGCACCAGTCGATAAAACCCAAGAACCGAATACAACTAAACAAGGCAGTGCGGAAGAAGTCAACAAAGAGAGTACAACCGAATGGCCAGAAGCGGTGTACGAGCTTGTCACCGAAAACTACTCTCACTAATTTATTTCTTAACTTATTCGTTTTACTAATGTTATTTTAATAAACAATTGTTACCGTATACATGTGCTGCTGGATGTCCAATATTTGCCAGCCTTATATATAACAAGCAATTATGCTTGTTTGAGCTGTCAACGATTGGACACTGAAGGTAGAGCTGTATTGCTTCGCGACCCCGACGCAATAGGTTCTAAATGGTTACATAGCGGAAAGCGATTAGATGGGCACGCACAAACCTTTAGAGGAATTATCGATGTTCCAACGTGACATAGAGATTCAGCATCCCAGGCGTCGATTATTGCATTCCCACTGGCTAAATAATCAACAAAATCGCGTTTTTCATCGTCACCTTCAATAATAAATTTTGCCTGAAATTGATCTCTTCGAAATTGTCCCAACATTAAAATTTTACAATAAATCCCGGAGAACCGCCAATTGGCTCTCCGTTTTTGTCGATCCGTTTCAAAATTGAAGGCTCGTACTTCTCATCAGTCGCTAGAAGTAATCTAAAAAAAATTTTGCCAAAGAAAATCAAACTTGAGATTACGTTTCTGTTGAGAGCTCGTGGAAACGATAAAACTGAATAGTGAAGAATAGTTTAGCAAGGTTTGGATGATGACCTTTTGTGACGAGTCTAAAATAGAAAATAGCAATATAAAATATAGATACACGCTTATCATTACTTCTTGACTGCAATGAATTGGAAAAAGAAATGAGACACGTCCAATCGATCATTCTTTTCCCTATTCACGTCCATCAAAATCTTTTCATTGACGTCTTCGGTTGATGGAATTGCTCCAGTACGATCTCGCAGTGGTTGAAACTGAAACAATCAATTTCATATTAATTATACAATATCGCCAATTACGTTGAGACGAGCAAACATAGAATGAACTGATCGAGGAAAGTTGGACGGTTTTGTAGCCTCGAACGGAATCATATATACAGAGCTGGACTTTGAATCATCTTTCAGCAAGTCATCATCAACTTTCGGCGGAGGTATGATTTTGTTCAAATCTTCGTTTATGGCAAACAATTCTTCTTCGGACGTATGAGATCTCTGAAAATTGAAATCCCGCTTTCGAAAATAATCATGACATACCGCTGTCTCAATTTGCGGAAGCTTTTCGCCTTCGTCTTTGTTTTCGTCCAAGTCAGTTTTCGATGCTAGTTTCTGCGATTTCGAAGACCTTTCGGATTTCGGGGTTCGACGATCCAATATCGAATGATTATCGCAGCTGGTTGGAACACGACTTTCAAAATCCTGAATGAATGCTGCTTTTCTCAATACATAAAACCTATTATTACTAATTGATCGACAAAGAAAGTGAATTCAATAGTCATATGTGGATGACTTTCAGTGTAGGCGTTGTCCATCGATCTTTGCAAATGAAGAAGATTTCTGAAGCAGAGTACCCCTTCTGGATTAGGGCGAGGTCCTCCAATAAGGCTCACTGAAATTATTTTTTCAAGAATAACTCTTGATACTTATTTTCAAACCTGTGGCGTGAGCATATTGTTGTCGCTCCATACTAGTCGCAAATGGCTTCCACGCTCCCCAACCAATCAGAATTGGGTGGGTAACCCTTTTCTGCATACATTATTATTATCTACCATTTCTAATTAGTTTCTTACGTCATCATCGTATAGAAAAGTATATTCTACCATAAGAATTAAGGCGATTCGTGGATCTTCAATTAAATTTGGAATTGAAACTCGAGAATTGATGTACATTGCAACGGGTCCAGCTCTGAAAATAGAACTCCTTAATCAGAAAACTAATGTGGCAACATTAAGTCTGTAGAGCTCATTGCTCTTCGCTTCTTAATTGTTGAATTATTTGATACAAGATTGGTATTGGTTGCCGTCAAACTAATACAGAGGGGTTCTGATAAATAGCAAAATCCATTATGAACCCCTATCTGAAACATTAAGAATATAAGGAAAATGGAAGAAGATAAATGCCTTCAGTCTTCTATCCACAACAGAAGCTCTCGTGAAGGTCTTAGGGGGCAAATTGTCTTTTAAGTGTCTATCTCGAAGTATCTGAAACGAAACTTGAATGGAAGGTGATCGCCGCACAAAAAACCTCATCAATTATTGTGTCTTCGATTTTTTTCGCATTTTGACCGAAAAATATCGATATTTCATCTAAAGATGCCGATATTAATGGCTCTTTGAGCGGTGCGACAAATGGCGAAACTGAATCACAAATGCTGATTATTTTGATTAGTAAAAATTAAAAACTTGTTCCATCTTTTCGAAGTCCAGGAATTTCGTCGTTTTTACTGATAATACAAAATTCAGGGAAATAATTTGCCACCTGAAATGGTATTTTTAAAATCCATTGAAAACTAAATTTGTCGTTCTTATAATTTCAGAAAGTATAATTTCAAATTAAAGAACAAATGAAAAATCCAAAACATCTCTCACGAGATGGTCGGACTCGCTACGGAAGAATTTCACCACAAGATGCTGAAGGAGCCGAAATCATACTGTGACTAAGGACCGAAAAGCTAAGGACCAAAAGATATCGAAGCTGTGGTTCGCACCTTAACAGGCGAAGGACGAACCGACTAAGAAAGTAAGTATGTGATTCAGATTAAAGCGCGAATTTTATAGAAAAAATCATACCTCAAGAAGTTTTGAATGGGAAAATACTTGCAATTCAACACTTCCAACAACTTTGTAGTCATTTTTCGACGTGCTGAATATTAAGATTTTCGGGGTCCCATAAAACACATCATTTCTAAAATTGTTAAAATAGATAAGTAAAATCGATAACTCGCGCCTTTTTAAGGAATGATCGTCGGGGGTACCGACAAAATTCAAAAGTGGCTCGTTTAGCGAATAAATCGCATTTTTTGTCCACCCAATGCACCGCATAAAGTGCCCTAAAATATCTGGCTAAATTTTCATTCATTTGAATTCAAACTTACTTTCAGATTTTTCTTTTTCCACAAATTGCAAAATCAACAGAATCTTGTCATCCACAGTTGGACAATGGAAATATAATTCCTGAAGAGATATTGAAAAATAAAAATAAGAAATACAAACCTCAAAAAATTCGCATCGCTTTTCTTTAGCATACGTCCATTTTGTGTTACATGGTCTTCCGAACATTTGAGATGTTGCAAGATCATAGAAGAACGCGTTGATCCGATACTCTACACCATCGAGAAGCTGCAAATGTTTAATTTTACTATAAAACCAAAAATAATTTAAAAAAAAACCTCATTGCTGAATAGCCTTCCAATTCGCACCGCATATCCATCAGAAATTGTGCCGGCAGTAATGCTCCTCTTGATTTCAACACCTCGATTTTCCAGAAATGAAATGTACCATTCATTTGCTGAGCTCATGCGTTTTTTGATAAATTTGAGAATTGTGCAATGGCGTTTTGAAATACGAATGAATATGCAGTGACTAACGAGTTGTCATGGAGACGCGAAGCAGGTGGCGCAGAATTGCGCGTGGGAGAAGATGTCGAGAGAGAGAGGGAGAGATAGGCCACACACTTTACTAGATGGGTGGCATGAATATTCCGAGCCGATATAATTACCAGAAAGATAATGCCATGAGAAAAAAGGTGGGAGGCGTTTTATTTTCAAATTTGAAAAAAGTGATGAAGAAATTAAACTAGCCATGAAATAATTTGAGTAATTCAACTTGGGCATCTCCCCCAGAGAGTGTTTTTTCCAAGTAACAGCTGAAATGGGTATATGTTTCCTTAAAATCTAACTATTGAACGTTCATTATTTTTAAAGGCTTATCCGTAATTACCATTTATTATCATTCACTCCTCAAGAGACTTTTTTAATTGGCTTCACGAAGGTCGTACTTTGAATTGATTTTCTTTCCAAGTTTAACACCTAAAATTGAAAATTTATATTTTTTTCGTATGAAAATTCAAAAGTTGTTAGTTTTAAATAAAAATATAATAGCAAATTGATAAAAAATAATGTCAAATAGAAAATTTCATTAAAAAAATTCGCAAATGATAAGAAAATCGTTGTTTTTTAAATGCTTATTATATCGGCTTCCTATTGATTTTAATCCAGAACTGCAATGAACAGGGTATTTTCTAAATACACAATATTTATTCAATTTCCTTGTTTTTTTAAGACAGACAATTTTTGAAGCCCAAAATATCCATGATGAAAAAATTAGCATATTTTCAGTCAATTTTAGATTGCTAGTCGTTTTCCATTCCAAATTTGTAGTTATTTTTACTTGATATTCGCTTCTTCGATTTGAGCTTTTTTAATGATGCTGATAAAACGAACGACGGCAATTTTCTAATGATAAAAATGTCTATTTTTAGTCCCCCAATTGATTCCAATAATCAATTTTGCTTCTGTGTTATTATTTTTGGTTTTTGTATTCTACAAAAATATTTACGGATCTTGAAATTAAAAAAAACCATATAAGTGTTATTTCAAAAAATCACACTTTAAATCACACTTCAAAAAATCACACAAATGCATATTACATTTATACGTATAGATAACAGCAAGTCAGAATTCATTCGTTTGAAAAAGGCTAATTTCGAAATCTCAACCTACACCTCTCACAAAAGTTTTGCTATAATTTGGAATTCTTCCTGGCAATAATACTCCCCTTCAAATATCCACTACCTGCTAATGCCTATTAATAGCTCATTGACTTATGAGTTGTACTGTTTGCAAATGAGATTACGTGTCCATTTATATACAAGCTACATTCTATTATTTTTACTATGAATTTCCAAGTTTAATATTTCTATAAACCGGGTTTGTAATAATACTAAAACGGATCGTGTCATCGAATTTAGTGGTTCCCAATCGTACTCTTGCAAGGGAATTAATCTTGTGTTGATTCTCACGTCATCACTCCAAAAACAACAAAAAGTCAACACTCGAAGCGTTTCAATATAAAATGGGTTTAGTGGGTACTTGCACCCCCAAAATGCGATGTCATTTTCAAGAAATACATATGTTTCCCTTTTTGGACAACAAATCTCGAAATACAGTATACTATATTTCTTTTTGGATGACTGAAATTAGCCATTAAATAGCCACCATGATATTATCAAACTATGACGAATTTTTGAAGCAATTCAAATGATAACGCTTCTTGCAAACTAGCGCTTCATTATATTTTTTTCATTAAACTATCATTTCAGTAATAGTAATCGAATGCGCGTCATTCATCCACATTTTGACGTCGTTGTGATTGTCAAAACACTTTTGGTTTTTGTGTAATACGATAGCTCGCCCATCCATCTTGAATGCCCATTTAAGGCCGTATTACCAAAATGTATGATTTTTATTTTGGTCTCTTGTTATCGGACATCGTTTGACATTATATATATATATATATATATATTTGTTTTTTTTTAAATTTATGTTTTTATAAATCATTTTGTCATTTCAATTTGAATTAGTATCAACCAACTAAATTCATTTGCGCCGTAAGATTTTCCAGGAGGTTGAAATTTCAATTTTGCATTCGTTCGCAATTAAACAAGATGCAGGGTAGCAATCACCCGCATTTCTATCATTTTTATTATCATTACGATGAAATTAAAATATTTTTGGAATGCGACAGTTGCTAGCTTCTTTTTTTTCCCAAATAATTACTATATGCGTTTTCCAAAAAAAAAAAACGGTTTACAGAGTTCTTCGCTGCAAGGCCTTGTAGTTCACGCACGCAAACCGCAACGCATTTGGCGACATTTAATAATTACGGTAGCCGCGTTTTCTTGGGAAACAGGATATATTTCCATGTTTTCCTAGTCGCAAAATTGTCATATTCGTTATGATTCTACAAAAACTTAAAAAAAAACCAGTAAAACTTGTTCCCAACCCCTCCACCCATCTGCATAGGATTTCTCGAGTTGTTCGAGCTTTTTCCTACATTCCACCATTACTCTTACGTCTCACTTTCAGCCAGTGATTCACTACTCAAATCATGGGCTCTCCGAGCGCTATTGCTCTTCAACTGATACGTAACTGCGGATCAATGGTCATCGTTTATCTTCTTTTATTCTCCTCATTATTGCATTCGACGACAGCTGGCCTCATGAGAAAGGATTGCAAAAAAGTCGGTGAGTAAACCTATTTTAGCCTATGATATGCTACTGTAGAGTTGGGTCTTGTGAAGATTTTGTAGTAGGTTACGCGTTGAGACCATATATTGTGCTTCAAATATCGAAAACCCATTTTTCTCTGCAGGTGCCGAGGAACTCATCGACGAGGAGGGTTGCGATTTAATGATCGTTCAAATCAATCGTTGTAGCGGTCATTGCTTATCGTTTACGTTCCCAAATCCGCTAACGAAAAAGATCAGCGTGCAGGCGAAATGTTGCCGAATGACCGAATGGGAGATGGTAACGACATCGATTCAATTACATTGAGCAATTGCCGAGTTTAGCTAGAAACCGAACTGAAATGCGATGGGGGGAGCCGCCAACTCCGGATACCAAGCGCACTTCAGTGCGAATGCTTCGACTGCGCTGTACAGTAACAAGACACCAATTCGAATTAACCATCATCAATACTCATATTCATACATAATGTCCGAAACACTGATTTACATAATGGTTAGATAGGATTTTTCTGTTTCAAAATCGACCCAATATCATTTACGGGATCCCTTCATATAATTGTACATGTTTGGTGTTTTCTCCAAAGAACTGCATTGGTCTTTTTTGGAGCTTACATCAAATTTATTTATTGTTCCATCGGACCCCCCCCCTCTCTCTCTCTTCCTTTCGCTTCCGTTCTCAAGACCAATGCATAGAATGCTGTATGAACAAGTTTGATCTCGCACTTAATAAATGCAATGTTGTGAATCGAATTACTAGTAAATCTTGATGTTGGTGAGAAATTCAAAAATTATAGAATTGTTGTGGCGATATCTTACGTCCCAAATTTTACCTACACTTTTCGGCTGAAAAAAAAGAAGAGGTCCTTTCCATTATCGGGTTTCACCATAATGATTTATGTATATCTAATTAAAAAAAAAGGGATATGTTATTAAATTGTTAATTAAAGGAAGTTTCGCCTCACAAACCCAATCTGTTGATAAAAGTTCTTTATAGTGCTTGATATGCCCAATAATAATATAGAACTACAAAATGCCAAAAAGCTGTCAAGTTTTCAGTCTTCGACAATTCGTGATTTTCAGCATCGCCGTGTTTGCACACATAAATGCCTAAATTTGATAAATTTAATTTCCTTTTTGATCCTTTCAACTCGAAGTGTCAATAATTCAAGATAGAAAGCCAAAAATATAAATGCATTATATACATATTATATTATATATAACTATTTGCGAGAAAATGCGAATATTGCGTCACATAGCACAAGTCCGCAAACACCGAATTGCCTCAGGGCAAACTATAAAAGTATTGGCGCCAATCTCATTTTTTCAAACGACTTTCCCAATTTTTTGACATTTTCGAGTTTGGATTGCCTCTTTAAAACCCCAATTGCGAGATAGGCGAGAGTTTGTTTTATATTCTACATTAAAGCGATTCAAAAGAGCACGAAATTCGATTCAAATGCACCTGCTTTCTAGATATCGATTTGCCGTTTATTTTTTCGCAGTATTAATTTCCTATTATGGCGTGTTTTTTATGACATTAACACTGCTTGGAGCTCAAACGTTTTTCGATTCGTCAACTATTTTTGCTGACAGTTTACCTTCAATTATAGTTTGAAAATGCTCTCTGTTTGCCAAACCTGCTACTTATGCATTCAAAGGTGTTAATCTTCGAGGCCTATGATTTTCGAAGTTTACACGAAATGTCGTTGGTTGAGAACATTTTAAATCATTTCTAAATTTTAAGTCGTCAAATTATGCTATTTTCCGTTTTTCCTCGGATAAACTCTGAAATTGATTTTGTTTTGCCAAATTTATTAATTTGATATTTTACAACCATTGGATTTGCATTGAACTTTTCCAACCAACCAAAAATTTTGTTGAGGACTCTCTCACGCTCTTATACATTCATTAGCTCGAGCTTCCAATGAGACGATTTTTTTGGAGCGGCTCGTTCAAACAAATTACATGTCTGCAAAATATTTAAACAAATCACTGGAACTGATGAATTATTTTCACGTTAACTTGAAAGTCGCAAGTGGTAATTTTGTCAGTTTCCAATAGCAACCAGTCGCATAAAAACAGATAAAGTTTTTTTTTTCTCTTGACGCATATAAACAAACTTTCAAGATTCTCTGTTTTATTTAATTTATGGCTTCAATTTCGTAAATTGATTTTTATCAAATTCTAACTGTTCAAATAATGCGAGAATATTTCTGAGAAAACGCAAATTTCAAATAATTCGATGCGAATACATGATGTGACGTCTTGTTATTCTGTTCTTTCAGCTAATTTTCAGAAAAAAAACGAAATATGGGCCTCAGTAGGGTTTTCCTTTTTTGCAATATTGAATTTCGCATCTATATAAGAGAAAATACTTTTCCTATTTTTCTTAAATATTTTTTTTCGATACTAAAATCTTTACTTAAAAAAACGTATGGCAAGTTTTTTTTGTTGTAGAACTCCTTGAATATTCACCGAACCAGCGAGAAGCTGTCACACAATTCTGTCGAATTTTCCCACTTTTTTTTAACATTCGAAAAACGTTGAATATCAATGTTTTTTTTCGGTTTAAAAGCAAACCAAGTGCTCATTGTGGATATTTTTCTATTGCCCCAAAATTCTTTACGAATTCATCTGATTCGCTACAACTTCCCTGCACTACCGGGAATTGAGATTGCCAATTTCCCTCCTCATCGATTGTTTTTCTTTCTTCACTTTCCAGCCACTTTATTAATATTTCAGTTGAGTTTGAACCGAAAATGTGCAAAAACTTTCAATCACCAAATTTCAGACAACCCGATTTCTGTTTTTTTATACGGTCATATGGCCGTATTGAATTCAGAAATAAAAATCACCTGTCGCCAAAATCCATTCAATTCCTTATTATTTCGTCACCATTTCACATCATTTTCATTTTTTTTTCTTTTTCCAGCCATCAATGGGTAACTGCGATAGTCAAGTTGCTGACCAGGCGAAGAAAAACAAAAAAATCAATGCCGAGCTCAATAACGCGAAGAAGCTTGATGAGAACGTTATAAAGTTGTTGCTGCTCGGTGAGTTTATATTCTGTTTGTACATGACCTTTATAGATAATGATCATAACAAGAAAATATATAGTTATTTGCCATTATTCAAGGAAGAATGCCAAAACCAAAAAAAATAGAGAGGGAGAGGGTGCAAGAGAGAAGCCACCAAATGTGACGTACATAATTGAAAACGCGATGCCTATTTTTTTTTAGTAGTAAGGCCTGAAACCAAATAGGTGAACACCAATATTCAAATATTACCCTCGTGAGAATATCAATCGAATTCGCTGAAATTGAAAGACTTTTGTTTGTAAGGTCAAACGTTTGTCTTTGCTGAATGATAGATATTAAAATGCTTCTGTTTATCTTTTATTATTTTCTAGATGAGAAAAAAAAAACAAATGGCTGGCAATACTTAAAGTAACGTCCCACTGCGCCAAGGGGGAATAAATCTTAAAGTGTGGACTTCAGAAATTTGAAAAATTAAGAGGTCCACAAAAATGACTACAGTATTATTCATAAGTACTAAGTTGCACTTCTCAGGTTCACATTTCAAGCCCTCACAACTCTGTATAGAAAAGCGGACATATAAAATAGTCGCTTGTGATTCGAAAAGAGTCTACCGAAATTTTCAGACTTCTTGAAATTTTCTGCAGGTAGTGAATAACACAAGTTGATAGGAAGTTTCTCGGATTATTGAGTCAATATAAGTCAATTTTAAGAAAAATGGCCAATAGCCACCTAAATCACCTTCATTTTCAGCACAATTGCTAAAATAACTTTTGGTCTCAGATGATTCCACTTGACCCATGGCAGATCGTAAAATATAATTATATTTATAATTGCAGGAGCTGGAGAAAGTGGAAAGAGTACGATATTGAAGCAAATGAAGTAAATCTTGGAGATTTGAGCAAATTTTTTAATTTCCTTTTAGAATCATTCACGATAATGGATTTTCACACGACGAAAGTATTGAGAAGAAGAATGTAGTGTGTGCAAATACTGTTCAGTCGATGGGCGCCCTTCTCGACGGAATGGCTTCCCTTCATATTGATTTCGGCTCGAAAAGCTGTTTGGTTGGTTAAAACGCGTCGGCAATATCCCAATTTCTCTTTAGAAACACGAAATTTTGATTCGAAAAATTCTAGGAAGTAAAGAGGAATTTCAGCCGTTTACACCGGAAATTTATAAGTAACGAAAATCTGGTATTTCATTACGCCCGGTTGTTGCTTTTTTTTAGAGCCCTTAAAGCATTATGGTCCGATAAAGGTGTGAGGAGTGCGTTTGACCAACGCGAGAACTTTTATTTACACGACTCTGCTCAATAGTAAGTGTTTTTTTTTTTTGGAAATGCAGAAATCAGAAGACCACCATCAAAACTTCAGTTTCTTGGATTCACTTGATAGAATCAACGACACCAGTTATATGCCGACAGAGCAGGATATTCTACATACGAGAATTGCCACAATGGGCGTCATTGAAGTGAATTTCAAAATGAAGAATAAGACATGGAGGTAGATTGTTCTTCTTCGAATCACTGAACCATGCAATATAAATCTTTGTTCGAATTTTAGAGTTTTTGATGTTGGGGGCCAACGATCGCAGCGAAAAAAGTGGATTCATTGTTTTGATGACGCCAAGGCCTTGATTTATGTCGCTTCACTTTCAGAGTATGACCAAGTTCTCATGGAAGACAACGCCACGGTAAAAGCAAGCTCCAATTATTATCATTGAATTTTTAATACAGAACCGCATGCAAGAGTCATTGCAATTATTCAAGCAGGTCATCAACAATCGATATTTCCTCAATACGTCCGTCATTTTGTTCTTGAATAAAAAAGATTTGTTTGAGGAAAAGATAATGGTCAAGAAACGATCACTTCGAATCGCTTTTGAGAGCTACAATGGCACGTTTATTCGATTTGTTTCTTTTTCATGATCTCGATTGCTCACTTTCTAAATCGCACCATTTTCAGGTCCCGATGAGAATTATGAGGCCGCAGTGAGCTACATCGAGAAGCGCTATAACGCTGTGAACGAGAACGCTGAGAAAAATTTGTATGTGCATCACACATGCGCCACCGACACCGAACAGGTGCAATTCGTACTCGATTCGGTGCTCGACACGATTCTCTCCAGCAAGTTGAAAGGATGCGGGCTATATTAACAGCAAGAAACATCAAAAGAAAACGTTTGAAATTTTCACGACAATCACTCTGTATAAATATATTTATTGTACAATTCATTATTGGCCTCAAATAACTTGTATAGTAAGAAAAGCGATTATCTAACAATCGATAATCAATTGAGCTTCATCTATAAATTTAAGCACCAAAAATAATCGAGCGTTTAAAAACATTTTTTTTAACAAGCCATTCACGTAGGATGACAAAAAGGTCGCACGAAGAATTTCCATTTTTCGTGAGGACTACACATAACTACTACCTGGGCTAGAATATTTCTAGTCCAGGGAAAAGAGCGCCCGCAAAAAAGCTTATATATATTGTCGAAGTCATGCGATCTACTATAGAGTTGGATCTGAGGGTCGATTTACGCGCGGGGGATTTTTACGTCACGTTGCTAACAAGTGGTTTCCGTGTGGAGTACACAACTGCGCGTCTCGTCGTCAGTTCAAGACTATTTCTGGTTTCGACAATAGAATGTTTCTGAAAAAACGCGGATACCAGAAGGTCAGCACAAAACTGTACGCGTCTTTAATTCAAAAAATTTCAATTCATAAAATTGTATAGAAAACCGAAAAAAAAGAGTGTTGGGTCTTGTGGAGCTTAATTCGGATAGCCGCTTTCTCAGAAACAGACTATATATATTAATATACATTATATTATTCTTTCTCAATTGAAGGTTTAGACTGTTCAATTATACAAGTGATATGAGTATACTAGAAATTTCTAATGAAACATAATTCCCGCAATTTTTAAATCCAAAGCAAACATTGTGAAATATTATACAAATTGGGATTGCGGTTCGTGAATAGATGAGAATTTGCTTGATGATTGATGAGTTTTCGGATTCGTCTCATTTTCGGAATCGTCATTTCCATCGGCACCCGATTGACAAGGCAGAGTGTTGATGCCAAGCTTGCTCATTTCAGAAATAAGCAATTTCTCAAGCTCGTAACCAAATTTGATCTGCAGTCAACAACAATTTCCATACAAAATGGTCTCTTCCTTTTTGGAATCATTCGCGCTTTTCAAAGTGTTACCTGATTTGCCAAAAACGCTGATAAGACCAACCAAGCCTCGGCTGTAATTGGGCATATCGCTTTTCCATCTACAGCTTCATCTGCGAATTTTAATTTTAGTCCAAAAACCAATTATTGGTATTTACGCGAGCATCTTCGACTTTGTACACATGAAGAACAATATGAAGATTCTTCACGAAGCGTCTGCATTTGAGACTCGGAGAATCTTGAGGTCAAAGGTCGCGGAAACTTCAAGCTCTGTTGCGAAATGCTCGTACACGAACTGCAGTTGTTAAGCTACAAAAATGTACTTATAGAGGGTTGTTGATTTTCGATAACAACAGTATTTTCAGTACTTGACGAATCCGTGGCTTCTTCCAATCGGCTCTGGGTTTTCTAAAAAAAAAAACATCGCGTTTATTGAAATTCCACTGGCCCCAACCCGCTTCTTATGTGTGTCACCTGACCCCCCCCCCCACTCAAAGCGTCGAATTTTGAACGGACTTACCTCGAGTTCGAGATGATCCTTTTCCTGAAGCTGTGCGGCCGCTTCGTTCAGTGCGTTTGCCAGGCGCTCAAAATAGACGGCAGACACTCGTTTAGGATATCTGAATTCAATGATTTTCGGGAATAGTCTAGACGGTTTACTTGGCATAAATTGCTCCAAAATCTCGAAGAATATCAATTGAGGTCGATGGTTCCTTGAGTCGTCTCATCGTTTCAATAAGTACTGTGACAAATCTCTGAACAAAACACTCAGTTGTCTAAGTATTACATATTTGGATATTCAGTTATTTTGGAAATGCGTTGTCAAAATTTTCAGCTTTTCGCCTACCTGCACATGAATTTTAAAATTTATATGATTCCACCAATTTGGTTGATTTTTCAGATCAATATACGCCAAATAATGAGGGTTTTCAGAGAAAATGTGCTCGAATACCCGCCGACCCATTTCGTAAACGGTTCCTGAAATAATTTTCAAAATTGGTACATGAATTGATAACGCGCCTACCTCGATCCATTCGATTCCATTTTCTCGATAACAATGCTTTTTGATGAAGGGTTAATCCAGTAACTGGACAAACCGCCCGTCGAAGGTTGTTTCTGAAAAACGACGAAAATTATTTCTAAGATATACTTATGTGTCACCTATCTTTATGTCGTGTTGTTCTGGAGCGCCGAATTCCACCAACTGGCTCGTTGTTCGTCACATGTCTTCTATAAATTTTTGAATATCGATTATATCTAATACCCCTACGTTTTCATATTACCTAACACTTGAACTTCGCGTTTGCGATGGACTCTGTGAAATTGCTCGCTTGCTATTAATATCAACGCGTTGTGTAGAAACGTCGCTTGATTCATTATTGCCCATTGCTATGAAAGTCAATCAAGTTGAACGAACACCCAAGAAAACAAGAGGAGACGGAACACAAAACATGAATGCGAAAAAAAAATACATAAACGAGACACGGGGCGGACCAGTCGAGTTTCGAACAGAGTTCAAAGGGAACACACGCAAAACAAAAAAAAAGTGGAATTCCTAGGTGATTTCGTCAATCGGAGGAAACCGAATATCCTCGTGCGGCGGATATATTACCCGGACAAAAAATACGACACCAGCCTTGAAAGGAGAACAAAACGCAAAAAAACGCGGATGATTGATTTCTGCGAATGTTCAAGACGCCAATGCGACGCAATTCAAACAATATTACATTTCGATGAGCTATTCGAAATTATCGCTGAGTGGCAGTATTCTGAGGTTTCGCAGAATCGAACAACACCGGATTTTCGAATCAAAATGCTGTTGGTAATGAGAGCTGAAGGCTCGATTCTAGTTGGTGGCTCACAATTGCTTGGAATTTCGGTGTGCGAAACATTAGTGCAGCTGACACAAGAGATATCATGATAAAAAACTGATATTTGTTTTTTTTTTTTTGAGCAAAACACAAAAAGAAGAATGCCGATTTCGAATTTCCATTTTTCTCTTTTTTTTTTTGAAAAAGAATGGGTCAAGGTTCATAGCCAATTTTGCTCATTGGAGCATGACAGAAATCCAAAAAAAAAACTGAAAACATTAAGCAACATCATTTGTGGTTTTCGAAGTGAACTGTGACGTTCAAGAAAGATGAGATTTTCAACATGTGAATTTCGTTGTATATATGTAAATATCAGTTAAGAAGGATGAAGAAAAGAAAAATACGAGATTTGGGGGCCTCGTGGGATCAATTGGCGGTCGCCGAATTTCGATGGGGGTCGCTCGCAAATGTCTCGAATTCGGATTTTCGCAACAATGTTCTGACGGAATTTATTAGTGCTTTGGAATGACAAACGAGATTGATGGAAAACGAGGGTTTTCGGGGAGAATCAGAGGGGTGGATTTTCGAAATATGGGCTTTAAATTTTTTTTAATCAAAATGAAAATCGCTTCATTTAAAAAAACGGAACACCATGCACAAAATTTAGAAAAAAAAAACTACGAAGACGAATAAAATGAATCGTGAAAAAATATTGAATAGTGATTTTAGTTATGAATAAGTTTGTTCCTTTGGCCTCGTTGAGGGACCCCATAAATCAAATTTGCGAATTCAATTGAATTCAGGAGACGAACCGAAAATGTTTGAAGGTGCTCGCTCCAGTTAAGAAGGGAAGAAGCACAAACATGATTGATATTTTGTGGGTTGTTTTTTCATGCTGAAAACAAGCTGACCTTTCCGTTCAGAATAGTCACTTGGGGAGAAGTTGTTTGCAGAATCATTAATCATATTTCTTTTCAGCGGACACGAAATCCCAAGTTGTTCAAAAGGTTGAATTTTTTCAGAAATTTGAAAAAAATTAACCTGGCCACTTAAAGGATTTTGCGGTGAACACTCAACATTTGAAAGCGTTGAGGCAGAAGGAGCAATTCCGATAAAGGAAGCAACAAGGAATTGACAGAAGAAAAACGTCATTCGAGTTGTCTTAGAAGGTTGGAGAAAATCGAGTTTGAAAAGCCACAAATAAAACGAATTGTCAGAATATTTTTAAAAGTCCATTCAGTTGGGATTAAAAAAAAGACGCAGAAAACAACAAAATCAATAGTTGACATAGAAGAAATTAAGATTACTTAAAAAAAATTAATTCGTAAGCTTTTCTTTTTCCAATTTGTCTAGGTTCGATATGAAAGTTGTACAACACACAAGTGGAATGAAATCGAAATGAGGCTAATTTTCGCCTCTTAAGTTTTAACTAGGGTAATTAATGCGTTAGAAGTTTCTCAGCAAATAATTAAATAAATTTATCAATATTCTATTTCCCTCGGGAAAGCGATGGCCAATTTTGAGGTAGGCCACCCCCGACTCCCTCGGGGGCCTTGGGATTCGCGGGGAAAGACCCTTGAGGCGTCTATTTTGTTTGTATTTGATTTCTAGAGGTTTCAGTCAAATATTTTTCCAACCATTTCTGACGAAAAACACATTAGCCATCAGAAAATATGATAATGTAACAGAACGCAGCAAAAATGAAATGGAAATTAATGATTTTCATGTGTTTCTTCAAAAATCAACAGTAATCATTGCTTACCTCGATCAGACCCAACAGCGACATCGTGAAATTTCCCCACACTAAGCCTTCCATGCGACTGGGCGAATACCGCCTGCGGCCGCGAATTATTCGGCCATGGAACATCCCACGTCCGCCATTATTTCGAAAATTTTTATTTATTATTTGCATTTTCATGAAATTTTTTAGGACATTTCGCCGATTTCTTTTAAAAATTCATTGCATATATGAAAAAAAAAGCAATTGAATTGATTAATCAGGGCACTTAAAATTTTCTAAAACATTATGCTTCTTCATGCCATGTTTTTAAGTAATCACCAAAACAAACAGAATTCAAGGATTTTATCCATACGAGACTCATGGCGGTAATTTAAGCATTCAAGAAATGGTGCTTCAACTTCATCCGTCCACGAAAATACTATTTTTAACTTTATCATTAAAAACGGGCAAATGGACTCAATATATCAACTCTAGAGGAATTTGACTGAGCAATTTGTCCCTTATCTTTCACAAAAATTTGCTGAGAGTGATTTATCGTTAAAACAACTTTTTCTACTCTTTTCCTCGTCTTTATGTTGCAATCAGATAATTTTTGATCAATTATCTCCCACGAATAATAAGCAGGTGATAACTTCAAAGAGTATCGAATATTACGCAATATACGTCTGAATAGTGATGGAAACCTATTTTTCAACAAATTATTCGCGATGCCCCAAAACGATATATTTGGAGAGTATGGCTTTTCTTCAGACGTCTTGCCATGTTTTGTCTCTACTCACAACTCCTGTGAATTTGTTTGGAACCTATTGCATCATCACCAAATCCAATAGCAATATGTCAACAATTCGAAACACGCTTCTTCAAAACCATTTGTGGGCGTCGCTCAGCGATCTAGTCTATGGATTTCTAGTAATACCGTATGCGACATTCCCAATTTCCGGAGCCATTGTGACATCGACGCTAACGTGGCTCGGTGTGCCGGAACCAGCCCAAATCTATTTAATCACGTTGGTGATTTCTGGCTATGGCGCATCGGTGGTAATGGTTTTTGAAAATCGACAAAATCACGTGGTGCCCGTTTCGAAATTCAAAATTGAGAGCAAAATCACGCGACGATTATTTTATTTCCTAAATTATGTTTATGTGTTTGGTATGCCAATGTGCATGTTTATTTCAACTCCCGATCAAGAAGAAGCCAAAGTCAAAATGTTTGAGGTAATCGCGCTTACTTATAACTTCCACTATATGCCAGTTTCAGAGAGTTCCATGCCCATCTATAGAGTTTTTCTCAGACCATTTATATATACTATCGAACTCGATAATTGTGGGGTTTGTTCAATTAGGATCTACAACGATTATCATTGTGCTAACGTTATTCTACGTCCTCCACTGCTTCATTTACTTGTTCAGCGTTAAAACAATATCAAGACGAACGAGGCAGCTTCAAATTAAATTCTTTCTATGCGTTGCGATTCAGGTAACCATAATTTACTATTAATTATAATTACTCATAAAATGCAGGTTTCCGTACCATTTGTTGTCTGCGCTTGTCCGTTCCTCTATTTTATTTTTGCCACATTTTTCAACTATTACAATCAAGGTATAATAATTATAATGTCGTAGACAAGCAACTGTCTGAAATTGCCAGCTGCTAACTTTGAGTAGATTTTATCAAAAGTTCACATTAATTAAAAGAAACTGGGTTGTGAAAAGGACATTCAAATTAATTTTTGGGTGCTTTTTTTGATTTCAATATGTGATTATTCGTCGCTGTGTTTGCACACAAATTCAATTTAATTTTTGCCGATTTTTCAAATCTTAAAAGTTGATAATTAGAGATCAAAAACCCAATAATTGTACATTTAAGTGTTTGCGCGAAAATGCAAGAAACGAAAGAATTTGGCACCAGTCAAATTTTTTTCGAAATGTTTGACTTATGGAGGTCAAATTAATTTTTATATATTGTCGTGAAAATTTAAAAAAAAAACCAAACCTTTGATATCTGTTTTGCATTTTCAGCCAACGCGGAAGTTATTGCGAGACCAAATTCCAGAATTTAAATTTTTTATAGCCACCCACTAAAGTTGTCTGTCTTCGACAATGTTAAAATATTTAGAATAAGCGATATTGTACGATTCCCAAAAAAAAGTGGCTACCAGAATTTTTCGCTATAAGACCTTGTAGTCCAGGCGCGTTGCGGTTCACATTTATATAGACAATTTCGAAAATTAAAAAAAAAAAGATATTGAATAATTACGGTAGCCATAACCTTTAGCTAAATGAGACTCTAAATGGAACATATTTTTTTCCAGTGGTTCTTAACTTCAGCATAATTGCATTATCTCTGCAAGGCTATTCATCAACATGCTTCATGCTATTGATATACGAGCCATATCGAAACTTCGTATTTTCCTTTTTGCCTCTCCATAGAATACCATTGTTCAAAGCAGCAACAGTGTCTGTTGTCTCAGAGCCTACATTATCGCGGACAAAATAAAGACTTCGGTTAACGCAATTGGTCGGACATTTTTTTTTTGAGTTTTATGTATGCAAAATATCATTTTGTTCCGAAAATACAATTTGTGATTTGTAGTTTTTTGAACAATTATGACACCATGCAGTTTTTGGACAAATAGTGCAAAATATTGAAGGAAATTAAATGCAAATAAAACCACTTTTTGTGCTCGAAACTTTTTCGCAGATATCGCAACTTCCAAACAAATTGAAGTTGCAGAAGATTGTCATTAATAAAATCGCGCCAAATTTGACAAAAAATGATTTTTAAATCGACATAAATACATGTTTCAAGGAAATAGAAACGTATATTCAAGTGACATTTTCATAGTTGTGATATAAATTAAATTTGTGTATTTTCATGGTTGAAAATATCATGGATACATCAATAATTTTCCAATCGGGTAATTGCGATTTCTGTTGATTTTCCAGGAACTTGAGGAAATCCTTTAAAATACTTATCAGCGAAAACTAATTTTCTAGAGTTTTTTTAAAACATTTTTTCAAAACCAATTTCTCACACATCCTGCATGATTTGAATGGATACTGTAGTATTTGAATTGCCGCCTTCTGTTTCGTATGGAAAAACTAGAAGTTTCAGGCCCTGCTAATTTTTTAATGTGTCAAATGACAGAGTATAAGCACATTCTATTTTACGAGACTAATTATTTGTCAGCAATTCAAATTTGACAAAACATTATGTAAACCGTATATAATTTTACGGGTGCGCTTTTCGAAATGGTCTCGCCATGTCTGAATTCTTATATTATTTTTCACGCTACATTTTTTTGATGAGTATAACATTTCCTTGAATACTTAATATCAGTTATACTAAAAATTAACCGAATGACCTCTAAAATGCAAAATAATCAGTTAGTCCGTGCAAGACTATAGCGAAGGCACATGCGCGTAAATCTACCCGACTATATATCAGGTGGTCTAATGAACGCCATGCTTCCTGCTTATATCGGATGGACCACTTTTCTATTTCTGTCTCAGCTCTTCTTACGATCATCATAAATTATTAATTGAATGAGAATGAATCACCAAATTTAAACCACGATAATCAAGCATTTTTCCAATGTAAATATCGAAATAAATAATCACCTGTTTCGAAGTTTCGGAGAAAATTTATTCGGCGCAAAATGGACAACTCGACGGCGTTTTTTGTACATCTCATTTACGCAATTCCATCGCTTATATTGTATATATCGACAATTATAGTAATAATTAGTGACTGGAAAACTGTGAAGTCATCATTTTTTCAATTGTATATATTTGAATCAATCATGGTAAGTTGAAATTACTACTCAACATTTACTATATATAGCACTTATCAGAATATTATAACCTACGCAAATGCATTTATAACAATTCGCTTGTCATCTCTGTCCTGCTTCAATTGTAGCCTTTACGAATTCTACAACCATTTTGGTACGTGACAAAGTCTATTTCAATTAAAACAATCTTAAATTGACATTTTCAAGCACACTTTTAACCAATTTTTTACTTCGTAGTTGTTTCAAGAGCTTCTCTTTAAAGATAGCTTATGCCTATGTATATCATCGTTAATAAATTTTCATTGAAAAATAAAAAATTACCAACCTATAATTTTAATACAAATTGTCGAAAATTTCGAACAAATAACCGAGAATTCTATTTATTTTTTCTTTCAAGAAAATTCTATAAACATGGAATGATCCACAAGCTTTTCCACTCCACCTCCTCATTGTGACCCCCCCCCCTAATTATAGAACCAATTAAGATGACTACATTCCCAGTGGCGTTTTGTTGGCTCTACAGTATCAAATGGCGTTCATCCAATATTCGACACCATTAATAGGTTCATTGAATCGATTGACGATTGTTTTTGATCACTGGTATTTTGAAAAAGTCCGTTTCAACAAGCCCACAGGATTATGACGAGGCTTTCAGAAGTGGCGAAAATACAACTTTATTGTATTCATTCTTGTTATGATACTGCTCACGGCGTCAACCTATCAATTTCTACAGTATCCTGCAAAATTCGAATTTATTGAATCATCAAACCGGTTCATTATTAAAAACAAAATGGTAGATCACGAGCGAGTAGATATAAAGAAAAAATTGAAAAGTTGCAGGATCGAAAATTAGTTTATCGCCATCTTTTACTATTTATGGTTTCGTCAACGTTAATTTCACTTCTTAGTAACTTGATTAGTATTTTAAAAGTGAGGAGCGTTAGCAAGCATCATAGAAAACAATTAGGTAGTTAATGTTTCTAAAAAAAATTTATTATTATTATTATTCCAATTTTATTTTCAGAAATTAATATTCTTACTATGACAGTAATTACGTGCCTAATCCAAATTGGTGGAACAGTTATATCAGTTAAAAAAAGCTGTTTGAATTACAGAAATTTATTTTTTTTTTTAAATTTAGGTTTTTCTGCAATTTAATCAACTGACAAATTCTGTTTTATATCATACTTTCAATTTTATTCTTCCGTTTGTCAGTGAAAGTTTAACTTTCGGCCAGCCTTGGCTTTTATTAATTTTTAGTTCAACTGTGAGTTATTTGCTATGAAACATCTAGTTAGAAGCAAGGTAAAATCTAGCCAATTTACTATTTTCGAATATTGCAGATTCGTGATAGGATTCTCTACCCGATTCAGAAAATTTTCAAATCTGCTTTCAAAATGAACATGACAGTGATTTCTGTTGCGCATGGAACGTCAACTGTGTTTTAAAGAAATAGTAAAAGGGGATATAAACGGTTATTTGGATTAAATTCTTATGTCGATGTTTCTTCCCTTCTGCGAATGCTCAAATATTCCTTCAGTAATGTTTGAATGTTGGCCAAAAAATTTAAATAATTGTTTTTTAATCTGTTTCTGAAAAAAGGAGCTATCAGGATGGATCGCGGCGAGACTCATCACAAATACTGTGTGCGCCTTTAAAACCCATTGATTTTTAGGTTTCTGCCCAATCTTTAATTCGTTTAATTGATGATTTTCGAATATAATGCAATTTTTGTGAAAATTATGAACCAACATAATTAAATCGAGCAATTTCAAGAGTGAAATCATTAATTAAATTCTACTAAATGAGTTTGGTCTTGTTATTCAGATAACAGGTTTTTTTCAGAAACAGAATATTATTGTCGAGTTTCAAACGACAAAAGGGAGACGGGGGCCATCAATCCGTGTAGATTTAAAATTATCGTTGACTGAATATTAAATACGCGTACGGCATCATGCAAGTACTTCTCGGTGATTCGCGTACTTCTCGTTCCCTCGAAACGCATTGGCTCATATCCAGTAATTTTTCAAAATCGTTCAGTCGTTTGACGCTTACAGAAAAAAAAACGAGCACGATGTCTAATCTAGGATCATGGTATTTATTCGTGGTCGAATTTCAAATTTTAATATATTTGATTTCTGCTACCGTACTACGAATATCCTGCGAATCAAAATCGCCGCAAATTTGCAGGGTCCTCGTTTTTTCGGTACATTCCGTTTTTGTCTGTTTACACACCGACGCAATTTTGCACATATTTCGACTTTGTCGCTGTCAAACAATTGAACGTTATTTGGGAAATTTTTTAGTGCATTTACGGAATGCGCAGTTAACGCGTAAATTTACACTAATTTTGAGATGGATCAATTCCGTTGTGGAAAAAAACGATCCTGAAGAGAATTGAAAAATATCAACTGTTACCACGCTTAAATTTTAAAACGTACTAGCTTGAAAATACTTTTTCTTTATTAAAAATCATGAACATTGTGTAAATTTATTTGGGGAGACTTTCTCATCTAATATAGTCATCGCATGACAACTGCTGTACGAGGGTAGATTTACGCGTGCGCCTTTCAAAATGGTCTTGCAACGTGTGACCAATAGAAAGACGCGTCCCCGTAAATCTACCCAAAAATCTCTGAAGGGATTAACTCTGGGTTGTCAAAACGGGCCCCCGGCCCGGCCCTATAGGGCCCAGGGCCGGGCCTAGGGCCCTGTTGTTTTAAACCTTTACAAGATAATTTTCATTTTAAACTTCTGCGGACATTTTTCAGTTTGTTATTATTGAATTATTTTTCGAATACAAAACAGATAGATCTATTGTTTGAAATTTACATGTTTTATATCTAAAAAATTTATTGTAATAGAAAACAAATTAAATATTCAAGTTGGTTTTCGCCTGGATTTCACTGAATACAATGAGCTTTTCAGCGTATGCAAACGACATTCGTCTACGATTATTAGAAAAAATGAACTTAACGTGACTTAATTGTCTCTCAACCGCAGCTTCAGAGGTTGCACATGAAAAGATTTTCCGGGCAACGCGGTACAAATTGGGTAAAATAGATCTATTCATAGGCCAATAGATTTCGGGGGAATTCCTATTCTGGTCGATTTTATAACGATTAATCTCGTCATTTATGGTGCAACTCGTTGGTGCAATAGCGGGGATGATTTTTTGTAATATGGATGGAAGCGGAATTATTGGTTTGTTCTCATCTTGTTGCCGCATCTCTTTGATGTTGAAGCAGTGGTTATGAACATTGGTGATATATTCCGCTGCATCTTCATAAAGATCAAATGGCAGCTGAATAATTCAATTATTAAAATTATCAATAAGTTATCTACCGAATGCTTGTCGCAGAGGTCTTGTAAAACCGTCAAATCCTTCGTAACTGGATTTAAAAACGTAGCCGCTGCGTGGATTTTGCCATACGCTGTTACATTTTCTTTTAATGCTAAATACGCAGACTTGCTTAATGTCCGCAATGCCTTAAATGAAAGTTCATTTTAAAATTATTTTTGTATTATACTTCATAAGTCTCGATACTGTTCATCAATTCTTCATAGTGCACGAGTAGACCAATATAATATGGAAGCGCGAAGTGCATTTGAACGCTTTCGTTCTAAGATTTTAATTATAAATTGAATGAAATTAAGTTCTCACTTGATTTTCAACACACATATCTTTCAATGGATTTAACGTTTCAATGATGTCTTTCATGAGACCGCGATTTTCCACTTCATTCAGTTCATAAACGCCACTTTTAATATCTTCGGGAAACAATTCAACATTTCCAATCAGTAGGTTGATATGAGACGAAAACCAAACTAGCATATCATATGTCGAGAGCCATCGGGTGGAAGAAATTGTCGGTGGCGACAATTTCAGTGTTCCCAATGTCTAGAAACAATATTATATTTAATAAAATGCTAATTTTATATTTAATACTCACGCATTTAATTTTTGTCATTTTCGATGATAAGTTTTGGATAAAATCAATGAGTTTTTCAGCTTTGAACAATATTTCCATTTCATTTGCGCTCAAGTTCTGTTTTCTAATCGTGGTTTTGTATGGGTGAATGGTATGAACAGATACAAGGTTCGCTAAGTGCGACAAACAACGAACATCTGAAATTTTATTGAAATTTCGGTTTCGAAAAAAAATCTTACAAGAAAAGAATGATTTTCCTACTGAAATCATATTCGAGGCACCGTCTGCAACTAAAATCGCCTTTTCAACAAACTTCGATTCCCATCCAAAATCTTCGAATATCTCCCGAATTATTTTTATAATCTGCAACATTGATTATACATTTATACTAATCGTTGAAACCTCAGAAGACGTCTTTTCTCTTTCAGTCACAATTCGCGCAGCCAGTGGAACAGTTACTTGATTCCACCTTGAAACTCCATCTTCATCCAATTCGTCAGTAATAAACGACATTTTCACGCATAAAAAATCTTCGTGAACTTTTCCATAATCGATGACTATCGCGGCATACTTCTCGGTAACGTGATAACCGACCTAGGTTAAATATTCTCATTCCTATTTTTGCATTTGAAATTCTTACAATATCTTTAAGCGAGTCCTTCAAAGAATTCAATTTGTCTTCCATGCACTTTCTAAGTGTTGACCGACTTGGCACTGAAAACCGAACTCCAGAATCTAGACCTCTTCGACTGAAAATTTTTACTATGAACACATTAAATTACTATCGTTTTTTACCCAGTTTCTATAAGTCTTTCGCAAAGAACCTTGAATGGTTCTTTTTCCATGATATTTAGTGGGAGACCCGTCGAAATAAAAAAATCGGTTAATATATCTTTGATTGGACATATTTCTCTGTATTCTGATGTGCATGGTTCTCCAATATCATTTTTTTTTACAAGACGATGTGTGCCTTCTGAAAAAATTATAAATTCTTCATGAAATTGCACGTTTCTTACTTAACGTGGCCACCTCCTGATGACATGACTTCGAAACATGATGAACAATACAAAAATTTTGTAGGAATTCTTTTCTCGTCTTCTATTACCATTACTTTCCATACCGCATTATTTTTAGTTTTTTCCTAAATTTATTTCATTAAAAAGTTTATTCTAGTATTAATAATTTTACCAAAACGACGTTAGATTCCATTATTCGTTTCTTCACTTCTTCTTTATTAAATGTCCTATGGTTTGTAGAAGTTCTTGATTTCGGCGTCAACGGAGTATCCATATGAAAATTATTTTATTTAATTGACATTTAATCGCTAATTAAATGAGAAAAGTTGCAAAGAATCAATAGAATGAGAGAAAAAAACTACTAGAAACGACGCTCCGCGTTTACGCTGCCTATTGTTTAGTGTAATTAGCGTCGGCGGCAATTCAAACTGGGCCTGTAGGGCCCCCCGGCCCGGCCTCGGCCCTATAGGGCCCAGGGCCGGGCCGGGGGGCCCTGTTTTTTTGACAACCCTGGATTAACTGAAGAGGCTTTGGTGTCTTGGCAATGCTTTAACATTATTTTTTTCAGGCGAACACCGACGCCACACAGTATGTCATCAAGCGCGTTCACATTTGTGAGAACTCGGGTTTCCACGCGGGCGAAAATTTGACCACCCTTGTGGAAACCCTAGTAATAACCACACCCATCATCAATATTAAAGACTGTTTCTGAAAAAATCGTATGCGTTGCGGCTCGCGTGCGGTCACGTAAATTTTTTGTTCATAAAACATTTTAATCAAATTTAGTGGAGCTGAATTGCTGCAAAATGTGATTCCAGACACTTCATTTCCAGAAAAAAAAACACACGGGCTGCAATTACAATGACTTTCACCTGCCAATTCTGATAGTTTAATTTTTTTACCTCACTGGCAAAAAGAAAAGCGAGCACCCTCGTTACTGAAGTTTATAAGAGTTTGATTCGGTACCCGAAATTCTGTTTAAGTCAGAATTTGAATTATCACGTTAAAAATATGAAAGTGGTCCACAAAATACCTAGGGTGCTCGTTTTTTGCAATGGTTTTATATACATATTTCTTCGTTTTTTGTTTTTAATTATTCGCATTTGTCATTGATTTAATACACTTTATTCAACAAAAATGTTATGGAAATGAAAATTGAGGGTCAGTTTTGATTTGAAAATGAAATGAGACACCGTTTTAAAGCTTTTTACATATATTAACAGTTTTGGACAAAACAACAAAGTTATTTTCATAAGGAGCATTCAAATGTTGAGTTGCTCCTAGATTTATGAGCCGATTTTCTTCGGTGTAGAGCGGCAGGAACCATTTTCGGACCAGGTGCTAAATAATAGAGCATTGAAAGAATGCGATCCTGGAATGTGCATATTTGAATCACAGAAAACATTGAAAAGTCCCGACCTGAATTGAGGCTGGAAAAACGCTCAAAGGAACAAAAAGAAGAATCGCGTCCCATCCAGGAGTATACCTCAACTTTGGATTTTTCGAAAATATCGCATGAGTGTAGCATTGAGTGACCCAATTCAAATTCGAGTTTGCCACTAAATTGATGCCAATATTCCAGGCAATTTCAACTGCAAAATCTATTATTCAATTTTAAGCCGACACGGGAAAAAAAAAAACTTGCAATTATTTTTGTAATCCTCTCCGTACTCAAATTTCGTTTCCAGCGATGTTTTATTCCATGTCTCCTCGATTCGTTGGCGGTTCGCGTTCAAATCGAGCAATTCGGTTTTGAATGCGCCCGGCTCCAATATATGCACAGAAACGCCGAATGGTTGTAGCTCAAGACGCAGACAATCCATATACCCTTCAACTGCAAATTTTGAAGTCGCGTATGGAGCCAGATAGAGGCCGTGAAGGCGGCCAGCCGACGACGCCATTGTGACAATTCGTCCTCGACATTTTTTGACCAGCGGTACAAAGGCGTGGCACATTCGAACAACTCCCAAAGTGTTTACATTTATTGAGTACATATATTCGCTCATTCCACACCAATCATCTGGCCCATAAACGGAGAACACACCAGCATTGTTAATAAGACACCACAGATGAGCATTCTATAAATATCCATGTAATTATTTACTATTATGGTAATGTAATTTGGTTATGCTACTACAATTGTCCTTGGTTTATTTAAAGAGTTCTTATGTTTAAAATCGGGATACACTACATACGACTCATTGAAAAGGGCACATATAGTTAATACATATAGTTTGACCGTTGGATAAATTGTTTAATTAAAAGATCAATAAATATTTACAATGTCTAGACATTCTCATTGCAAACAAAAAAATTATAAAAATCATTTATCGGATTTTTGAACACTCAGGAAGGCTAAATTTTGAGAAACTCCAACTTTAAAAATTTTAAAAGTCCTAAAGAAAATTCTAAATGCATTATAAAAATTTTAGGTAAACTTAATGTTTTCTAAAGCTTAAAACTTTAATTTCTTGGAATTTTGCCTAATAATTAGAAAATTTCAAAAAAAAAGGAAACCTTTTTTCGTAAAATTTCTTTCACAAATTTTAAAGCCTCTTCAACACTTTTATCACTAGTGACATCAAGCTTGAGAGAGTAGAGGGTCCCTCTTGATGGTTCAAGATTTTGGCACTCATTTTCAAATAATTTCATCCCCTAAATATTATAATTATAAATACAATGTAGAAGCGCAAAAAGAAAATACCGTTTCCGTATAAAATCCGGCAAAAACGTTCGAGCCATTTTTTAGCAGATCGATAGCCAACTGTTTACCAAATCCGGAATCGCAGCCAGACACAATCACGAATTTGCCTTTTCTACTCAAATATTCGTCGCGAATAAAGCATTGACGGATCAAGTCGTATAGCATCAAAGCTATTAAAATAAATAGAAAATAAGTGATCATTGCTGAAATTAAAATTGCATAAAATTTAATTAAATGAGTGACTCTAGAAACAAATTTATATAGGGGTGACGGTAATAAATCACAAAAAGATAAGGCAACCAGAAGAAACCAAAAAAGATTTTATCAGGCAAAACGTAGAAAAACAAAAAAATTGGTCATACAAGAAAAAAAAAAACCGGCAAATCTATTCAGTAAATAGAGAAGATTGTTTGAATTGGCGAAGTTGTTTAATGAATTACGTGATTTGTGCACTTACAAAAGCTCGAAACTCTAGAAATATTATTTGGGAATGATGCGAGAAAACACTGAAAAGCAAACAGAGTTCAGTATCACGTCATTCGCCAAATGGTATCATTATGAACTTTTAGATATTTTTATGAACTTTCTTTGTTTTCAGAATTCATATAGAAATTTGAGATAAGAGGAATTAAGATTTAAAATAGGCAATTAGTTGGTTCCACTTGTTCTAATTCAAATTTTCATTTTTATTAAGACACTCGCTGATGCGGACAAAAACGCAAAGGGGTTTGGCCTTCTCGAGGGGGCCATTATGGACCAGCAATCGCCCCCAGTTGTCGTCCTCTACCAATTTTTTCCATTGGTATCATCGATTCGCACTTTCTTCGGCATTTACTTCTTTCAGAAATACTCAGGTATAAAACTTCTGCGGTTATAATCACCATCTTTTGAAAAGAATATTTATTTTATTCCTGGGTTATGAATGTATATTTATATGATATTTCTAAGAAATTGTCTTCCTAATTGACCGCATGGTGTATTCAGAAAATATTCAAAAATATCTAAATCAATTGAAATTTTCTATTTTATTAAAGAATCGAGCAATACTATTTTTCCCAAATCAAACTTTTTTTTTAATTTTTCTTATAATAGATTGGATTTTTTTATAGAAGCTGAAATTGGTGCGTCATTTCTACATAATTTACGATAAGATATTCCTATTATTGCTGTTCTAATCTCAAAGTTCAATCATTCTGTTTTTGATCGGATTGGACTGGTACAAGGTCCAAAATGATTCACAACTTTATTTTCGAATATAATTCATAATTAATAGTAAGTAAAAAACTGATATTTTGCTAAATCCGCGTGATTTTGGAAATTGTTGAAATAGTTCAAATTGAAAATTTAATGAATAGGTCATCAGTCTTTTTTTTCAAAAGAGTATATTAAATAACCCATTCATCATCTCAAGGTGTCTGATTCCCAAATAAGCAATTAGGTTGTTACAAAAGAAATGCTCTCTTAAACTTAAATATCTTTCAAAAATTATTACATTCTGCCGAACTGCCGATTTTCTTTGAGATTGCTTCGCAAGTTATCCAGAGTACGGTATCCGGATCCCATTTTCTTAATTCGAATTTGAATTACCGCCTCCGAATATTGCGATGGTCCACAATAATTCAAGGCGATGGTAATTTAATAAAATATATTGATGGTTTTATGGACGTCGCGCGACATCGGAAAATTGGCTAAATGATAAAAATTTGATCTCGATGGGCGATGTGCGCGTTTATCCTATTTTTGCACTTAGCCCGTAAATCTACACTTTTAATTTTACGCCATAAACACGTTCATTGTTTTTTTTTTTGGCATTGAGTCAATATTCCGCAGTCACGCATACCATCCAAGCTCGATGATGAACTTCAAACTGCTTATCTAACACTATTTATACATAAATCCAATAGTAGTGTGATACTAGATTTTAAAAACTTTGCTTCAATTTCAACTTTTCTGCGAAAACCAGTGTTGAAAAAATATTCAAATGATATGAGAATTTTTAGGTGTTTTCTGTGACATTTGCGTCACGATGTCTTCACACATTTTCGCGCGCTACCGTTTATTTCAAGTTTTCTAATCTTTTTAATCTCGAAATTTCGAAAAATTAATATTAAAGAGGGAAAAATAAAAGATATTTGCGAGAAAATTCAAAAAAAAATGTCTCGAGTCCGCAAACACTGCTGTTTTGGTGGAAATTCAAACGCCATTCTCATTTCAAGGAAATTATCGATTTTCGGTGGTATACATGTATTTAAGTCAAAATTTGAAGAAACATGGAAATTATTAGAAAACTCATATAAATAGTCTTTGGTACGAATTTTAAAAAACCAAACGCTTGCATTTCTTTTCCCGCAAATTTGAAAACGGCCATTTTCTCATAATTGGATGTAAAAGAATCTATGAAAAATTAAATCCCATTTTCTTGCTTTAAAATCAAATCTTTAAAAATTTTTGAGTGATTGATTAATGTAATATGCATTTTCAGATACCAACTGGCGTAAATGGCAATGTTCCATTTCACCTTGTGGATTCAACTTTCATATGGTATCATTACAACAATTGCTTATATTCTTACAATAGTTGTTCTGACAAAAAATTGGAAAACTTTTGATACTCATTACTTTCGAATTTATATATTTCAGTTCATTGTGGTTATAGCTATCCCAAAACTTGATTTTTGATTCGAACCTCGTTTTCAGAATGTGCTTTCTTATTGGAATGTCTATATTGTTATCAGACTGCCCAATAACACTAGCCATGATGGATTACTTGCATCGTTTTTTCATGCAAATTCGACACCGACTAAGTGCAATATCCCATTTGGCATTCTTTATACCATCTATTATCAGCTTGGATATGTGAATCAGTCGACGGTTCTTCTTACAACATTCAATCGAATCACAATGGTATTTTTTCCAAGAAAATATAATGCGGTAAGAAAGCTTGAATTTGCATTATTATGGTCTAGTTAAAGCATTTTAAAAATTTTAAAACCATGAGATTACAGGTCTATTTCTGTCCTTTTACCCCCGTCTCATTTTTTAAAATTTTTTGGATACATTTTGCGGATCGGGTTGATTTTTTTTATTAGACCCCCAAAATATGTATATTGGATCCGTTTGATAATTAAGTTACTACGGGAGGAATGTATCTAACTAAAATTTTCTTCCGTAATTCCCAAAGCAACAAGTTTCGCAGTCATTTTTTTAATTACTGTATATACATACAGTGCGCGTCATAATGATACGCCACCCCCCAAATTTTGCAGTTTTGAGAAAACCATATAAATTGGTGACAAGACAATTTCATTTTCAAATTCAGGGTTATTGAAAACCTATATGTGCGTATTTTCATGAGGGTCCGTTGGTCCGTATCCGCACAGCCCGAAAAAGTTGGATTTTCAAGCGCGTCATAATGATACGCCACCCCCTATTTTTTATCTTTTCTTTCGGCATTTTTGCATGTTTCTTGCTTACTTTTCTGTATTTTGTACAATTTTTCAACAATCTTATCTTTATATCCATTAAGCAATCGTCCGTTTTAGTTTTGGCTTGAAATCGGGCCGAATTCGGTCCTTTGAACGACTTTTTTTTATTTAAGGACTAAAACGCAAGAAAAAGGTCTAAATATCCAAAGTAAAACAAGTTTGAATGCAAGAACACGACAAATTCAATAATTAGTAGTCAATCCATAGTTTTGGATCACTTCACATATTCGGTTTTTATTCTGTCGGTGAGTTTCTTGAGGTATGCAACTGATCGACTGTTCCATTCCAGTCAAATTGCGGCCTTCAGCTCATCAAAGGCTGGCAAGCTACTGCTTGCATTCTGTGTGCGGACAGCCTGACCGATAATTTTTCACTTATTCTTCTCATAATCATCGGCCGCGGAAAATCTCTCACATTAGCTCACAGGAGAAAGCTCACATTGGCATTATGGTATAACTCAATCAGAGTGTCAAGCCGATTAAGGATGGTATCGGACGTTCTCGAAAATCTAACTGTATACGGAACTACGAAATTGCTTTAAAATTTGTTTCACGAATTTCAACAAGACAATCCAGTCATTCACAAGAGCTACAGCATCTTCAATTGGTTTTAGCATCAAACTCTTGGATGGATCAGCCAGCTCCCCAACTTCAATCCCGTCGAAAACGTCTGAAGACTTCTTGGCCATTTCGTTCGCGTACAAGGCAAGCAGAATGCCAACCTTTTATGAGCTGAAGGCCGCAAGTAGACGGGAATGGAACAGTCGGTCTGCTGCATACCTCAAGAAACTCACCGACAGAATAAAAACCGAATATGTGAAGTGATCCAAAACTATGGATTGACTACTAATTATTGAATTTGTCGTGTTCTTGCATTCAAACTTGTTTTACTTTGGATATTTAGACCTTTTTCTTGCGTTTTAGTCCTTAAATAAAAAAAAAGTCGTTCAAAGGACCGAATTCGGCCCGATTTCGAGCCAAAACTAAAACGGACGATTGCTTAATGGATATAAAGATAAGATTGTTGAAAAATTGTACAAAATACAGAAAAGTAAACAAGAAACATGCAAAAATGCCGAAAGAAAAGATAAAAAATAGGGGGTGGCGTATCATTATGACGCGCTTGAAAATCCAACTTTTTCGGGCTGTGCGGATACGGACCAACGGACCCTCATGAAAATACGCACATATAGGTTTTCAATAACCCTGAATTCGAAAATGAAATTGTCTTGTCACCAATTTATATGGTTTTCTCAAAACTGCAAAATTTGGGGGTGGCGTATCATTATGACGCGCACTGTACTTATTTTTATTTTTTTGTTACTCTATTGTAAATATTTTTTGAGAGCATGAATCGATTAAAAGTGTTCACAATTAATGTTTAGTTTCTTCAATTTCAAATTTTCAATTTTCAGCTATGGCGGCGATATTTTTACCCACTAATAGCATTATCCTCAATTTGGCCTTTCGCGTTCACTTATGTCGTCTTCATAAGCGATGTCTACTACGAATACAACATTGCCGAAGACAACTTTTACATCCGTTCTACTGCCAATTTCAGTCTGCTTTACTCAGTAATTTTGATGTACATGGCTGTTAATATGGTCACATGCATTATTATGAATTCACTATGTTTCTATCGAATCAAATACTTATCGATTTCCTCCTATTCGAGTGCTGCAAAAGGATTGTTTCTTGTGACATTTTACACATTAATTGTTGAGTTAATAGCGGTTTTTCTAACGGTTACATGGGCTTTAGAATCAGCAAAAAACCATTATTTTATGTTTGCCGTCAAAATTACAACTGCCGCAGACGAAAATAGGACGCATTTTATCACTCGGCTTTTGATGTCACTTGCCCCCTATTCAAATGACCTAATTGCCCTTTCATCACCTTGGATATTATTGTCTGTTAGCTCAAAGGTATACTTAAATGACTAATGTGAAAATTGTCTATAATGCAGTTTCGTGGTTTCATGAAAAAGTTTCTCAAAAATCCGCTATCTATGGAGAATTATTCGAAAAGCAGTTTGGTGATGATCCGAAGGACGCATGCGACTGAAATAACTCGTCGATGAAGTGTTTAATAACAATCGGTAATACCATAAATATAATTTAGTCAGTTTTTGGAAAATGAATAATTTGACTAAGAATACTAATTTTGAAGTTTTTCAATTATGAACAGTAAAACGAATAATGTATAGAAACTAATGATGTATTTAGGTCCCAATGAAAATGAGTAATATTTTCCACTTTTACTACTCCCGTGCTTTATGACAGAAAAAATTAATAAAGCAGTTTTTCCATCGTTAGAAACGATTTCTGTTTTCCCACGAATGTAATTGTCTAGGACAAGATTTTTGAATTTTGCAATCCACGCCTTCTCCGCTGAACTATAAAACAGAAAGGTATTTTCTTTAGAATGTTATGATTCATTGCATCTTTGATTTCTTAAAATTTATTTAACGAACAAACTTCAAAATTGTTGAGGTGTTTATTTTAAAACGCTACTCATCTAGATTAAAAGAAATCATCTTAGAGTTTCTTTTTTCAGATCTCAAATATGATTTCTCAATACATTATGTTTGCTCAGCTTTTCTACGGAATTATCTCACTAGCATTATACACTTTGATCGTTTTGATAGTTTTGCGGAATTGGAATCAATTCGACTCGCATTTCTTCAAAATTTTCATTTTTCAATACATTATCGTAAGCTAAATATGGATTAATAATAGAAATTGCAATTTTACTTCAGAACTTTTTTCTTTATTGGACATTTTATTTTCTGTTAAGATTGCCAATCTCTTGCGAGAAGGGGGGATTCTTCGGGAATCTGTTCGATTCATTATCGTCACCCGATTCGTATTATTTCCCATTATCATTAATTCATATGCTAGTTTATTATTTGGGATTCGTCAATCAAGCCAACGTCTTGCTCTGCTCGATTAACCGATTCACAATGCTTTATTTTACAAAATACTATAGCAAGGTGAGATTTGTTTCCGCAATGACTTCAATTTCGAACCATCCATTTGTATCTCTATAGAGATCATCTCAATTTTTGAATTTTTGATACTTCAAGGTCATATATGACCTTAAAGTATCAAAAATTCAAAAATCTCGATTACGCACTATATAGAATAGCTGTCGAACGAAGCGTAACAGACGTCAACATGCGGTTTGCTCTTTTGGAAATTTGTGTTTTAATTTCAAATTTTCCAGTTTTAATACGTATTTAGACTTATTATTTAGGATATGAGGAACATAGATAAAAGACGTTACAGACTTTGAAGTTGAAAAATCGATTTTTCCACTTGTCCAAATAGCCTATCATTTTCATTATTATTTTATTTTGCGATCCTTCTAATGAAAACTATTATTGATTCAGATATGGAATTATGGCTTCTATCCAATTGTTCTAGTGATTTTAATTTCTCCTATTCCTCACCACTTGCCGCTTCTGCTTGAACCAAGCTATTTTGTGTTCAGCCTCGTGACGGGCACCTATTTTACCGCTACCACAGCAAATGAATCGTTAATTTCCACCGTCTTAATGATTTTCATTTTGGTCGTCGTCATATTCAACATCATACTCAACTCACTTTGTTGGCATCGTATTACAACTCTTAAAGTAAATTCCCGTTTCAAAGCTGCAAAACGGTTATTTTTCGTAACTTTCATCAATTTCATGATACAATGCTTCACTTTTGGAATCATGGTAACTCATTTCTTGAATTTAATGGATTTTTGAAATATTCGATGTAACCTTAGTCATTAATCTTTTAGTATGGATTGGACGCTAGCAAAGCAAAGGATCCACATCATACAAGCTTCTTTGCAAATTTTTTCTACATGATTGCGCGTTATTCCAACGATTTGTTGACGCTTTCACATCCTTGGATATTACTTGCAGTCAGTAGTAATGTGAGCAGATATGCATATAATTATCGGAAGTAGTATAATGAAGGTTCAGGTGCGATCAATTGTAAAGATAGCAATTCTTCGCTTCAAACTAACATCATCGCCAAATACGTCATTAGTGGTTCAGCAATCTGCTAAAAGTTGGTCTAAATTTTAAATGATGATTCCATAAATAAAGAGTGATCATTGAATTTGAAATATGAATACAAGATTCTTAGTGCAAGAATGACCGTATCAGCATAAAGAACATTGAGCAGTCTTAATTCACCATGGAATACCCTCAGGGCGCTGTTAAAATTTAGGATCCATCATTCATATTTAGAGCAAATGAACTTGTATATGTGCCAAGGTATCTCGACGGCGAAAGCGCATTTAATATTCCGTCAATCTTCCACTGATTTCACCTATTTGAATTTTCTGTCACTCTTTAGTCATTTGAAACCGACAATAATGTACGAATAGATATTGCAATCTCACATATTTTCTACAGAGAGACCGCTCTGAAGTTTAAAATTGAGGTGCTTCAACTCGTCCGCTGAAAACCAATTGAAATTATGAATTTTAGTTGAGAAAATATACAAAATTTAAATCCTCCAATTTGGGTTATTCAAAGAAATGCAAATTCTTCCCAGAAATCAAATTGCGTAGAATTTAGAATTCTTAAAAATCGGAATTCTCATTGAGTTTTGTACTTTCCTAAATTGAGTCGTGGGAATGTACGGAGTATCCGATATAAATAAAGCAGCAATTGATCTGAAATCGGCCTGCTAATCTTCAAACGTTATTATAGTACAACCTAAATTTCAGTGAAAGCACTTCTTGGCGAACATCCCCATATTACTTATAATAAATGAAGTGATTTTCCGAAAATTTGACTCAAATTTTTAAAAATCTCAATTAATTTCTCAATTAGAAAAAAAATTGAAAAACAACGAAATGGGTCTTTGAACATTCGGGTTGATGTTTTCAACTTCTAAGAATTTGGAGCCTGCGCTTCTTGATAAAAATTTCTCATTTGCGAGAAATCATTCAGTTTTCGCACGAATGTAATTGTCTTTTCGGAATGCTCAACTTCCGCCATTTTTAGCTGATCTACATATACGAAGACTGGCACGTTTCATACAAATATGATTCAATCTTATGTCTCAAAATTCGTTTTTTAATAGAAAATCTGCGTTTTTTAATAGAAAATCTTTTTAATAGAAAATCGTTCGATCACAAATTAAATTACTTAAATTTGTAATATTTTTTCAGATCTCAAATATGATTTCTCAATACATTATGTTTGCTCAGCTTTTCTACGGAATTATCTCACTAGCATTATACACTTTGATCGTTTTGATAGTTTTGCGGAATTGGAATCAATTCGACTCGCATTTCTTCAAAATTTTCATTTTTCAATACATTATCGTAAGCTAAATATGGATTAATAATAGAAATTGCAATTTTACTTCAGAACTTTTTTCTTTATTGGACATTTTATTTTCTGTTAGGATTGCCAATCTCTTGCGAGAAGGGGGGATTCTTCGGGAATCTGTTCGATTCATTATCGTCACCCGATTCGTATTATTTCCCATTATCATTAATTCATATGCTAGTTTACTATTTGGGATTCGTCAATCAAGCCAACGTCTTGCTCTGCTCGATTAACCGATTCACAATGCTTTATTTTACAAAATACTATAGCAAGGTGAGATTTGTTTGAAACTGACAGCCCAAAATTAACTAAACGTCAAAAGACCATGGAAAATGTCACCCTTCCGTAAATACGAGACCTCTAACCCGTAAACCTACATTTCTAATACGTCAAGATCGTTTCCATTGTTTTTTTTTGGCATTTAGCTAATTTTCCGCAAACTCACTACGTCGACAATATGTGAAAATCAATGATTCAGATATGGAATTATGGCTTCTATCCAATTGTTCTAGTGATTATAATTTCTCCAATTCCTCACCATTTACCGCTTCTGTTTCATACTACCTATTTTGTGTTCAGCCCCGCGTCGAGCACCTATTTTATCGCCACCACAGCAGTTGAATCGCTAGTTTCCCCCGTCTTAATGATTTTTATTTTGGTCGCCGTCGTATGCAACATCATTCTCAACTCACTTTGTTGGCATCGTATTACAACTCTTAATGTAAATTCCCGTTTCAAAGCTGCAAAACGGTTATTTTTGGTATCTTTCATCAATTTCTTGATACAATGCTTCATTTTTGGAATAATGGTAACTCATTTCTTGAATTGAAGATAATGTACTTAACCATTACATTTTCAGTATGGATGGAATATTAGCACAAAAAATGATCCACAATATACAAGCTTTATGGCTAACTTTTTCTACATGATAGCGCCTTATTCCAACGATTTTTTGACCCTTTTAAATCCTTGGATATTATTTGCAGTCAGTAGTAATGTGAGCAGATATGCATAAATATACATATGAAGTATTATGAATAGTATAAAGACTGTTTAGGTGCGGTCAACTATTAAGCATTCAATTCTTCGCTTCAAATTAACGTCCTCACCAAATGGGTCATTAATTATTCAGCCTTCTACAAAAAATGCTTCTAAACATTGAATGTGGATTCTATATAAATAAAGACAGATCAATGAACTCACAGTATAAATAACGTGGGTGTCAAACAGCTTATTTACAAACTCAATCAACGCGTAAATTTACAACCCGACTAGTGCTCGATTTCGCAGCATCCACCTACATTTGAAGGATTCTGGCAATCTTATGCAAAAACGGTTCATTTAGGTTTAATTGTCAACGACATTTACTTGTTTTATAATTTTCCATAACGAAGTTTGTTGAATTGGATATTTCGCTTATGAACTTCATCCAAAAATGCGAGCCTTCCATCAGCAAAATCGTCGCTCATATAAGATTTTGGGAGCGTTATTCGGAAACAAGTGAACGGGCGCTTCAAATCGTAGGTTTTCCAATCATTCGTGCCATTATTATTTGGATTACTGTAAATTAATAACATTCACAATTTTTTGGACATTACATTTCTTTAATATCAAAAGCCTCTTCGATTAAAAAAGAAAGAGAGAGAAAAATTCTTATAAATTGTCAGCAGAATGAAATTTTAAAAAATATATTAATTTAATACTACTAACTCGTCAAATTGAGGATTGACAATATGAGTTGATGATAAATATAATTTGCCAAACTTAAATAATTACCCATATTTGGCGAAATTGGTGTAATATGACGTCATAATCTCGAGCATCTTCATATCATCATCGTCGGGTTCGAATTTACTATAGTATCCTTCACCCAACACGTATCGAAGATCCGAGCAATGAGTTGGAGCTGCAAGAGCGAGAATTCAGCAAATTTCATCGAATAATCACACCTTTGAATGGAATAATTGCCTCGAGTGCGCCAAAATTTTTGAGATTCGCGTACGCAAATGTATAGAAATAAACCGGATTGCCAAATTTGGCGCATTCGCGAGCGGTCACGTATGCTCCGTGGTTGAATAGCAGGTCGCCGACAGCAATGACTAACTGCTTTTTGACATTTGCTTCATTTGTCATATCCACATCTTTCATATAAAAATCCAGAATTTCTTTCTGGACTTCCTCTGCTCTGTCAAAAATGTCGGCTCCATAAGACTTTCTTAATCTTGATCTGAAAACATCATCCCCAGCTGATTCGGGATTTACTCCGAGAAGTGCTAAAAAGACGTTATAATTATGTGGTCCCATTATTCATAATTGGGTATTTTACCCAGCATAAGGCCCTCGTATTCACACACTCCTGTCATGATCGGCTTCCTTGGAGCTTCCTTTCTCAATTGCTCTAATGGCTTTGGAAAAAAGTCGCCATCCAAATTGGGAGTGAACGAGAGAAAACCGGACACACTTTTTGGGAAATTCAAAAAGTCTATCAAAACGTGCAACGGAGTTGATTTGTACCAACTTAAAAGCTCTTCCGAGTTATCTGAAATCGCTATTTATTTTATATTTGGTCTTGTCTACACACCTGATCCTTTGTAGCCATGCTTTCTCGCGTATTCCCGGAAGATTTTCGATTGACTATCGGCAGTTCGCATCGCGAACTCACTAGCTGACGCTCCGGACATTGCAATCATCTTGTGGAACAGATCGCGAGAATGTGGACTCAACGATAGCAAATCGACTGAAGCTCCGCCAGCGCTTTGTCCAAATACGGTGACATTGTTCGCGTCACCGCCGAATGATTGAATGTGCTCTTGAATCCATTTTAGCGCGAGCGTTTGATCCCAGAGGCCGAAATTTCCCCGACAAACTTCATCGCCTGTTGTCAAGAATCCGAATATGTTCAATCGATAATTAATGGTAACCACGATAACATCCTTCAATGTCAGAGTTCTAAAGATAAAATACAAGTGAAAAAACAAGCTTCCAGACATAATAACCCTGTAAGAGAATAATCGCAGAAATCTCTAGATGAACCCATTTCGTATCCACCGCCATGAATGAACACCATAACCGGTCTTCCCTTCAATGAGTATTCCGGCGATTCCCAAGTTGGTCGAAAAACATTCAAAGTTAGACAATTATCTTCAGCCATTGGTATTCCAGAATTCGAGTTCAACTAAAAATGTTTAAAAGAAAAAAATCTACATATATCAAATTAAACAAACGATATTTGTTTGAGGACAAACGGGTCCAAAAATGGTGCAATCCCTGACCGTGTCCCATCGTTCGAAGGCGACAGGCTTCTGAAAACATGCTTGCAATCTTCTCATTTCAAAAATCTACCTTGAACTTGAGATTTCCAATTGGAGGCTTTGCATAAGGAATTCCTAAATATCCTTCAACAGTGCGAACACCCTTAATATATATATTTTTTTCATTTTCAATTTACAAGCCACGTACATGCTTGTAAATGTTTCCTCGAATTGGACCACATGAACAATTCAATACATAATGAGAAGCTTCTGGTTTCAAATGTGACAAATGGCCACCCATCCTTTAATATTTCATTTTAAAAAATTATACTAGTTTTACATAAATGAAAACGAGAAAAATTCGACAAAAAAATGAATTTAAACACAAAACGCCGCGTTCTATGTATCATTCAAAAATAATTCTCATTGAGTGTCACGGAAAAATTAAAAAATTTTATAAATATTTTATGTAGCCTTATGAGTTTGAAATAATAATTTAACAAGCAATATAATGACAATTATAATGGATTAATGATGTCGTTTTTGTTCTAATAATTTCTTAGAGGTTATGCGGCAAAAATGAAAAATATAAAAATAAAAATGAATAATTTATTATTGCATGTATTTTTATTTGTACTTCATCGCTCCTTTGTTAAAATTATTTTGAGGTAAAAATAGGAGGTATATAAGCGTTGTATAGGTTATCAGATAACAGACGCAATCAATACCTTATCATACTAATCAAAACTAGTATATGTATGTCTTCGCGAAGATTGATTAAATGATTGAGGAAATATTGAAATTTGAAAGATTTTGGTACAAGAGACCAATTTACAAATTTTATCACCAGTTCAATCGATAATCAACCACAAAAAAATTACTGCATATGTATAACGTATTGAATTTTGATAATTGGCTGATACAAATGACATAGACCGCAAGCGGCGTCGAGTCAAAATTTGATCTAACAAGGAAGGTCACGCATTGTCATAAAAAAATAAAAACAAGAGCCTTGCATAATTTTGGACCATCCTACTTTTTCGAGGCGGCGATAAATTTTAACTGTGGTAATTCGGGTACCGTACTCTGGATAGTCTGCGCAGCTAACTCATCTCAAATCGGTGGGCTCGTTTTTTTGCGAATGAAATAAATGGAGGCCCAATTCTTTACAAACGTGTTATTCATTGATATTTCATATGCACGCTGTTTTATTTAAAATACATATTTATGAAGAAGTACCAACGTTAAAAATATGCGAGTACAACAATATTTATCTCATTACGCAGTACCTATCACCGAAGTTTTTTGAGTGTAACTGGCTCGAGATTTAGCGTCGTGGAAGCAAACTGGTCGAAGGTGTTTGTTGAATAAAATCATCACCAATCTAGAAACGAAAATCACATTGACCAGTTAATAATTTTGTTACCCATCGAACACGTGAATGCCTAAAAATAAGAGCGATGAGAAGACGAATCTGTACCAAACCGCTTCGCTAAAATGCGAAATAATCGAACAATTGATGGTGTCCATCACATGCAGACAATCCTGTGAAACGCTCTGAAAATCGAAAATCCCTAATATATTCCATTTCCTGATTTTCTTAATGGGCCTATTCAGGATTACACAAAAAAAAACGACATAAGCGTCATATTTGACCAATTTTAGGTGCCTGCATGATGTTTCAAGCCTTGAATAGGTCTTTAATGACCCGCTATTAACTTTGCTAATTTGAAGTGAGCTATTTTTATTTGCAGCAAAAAAAAAGAACTGCGGATGGCACCGTTTACTGTAGAGCACATAGTTTTGTCCGTGTGGAGTACACAGTCGCGTCTTCGTCTATTCGTGACATTTTGAATTTTGAAATATCAAAACACATTGCGCCCCCAAAAAAAAAATCACATGAGAACATTTTTCGGTTTGGGTGGTGGGTGGCGTGGTAAAAATTTTTCAAAATTCAATCACCTGAATGTACATTTTTGTTCGTTTTCGGCGTCGAACCTCGCTGATGTCACGCGAAACATTGCTCGTCGTTGCCGTCATAATAAGCTTTATCGCGATTGTCGTATTGAACACATTCGCGGCTACAGACGTTGCAACAATGAGGTAGAAGAAGCCCACTGCAAAATTGACGGCACACTCCGATTCCTCGGGTTCCCATGCGAGACGCTTAATGACAAATATGAAGCCGCACCCTTCTGAAAACACAATTTCCACTATTTATATAAATTTTGTTTTTTTACCCGGTACGCCAAAAGAGGTAATGATAATTGCAATTGTCCAAAAGAACAACACACCAACCTATAATTGTGCCCAACTTTTCAATTTGGAATTGACTAGATTTTTACCACACTCAACGGAATTGGAAATGATCTACCGTAGTAGTGAGGTAGAAATAAGGCGCAGAATCGATTAAAAGCCATGCAAATTTGAGTAAAAGGTCCCATGATATAGGGCATCCATCCACCATATTGGCCAAATAATATATTAATCTGATGAGGAAGAAAATAGTGGTTCCTGAAGTTTTGTTTTAGACTATATATTTTTTGAGATTTCATTACAATAGTGTGCAAGGTGATGCCCACAAAACGAAAGTCAGGCAGATCATTGTGTTGCTGATGGTCTTCGAAGCGCACAGTGAATAAAATCCGCCGATGCTTTTTTTCTGAGACATTAGGCCATAGAACACGGAACCATTCAATATCAATCCCATAGTTCCAAACTAAAATTAATTCATCGGATTGTATAGTCGGCGTCCGTCGACTGCTATACGCGGGTAGATTTACGGGAATGCGTCTTTCGAAATGGTCTCGCAAGGACTAACAGGTTATTTCAAATTTTATGGACCGGTTAGATAATTTTTTAATCAAATATCGTTGGAAATTCAGGAAAATGCGAAACTCATAAAGAAAAATGAAGCAGTTCACGTGAAAAAAAGCAAAATAAGCATTCACGCGTGGCGAGACCTTTTCAAGGCGCATGCGCGTAAATCTACCCGTACAGCAGTCGCCGGACGCCTAATATATGCTAATTACTGTAATGTCGTTGCATAAGAAATTCACCGAAATGCACAGAGAATAGAGAAATCAACATTTTTAGTTTATTTAGGCCAGTTGAAAAAAATTCTAGAGGGAAAGAAATTGTTGAAGTCGCTTTATGGAAATGTTTCGGTTTTGGAAAACATTTCTCGATGATTTTTGCCTTGATTCTAGAAGAAGAAATCGGTATTATTCGTATTACGGTACTATTCAAAAATACTTTTAACCACATTAAAACCATAAACAGATTGCCTTTTTTTCGAGTTTTTCGAGTTTTCATCCAAGGGGCATTTACGTCATGTTGGTGCAATGTCCGCATGGAGTACACAGCGCGCTTCTCGAGATCATTTTTGGCATTTAGCCAATTTGGCGCAGTTACGCTATTTTTTTTAATGGTGCATATCTTTTGCAACGACTTATTAATAAACTCACCAGCACCATGATTACTGTAGCCGTCATTCTCAAAACGAAGTAAGACTCGGCGAGTTGCTCTTCGTACATCAACGTCGACATTTGGTTGATCAGAATAACTGAGAAAAGGATTTTTGAGATATTGCTGACGGGATGAATCAAAACATAATTGGATGCTTTCAATTATTATTATTTACTGGTGTAGTTTGGCCCAGTGTTATCTATTATACTACCGTATGAATTCCTATTTATAGGAAACTAGACTCTTGATGTTTGTTTAAGAATCAAATCGAACATTTAAATGTTATTTGATTTTGAATTGTTAGACGGTGAAACTTAATTACATACTATTTATGATTTTTCAAACATATAATTTCAAAGTACAGTAATCCACCTGACGTCCGCAGTTAATTACGGAAATAAACTGTTGAATTTCGTTTACGTATTTTAATAATTATATATTTAATGAGAGCATATAGGTATATTATTCTATTCCATGGTATCGCAATTAATGAATAAAATGAATTGATCAAATAAAAGTAAAATAGATTTTTGCTTCTTTACGTCATGAAAAAAATAGGAAAATAATAATCAAACATATTAGGCTCCATTTATTATATTATGTCGTTCCTAAAACAAAATTTTTTTCTCTGGTAATGTGAAAATTTGTCGAAATTTCCAAAATCGAAATACAAATCAAATTTCAAAGAAATAAATCATTTTGAAAAATTCCCCCCTAAAATATAATATATGTATTTATATTAACAAGTGATAATTTGAGAACTGACTGAAAGCACTTCCTCAAAGGGGGAAGCGGAAGATCTTGCGAGGTAACGAACATTCTTTCTCACAAAGGAATGATTGAGATTTGATTTCTTGGGAAAAATATGTGAACCTACTGTAGTGCCTATATTACTAAAATAACAACGTGACAACTTGGGAAAATCATGCAGACTTTACGCAGACACCTATTAGGAATTTCGCAAAGTCTGCGCAGATTTTGAAATTTTTGCAGAGACACTCGATTTTATTAGCTCAAAGCCAAAAAAGCAAGGAGGAACAATTTTTCTTCTGAATTTGGGCGTGATTTTGATCGTAAAATTGACCAATTTTTAAATTGTATTTTTTTCCGTTTTTGGCGCCTACAATCAACAACGTAAATAAATTACCCGGAAGAAGTTATCCTTAAAAAACAAATGAATAAACCTAAAAAGTGACTGATTACTGATTTGGAATGAAAAAAACTTGCAAAATTTAAATTTGGCAATAATTGAATATAGATTAATGAGGTTTGGTAGCAAGAAATTTTGAGCAAAAAATCAAACAAAGAATTTCAGAATTTTTAAAGAACAATATATGTGCAACGTATGACTCTGGAATAAACAAACATGGGAATTTCGCAGGGATCAAAATATAATCACTAAAAATAAAACAAACCAATATTGAGACCGATTATTACGTTTTTGGAAATTTTTAATTTCATTCAACTTTTCAATTAAAAAATGTTACATAATTAATTTTTTTAATTTCTGAAAAATGTGGTAACTTTAGAAATCTTAATATCTAGGCTTCTAAATATTTTATTATAATTTTCGAGTCATATTTTGACTAACTATGCTTCATTTACCAGCACCAGCATGGAAAACATTTTCAATTTTATTCAATTTCATTGAATAAGAAATTCCATCAATGATTTATTCGAAAAAAAAAAGTTGTCAACATTCCCCCAAAATTGATGGCACATTTCAAATCCGTTGACAATAGTAATTTCGAATTTTTCGAATGACGATTATTGAGAAGGTTAGAAAGAAAATGACGGCGACAGCGATGTGATAGAACGAATAGACGAGAAACTGAAAATAAACGTACGATTTCTGATTGTCTCACTTAATGTTCGGTGCTTTTGAATTAGCGTACGCAATGCTCAAAAATCATATCAATATTAAAAATAGTGTTTTTGTTTTTTCATTGGGGTCCTAATAGGGTACTCGAAAATATGTAGAATTGAAAGAAATTTACCTGCGGCCTTATTGAGAGATTGGCGACATTTATTATGAGAACAGTTAGAACCGTTTGAAAGCTCAAAGCAATAAACGTATTGATACCAAATAGTAGCCCGTAGGATTCACATTGAAGTCTTGTCGCCAAATTACATCTGAAAGAGAGCGCATTTTGTTCCAAATTGAATTTCGCCAATTTTACTGTGCAATTGTCATCGTTGCTTGATAAATAATCCTGTATAATATATAACAGAAATACATAATGTAGATGCTATGCGTTTGCGACATCCATAAAAGAAACGCGGCCTGGACAATCGAACCAACTGCCAGCACTAGTTCGCCATATCGGGTCCAATTCAAATTGATTCTCTGTGTTAGAAGGTCGGCCGGAATTCCAAATAGGGGCACCAATGCTTCAGTAATTCCGTTGAACCGATTATCCTCTTCCGACAGTGTTCCCCATAACGTCTGCGTGTAATTTGTCACCTAAATATATTTATATTATCGTAGACCATGAATTTTTAATATTTGAATTACCGCCTAGAGTCCCCTAGAGAAAATCTTGAAATTTGCGTACATATTTGTCATTAACAAATGTGTCCGATTACGGAGAAGAGGTCCTTTTTGATTTTTGGGGACCATTTAAATGGCACACTCGTTATGTTACGGTGCTATGGAAATTTCGAAAAAAAAACACAAAAATCTTTGCATTGAACATTCACTCAAAAATTCAGCCACTGGCGAACAATTTTTGGCTACATTGTAGTATTGTTATAGGTCAAAAATATTTAAGGCTCTCACCCTTTTTTTTGGATATTTTGAAAATTCGAAGACTTATAAAAAATCGTTTACCTTGTCCCCATCATTCGCCTATAAATTTTGCACGATTGAAAGTCGCTCTAGACGGTGGTATACGTATTTTTTTCAATTTTAAAGATTTTTCTGATGTTTCAAAGTTTATTTATTTTATTTACCTGTAGAAAAATGCAATTCGCCAATGCCCACCAAGCGGACCACTTCAAAATAAACTGATCGGTGTAAATTAAATACAAATCGCGATGAATGTTGCTGAAATACATTTTCACAAAATCTTTGTATCTCGCAATCTTCATTAGCTCAGGAATATTTGTGAGGCCTGAATGAATGAGCCTCTTAACATTATTGTTCCATTATTGAACCTTGTTCATCAAGTTTCCTCGCAAACGCCGATCTCCAGCTAACATTTGGAAGAATCAAAGAGTTGATGATTGCCAAACACATGGACACCAATGAAATAATGTGAAGCGTCATATAGTCGCCCCATTTCAAGCCGATCAATAGTTGAGCTAACGCGTAGGCGGCGAATCTGCCGAGAAGAAGTGCGGCTCGGGTGAAAGCTGTCGCTCTGAAATCTTATATATTCCCATGAATTGAAGAACACATATTATATAAAATTAATTCTTTTCTTATTTTACTTTTTTCCGTTTAAAGAAATAGTAAGATTTAGGCTTGAAATTGTCCTATTTTTAATTCCTAAACTGCACTTTAATTTTTGAAATTTTCCAAAATAAAAAAAAAATAATTTTTTTAATGCAGGAATGTAACATAACATTATTTTAGGTTTTGTGAATTTATTTTTTTTTGTGAATCGACAGATAATAATTTTTTAAATGTAATATTTATTATTCAAATAGTCTATAGTAAAATAGTTTGAGTCTCCTTTGTTAGAAATTTTGCCAAAAAAAACTGGACTATGAACACAGAGTACAAATCTATCATTTAAAAAAAACATGTTGTTGTCACTGCGTTATGAAAACCTACGATTTGAAATTTTCTTTGGGAACTTTGACATAAATGTAGGCGAAATATGCAATTTCGGTAGCAGTTGCCCAGCCATAGAAAAGCTCAAGAAGCTGAAAAAATTAAATTGGGAAGAAACAATGAAAAGAATTTTTACCTGCATACACAGCACACTTCTACCGAAAACAAACAAAATCCAGACCAGGGTGTAGGAAAATGCCTCAAAAACGATGAGAGACTTATAAAGAAGGACATCGGTTAATAGAAATGCTGGAATTAGCGCAGCCAGGTAACTGTAAGTCCAAATAGGGTACACCTAGAAAAATGGGTGTTCGCTTGCTGAAACCAAGAAAGTCGAGGAAACCTGATGATTCAACGTGTGCTCGGAAATATTCAAATTCACATGCTCATATTCATACATGTATGGTTCAGTGGGTCGAAATTCTTTAAGCACTCCATAAGAGCATAGTAAAATAACAGTTCGAATATAATTTTGCATTGTCGATTAGCAAAAAGGGGTCTGTGGCGAATTCGAACAACCGGTTATATATCAGGTATTTATACAAATTCTATATTCATTGATCAATGATTTCGAAAAAATAAACCCTTTTTTGGAGGAATCGTCTAGTCAATGAGTTTGCTAAAACCTTAGATAAGGCGGTTGGTCGCTGATTAAAATATCGATGCAAAATAGCGGAAAAAATATGAATTTATCGAGGTGAACTGAATAGTGGTGAACAAAAAAATGAATTGCTCTATTTCAAGATTTTCGTTTTATTATAGATTTCATGTAATTCAAATGTTTGATTCCATATAATTTTTCCATATATGTATATATATTTTTTTAATATCCCCCGCCAAAATTATTTATCGATCACACATCACGGATGTTCAGTTCCAATGTCATTTTGTGTCAAACCCTGAATGATGAAAAAAGATAATGATAATTTGGGTTTCAAAAAAATTGCTGAAACAACATTGGGGTTTGATGATAAAATTTAAGCTAATATTTAAGTTGCGTTTTTTTTAAAGAATACAGCTTAAAAATTCAATTCCTCGTTGCAAAAAACCCGATTTTTAAAAAAATGTTATTCACCAAAAAATAATTGCCAACTATCAAGGGTATTGCATGAAATTGTATTCATTGAATACAAATTATTAAATACATCATTTCTGCTCTCGATTTTCATGACTAACTATAGCTTTTCAAATTATGCGCTTGAATTTCCTTTTATTTATAGAAAATAATAGCCTAACATTTTGAGAATCGAATAATAATAATAATATATAATAAATTCGAAAATTTTCTAGCATTATATTTTCATCAACTTATCGAGACTCAACAAACTTTAAATGCTTCTTTTTATTTTTTGAAGCTCTCATAAGACTTCGCGCACAAATTCCGAATTTTCTCAAAATTTAAAATCTTATTTAGAAAAAAATCTAAAATATTATAGAAGTCTCTCAAAGTAGTTCTCAGCGATAAGTTTAGTGAAAGCCGAATTTCAGACCGACTGAGCGAAAACTTTTCTAAACTGAACATTGTTTGAAAATAAATAGAACATATCATTTTTTAATGAAAATTTAAAATCTCAATTTCCCCTAGGAGGATTTCAAATAGCTAAAAAATGTTTCTATTCAGTTTCTAAGTATACTAGAAACACTTTTCATAGGCTCTCCTTCAATTAGCTTAATAGAATATTACATCTAAAAAAACACGTATTTCCGTGACGAAAATCCTGCACATTTCTCCCAATCTATTTCTATGTATTCCTAATTCAAATTTCCGGCTCATAAAAATTTTAAACTATGAAATAAAAAATAGATTCGTAATATGCAAACGAAACATTTTAAAATAATTCGTCAGTATGGATTTCCTTAAAAAAAAAGAAGAAAAAATTATTAGTCGCATTAAAATCATTGCAAACATCTTAAGATTGGCTTTCAAAAAAAATGCAATATCCGCGCGGGCCGACAACAAATTGATCTACCCATTAATGGCGACTGCAGTGCGCGCCATTATACATTTTTGCTGTTCTTACTCCTCATTTTCATTTATTTTTCCTTTTCGCTTCATTTTTCCTCATTTGTTTAGCCTCTCTACGAAGACGTAGAAGAAGAAGCAGAAGAGGAATAGGACCTTCCATCCAATGGCACAATTTCATAGAGTTCGAGTCAAAATTTACATCGGCTTCTCCGGCACCTTCGTCTCGTTTCCACTTTTGGTTTGTTTTCGATTTTTGAAAAATTAAAAGTTTTCTTCCGGAAAGTTGCAGTACACCGAAGGGAGCGCATTTCAATATCTCCATTATCGATCGCATGAGAACCTTCACACCTACGCTAGATTCCATTTAAGGTATTTTGGTTCGTTTCTCTTGGCTTCGCTATTTTGATCGTCAACATTGAAATTGCAGATAGGCAGTTGCTATGTCAACCAATATGCTCCGAGGATGCATTACAAAGGGTACGCACGCGATGCTAGTAAATATGAAGAACACGCATTGCAGTTTAGGCTTTTCGTCACCACAAGGTTGATGTTGATGGAAATGTGCTTCACCTAATCGCGGTTTTCGACGATATTCATGATCAGAATCGAACGGCAACATTTGTCGATCAGCGATTATTTCGATCGGTAGCAATAAATTCCGTTTATTCAAGGGAATGCCCAAATTGATATATTCGATTTCAGCCAAGACCTGATCGATTCAGCGAGTTGGCGGCGTTCAATCCGATTCTGCCCGCCCTACTTCCACCGGGTTCTGCCACCTCTTGGCCACCACAATCTCCAGCGACCAATCAAAATCGAGAATCATTGGCGCGAACGCGATTGATTCGGATGCAAAGGGAATTCGGAAACGCATTTTTACCATCACTGTAGGCATTTTATTTTTTGAATAAATATATGTAGAGTAAATCTATACAGATCCCGACATGCTCAACAGGTAGCTTCGCGCATCACCGGGCAACCATAAATTTGCTCCTGGAAAGTAGAAGTGCGCTCGATTATGAACGATTTCGTCTAACATATATAATTATAATAATTTATTGTTTTCTTGTTTTTTTTTCTACCGAATTTCATTACTTTAACTGACATGACATTCTTCTATAAAATTTGCAGGTTTGATATTTATTTATTCTTTTTGCACATTTTGATCTCCAATTAGAATTGCAATTGTAGGTGGAGATTTTTTGAGAAATGAGAGACTTCAACAAGTTTTTCTTTTTCAAATATTTTTGTTTCGAAAAAAAAATCGCCACAATTTTTGTCCAATAAAATGTTCTTTTCGAAGAGACCTAGACACACATAAACCAATTGATTTTTTCTTCGTCGAACATCAGTAAATCTCGCGTCATTGTCTCGCATATGTGCTTATTTTGATTTGTTTCGTTTGGTTTCTTGTTTTTTGTCTTGCGCACATGTGTATGCTCGCATGCAAACCGCATCAGCGTAGACGATTTTTACAACTCTCCGCTAGGGCACACGAACCTCAAAAATAAGTTTGCACCTCGTTGAGAACAAATTCAAATGCGTCATTGCACAGTATCTCGTCGCTCGCTTCCAAAACAATCGATTCCAATTTCTTTCGTTTCATTCGCTTTCTATTTTCTTCGCGTGTGGTCTTGCCGAAGTATTCCTCCTCTATTATCAATGCTCATTATATTCCATTGTTCAAAATCGTTTTGTTTCAAACCTAACATATTCTTCCTCATAAGGCATTCAAATGGAATATGCTTTATTCATATTCTTCTTCGTTTCGAATTGAATTCTTTGAATGCTTTCTTTGATTCGTTTGATTTTATTATGAGAATTCAAACGAATGCAGTATTGAGCATCAAACTTTAATTGGTTTTTAATAATTATTTTGGGATCCCATGGGTCACTTTTAAATCAATTCTTAAAGGATCTAAGATTCTAATCTTTAATTTATAAAAAAGAATTTGTGATTGATTGTATGTCAATTTGTTTCGTCGAATTCTGTCGTTTTCAAAATTTCACAGTTAGGGAAACTCAATTAGAGCTTGTTTAAAAATCCCCAAGAAAATGACATTTTCAACCAAAGATTCTAAAAATTCTTACTATTATTGAAATTGTTTTGGCAAAATCATGATGCCTCGACGTTTATTTGCACGTACCATCAAAGATAAATGCCGCCATATTCAAAATCCAGTGCGTCAGCCGCCATCGATTTTCTTTTTAAATGTTCGCGATTGCGCCATTTGTTTCCCACGTTTTCAAAATTTTTGTGCGCTCATTTGTTACCAAAAAAAATTGATTGTCTTATGAGATTCAATTGTTCGTTCTCGCCCTCTTTGTATGAGATTTTAGGCAGCTGTACATCTGACATTCGAACCGCGCAATTTTTTGACACTTTATATTTTTTTTCGTTATCCTACCATTTTATGATGTATGACATTAAAGGTATGAATTAATTAGGCCTTAAAGATGTAGAAATATATTGCGGTAATTTTTTTTGAACTCACCCTAATTTCATTAATTTGTTTTCTTTGAAAATAAAGCGAATTTATTATAATTAAGGTTATGGCCGGGAAGCAAATGGCGCTTTTTTGAGTTTTTCTTCGTGAGAGCTTCACCTCTTTGCTTAAAGGTGTTTAAATGGACCGTTTATTGGTATAGAAAATTGTCACATTATGAAAAATAGCCACTTCAAAACATTATCGATATATTCGTCATTGAGAGAATGTTAAAATTTCTCAAATAATCGTCAATTCCTTTCTCTAAAACACATTTATTAATTGTATGAAATAACAATTTTGTAGCACGACTTGAAGAAAATGGAAGGGCCATCGAAGGAAAACAGAGCCAAAGCTCCAAAGGAAATAGTTCTCATGGAAAATGTCGATATCACTGTTCCGAGAGACGCCTATTTAATCGATGTTATTATGCACTTGGGGCCAAGCACGTTCATTCAAAAAAAGAGGTTTTTGGTAAGTCGGTTTCAAATATTTGATATAGTACAAAAGAAATGCAGGTTTATGTTTTTTAATACGTGTTTTATTCTTACAAACGGTTACTTTTCGAACCCTTATTGAATGCTCGTTCTAAAAGTTTCTTAAAATATCTTTAACATTAAAATTTTTATAGTAAAAACGTTTTTTTTTTTTTTTGCAACGATCAAATAATAGTACAAAAACTATTCAGGTGACACCAGACGGTAATTTCAAGAGACTGTGCGATGAGTTCGAGAAAAAGTTTCATTTCGGAGAGGATTTGGGCAATCAGTTCTTCTTCTATGGTAGCATTTTTCATTTCGAATAAGAATGTCGAAATTGATATATTTCAGCGCACGTGAAGCAACGCTGGCTCATTCAAAACGACGAGACATTCCTTTTGGTAGCCCGCTTTTTTTTTGTTGCAAAAATTCAAAATTGTTTTAGGCGTTGAAAAACTTTGGAATTAGTCGCGGCAACACGAGAGAGCCTCTCATAATCACCTTGCTGAATTGTGCGGCTGCGAAGCGAAACGCTAGCCAAGGATTCCCCGGAGAATACAAGATTTACCGTGAAATTGTAGAATAAAAAAATAATTGTGCAAATTTTAATTGATACTCGTTTTTTTTTCAGTTCTCTGTTACCCCGGAAAACACGCACTCGTACATTTTGGGCCAATTGGCACATAAAGCGAGCAATAATGTTCCCGACATGTCGTCGATTATAAATGAGTACAAGAAACTTTCGGGACCACACAAGTAACTTAATAGGTCCTCCCTTTTGAAGAACGAATTCTCAATTTTAGGATTTCTCTTGATAAGAACGGCGAATTGGAGAAGTATTTTAGCTTCTTGTGTCGCGATGGCAAGCAGATCGACTATTTGCTCATGTCTCGCGCGTAAGTAACATTTCAAAAAGAAATCAAAATGATTGTGACTTGTTTAGCGATTCTGGCGATACGTACGACTTCCAAATCATTTGGAAGCGCGAGAAGAAAGATGTTGCCAAAAAATAATCATATTAATTGTTTTCATTTCTGGGTATAATCAAATTTAAAATTGTTGCATTGATTGTTTTTTTTATGACTTGTTTCGACTTATTTTCTGTTTTGTTATTTATATTTGTCGGCTAATAAAGGTAAATCATCATTGATTGATTGACGAGAGCCGCCGGAGAGTTCTTGGCAACACACCCCTTCCCCCCTCCCCCCGCCCACAATCTCGTTGACCTTGTAACATTATGGTCCGCAATGAGAGTGTGTGCAATCCAAGGAGGATCAGCGAACGACGCCAATAACTGTCGTTGGTCGATGTGGCACACCTTCACTTATCAACTCAATTCTGTCTACGACGCACCAATGCAGAGCTGGAGAATGCGCAAATCCTCGAAAGTCTCCTCGATTTCGCCGGTAGCTGGTAGCACTCTGCATTTGGACAAAATTCCCGATTTCTGTATTGCACGCATTCTATCATGGGTAGGCATTTTCGAGTTTTTGTATTTAAACATATTTTTCTTCTAGTGCGAACCAACGGATGCCTACAAATTCCGACTAACTTGTCGTCAGGTAAATGAGACATTCAAGTACTATCGAAAGCAGATGCGACCAAAGAATCTCACATTGTTCGTCAATGCTGACTCGGAAGGCGTTGAGGTAAGATTTTGAAGATTCCATGTCGAATCGATTATTGCATTTTCAGTATTGCTATCGATCGTCTGATTCGCGATTCATGGAGCCGATGCTAATTCCAACCGAAGTCAAGTATACAACAATGCATGGGGCGCGAGTGATATTGAATATTAATATAAAGGGGGTAAGAAATGTTTTTCAAATCGAAATATCATAATCCAAAATTTAGCCATGTTTGTCGCACGATGATCTCGCAGATATTTATGATATTCTGTGCGACGCTAAAGTTGTGCGTTGCTCATATGTCGCTGATACGATTGATGAGTTGACGATCGATTTGTTCAATCGATTCGAGAACTGTGTGTTTAGTATGAATCTCAAGAATTTGGACGTCGGCAGCATTTGCAGATGTACTCTTCCGAATGTGAGTAATTCACAAAAGTATAAAAATATGCTATTTGAGTTTTGCAGATCATTTCGTTGAATATTGAGCACGAGCTGAAATTCTACGAGTTGAACAAAATCACCGAGTCGCTGATGAATGTCAAATTCCTGTTTGCTAGTCTATCTGTTGCATCGTTGCCGGTTATTACAAAGTGTGTTGAGGTAAAAAAAATAATCAATCAATTTATATGTTAGTTTGGTCATTTACATTTTCAGGAGTTTCGCGACGGACTACGCACTTTAACCCATTGGAGCTTCAAAATCTGCGCTCCGCGCGACGTCCTTCAAGAATTCCATTTCGGCGTTGTCATCGGAATCGACCGCTTCATCATTCGTCAAAAAGACCGTTCGGCTGTCATTCTTACACTTCAAGATGAGCACAATCAGCCAACAACTCATATCAACATCAAATTAACAAAATAATTGTTTGTAAAATTGTTTTCGTGTACCATTTCATGTAACTTCATTCTCATTTTGTACACTATTTATTCAATTCTGAACATATAAGGTATATTGTGAAAACGAGAAAGAACACAGCGATTCCAGCAAAGTAGCACGAATAAATGAAGAACTGAAAATATTGTTTTTTTAATAATTCGAATTAAAGGAGCGAACTTTGATGTGTCAAGACCCGACGAAAAAATTTAGGGAATGCGTTTTTAACTACAGTATTCCTGCATTTAACAATTTTTCTAATAGAAATCAAAGGTTACTGTAATTTTTGACTCTTATTTGTTCGTTGTGGTCTCGGCGCGAACCGAATCAACACAGTAGTTGAGTTTTTTCAAAGAGTAAAATTATTAGAAATTCACTTCTTTTAAACCTTATAGTGAGATTCCATCGGAAAAAATTAAATAAAACAAAAAAAGAAGAGAAAAAATAGTATACAATAAGGCAATTAGTATACAATAAGGCAATAAAGTAAGTATTCAAAAGAATCCTGGAAATCTGCAATTCTTTTGCACCAACGAAACGTTTCAAATTAATATATTTAATTGTTATTTTGGGAGAGATCAATAAAAAAAAATAAAGCTGATACCTGAGCTCGTATATTGAAGTGTAGAAAGTGTGAATCAACCACAACCAATGTTAGAATTGTTTGCATAAAAACTGCGACAAACGTACAACAGCCGAATACGAGAGCTCGACTATTCGTGGTGATTTCAGCAGCAATATTGGCTCTGAAATTGAATTCAATTCAAAATGAGTGCATTTGAAACACCTACGACGCCGCGGTGATAAGCATATGATATATCGAATTTATCACAATATAGGAAATATAAGCAACGAGAATATTGAGTGTTTTTGAACTAATATAAAGGAGAATTGCGATTAGGAATGAGGTTGTTGGCATGATATATGGTGCATTTTTCACCCAATTTATTGATGAATATTGAGTACCAAATGTTAGTATGGCCCCTGAAAAAAAAATATAATAATAAAATTAGAATTTCGGCCACTTTAAAATTGTCAAAAATGAAAGTTTTACCAATAAAAGTTTGCGCAAATTCCACGATTCCGTTCACTTCATATGTAGAGTCTTTTTGTATATCCTTCCAAAGCGATTGAATATAATTTTGAACCTTAATGGAATAACTAATAGCCAAGTTTTTTTTCAAATTGTCAAAGAGTGCCTGAAATGTCCCACAACTGGCCAACGCCCACCAGAGGGACCATAAAAGCAAATTTCGATTTTTCGCGCAATTCTTCAACTGGGCAAACGTTTTTCCGAATACATCGATTTTGCCACCAAATTCATCATCTAATAATCTACAATTGTATTTTGTCTGAAATTCCAGCAACGCATCACTTGTCATCAGGTGGCGGCTTCCGCTTCGGCTTGTCCACTGATGGAAGAAATAATGCGATGATTGTCACCACACACACCGATATTAGTGAAATCCAAAAGAAACAACCATGATTTCTCTCATTTTCTTGTTGCGCTAACCTTGTTTAGCATTAAATAGTCGCACATTTTCGTTGAGACTAATAGCTGACCCAATGCGAACGCGGCAAGTTTTCCTAGAAGAACCGCACATCTGACATAAGAGCTAACCTGCAATTAATCGAAAATATTTGATAAAGCATTGTCAGGCAATGAACTACTTTTGGATAATGTTTAGAATCCACAATCGAGTAGATGTAGGAAAGATAAGCGATTTCAGCTGCAGATGAAATTCCTGGAAAAATGGAAATATATAAGTTTCCAGGGGCAGTGCAGAGAAAAATTTTAAAAAAATGAGAATCATCATTTCTTCTCCCATTTTTTAAAATTAATTTTTCACAAATCAGTACCAAATAAAGCTTGCATGAATTGCATTTGAAGAACTCCCGTTCCGAAAACCAGCAAACACCACGTTGCCACTAAACTCAACGCTTCAATTAGAATAATTGGCTTATAACGAAGAATATCGGTAAGTATGAACATTGGAATCTGAAATACCGATAAAATGTTTTCGTTTCATTAAAAAAAACTGCCTACCAGTGCTACTAAATAAGAATAGGTCCAATATGGATAAATTTCGGAGTACACTTCTTCTAGGGTGAGATTCTTCTGCGACGACGTCAGAAACGGTGTCAGAAATGGTGTAGCTGGTCGAAATTTTTTAACAGCTCCATAAACGCAAAGAATCGCTGTGCACAATTTCCAGTTCATTTTCGAATGTTGAAAACCGAAAAAAATGCTGACTGAAAAATATTGCGTTTCATTTCGCCGTCTGCGGTTTCTTCAAAATGCGTGCTATCGTTCATTGTGAGCGGCAAATTCAAAAATCGTCATGAGAATTTTCAATATTAATAGGCGGGATCAAAGCCGACAATTTTCAATTGAAAAAAACGCCTCCCTTTAATTATAAATTTACAATTTTCATTTTTTTTTAAAGTTTTTTGGTGATTAATTTAAGCATATGTATTAATGTGAATGGGGAACAAAATCAAAACGTGGTGTCAAGAACCTCTGATTGATAAGGCGAACCTATGACTGATAAAATTGGAAACAAGGAAATCCAAAAGCTAATTTATTCAATATGTGATATTTGTTGCAAACAATGTATTAGATTAAAGAAGAAAGATAACAAAAGCGAAAAGCGTCCACAAAAACGGACAATAAGATCACACACAAAACATAATATTTCCAAAATGTGATGAGATCACAGTCGAAACGAGACATTTTTACAAGATCAAAGCAAATTTAATGAATAATAGATATGGAAGAATCGAGAATTCGGACGCGCGATTTAAAAATATGGACCTGCAAAATATTGATGGATTTATTTTTAATGCCTTTTTTGCTTACAAGCTTCAGTTTTTGGTACAGTTTGCATTCCGCTTCTCTTCATTTTAGACCATTCCTCCATGTATCCGCTTTTGATGTTATCCACAATATACGAAACAAGGCAGATCCAGCTTTTCATCGCTTCTCGTTTTGAGCGAACACATTCAACTTTTGTAATTATCTTAAAGATCATCATGATTGCCATTTCATGAGCGTGAGGATGACCTCCGTAAAACATTCTCCGAGCTGATCGAAAACCGTTCCGCAACATTTTTCGTTCATGCTCACATGCGCCGCGCCAACATCCTGACATTTCGCCTGCACAATTTTTGCGGGCTGTTGAAGGTCGGCCATGAGATTGTCAAGAAGCTCGCTGAGAAGTTTGGCGTGCGAGTTCAAATCGCAAATTTTTTGATTCGCCGCAAATCCGCCGACAATCGACATTTTTTGGAACATGTCGCGAGCCACCGTCGAACGCGTCATCAGAAGCCTACAATTTTTTTTGCCAACTATGTCTCGTTTCTTCTAGAGTGTACTCAGCACCACTTTTTCATATATATTATTACCGCACAACGCGCACAGGTCTTGCAACTACCAATTCGCGATAGCCGCATTATTTTTCAGATGTTTCTTTCGAAACTGCTTACTTGAAAACTTGAACAAAAATCCCATTGGTTGACTTAATTCGCGGCCAGGTTGATACGAGTAAATGCACTTGGTGTCTAAATGAAATGGAAAAAAATTTCTTTTCATAATCCATCCATTTCAAACATACGGCGAAAGATGTAGAGAATCGACGAACGAGGCATTCTCCGACGTACTGTTCTCGAGGTGAATCGTTGCGCGGCTCATTCGCCTTGACGGAACGTTATTTCCCATTTGCTCACAAAGGGATCGACGTCTGAATCGTTGTTAGTGTTCTTTTTTGAGTAATTTGCTATAATAGAATATTGAATGAAAAAAAGGTAAAGCAATAAAAAAAGGCGCCAAGGTTTTTCGAAATTATTTCATACTTCATTGAATCGGTTTGTAGGAGAAGGATTTCCTAACAAAAAATTTCGAGGGCGGAGATGAATTGACTTTATTTTATTCCATTTTTCTTAAATAAATAGAAACTATAAAAACTCCTAGCTGCAAAAAAGAGCCGATTTCAATTTCGAAACGTCTCATTCAGAATCGGTGTGTTTTTGCTTTTTTCAATTCGAACGCCTTAGGGGACTAATTGAGGCGTAGTCATAACGACTGAGGCAATGCATTCATCCCAAAGTGTATTTGTACTACCAATGATGTCATCTCTTGTGCAAAACCGACATTAAACTTATTTTTTTGAGAGGCATTTTCAACATTTTTATTATGTTGATGTCTTCAGATACATATTTAGTTGGGTTAACGCAAAACTTTTTTTGTTGCAACAATCGGATACCACTGAGAAACCCCGGCATGCCGCAATTTTTCCGCTTTTGAATCTGGCCAAAAACAACCCCAATTTTCCGGAAACACGTGCCGATTTCAAGTTTTTAGTTTTCGGCGGAATTTAAGAATAAAAAAAGAAACGAAGGACAGTCAAATGCCAATCAATATTTTGTGCCAACCAGCTGGAAAATCTCCGCAAATGTTGTACAATGAAAATACGGTTGTTCATAGAGTTTTTTAAAAGATTCCTGCCACTTACGGAGAAGCCCCTTGAAAATCGGCAGAGCGTCGATGATGGTTTGGAGATGGTGAAGCGTGCGCCACTGACGGTCTTGGGGTTGCGGACTTTGTCTGGAAGAAGAATAAGGAAAATGAATTACAGACTGCCTCGAATTTCATTTCCTGTAACTTGCGACCATTAATTTCCGCAACGATTTATGTTTCATGAAACAACAATGATGAGATGCAAATGAGGCAAATCTCGCTGGCAAGAGCCATCAACAAGAACTCCTCCTTCGCAACCCGTTCTCATATTTTTTTTCTTGGTCATTGAAAATATGACAGAGAAAAGGAAGAAGCAAGATGAATATGATAATGTCATTTTCCGTATGAATCGAAAATACTAGAAATTGATTCTGATATTTTGGGGTCTAGAAAAAAAAAGCGAGCGCATCGCCAGCAAAGCATTACGAAAATTGCAACAAGAAAGAAGCCCCACCCTCCTCGCGAAAGAATATCAAGGGATAGGCGAATAAGGAGAAATACTTCTAATTTTTGGGATCAACGTTAAGATTTTTAAGATTACATTTTTTCTATGGACCCGCTCTAGGCAAAAAGGGTTAATATTTTTGTTTTGCAATTTGCATATGAAAGAGTTTTGTCGTTTTTTAGTTGAGGATTTCTATCCAAAATGGGGGTTGTTGGTATGCAGACACAAACTAGATCATTAGAGCTACCTACACATAACGTTTACGACCGCCCAATTTTTGCTCTGCTCGGGTTTTCCTCATTTTTCTTCGTCGTTGTGTTTCTCCAATTACGAACCGAAATACACGTGGGCCTATTTTGAAAGATCGCCAATATTTTTTTTGTGCTGCGATTTTCTTCGTTTTTCATTCGTCGTTCGTTTTCGTCGAAGATAAATCGCAAGAAAATATTGAAAGGATGACGCCACACACACACACATACAAAACCCATGGCCGGCACACAAAATTTTATGCAAAAAAAAATAAGGGGCCGAAGAAAAATAGGAAGCCGTGGCGAAAAGCATAAATCGCAAAAAAAGAACAAGTTGACATTGAGCGTCGATAGATGGATGAATGAGTGATGAAAAAATTGGAGGCAACCGAATACAAAAAAATATAGGTAAATTATTGGTGTCAAACGCATTTTAAGGGCTATGAGTGCCCGCGGGAAGCGATATTTTGAGCAATAATGATAGTTTCAAAGGTGCAGTTTTACCAAATATAATAGTAAAATTCGAAAAGGAATAAAACCCTTAAAATATCAGGTTGAAATCTCCAAAAATTAGCTTTAATTGGTCAATTTAAGGTTATTCTTTGAATCTGGTTAGTAGCAAAAACTCATCATGATTCTGCCGGAAAACTTTTCCTCGGTTTATATAATTTACTAAAGAAGCCTCTCACTGCTTCCCGTTACCCACAATAATTCTATTTATTCTCAATAAATCGTTTGAGTCATTCTCAAAATATTGTTACATGAATCATAAAAAAGATTTAATTGAGCTTCAAAAACAATAAAATCTAAATTGCGTTTTTTTATTATTCTTCTTTGATAAATTGAAAAGCTCTTGAGTCAAGGATCATTGAAGTAATAGACGGAAATCCGAAAAATTCAAGTTTTTTTGGCAAGTGTCTTTTCGAAAAAAATTATCCGAAATTTAAAACATGAATAATTTTCATTAAGTTTTTATTTTTCGGATGCCTCTTATTTTTAATAACCAGATGAGCATTTTATTCGAATAGCCAAGAACAATTCGAAAAAAAAAGAAAAATTTTAAGGATTAGTGGGGGTTTTTTGAGTGACACACGTGGGTTAACTTTGTTTTGCAACGTCTGAGAATTAATTAAAACTAATACTGATAATCATCTTTTTTCTTTGAAAAAACCCCTTGGAAATTTCTCAAAACAATAATTGATTTAAAAAAGCAAAAAAAGTCTATGCAAGTGAAATTATTGGTTTTGAAATTTTTTAAATCTCATCGAATTGCGCGCGCATTTTTGAAAATTCAAATTTTTTATTATACTTTTTCTAAGAAAAAATCGATAATTTTTTATTGAATTGTGGGAACTACGTGAATTTTTTTTCTTTATTTCGGTGTGAATTAAATGTGTGTAAAATTTCGTCAGCGTGTAGACAGACAAAAACTGAATCTGCTGATTTGATTTTTTTCATATTTCTTCCATCTTTCTTTGTACAAATTAAATTTTACTGAAAGGTATGCATATGAAGCATACAAAGGCAAAAGAATTTGGGCTCCCATGTCGAATTCAATTAAATATCACCCAATTACTAGTTTCTAAAGGCCGCAATAGTGATGCCATCTCAATTTTAAGATTTTTAAGCAATCATTAAACCTTGTTGAACATCGACGCATCGAGACTTCGGCGTGTTCTCATGTCGACGTTCTGATTTGATTGATCGTTTCCCATTGGTAGTGCTGAAATCGTCGCAAAATCAAAATTGTCGGCATTGCTCGACGAGAAAAAATCAAGAAAGCGCGCCGGCATAAAACATAAGAGACGAAGAAAATGGATTTGCATACAAAAAGATGAACAAGAGGCGAAATGTGAAAAGGCAAATGCAAACCATCTATTAAAAATGCACTCGAAATACTCATCATTTTTTGCTTGATGCTTCAATTCCATTAACGCCAAGTTTGTCGTCCATGCGCGTAAGAATAGAATAATTGTTTAATTGGCCATCGTGCAAATGGATTAATGGAACTATTCAGATTTATGGTAACTATAATTTGGTTCAGTGCAGAAGTTGGGAATATTTTTTGCGAATGAATTATCGTTGGCACTAAATTTGTTTTTTTTACAGAGCAATGTTGTCGACGCCGAGTTACGCGCCATCAATTATTCAATTCTCAACGAAATTTTGGCTTTTTTTGTTATTTTTATGTGCCACCTTATTTTGTTTTTAGCTGTTGATAATTTATTTCTCCTATTTACTACCGAAATAATTTTCAAAAAACTCCAACAAGACAAAAACTTACGAGAAGGGGGGAAATAGTTGCAGGCGAAATAGTTGAATAGGTGTTTCGAGTTGAGTATTTCAAGTTTGCACCTGTTTAGTGTTTCCAAGCAACCAACTAAATTTAGACAAAAGATTTGATTTTCAGAATGTGGTGATGATATCTCTAAATAATTAATACATTTCTTAATAGCATCATTTTAAATATTATTAGAGCAATTATGATTTTTATTATGAGTCATGAGCTCGCGAAAATTTGTCAATATTATTTCTTCCAAAAAATAATCGAATTTTCGAAAAGTGGGAGGCGAACATGAGAACAAATGAAGCTTTCTTTTTTTTGTTCGGAAAAAATATTTTAAAATATAGTCGCAATAAAAATCAAAACCCATAGTTTGTGGCTGTCGAATGATGATGATGATGATGATGAGGAACCTCCCGAGATAATCCAATTTTTTTTAATATACATATATAGCGTTTTGTGTCGAGTTAGAGCCCGAAAATTTGGACTCAAGTGTGTCTCACACATTTTTATGCGTGTGACAAAAAAAATAAGTTAACTTTTCATTGCGTTTAAATTATTTTTAAATATTAAGGAAATTCGAGAATAATCATATATGACATTTGAACTGTTAGCCACGCCCCCGTTAAATGAAATTTATTAGGTCATAGCCAAAAAAATTCACATTTCTCAAGCGTTATGATTTAAAAAAATATTCAAAAAATAATAAAACCTCCTTTCAATATAAATGCTTCTTTAAAATGTATTTTTTTTTCTTTTTCAAAAACTGCCTATAATACAAAAGTTGCGAAGAATTTCAAACCGAATACATTTTCATGCAAGTGATTTCTGCAAGACGTTCCAACAAATTTAATACGATTTTTTCTGCCGATAAAATGAATTATCTTGAAAAAGGCATTAAACAACAAACATTTATTGGAGTTTATGTTGTTATAGTATTACCTCAACATGTATTAGACGCACAGTCAACGGTTTTCATAAAATATCCGCCATGCAAATGACTTCGCACTGGAATTATTTATGTCCTGAATTCGGTAGTTTCCGAAAACTGTTTCGGATTACCATTAATAAATTATTGGACTTGAAAATTTCGGAATATTCAAGAAAACTAGAGTAACACGTGCATTTCATTCTCTCCGAACGGGGCTGCAAAATCTCAAAATTTCTAAAAATCAATTTGGTTGAATTGCAACTTTTTTTTTTAATTTTTCCACAAAAAATAATAGGAGCAAGAAATTGATTGAAATTATAGACGACATCTTTGAAAGAAAAAAAAGTATTTTCTATGGAAACCCGGTGGTTATTAGTCTCATGAAATATTCAACGAGTTATTCGGACACACTCAAATTGTATATTCATTAAAGAAAAACATGAATAATACACGGAAAAAAAATTGGCAGGCGAAATCTCGGCCCGTTTATGAAGTTCTCAACTGAACTGGACGCAGTCGTCTGGAAATGTTTTGGCTGGGTTGAAAATTCCTCAGACGAACATACTCAATCGAACCAATGCGAGAGCGATATCGACGGCGTGAGACTTTTTACCATATGCCACCATCCACGTGGAATGAATAGTGCATCACCGGGACCAACAACGGTTTCAAATATTTCTTCAACTTTGCCAAATTTGGGAAACTTTTCAAAATCCGGGAATTCGCCGTCGATCTTCAAATTAAAAAAAAAAACATCTCAATTATGGTTTTTTGAGAATTCAATTTACCTGACTAGTATTGCTGAGAATCCCATCAATGGGATACATGTTTCTTCCCCATTTGGGTGCACAAAGACGAATCAACTTCTTTCCAAATATCTAGAACAAATAATGAAACATTGTCAAAAAAAATAACCGAGCTCCTTCGCGAAAAATTTTGTTGTATTTTTAAGGTTTTTGCGATACACTTTTTTTCAATAATTATTAACTTTTTTGAAAATTCACACCCAAACACACCCAAAAAAGACGCAAAAGGCTCGCTCATTTTTTTTTTCAAAACTATGTATTTTTTACCTGTACAAACATATTATGCCTAATATCGGTGTGAAACGGAGAAACCGTGTTAGCCGGACCAATCCACGTATTTCTTTCAACATTTTCGATATTGATATCGTTGTAAAAACAAATGTTTGGAATGATGATGTCGTCCAACAAAAATTCGATTTGTTTGAAAATGTTGTGTTGACCCAAATAAAGCGTCTCGTTCTGAAATAATTTTCAAAAAATTTCTAGTAGTCGAAATTTTTGATAAAATCACATTACGATTCACTAGAAAATCCTTGAAAGACATCATTTTTTGGGAAGAGCCTTCAGCCGAATAAGATGATCCGATCTCAACCGGGAAAGTCCTAGCATGCATTTTTTCGAAAAAATAAGTAAAACTGCAAAAGATATTTTTTCTTTTCTCAAAAACTGCATAGAACCATTACATACTTCCATTTTTGAACCGCTTCCATTTTATTATATATATTGCGGATGATCAAAGGTTTTTCGTGATGACAATATTTGATGATTGTCTCTTCGCATTCATTAGTAATTTCCTTCAGAGGTATTGTAGGATACACTTTTGCTATACTTAATTCACATTTCTGGAAATTTATTATTAATGTAATCAAAATATTGCTTTTTTGCTGCTTACTTCAAAATATTGCGGATTGATAATTCCAGAATCAGGTACGGGAAGTGAAGAATGCAAAGCATTTGTGAATTTTCTCAGTGGCAATATTGATTCATCGACAAGACCCATACACAAACCGTAATCGGCACATTTCAAAGCTCTCTGTATATGTAAGTTGAAAACTCTACATTAAATTGAATTTTAACCTGAATCTCTTTCCATTTCACAAAAAGGAAACACCGAACGCATTGAACAGCTCCATAGAGATATCTCCAGCAATCTTTCACATTTCGATAATGGCCAGTGTTCAATTCCTCGTCGGCAAGAAATAAAAGCTCATTTCCCAAACTCATTATGTCTTCCATTTCATTATTTTCAATATTTTCTGAAAACCAGTAATGTTTGAAATGTAATTCGAAAATTTCAAACCTCTACCATGGGCTTGTAATGCAATTATTACAAAATTTGAGAACCTGGAGCAAATTATATTTGGAAGATCTGTGGCGTCGAGCATCAGCGATAATGCATGAATATTCAGGGTTCGGTAGCATTGAAGTCTTTCATTCATTTCGCGCAATTGTTTCATGCATGATGGATGAAATATTTCGTAGTATTTACACGAAGATTGTTCCTCATGATTATTCACAAAATGTTTCAAACCGTCGCGAGTTGAATAATATATTGTTTTGTGCTCGATGTCGACATCAAGGAATGAATTTGAAACGACAATAAATCTAGAAAAATTATATGGAATAGTCATAAGGAACATGAGTAAACGTTATACCCTAGTTTTTGGTATAAACTCAATGCTGCTACCTGGGCATAAGCAATAATCGAGCATTCCTCGTTTAATCGTGAAGAGTGTCGGACGAGACGGCGCACGATTTCTCGACCTATATGCCGGCCACGGAAATTTTTCAAAACCGCGATTCTTTCCATTTTGTAAATGTCCTGAGCATAACTCCTTATTCTTCCACATCCGACGATTTTTTCATCTAATTATTTCATTCATTACTTTTCCGAACTCTTATTATCAGGGTCACAAAATAAGCAAACCAGAGTTGCAATTCAAATGAGATTCCATTTTTTCTATACGCGAAAATATCATTCAAAACACAGGTCGCAAAATTTTTAACCGTGACTGTTACAGAAAATGACAATACCTATAATACAAATGCAATATATCGAGTTCAATTCCTCGTTATCGTTCCACTCTTCGGATTCGGGTGTATTCTGTTCTTCAATGAATACAGTTCGGCGCACTTGTATTATTTTTTCAGGACAATCATAAAATTTACAAATTTCGTATTTGAAATTCATCTGAAAAACTGTTCTAAACGATTTTTTTAAACGTTTGCATTTTAAGGAAATCTTCGTCGCTAGTTCAGAAATATAAATTAAAGTCCAAATCACTTAATTATTTAAAAATAAAAGCCAAAGAGCGAAAAATTTTGAAAAATGTTGTCCGTAAATCTACAACGTAAAGTGCAATGGAGCGCACTTGACAATTTTTTCATTTAGGCAGCAGCGGTGTGTGCTCTCGGCAAAAAATCTCGAGAAAAATCGAGAAAATTAACCGGTACCGAGAGAATTTCTCTGAATGTCTTCGAGACTCCCGAGACTTGCGAGAATTTCTCGAGAAAAATTTTTAGCGTGAGCAGGAGATGACCGCATGGTTGCACCGCAAAGATTATAACCCGAGGAAAAGTGAAAAAATTGAAAATATTAATGCACTTACTTACTTACTTATATACACTTAGTCGGTTCGTCCTTCGCCTGTTGAGGCGCAAGCCACAGCTTTCCAAGCTTTTCGGTTCTTGGCTTGGGTTCAATTCCGTGGCCGCCACTCCGTTAGAGAGTAGTCCATCTTCCATTTGTTCATCTAGCAACGTGTCCAGTCCAGGTTATCTTCCTTTTCGTGATGTGACGTAAGGGGTCCCGCCCGAACTTTAGACATGATGCGGATGTCTTCTCGATGAATTCACTTATAAGTGCGCTCTATGGTGAAAATTAGAAAAATATTTGAAAAATCATAATTGCCGTCTGCACCAGAGATGCACGGGACTTGAATTTTTTGAAAACTAAAATTGTACTAGAAGATTTTAGCGTTTTTATTTTTTTCACGAAAAAATTTTTTTTGACGGAACGTGTAACAAAAAAGGGACGGAAAACGGAGTTCAGTTCGAGCCTACTTGAGAATTTCTTCCACATTTTGTCAGTTATCAAGAACTAGTCTCCACATAATCTTCTCTTCACCATTAAATAAAATTTAAATTCAAAAACGTAAATAAGAAGCGAATTTAAAAAATAAAAGAATGATTTCATTTGTGTTTCGTAATATCGACAATCTTAACACACAAAATAAATTAAAAATAAAACAAACACAATTAGAAATGATTTTTGGTGGGCCACAGAATAAGAACAGAAGAAACTTTTTTGACGGAAGAGGGTATACGGTAGTCGCAATAAAAACTGTTTGACGGAAAACATAACAGTAAAAAATGCCGGAAGACGGAATTCCGTGCAGGACAATAACGATAGCATTGGGATTCATTTCGAGTAATTGCAATTCTGAAGCACACACGGAAAGTAACATTCGGCAAAAGAAATTCTCGAAGCACGTACCGCGAATTCAACGAATTTCGAATTTCTCGTTTAAAATCTGATTTCCATAAATTGAATTTCTAGATTTATTTATTATTATTCGCGTTGAGATTGCTACATTGTAGCCGGGAATTCGCAATCTAAACTCCGCCCCCGCGTTTGTTTCATGAGGCAAATGCGCTCTAGTGCAATACAGCGTCGATCGGGAAAGCGCGTCGGGGAGCAGAGAGTGTGCTAACATGAGAGAATAAGAATAACACTTGGCGTCAATTGGGAATTCTTCTCGACAAACGCGCTCTATTGCAAATCTCGCACCGACGCCCAGCGGCACTATAAAAGGCCGGCTGAATGAGGAATTTGGTCATTCTCGCAGCTCTCCGAGTTGCGAGCAACCCGCCAGCGGGCTCCTCGTGTCCCGCATAACCTGCGGGCTCCACGTGCCCCCGCGCAACCTGCGGGCAGCCCGCATCTCCTGCGGGCTCGCTGTGGCCAAGGATCCACTAGGTAAGTCGCATTCATCGCCGTCGCTTTTCCTGATTTCCTCTTTTTGCAGATCCGATATGAGCCACAGTCGATTCTCCATCGACACCTTCGGATCAGAAGTGTTCAAGGTGTGAGGGATTCTCGCCTCGACCGGCTCCGTTAGTCAGGGCTCACCCTTCAATGGGCGTACTGCAGTGTTGGTTCGAGGTGACGTTAAACCTACACTGAGGCATCGAGGTGATGAAGGAAGAGATGGAGAGGCGACGAAAGGTCGACGCTGCCCGGGGCGTCGAGTAGAGCGAGGAAGCGGATTCAAATGGTAACGAAGAAGCAACAATCGATCGGAATAATTCGATTCATTGCAGGGTTTTCGATGAACGGATCGAGAGAAGACGACTGGAGGAAGCGACGAGGAATGACACCAGTGAGAAGTATTTGATCCGCGGATCACGGTAGTTTTAGGCCCGGGCCTTATTTTTATTTTTATTATTTATTAATTTTTTATTATCACTCACTTGCACCAGCCGTACCACTTACGGCTTCCCCCTCTTTCTCCCATCACTTGGGATTCCCCCTTCTCTCCGTACATTCGTACCACTTACGTCTGTACTTTCTCCTGGTCCTACCGTTTGGGACCATCCCTTCTTTTCTGGGGAAAGCCGGCTTCCCCATCCTCCTTCCTGCCGTACCACTTGCGGCTTCTCACTCTCTCTTCTTTCTGTACATTCGTACCACTTACGTCTGTACATCCTTCCGGTCCTACCGTTTGGGACCACCCACTTCTTCGTATTTTTCGGGGAAAGTCGTACCACTTACGGCCACGCCAGTCATTCCACTAATGACTGGCTTCCCCTTCTTTTTTTTTTCTTTTTTTTTAAATTTGTATCTTTAGGTATGTTTAGGTATCGACGTTGCCGCCGCCGCCGCCGATGGAAGGATCTTGCCGGTGAATCGACTCACCGGCACACATCCCACAATAAGTCTAAGTCTCTAAGTACCTCTAGTCTCCCTAACTTTTAAACCCGCCGTAGTCGGCAATCCCTAGGTCGTAGTCGGCCACCCGTAGTCGTAGTCGGCTACTCCCCAAAAGCGCCGAGGCTTCCCGTCCCTCACAATCGTAGTGCCGAAGCGCTGGCTGGATGGCGGCTTATCCGTCGAATCCTAAATTCGGGTGATTGGCCTGGCAAGCCCTTCAGCCCTGATTCCGTAGCCGGGAATCGAACCCTACCCAAACGCCCCCGTTTCAAGTACTCTCGAGTGCTTGGAAACTGCTACGGGGCGTTATGGATGGTTATGCTTTAGAAATTTGCTTCACCGGGTGTCCTCCATACTAGTCAGGATGGCATCTGGCCCAGACCTATATTGACGTGGATTGGCCAGCTATGTCAATATGTCCAGCCTTTCGGGTGCACATGGACCGTGCTTCTTGGCATAGTAGCTTGCTACTTTGTAGTGGCTTGCTACTACTTAGTAGTAAGCTTCTATGCTAGGAGCACAAAAACCACATTACCATATCACCAGTAGACCCGGGGCCCAGCCAGACGTGGCTTGCCCAACCACTTCTACTTCTATTATCCTCGGATGATAGTTGTGGGATGTCCTTGGGTGATCCCCATGGTGGGATCGGCGATGACCCACATCAGGTTTCGGCCTGATGCTGGTGAGCCTCTCCTTCAAGTGTCGAGCCTCTACGTGGCGAAGGAGATCAACTGACTCTGTCGTCCGTCGTGAGGTCGAGTCAGGCTAATCGGCACACTGTCTCAATATCCCCCCCCCCCCTCAACCGGGCGGCTTCTCAACGATCTTGGAAAGTCGCAGAGAAGTATTCAGAGAAACCCAAAAGCTCCGAATTCCAACGGCCCTCTTTAGGGTCAGCTATTCAAATTGTTCTATTAATATATGAAAAAATACTTTTTTTCAATTAGTCTTTTAAAGTGAATTTTAAGAGTCGTGATCGGACCATAGCGTCATCAGTATCGAGATCACTCTAACATAAACAGATTTTTTTGTCAAAATTTCCCAATTGCTCCCAATTTTTTGTTCGCGACTCTTAGAAATCACAAAATTTCCACGAAACAATTAAATAATTTCGAATAAAATAACAAAAACCTCTTTTTTTGCCAATAGGATATATTTAATGCCCAATCATAGTCCGATCTGAAAAAAACTTGTCCGCGACGCTCTTCTTCATTGCAAAACGAATTGCCCGCTCGCTCATCTACAATAATACTAATTAAACCAGAAAAATATTAAATCCAAGTAATATTGAAAAATTTCCAAGGTTTGCGACCTTTTCGCTCACGTCGGCGATCATGAAATTTTAAAATATTCAGGCGTAGATTTAAATGCATGTCTGCAAACATCATGCGACAGTGATTGCACAAATATCAAATTCACTGCAAACTTGCAGCTGCACCTGCTAATATTTCAAAAAACAATTTTCCTATTAATTTATTCGACGTTTTCAATCAGTTTTTTCATGTAGTCGAATAAATTCCGTTTATTGCGCAAAATGTGGCGTGCAACGATCTTTGTCGCGATGGGAAATCGCCTAAGTAATTTTTTTAACCATTCAATCATATCTCATTATGAGAATCTATATATATACTCTAACGAATAGGTATTCCGAGCTCTTCATTTCAAACAGGCTACGACAAATAAGTTATTACTATTTCAAAGGAAAGCGAGCATCTTGGGGTGCTTGCGATTTTTTTTATTGTGACCAAGCAAGAAATTTACCAAATATTCGACTCGCTTATTTGTTTTTCCAGTTTAACGGATGATACATCAATCGCAATTCTTTCAAGTACACTTCAACATGCTACTACAGGACTAAACCCGGCGTTCCAGTAGAAAATAGGCAGCAGTAATTAATTTTATGGATGGATTCGACCAAAAAACGCGTGAGGCTAGAAAATTAATCATTTTAAAAATTTCTCGCTTTATAAAACCCCTTATTCTTTTAAATATTTTGATTTTTTGCGTCTTCGAATCTTGCATTGGTCGTTTCCCAGAATATGATAAGAGAATTTGAGAATAGCCACAATTAAAATTCGGAATTATTTTTTGTTTTGCAGGCGATGATTGCCAGATCTATAATCATCTTCGATCATGTACAAAATTATCGGGAATCTCGTAAGTCAAGCGCTAGAAATTTATGAAAATCCTCTTTTTTCTACTAGAATTATTGAGGATCATCAGAAATATGCTATTCATCAGAAATATGCTAAATTTGCGGAAAATTCGATTTCCATAATATAAAAACGGCAATTTTTCGAATAACGGTGTGAATTGCTCGAAGATCATCGCGCTATTTCGAATTTCAGTATTTGAAGTCACTAGAAATCGACTATTGAGGCACGAAATGATGGATTCGCGGCTCGGAAAAATTCCCGAGAAAGTCTCGAGACTCTCGGTTACCGTACGCGCGACTACCCGTAAACTACCGAGACTACTACGAAAATTTCTCGGTGCTTCCGGGAGTCTCGAGAATTTTTGCTTCTAGGCAGTTTAGGAAATTCTCGGGAAATTATCTTCCGAGAGCACACACACAGGGAAGCAGAATTAATTCTTGAAAAGGCCAGAAGGATAAAAAAAGGTTTTATTTATATCACGGTATCAAAAGTGAAACCTTTAAAAAAAAGTTAAAAAAAAAATGGTTTAAACCCGCAAATCATGTTGTAAATATACATTAAACGAAAATTCAATTAAAATTATGTCTTCCTATACTTCGATTGAGAAGATAATGTTGCTTCTCTCGGATCCAGATCGTCTTCCCACATGCTTCCATAATGCATCCAACCAACCGAGGTGTTTGATCGATGAAGCGTATGCTGTTTTTTTAATCGACAAACAATTTCATCAACCGCCAATCCCGCAGTTTCCAACATCTGAATTGCGAAATTGGAATCATTTTTAGACTTTTTTTAGAATTTATTTAAAAAAAATATATATGTACATATATATACCTGGTTTTGAAGAATTACAGCAAGCGCTGCACAGCAAGTTGATAAAAATAAAAATAGAGCGGCTCCAAACGATGATCGGAGAATTGGAAACATTAAAACTTCCAAAACCGCAATGGTGATTGGCGGAACTTGCGTATACTTAAATAAAACATATTTAAAAATAAAATAACTTAATAAATCGAAACCTGCGAGACAGCTGCTCGGATATTATGGGGGCAGAGTTCGGAGATCATAATTGGCGCCATCACAAGCATTCCCATGTTCAATGCTGACTGGCCAAGCACACTTGCGAAGCAAGCAATAATCCATGGTAATGGAGACTGAATATATGGATATATTTTTTTATTTCATATCCGAAATTCTTATTCTCACAACAATATTCAAATCAACAAAAGCTTGGGCAATTGCGAATCCGATCCATTCGAGCGCGCACAGCCATGTTAGAATGACAAAAATCGGACGCCGTCCGTACTTTTCAATCATCACCGGCGACATTAATGAAATCGGAAGCGATGCTATTGATATCGCCATTAATGCAATCGTCGCCTTAGTAGGGAAATATTCACACCTAAATTGGGCTGTTTTCATGTGTACCTGCGACTGCTCGAGTCCAAACGATATCAGAATTTCAACCAAATATTGGCTTTTAATATTTAATCCAGAAAATACAGGAACGAGAGAGCATATGAAAACTAGGAAAAATGAGAATCTGAAAGGCAATACATGTTTTGAAGAAGAAAAAAAAATAGCTTTCGACACCTATGAGTTTCGTGCTGCAAAATGTTCAAAATTGAAGATTTTTCTAGTTCCGCCTGCTTACTTTCATGAATCATCTCACAAATCGCGTCGTCTAAATTGAAATTAGACGTTGTATTTGTGTCTTGTAGATTTAGGAGAGTTCGCGGCTGGGATTACGGGCGCCTCTTAAGATATGGTCTCGCAACATTTGAATACTTGTTTTGTCATTTTTCACAAATTTGGCATTTTCGAATTTCTAACATCAAAATTAAAAATGAACAAAATGGTCCCTTGAATGCAAAAATGACCATGGTGTCCGTGAAAGACGAAAACTACCGCTACCAATCAGCAAAATACCAGGAATGGGCTTGAGGAAATGCAATGTGATGCGATTCTCCCCGCGCGTTGCAAGACACAATTCTACAGTAGTCCCCATCATTCGTAGACTTTGAAAATGCAGCATATTCGCTTCTCACCAATTTCGCTGCAATTGTCTCCATAGTAAAATCTCAACGATTTTCTCGCTTCTTGCTCGTCACGATTCCTAATAAAAAGCTGCTTCGGGCTTTGCGGTAGAAAAATGATGAAAACCAAATGCGTTGCTGCTAGCAATGCGGTTACGCAAGGGATGAATATCCTTCAATCTGATTTCCTCCAAACGCAAATGTTAATTGCCAACCATAGATCATCGTTTCCAAAAATGAATGGCAGACAAAGTGGAGTAACTAGAAGGACCATTAAAACGCCGCCAGAATTGATTGCCAGCGACGTGAGCCCTCTTTTCGAGTCCGGACTGCATTCAGCCATCCAAATAATTAAAACGACTCGAAGGCCTGATATGAATCCCGAAATGAAATGGCCAATAATGAATAACTCGAATCGATTAATTAGTTGAGCCGTCAACATCAAAGCTGATCCAATGATTCCAAGAAAACTTCTGAAATATTTTTCATATTTAGAAGACCACCTTAAAATCTTTATTAACCTCAACAATATCGTTTGTTTCCTTCCAAGACCATCCATGAGCTTCCCCATAACTATGAACGAGAGCATCAGACCAATGAATAATGCAGCAGCACATATTGAAACTAGAGATTCAGCGCTGTAGAATTTAGAAATCAAAAATTGATTTTTTTTTGAAATTTGCGCTATCATTCGCAAAATTGAGGTTATCACACTTTATGATAAGAATTTTGAGCCACAAAAATTGGACACCGTGATTAGAATTGAAGATGATATATAAATTCTAACCTTTGTGCGTCTTCAACATCGTAATTTAATTGAAGACTTCTTAGGAAAAAATGTCTGATTGGTTCATTCATCAGGTTCAAACAGGCGGCCATAATTTCACCATATTGAGAGAAAATCGCATGGCCGAATGTAGCTATTAGCAATTTTCCACCCAATGGAAATTGCATGGAAAGCCTAGAAAACAATGTCAAATTGATATAGATATAATATTACGCAGATTTCGCAGAAAAGAACAGATTAAAAATCATCTAAAACTCGAATATTTCCCCCAAAAACTGCATAATTCAATAGACACCATCAACATACATAAGTGCTTCATCAAATTAGAGAAGGTGGACACAAGAAAACACTTCAAACATGGTTCTGTGAAACAAATTAAACAAGTATTATAAGTAGTATTGAAGATGACTTGAAATGGATATATGAATTTTTATAGTGGATGTTTTCTGCGGCAATGCAGTGAAAATAAAAAATACGAAAAATTTCTTTTTTTGCTTTGAAATTGTATCCATTTTTTATTTTCTCTGCGTTGATTTTTTAGCAAAAAAAAACACAGAAACGTGCTGAGTCGATGGTTCCATTAAATAATAATAATTTTTTGGTCTTATCAGCTTTCGTGTCATTGACAGAAATGCATCAAACGACGATTCCGTTGAATAGAAAAAACATATTTTTGGGGACCCTCTGGAACTATTATAATGTTATCATACTCAGCGATTCGATCGGGACGAACAGGGGACATTATTTGGTTTGGGATAATTTGCAGATCATTTTAGTACAAAAACAAAAGTCGTCCACAAGTTTACCCGAAATTCTAAATTGAGGGCGATGAGTAAATGGAGTGTCGTACTGATAGTAAATTTTTTTGGGACAAATCACGGAAGTTTTTGGGGAACCCCCGGGGAACCACCGATGTTTAAACCAAAACCAACCACGGTTCGTCCTTTTCGAATCGCTGAAGTTGTATCCCAATGTCGTCAACTGCGCGGTTGTTTTTTACTCGTCTCATTTTTCGGCCACTTTATTCCAACAAACCATTTTAAAATAATATGTATGTCACATGAAGCTCTCAAAAATCAGAAACCATATTTTTGAGGAGAAATTCATGTGAACGCACGCGAACCGCTACGCGTCCGGCGACATAGATGACCGATTGTTTTTCTCCAGAAAAAATACTATAATTTTTTTTATTACCTAAAATTTTGTTTATTAACCTCACGTGATATCACGTCATCACATAAACAACGTTCCATCATATGACGACACAAATCAATTCTATGAATCTAGTGACGAAATAATTTTAACTTTCTCTATCAGATTTTTTATCCAGACTCATCGAACTATTCATTGCGGTCATCGAAACGTCAGCCATCCAAGTGACCCAGTTGCTATTTGGGCATTCTCTCAAATTGATAATCTCAACTTTTTGAACGATCGTGAAATGAACTGGTTTCTCAAATCATCTTCAAATTTCGTACACATTGTCTTCATGACAATTCGAGTCCAATAATAAACGATTTGAAACAAAGAAAAACAATTTGAAATTTTTTTGCCAAATAAAATTTCAAAGAAAATCTGAAATTCAGTTTAACTTCGTCGGCGCGAAAATTTTACATTTTCACATGCCAACCTCCATATTCTCTAATTTTGAGAAAATTCGTCTAGTTCAAATTTTAATTCTCTCTTAAATTAATTTTTGACTAGATTTTTGAGACTAGCAATGTTGAATAGAGTCAATGGGTCCAGAATGTGAAGTGAAATCTTCATTAAATATCTTCTACATGATATTCGACGGGCATTCACTTGCTTGTTCCATTCTATGATTTGTTAATCTGATTTGTGTCTTCCATGCGGCTATTGGTCATCAGGGGGAGGGGGGGGTACATTAAAATACATGTTCGCCAAATTTAGCATTGTTCGCCAAAAATGGTAACACCGTTATGATCACTCACAGGTTTCATGGTTCGAAACCAAATTTGATCGTACTGTTTCGAAGCGCTCATTGTTTATGACGTCGACAAAACACACTTTCCTGTTATAACCAACTTACACATTTCTCTCGTATACACCTTGGACCATTAGGCAACTTCAATTTGTGTCGATTCGTTATTTTTGCAGTTTATTCTGGTTCCGTTTTGCTTCCAGCTTGTTCTAATCGTTATCCCAACTATCGTTCAGCGAATTGCCATACGATTTTCCAACGACTTTTGTCATCTCGTTTCAACGCACTACAAACTAAACTAATGATTTTCGGCATTCCAAGAAACACTGCTCGCTTTCCCTATTGTTATTTTCAATGTTTCAAATTAATACAGTATAAATAGGTACAAGTTTTATTTAGAAAATATTAAGTTATCCACTTTAAAATATTTCATTACATTCGCAACAAAACGAACACTCTGCGCTGATTTACGGAGAGTTAGCTTTTTTTGTTTTTTTTTTGTTTTTTTTTTTGTTATCCAGAGTACGGTGTCCGAATTCCCTCTGTTCAAATTCGAATTTGAATTACCGCCTCGAAAAAGTTCGATGGTCCACAGTTATGCTCGTTTTTTTTTGCGATGGTATTAATTATGTCGAAAAAATCGTAACACACCGCCATTCATTTTCAAAGACGCACCAAAAAAGTTGTCCGAGTCACGTCGCAATTTCTCTACAGTATTTCCATTTTCGATTTTTATTTCAGTGTAAATTTTCTTAAAAACGGCCAAACAAAAGTCTAAAAAATGGGCATTGTGACGTGATCCTTCAAAAAAAAAATGAAACACTAACAAAATAATAAATAGGAAAAATGTAACATGCGCCTTTAAAAAAATAAGTATCCGATATACTTGGCTTAAAAATCGCAAACTTTTACAATTTCCTATGTGCACAGGATGTAGGAATGAAGAACACATTATTGTTTTTTTTCTTTTTCATTTCATGATCCAGTCATGGTTGCCGTCAAGCACTTAAAGAACTAATTGGGCTAAACTCCTCCATTCATTCTTGTCATTTATATTCTGGAATTTTAAAGTTTAAATAAAACAATTGACATATAAATTCATTTCAAAATAAAATTGTTGTTTTACTTTTCAAGTACAAAATACTTGACTACAAACTATACGTGTCTTTAGTTAAACTCCCAGAGATAGATCAGAAATTACACTTGATCGCAAACTGATTGTTTGATAATGAATCTGTGGCGGCCATGTGTGGGGGGTTGTTGGTTTTACAGCAGACTCTAGTTTAAAATGTAGCCCCCTCATCGGTAAATTTTTGGTATAAATATTCCAATGATTGGGTTCTCTTCGTTTGCAAAAGGGTTCTCATCTATTGTCATGATTCCGATAGTATATATGATGGTAGATCTATAGTTTGTAGCGCATGTAGCCGCGATCAGTCACGAAGAATCGCGTGGTCTTAAGAAAGTGTGAAAAATTGGTGCCGATGGATCATCATTCACTTCTGATGACGTATATCTTTTAACAGTATTCCTCATCTGTAAATTGTGTTCATTCTCATTCTCAAGAATTGAATTTAGTCCAATTAATCAATTGTATAGTCTGATCCTCGCTATATAAGTTGTTTCCGGTTGTTTCACAATGTTCAGATAGTAAAAAATTCCAAAAATTTACAAAGAATAAAAAAATCACTGACCGATTCTGGTAAAAACGTTTTTTTTTTTCGTGGCAGGAACTGGCCATATTACATTTTCTTTTACTTTTTTCCCATTTTTCTTTAAAATTGTGATTTCTTAGTTCTAACCCGTCATGCCGTTTGGTGAGGTACACTAGCGGGTCCCAGTCTCTTCGATTTGCAATTTTTATTATTTTTTCGTTTTTTCGGTGAATAAATAAATAATATGATTTAAACAAAGAAACCGTTTTAACATCTCAACGTATTTTCTAGAACATTCATATATCATTCAAAGGCTACAGTATTAAAGGCTACATTTTTCGTCATTTAATATTGTCAGCGTCGGGGCGGGGGAAGCGACTAAATTCCGAAAATTTACGACAAACGGTCTTGACGTAAAATTAAATGTGTAGATTTACGGGCAACATAATATATTAAAGTAAGACCCCCGTAGACCTCTCTTCAATTTTTTGGCGTCTAGCCAATTTCGCAGGACCCCCGACACTTCTTACTATAACGAATAGATCTGATCTTGGCTATATTGTAGTAGGCAAATCCTATCCGAATAAATGACCATAATCGTTACTATATTATCTTCCTGCTGAATAATATTTCATTTCTCAATTAGTCTTTTATGCATACCCATATCCTGCGTCATTTCGATGAATTCCTCCGAAAACCCTTTAAGAGTTTATTGGCGAAGGGAGGTAGCTGTCGGAAGTTCGAAAAATTTAGGCCAAATTCCAAATTCAGTTTCAATTCTTTATTTTTTTATGCGCCTTTAATGTAGACCGCAATTTCGTGTGTTTGATTCGCAACCAATAATTGTGAGACATCGTTGAAATTTGTAGACCCCGCCCATCGGAAGTTGTCGGCCTTTGACAATATGTTTCTTTAAAACGCTAAAAGCAAATTTTGACTCACAATAAAATCTGTATCTCTGCCAGCTACCCGGTTTTTACAAAATACTTGCAATTCGTTATGAGTCTAAAAATCACTTTGATCTCAACCTGACCTGATCAGATTTCTCACTAGACGTTTAATTGTTCAGTTTTCTCAAATTTCGTTATAAAAAACTCGTTTTCCTTTTGAATTGATGAATCCAGTAGGATTAACAACTATGCACTTTTTATCAAAAAAAAAAATCACTATAAAATCTCATTTGAAAAAAAGTATTTGATTGCAGATTATTCCACAATGCGGTTGTGCACCGCAAAATACGAACACTATATGGAGGTATGATGTTTCAATTTTTCTCAATTAAATGTCAAAATTTGTTAAATTTTCAGAAATTCTTCTTCAATCTCGGATTGTCCATAGGGAAGAACCCAAAAAAGTATATCGGCGTGTTATGCATTATTACAGCAATCTCGTGTTTCGGTTTTTACGATTTCACCAGGTACGCATTCTTTGGTTTGGCCTTTTTATTGACCTAGAAGACAACAAACCGTTTTTATGATCAAGCCGTCGACTGGCCAAAATGTGTGAAGTTGACATGTCATTTTACAGATAAATAATGCGCGTATAACATTCACCGCCCATGATTCTCCAAGTCATACGGAAAGCAAAATGTTCTTCGATTTTTTACAGCAAAATGGAACGTTGCACATGATTGAGGCATTGAAATCCATTAATAATCCGATTGACCCATGATTTTAGGTACTGATTCGGGCGAAAGACGGACAAAGTCTTCTTAGATTGGAGCACCTTAAGCAATTGAGTGCGCTAACCCGCGAAATTGTAACCAATCTTACAGTGAAGGTAGGTACGATAATGACAACCTAGGAATGAGAAAATTCTCTTCAGGACACCAATGGGACGAATCTCACCTATTCGGACATGTGCGAGCCGTATTGCGAAAAGAACAGCGCGTTCTACACGATTCTCAATATATTCGAAACGACTGATTCGAATTCCTCATCGATTGAGATCACATATCCGACAACGGAAATTCTCGGACGTCAAATACTTGTGGCGAACAATCTTTTCAATATCACCACCGAGGGGCCTTCCAACAAAATTGTCGCGTTCAATTCGGTGGTTCTTCGCTATTATTTGACGCATTCCACCGAAAAACCGATGATAGCATTCGAAGATAAGGTATATAAAATGAAACAAACCTTTTTTTTAATATTCAATTATTTTTTATACAAATTATAATCCATATAGAGGTTTAAAAAAAATCGAAATATCAAAATTCGACGAATCTCATTTTAAAACAAAAATTCAAAAAAAAAGTACAAACTTTGACAATATTACAGCTTGTAAATCTTCATTATGACTCCAACAAGTATCCGCTTCTAGAAGGCCAAGCGGGCTCCGATAATCTTGTAGCCAAAGAAGTCCGCCGCCTCGGTGCAACCACAGCTCCCTATTTGGGAATCTCGCTAGTCCTTTTGTGCATTTTCCTATCGCTTTGCTCTTTAAAGTAAACGCTAACCCGTGTTTTGAGACAAACAAAATTTTGTTTCTCTCAGGTATCGCCGACGCGATTCCAAGCCCATCGAAGCGTGCTTGGGAGCTTTGATTCCAGTGCTCTCCGGAATCACCACCATCGGAATGGTTTCAGCTACCGGACTCGCGTTTCAGAGTATCATAGTGAGCACTTTGTTCTTAGTGTTAGCTATTGGTGCGGTTTCAAAATGGTTAAATTTCTCGAAATCGCCTTTTTTTAGGAATTGATGATGTGTTTGTCATACTTGCTGCGTGGCACCGAACTGACAAATCGTTGGATATCCCAGAAAGAATTGCTTATACAGTAAAAGTAAAATATTTCTTTTAAATTGTGAAAATGCATTAATCGCATTTTTTAAGGAGGCTGGGTGTTCGATGACTGTGACAACTATCACAAATCTGGTCTCATTCGGAAATGGTGTTTTGTCAACAACACCGGTGTTGCAAGTAACATTTTTCTGTAATAATCTAACTCGTCATGCAATGAAAAAAAAGCATTGAGTTTCCCATGCTGTCATGTTGAAAAATGCAAAATATTGACGCGATATTCTGACATTGATTTTTAAAGGCGCAAGCAAATGTTTCGCGGGTCACGTCTATTTCTATATCTGTTTTTACCAGAAAATTATGTTGAATTGGTTTTAGTGAAAATTTAAAAATTTCAAAACGCGAAAATTCAAAAACTACCATTTTTAAAGAGTGCGCGCCTTTAAAATAAATGACTATATTCAATTTTTTGCATTTTTGGACACATGGAGAAGTAAATAAATTTTTTTCTTTTTTTCATTGCACAAATAATTCCACAAAAAATGCATAAATTATTTACAGACCTTCGCCATTTATTCATCAGTCGCCAGTGTTGTTTGCTACATTTATCAACTTATAATATTTCCGGCAATCATTGCGATCACGGCACCCCGAGAATATCAAATCGAAGATGAAAAAAAGTAAAAAAAAATTAACATAGTTTTTAAGAATTTTTTTTAAGGTCCTGTCTCCCCGAAGAATTCTATATCGTTGGCAAAATGTCGGCTGTCGCTGATGTCATCTGGAAGAAATTGGCAGTAATTGTTGGATCTTCTTGGATGAGAATTCTCACGATTTCGGTAAGCCAATTAATCATTCCCACTCAAAAAATACTAAATTTAGATTCTTATTGGATATTGGTATCTAGCTGCATTCGGCGTGTACACAATGGAAACCGATCTGTCGATTCAGAAAATGGCATATAAAGATGCAAGAATTGTCAAATTCAAGGATGACATGGATGTCACGTTAAAGGCAATTTGTGTTCAAACCGTTCTTCTTTATTTAATTAATTTTCAGGAAATGCAATCAGTGGCGGTTCTCGTTCACAATCCTCAAGATCTTCGCGATCCTTCAACATTGGGACGTCTAAAAAATCTGATCTATGATTTTGAAACCGCCACCTACAGGTATATTAAATGTATTATTATTTAATTATATTTATTCTAATTAAGCTTCGGAGAGTCTTCGACGATTTGTTGGCTTCAGCCGTATCTCGATTTCCTTAACTTCTACACGGATTCCGAAGAAGAGGATGCCGTCTCAACGGTATCATTAATCATTGATGAAGAAAAAAAATAATTGGTTGGGTGTTCTTGCAGCATTTCAACTTCACTTATAAGGATATCCCGTCGTTTTTAAGCTCTCAAACATACTTTAAGCCAATGCTTCGAATAAATGAAGAAAAATGTTCTGCAAATGTTCCAGAATGTGTCGAATCATTCATTTTTACCACCGGTTTTACTACAGTTGTCAAGTGAGAATCTTACTAGTCTATTCTTTTCTTATTTAATATCTATATTTCGGGTATAACGAAATGTATCCACTGGTTCTGGAGTGGCGAAAAATAGCCGCCCGTTATCCGGAGTTTGAAGTGTTCTCATATACTGAACGAAACAATTTTGCCGACCAGGTTTGCTCATAAAATAAAACCAAATTATATTTAAATAATTTCAATCGTTTAGACAAACGATATGGTTGAAAATATTTGGCAAACTGTGCTTTCTGAAGTTATCTGCATGGGCATCTCGTTTATTGTATTCGTCCCTGACATGGTCTCCATTTTCGCTGCCGTCTTCTCCTTGCTATCGGTCAATATGGGGGTAACTTGCTCACATTTGTCATGATTCTTTACATCCAATTATTATAACAGGTGTTTGGATTTCTCTCTTTATGGGGCGTCGGAATGGATCCCGTCTCGACTGCGTCTCTTCTAATGTCCATCGGATTTTCTGTAGATATTGGTGCCCATATCAGCTATCACTATTATCAGTCAGAAAAGGCGGTAATCAAAAGCATCCGAACACAAAATTCAACAATTTCCATTTTTGCAGACCCCATACGAGAAATTGGAGCAGGTCTTTTTGCATATCGGCTGGCCGACAATGCAAGGCGGCTTGTCGACAATGATTGCAATGCTGCCAATCCTCCTATGCCCTTCATATTTGGGAATGGTGTTCCTCAAGACCGTCATTCTTGTTTCAACTTTCGGCCTATTGCACGGACTTGTCGTTCTTCCAGTATTCCTCTCATTGTTCTCCGATGTCGCTTCAAAATGTCGAAGGTTTTCGTTTGAAATTGTTAGACAATTGCGATATAGCTGAAAATTTAGGGATAAAATCAAAGATACCTCAAGAACGGTGTCGACAGAAAGCGTCAAAATTTCGCCGTCGCCATCAATTAATGGAATTCTGCCACACAAAATCTCCATCGGATATTCGACATAGTTAATCTATTTATTTTCCTCTAGACTTTACATTCATCATCTTTCTCGCCAAGTTCTAACGGGTTACTAACCACAATTATATGTATGTATTTTTTTCACCTCTTCTTCTTTCAAACAGGTTTTAGATAATATTTATTTTCAAATTATATTCTATGCCATAAATTAATTAACGTAAAGCAATGCATTGAATTGAATTGGACATATTAAAAAGAAAGAGATCGCATATCGATCGTTCAATATTGTTCAAAATATATACGCTTTTTTCGGAAAAACCAACGGCTACCAGAATGCGGTTGTCACGAGACCCGCATCTTCAATTACCGTATCTCAAAAAATCGTCGAGTAAAATGAGGTGGGTCTTGTGACGACTGATTCTGAAAGCCATTTTTTGTCTAAGACATCAGGGGTGTGTAATCTCCAAATGAGCGCTTTTCAAACATAATCTCGTTTCCATACATGGGTCGAATAATAAGTTCTGCAGCTACTCGCATTTGATCAGTTCGCAATTTGGATTTGACTTTTAAATTCTTCAGCAGCATCGCTATAATGCATTTTTCTTCCATCATTGCAAATCGCATTCCTTAACATTTCCATTCTAATCATCTTTTTTCACACATTGACATTCAAACCTATGCAATTTCGACTACCAGCAGAGAATGGAATGTAGGCGTAAGGATGCTTCAAATCTCCAGACACAAATCTTTCCGGATTGAACACTTCTGGATCTTCCCAAAATCTCGGGTCCTTGTGGATCATTGATGGAACAACAACAACAGCTGTTCCGCTCGGCAGTGTTTTACCTTCTAAAACAAAAATTCTTGCGATCAGATAACTGTATATCAAAATAAAATACTTATTGAGATGTCTTCAACACATTGTCGAGCAATCAATGGGACTGACGGATAGAGCCTCAACGTCTCTTTAAAGCAAGCTTCCAAATATTTAAGTTTTCCAATATCTTCATAGGAAATCGGACGATCAGCTTCACCGAGAACCTGATCGATTTCCATTTGAACTTTTGATTGAATATCGGGATTTGCTCCCATCAAATGGAGAAACCAATTCATTGCCGCCGACGTCGTATCATGACCTAAATATATTGCGAATTTTTACTTGAAAATTGTAATTCTCAACAACACCTTCAAATGTGAATGTGTCAACTTCTTCACATATTCCTTCCATTGGTAATTCGCCTTTCGCGTGCATATCCAACATCAAATCGAGGAACGCCATTCGTCGTCGTCCTAAAAAAAAGACGATCATTATCAACCAAGACAGGGTTGTCAAAAAAATATTGTTTGAATTTCCGCCAAGGCCAATTTCATTCACACATGTTCACAATTTCTATCAAACCTTCTGCGGTCTCCTGGGCCAATAGTTCTTCAACACCTCCAGCCGCGTCAACTTTTGCTTTTCGCGCATATATTGCCTACAAGTTTGATTTGATACTTTTTTTTAATTGCTATTAAAATGAACCAACCTTTTTTGTAAAATCGTGAAGCACTCTCACACATTCATCATGCTCTTTTCCGGGTCCGAAATAATGGAATATTGTGTCCGAAAAGAAATGAGGACTCAGCATTCTTTGAAACACCAAATCTTTCATTTTGAACACGGCATCCAAATATGGTGAATGTATGTCTTTCTGGGCATTGATCGACGTGCCAAGAGCTGCTTCGCATATAACGTCTAATGTGCATAAGGTGATGGTATGAAATATGTTATGATATTCCTTCGTCTCGGCAAGAGCTTCAAACTTCGAAAGCAGCGTTTTTCCGTGTCGATTATACACCTAAAAATGAATATTTTTGAAATGAACTACAAGGTGTCTGCAGAGATACATGCCCGTGTCTACGTACTCTACACTTTAGCGTACGCGCGGATATTATTTCCTAGATCTGCACTGATTTTGCGAAATTGAATTTCCCGCCACCGGTTGTTTGACGTCGACAATATTAATTTTTTGAATTGCGCGCGCATCGATTTAATCGGTCACGTGTAACAAAAAGAGTTTTTTGAATTTGACATTTTTTATATCCAAGTAACTAAAATTCTGAAAAAATTTATGCTCTTTCACAATATTATAATTTGAAATGCAAAACTGGATTTTTAAAAAAATATTTTCAAGACACAAAACGGTTATTCAAATTCAGACCCACCTCCCCCAAAAAGTAAACAAACCTCAACAAAATCCTTTAAAATGTCATAATGAAATGTGGGGGTCAGCAATTTTCGTCTTGGTCGCCACTTATCTGGCTTTCTAAATATAAAAATTGACAACTGATGAGACCAATTCGCATACGCTGTAAGGAGTCCTTCTCCAATCCACGCTCCTAAGAATCCGTACAAAAACGGTTTGTTCAACATTTTCGAGCTTCCCAACACAGCTTCAACCTCCTCTGGTCCATAGATCAGTACGAATGGAAGACCGCCGAGCCAAATTCGAGTTATTCGCTCGTCGCCGTTTCGAAGCATATAGGAGATGCCTTGCGCTTGCTCGAAAAACTCTAAACGCACTCAGATGATATCAACAAGTCAAACTAGTTTGTTTTGTGAAATTGCCAACATTCATGTTTACTTTCAAATTCCGACTAGAACTGGTCTCAAAATACGATGACTACGATATAGTCGAGAATTACATACCTTCAGATGAGAAATGAAATTGGTGGAAGTTACCAACAAGCGGAAGCGCTGCTGGTCCTTGGAACACTGTCAATTTGTTGTAAATGAATTTGGCTTTTCGAAAAACGAAATGAAACACCCAAGTGATGGTGAGAACAATGAGCGTCGCTGATATCAGCCCCATAATGGCTGCAAAAAAAAATAAAAGAGAATTGAGATTTCTGACAAGAAATTGAATTACAAACAACGAGGCCTTGAAGTAATAGCATTGACACATTTAGTAAGCAATTAGAACTAACCATGCGCAAACAAACAGTATTCAATGTTCGAGATGGGAACAGGAAAATACGAGGAAAATTGGATTGGATAAGGCTATAACATATCTGATAAGAAGAATTATTGGAAATGAGGAGAAGAAGTGAGGAAAATAGGGGGGGATGACATCTATCTCTTGGAGAAATCTTGTAAGATTGTAGCCTCTGGATATGGGATGAATTCGATTCAATGAAATCATGGAAACGGTAAAATAATAACAATTACGACATATTCCTCTTTTTTTTGTTTAAAATTAAGACATATACTGATTTAAGTATTGTTGGAGAAGTGAGAAAAATAGGGGAGGTCTATCTCTTTGAAAACTATGATTGAATCATCGAAAATTCTTTTTTTCTATAACAATTATACAATTTCGGTTCAAGTACATCTTGATCCAACTAAGTAATGCAAAACGGATCAGGCATCGCACCATATAAAGTACAAGATGAGGAAATTGGGGAATGTATCAAGGGCGAGGAGGTCAAGAACACACAAAGATACGACCCACTAGGCGATTCTTATTTCACGCTATCCTGATTGCAATTTTCGTCGAGGCAGCACTGGGCGGCGAACAATCAACGCTTTCTAGAAATGTTTGCCAATTTTCAATGGTATCACGAAAACATGAGATGTTGATTCTAAGATCACACACACCTTTAACAGAAAGCGCCTGACGCCTCGGCAAAAAGAACTCTTCCAAAAGCTAATGATGATAATAAATAATTTTTAAGTTTCATTCAACTTGGTTGAACAAACAATTTCAGATGGAAACGTGCGCAGGTATTCAATTCGTGTGAAGACCAATTGGATCGTTTAGATGGTTATCGAGCCTCGTTCTTATCTCTTGGAGAAATCATGTAAGATTGTAGCCTCTGGATATGGGATGAATTCGATTCAATGAAATCATGGAAACGGTAAAATAATAACAATTACGACATATTCCTCTTTTTTTTGTTTAAAATTAAGACATATACTGATTTAAGTATTGTTGGAGAAGTGAGAAAAATAGGGGAGGTCTATCTCTTTGAAAACTATGATTGAATCATCGAAAATTCTTTTTTTCTATAACAATTATACAATTTCGGTTCAAGTACATCTTGATCCAACTAAGTAATGCAAAACGGATCAGGCATCGCACCATATAAAGTACAAGATGAGGAAATTGGGGAATGTATCAAGGGCGAGGAGGTCAAGAACACACAAAGATACGACACACTAGGCGATTCTTATTTCACGCTATCCTGATTGCAATTTTCGTCGAGGCGGCACTGGGCGGCGAACAATCAACGCTTTCTAGAAATGTTTGCCAATTTTCAATGGTATCACGAAAACATGAGATGTTGATTCTAAGATCACACACACCTTTAACAGAAAGCGCCTGACGCCTCGGCAAAAAGAACTCTTCCAAAAGCTAATGATGATAATAAATAATTTTTAAGTTTCATTCAACTTGGTTGAACAAACAATTTCAGATGGAAACGTGCGCAGGTATTCAATTCGTGTGAAGACCAATTGGATCGTTTAGATGGTTATCGAGCCTCGTTCTTATCGCCGTCCTCGTTAGATTCCCAAAATGGATAACCAACGTGTACAAACTGGGCTTGTGTGCCACACCCGCTTCCAAATTTTAGGTCAGAGAAAGTTCTACGATCAAGAAGGCCTAGCAAGAACGCGAAACTCAAAGTTTTTACCTGAAATTTTTTTTCAACTGTCATTTAACGGAAATAACACATTTTATTATTGGTGACGCAGCATTTCACAAAATTCATCAACCGATCAAAATATCGAATGGCATACGGATTTGAAGAAGAGCGAGAGCTTAGCTATTCGAAAGCAACAAAATTATCAACGAGGAATTTAGTATTAAAGTGGCGTAGAATCGGCAAAATAAATCGTTTCAATGGGGGTTGTTTTTTTCTTTGAATTATTTGCCCCATGTCCATCCCAAATCGTGCCATTCTGGATTCTTCTTGACGGCGTGAACGGTTCGAAGAAAGCGTCGAGGAATCTTTAAAACAATGCTAATAATTTATTGCTTTTCTTGTTTTCGTATAAACCTCGCTTGGGACATTTCGTTTGCCCCACGCCCATCCCAATGAGTTCCATTCTGGGTCGTTTCGCTTCTCGGGAATGTCTCTCACTGAAATTTTTGGTTTTTTTCTTCTTTCTCACATTCAGACATACCATTTGTGTATGGGAAGGTTGCAACGAAATGCAAAAGAAGAACGAATGTGATTAATTTCAAAGCACACACCATTTACCTAAAAATATATATTTATACTTCATCGAAGTTTCTCTTAAATATTTATGAGCATAATTGAAGAAAGGCTTCAACAAATAGAAAAAACGTAAATACAGCTCATCTGAAATTCCCATTTCGATGAATTGTAGAAAACCGCAAGCTCCGCCCACAAAATTACGTCAGTGACCTTAATGAATGAAAAAAATAATGAAGGAGATTGATGAAGAAAACAAACTTATTAAAACCTACGCAAAAACTAGGATCCAATTAAAATCTGAATTAAAACGGAAGTTGCATATCGGGGAGAAGCTCATCATTTGAAAATAATTACTGAAAACAGATTCTGCCGCAGAAAATGCGGGGGTTTGACATGAATATTGAAAAATTTGCCATAATTTCTAAAAATAAATATATAGTCGGCCGCCGGTAGATTTACGAGCATGCGCATTTCGCTATAATTTCTTTTTTGGGGTAGCAATAACTTTCAATTTCAACAATGTTAGAAATGCAAGGAAATATCAAACTTAAGAAAGTGCAGCAATTGTTAACAAATATTAAATGTGATCATTCGTAGCGAGACCCGAGTACAGTAGTCGTTCGTTCGACACTCTCGACTTGAATATTTGATAGAAGACAAATAATTGACAATTTGTCAAATTCAAATTTAAGGACACGCCATTTTATATTTACGGGAAGATACATGATTCATGATTATTTTTTATTCTTTAAATTACTTTTCAAACGAAAAATGAATGAAATGGGATGAAACTCTATTATCGTAGGGCAAAAAAATACGCAGGTTCGATTTTTGGGATGAAAAGTGATAATTCCAATTATATTATGCAAATGAAGAAAATTCTAATGAGGCGTGTTCAACTTAAGGTTTATTATAATTCCAAGACTGCAAAAAAACTAAAGGAAATAAAGCAAATGGATATTATAAGAGTGGAGAAATCTCATATAAATTATGAAAACCAACAATTATCAAAACAACAACCGAATAACAGGAAGCAACAATAGAATTCTGAACGCGCAAAAAAAATAAAAAAATAAAACCCTCAATATTTAAAAGCTAATGGACGGACTTTGGTGAACAAGTCTACAGTTTCATCAGTGACAGCTTTACGACGCTCTTGCATTTCAGAAATAATTTTAGTGACCTCAGCAGTTGCGAGAGCTTTAAGTTCACCAGACAGAAGTTCGCCCTTCGTGTATTTCTGGAGAAAAAAATTGTTTGAATTTTAAATGCGAATGTATAAATGAAATTTATACCTCACGAATTTCGGCAAGCTTTTCATCGTCGTCTAGGAAAAATTTCAAAAATTGATAGCTAATGTCAACATCGCAGTTGCCTCCTTTTGCGCGGTGTTCCTCAACAGTTTGCTGACCACCAGAAAACGCATACTTGTTGATCTAAACAAGAAAAACAAAACAACGTTTTATTATTGCAAAAATTTCTCGCAAAACCTTATTTTTGATTTGTTTTGGTGTGTCACTTAAATAAATGCACGTGTTGGGCTCAGAAGCATTCATTTTAGTTTGCGCTCCTAAAAAACAGTTTTTTAACACGTCATAATATTTTCCTACCTTGAAGAGCGGGAAGGAATGAAGAGAAAATTAAAGACGGTTTGGCAGCTTTTAATCGCGGTGCAACATCTCGAGTCATTCGGAAGTACGGATCCTGAACAATCTTTCTTTTTGATTTACAAACGTTCATTTATATTACCTGGTCGATTGCACACGGAATCAAACACGGAATATCGTTCCTTTTTCCAAAAATGTGGGGAAACGATGAAGCGAAACAGGGGGCAGCTTCGACGGCCGGGAACGCAGATTTTCCCATGCAGTCTTCCGGAGTGAAACCGAAAATCGACCGCGCTTGATTCGCGTTAACCACTTTCCAAACTTTCACAATATTTTCGTAGAAAGCGGGACTGTTGGAAAAAAATCACAAAAATTATTTCAAAACCAATTATCTATTAAATGCTACCACATATAATCGAAATCGTTGAATATGAACGTCTTCTCAGGATCAAATCCGACAGCAATGATATCTTTCATATTTTCGCGTGCCATTTTCTTCGCCTCCTCGACTTTCATATCTTTCCACAAGAATTTCTCATCATCGGTCATTTGAATGACTAGTGGAACATCAAACGCTTCTTGAATCCATTTGGTAAAGATGAATGGAACCAAATGGCCAAGATGAAGGCTTCCACTAGACGCGCCGCGACCAGTGTAAAGAAAGAACGGTTTGCCTTGCTCTTTTCGATCAAGAATTGCGGTGAAATCACTAAAATATTGTTCGAATCAACTGAATATATCTAAAAAAATGTTTATAAAAATACCGATGAGCGAAAAACATTCCACGTCGAAGCATTGGGCAAGCTTTTTTGCCGGTCACCTTCTCAAAACGAGCAATTAAATCTTGATCGAGTTTTCGGCAGCCAAATTTAACTGCAATTAACAATTTTCTTCAATAACCAAGAATATGCCTTACCAATGAGCTTTTCGTAATCAATTCCAGTCGCACTGCTGGACGACACATTCCATGGAGTCACGACATCCCCATCTTCCTCTTGCGCATTATTTCCGTTCACGGAAACCTGAGAAACCAATTTAAAAATATTCAAGTTATCATAAAAGAGACAAAAAACCTCCTCAACAGCCAATTCGCTAATTTTTTGTTCGACCGAAGACATATTGTTGAACCCTGAACAAAATTAACATTCCACTCGGAAATTAAAAAAAAAAACCAAATATGAGTACCGGTAAAAACGATATTAAAACGAATTCTGGAGAACATAATGGAGATCATCAATTTTATCATTTTATAAAGAAATGCGGCAAAACCAACAACATAAGATAAAAATAAATTAATTAATAGCTTATCGTACAAAAAAACCAATCAAAATTAACTCGAAGGCTGTTCTTGACGCTCATGATCCATATCTTCAAAAACAATATCCGCCTCAGCTTTGTCTTCCGCATCGATTTTCTTCTTTCTTTCTTGTGTTAGCCTTTCAAGCTTCTGCTCTTCAGTCTCCTCTTGCATTTCTTCATCAATCACGGGTTGAAGTTGCTAAAAATTTGAAAATTATTTCATTCCCCAATCCAGAAAACAATCACTCTTTGAGATTCCATGTACTGCGCCATTGCGAGCTCATAATTGGCCTTCATTACGTCAACGTTACTCATATAGAACGCGTGAACAAATTGAGTCATGTGCAATGTGTCTTCAATTTGAATGGGATCTCCATCTTGCGATCGTTCAGTAACCTACAAATATATCAATTTTCAAAAAACATATTATCAAGACAAATTCGAAGAAAACCTTTCTCTCAGTCGGATACGGTTCGTGTGGCAAAATGACGAGTTTTGGCGGATATTTGGCAAACTGAAAAATTATTGCACAATGATAAATATCAAATGAAATATTCGATACCACACGCATCGCTGGCGTCAATTCGAAGCAATTCATGAACAACTCCGCTCGTCCGAGTACATAAAGTCCAAGACGCGCGCGAGAGAGCGCCACAATAAGACGACGAATATCCCTGAACAAAAAATGAATCAATAAAATCGTAAACAACAAAAATACCGAATATGTCCAATATTTTTCGTTTTTACCAATGAAAGTATGATATAGTCGTTTTGTTGTCCTTGATATTTATCCACAGTTGAAATCTATAGAAAATACATTTATTTTTAAATTTGCACTATTCGAAAAAGAAACCTTCGCAGGTGGGCCAATAAGCGGATTACTAGTGCATCTTCGTTGAACAACATCGCGAATCAACTGAGCTTGTCCATTATAGGTCGTAATAATCGAAATTTTGTCGGCAGGATATCCAAGAATTCGCATATACGTGTACAATGCGACAGCGTATTCGGCTTCCCCAAGATTCTTGAAACATCGGTATTTAAAATACGCGTATTATTGAAAACGTTACTTGATAAAAATATGGACTCGGTTGAGTTTCGCCGCAACCGTTGAAATCAGGAACATCAATAAGTTGAAATGGAAATGCGAAACCAGCATTTGCGCGCTAAATTGAAAAAGAACCATTTCGGATTAATTGAAATGAATTTCGAAGGCGTTGAGACTAACAACCTTGACAGCAATTAGAAAATTGCCCCAATTTGAAACCTCACTTCTCTGCCCTTATCAAAAAGTGATACGAAAACATGTGTTAGTCACATTTCAATTTAAAAAAATCAAAAAGTTAGCTAATATTTTCTATCAATTTTAAAGGTTTTTGTTTTAATACGATAAAATTGTTTGTAAAGTGAAAACTAAGAAAAAACATCAAATTTCGAAACTGCAAACAAAACAGCGCTCGATTGAGACGCAGACATGCGAACAACACCGCAAAAAAAATCTCGTCGTAAATTTGTATCACTCATTTAAATATCAAATACCAACCTGAAAATTGGGCAACTCCTCAACATGTGGCAGATTTCCAAGATTCTTATATCTCCATTGGTAAAGAGCGGCAATTCTTTAAGAAAAAAAAATAAGCAATACAAAAAAAGAAACTAATGAATGAAACATACTCTGCTCTCGCACGACCTTGCTTGTCCAATTGAACATTCGGCACACCAAGGCGAACAAGTCTTGCAAACAACGATTGTTCCATATTCGAATATTTTTGAAACGCTTGATTCTGAACAACCGGCGGTAGTTGGTGATGGTCACCAATCATAATCCATCGCTTTAATCGGTTATGACCGTCTTGTGGATTCTAAAAATCGGATTTTAATAAAACAAACATTGCGGTTGCTTGAGAACCTGAAGAAGAAGTGGAATGAATGTTTCAACTTCCAAAATCTGAGCAGCTTCCTCCATGACAATATTATCATATCTTAAAATAGATGTTAAGTAGCATACTTCACTAAATCGTATACCTAAAACCAAGTTGAACCAAGTCGTTTCTTCGCAACGCTGCATGAGTACAAGTCATTGCAATTATTTTCGCTTCTTTTACCTAAATATTCCTGATTGGATATCCGTCCTATTTAATACAAACGTTTTGTTTTCATAACAAAAACAGCATGAAATGGGTACTTGGCCGCATACAACAAAGCGGGAATGCTCGGCGGCAAATCCCTTTGAAGTGCCGACAATTAAAATGTCCCGTCGAGTTTATTCAAAATTGGATCAATGATGATGAAAACCAAATTTGAAAAACAATTAACCAGATTCCATTAATATTCGGATGCCAACTTGGTGAAACTCAATTTTAACAATAAAACTAATTAGATAAAATGAAGATAAAATATTTACAAATTTGCTGACAAAAGTCAAATGTATTTTTTGATAATATCTAATTTAGCATCAAATAAAAATAACTATTCAAAAATTATATCATATACATAGTAAAAGAAAACGGAAAATGTCTAAATTTGAGTTTTCTTAATTAGAATTTTATTTTTAAACGAAATGTTCAATACAGCTCGTCACAATAGTTTCAAATCCATCGCAATCAAACGTCAAAAATTTAACACACAAAGTATGACGAAGAGCTCTTGTCACTATTGATGAAACTATCAAATACCGCGGATTGCCTTTGGTACGTTTCAACACCTTCCACCGAACCAGCATTGCAATCCAAGTACACTTAAAGTGGGCGGAGTCAATTGGCTCTGCGAGTGCGCGCGCCTTAACACCGCCTCATATTCATGAGTGATCCATTATTTCAAATCAGCTCAGACAGTTGCGCAATGTTCAACGAAGGACCCAGCGAGACATTCTCGCCATCGCAGGCCCCACAACAATGTTTTCCGAACCCTTCGACACATTACTCGGCCAAATCCGACACCGATGCAACCGCTGAACAATTTCCTGCTTTCTACAACTACAACATGTGTGCCTCATCATCGATGTAAGCTTTTTTTTAATCAAAATCACATTCACAAAAAAAAAAAAAAACAAAATATTTTAACAGGGCTTATCAACAGCTAAATCCCTACGGCATGTATTGGTGGCCGCAACACGATCAGACCGGCTACTACGCAATGATCTCGCCACAAATGAATGGATTCGCGGGAGCGTCCGAATGCGTTCCAATACCGATCACAATGATACCGTCGTCAATGGAAAAACCGACAACAGCCAAACCAAAAGGTGGAAGAGTTCCGTACTCCGCCGAACAGCTTGCCATACTTCGACGAAGATTTGAGCAAAATGATCGAATCGAAATAAAAGAGCGAACCGAGTTATCGAAAATCATTGGTCTTACACCTCATCAGGTAATGGGAAATTATATCTTATATCATGAGGTTTTTCGCAAAATAAAAATTAAACAAGGAATAAAATTCGAACACCACATACACGATTATTTAATAAAATTTAAATATTTAAATCCAATATTCTAGGCTAAACCATTTTACATTTAAGTGCACTGATTTTTAAATTTGCGGGAAAAAACACTTTAAACAATCCATTTTAGATTAAAGTTTGGTTCCAAAACAGAAGATTCAAAGTTCGACGAGAGCAAGAAAAACTTCTACGAAAGACGACGGATGAAATCGACGAGAAATTGCAAAAGTGCGAATCGTTTACATCAGCAGAATCGTCCCAAATCTCGCCCAATTCTAATTATATTTCCGAAACAATTTTAAGCCCGATGGTCAACATTCAACACTATTATGTCCCCACCGAATGCGATCCATAAATTTTTCCACTCACCAATAAATATTCTGTTCGATCTCGTCCGTTTCTCAGTAGCTCAAACGCTCTGTATTCATCGAGCTTCTCAAAAATTTGCTCGATGTGACGCCAACAAGCATGAGCCACTTGCATATCTGCCGAATTGTCGCCCTAAACATTTCAGATAAAATAAATGATTTTGCCCATAACCTTACATTGAACAAGTTTTCGATATCACTAAAGAATGCCGTGAATGGAAATGCTTCCTTGACGAGCCCCTCGACCTGTTTGGTTCCCTTGGCCGTCATTTTTGTCAAAAATTCTTCCCATGCGCGGCACACCGAAAATCGGAAGAAATATCCAGCGTTTTCGCACGTGTATGCCACATCGCCAACAATATTCAAAGCAGCGCCGAGTTTTTCGACATCGGCGAGTAGTCTCAATCGTTCTTTGAGAACAAAGTTCACTCTACCGTAACGCGAAAAATCTTTTTCGGTTTCGAGACTTTCTTCGCCGTGTCCTGGAATAATTATTTGAGAATTTACATAAATTAGAATTTACCTAATCTAAGCAAATGTCGCTCATCGACATCAAGAGCAATAATCTTCTCAAACAATTGATTAAGCGCCTGATTTGAGTGGGTAACAATTAACGTTCGCTGATTAGGCCAATTGTGATAAATGTTCGAAATGATTTGCACCGCGACATCAGTTTTACCAGTTCCTGGCGGTCCAACAACCATCGTGAGTCCAGGTTGCATTCCAGACTACAAAAAATTTATACTCAAAAATATGCTATATATAATATTACCTTAATAGCCTCGATTTGCGAGGGAGTGAACATCACTTCATTCCTATTTGGCGTATATTCATATGGTGTTATTTTTCTTCGAACCAACGGCGTCACGATAATTGTCTTCGAATCGTTTGGTTTAACTTCAACATCATGCCGATGGTCGAGATCCTTGAATGCCAATCTCAAAATGATTTTTTTGCTTTTATAATATAGAGAGGAAAGTTACTTGAACGGTGGAACCATTTTCGACAAATCCTCATCAGCGGCAACCACATTATAGTTGGGGAATGAGTTTTTTACATGATCAAACGAAAGAAAAGTGTCGTTGAAATCAAGTTCGGCAACTGCGCTGCTCAATTTCGAATAGTGTGCGCTATCCGGCTCTCCGTATCCAAGAATAACATCCGTCAGCCAATCAGGAACAACGCATTCCGTGTTCAAAAGTTCGCGAATCGTTTGAAGAACCGCCTATAATATAAATGTTTTAAACAATCCATTATAATATTTGTTTTAAAATTATCAAACCTTGAAATTATTCGCTTTTGCATCCCGTCTGACAACGAGGTTAAATGTGTGATAAACATCTTCTGCACCTTTCTCCGCAACATGTTCCATATCCAATCGATACTGATTTGGATCCAGCAGAACTCGATACTTACGAATATCTCCTTTCAAGGTTTGTTTTTTATGTTGCATATCTTAAAATTGTCGTTATGTCATTCCTTGCCACATTTTAAAACTTCTTACCAAATTCTTCAATCAATAAGCCATCATTGTCAAGAAGACCTTCAATATCACATCCGCGGACACTAGTAACGTCGATTTGCTCGGAAAATTTTTTCCGAATGTCAAATTTTGCTCCAGCCGATTTCTTCGAACGGCAGGATACCAAAAAGCAGACATCGTGTTTGCGAAGATCTAAAAAAAATTAGAAAATTGTTGTAATATCATCACCGCCTTCTTACTTTCCCACTCTTCGCGAATATCATACCGCTTTCCAATATTAACTGTGAGGACAGCGCGAACAATCGCAGGGGATTTCTCACCAACCAACGGTTTGGCAACTTCCGAAATTTGAAAATTCTCAATTGGCAACGCCATTCGAGCCCATCCAGCGAAAACCGTTTCTTGTGTGGTTTCATGAGCGAACGGGCGCATTCTGAACAGAACATCTTCAAGATCTTGCCGAATTTCATCTGAAATAGCTGTCATTCATATAAAAAATGTAGAATTCATCTTACAAGTAGATTCCAGCTGAAACAAATTGAAGTTGCGCAACAGATAATCATGAAGTGTCAAAAACTGTAGATTAAGCTTATCGAGAGCAAGAACACCATCGCCGCTATAGTGTTCATATGGAACAACATTTTCATCCCATATTAGCTTTTCGGTGGGGAACAACGGCTTCTCGTTCAATTGGGTTAATTGATTCGGTCGCCTCTCACAAGCCAACGTCTGAATATAATTTTATCTTTCTCTTAACTTAATACCTTGTACTTACTATAGCCTCGGTCAAAAACGTTAGAGAATACTTCTCCAGATTTTTTATTTGCTCTTCTTCTGATTCTCCGAACGATGGCACCAGATGTAAGTATTCAGCAAATCGGTAAACATCAGAGTGACTAAAACATGTTTTAAACATTTATACAATTTCCTTTCGTTTCGCACCTCATTTTCGAAAACTGTTTCACGAGTGCTCTTCTAGTGTCAACAGCGCTCACATTGAGAACATAAAAATCCTTCATTGTATCACTGTAGGTAAAAAAATAAATTTTTGCTCAAAATAAATAAACATACTGAAAATATCTGAACGCAGCTTTTTGAAGTTTGGTGACGTTTCCATAGTGTTCTTGAGATACTTCTTTATGCGAAAGTTGTCGTCCAGTGAATTCGTCAATTTCGAATCGCGCATAAAATTTGAGCAATTCAACTAGCTGACAAAACAAGGATCCAGCTTCAGTAGAAATCAATTTTGAGAGAATTGAATGCGGCAAAATGTGTGACGAATGAAGAACTGCGTTGAAAAATCGTCTGAATTCAAAAAGTTGAATACAATATCATAAAAATTTTAAACCGTGTGGGTAGAAGCGATTCTAAATCAATCATGAGTTCAATGAATCTTTCGCAATAACGAATGGCGTCGATGTCCAATTCTAAAAAAAATCAGTTCTTATCTCATTTTTTTAATTTCTAAACCTTGTGTTTCATCATCAATTGAATTTAACGTTTTCTTGAACTTTTCTATTAGAGCCCAAAGAAAATTTCGCTCAAATTTTCCTCGACCGTTATCTTTTTCGTCCTGGATCATATACTTTTTCGTAACAACTTCCCACACTTTTTTGAGCTTCTGTCAAAATATTTTATATGAAAAAAAGAAGAGAACGAATCTGTTACCTTTTGCTTCTTGAAAAGATCTTGTCGTTGTGATTCCAGCAAATTTTCCCAAATTTCAATTGAGGTTAGCTTTCTGGTTTGTTGATGAACGATGTCAACTTCCTAAGAATTAAAATTGTTTGTATTCTATTAGTTTTCCAATAAACTACCACTGAATTGAAGGCATTCACTAAAAACGTTAAAATTGCGCACTGCTCGGAGGAACTTGTTTCATTTTTTTCATCTAATGCCAACAATAGGACATTATGGAAAAACTCAGGAAATTGTTTCGGGTTTTCTGTGAATATCTATAAAATTATTATAAAACTACTAAAACCAATAAAATCATACCTGCCAGGCATCTGTTCTTTCACGGAATTTTTCATTGACCATCATTATAATCGACAAATTATATGCTTTCGAAGCTGGCGAAACATAATTTGGCCACAAGTAACATTCAAGGTATTGACTTAAAATATTTTTAAATAAAATTATTATAGATTGAAATGGCTTGGTACCTGAATTCAAGCATAACAATTTTCCGTGGATTGAACTGTGTATTAACCATTTCATTTTGATAAATTACTTCAACCAATTTTGGGTCATATTTTTCATGTTTTCCACTTGTAAATGGTGCCCAATATTTGGCAGCAACCTAAAATTCTGTTTAACAACAAATTTGGAATAAATTAATTACTGAAGAAATTGTATCGTTTTCAATTGCATCTCTAGTGACAACATCTTGTTGACGGTGTTTTACCACCATTCGGTCTGAAATTGACATTATTTGTATGAATTAGTCAGAAAAATTACTATAACAAATCTTCAAAAAATGAATTTCGAATTTTAAAGAAAGACGCCAACGAATAAAGACTGACGCATTTGTAGATCTGTGCGCATTTTTTGGGCAAAACTGAAACGGCCTAAAAACAAACCTAAAAATTTAAAAATGTATGTTGTGTTCTCTATATACACGCTATACGTGTATATAGAAGTTTTTTTTTTTCAAAAAAAAAACCTGCCCCGAAGCTACTACTAAAATAAATAGAAGGAAGATTTTCACGGAAATAATCCAATATCAGCAACGAACTGCATCATCACGAAAAATTTGTCTAATTGAGGAAATGATTTTCGATGATTGACGTGTTCACAAAATTTTCGAAAAGACTTTTCATTTGCAAATAGCAATAAAAACAAAATTCTAATTGATAAGGAAACCTTACTATTAAAATTGTTTTCAGATCATTGCTCGATAAAACCGGAGTTTGAATATTTTAAAACGGGGATGTGTTGAGTCAACAATCAGACATGAATAATTCAAAAAAGTTTGAGAGTTTAAAAGAGTGCCGATTAAGCAAAAAAGTTTATTTTTAACATCTGCCATGAAGCTTTTAGCGCTTTTGTCATTTTTGGCTCTTGTTGGAATTGCATATTCCCAGTGCTGCAGAGGATATCCAGTCGGAGGTGATAATGAGTTGTTTCTATAAACAATCACATTTTAGCTTGCGTGAACTCAATGTGTCCAAATGGAACAATGTGCACAAATGGATATTGCTGTAATATCAATTCAATTAATTAATATTAACATGCTAATTTATAGGCCCTGGCTGCTATGACACCTGCACTAACTGCTATCAATATACCAACTTGTGCAATAATCCGTATTATTCATGCACAATGAGTTGTTGTCAAGCGACTTGTGGAAAATGCCATCCATAAAGCTTTATTTAAACAGCAAAAAAACGTTTAGACGAATAAATGATTTTTAGCCGCTTTGGGTCGAAATTTTGCACTGTGGCATCCCAGCGCGCATCGATCTTGAAAGTATCTGAAAAAAATTCAAAAGTAAAAATTTTAATAAATAGGTGACATTTTCAACGCGTTTCCACATCGATTCGCCACAAATGTCGGTGATTTCTTTTTGGAAGCATGGGTTCACCTTATTGAAGAACTTGCACGCTATGCGATCATTCTGAACATGGTCATCGTCAAAATTCGCATATTATTTCTACCGTAAGAACATTAAACATTTCTCCTTGATTTTTGCCAATTTCACGAATACATGGCGGATTCATTTTCAATAACTGAATTACAAGTTAGTTATGGTAACCGTGTTATAGTTGATACCTTCTGTTGGCATGCAGTAAATTCAGTCGAAAAGAATTGTATTGATCCACACATTGATTCGATCAATTTATCTAGTTTATTTTGAATAATGCATTGAATAGAATCTAAGCATGGCTGAAATTGAAAAAAATATTCAAATATACAAAATTATTACCCTAGACTCATGACATTTTTCAGTTAATAGCAAAGCTCTGGCTTTCGTCATATTGGAAAAATCAAGATCTCCAATTTCTTCAATGAATGACTGAAATTTTATTTTGCAAATATTGATTACCTTGACCGAAATACCGAAAGACAACCGACAATTTTGATAGATTCATGAATATCGCATTTTCCATTCTTGATTGTGCTCGAATTACACGTTGAAATTAATAATAGTATGAGAAGTGAAAACCAGGCGGCACTCATTTTGATGAAAAACTTAACTGAAGGGTATTCCGAACAGCTGTTATCTTTCGATCAACGATTATGAGAAAAAGAGAAGCATCAAACGAACGAGAGGAACTTTTAGATTTTTTTTAATTCCACAAACAAGCATACATTTAAAAAAATAAATTTCGAAATATAAAAATATCAAATATTGAATATGACTAATTGAATTGCAGCTTATCTCATATACAAACAAAAATTTTGAAAAAGAATTTAAACCAATTATAATTAATCATTATCCAAACAAGGAGGCGGCTTGGTTTAGAAGTGGGACTTCATAACTCCCTTGTGGAATTCCGAATGCTTGTCCTACTGTAGCAGCTCCTCTGAATACATTACATTATTAAAAATAGAAACAATTGCAAAAATTACCGGTAAAATGCGTGAGCTCCAGTGGCAAGAACGTTAGCGCCTTGTTGGGCTAACTCGCCAAACTGGTTGTTCACATTCATTGGCTGACCGCTTCCAAGAGCGTGCGCATGATTAATCGGAACCTCTCGTGGTCCGTTGTTGACCGGTCGATTAAATCGTCCCATCGGCTGAGGCGATGGAAGTTCGGCTGAATATGGTATTCCGCCACTGTTTTCCGGTTCGATGGGTGGACCCGCATTGGCAGTTTCAGCGAAGATTTCATCAAGTTCCGAATTTCGCAAATTTTTGATTTCGCTTAGAGACGGTGTGTTGCCACATTCCTAAATTGGGCAAAAATGAACACAATTAGATGAAATGTGGGAGAAATCGCAATACAAAATCCAACCGACCACGACAATTAGAATGGCAAACAAGCAATACAGAAGCATGATGCGAATTGATATTGACGCTGAACGACAAGAAGCAAGTGGCAATAATGAATATACTTGATTCGTCCCATCATTTTCGCCGCCTACGTCTTCTTCCTATTCGCCATATTATTCACCTTCTCCTTCTTCTTCTTTTCGTTTCCACATGACGAATGTGAATCGATCGACAACCAAGTTCTTGTAATACACTTTATTCCACCCCACAAATTGTATGTGTAAAAATAATCTTGAATGTTCTTGTCGCTTTTTACTTGAAACAATGAGAGACTTTGACATAACTTTTATCAGAGGCATCAATCAATTTCACTCCGATAAAAACCGTTCAAAGGTAATTGAAGTATCTTTTTTGGTTTTCTTTATCGTTTCATAAAAAATACTCATGAACTTATTCTGCAAATTGAAAAAAAATTCTTGTAATAGGTTCATAAAAATAATTAAGTTTTTCTAAAAGTACGATTTGAGAAAAAACCTCATAAAACTGGTTAAAAGTAGTTTTTCCACAATCTACATACGGTTTTTATGAACCTATTCAGCGTAATTCAAAATAGTCACGTTTAGCGTCAAATTTGACAAATTCGGTAATTTATCTAGCACTGAATAGATCCATAAAGGTTTTTTTCAGTTTTTTTTTTCTCAAAATCTGCATAAACAATTTTTTTCATTTTCGTCGATATACCTATTTCGAAACATTATTCAGGTTTAAAACATTTTGTTGAAAACATGTGTCAGTTGCAACAAAAATTTAATCAAGCATTAGGTACTTAAAAAATAACTTAAGATTCTGTTTATATTTTTTTCCAACACAATTTTGAAGCCATTTATTAGCGTTCCCGGAGAGAGGAAGAGAGAGAAAGAGAAATTTTTTGAAAATCTGCAAAAATTCAAAATTTAAAGGGAAAACTATAATTCACAAAAGAATTTCGTTCGAATATTCAAATTTTGACTCAAACCATTTTATTTTTCCCAAAAAAGTGGACAAATCGACATCATCGATGACAACTTGTTCTTTGCCCGATAAAACGCAAAGAACGACCAATGGAAATTTACCAGGCTCTGAAAAGCTCGTGCTTCCTTTTTTCTTGCATCGCAACAACATTTATTAAAAAAAAAAAACATAAATTTCGAATAATGATAGGAATATTAAATTATTATGGAATTGTGCAACAACAATTATTTTAAGAAAATGTTTTTTTAATGTAAGTTTTATAATCCGTTCATTGTATTTTAGCAGTTTTTCTTCGTCAATATCAAATCTTCTTCACTGCTGGCATTCAATATATTACAATCACAAAAAAAACAATCACACTGAGTTTGATTCAAAGGTTATCTGTAGTACGGTACCTGAATTCCCTTTGTTTAAAATGCAATTTGAATTACCGCCCCAAAATGTACGATGGTCCACAATTGTTGTTTTTTTTCAGGTGTTCGTTTTATTCTCAATGATATCATGTTTTATTTTTAATTTTTGCACTGCAAATATAGAAACTCAAGAACACGACCGCAGCGCGTTGACCGCACGCAAGGACTTGCTAGGGCACCCTCGTCATTCGTATGATCGAGAAAATTATGATTCCATTTTTTATTATTAAAATCTTTTGAAGTTTTTCCTGTTTCTAAGGCCACCATTTAATGTAAATATCCCTTGCAAAAATTATTTTATTCTTTAATAACTACAACCAGATGGAATTATATTGAATTATTCACATAGAACTAACGAACCAACGACTACAATATGCATACCCAAATTATGTATATCCTTTTGCTATGAATGCATATTAATTGAATAGATTCTTTTCTTTAATTCATTTGCATGAGTCATGCAAACTAATAAGTTTTTTTTAACTAACGAATCCAATTATGTATATAACGGTTTCGTCACAACTTATTTTTGCAACTTCTATGTAAAAGATTCATAAGCCTTTCGTGACCAAAATCTGTTATTCTGACGAAATTGTTCATATCGCATGTTAATAAAATTGTTTAATTTTTTAAATAAAAAGAGGAAAAATTTTATCAATTAAAAATTTGATATTTGCTTTTTTCATTGTTCTAAAGCTATTCTTTCCAATCAGTTTGAAATGAATTAATCCGAAAATCAGAAAATATAAAAATTTTTCTTCCATTAAGCGATTTTCTGTAAATATAAATAATCTCATCAATCCAGAATATTCCATGATCAATTTATATTTACACGATTTACTAATGCAGATATTCTCAGAAAAATATTATTAGTGGTTCATGATATTAAAGCTTATCTAGACAGACATATTTATGAATTTATAGAAATCTTCTATTCCTATACACACAAAAAAGTGCTCGCAAATATGAAACCAACGAAATCGCGTTATTAAACTGTATATTGTAATAAAATTATTATCAATTTGGTTTCATCACTTCCTCGTGACTCTTACAAAGAAAGAAACATGAAATTTTTCATCTTGAAACATTTAATGCAATGTTTTTCTATTTTACCAAAAATAACAATAAAAGTCATGACATAAACTAGAATAATTATATACTCGTTCAATTGTACATCCCCTGGCCCACAATTAATAATATTTTTCAGCCTGACAAAAAAATCGAAACCCATAAGCGAAAACACTCATTGTAAGAACTTTGGTAAATTTTCCTATTACACGCCAATAGATTAAGCCATCAACGCCACGCCCATTTATTTTATAATTTCCAATCTAAATTTGAGGCGCGAAATCTGCCTTTTCTAATATGCAAGACACGCCCATTATTTTTCATTCCCTCCGTCTTCAATTTTTATAAGATTTCATTTAGATTAATGCGTTTGAGCCACACCACGTCTTCCTATTACGCTCAATTAAATCGCTGCTCTGAATAATGTGTCTTGCGTAGAATTTTAAAAATATTTAGCACATTTTACGCCTACACAAAAAAGTGACCTGTAATCTAGAACATGTTTTATATAAAAGTCATGGTTTTCAATAGGTGTGAAAAATAAATTCACTTTTTGAAATCCGTCCGATGTTTGTCGAAAACAATTTATATGCGCCTCAAAGTGCAAAACACACCGGTCTCATTTTTTTTTTTTGCTTTTTGCGCAAAACGCTCTCCGTCTTTTCCTCTCGCTCTAAACACAGTGAATGCTCGATGCGCGGCGCAATCGTGTCGCAGATGCGACGCGATTTTGTCGCCGATGACGTCCTTTGCCGTCTCTACACTTCTCGCGTGCATTTTTTTGTCGGCCAGGTTTTCGCTCTCGTCGTCTGTCGTTCACTCGATGTGACGTTGTCTTTCATTCGCAACTACAACGTCTTGTTTCGTTCTCAAACTCCCCTTTTACACCTTTCCAACCCATCATCGAATGCAGCTGACGTCCACGGCCGTCAACGAATTCAATGATAATTAATCATTCCATTTTTTTATTTCTGGTTGCCTCGAGAAATAGCAATTGAGCACCCAAATTTATGTTTGAATTCATCGTTGTTATTGGTTCTTCAGTTATCCTCTCTTTTTACTCATCGCAGTCAAATCTTGTCATTTTTAATTGAATTAAGTTCTTCTAAAGATCTACATTCTTCTGAAGACTTGTGATCTTACGATTTTTTCCCTTCCTTCTAGACCATTCTCATAAACAAAGTCGTTGATCTTATCAGTATTGATTTTTTTCTCTATCGGCCAGCCCACCGAATTTCGTTGAATAGTGGTTATCAATCAAAGACAAGTTTTTTGCGGTTTCCTCTATAACAGAAGAAAATTGAATCGATCTAATCAGGAGTATCATAGACGTTCGAAACAAACATCCACAGGCATCAATATCTTCTTGTCATTTATTTCGCAAATCTCACCCATTAATTTGCTTTTGATCGTTATAATTGAGTATCAAAAATAAGGTTTCTTGGCAGTTAATTAAATATTCAATATATTTTTTTAAAGCATATTTTTGAGTTTTTATAATCGCCGACGGTTCATCTGGATCCGATTTTTTTGTACTTTTAATCGCTGCTCTGATTTGCAACTTTCTTGTTGGCTGTTGTTCTCGAACAACTGTTGTTGCAATCCCTGCTCAAGACAATGTATTATCCAACGTGCATGCTGTCTAGACTCTATTCTAAAGATTATTTATAACCTTATTATTGATTTCAGCTTTCTGCAAAACTTTGACCCCTTATTTCGAACAAGGGGTACGGGAATTGCAGACAGACGCAAATTCTTCGGTTAATCCGAAGAAGTCAAGCAATTCTAATGGAGGACAATCGGAAACGGTATTATTTTTCTTTTGATTTGCATAAATTAAAATATAATTTATATCAAAATATGCCTAATTCTATAATGATTAGATATTTTTATTATAATAATTCATCAAACAGTATGACGTACAATGATAATACTGGTTGTTCATTTCTATTGAAAAAGAAAAATGACAACTAGTTTTATATCAACCTCAATATTTTTTTGATGGTAAAAGTCAAACATCCATGTAGAAATATCTGTTTTGTCATTATCTCAAGGTTAAATTTGCGATTTAGTAACATGGAGCGGCGACGTGAGACCTCGCGCTTCGCAGCACGTGACCGTCGAGGAAAGGAAGCTGACATTTTTGGAGATTTGAAAGATGTTGTTCCGATAGTTGAGGAAGGCACTATAACGCATTTAGACCGAATTGCTCTACTACGTGTAGCAGCCACCGTATGTCGACTAAGAAAAACCGCAGGAAACGGTAAAAACAATAGAGAATTGTTCAGAAATTGATAGAAAAACAATTTTAGTCCTTGAAAATGACCTCTCTCGGGAGAAGGGGGTCGATATTTGGAACGAAGACACCATCAGTGAATGTCTGGATGGCTTTGTCATTATCGCCGACAGCGATTCGACAATACTTTATGTCACCGAAAGTATTGCTATATACCTGGGATTGACACAGGTTATAACTTTTTTTCCTACAATTATCAACGTTTGGAATTTTAGACTGACCTAACTGGCAGAACTCTTAAGGAATTTTTCCACCCGGATGATTACGATGAACTGGTCAAAATTGGAGGTAAACAGCGTAACTTTAAAAATAATTTAAAATAATTATTCTAGCTGAACTCCATAAACCCCGTGATGTAGATTGCTATGAACAAGACGGCACTACTATTGTATTTCGCATGAAGACTGTTATAAGTCCAAGAGGAAGATGCTTAAATCTGAAGAGTGCACTTTATAAAGTTTGTTGTGCAAAAAAAAACTAAATATTCAATTATTTATTTAGCCTGTTTCATTCCTGATTCATTCGAAAGTTTCATCAGGCGGACATGTACTTTTGATGCAAGGCGTTACAATTCCAGCCGGCCAAGGTTCAATCAATGCAAATGCGTCGGCTCTCACCAAGGTTTGATCTTTTGGACTTATGTGTCTTGCTGTCGGTCGTCCCACTGCAACATTTCTCTTTCTATCTCATGCTTATTGGCTCTGCGCGTGAATGAAAGTGAAGGCGCCAGCGGCGAAACTCTCGATGGAATTTTCTTGAACAAAAAAAAAAACACTAGTTGGAATCAAAAGATCACAGCTTTCAAAACAGCCTGAAAAAGGAAATTGAATCATTTTTTTCTGCACAACTTAACTTGGTAAACGGCAGCACCCACACCGTAGTGGAACGAAATTGAACTCTACTGTAATATATAACGAAAACCGGAATAGAACTCATCGTAATTAATAGAACCCCGGTCATCAATAGAGCGCACTTACAACATTTTATTTTTTTTGCCAGATTTTTTTGAACATTTGTTTGGGTATTAGTCATTTTTTGAATGTATCAATCAACAATGTATATTTTAAGCTTGTTTGAATAAATATGCCACGTAAACCTGCAATTTAAGAAAAAAAAACGAAAACGATAAAAATGCGCTCTAACGAGAACCGAGATATTCTCCGGAAGTGCCCTAATAAATAAATATATAAAAAATTGTATTTAGTAATGTAAAATATTAAATAGAAAACAATGAGCATGACGTCACTTGTTTTGTAAAACTTGAGCTCGAAACTAATGCGATCACAAGTATGCACTTAACACTTGTTAGATTATCAATGCACTTTGTGTGAGCTGGATTAGCTTCATACTGTATCTTAACACTAATTGATTTTAATGTGATGTTTGATTCGAAGATTTCGATACCAAAAAGCTTCAATTTTTCCCCAAATGAAACGCGTGACAAAATGAAAACAATTTTGCAGGATAGTGATGCACCAACCGGAGCATTCATGACTCGTCATACGTGTGATATGAGGATTTCTTTCGTGTCGGACAGGTTCAACTACATTTTGAAAAGCGAACACAAATCCTTGATGGGATCCAGCTTCTATGATCTTGTTCATCCGAGTGACATTGCAATTGTCTCGAAGGTACATTTTGAAGATTGCAAAATTAAAAAATGAAAGATTCGGACTTTAAGGCAATGAAGGAATTATTCATGAAGGGGCACGTCAGAACGCCTTATTATCGCCTTGTGGCCGCCAATAATACGTTGGCTTGGGTGCAAACAGAAGCCACTACTATTTCTCATACTACCAAAGGACAGAAAGGGCAATATGTTATCTGTGTCCATTTTGTACTTGGGTAAGCATTTTGATAATTGCTTTTTGTTAATTTCTTTATTTTAGTATCCAAGGCCAAGAGGAATCATTGGTCATATGCACTGATGCAATGCCAGCTGGAATGCAAGTCAACATTAAGAAAGAGATTGATGACACTAGAGGTAGCTTATTTATCGTAAATACATAAATATCCTTTTTTCATCGCAGATTATATTGGACGTCAGCCGGAGATTATTGACTGCGTCGATTTTGCGCCTTTAATTCCTAATGATGATACACTTGAAGTCGAGGCGTTGCAACCGATTTGCGATGAAAACCAGCCTTCGTCCAACATGGGTAAGGCAATTCGTGTTTGAACTGATTTCTCTGTTTTATCGCCATAATTATCGATATTCGTGCTTTGTTAGGTATTTACTCTGTGACTGATGAGTACGAAGAGCGGATGTACGGCGAAGTGTTGAATCACTATCGGAAAAGATCGTGTGAATCGGCGTCAGATCACGAATATGATAATGATCTGCCGTCGGACACCGAATCAATTGAGGACGCCGGTTTAGCTCCGGAGTTCGACGTTCCCCTCAGCTCATTTGTCCCATTCGGCGACGATTTTGAGAATTCCGAACCGAAACAAATGAATCTATTGGAAAATGACAAGGAGATCATTGTTTCGAAGAATGACCAAAATGAGCTTGACGAGGATGAGGTTAGAAGGACTTGATAAGGAAAGCACTCTTCACCTCCGTCTGTCCACGTCTTCTTCGCAGTCGCTCTTCGCACTCGTTGTGTGTGTTTCCCTATCGCTTCAGGATTATCTCATGGTAGACATTTTATTTCTGAAAAAAAACTTACAAAAATAGCAAACAACTGCAATACTCCATGAATAAGATCTGACTTCAGCCCTTACCCCTTTGTTCTTTGGGAAAAATAATTTCGCGAATAAGTCATTTACTGTAAAGTTCAATTTTGTAGGTTCGCGTAAGGACAGCTTCCATGATGTTCTTCAATGGCTATTTCGCGACCAGCCAGACAGCCCGCCGCCGCCAGCGCCGAGTCGGCATCGATCAACAGCTCGATGCGAAACGCGTACGAGACGCAGCGAGTATTCGTCGACGAGTCGCGATCCCCCTTTGGCCTCGGCGCAATTCGTGGATTCGCCGGATTGTCCCAGACCGACAGCGATGCCGATCAGCTATTCAGCACGACGAGCGCGCAGCTCAGGAGTCAATAATGGAAGATCATCACAATCGAACTTTTCGCCACTTGCCGATGGACTTTCACAGTGCGGGATCAACAGCCCCCCGAGGTGGTTTCTGAAAATTTATAGCCTTCTTATTATAATTTATTTATTTTAGTATTAAATCTGCAAAAATGCCCTACGGAGACAGTAGACCTTTGGTCGGCGGCGTCGGTTCAGTCGATCCGCCACGACGCCTTTCCACCGTTCAAATATCCGATGCTCTCGATGTGCCGTCCGCTGACGTGGCTACAGGAGCACCCGTCGACTCCTCCATTATGTTCCCCGCTATGCCTTTTACCAATACTGACACTTCCTCAGCGGCGACGCTGAACTTAGAGCCGATAGTATGCGATGATCTACAATGGGAGGAACCGGATTTGTCGGGATTGGCGCCATATGTCGACGCCGGCGACATGGTGCAAATCGATGAGCAACTACCACCCGAGCTTCAAGCCCTCTACGACTTGCCGGATTTCACTCCAGCTGCTCCATCGGTTCCTGCGGCGCGACCAGTGGCTATGGAGGTTTCTAAAACTTTAAAAAATAAAAAAAAATTAACATTTTGGTATTTTTTAATAATGCAATTGCGAACTAATTACGATTGCTTCGTTGAAGTTAAATTTTTATGAAATGAAAAAAAACGGTAATTTTAATACTGATTGTCAATGTTTCTTACAGAACATCCATTACGTTTCAAGTCCACCCGCAAAACGCATGGCACCAAATACACCAAATTACTTCACCGCCGAGTTTGAGCAAAATTATTGGCCAAATCAAGATAATCAGCAACGTTGGCAACAAGAAGCTCCGCTAAATCCCGCGTTTTCCTCCTCCTCCTCATTTTCAACAATTTCTTAAATGCAGAAAATATTGTTTTCTTTTTTGTTTTAAATCTAATCACTAACAAAATTTCATCATACCATTTTATACTTGCAATTCGATTTTTTCCTTTATTCTACATTCGGAATGCTATGAATAATCACAATTTTTTCATCAGGTGTAATCCCACTATATTCCACATTTTTGTGTTCCATCAGTTCTCATTTTCATCGATTCGTTTTAAAAATTTACAATATTTGAAAACAAAAACGTAGTATTAGCAAATGTTACCGATACAGTTCGAATTTTTGCTAACAACGATTCCGTCTGTTCAATCAATACTGGCATGTGTAGTGTACATTGTAGTTCAATTGTGATCGTGAGAATATTATAGTTTGGCTCGTGTTCATCTTTATATATATTAACAATAGTAGTGTTAAAAAATATTAATTGCATTTGATAATAAAACACATTAATCGAAATACATATTTAATTTTCAAAAAGCAATATTATTTTCTTATTATAATCTTCGTAATCCAATTAATTTTTTCTGAATCTCGTTTTTTTTTCTTAATAATTCAACCCTTAATATTTTTAAATTGGTTAGCAAAATCTTTTTCTTTATATCATTGATACATTTGAAAAGATAAATTTGTTTCAATGAATGAAACCTCTTGCAAATTTGATGATTTTGAAAAACCCATGAACGTGTGTGAAAAATTTTAATCTTCGAAGCTGTCAATTTTATGGCAATATGCAGGTTTTTTTTTGAAAAATGCTTAAAACTAGATTCTTGTGCAATCTGCATTGTTTTTTTTAAGTTTTTTGACAATCCTGCATAAGTACCATTATAGCAGTTTCTTCCGGAAAATTTCCGCAGATGCTTAAAGTTAAAAATTATCGTGTTAAGATTTAAAAAGCAGGGACCCTCGTTCCCATTTTACAACCCTACCAACTAGATTGCTCTTACATTTATACGCGTAATGATTCTCGCTTGAATGAAAAGATTTTGTGCGATCCGACCAGGTGGATAATTTGCCACTTACTTCTCTAAAAAATCCCTCCCAAGGGTGACTTAGCTTGGTGAACTTTTGAAATTCGAGCAAAACTAAACAAATGAATTTAATTTTGAACAAATTTGGCCTGGCGTAAAAAATTATATAATAAAATAACACGTCAGCGAAAATTATTCTTATTTCAGGCTTAACTATCACAATTTGCTGGCCAATGATTCTTCACTACCGTTTTTCTCGCTACCAAATTTTCACAGTGTTCTTCAAAGGCAAAAAAATTACCTCGAGCTATTTTGAGAATTCAAATGTGTCAAATTCATTGACAATAATTATCTAAATCACCATCAAAAAAATCACCAAAAATGGCTATGTAATATCGAAAATTAAATTTCTCTCTGGTTCAAAATTATCGTGTTTCAACAAATTTCGCTTGTTTTCCATTCATTTTCTGAGCTAATTTAGAATCAATTTAAACTTGCCTTGTTTAATTCCAGACTTCTAGAAAAAGCACCGACTCCTGCAATAATTTGGAACCTGCATTGTCAAGCCTCTGGTATGCCTTTGGCGATGTCTCGTCAGAAGGTGGGACCAGGTGGTTCGCCTGTGACAATAAATTCGAAGAGCAATTGCTAGAAAGTTATTTATTCGCACGAACTATGTTAAGGAATTAAGGAATAAGGAAAAGAGAAGGTTTCGAAAGTTCATCGTTTTCATAAAATTAATTCAATTTCATACAATAAAAATACTATAAAAAATTCAGAATAGATGAAAAGACAACTACTGTTTCAATAGATTGGTTGATTTTTTTGTGAAAAAACATAGCATTTGTATCATAAATAGGTAACTAGAGAGCATTTATAAGTTATAATTATTGTTGAGGAGGGATAGATTCAGCTCCTGGCTGAGCATTGGCGGCCTGAGCAGCAGCGACAGCAGCATTCTGAAATTTGCCATTTTATTGCTTATCTACTTTGAAGGCCAAATGAAAAATGAGCTCTCTTTTCGGTAATACATCATCCATAATTCTATTCTTTTCCAAATGTTTCTATAGAAAAAAAAAACAAACCGGATCTGATTCTTGGTTGCCTCCGGGGATAATTTTTCCGATGGCCTGCTGAGCCTGGGAAGCGTATCCTTTTGTTGCATCAGCTAAAAAAAAACGCTCCTTATTTCTCTGAACTCAGGCATTCCAATTCATACCTGCCGTGGACAAAACGTCCTTGGTCTTATCGAAAATTGAGCTCAAAGCATTTTTCTGAAAGAGTCTGATTTAAGCTAAAGAAAATTGTGGCCGCACTTTTTTTTTGCACCGCTCTGCTCAATTTTATAAAAGTTGAATGACATTTGTCGACTTTTTTTTCGCACAGCCCAATAATTGTTATTGCCTTCCTCGCGAAAGTCTTCCATGCATAAATTTCCATTTAGAATCTCCTTTTCGAGAGAGATTGAGAAAAAAAAAACAATCAACCCTCAATTTCCATATGTAAATCTCGCTTCGTCGTAAAATATTTTTTTTTTTCATGGCCTTCGATTATTATTATTTTTTGAATGCACTTTCTCGATTTGTTTTCTATATTGAAAATTGGAAAACCTTTTTGATCTACTAGGCAGATTTCATTGAATATCAAATTATCAAGACGTTTACTTTAAGATTTTTCAAATCTCTGAACCAAAAAAAGAGAATACGAATAGAATTAATAGTTTTGCCAATTTCTAAAAATAAAAAAATGAAAAACCTACCGCTGCGTCAGCCATCGTAGTAGTCGCGGTGTGTTGAATAGTGGTTGAATGAAGAGAAAACGCGGCGGTGTGTATGTATTATGCTTGTGCTCCGCGCAGTTGAAGCTCTCGTCGGATGAGAAAACGGCGAAAAAGACGAAGGCCGAGTGGGCTCCAGGAGGCGTGCCGACTCTCGGCACCATCTCGCACTCGCGCGCTATTTCGTATAATTTTCAGCGGTGCGCGAGCGCTTGGGCTTAGCATCGATTTTGTTTCCCCTATCCACTCTTTTTTTTTTGCTTTTTCGTTTTTTTTTCGGCAGACATACATGCATACATATAAAGCGGGCCATGGAACTCAGTCTCATCAATTTTGTGTCTGTACCTCTCGCGTAGGCTTCGCTTCCTCGTTTCAGATGAGATAATGGCATTAAGCGAAGAACCCACACGCACACACATTGATATTTATACAAGTAAATTAGAAGAGAAGAGACGGATGGATGCGCCTTTAATTATATTGAGCGAAACGATGAGGAGCCATCGTTTGCCCTTGTTAGAGCTGAAGCGTTTTTGAAAAAGAAGTGGAAGAACAGCACGCGAAACACATTAGCAAGTAAAATAAAGGGGTCCAAGATTCCCGGATAAAATTTAATCATTCATTTCAAATATAAAAAATCTAATCGCATATTCAATTTCAGTTTATTAATGCAGCACCAAATATAACTAGGCATGTCACTCCAGTAAAACGATCCGAAATCCAATGAAAGATAATCTATGAGTTAATGTCATGCGGATTGGGCCAACGGAATAGAAAATTTTGGTTTAAAGGTTTCTAGAATTTTCCAAAACAGCTTTAATTCTAGTAATCCAATCAATTTTATGAGGACTATCATTTTTCGTGCCAAATCTCGACGAATGATTTCAGAGAGCTAGCAAAAAAAAATTGTCGATCAAATCTGATCAACGTTGCCCATAATATTCTAAAAATCAAATAGGTACACACAAACATTTTTTAAAACTGACGTCATCGGTTTTTCGCGAATTCTCTTACCGCATGTGTTTCTTATTGCTAGAGAATTCTGATCAATTTGTGTGCTCATTCGAGTTGAAATGTCGGCTCTGCGGTGAATTACACTCGCCAATGTTTTAATTTCAAAAACCCGAGAATTTTTTTAAACTACGAATAACGTCTCCCGGTAAATGGCGGCAACTTCTCAGCACATTTTGGGAAACGTTTTGGCAGAAGTCTATAAGCAATTTCTCAAGTTGTCACCCGAGGAGCTCATAAACTTGCACTTCTTTTTGAGAATTGCATACCTGCAATTTTTATATTGTCGGCGTCAAACGACTAAAGGTAGTCAAATTCGCGAAGTCAGTGTAGATTTAATTTTTTCGTTGACTGAATATTCAATGCGCGTAAGCTATAATGCAATGTACGCAATCTCGCTGCCTTGAGACGCCTTGGCAAATAGCCAATAATTTTTTAAATTTCGTCAAGTCGTTTGATTTCGGCAATATATTTTTTAGTTTGTTAATATTTTTATTTTCATACATGCAATTTTTGTATGTTTTTAATTGCATGAAAAGGTAGATGATAAGAATTTCCATAACATGTTCATTTCTAAAAATTTGTAAAATTCTCGTCAACCATATTTGACATAAATTATTTAAATTTTCAACATATTATGTTTTATTATACTCTGTTTTCCAGACTAAAAGATTTATAAATACACGATTCAAAGCTGAATCAATTAAAAGGTAATTAAGAACCGACATCGAAGGATTGAATACAATTTTCCCGACCGGAGATCCAAGAAAATATTGCACAGCACACATCAATTAAATACGAAAACGGTTCAGCAAAAAAAATTGAGAAATTAATGCTAACTACAGTTCATGTCTGTCTCAGGCACTTGAATCACTAAAGCGGCGATTTCCAAACAACTCAATCTTGACCAGATTCAGAATTAAAGACTAGATTGGCATTGGTAAAGCGTAATTTCGGCAAACGAATCGGCAAGGAAACGGCTAATTGAATGAGGTGTCGGATTCAATGGGAGAAAAAAAATTCAAAAGGCAACTGTGGCAACTGTGTGGGCAAGATATGAAATGGAATCAATTAATAAGGCAACTGGGTGACAAGATGAATTTGGGAAAGGTCTCGCGACACTTTCACTATAAATCACTAAAACTTTTAAGGCACCGGTCGTGAGGATTAGTAATAGACAAACAGAAATTTGAAAAACAAAAGATGTGATTATGAACATTTACGGCTCTTGAAGCACTTTTTGCGGTTGTCGAGCCTTTCTTCTGCCTGATCCAGTCAGATTTGTGGGTATTGGAGAAAGCGATGGCGGCGGTGTTGATGCCGACGACAATGAGCTGAAATAAAAATAATATTTGAGAAAAAATATTAATTAAACATGTTTCCAATTTTCCATTCAATACGTGATTTTGCGTCGCGGTGGTTGCACACATTTTCGCGCACTTGATTTTAAGAAAAGCCAGAATGGTGCGCCACAAAAAAATTACGGTCCTACTTAATTTCATGAAAATTTCTAATCATTCGAATGTTTAAAAATTGAAATATTTGAAGATTGGACAAATCGGCGATTATTTTTTGAAGAGAAATTATTTCATGGATACTGTAATTAAAGGCGCATGTTATTGAATTTCAAATGCGAATAAAAAAATAATTACTGTAAAATTTCCCACCTCGTAGAGCTCGGAGTGCTTACGCTCCCGACCGATTCTACAGCTTTCTGCGTCATCGGAAGATCGAGGAGGAATTGGGAAAACATCAAAGCTTGAGCAAATTTCTCCACCTTAACATGAAAAAAAATGGTAATTGGATTAAAAAAAGAAAATTAAACCTGCTTCATGTCATCTGAAACACTTTTAGTATCGTTGTTATTGGTATTCACATTCGACATCCCGGCAACAGCATTGAGGTTGCTTCTGAAAATATTTCGAAATTGTTAGCTCATTAAAATTCAAAAAACTCATACAATAGCTTTTTCTCGTTCTTTCGCCATTCCCTGATGCTGCTCTCGGCCACATTGAATTGCCGTCCCGCCGCGCGATTGCCGCTCAACTTCGCGAAACCAATGATCTCGAGTTTTTCCTGAACCGAATATTGCTGAAAATGAGGCGAAATGCGCTGCGTGCGTTCTCCACAATTACTTTCAGCGTGCGTCCGAACGAATGATTCGGCAGTTCGGCATCACCGCTTGAGCGTCGTTTTCGTGATTTTCGCACCGGCTCTTGAAGCAGGAGATCGGTTGACATAAATGCTACAAAAATTGTCATATTAGATTTGACTAGCCCAATATTGAACATGGATGAGTTGTATTGAACGCAAATGAAAGTATTGAAGACGGGTGTCACCGGCTCGACAATAGATAAGCGATGGGGTGGTGGGGGTAAGGGGGAGCGCATGACGACGACGGTAAACTGCGCAGCATAAAACATTGATAAAGGCTCCACGCAGGGCAAGGAGACGAGGGAAAAACCGTTACACAATACACACACACATACACACACGCACATGTAAAACCGAGTGAATGCGCAATCAAAATCGATATCGAATTTTGGCCGCCTATTTTTCCGCTCCAAGTTGGTTGCTGTTTTTTTTCTTGTGATGCCAGCCGCAGCGTACAGACTCGCGCCTTTTTCTCGGAAGACGCAAGATAATATTGTGTGTGCGCGCGCGCGCGCTGCACATCATCATCGTCATCATCATCGTCGTCGTTGTCGTCGTGAGAAAAGGCAAGAGACATCAGCTACTAGCAATACAAAAATAATACAAATGTTGGCGAGAGCGAGAGCGATGGACGACAGCCTCCCCCCCTCCCTCGCCCCTCCAATGCGCACCAGAAAATGATCCATAAAATGATGAACAATAATTATTTTTTTCAAAAAGTTATTATTTAATACATTCAAAATCTGAGAATATTAAGAATTGATACCATCGAAATCAAGTGACTATTAAAAAAAAGAAATGATATGTTTTAAACAAATACGAATTGTATATTTTATGCGTAAAATCGGGGGTGGTTTTCGCGCGTACGATTTTTTTCCGATCGCGCGAATCGCCAATATTATATTGATTCGCTTAAAATATGCATTTTTCATAGACGACACAGAAAGAGCGTCACGATCTAGAATTACATATAAAATGATAGCGATGAAATAATTTAAAAAAATTGAATATGAATTAGAGTAGTCTCTAAAGAGTCTTCAGAAGAGCCCCCCCCCTTTTCGCATTGGCTCGTTCGAACACGACATTTATTGACGTCGTGGGGCACAGTGGATCCCGAGGAGGCGGGGCGTCGCCGGCGGCGCAACGCCGGGAGCTGCCAAGAAGCAACTGTTGGGAGAGAACACACGGCGTACAATAGGGTTGAGACAGTTGGGATGCGCGCGCGCACACTCGCGCGATCGCCGACGGCAAAACACGTGAACTCCTCGCATGATGACTAACTAAAATTCGAAAAGCGATTCCGGCACTTATCAATTTCCAATCTGATTTTGTTTAGAAGCCATACTAAATTAATGATTCTTAGAATTTGAAGAAACACAAAAAAAAATAATAATCGGCTAGATTCATGCTATTCAGATTTTGGGAATAAAACTCAAGTAACAATTTTTAGCAATTATAATGTTTTGATAGTTTGATACCTTTGAGTAAAAACATTTAGCAATCATTCTTTTCGAGACCATCGACTCGACACACCTTTAACTTATTAATATGAACCTTGGATAGTCTGAATGGTATATTTGAGACTATAATAGTGAAAAAATTGCTTTATATCAAGCCAATAGGCAATGGAGAAATGAAATGCATCAAGACTCGAGAAACTTTGAAATGAAGCAAAATACTGAAGTCGATTCTCCGCGGAGCTCTCAGACGGGCACCTCGAAATTTACACTGTTGCGCAGTTGCGCGCTTGGTTGGCGCACAACGAAGCATCGCTTCGGGAGCAGATAGCGCAGACATCGGGAAGCAAACGACGAGACGGGAGGGACCATTGAGGCGCGAGAGATCCGGGCACCCGCCGATCGTGCTTCCCATTCATTCGCCAACAAAAAAATCGAGCCTCTTCCCGGCCCGCCGAGCTTGAGCAGCTCAAGCGCGAGACGAGATTTTGTCGAAAAAAAAATAGCTAACTCGCCCGCACGGAATGTTATCAAAACAACGCAATAATATATATTTTTGTCTTCACAATCACGAGAGACGAATGAAATATCAATGTGGAAATCCATTAAGAAACTTGGGAATTCGACGAACGAGCCAGCTCAAACCAAGAGCGCGTGTATTCAAGAGCAAAAAACATACTCGTTGAGCTCTTCGTTTAATTTTATTGTTTCGTTTCCCTTCGTGATTGAGAGTATGGCAAGGGCCACATTCAACCAAATTCGGTGGAAAACACGAGAATACACTTGCGCAAAGACAAAAAAAACCTTTTTTGGGTTGGAAAAGAAATGCTTAATCGAAAAAAATATTTCATTTCGAATGTTTAAAATGCCCCCTCCATTTTCATACGACATTTGATTTGAAAAAAAAAATTGTTGGCTACGTGTCTGCGTACTCTGCATTTTATCGTACGCGCAATTAATATCTAGCCAGCTCGTAAATTTAAAAAGTTCGTCAATTTACACGGAACGTTGTTTCGTGCAACCATTGGAAATTTTTAGCATTGACTGAATTTTAAATGCGCGTAAGGTAAAATGCATTGTACGCAATATCAGGCACATGACCGATTATTTTAATTTTTGGGTTTTCAAAAGTTCGTTTTTTTTTTTAAAATCTGTTTTGGAAAAATAAAAATTCCATATAGGCAATTTTTTGAATTTGTGGCGCCGTCGGTGGAACTGTTCAAATTAGTCCCGTGCCAGCTGCACTGCACACATTTTGCCATGTTTGTTCGAGAGCACCACCAAAAAAAAGTCGCAGAAAAATCATAAATATGTTGTGTATGTGCGCAAGTGTTTTAAAATCGAACCAACCGAGAGGAGTGGAATATACAACATACTGTGTGAAATTGAGATTGCGATGAGAACGAGAATTATAAACTTTTCGAGGTGCGCGGAAGAGCGCCGCTGTCGCGTTGTCGCCGACGAAAAAAAAAATGAAAATTTTCGCTTCTCAATACAATAGGCAGAACAATCAGCGTGTTCTCCTTTTTTGCAACTAATGAGAATTCCAACAGATTAAAAAACAACAACAACAAATGCAACACACATATTTAGTGACCCATAATAGGAAAACGAGTAATGTAAAATTGGCAGTGTTTTGAACAACTGACCACTACTGGATGACACTGTTTCAGTCAATGAAACAAAAGCTGAAAACGAGAATAATTTTGCGCATGTGTCGCCCCCCTTTGTGTACACGTTCCTTCTATACAAGTATATAAATGTCGCCGTTCCAACAGTATTTAAAGTTGAGAATAACGTCTTCAAGTCACACATACACAAAAAAATACACCGCTTATTTTTTTTTGGTTCGTGCTGTGTGCCGAATATGGCGGTAGATATATATTTGGAACGAAACGCATTGAAATGCGTGTGAGCGCCGTTTTGTATGTATGTGTTTGGCGTCTAAAGGTTGCGCAAAAGGGGACACGAAATATCATTTGAAATGGTGAACTGCAGACAATGAACAACTGATAAACGATGAATATAAGCAGTACTGTTTGCCGCCTCAAAATTGACTGTGCGCGAGAGGAAACTGGGGGGGGGCAGTCGCCCTCCCCCCCCCCCTCCTCCCATTCCTCGCCTCTAGGCTGGTGGCAATTTCCCAATCGTTGTCGTGCCATTGCGAGACAATGTCGCCGAGCCGTTTGCTGCGAGTGAATGTGTATTACATTCGATGAGGCCCGACTATCGATGACTCTAATAAACAATTGTGCGCGCACCAAACTTTTTATTGAAATGCGGTTCAGCGCAAAAAAAAAAATAAATTTTTTTCATATGAATTACAAATCCACAACTCTTTGCCATTCTTTTCTTTCAATTTCGCCATAATGTATTTGAGTCATCGTCTTTAAAACTCTGAACAAAAAATTTCGAAATCAATTTTAGATTATATTTTAATTTATTACCGATTGTAGAACTTATGTTCACTGGCGATTGTTGGAACAGCAAGTGTCTCGTTGATATTATTTCTCTTATCAATGTAGAGGATTTCAGAGACCGGACCAACGACAGCAGCCGTCCCCGCCGAAAAAATTTCGTATACCTGAAAAGAAACATGATAATCATAATTTCAATTTTCCATCCGCCTAAAACTCACCCGATTTTCTTTAATTGCCGTTGAAAGTTGATTCATGGTAAAGTCTTTTTCGGCGACTATGAAACAATTCCATTCTCGCGCCAATTCTAAAACCGACAGCCTCGTGATTCCTGGAAGGAGGAGGCCAGATGTAAGCGGCGGAGTGATCAGCTCGTCCTCTCCTTCCTCATTTTTCCATAATACGAACAAATTCATCGCGCCGGCTTCTGTTACCTGAGAGCGAGTATAATGTTAGAGATCTAATTTCGCATTTTGTAAGCGTGAATATTAAAAAGCGCAAACTACTTCCTCAAAAATAGTGTTCGTCGATTTTTTTTTTTTTTGAAAAAATAGTAGAATTACGCGGTCGATCGCTGACCGTTTAAAATAAAGTTTGCTTATTCTCCGTTATTTGACAATTATTGAATTAACTAAAAAAGTTAAAATTCATAAATTATCACTTCACTATTAATCTTTAAAAAAAAATTCGCAGACCTACGGTGATTATGAGGTACGGCTTCGAAGCGCGATTTTCTACTGCGTAATTTAGGGCGGCTCCGAGAAACATTACAATACATCAAGTATGCTCTATTGTAATTAGTGTTTACGTACTTTTTTTTTAAATTAGTTGTTAAGTGTGTTTTAAATGACTCTCGAAATTGGGCATATAAAATCATTAAAATCATTGATATTCTCTCAAATCTACACGTATCAGATTTCGAAATTTTGATATTCCAAATTAATCGAGAACCCTGCATAGATCGATTGTCTGCCCCGTCGCTTCAATTCAAATTCGAATTATCGCCACCGACAAAAAATTATCCACAGATTCCCAGGATGCTCCTACTTACTAATTGATTTTCGCCACTTAACCAAATCACTTGATCGCAGTCCAATTTCGCAGCATTTCTAAAACAAGAGCGTTTCTTTCTTTCATGTATTTTGTTTGTTCCATCCAGCGTTGTCAAAAAGCAGGACCCCCTAGCCCGGCCCTGAGTCCTGTAGGGCCCCGTGTTTGAATTGCCGCCACCGCTAATAACAACATATAGGGCGATTGTGGCGTAGCCCGGATAATGTCGGCAGATATTGGAATGAAATTTCTCGGCATTTTTGGACTAACAGGGTCAGGCGGGTCCCTAGATTGACACACCTGGTAGTACCTACGATGAGCTCAGAAATGTTGGCGCATAATTGCAGCCCATTTTATATTGTCCAACTCCTCCGGGCCATGACCGAATATATGTGGGATCGGCGAGAAGTCGTAGGCCCTCAAACAAAAATGTTCAAACATTCATCGAATCGATAAAACCAACTTTTTCATAATTGAAATAGTTGCTGACCAATGAGCCAAAGCACGCCCATTTGGCGCTCTTCGGTTGCCCCAAGCCTAAACTCGTATCCGTCGAGAACATCATTGGTCGAATATAGAAGGATCCAGTATGCGGTTCAGGAAAAGAGTGACTTTCAACTCGTACCTGAATTTTTGAATTTTTTTGGAACAGCAATTTTCTTAAACCAGCTCATCCAATAATTGCAATGCTTCCTCCATGTGAAAATCAGGCAAGCAGCTACGAATCGCCGTTCTCTTCATTCGTTCAATATTTTTGTCTGGACGAAATATGCGAAACTGAATTGGGGACATCTATTAGTGAACATTGTATATGTTTTTTGTACAACCTTTCCATCAACGCCTCTGTACGCTTTCAAAACTTCAAATAGTTGTACAGCATAATGTAGACCTTTCGCAGCAGGATGAACATTAAAATCGCCGAATGGTCTCATTTTGGGACAACCCCAGCCATTGTTCTCGGACCAATCGCATTCAATCAAATAATTTGAGAAATGTTGCCCAAACCCTAGTGAAGAGGGCTGGAATATTGTATAATTATGCGCAATTCGCGGGGAGAAAAAAATTACCAAAAAAAAATTAATTTAAAAATGTGCCGTTTTTTTCCGAAAACACGCAATATGAATTCTTTTTATTCATATTCGGTGTGACGAATTTATACATAAATATTGGCAAAAAAAAACTAACAAAAACTTACATTTTCTGGGTAGGTTTTCAATTGAGCGGCCTTTTCAAAAATCAGATTTTTTCTATAGAAAGAATTATGCTGATATCTGAAAACATATACCTAAAAAGGCAAATTTTGTTATTTTACCTCTTTAATAGTAATTTCAGACTTGGAATTTTGGATAATCCTCGATTCATGTTTCTTGAATTGAAAATAAGAACTTCGAAATGAATTTTGAAGTGATAATGGAATAAAAGAATACGTTTTTAGTTCACGTGAACCATATTTTCTATTTTTGGAAGCATTAAACCTTTATATTAATGAAGCGCTCAACATACTGTAGACTTGGGTCCCATGCCGATTTACGAGTATATACTAATTAAAAAGTGTGTTTCCAGTAATTTTCTTCTCAAATATGCAAAATTGCCCGGTGGGTAAATAATTCTTTTAATTAAATATTTTTTAATACCAGCGAATTTTGAAAATTTTATTGAAACGAGAAAGGCGTTTGAATTGCCGCCAATGCTTGAAGAATGTTTGAATTGCCGCCGTTGTTACTTGCCTTTTTTTGTAAAAATGTAATACCTATCCTCGTCATGCCCATAAATAGCAATGCGCCTTTGAACTTACAAGATATATTTAACATAAGATAACGTTTTATTCACATAACAAATAGCCAGTTATCATATTCTCGTCTTCGAGCTTATATGAATTTTATATATCGATAGATGGGGCCACCTCTAAATGAGCGGAGATAATTGTTTTTGGCTGTATGAGGTTTTTTGGCAGGAATCAGTCTGAAAATAATTTATACTTTGTCGATTTCAAGTCTTTCGTGTAAATCTTACATTTTATTGTCAATGAGATCAAACACTCGTTGGGCTTCCGAAAAAACGGAAAAAATTGAAAGAAGAAGCAGAAGGCTCAAAAAAACGCGCATTGTTTTTTTTTGGCAAATATTCGAATTAGAAAAAATGAAGGCAATGGGTGGAGCGAACTGGAATCCGAATAGAATAGAAGATCAGAATAATTAAAAATGCGCGACTAGACGACGAATATATCCAATATTCTAACATCGCTTTCCTGGAAATCCTTTTCAGCGAGTCGCGATAAAATTCGCCCACTGAACATTTTGAAAATTCCACCAAACTCGCCAATATCCTACCTGGTTATGTATTTCGTTTTAATATGTTTCAGCTTCTCGTTCTCAATGTTCACATTCGTTGGTGGGAAACAAAACGGACAAAAGAATTCACTGAAGATCTTATATTATTTCGAAATAAATGATTTTTGTACCGCAAAGCCCATAGGTTAAAGAGTAGCCATGATATGAGACACACAATTCCGAAAATAATATAGAGCGTTTCGCGATACTCGTTGAGAAACGATGGAATTTTGAATTCTTTTTGAGGCGTCCTATTTTTTCGTCGTGTTTAGGAAATATTCTGAAAACTGGTTGAAAGCGTAATCGAATTATTATTATTATGAAGAACCAGAAGTTTTATTTATACAAGTACATAAAATTGGTGACATGGAAGAGATAGAAAAGTGTGAAGGATTTATCAGCAGATCGTGCCATTAATTTCAAATTCATCCCAATGGCTTATATGCAAAACTTCTAGACGTTGAAAGGGCGAAAAAAATTGAGGCTCCTTGAAAGAAAAAATTTAAAAAATGAGGACGCGCTTCGTCTATGTACACACGCACGCAAAATTGCACACATTTGATAATTTTAAATGAGCACTCTTTCAAAATGCATTTCTTTTAGTTTTCTCGAAAATAACAATAATCTATTTTTTTTAATTCTAAAAATTTATGAAAATTTAAATAATTTTACGACTCAAATATATATTGAAATTGAAATTTGAATTTAATAGTTTTATATTTCATGGAATTTTTTCCTCGCCCGTAAATACTGGAAACTACATATTAATTTCATTCAAAATTGCAGATCACCTTCCTTCAATAGACCGATATTCATAAAGAGCTACTCGAGGGTAAATTTACGCGTTGACTGAGTATTAAACGTGCTCACACAGACATGCCGACAATAATTTCGAATTAATAAATGTACGGAGAACGAACAGAAAAATCGACAGAAATATTGTTAAATAAAACTTTTGATTCGATTATTCAAAAGCGCAACTATTGCAACTATTTTTGTCGGCCCTCAATAATTTTCGCCCCTTATTTCCGCTTTGTGAAACCAACCTCGTAAATGAACCAAAAATTGAGTTAAAAACCGAAAAAAAACGCATGAGCTTGAAAACGAAGTAGGAAAATTTCTGTTTTTTTTTTTTTGGGGGGGGGGGGTTGAATAGATTCGACCGAAGATGTAAAACACAATTTGATTACCGAGCGCAATCGGTTAGAATGTTTGTAATAACATAGAACGAGTCTCCCCCCATCTAACAAGCAATAGCATTTTGGAATGCTCACGAGAAGCGACGAAAAACTTTAAAAAGCGATAAAGTATACAAAACGACAATCGCTCATTATTCATTTATTTTCACGACGAACAAAGAGTGTTCTTTTCCGTTTGAATAATGCCCAGAGGCATCATTTGAAATTTCTATTGACGTGCAAAATGAATTAAGCCGATGGGTTTTCTTATCTTCTGCCGGCAGCCGAAAAATTGGTTTTGGTGGGCAAAAACAACCAAAGAAAAAAAAACTCGCTGCTTCGACTCATTTTATTAGTTCCGTAGAAAGTAATCCCGCAAAATTGATAAGCTGTTCAACATTTTAAACGATATCATCTCTTGTGCAAAGCTCGTCATGGCTCCACGGAGAATCCAATTTCATCTCTTTCATATATCGATAATAAGCAAGTGATAAAAAGCACCACCAAATTTCACACACGCCTGAAAGTATGTTGAAAAATGTCGACTTGGTGATAGCATTTTACCTGCGGATGCTATCATGCAGCTTAGAACGATGCTTGAAGGTAGCAGCATTTTTCCCTTGAATCCGAGAGCCAATAATACTGAAAACTGAATTGTTTAAGGACAAACACTGATTTTTTAAGCAAGAAAATTCTAAATTTGGTTTAGCATTTCTATTGAAAACGAATTAATTTTTGGCCAATACTGTGAACTTTTATATTAATTTATAGTCGGTCCATATTATTTTGCTTTTTTAGAGGTAGTTTTAATTTTTTAAAATTAAATAGTTCACGTGAAAATAGTGTTCACACGTGGCGAGACCAATTTGAAATCACAGCCCGTAAATCTACCCTGTGTATAGCAGAATTCGAAAATCAACTATACCAATTGCGTTAATTCCCATGATAATGGGAACATTAAAAAAAACTCCAAACTCGAAATTTCCGGAAAAAAACGGGAAACGCGTTTTTTTCACAATTAACAAAAACGCTTAATTGGGGGAGACGTGTTATTGGAGTGTCGTAATGATAGGATTTTTCCGAGCTCCCGTGGAACCACTCACTCATGAGTCAGGTCGTTTTTTTCCCATGACTTTAAATCTCATTGTGCACAATGTTCAAGGCCAATGATTCCTCAAATCAGTAGTACGGTAGTGCAAAATCGGTAGTGAAAAAACTGTAATTTCGGTAGTGAAAATTTGGTAGTGAAAAAATCGGTAGTGGAGTGAGAAATCAGTAGTGAGGAATCGTTTGCCATGCTCAAAACCAACTCGTCTTTTTCGAATCGCTGAGTTATAGCACGCAAACAGAAGTGTGCAAACACCTCGACACAAATGTCACGTATTGGAAACGCAAAATGCTCTCAACTCATTTGAATAAATTTTCCGTTGTTTTTGCTTCCGCAATTTTAAACACTTCATATAGTCCAAACTACAAACTATTCGTCATGTATAATTTGCCATATAAGTACATTGAAGTTTTTCTTTCAGGTTTGGGAGATCTCGAGTTTTCCAAACATGAAATTAAATATCAAAACTTACCAATTATTGATACAATCGAAGTGATGACAAATACAATTTGCCAGAAAAGATGAGGCAAAATTAGCGGCGGAATTTTCTTTGTTGAGCCCACATAGAGCAAAATTGATGTTATCAGACACGAAACACATACTGAAAAATGTTTTAATCGCATTTTTTAAATTACAGATTATATAAATATTTACGTGTCACATGAAGCGAAAAAAAGAAAACACCGCCTCCATCGAAATTGCCGAGAAAATAGAAATAGGTGCCATCCATTGAGAGAAGATCGGGTGATTGTATCAACAATACCAAAGCAAAAAATATCTGAAACTTGATTTGAATTTGCATTCTTCCACTTCTCCAACCAACCTCAATGCATAGAATTAGATTCACCGAATGAGTGATGCTTAATAATCCGCATAGGCACATTTCCTGTAAAACGGGAAAAAATAATAAAACAAAATAATCATAATAAGCGAAATCCTACAAGTGTATTACTATTTGCCTAATCCACATTTTGTTTCTCATGCTGGAAAAAATTTAAGCGTTGAGTGTGGAATTTGTGAAGTTCGAAAAAAAATATCAACCACTATCTGATTCTCGTTTTTCAATTGTTTTTTTTTTTAATTAATGGTACAACGATATAATATAATACGAAACCTTACCCTCATAATATGTAGATATACTTTCGCCGCAATGCTTATTCAAAGAGAACGCACACTGCCATTTAACTCGCAGCTCAAAAATGATTCATGACTATGAAAAAGTGAATTGACATCGGACTTGCGCAAAATTTTGCCCATATTCGGCAAATTTTGTAAAATTACATAAATAGGTTTGAGCACACAAAAAAAAACTCCCAATAGAATTTTCTAATAAAAATTTGGCTAGTTTTTACGACGACAATTCAACGATAATTGCGATTTCTTTCGATTAAGCTGAATTTAGAAAAAAAAAACATACTTGTGGGTCCAATAGATATAATTTGTCGCGAAATCTGGCAACGGTTCGGCGAGTCATTGTGAATCTTCGGCGCTCGTTGGAACGAATTGGGCGCGAGCTCTGCAAACGCCACAAATGTTCAAGGTTTTAAAAATTTCCTCTAAAAATGAGATCTCGTTCAATTCGACCAAAATCACCAAAATTCCAAGAAATCATCAAATAATGCCATCTAGTTGAATGGTCATTAGGCTTGCCTTTTTTGGCAATTTTTCCACTAATTGCGACTCAAAAAAAAAAACAAAAATATTCGGCGGTCCTACACGTTACCAAATATGTCACATTCACAATTGTTTTTTACTGGCAAAAAATGGTTCCTTACATAGTTTATAAAAAAACGCAATTCTTGTCAAAATCGTTTCGCATTAAACAGAATTAAAAAAAACAATAGTGAAACCAAATTAGGTGGCATATGCCACGTTTCATTAAAATTTCGTTGGATTATTTGAAATTCGCATAAATTATAATTGGCTTCTGAAGAAAAATGCGACTATTAGATGTGTATCGCTGCAAGACCTTTGTCGTTGGGCGCATTGCGGCTCGCCTGCGGTTTGTGAGTTTTTTCTTCAGGAGGGAAATTTTTTGAGATAAACACCAATTTCTCGGACAGAAACAATCCGGAAAATCTGTTTTCACTAGAATCATATTATTTTTTGAAATAGTTAAAAATATATAACAAAAAGCTCATTAACCAACCGAAATCGAAGCTAAAAGTGAATGAGAGCCGTAAAAATAAAGGAAGCCCAAATTTAAAATTTGAAGATTATTTTTAGCTCCTGAATATTTCATGGGTTTCTCACGTATGTATGCCCTCAAAAATATCTACATCATGAGAACATTCTAAAAAAAAACTGAGACCAGTTTATGTCACAATGGAGGTCGCAATAATTGGAAAATATTTGTGAGATCAAAATTAACGGGTTTGACGACATGCATGTAGGTTAATTTCAAAAACGGGCTATATTGCTAGCGCAGCCAAAAATCGAGAAGCCATTGGAATTTACGGACCATCGAATGATTTTGACGCGGTAATACATAAGCTATGGTAACAGGGCTCTCGTTTTTTGGCGATTGCAATAGCTGAATATGAAATGTGAGAAGTCTAAAGTTTACGAAAAGAAATTGCGAACGTCACGCTAAAAATTGAATAAACCGATTCAATAGGTCTATTCATAAACATGCGGAAGAAAATCAAATTTTTTTATCAGTGAAAGAGAATATCAGGTTAACCAAAGAATCGAAACAACGAAATAAATCCAGTTTCGAGTAGGTTTTTTTTTTGAGAATGTTTCGAAGGAAATTTTTTAAAAACCTACATTTTTTGGGTGAAATGTATATTATTAATTTTTCAATTAAAAAATCGATTCAAACCTTCCTGACAGTTGCCAAAAGTGCCGCTGGTTCAGAATGCCTCTGCCTCGATAATAATCTCCGTTGCTCATTTCGGCTTTCTCGTGCGTTGCTCATTCCTGACGAAAGCTTGAAACTTATATTTTATTCTTTTGTTGTGAAGAAGGACAAAGGTAATAACACGAAATTTTAGGAAATGAGCTCGTATTACCGAATCAGAGAGGGAAGAAAAAGTTGACACCACTCAATAATATGAGTATGAATATAAGCTAATTTTTTTGTCGGACCGATTCGGAAAACTTGAATAATCAAGCATGTAGCGCTGAAGGAAAAACAAATATATTTTTGTACAGGGTGTCATTTAAGTTCCCGCACAAAAGTTTGACGCCATGTAGAGCTTCGCTAACGCACTTTTCGTACACCAATACAATTTATTTTTATTGAACAAGGTATATTTTACTTACTTTCCAAGTTTCACCTCATTCGGATGTGCTTCCGAGAAACGGCGAAGGCTAACATCCATCGCGCTTCCATTATCGAACTTCATAAGCAAAATGTGAGCCCGAGAGACATCATTCAACGGGTCGGTGTGCCTTGTAGAACGGTTTATGACACCATCAAACGATTCAAGGAGCTAAATACGACCAGTGACCGTCCCAGACAAGGAAGACTCGTCTCAGTAACCACTCCTCAGAAGATCAACGCCGTCAAATCGAGGATCAGCCGAAACCCCCACAGGAGCATGAGAAAGATAGCGTCAGACATGGGAATGAGCATCTTCGCTTTGGAACAAATCGTCAAAACGAAGCTTGTACTGACCCCATATCGTGTCCAAAAAGCGGCAATTCTATCGGCCGTCAACAAGCAGAGACGCTACGAAAAAGCAAAACGACTTCTTGCTCGCACGCGGTCTGGAGAACACCTCGTCACTGTCTTCTCCGACGAGAAGCTGTTCACTGTGGAGGCGGCATTCAATCCACAAAATCATCGAGTACTTGCCCAGACATCCCAGCAAGCTTCTGAGAAAGGAAAAACAATTAATCGAGCCTCACATCCTGCCAGTGTGATGGTTTTCGGTGCCATCTGCTCAACCGGGATGTGCCCCCAGGATTTCGTGGATCAGGGAGTGAAAATGAACAAAGAAGTCTACGTTCGGGACATTTTGGAGAAGCATGTGATGCCCTGGACCCAAACGCATTTCGGTGGGCAGATATGGGTCTTTCAGCGGGACGGAGCACCCGCCCACACTGCCAAAACTACTCAGGAGTGGTGCCAGACCCATTTTCCCGACTTCATCAAGTCATCCGAATGGCCTGATTGCTCCACAGATCTGAAACCGCTTGACTTTTCCGTGATAGGGTCTTGCAGGAGAAGGTCAACGCAAAACCCCACTCAAGTGTAGAGGCTCTGAAGAGGACATTACTGGCGGAGTGGGACAATCTTTCCATCGAATACCTGCGTACCACAGTCACATCCTACCCGAAGCGTCTCCGTGAAGTCATAGCTGCGAAAGGAGGCCGAATCGAAAAGAGTTAATAGATAATTATTTGTTGTACTATAGATAAATATTATTTTGAGTCTCGTTTGATTTGGACTTTTAGTTTCAGAAATATACGTCTTCAAAGTTGTGCGGGAACTTAAATGACACCCTGTATGCGCCTTTAACGTGATTTTCAATGCACATTTCTTAAAACAAAAAAATACGACGTCGGCCGTCCTCGATAGTGCGTGTTTTGTTTTTGAAAAATCTAAGAAATGTAGTGAACTATAAGAAATAAATAGAACTAGAGAAGATGTTTAAATTATGGGCTTTCTATTTGATGCTAGTTTATATATAGTTGTTTTAATGAAAACGCATAGGAATTTTTGAAGCACGTTTCGTCTTTGCCGGAATAGGTAATCAGCAAATGACGTTTACGTTTTTTTGATGTCATTTTAAAAGTTATTTATTTTAATATGTTATAATTCAAATGAAAATTGAGTATTTCAATTTTGAACATCATGTATTTGACAGGAAAAATGGCAGGAGTTCAGTAAAAGCTGAAAATTCCATTTGAAACGCGTTGAAACAAAAAAAACTGGTCTTAATTTATATGCAAACGGATATAAACTCAGCCGGGAAAAATGCGAATCTTTTTTTAGGTACAAAATCAGGCCGTGTGAAAATTGAATATCCCCCGACACCCCAAAAAAGCTACCGCCAAAGCATCAATGTTCACGGTTGAAAAAAAATCTTTAACTGGGTCTTCCTGTGCGGAATAAAGTGGTGTACTAACAAGATTCGTGTTCATTCTTCTTTTTCATCAAATTTTCGTTGAGAAAAGGACCTTGAATGTTGATCACACAAGACCTTCGAGCACATTTTTTCGAGCTTTTCAAGGGCGCAAACGGAAAGCGAAAAAAAGCTGCTGGTAAAAATCGCAAGAAATCGTTGTTATTGAATATTGATGGGCAAGTAATTGAAAATTTGCCAAAGAAAGAACAAATTAAAAGAAATTTTTCATAAATTAAATTAAGGTTGGTTAATATAATATATTCCACATTATGGAATATAAAGTAAGAGTGTTAAATGTTAAAAGCATGGCGTGTATTTTTCATAAATTTTAGCAGCTGTCATGGAATCTAGAGCATTTTCGGCAATTTTTCAAGAAAACTCCGTTTTTTCGACATTTTTTCCAAATTATAAAATATTTTTTCTTAATCAGTCTCCCCATTCATCGACCTACAGAGTTATAAACCTAGCCACTTCGTCATTTCAATTTAAGAAGCGAAGCGCATAGATTGGGGTTGCAAAGTTGCTCCATCGCACTCTTATGCAAAATTCTCACAGAAGATTCGAAATTTATATATCTCTTGAAAAATTTGCAAATATTATTTAATTTTCCTGTTTTTATCAATGAATTATTGTTGTATTCTGAACATCTCGTTGTTTGCCATATTATTTAACATCTGTTCTTTAACATATATCTTATAAATATAAGAATTGAAGTTTGCGTGAATGGAAATTTGCTGCAAAAAAAATAAAATAACGCTTACATTTTTCATTTCAGCGCAAATCTATTTGGACTGATTTACCTATTTCGGCATGGGCAATAGCTCATCGCGATCACAAAACGTTGCGAGTGCTCCAGTTATTGAAAAAACCCTACCTTCATCGAAGACCATGATTGGTAAAATATAAATAATTGTCTTTTTATCGCAACATATTTACAGATGTTTCTCAACTACAAACAATGAGTTCAGGTGATAACTGTGGCTTAGCTCGCTCGAATTCTGACACGCAGCTTAACACTAGTAAACAAGGTAAAAAGTAATATATTTTTGATTAACTTAAAAATTTTATACAGGTAGTCAAGGAAAATCTTACCAGCGTGCTCTTGAATGGGGCCGAGACGAACACTTCTTCAAGCTGGCGCATACCTTCCACACCAATAACTACTAATTTATAAATTGTAATATTTAAAGCAACCGATGGTGTCATATTGACTGATACTATCTTATGTATTCGTCGTTTATACTTTCTGGCTTTCTTGGACACTCTACAGCACAATGAATGTTTTACTGGTTTAAACAGTTACGAACTATAATTTTGCGAACAACATTGCAAATTTCGGATTTACATGGTTGATTGGCAACTTCATTGAAACACTGTGATATTTTTAAGGCGAGCAAGTGAACACAAATCCAACCATCCATTTGGGTGAAGGTCGACTTCTAAAAAAAAATATTTTAAAATTGTCTAGTTGACATTAATACTTTAAAGTGATTGCAAGTGCAGTAATGAACATTCGGAAGAATGAAATCCACGGTGCCACTGCGGTAGTTTTGGACCTACGCGTTTTTAAATATTAATATATGAATATTGGGAGACATACTTCTATAAAACGAATCGAATTTAACATTCCATCGGATCCACTTCCGTGAGAAAATGTACGTTTTTCTTCAAACACGGGTTTATCGATGAACTCAGACATTTTTCTATTTTTTCGAGTTCGTGCATTCCCCTCTTCAATTATAGTAATAGTTTTCACTCGTTTTGTTTCGGCCAACTGAATTGCCTGCATTCATTTGTTTTAAAAGATAGATTTACATTTTAATTTTACTGTTGATATCAAATTAGGATTGACAATTGAAGCAACGATTCCCATTCTTTCCAAAAACTCGTCGTCTGAATATTTCGAAGCGCATTCTTTCGTCAATATCTATAATTCAAAGTTATAAAGAGGAATGTTGAAAGGAAATACCTCTGTTAAAATAGAAAAGTAGTTAAATTTCTCCATTTGATTAATAAGTTATGAAAGAATAAAATGCATTACTTGACTAATACAACTAAAAATTGAAAATTAGGTTATCAACTGTTTTTAATATATTTAAATTTTTAATTCTCATCGGTATTTAATATATTTTTAAAAAGGCGCCAAAATATTGACCGTGAAGTAAAGCGCTGCGTACGCAATCGGAAATATCGGTGATTACACACTTTATGTTACTCCTTTTCTAATTCTTTCAAATTATTTTAAAGCCACTTCGGTGTCCGAATTTTATCAAATGCATATTATGATCAGTTTTCTCTATTTTAAAATATATATTGAGTTTATTATTTTAGGTAATTATGCATCGAATAGTATCAGTTCGCACGAAATCCACATTAGCAGAAAAGCTGAGAGCTGCAACCTCAAGCGCGATTCTTGGAGATTCGAAAAAAAAGGATGTTGGCAGTTTTTCTGTGAAAGATGAATCGGTTTGTATGAATCATTATTTTTTATTACCGATTAATTTTAAGGGAGAAGATTTTCGGGAGCTTTTTGTTATGCCTAAGCGCAAACTCCGTGGTCAAATGCAGTTAGAACAGGCAACAGGTCGAGCAGAAGTAAAGCAGAGAAGCCGAATTGATTTAAATGATCGTTTGGCTGAAAGGAGGCCAAGAAGTGAAGAAATGAACCCAGAACAAGTATGCTCTTACAATTTTTTTCAAATGCTAATACTAAATACTATTAAATCTATTTTTGTAGGATTGGTCAAACGTTTGGCCAGCAGCAAAAACATTTTCTGCAAGTGTTGTTCCATTACCGGTCCGTATGGGTTCTCGTCCAAATATCGAGAAGAGAGCTCCGTTTAAAAAAGAGGTTTATTCATTGATCAAATTTCTGCTTTTTTTTTTACAAAAAACTTTCAGGGAAATTTGGAACTCGTAAAAATTCCCAATTTTCTTCACTTAACTCCTTCGGCCATCGAGAAGCATTGTAATGCTATCAAGAGTATGTTTCTAAAAGGAAAATAAAGCCATCAATTGATATTTTAAGAGTTCTGCACCCCATACCCACCTGAAATTCTCGATAACAAAGTATTAGAATCGCAACTGTTTCCAATAAATATCTCGTACAACTCATATGTTCATCAAGGCACCAACATTCGCGACAATAGAAGCCGTGTAGTTACTATGACGGTAAAAATTATACATTATATATAGTTAATAATTATTTTTCAGGTAAACATTGACGTTTTCGGGCTTAATGACGTGGCAAAATCAAAATTGTTAAGATTAGTTGGAGATCGATTCGATGAAAATAATAATACTTTGACGATAATCACTGATAGGTATATTTTAACAAATTGAAAATAAAAATATGAAATTCAGGTGTCACACTCGCAAACAAAACCTTGATTATGCGTATTATCTTCTTACAGTGCTGTACCATGAAGCAAATGTTATTTTTTTTATTTCTTCTTATGTTTAAAACGTTAATTTGCAGAAAGTTGAAGATTGGGAAGCTCTTCAAGAACGGGTCGATAATCTAAAAGTCGAATTTGACGGGTCCCCAGCAAAAGAAAAACTTATCGATTTAATTTCGAAATCTCGAAATTGCGAAAAATTGGTTCGTAATTGTTTTCCCAATTATCTTAATATGTTTTGTTTTCAGAAATGCCCAGTTAACTCCGAAGACCCACAAAAAGATGCGAACTTCAAAGAATTCGTCGATACATGGACAGATTATCGTAACAAGGTATCGCTAAGGTTTTAGGATGACGAGAAAGCGAAACGTCGACGAATCGTTTGTTTCGAAAAAAAATGTTATTGTGTGTTATAATTAATATAAAAATTGATATCTCCGGGGTGGAGAGGGGCGGAGCAAGCAGGTTAAACTTTCCCCGTGACCCCAACAGTTAATCCCCACCTGTCACTGTAATTATCTCTCAATTTTTTAATTTAACAATAGAAACAGAGCTCAGAAGGCGTTAGTCCCAAATTCTGTCGGACTTTTGCAGTAAATTCAATTAAACCGTTAAATTTGAATTCGATATGACTTCTACATAATTAAATTTAAACAATTTTAAACTTTTTTCACCAAAAACTTGAGAATACAACATTCAATTTTACTTTTATTACAGGAAGAAACAATTGAGTCGACCAGAACTTACAGTCGTAAAATCAAACAGCTTCTTGGACTTCAATCCCCCACACAACCTCCAACTAAACAAGCGTAGAGTAGGATATATTTTAGACTTTTTAATTCTTTTAAATTTTTTTTTCGAAATTGTTGCTTTATCGAATGACATATTGGAAAATAAAACAACACTTTTGGTTCAAATACGTAAACAATCTACAAATGATTTTTAGGTTATTAATAGGAAAATTATTACATATTATATAACTAAAACGGGCACCGTTGTGGGAAAATGTAATCATGGCTCAATAATAATGTTTGAGACAAACTCACAATGATATGGATAAATTGAACAGCAATTTTCCTTTTTGGTATAAGAATATGAGAGGACATTCAACAAAAAATATGTTAATTATTAATTTCAAAGAGTACAAAATACTAAAATATGCGGACGAAGTGATGCAAACTGCAATCTTCGAGTTAGTCATGATAGTGTATGTATAATTGAAGGAAGAGCTCACTGGGATCTATGTGTGAAGCGCACCGACCTGGCGGAAAATCGATTTTCCGCTGTCAGGTAGACGACCCATTCTCTTAAATTATTTATTATTGCTGGTTTTAAACTAAAATGAAACCTGTAAGAGGATATAGTTGTCGCCGGATGGCAATGTTTCAACCGTTGGCATCTCATCAAACGGACCCAAGTACCGAGTATGTGACCTTAAAATTATTTATCATATAGCGTCTTTTGAATTTCCGCTCTGGGTCTCGTATAGAAAAAAATTAGCACGTTCTCGATCATTTTTGTTTTTAACTAACTTGGCGAAATATTCTCCAGGAGTTAGAAGTCCTCGAAACACTCTGTTGTACTCTTTCGGAATGGCTCGAACTCCGGGCAATTGTGTTGGTGATAGCGGCCTCCGACGTTCAGGTGATCGGACCGGTTGAACATTCTGCAATTGTTCGCCTAGGCTACATTCCAAGCAAAATCGCGATTTTCAACCTCGTCGTTTTGATCGCGAAACAGCGGATTGACCGCGTGCGCTGGTGTCGGTCGAGAACGATGTTGGCGTAATGGCATGTCAGAGCTTCGATGATTCGACACCGGCTCATTTCGTTGATTGTGTAAACGGCGCGACATTCGAATTGGCCGCGATCGTTGCTCATCGACAAAATTTCCGCTAGCCGCTGAGTTCCTAAAAAAGAATCGTTTAAATTATAAGATTCGCGACTTCAGCACCGAATATTCCACTCTTCGCTGCTTAATGTGGCAGCGCGAATCAGATTTTTTGGAAAATACACAAATGGATCTGGCGGATGGCTGGCCGATTGAAGAAGTTCCGCCTCGATCTGTCAATTTTGGAATGCAAATCGCAAAATGTTTAATGATTTTTACCGCACGCAATTGGGCGATTCTCATATCATCGTTCTGGAGTTGATTCATTCCTTTGGAGTGCGAGGTCTGAAATGAAATGAATGAAAAACAAACGAAGCGCTGAAATTCATCGTTTTAAAAAGAAAAAGACACAAATGAAAATCAATTTTTGTCGGAACGAATGATTTTAAAACATTTTTTCCCGCGCGCGCTTTTATTTCTCGCAGAAGAGATCAAAAGCAATGCGAGACTCCATTCAATGAGCAAAATATTCATTAAATGAGCAAATATCGTTTATTTCACAACGTTTCAATCACAGTTAAGCAATATAATATGCAAATATATTATAGAGTGGATTATCGACTAGACGCAGTTTAAAATAAATACATTGAATAAATGAGAAGATTTTTATACTGTCATGGACAATCGTTGGGTATTTCTGAAGTATGTGAAAATTGACCATGACAGTATGAACCAGGGCTTTTCGAAATAGGAAAAAAAAAAACAAAAAACACATTGGAAATTTTTTGTGCAGCCATGGAACGTCAGCGGTTAGCATATTCCAATATTAATTCTTAGTAGAGCGATTGTGTTCGCTCAGCTCCTGTAGTCGAATCTCCAATTGAAGGCGAATCTAAAAAATATGAGAATATAATAAGTATTAGTAATTTTTGTTCACCTGTGCTAGTTTTGAACGTTCTGCTTCTAACTCTGCATTTTGCTGCTTCAGTGCCGCACATCGTTTACTCCATCGGTCAAGTCCACGACTTTCAGTCGCTTCAATTTCGTCTCCAAGCAAATTATCTAATTGGGTGCCTATAAAAATCATCCCCAATTCTCATAACTTCCTTCTTTTTCATACCAAATTTATCAAAAAATTGCTTAATCTCTTCCTCATCGTAAACTTTGATTTCTGTCTGAGTTTCAGCGTCGATTAATTGAGAATTTTCTTCTTCAATTTTTTTAATTAATAACGGTGATGGGGTGATACGTTGAGGGATGGGCGGTGGCAAAACTGCCGCAGGGAAACTATTTTCAGGTGTTTCGGGAAACGAAGTGAAACTCGTTGTCACTGTAGACACAGAATTTTCTAATGGCGACTTCGGTGATGAATGTGTCGTTAATTGACTCGTTGATGAGGGCGATGCAGTTATTGCAGCTTCAGGATCAGTATGCGAGCTCCATAATGCAAGTGTTGACGGTGGCACAGCATTCATATTTTCATTAATAGGAAATTTCCCATGATTCAATGCGATTAGTTTCAAATCTAAGCTTGCACTTCGCCCATGACCTTTTTGTTGTGGTCGAGGGGGTGGAATTGGCGGAGGTCCCGACGGACTTTTTAAAGCCAACAGAGCAGCTTAAAATGATCCATATATTCGGCAATAAATAGAAACCCACAATGCTTTATAGGAGTCGGTCGACTGTCAACAAGCAAGGGGGGAGTGTTGGAAAATTGTTTGATACTCTGAAATTTTCAGCTATTATTTTTCTTTACAACATTTGTTTACCGGCTGGATGGTTGGAAGTCTTCCGTCTGTTGTAGTAACAGTTCCGTCAGAATTCCAAGATGGAGGCGGTGAAGAACATACTGTATCTGCATAAATCTCTTAATGAGAATTTTTCTTAAAATTATAAATACTAGAAATTGAAGGAGTTCCGGAACATTGTCCCTGTTGGCTAGTTGATCTTGATGTTGTCATTGGTGGGCGTGCAAAAAGGGGCAACACATCTGGTATAGGAACTTCACCCTAATAATTAATAACTGTAGAGCTACAGATTAAAGTTATTTACCTTTACTTTTAGTACGACCAAGTGCATGGCTATTGAAAATTCATTAAGATCCAACCAGCCATCTTCATTAACATCAGCTAAATTCCAAATTCTGCAATAGTTGAACATTAGAGACGCCTATACATATTTAAAAATTTACTTAGACAATGACGGCACATCCAAAGAGCTTCGTTTAAAAAATGCCATGATTCGTGGGTCCGAGCCATATAGAGCACCATTTAAGTCGACAACTCCTTGAGTTGTTTTCATAAGATGACGAAAGCACTTTGTGTAGTATTCACGTTGTTTATCACTTATTTTGAACAACAAATCGAACGAGTCTAAAATTTGCATATGTATTTAAAAAATTCAACATATTTACGATACTTTACCTTGAGACGGAATTCTCCGGGGGCTGCTTATAATATTTGCCGCAACTTTTTCGAAATCTCCATTAGAAAAGAGTTGAGGTTTTTCATTGTCGGACATTTCTAGAATTTAAAGAATGTGCAATATTAGAAACTCATATTAGTTGATATTTTCATATCACAAAAAATCGGAAAAGTGAATGGAAAAATAAGTTCTTGAGGAAATGAACATATTATCAACTTTTGCGTCAGTCACACTTGACTAGCGTATTGTTAGCAAACGTCTTTTTTTTATAAACGCTAGGTTTTCTATTTTCGCTCTTTTTTTTTTAACTTGTTTAAAGTCTATTATTTGTATCATATTTATAATTTATCCTTAATTTTAAAATTTATTTAATTTATTAATACAATATTTCGCGATTCATGATTTTTAAAGTTTTAGAAGCAGTGTTTTAGGCAATGGCTAAAAATTTGAATAAACGGGATCTTAAAGTGCTAAAAGACTCGTTAGGAAAACAAGGGTGGAATATGGATGATGTAAAAGAAGCTGATAGCCAAATTCAAGCAGGTATCAGTAATTATACAATTATTTTAAGTATATATTATATTTAGGCGGCATCGGAGTTGTCAGAATTAATTCATATATTTTGAAAAATTCTGTAGAATATAATGAAAAACTTCATGAAGATGGTTGGTATGTGGGATACGAGGTTGAATTGAACGGTGTCGGAAGATGCTCAGGTAAAATGTAAAAATAATTTTACCTACGATTTTTTAGACATACCAAGCAATTCAGCAAGTGAAGAAGATAATGCTAGTGATCACGTCATGGACAATGGTAGTAGTGGATTTAGCAGTGATACTTCTTCTGAAGACGATAAAAAATCTCAACAATTAACCAATAGTGATGAAAACATTGAAAATAGCCAAATCTTATACGGATGTGGTACGAACGTTTTTTTCAGTAAGGTTTTGTTCTATTATTTCTTAATATTCTAATATGTATATGTGTCTTAGGAATTTGTCCCTTCCGATATTAGTCTGATAACGAGTGATGGCGTTACTAAGTTTGAAAAGTTGCCCATCAAGTGGGTGTTATGACTATGGACGGTAAAATAAATTTTATTTTAGAGAAACTTGTCGCGTTAAACCTTTAAATAGCAAACCGCAGCCAGATTCGTATAATTCTTCCAAAAATGGGTATCAAATGATCAAATCTGTATCTGAAGAACAAAATGATGAAGAGGTACAGAGATCTGAATTATGGTTCAAAATTTAAAATTTAGGAAGCAGTGCTGAATGATTCGTTTTCCGAATCTTCTTGTGGATCATTGTGGACTAATTTCATAATTTTCAACGAGAATTTGAAATCCGAAAAGCAGCAAAAGCCAACGTTTTTGATAGAAAAAGAAAAGTTCAATTCGATACCGCTTGATGAAGGTAAAATAACTAATTTTTCTGTTTCTAATTAATTCTTCAGATAAACTTTCACAAATATCATCCGCTTTGGCAAATTTCACGCTGCCTACACCGCCTGGATGGGAGGAAATTGACGACAAAAAATTGATCGATTTTGTTAAGAGTTCGACGAGTATTTTGCAATAGCACTAATATTTCAATAAATGGCTGATTTTAAAATATTTTCAATTGATTGTTTGAAAGAAGGTTTCTTCCTTGATGGTACTTTAATATTGTTCAAATACGATAATTTTTAATGAATATGTTTGAGCAGGCAGAAAATGTCGAATAGGAAACGTTTGCTTAATGACGTGGACACCGAAATGGCAAAACGGGGTGTTTGGCTTGTAAAGGTTCTAAATTTTTAATTATTTTATGCAAGAAATTTTTTTTAGGTTCCACGATATCTAAGTGAACTATGGGAGGCTAATGAAGGAAATGTTGTTGGAAAATTAAAAATCGGTGAACAAGTCAAATTTCATACCCAACCAGGATTGAAGCAACCAAAACCGAAAAACGATGAGCCGGCCACATCAGTGGATAAATCGTCTTCTGAAATTCCCACCGAATATTCATTTTTGCTTCATGATATTAAAAATCAAACAATGTCAGTTTTAAGCGAAGACAAAACTACATTGGGAAGTGATGCAAGTGTCAAGTAAGTTTTTTTTTTGAAATTTTTAAAATATTCTTTTATTTAAAAATTTTTAGAACGGGAAAACTTGCAATTGAAGGAAGAATTGTGAAAAAGGCTGAGTGTCGCCCACCAGCAACCCTAAAATACCTTCAAATGAAACAGCAACACATTGTAAAAAATTTGGAGCCAAAGAAAAAAGTCATTCTTATTGAAAAGGTATGTAGTTTTATATTTATAATGATGTTTCAATAAATCAATTATTTTAGGCGGCTGTTAGCTATAAGCCTGTGTCGATTCATGCCGAGGATCTTGTTCGTCAAAAGCAAAAGAAGGAAGGAGCAAAAACGTTTAGAGCTGATCGCGATTTATTAAGACAAGCATTATTTAACGCGTTTGAGAAACATCAATACTACAGGTATATTTTTAAATTTTGAAATTAAACATTTTTTGGATGAAATTAGGCTTCATGATCTACAACAACTTACAAAGCAGCCAATCAATTATGTAAAGGAAATTCTTCAAGTATATTCTTTAAAATTATTTTCCGTACTTATAATTATATTTTAGGAAATCGCTGTTTATAACACTGCCCCTCCTCATAAGAACATGTGGGAATTGAAACCCGAATATCGCAATTATCAAATTAATTCATCTGCTGCGCCGTCGTCGTGATATGTTTTTTTGCTATTCTTTCCAAAATTATCAAAATAAAAAAGGATTTGTATGGTATTCTCGAATATGCCCCATGATGTATTATTCTAATCGTGAGATACCTTTAAAGCGATATCTAAAAACGGAATTGATTTATGTTTTAAGCAAGAAGTATGGTAAAGTTCAATTTGGAAAAAAAGACAACACTTGGAAGGTTGGGAAGCATTGACGTATGGGGTATGAATATTTTTGTCCGTTCATTTTAATTAACGATTACAGGTTCAATTGATGTCGGAAACCATCGAACGCCGTCATATATGACGTATCTTCGTGGTGGCCACATTCCGCATTTGACATGGGATGTTGCGGTAAAACAATTGAATTTGTCACAGAAGCCGATATATCAGCTCACGCTGCCTTCACTGTAGGTTGATCGTGTAATATTGTTTATAATGGTACCATGCAGATTTCGCTTAAAAAAAAACTCTGAAAACCGTATGCAGATTGCGAAAAACTAGTTTTCTTTCCAAAATCAATATAGAACCATAAGTCAATGATTTTCAGCGTTAACCAAGCCGATATAATTCGGAAATTCAAGAAAGGCGTAGCGAAATTCTGTGGGATTCCGCAAGGCTCGGCGATTCATTTGGCGATTCTTGATCCGCTCGGCAAACTTCCGAGTGGTTACAATGATTCAAAATCGATTGCGATTTGGACAAAAAATGGAAAATGTTCGGTAATCAATGTGCATTTTTTGCACGTTTTCTTTTAAAATCACGCTGTAGATTGACGTTGCAAAAATAAGAGAAATTATAAATTCTTTCGGATGCTCTTCGTTCGAAACGATTTTTGACTACGATATTCCCAGAGATGCAAGTTTGAAGAAACAATCGAAAGCAGCAGATAGGAATAAAACATTTCATACGCAAATGTTTAATCCGGATGAAATTGTTGAAGTAAGGTGTTTTTGTTGTCTTCTTGCTTGAAATTGGCGAATTTAATTTTTTTCTATGCAGTAAAAATTTTCCCATATTCTAAGAAATCGACGAGATTTTTCAGGGTACACCGATCATTTCATTGGGTGGTGGATTCAATCCATTTTATCGGCGGAGATGTGCCGTAGATGTTGGTCTTGGCGAGAATGTTAGAGCATACAATGTCGATTTGCATGATTTTGTTGACGGTATGGAAATGGATGAGAGCGAAGTTGCGAAGTTGCTCAATGAAACGTTTGTTCGTCAAAATCGATATTTAATCGTTTTGCTTATTAATTTGATTTGAAGACACCATTGCCTCCAAACAAATTAAGAATTGTTTCTGGACCATTTGATCCGACCAAAGTGTTGACTCTTGTTCGTCTTGGTATTGATTTGTTTGATTCATCGTATGCTGTGAAGCTTGCGGAACAGGTATTTCAAAAATGTAAAAATCAAAAAGCTCGATTTTTTTTCCAGAATCGAGGATTCTATCTCTCTGATAACTATCCTTCATGTTCAACGTTTTTCACGCTCGATTTTTCTGATGAGCAGTTTGCTGAGAACTTCTCGAAGCCATTTGATCACTGTGATTGCTATACGTGCTCAAAGTACACAAAAGGATATCTTCAGCATTTGGTGAATACCAGAGAACTTCTGGCTTCAATTCTGCTTGTTATGTAATGGTTTTGTTGTTACATTAATTAATTAACAATTTTTTCTAGACATAACCTAACCGAATACGACAGAATGTTCAAATTAATAAGGAAATATTTGGAAAACGAGGGAAGTTGTTGATTTACTGTCGGCGTCGCGCGCCTGCTGAAAATTGGACACATTTGAAGACGTGTGTAGGACTTGTACGCCTTCAACCAAATTTTCCCATTTGTTTTTGCTCCACGACCTCTTCCATAGTTCATTTGTATTTTCGCAATTCTCAGCAGTCGCGCGACGTCGAGAATATTCATTGTTACAATTTGTTGAATAAATGTTGTTGAATTTTATATAAGGATTATTATTATCGTTCGTGGAAGGTTTTTATTCCTTTTTCATTTCTATGGTTCGGTTTTTGCTCAATTTATTAATGGTTCAAATTGAAGATGTTTCAATCGACGAGTTCATCGAGTAATGTTCGAATGGATCGTCGGTTTGATTGGGTTGGACCGCCGGATAGTGTCTCAAAAATCCGAAGGATTATGTTTGTGGTTTATTATTTATGTCAAAAAAGTTAATTCCGATGTTGTAGGCTACGAAGACTTGATAATGAAACCGAATTGGAACGGCAATATCGAAACGCAAGAGAAGAATTAAATCAGTGAGCGTTGCCTTTTTTTCAAATATTAATGTATACGAAATTTAGGTGGAATTCTGATTTTTGGGCACATCACAACACGCTATTCGACACCAGAAAAGCGCAATTCATGGAAAAAGTTTTGCATATTTCTCTTTGAATTTATTAGTTTTATTTCAGAAAAGGTCCGAGTTGGGTCCATTGGAGCATGTTTCCGCCAACGAAATGAGTGAATTCTATCGTGATTTTCTTAATGATCGTCACAAGGCATTGATAGAGTACAACAAAGAATGGTATTTTAGGAATCTTACTCTCATTTGGCCTGCGCTTAAAGTTAATGTTGTCCGATTCATGAGACTATTGAAGAGATGAATGTTTAATGTAGATTTTTAGATGTATTTCGGATAATAAAAATATTGGTTCAATTTGTGCTGCATTGTTTTAAACGTTGTTGATAACATCGTTTTCGTATTTTATTTTATTTGTAATGCTATCGGTAAATTTAAAAATCGATCTTCAATTTAGAATGACTACAAAGCTGGGAAAACGAACTGGAGCTGCTAAAAGTAATTTTTCTTGAGTATCAATATACAAAATTATTAAAAATTGGTTTAGGCGCTCGTCACACCAAAAAATATTGGAGGAAAGGGACAAACTTGGATGAAATTGAAGATGCTCTACGTAAAGCGTTTTGTGGTTGAAACATCATACGAAAAAATTGTAGATTCTAAGCGACGCGAAGAGGCAACTGGGGGGATCATCGCCGACATGAAGGATGACGATCTCTTTGTGGTAATCCTCATATTGTTTATGACTTCTTCGCAAATTCATATTAAGGTTGATCGAGAGGCGAATTCGACAAAATTGAAAGTCACCAAGAAACAGCAAGCAGCTTTAGACAAAATTACTCGAGCTATTGAGTGAGTGCTATTAAGTGAAATCGAGATAATAAATGGAATACTTATAGCAAAGATTTGGTTACATTGCCGCCTCCAACGACAAAAAAGATCAAAATTGCGAAACTACCAAGAGGAAATGCGATTAATAAAAAGAAAATCGAAGAAAAAAGAGAAAAACTGATTAAAATGAATTCCAAGCCAACGAAAGGTTTTGATGTTTGGAGTTCTGGTAATTAAATTAATTTTTTAATAAAAAATACTAATTTTTATAGATTTGGAACCAAAAATTGAATTGTCGAATGAGAAAGCTGCTGATCATTATCTTCGCTACACGAAAAGAAAAGTAATATATTAATTTTAAAAATTATGCATGATTTAATAATTTTCAGCAGCCAAAAGCACCGCCTGCTGCAATTACTAGCTTATTGCCCGCCGTTGAGGTTGTTGACGCTGGAGCTTCATACAATCCAGAAGCGGAAGAATATGAAGCGTATATCTCGAAAATCGTCACCGAAGAGCAAAAATTGATAAAAACTGAAGAGAAAATTAAGCGCGGAATTGAGCCGCAGTGGGAGAAAAAAATTACAGCGGTTGGGAAATTTTCTGAGAAAAAAAATAAGAGAGATTTTTTTTAGAAAGAGAAGCAGTTGGAGTTAATGGAAGGACTTAAAATCGATCCGAGGTACGATGAAAGTGATGAGAAAGAAGAAGGAGAAGAAGAAGAAATTGATACTCAAGACAATGCTGAAAGAAAAACTGTCAGTTTCGAAAGGCTTACTCTTGAAGAGAAAAAGAAGAAAGCGAAATCGGAGGCATTGAAGCTTAAAGAGAAAAAACGACTCGCTGAAAAGGAAAAAGAGAAAGATTCGCACAATGTTTATAGGTGGGCATTGATTTTTTAAATATTTATTTTAAACGATAATCATTGAAGAGCGAAGCAAATACAGAAAGATCTAGAAATGGAGGAAAAGACAAGAGAAGCGGAAGCCGAAAAACGAAAAAGGAGCAAAGTGATTGAAAAATTGACAAAGCGGCAAAAGCTCGGAAAAGGCGAATTTGTCGACGAAGAAGAACCATTTTTGCTGACAGTGAGCACAGATTTCTAATAAAAAAATGGATTTACAATATTTAGGAAGAATTGAGTGGAAATTTGCGACAAGTCAAAGTCCAAGGAAGTATTCTCGAGGATCGTATGAAGAGTTTGCAGCGCAGGAATATTCTGCCAATTGGAGGTGAAAAAGCGAAGAGGATGAAGAAGAGCTTGAAGGTACGCGGTCCCATTATGCACTGTTAAACTTATTAATTGCTCTTTTAGAGAATGTTTGTCGAAAAGCGCAGCGTGAAAGAAGTATGCAAAGGAAGTCGCGTTATCTAATGTTGTTGATTGTTTTTTTTATCTGTTTGTTGAACCTTGTTGTTTTTCGATGAATTCATTTATTGATACTTAAATGATTTGCGATAGGTTTGCGGATCTCCGAAATTGACCAGCATCTTCTCTTCGACATCGCCGTCCGTGTAGTAGGTCCTTACAAACTGCGCTTTGAATCTTTCGACGTAGAGAACTTCTTTCCGCTGCTTGGGAGCAGTTGGATGATTGAGGCTTTGAATCCAATTGTGCATTTCTAATGCCTGAATTAAAATAGATTGATATAAAAATATTGCGAAATTCTAACAGTCATTTCCGGTTCTTGAACATTTGGAACTTCTCTTGGAATCGTCGTTTTCTCTCGAGCGTGAATCGGGTGGAACTTCTGGGCGTATAACGTCTGAAACAAGTTTTTGAATGTTGCCTAAATATTCTTCGTTCAATGCCTACATTACGAATGCCTGTCGGCTCTTTGACATTCGGCCGGTTTTTCATGATAAGAACCGGACCGCTTGGGATTTTGAAAGGCTCAAATCGTTGAGATGTGACAACAATTTGCTGAAATACGCGATTTGGTGAGTGGCAAATTGCAAAATTCAACTTCGGGCGGTATCACTTTTGCCTCCTTTCCGGGATAAACTCGATTGTTATTAATTGGTTTCGCGTCATCGGTGAACACTGTTATTCCAGCCTGAAAAAAATGTAAGTAGGGCTCAAACATGTAGGAATATTTGGAAAAAATCAATCCTATTCCCAAAAAAAAAATCGCGTCAGTGCCGAATTTTCGGAATCCGATTTGCTTTCAGCCCAGGTGAGGTGGGACCAACTATGCTCAAAATTTTCGGAGGACACCATTATAAAGGGCCACAACATTTAAACATTTTTTTTCCGCATTGCCCTAAAGATTTGAATTGTTTATTTTAAAATCTCTATCCAAATTTCGCCTAAAAATCATCATTTAAGGAAAAAACAATACAATTTTACAAGCATACTTAATAAATCGAATTCATACTTTTCTCTCGAGTTCATTGCGATTTGTTGCATACGCCGTGACAAAAACCAGGAGCAAATAGTAGATAATCATGTTGTTGGGCAAAACTGCGGAAAAATGTTGCCTTTTATATTGAAAATTTAATGTGTTCCATTATTAGTTTTTAATTGGATTTTAATGGGAAAATTGTCGACAACAGTTTCAATTTTTGTTAATGACGTCAAATAAATTTGACCAAAACCGTTTGCGCCAATTATTTTATGGAAATTTTTCATTTAAAACATCAAAAAATTCGGCTTTCGGAGCATAAATATTATACAAGCGAGTTAACTGCACATCCTCATTGAACTTGCGCGCTACTCGTTGCAATGAAGGTAGAATGCACATAATTTGAGCCATTCGAAGTGTTGGATCAGAGTGCTCATTGATGATCGTATAATACGATGAAATTTCCTTAATGATCTTTTCTCGAATGTTTCTTGATACTACATTGCACTCTTCCGATTGGCCTTCGACACCTAAATTTTGATGCTATAAATTTTCCCAGAAATTTATTTCGAAAAAATCGAGGAAGAGTATCGAAATTAAAAAAAAAATAATTACCAAAATCCCAAAGCACAAGGGAGCAAAGTGCAAAGAATTCATAAACATCTATTCGTTCGTGCATAATCGGCCGAACCAAACAATGTCGATATAATTCCAACGATGGTTTTAATATTCTAAACATTGAAAATACCAAATTACAGAAAAAACAGACAAAATGTACATTTCAATTTATATATTTTCAGTCATTGAGACTCTCGATGACTGAAAATATATAAACACGATTCGAGACTGATCTTGTAAATGTAGAGCGTTAAGATAAAATTCGTAATGCGAAAAATTCCATACGAAAAAATTACATAAGGAATTTTACGAAAAAAGCAAAATTTTTACAAAAAAATGTGTTCAATTATTCACATTTTTTATTCCGCGCATTAGTCCATTTATGAATAATGGTTAAAATAGCCATTTTAGGGGCACATTTTAGAACAATGATTGTAAGGAATACAACAGTAAATAGGCCCATTGTTAAATAAACTTACTTTACCACCTCATTCGCACTCATCGAGCTCTGTTCCATTTGAATTCCAGCGTAAAATTGTTCCGCATGGTCGATATCAATATAATCTCCTGACGGCAAAATCACTACGTCTGATCTTCCTTTAAAAAAAACTGTTGAAAAACAATAAAAAAATAGCTGTCGTGGACGGAAGAATTTGAAAAGTTTAAATTGCGTGGGCTACAAATTAAGTGGTTATAATAAAATGTACTTTTATTCCGTCAGTTAACAATTTTGTTAATTACCTTTATTTTAACTTTAATCTTTCACTTTACGACAACTAAATAATACAAAACTAGCTAATAAAAGTTTATTCTTACCATTGATATGACATAAATAAGCGCTTTCAAGTAGAGTAAAAGATATAAAAAAGTTTTGCAGCAAACACTTCTAAAAAAAAGATAAATATAAGTTTAAACCATTAAAACTACCTTTTGGGCGTTATCAAGACTGCAGAAGTCGTCAAAACACCAACAAACCCAATCGCATACAAGAGATATTTCACGGTTCAACATTTCTCTGGCTTCTTTGTAGTTAATACTTCTGGGCATTCGCTGCTACAAGAAAAAAGAGGGTTAAAGTTTGGTTGTTTGAGATAATTTATTTTATTTTTGGGGCAATGCAGAGAAATTTTTTAAGTAGGCAAGTTTTGCTACGTCGGAAATAGGTAAATTTGTTATTATATTTTTAGGAAGAGCTTACCCCATGGATATTGACATCGTCCTCTCTGTGCACAATCAGTCTCATATTATCCATTTTAGAATAGTTCTTTCGCAATCTCTCAAGAAGAGGAATTACATCAAACATTTTTTCAGCATGTTTATTGGAAGCTTTGTGCGTAGTAGAATCCATATTAACCTTAAAAAAAACTTTAAACCACATTTAATGCTCGTTCCTTCCATACCAACACATTATTCACTTGGGATTTTATGTTATGATCGAATTGTTTACCTCGCTTTCCCAAAATATCTCTTTTTGTCTGCACACCTGATAACGAATATTTCATTGTTAAAAAAATTTCTTACAAATTGGATTCATTCCGGCTTCCAAGCATTTCTTGAATCTGCAAGCTCTACATGCGCACCTTATATCTACAGTAGAAAAATTATATCGATATTAAGGTTTATTCATTTTACTTGCTTTCATTTCGCACAGTCCAACCCCTTGACAGACATATTTCTTTTCCAGAGAAACGCTGCGGCGAAAAAACGCCGCACATGCTCTTTAAATGATAAACACATTAACTAGATAATTAGATAATTTTACCTGCAAGCCTCTGTTCCAAAATGCTGACCATCGCTTTTCTCCCAACAAATTGAACATATTGATTTCAGAGAACTGCCCTCGCTACCAGCCTTCTGGGCTTCGGATATATTTGAACTCTTCATCCTCACGCTTAAAAATAAAATAGTAAAACTTGCTATACGATATTTCATTAAACACGGAAATAGTATTTCTTAAAACAAATCGAAGAGAAAATAGGTAGTTGTTAAAACGATCTCATTTTGTGTAGTCTTTAAAAAAATACGAAAGACATGTAGTTTGTAGTGTTTATAGTGCCCTTGCGCGGAGACTAGAAAACTTCACTCACATCGATTAGTCATTGAAAAGTTGTGTTAATTACACTTGTTTGCCAGTGATCATATAAAAAAATCAAAACTATTAATGACACGTTTTGAAAATGACAAAAAAATATGGGATTTATTCACGAAATAAAAAAATTCAAAAAATTGCATATCATTTGCATTTTTAACATTCCTGGATTAGAAGCATCTCGATAAAAAAACATCGCCGGGCAAAACACGAGTATTTCGTGTTCGTTGAAACAGTGGTGAGCTTTGTGAGAAGCAATGACATAAATAACAGAAGAAATTAATTGTTGTTGTTTTTTTTACTTGAAATGATTTTTTTATTCTGAAAAAAAAATAAATTTGCAGTTCAGTATTTCGTAACGAGACAATTAAACTACAGTAAGCCTACAAAACATGGTCGCGTTGAAATTTTCTAGAATTTCATTTGAGAGGTTTTCGTGTTTCATGGTGCCTCGATTTTTCTGCTTGTCCAAGTTTATCTGTTATACTAATCTTTCATTCTTTCAAATACATATTAAAATATTAACATCGCAGAATAACGAGCGCCTTGCATAATTTTGGAGCATCGCACTTTTTTGAGGCGATAATTCAAATTCGAATTTAAACAGAGGGAATTCGGGTACGTACTCTGGATAACCTGCGAAGCTAACTCGCCGTAAATCGACGCAGGGTGTTCGTTTTTTCGCAAATGTGATAAATAGTTATAGGAATTATCTAATGACTTTCCCTTTTTAATATTCAAAGCTCTCCACTGTTAGTCGCAGCAAACTCCGATGATATTTGGAACTTGTACGAGAAACAGCGGTGTTTTTCGCATTGGGGAGAAACCATATTTTTTCCGTTCACTGTCAGGGAGAAAAACTGATGTGTTTTCCAAATGCGAAAACACCGTTGTTTCTCTCCCGCTTGGATCGCCGTGTAGAAATTAAAGTGGAGAATTAGAGAAAGCATGCAAAAAATATGTGGCTTTCGAACGACGTTCATGTTGTTTGCGCCCTCTTCTTTTTCCCTCTGAAGAATTGTTTTCTCATGTTTGCACAGTATTTCCATTTGCAATCATCGTCATCGCACATTTTTCTAATCGGTGGTTTTCTTATTTCGCAATTTCAAGTTAAAATTAAAATAGTTAATCGTGACCTCTTAGCCTTTATGCATATCGAATGCACGTCTGACGTTCAGTTCAAATTTTGACTCCAATTGAAATCATGATTTCATCTGTTTTCCGGACTTTTTATTGCATTTCAGTATAATATTCTGTTCTGCTCAACCTAATTTTGTTTTCAGAAAATGCCAATTCAAAACGATATTGTCGGAAAGTGGAATTTTGTTTCGTCGGAAAATTTTGACGAATATCTGAAAGAAGTTCGTTAGGATTGTTTGAAAAAAATTACGTTATGTGTTTAGGTTGGTGTAGGATGGGCTGTGCGTGTCGTTGCCACGAAGACGAAACCAACACTCGAGTTTCATGTCGATGGTGATGAGTGGACCATGAACTCGCAGTCTACGTTCAAGAATTTCACCACGAAATGGAAGATTGGAAATCAATACGATGACAAGACTGCTGACGGACGTGATGTTTCGAACCTTTTCACAATCGAAAACGATCGTCTTGTGCAAGTCGAGACCGGAAAGAATGGTGGAAAGGATTCTCGCATTGAACGATATATTGAAGATGGAAAATTGGTTATTGTAAGTGAAGTGGTAATTTTTAGTGCATGAAAATATTATTTGAAGGTTTGCACTTGCAACAACGTCAAATGTACTCGCGTTTATGCAAAAGCTGCGTAATCACCGATGGAACAATGAAATATAATTTTTAACTTGTTGCTTTTTTTATTGCATGTAATCGATAAATTTTAAATAAATATCGGAAGAGTTAAAACTATTTATTCGAAAGAGATTTGACAAGTCCCGTATTGAGGTTCATGCAAAGTCTGCCTAGATAAACGATGCATTTTAAAGAATATCCTCGTCGATGAATTTGATTGAGCTGATACTGTCTCCAAATGCTTTAACGGGCGCTTTTTTCTCGTTTGATATTCGTCGTGAGTGGCATACGAACCATAAAATCATGCAAGCGAGAAGGATTGCAACGAACAATATTGTGACAACAATGAGATGGCTGGCATAAGATGGAGCGGAAAATTTCTGAAAATTTGCTATTCCCAGCTTTATGTATTTTGTTTTAAACCCACCTTATCCTCCATCCAAATGCACATATCACTGTTAGCAGGGGTCCGAAAAAATGGGCACTTTGGATCGGGACATAGTATCGGATCCGCCGATGGTCGGAATTGCGAACGTCTGAAAATCCAGCAATAATGTTTGGTAAAATTGCGAATTATTATTCCGTTCTATTTAAGATTTTGCCTGAATTGCTAAAAAAAGGTTTTTTTTTTGAAAAAGTACCTTATGGGGTTTCGTGTAACAAGACTATTCCAAATTGCCAAATGAAGCAGCGATAATCCGCGCTCCGAAAAATGAGCACAATCGTATCCAAGAACACTCAGATCAACTTCCTCCGGTAGATTCGTGAGTGCTGGATCTTTTAACAACGGCAATACCTCGACGTTAAAATTCGGTTTACGATAGTTCTTTTGAACTATCACCTCGACCTATAATCGATTTGAGTATTAATTGAAAACCAACGAAATTCAAACCTGATCCCACACCGAATTATAATTGAATTTGTTGTGCACTTTCCATTGCGCCAATTGATTTTTGCATGCTGCTGATTGATGGCTCGCATCTCTCCAAATTCCGCTTCCAGACGTACGCAACACAACTATGAACGTTTTCTTTGGAAGTATTTTTCCGAGTTCTTCGATCGCTGCGAGAACCTCGACGGCAGTTTGGCCTGTTTCGGATGCGGTTCCATCCTTAAAAAATTAAGAAAAATTTATAAGCATCTATTATTCTAAAAACCTGAATTGTGGCTAAAATAATAATCATTTTCCATGAGTTTTCGTAGTCCGGATAGCGACTTATGGCTTCGCCAATATCTCTAAACGGCATTTTTGATTTTAATTGTTTTTTTTTTGGCCTATTGAACCAACCTGGCCTGGTCTGCAAGAGATTCATCCAATGAATTTGATTCAATAATTGTTAAATTGGCACCTCTCGTTTTAAGAATTTGATGAAGCGAAGGGAGCTTCATTGTCGAGGACCTCTGATGGCATGAGCCCAAAATTCCTAAATAGCTTACTTCGTTATAAAAAAATTGACCAATAAAAACAAACCAACCGTTTTTCAAAAGTGTATAATTGCTTGGGCAAAACGACGAAAGCTGCCCAAGCTCCGCGTAAAATTTCACACTATGCGGCTCCAAATAGTTTGCGTCCTTGGGTGATTGCGTATGATAAACCGGGCATGTGGTTAGATCTTTGATCACATAATCCAGCGGATAGTCATTTTCCTGCTCATTCAGTTGCTCATTCTACAAATTTTATTTCAATGGTGATGAGGTCCGAGAAGCTGAAGCCAAGCTTGCAACGAAGCTAGGCGAACAGAAGGAATTTCATTTTTGCTAAATTCGTCTCCAAATAAATGTGATTTGAAAAAATCCTCACCGGCCTCTATGATGTGCGTGCCCGTTGAGATTGCCCCCTCCCCCCCACCCAGTCTACGCCGCTGGCCCCATTAGTAAATTTGACCCCCACGAAACGGTGTTAAGTTTCACTATTGTATTGCCGACGACAAACAACTGTCGCAAATTCAAAATAATTTAGCTCAAATTCAGTTTTCAAAGCAATTTTTTTGCATAAAACCTTTTCGAACCCAGCCGATTTGAGAAAAAAAATCACATAGTAACCTGAAGACTAATCAATTGCATCCATTGATCGTAAAAATCGCGATCTGTTGTCAACTTTTCTTCGATTTGTGTCAAATGTTCGTCGATCAACTGGCCAAATGAAAGAGAAATCGATATTAAACATAAAAGAATGCAACGAGAATTAGCGCGGCGATCGAATACCCAAGGAACCAAATTATCCGAAATCATTGCATTTCTTGTTGATGTAAGCCTAAATGAAGTTTTTCATGATAGTAACTATGTATAGGTATGTATAGTAAACAGATTTCCATAATTATGGTGAGCTAGTAGTAGGGATTAACACTATAATGGTGACAGATGAAATAAAAACATTATGATTATTACAAAAAAAGTATTCGTAAAAGCTAAATTGATATTGGGCGATTCATAAAAGCGCGTTCGTTTTCAAACACATCAATGAAAATCGAGAAAAAAAATTGAAAATTGCTCATGAATATTAAATTTGTGGTAAACTGTGTTCGAAAATAAAAAAAAGCAGCGACAAGAAAGCAGGTCGAAACAAAACGAAAGCCTCCGTTCGAAAACATTCTCGCTGTTTCGAGCCGTTGCTTTTATTAGGTTTTGTTTTGGAATGACACCGGCGTCGGCGAAACGGAGTAATTTAACAGAGAGGCACGAAAATGGCACGAATGGTGTCTGTGAGAAACTAATGAGAAGGATTAAAGTATCAATAGCAACGAGTCGAAAATGAATTACTAAAATCAATTTTTTTACGTTTTTTCAGGAAATATTGTTTTTACAAATATGCAGGAAGAAAATTATTTAATTTCGAAAAACGAATTGAAAGAAAATTTTTGAAAAGAATTCTCACATAGGCGGACAAAATTGTTTGCAATTATTTTTCGCAAAGATGAATTACCGATTCCAATCGGCACGATTTACAAAAAAACAAACCAACCGGAAGGACGCCTGAATCGTTGTACAAATTAAACAGCGGATATCGCTGAATGCTATAGGAATGGCAGGTATAGAAAGAAAATTAATACATGATTTGATTAGGTTTTTAAGTGGCTGGAACGAATTGCAAATATTTCAGGAAGAGTATTTTTTAATCATGATTATATCGACTCAGCGCTTATCATAAAATTTTGCACACAAATTTCATATGAAAATTGTTCATCATTTTTTTGCTGCAAAAATTGGAACATAGCATATTTGATTAAGAATTTTAAAACCTATCAATGAGAAAAATTTTAGATAATTCTAGAACGCATTTTATAAACACTCCCCTTTATAAAAAAAATCAACTTTATTGAAAAAAATAAAAACAGATTTAGATTTTAGGAAGAGAAACATATGAGGAAACAATTTTTACTTCTCATCACAACAAAAAAGATTGTCCTGTGGAAAATCTCATTCAATAAATAATTTTAAAAATAATACCGTGTACATATGTATATGTCGGATTGAAAAATTTAAATAACGCGTTGACAAATAATTTCCGGTTCAATACAGCGAAAAGTAAATAATTGAGGACAACGAAATAAAAAAATGAACAATTATTTGAAACATGTCGCGACATCATTGCGAAACCAATTTTGGGTGCGAATTGAAGGGGCGAAATTGCAAAATGGAAATACTTGATTAAAAGATTTGGAAATAAAATTCATAAAGGACCTGACCTATGCATGAAATTTATTGTTTTTTTTTTTTTTACAAAAAAATCATGGAAAAAATATAACATTTTTTATTGCATAAATATGATTTAATCTAGCGAATTAATCCAAATATTATTTTATACAATGTTGGCTGTTCAGTTTGAAACTTGTATGGAATCACAATTTGGAGGAAAAAATTGGTCAAAAATGGAAATTTTTAAGGGGTTTCTCATTCAAAAATGTGCATTTACTATTGAATAAACATTGAGATTTATAATATGATTGAAGAGAAATATTTTTGATTGTCAACATATGTCCCATTGCAATTTTAATGGATGAAGAAGTTCAATGATGCCGGCCAACAGTGAAAAATGAAAAACATATGTAAAGTCTCACATTTAGCGAGGCGAAGGCTCTAGGAGATTCATCATCCAATGAAGTGACACAATTTTTCCAATTTTCGACAACTAGTAAAAGCGTTTTGGAATCCGCTTCGAAAGTTTTTTTGTCATCTAGAAATGTCATACGAAATAATTTATAGTTTCCGCGCTGATCTGAAAGCATTAATTTACCGCCAAAACGCGATCAAAAAGGCGTACATGAGAAACTGTTCATATATAATTTATGGAAAAATATTATTTACTGCGCGAGAATTGCAAAAGCCATTAAAAAAAACCGGAATTTGATGATATTGAAGTCAACTGGAATATTGAGAGAAACATTGAGGAGCAGGAAAACACCTTGTCTTTCAAAAAGCATTATGCTCAAGTGTGTCAGTGATATCAGCTGTGCTGTGCTACGTCAATTCGTATATCTTGCTCGTCTCGCACTTTTTCGCGTCAACAATAAAATAGCAAGAAAAAATTTGAGAATGAATGACTTGAATATTAAGACAGCCGGGGGTTAATTAAATTGTTCGCCGTGTTTAAGCAGCAGGCCTATTAAAATTGGAGACAAAACCCGCTTTTCTAAATTGATGTCTAACCATTATAATTGGGGGGTTTTTTCCACCCACCAATAATGGTAGAACATCAAATACTCGTTGAAATCCAATTCGAAGTCATCTGAAAAAAAAGATGACTGCTTATTGCCTGCAATTTGATCAAAATTCGATATAACAGATTCATAAATATTTTTCTTTCAAAATATAGTCTGACAAATTATTTAAACAATTTTTGTGAATTATGAGAATTTTTGAAATTGTTATGCGCAGACACTTGAAAGCCAAATTATTTTAATTTAATGGTATTGTCGCACGACTGCGAAAATTGGCTAGAAGACAAAAAAAAATATTTTCACATTTTTTGGCTTTTAGCCAATTTTCCGTTATCGCGCGACGTCGACACTACCGTTGGAAGATTTTGGAAAGATACTCAAAAAAAAACCGCTAGAAAAATGCTTTTAAAATCAATTTCAACCAGTCTCATAAAATTTTAACCCAAAAATCTGGATAGCAGCCAAAATAGTGATTTCATGAGGCAATGCTGAAGACGTAATTTTTTTACTGCATTAAATGAACCCTTTCAATATTTTTCAAATGTTGAAATGCCAAATTCAATACCATTATAGTCAGCGTTCGACTGCTGTATGCGGGTAGATTTACGTAGTGCGCCTTTCGAAATGGTCTCGCCACGTGTGAAGTTATTTTGAAATTTTCACGTAGAGGGTTTAATCTTTCTTGACGGGTTTATCATTTTCTTGAATGCTTAACATCATTGGAATTAAAAACGGAATGATCTCTAAAAAGGCAAAATAATCTGCTAATCCCTGCGAGACCATAGCGACGTCGCATTCACGTAAATCCACCCGCGTACAGCACTCGCCGGACACCGTCTAAATCTAGTTCGTATATACTATATTAGGGAATTTTTGGGGTGTTCGATAAGAGGAAATTATCTCATCTTGGCGAGTCGACGCTATCTCGAACTGCCCAAAAATTCGCTGAGCTTTGAATAGAATTAAACCAATGAAGCCATCATATAGGTAACATTTCATTGAAGAGTGTGAAATTAGAAATTGGCGCATAAATTTTTTAAAAACAATGTGCTCGTACAAATATTTACAAAAGGAATGTTCACATTTAAAACAAACGGGGAACAGACTTGTCAAAAGGTACAATTTCCCACAAATCAGGTTAGTACGAATCAACAACTTTTCATTCTTCAAGTTTAACCGTTTATATCGAAAAATTCGACAAATTGTTTTTATTTTGTTCCATATTCCTAACAGAATGAATCATTAGGAAGATTGCCGATCTGAAAAAAAAATGCGACGACCACACCCAAAACACGTTTTTTTCGGCAATTGATCAATGTACAGTGCGAACATTTAAATTCATTAGGTTGTTCATTTGAATAAGCATGTTATTATTAATGTATTTGTATAATATGTTTTGAAATTGTTTCAAAAGAATGTAAACCCAATTCTTTAAAAATTTTGATGCAATGAACAGCTGCGTCCTTTTTATTAATGCCGGCACAAAAATATTTCAGTCTCGCCGCATTCCACTCTCGCTCAAATATTTTTTTTTGGCTGCTTTAGAATGGTGAGTATAAACTTGTTATTTTAATATTTATAAAATTCGAATTTTTGGGGAATTTAAAATTAGAGTAATTGCCTATCTATGCCGCTGAAATATCGCTGACTTATCTTTCTGAAAACCCAATTCCAAAATTGTTGTTCAACTTAAAATTTCCCAAAATTCTTTCCGATTTCATAATTTCCATCTCGTTATTGTCCGACATTCTCAGCGCACTCTCGAATTCGCACAGTCTTTTGTAAGAGAGAATTCCCGAATTCTCCCGAAATTGGGCGTGTCTCGTGTCGTTGTCTAGCCTCTCCGCACTCCCACACCCACCCACCGCCGCGAGGCTCCCGACCGATCGAACCGAACGACCCAACATACAAATCAATTCCATTCGAGAGAAGAATAGCGAGAGGCAAAAAATAAACGTTTCGTGTTTTCGCAAGACAGGACGAAAATTTTGTTTCCACGTCTGTCGCCTCTCATCTATCATTAGTTAGTGATTATTTCATAGGAACAATACAATAACGCCGCTACCCAAACAAAAATGCCAATTGTGGTAAGTATCTTGACCGCTTCAATTCTTATACATATAATAGAAATGAACTTTTATCACGTTTTAATTGCATTTAATGTAATCGATATTTGCAGAATATTCCAATAAAAATCCTTGGACAGCCACACAGCCATAGTCGAAGCAATTCATCGTCGTCGGTGGATCAGAATCCGCAAGGATCTCAACAACAGCATCAGCAGCAACAACCAGCACCAAACATGCAGAGGGACAATTTTCCGGCATTCTCCAGAAGTCCGATTCCATCGGACTTTGGCGATTTTGGATCATCGTCATTTCAAAATGATGGCGATTGGGCGAAATTCCCGAATTTCCCGCGAGGATTTGGCGATTTTCCAAGTTTCGGTCGTCTCTCGCCGTTTCCACGCGATGATATGAATGGTTCACGGCAGAGTTTTCGTCGCAGCCCGACGCCCAACATGGAATCGCCGTTTTCGACGCTACGACGAAATTCGGCGTCGAATCCGCAACAACAAAACCAACACCACCAGCAACAACCACAGCCACAACAAAATCCACAACCCGCCCAAGGACATCAATCGAGAAAACCGAGTCCCTCGCATAACAATAACGCTCCACAGAGTCGGCCGTCTTCAAAAGCTTCTAGAGAGCGAAAGGAAGTCGAAGTAGGTTCATATGCAGATTTTGGAAAATCGGCAAGAGAAAAATAATATTTTTTTTATATATTTTTACCCAATTTTTATAGATTTCCTTCGCAATAGAAACCAATTAGAAAATTTCAGGTACCTGAGAGACCTGCAGTTATTCCGCTTCCATATCCCGCTGAAAGCAAGAAGCCTGAAAAAAATGCCGATGACGAATCGAACATTGAAGAGAATATCGCGAAAATAACGTTGGGCGAATCAAACAATGCGCGCGAGGCTGATGATATTCCGTCGCCTTTAACGTCGCCGTTGGAGGGAAAGCCGAAACGCGGCAAGAAACTTCAGCGCAATCAGAGTGTCGTCGATTTCAACGCGAAAACCATCGCTTCGCTCGACAAAATTGAAGTCGACGTTGAAGCGATTCGCAAAAAAGCGGCCGAGCTTGAACTTGAGAAGGATCAGATTTTGAAAACTCTTCGAGAGATCAGCATGCACAGCCAAATGTTGAGACTCGCCGAATGTGAGTTGAGAATTTGGAAGCGCAAAACAATTTTTAAAAAATAATTTCAGGTGATCGCGAAGAGATTGAAGCCATTACCGAGCGCTTAACAAAACGAACCGAGACGGTGAAGGTTGCCGTGGAGACGCCGCGAAATGAAGAGCAGAAATGTGCTCTAGAACGAGTGAATAAAATGATGGACAGTTTGATTACTATGATGAAAGAAAATGTTGAGAAGGCAAAGCTGGTATGCGACAAATATAACAAGTTATAATCTTTTGTCAATTTTTCTATTTTGCAGTGCCTTCAAACGTATTTGAATGCTTGCTCAAGTGAAGAAACCACTGGTTCTGTTTGCCAGAATTTCCTTAAAAATGTAATGCAATATTATTATGTAAAATTGTCGGTTTCAGTCGACTAAATTGGGGAAAACTTCGATTTTTTTTGAATGCGCGTACGTTAAAATGCAAAGTACGCAAACACTTCGCGCTTTCGAGACACATTGGCACGTAGCCAATATTTTTTTGAAACCGACAATGCATACGCATAAAAGTAGATTTAATTAAAATTGAATTTGCAGATTATTCAATGCGCTGCCGATGATCAAAAGCAAATCAAACGACGCTTAGAAGGCCTTGTGAAACAAATTGAAGACGCTGAAAAGACAACCGCTGAATTAATTGAAGACGAGAGTGAATAGTCATTTTGTTTAGCACTTTGCTCCCCGTTTAGAATTTCCCTTTCCACAAATTCTAATTAACTATTTCTTCTGATCTTGTTGCCCCCTATAGAAAAATAATAATATAAAAATTCCGTCATTCATTCCTGCTACGGTTTTTGCGCATACAAATTCCATCCCTACCCACCTTCTCTTTTTTTTTCTTCTTTTGAATGCTCAAGCGCTGAACACAATGAATAAATAAGTTCTTTTTTACAAGATAAACGATGGCAAAACACTGAGCATGTAACTAAAATAAATAAATAAACAAGAAATGGACAAAATTGCTTGATTGAGTATCCCGTTTTGACCGTGAATTAGAAATTGTGTATCAATTGAAATAAATTAAAATAAATAATAAATTTGAGAACATTGGAGTTGAGAACATATGATTATTATTTTCCTGAAGTTTTGAAAAGGTATTCAAGTTGGGGTGGCACCGTGGGCAGCAGATCTGCAGCCGGTTGGAAATTCTTTGCGAATTTCAAAAACTGAAAATTTCGAATTAGTTGAATATAATTGTATTTTTTTAAACCTGGTCTTTAAATACATCCATTGCTCCAGCAGTGTTCGCCCACCTCTGTAGACGTTGCAAGTTGTCCAAACCGATCGTCCGATCGACATGTCCCAGCAGTTTTGCTTGCGAGTCTAATTTTTGGGATCCAAGAGCCACTGAAGATTCAATTCTTTTAAATTGGCAATTTCCAATGCTGATTACCTTCAAGAATATCAATAGCAGCGGTTTCGACAGGTGTTCCGTGCTCGAAATGCTCAATTACTTGATTGAATCCAAGGTCAGCCTTGTTCAGTACGTTTAAAAGTGCCGAGGGTTTCACCTGGAAAATTTTATGAATATGCTTTCCCTCAAAAAATGGCAAAATTTACCGTCGTCACTGGATTCTCCGTCACGTCTTCTCCGGGCCTCCTATTATACGGCGCTTTTCCGGCGGCAGCGCCACCCAATCCAACAGCCGGCACTGGCGGTGGTGCAGCGCCGCCAGGAAACACGGCCGGTCCGTAGCCGTCTCCCGTTGGTCCTTTCGATGGAGTCAACGCCGATTCACCTGTGAAGTAATCCTCTTCCGACGGCTTTGGAGCTTCTCCGCCAAAATCCGGATCGGGTGTTGGCGGCTTGTTTGCTGCGAATGACGACGGCACTGCTCCACCACCTCCACCAAACGAACCGCCACCTCCACCAAATCCGCCGCCTCCTCCACTTCCGAATCCGCCGTTTCCAAATTCTTTGGGTGGTTGCACGGCGCGAAGTCCAGAATTTTGAGGAATCACAGCTGGCACGTCTTTGTCAAAATCTGGGCTGGGCTGCTTTCTGAAAAGCAAAAAAGTTCAAATGACTTCTCACTATTCAAGTTATTTTATGAGCTCAAACTGAAAATGAAAAAAATTTTTCGCAAATTGCAATTAAATTTAAAGAATTTTGGGCCTATTTCAGGGTCTATGTAGGAAAAATAAGAAAAAATAATGTTGAAATTCTCTCAGTCAAAAAAAATATTTTCCTGCATTGAGCAAATTCCCTCCCACAAGCTGATTTTAAACTTTTTCTAATAATTTATTTTTTTCCCCATTTTTGATAGAGTTTTTTTTGAAGGCCATTACAAAATGGGTTGAAGAAAAATAGTTGTTGATAATCGTTCTTACATATACTATGTTAGATTTTGATTTTGAAGCCTACTTGTATTTTATTCTTGCCTCGTTTATCAAAGGTTTAATTACCCAAGTTTGAGCTGTCAAAACATAATCCAACAAGCCTAAAAATTTAATTTTATTTGCTATTTTTTTCAATGTTCCTTCAAATTTGTGACTATTAGACTTTTTTAGGGGTTCATCAATGTCCTCGTAAAAATGTCACAAAGGAGGATGTGCGATTTGGCCCAGAAATTTGAATAATTTAGGTCAGACGCTGTTTTATTTCTTAGCGCGAAAATAATAAAAATTTTCGTATGCGCTTTTAATGGATACCGTAATCTTCAAGGATAGTCAATAAAAATTGTGCGAAGCCAAATGTTCCGATTTTGATCTAGACTCCTACTGTCTACGACAATCTTCAGAAAATATAAGAAAATTTCGAATTCAATTGAAAATTCTGAATCACATGCCGTTAGACTATAGCAAAAAAAGACGCATGCTCGTAAATCAACCCTTCAGCGAACGAACCTTTGAACAACTTTCTTCGGTTTTGGTGTCGTCGTGGTTTTTGATGTCGTCGTTGTCGCTGGCGTTGTAGTGGATTTTTCCCCATTCTTCGTATCCATTTTATCGGCTGGCACGTTGAAATTGAACGTGTCACCGCCGACACCAAATCCAACATTTTGGAACTCTGGCGGTAATTCGGATGGTCCGAATCCGAATCCGGCTCCCGAGTCTAATCCCGAATCGCCGCCGGATTCGAATCCGGTGCCACTATCAAATTCTTCGACCGGCGTCGCCGTTGTCGTTGTCGTCGTCGTCGGATGACGCGATGGAGTCGTCGGTGGAACATAAGGAGTGGTAGTGATCAGACGAATCGGTGTGGCCACAGTTGAGCTAACACCATAACCAAATTTGACTCGCGCATTATTCATGAACGGCGTTAGATTGGGATCTTCCGGTAATGGAAGTTCCGCCTTTTCTCCTAAAAATATCTGAAATAGCAAACAATGTTATTTTCAACATAATTAATTGGGATTAAGGTAGATCAAAAAATGACCCGAGTCGGCCAGTTGGCCCACCGTAATTGAGATTTTCAACCGACAAGTAAAGCCACCGAATTCCTACTTAGTCACCAAAACCAGAATAAAATAAAAAAAGAAGAACACAAAAACGGAAAAAAAGTATTGAAACGAACCAGGACGACGAATTCTCAACCGAGGTCGAACGGACAAAGTCTCCTGAGTAAATTTGACGCCTTTAAGAACTGGGCGAGTTCTCGAGTGATAGTCTCCCGAAGGCTGAACGTCGGCGGGAATTGGTTGTGGGACTCGTTTGAGGAACGTCTCATCTTCTGAACAGTAATAAACATGGATGGGATTGTCCCCCACAACAAACACATTGAATTCCCCGTTAGGAGGACAACGACAATCGAAAAGCGACACAATGAAGTTTACCTTGATCGACCGGATTGACAACATGAAGAATTGGCTCGGTCACATGAGGTAATTTTGGTTTATTTTCAACTCGAGGAACATTCAACTGCCGGATTGGATATGATGTCGTCGCCTCTTCTTTGGATTCGCTATTCTGTCGGTATGGATATGTAATAGTCTTGAAGTTGATTCCAAGTCTTTTCCAGCGCGCCTCAAGAACACCAAAGATATCATAGATATTATCGAAACGAATTCTACCTCGATTCGTCTTCTTTTAGCTTCATCTATAGATCCTTCGAAATTTGATGGGTTTTGTATTACGTAATTCGGTCTCGTTTCCTCTGACGAATCCTTTCCATCCGAGATGTCGACAGTGTTTCGAAATCGTGGCGGAACATGGGCTCTTGGAGGCGAGAACTCCTTAAATTGGTCTATTGTCGAATTCTTAAAGGGTACAGAGGGAGAGAATTTGAAGTTCGTAAAAACAGTGTAGATTTACGCGGCGTGTCAATCAACCATGTAGGGCGTGTGTTTGAATTGCCGCCGCCCGCTAATAACAACAACAACGAAAAATGCCCGCAGATGTTCGCAATGGAGTTTTACTTGTTAAGAAGTAAAATTTTATTGAGAGCAAAAGTTAAATATGTATCAAAAGATCTCTATTTAAACCCACTGACTGGCAATATAGAGGAAATTAAAAATCCGTTTTTTAATTTATGAGCATTAGCTTCTTAATTGTACAAAAGCACATGTAGAAGGAATGTGAAAAATTGTGAATTCAGAAAATCAAGAATTATATTGGTGCTTAAAATACCTGTTCAGAGCTATCAACCGAAAATCGAGTTGGCTGCCGTCGTCTATCAACTATTGCGTGAGTTGGAGAATGCGCAATGTCCGATGGAATCGGGCGAAGCATTCGCAACCTACGAATCCCATAGAGTCGACGATGAGAGTAGGGCGCATCACCAAATTGCTGTTATCAATATTAAAATTCTTAAAATGATTTTCCAGAACTTACTGCAAATATTGTGGATGCATTTAGTAAGATTATCAATCCGAAAAACCTAGACGGCATTTTCGCAGTTGATAAAACACTTTTCGTCGTTTTTTTTTCTGCTATCAACTTTTAATTACGTCGACTCTGAAAATAATAAAAGAGAGGTTTGAAGGAATCCCTTTTTTCAGATTCGATATAAGAAATTCAACGAAGATGGATGTCAATGGAAATTGTGAACGATAGATCAACATATCTCCAAGCATGAAGAGAGAGAGAGAGAGATTTTGCGACAACCGTGTGTCTCATTGGAATGAAGCTGCTGGAGGCGCGTACAAGAAGCACACACGTCTCCTGTAGAGTGAGAGAGATGGCGAAACACTGTGCGGGATAATGAAACGAAGAGCGCCGGGACAGGATTACAGAAGAAAAGATGTACATAAACGGCGAATAAGCAAAGGAATCAAGAGAAATAGAAACCATTGAATGGATGGATACAAATTTGTGTGTTGTTGCAACATTATTCCATCGTTCGCATAATTGAGATCTAGAAGATAACAATCCGAACAAAAAACGTGTAAGAAATGGGCGATTGGTAGAAATTTTAAAGCATAAAAAATAGGACTATTTTAATGCCATTTTTTATTTTTAAAATAAAAATAAACATTTATTCAAATATATTTTATTGGAATGTTGGCAACAAACATAAGAGATTGAAAAAAAAGAAGAAACAACAATAAATTAGAAGTCGGTGGATAATATTATTACGTTTATAGGGGAGTGATGCGCTAGCGCGAGACAATGCGCTGAGAAATGAGATGAAGCTTCAGCGTGAACGAGATTTGCGAATCATACAAGTGAAACGGTGAAATAGAAATCGATGCGCGAAATAATCGCACTTGTCGGGATTTGATTCGATTTCACAGAGATTTCCCCCCTCTTCCTCACGTCTTCTTCTAGACACCATGGACTTTTACAATAGATTAGGCCGAATAGTGAAATCAAATTTCAATAGAAACACACGAACCGCCCTCGGTCGGTGAGGCGCGAGAATTGTGGCGAAACGGGAATCGAATCGAATCAACGAACATGGTGTGGTGGACGAGTCTAGTTAACTGTGTGAACGCGGCGAATGGCAGACTCTGAAAATGGAAGTCACAAGTGAAAAGTGTAATGGAATGATGAGAAGGAGGTGGAAAGGATTTGCCCTAACAGGATATTTGCAGTGTGTAATATTGCGGATTACGTAGGGGGTGGGGGCACCACGATTGAGTGCTTTCTCTGATATCGAACACGATGAAATCAGCGTCTATTTGATCGTAAGCTTCTATATATACTTTACAAATACGCCAAAAGGAACTGGATCAAGATAATAACATGAAAAAACTTTTTAGAGGGAATGGCTGGGCTTGGCTTTTTAAATAATTCAGAAGAACAAGAGAACGCAACAGAAAAGGTTTGAAAAGAAAAATATGAAATTTAGAATCTACATTCGTCTTAATCCAGTGTGATTTGAATTTTTTTCCCTTTCACGCAAGAAACGGGCCGAAATGTTTGGAATGCTATGATTCCTGCTATCATGGAAATTCGTTTTACAACTTTTCCCTATTTTTCTTCACATCGATTCTTCGACGAATCACCAAAATACTAACAAAGTAGGTTCCTAAGATTCTATGTTAGTTTATAAACTTTGTGTGTATATGTATTTGTGTAATGTTGTTTGCTATTGGGTATTCATGTTATACGGCAAAATATAATGCTATACGTTTTCTGACGATAACTTTTATTATTTTTTCATCCTTCATTTTTACTACTAAATAAATCCTTGTCGTGGTATTTTTAAAACATTCCTAAACAATCAAATTCAACGGAGATATCATGTTACAGACGGTAAAACGTTGGTTGTTGCATCAAGTGCTCTTTCAATCGTTTCGTTTTATTTATTTGACTGTGTAACATTTATATTGAAACATTTTTCACCCTTATCTAATCGAAAACGCCAAAGTTTTGGGGAATTTATTCTGACTACGTCTATGTGCTTTTATATCAATGGTTTCTATTGATTTTTAAGACATTATTGAATACTTCATTCCTGAAAAAAAACGCGGCTAACAGAATTGATCGTCACGAGACCAGCTATATACTACATGCGTCGTCGCAAACCATATTCACAATTGCTTTTGAAATTTAAGGAAAAAAACTCGGAAAGTAATTTATAATTCACTAATTCTAGGTTTTTTTTTCATTAGAGATAGAATATATAGATTAAAGGATCTATGTAAATAAATTGGGTCTTGTGGCGATCAATTCTGGAAGCCGATTACTTCCTTTTTTGTAAACTGACTATTGGTATAAATTTCAGTTTTCTTGCTCATTGTCATGGACGATCGATATACCGATACCATATTGCGATCAACAAACGTCAAAACTGCCATAGAACGCTTTGAAAAGCGTGGACCTGAATCTCGTTCAAACGAGAATTCAGTATCGAGCGACCTTCTTCCCCAAATTGCTCCTCAGCGTGACGATATTAGCTTTAGAAGGTCGCAAATATTTAACGCGGAGCAACCAACAAATTTCGAAAGCGGTTTTCGTCCTCTAAATTTTGGAAAAGGGATTCAAGGAATTTATAACTCTGCGAATGATTTGCCCACTACGAGCACCATAAGCCAGCCATTGGCGCTTCATTCTGATGAAGACAGGAAGCAATCTTTCGATACATTGCCGACATCAACTTCAAAACAGGAAACCGCCACATCAAACATGGTACTTTAAAAAATTAATTTTGGGCCCAAATCATTGGACGAAACACGCAGGTTTTTTTTTTGAGGAAAATCACAAATTTGTTCTATTTTTTTCGTTACGCTGCGTTGAGAAAAATCACAAATTCTTTCTGTCATTGTTTCCTCCAACACTTTGTCACTGATTTTCCTAAAATCCGCTTTTCTTCAAAATCTTTTGCCCGCAAATGTGCGTCGTTTGCCGCGCATGCAGACGGAGTTTCGTTTTTTGAATGTTTGCGCACCTTATCATGTTCAAACGTACTTTCCGCTGAATTGGATTCATTCCTTTTCTATTATATCAAGCAGTTTCTATGGATTTTTCGACACTCAACTCGGATCCCGACGTGAGTTTCTAGAAGATCTGTAATTTTGAAAAATACTTATATAAATACTTCGACGTTAATATTTTCTCAGAAACTTCTGAAAGTTTATATCTCTGCGTACTTCTCTGTTCAATCAAGTTTATCATAAGATTTGCATTCCAATCGGAATTCGTGAATCACCGCTTCTCCAAAAAGGCATTAATTTGAATGTGTATTGTCAAGGACGGGCGATTTGAGAATATTTGAATCGCGGATTTCTTTTGATTAGCCATGTAAAAATAAGATCGTAGTCGTTTATATATTTTAGTTCATTAAGAAATGAGAAAAAATGTCAATTAAATGAATATATATACATATTTGATCACATTGCTCCCTGTAAATCAAATCATTCCGCGAAGAATCAAAGCCCAAGTGTTTGGACAATTCGTTTGTTAGTTGGGGAGGTTTACGCTGCTGCTGTTCCTTCGCCGGTGTGACAGGCAACCCTTGACCGCGAATGAGAGAAAAGAGACGGCTAATTTTTGCGGCAACAGTATGAGGTAAAACAGCGAGTGAAAACTAAACACGAGACCGCAGAAACACGGATTCCATAGATGAATGAGAGACGGCGATAGATGCAAACGAAAACGGTTTGGGTCTGTATGTTCGCCTGCGACATTCCTCGGTTTCATGCACGTTTCCCTATTTATATATAACATTGATAAATATATGCTATTAAATTACCGATATTTATTTATGAATTATTAAAATTCCTTTATTAGACTGTATATAACACTGAAAAAAAGCTAGTATAGGAAGCTCACATCAAATCAGTAGACAATAAATTGTATAAATTGTATTCAGTATTTTTTTTTCAAGAAAAACTAGTGTAGTGAAGAAGTCAATAATATTTCGTGGACATACATAGCAATAGATTTAGCTACATATTGAATCAACATCGACTCGTTTGTTTGAATATTGCACAATTCGAGATGAATCATTCTAATAGTCAAGAAGAAAAGGCGGTTTATGCGAACATTTCCTTGCGAGCGAGTTTTACAACTTTTGTCAAATACTCCAACAATGATTTCTTTGAAGAACAATATATTTGATAATATTTCAGAAACTGGATCCCGACCAAATTTTCACGAAACAAGAGCGCATTGGTCGCGGCTCTTTTGGAGAAGTTTATAAAGGAATCGATAATAGAAATGGAAGAGTAAGCGTATATTGTTCTACTTTCAATATACCCATATTCATTCAGGTTGTTGCCATAAAGATAATCGATTTGGAGCAGGCAGAAGATGAGATTGAAGATATTCAACAAGAAATTCAGGTTTTAAGTCAGTGTGACTCACCATACGTTACGAAATATTATGGAAGTTTTTTAAAGGTTTTGAAAATATTTTTAGAAAATATTAAAATTTTAAATTTTCAGGGATCAAAACTATGGATTATTATGGAATATCTTGGCGGTGGTTCAGCACTTGATTTAACAAAGGTATTGTAGTTTTGTGCTAAATTTTTAACCAATACTTAAAATTTTTCAAAAGAGCATTGAGAAAAATACATTTTTTCCTTATATGAAAACATCGTAATAAATGAGCTGGGACATATAATAAACTAAAATTTCTGATTTTTCTCATATTGTTTTTTTAGAGCGGAAAACTCGATGAAAGTCATATCGCTGTGATTTTACGCGAGATTCTCAAAGGACTTGAATATTTGCATGGTGAAAGAAAAATTCACAGAGATATTAAAGGTTTGTAGTTTTTCTTTAAATGTTCAACTAAATTGCATACTAAACCTGACAAATCAATTGTTGCGTTTTCTTAATGGAAAAACGTTTGGTTCAGGTGCAAATATTCTTTTGGACCCCAATACAGCCGCTGTAAAAATATGTGATTATGGTGTTGCAAAAAGCCTAGCAACTATACGTAAAGCCAACACATTTGTTGGAACACCATTTTTTATGGCACCTGAGGTGGTAAAAGGCGATTATAGTTTTGAGGTATATAAAATACATTCGTGTCTCCTGCCTAATGTCCATCTCATCGCAAAATCCTATTATTGCCATCAACGATCACCTGTGTTTACCCCCTATGTTTCAGCCGCGAACGTTCTCGTCAGCGAGCATGGAGATGTGAAAGTTGCCGACTTTGGAGTCGCTGGGCAATTAACTGAAACTGTGAAGAAACGAATCACATTTGTTGGTTCGCCGTTCTGGATGGCACCGGAGCTCATTAAGCAAGCCAGTTATGATTATAAGGTACCTACCCTTTGTTCATTTTACCCCTTGTTGTATTCTGACCATATTTATGTGTCAAGGAAAAAGTATGGTTTTAGTGAAATATGGGCATATTATACTTTATTATTGGTTTTATCTTAAACCTATAATTTAGGCTGACATATGGTCTTTGGGAATCACTGCCATCGAACTAGCTAATGGCGAACCCCCTCACTCGGATCTTCATCCCATGCGAGTGCTTTTCCTCATTCCCAAAAATCCGCCGCCTTCTCTCACTGGTCCGCAGTGGTCTAAGCCGTTCAAAGAGTTTGTCGAAATGTGCTTGAACAAAGATCCCGAAAACGTGAGAAAAAATTTTGTTGTAGATTTTTAACGACTGATACGTAAATTTTTAAGCGTCCTACTGCAACAATGCTCCTCAAACATCCGTTCATAAAACGCGCCAAGAAAAACAGCATTCTTGTGGAACTGATTGAAAGAGCCGCGGAATATAGGTAAGGATTTTAAGTTGAAACTTGAGATAAACTTGGTGAAAATTTGGTCAATCGAATTTTCGACAATGAAATGTTAAAATCCGTTAATGTGGCGTTGATTGGTTGACTGTCCCCATCTAAAGAGATAAAATAATCGGCAATTGTTTGCAGCCGAAACATTTTCTTTCATTTTTGTTAAGATTAAAATTATTTTATATGAACTTTATTATTTTAAGTGTCAAAGTTATTTCCAACGTTTTTAAAGTTTCGTCTGGTTTTCACATAAATCACGACGATCTACAGTTATGTTATATACAAATAATTATTTCCAAAATTTCAAAATGCAATACATATTATGTTTCTTTCGAATTTGTTGTGGATTATCGCTCACTTGTTGCTACAATTATGAAACCTGATTAGTTGATTTTTTTATAGAGCGCGTCTTGGTGTGTCCAGTGACAGCGATTTGGACGACGATAGTGATGGTGGTGGTGGAACAAGCAAATGGGATTACCCAACGGTTCGTGGTCCTCATCAAACGGTTGACGAGGGAACGGTGCGACAACGCACCGATAGGCCTCGTGCGTCACTAAACCGTCGATCGCCAAGCCGAAGTCCGGGAGGAACCATAATTCGAGGATCTCCTCAAACCGCTCAACTGCTTGATAAATTGAGAACAACGTCGTTGACATCAAACTATGGTGGATCCGCTGGAAATATTTCTTATTATCCTAGCGGAAATTCGTCGACTGGAAATGGCGCTACTACAATTACATTAGGCAGTCCGAATGGAAGCCCGGTAAGCGCATTATTTTTCGTGTAATTTTGGAAAAAGACAAGTTTAGACTTCGTCAATGGCTCGCACTCAATCAACGATGTCGCCAACAACTCAAAGGTTGTCAACAGCTCGCGAGTTAGATCGAAACAGGCCATCAAGTGAGCGTGCCGTGTCGACGCAAAGTTATGAAAAACAAACTACGAACGGAAATGTAATTCTAGCGGGAAGTGGCGGTCGAAAAGATTACTCAGATTTTTCTGGACCTGCGCATTCTTACGACGCGTATGCAGAGGTAATATTTAGTTTATAGTTTTTTTCAAATTAAACTACCGTACGGCGACTTCTGTTTCTTAATAAGAGGAAATTTCTAAATTTGCCATCACTTAAACCTAGATCGGAGATGTGCCGGGAAATTTCCCGAAAAAATAATCGATTTCCTTTGCTATGGTCTATCTTAAAAACCGGTTGGTATAATTGCATTACATAATATTTTCAGACCTCGAATCGATCCTCTGATTCTGTTCAACGAGCTGATTATCCAACGTCGTCAGTTCCGCTACCCTCATCAATACAGGAAAACATTAATCGTTCGCGAAATTATAATGCTTCTGGTCATAACGGTATGGAGAACGTCATTCAATTGCCAAGGAAAAAGGTTAAATTTAAATGCAAATTGTCAAAAACCTCATTTATTTTTGCAGGGGTCTCTTGAATACAGTCTACTACCGGCCCTTGAGCAACTTTCTCGTACGCGCCACGCTTCGGCGGCATTAGATCAGCTAAGAAATGCATTGAAAGAAGCAGAAGATGCCTCTCCTGGATGTTGTAATCAATTAATCGACGAGCTTCTGAAGAGGATTGCCGTACCACAAGTACAGAAAAATCTCGTTATTTATTTAAAGTGAACGAAAAATTTTGTTCAGGTTAACCAATATGAATTGAATGCAGCCATTCGTCGTTTAAGCACACCACCTTCGTAATTTCGACGTAGACAAAGGAAAACGGAAAGAGTTGTGAATTTTTTTTCTTGAAACTATACTTCTGTATTAAGAATGCTGTTAATCAAAAGTTAGATAAATGGTATTGTCCTTCTTGAACATTAGAATTTCTCCTGTCTGTAGTTCTCATAAATCCTACTTTGATACGACCTTTATTTATTTATTTTTCGTTCAATTCCTCATGCTCCTCATTATTTCATTCCTCTTTCTTTAGTATAATGCAATGTTTTCGTTTTTTCGTTCGACTTGTAAATACTACGACTAGAGTTTCAAACGTTTCACATACCTGTTTCGATCTTCCCGGTCTCTCAGTTTTTGTTTTGTTTCTCCTTTTTCAAAAATACTTTTTTAGTGGGTTTCAATTAAAAAAAGACGAACTTTGGTATGATTCTTATATTTGTTGCTAATCGAACGAAAATGGTTTTGATTATTTTATTTAAACTTTTTTGTTCTTATGTCATTCAATATTCATGGATTTTCGCTTTTTTACTCGTCACTTTAATTTATTTTAATTATTGAAACGTGGTCCCATTGCTCCAAACAATTTTAGTGATGTTTTTCCTCGTCAATATCGTCGATTGATGTTGTATTATTTAAAAAAATCAATTTACCTTTGTCTGCAATATAGATATTTTTTCAGTGAAGATAATAACGCAATTGTGAATAAATGATTACGAATTCTATGATGGAGGCAGTTTTTTTCTACAAATTTTGTTGTCAATCAAGTATATTGAAGTTGTAAATGAGCACCGATAAAAATAGGCGAATGATAGATTAGACCAATAATTATTACAACAAATGAGAGCGTTCAATTTCTAAGGAAGAAAATTAATTAAACATTGGGTGTTCTCATCGATTTATAATCGACCCGAATTATAAGTTTTCCCATATACATGTTGAATTATGGGCTTGGATCAGATAAAGCTCAAACATCAGTCTACGGATCACCTTGTAAAAGATGTTGCTTTAATAATGCGGTGTAAATTGTCCCGTATTGGAAGAATACTGAAGAAAATTCGAATTGGATTATTTTCTTCATAAATTGGTCTTCTTTTCCTCGTCTAACTCAAATGATCGGAATTTCAAAAAATTGCAAACGAATATGAAAAGTGATCAATCGGTCACGTGAAAGTTTGAATCCGATCCGAAAATCGAATCAATTCGGCAATCTGATCCACAATTTTGAAAAGAAACTCTAAAAACAACTATTCTGATTGGCAGAAAAAAACTTTTTTTTTCAAAATCTTCATAGTATCATGTGTTATCAGAATCTGTTATCGGCCCAATTTGGTATTTTTCAACAATTTTGGAAAAATAAATATACAAAACTAATCGCGTGTTTTGATAAGTCTGCAGATATTGAAACGTTTGAAAATCCTTATATCCTCATTTGCAAAAGAAGTTGGATGAATACCAACTGTTGCGCGACCATGCGGGCTGGTTGCGTTCACCGTCTTTTTCGCCCGCACCATCTTATCCCAACGCATTCTTTATATTACGCGTGTTGCTTCGTTTCTATGTGTAGAAATTTGAAAATTTACAAAGAAAATCATTTGTCAAACGATTAATTTTTGCAGACCCATCGGGTCGAATAAATGGATAGAACATGGACTGCTTGGATATTTATCTTGTTGATCCTAACCGATGAAATCACGTCAGTGTATCACTGGAAAATCGATAACCAAAAAGGGAAAATCGTTGCAGTAGTGAGTTCAATATCTAGGTCATTTTAACACTAATATTATTTATTACTAACTAAACTGATATCCATTGTCGGAATCTGAAAATAACATACTAGCGGTGTTACTTTTAACCAGAAATTTTAATTTATTGACTAAAGCTATTTAATTAATTTATTAATCTTCGACTTGTAGACAAAAAAATAAAAGAAAAATGACGTCGAATTTGCTGTTATTCATTAATTGTAATCTTGCGTCAAAAATTGCGAAGATACGAAATTTTGAAAAAAAAAAGTATTAAAAATCCAAGAACTGTGTTTTGTGGATTCTAGTAAGCGTTCTCTTTTCAGAATTAGACCATAACGATATTTTATTAATCGAAAACCTCGTAGAAATAGTAATTCATGCTGTTTAAAATTGTTCACCATACTGAGTTGCACGAAATTCCGCTTCCGGTCAGAATTTCCGCGAAAATCGCGGGAAAATGTTCGCCGCAAAGCGGAAGCAATTTATCTCGATTTTCGTGGCTGTTGTTTGACGGAAGAGAAGAAAAAATGATTTCCGCGTAACTCTGTTATCGCATCGTGATTAAAAATCAGCATATTGTGATTAAAGGAATATTGCGAATTGTTTCTTTCGAATTATTTTGGAGAATATGAATTGAATTGATTACAGAGAAACTCACCATATGACTTGCATAAATCAGGCTCCCTGATAACCTTAATTGACCAAGTGGAAAATGTCAAAAATTCGCCTGAAAATTTGAAAGTTTTGGAAGATTTTATGGTATGATGTTAATATTATAATGGATGGACGATTACGTATCAACTTAATTCAGGAAGAGTTGGATGAATACGATAAGAAGGTTGAGCACATTGAGCAGACCTCGTATGCGTGCCAGTATGGTTATTTTCAATAAAATCACAACAATATCGAAATTCAGATTCAAAAATAAAAACGCATTACCGGAATCTGTATTGATGTCGGCAGAAATCTGTCCGTCTTATCAGTCGTCTCTGAATGCGTATCGCATTTACGTAAGAGAGCAATTGCGTGATGTTGCGGTTAAAGCTTTTGTTGGCGAGCCGAGATGTGTTTTCGATACGCCGAAAAATGACAAACGACAATGGCTTCATGTAAGAATGAAATATTTATGAATATTATTTAGTTGTAAGCATTGAACTGCGTTTGAAGTGTTGCTAGTAAAAAAAAAAGAAAAATTTCGGATGGTACAGTCCTAATATTGCAAAGAACTCAAAAAAAAATTAAATAAACTCTCAATCCCTTGAATAAATTGCGGAAAAACTTTTTTTGTTTTCCAAGGCTTTGTAAAGCAAAAAACCGCATAGCAATATTACAAACATTATTATTGGTTTTTGCTTGGTCGGCCCCTTTTGAGGTTTTTTTTTTAATTTAGCAGACTCTGTCCGATGATAATGCCAGTTCCCCTCCGGATCCTCTCTACGTCAAACTGCTGCCTTTCTATTTTCCAAATAATTATGGGAAAGATCCCGTGAACAAAACTGTATTATCTGGAACTCTGTCATTTCTACTAAATCATCCCAATGAGGTATATATATATATATATATATACATTTTTTTAATTTAACTATTTCAGAAAATTTCCAAACATACATATCTCCACATGGCAGCCGCTGCATATTGGAGAAGTGAAGGAAAAATGAAGAATGCGCTTGATTGTTATTTGTCAAGCTGGGATTTAGCGTATGTTTACTCTGAATTCATGTATGTAGATAACAGTTAAGTTTAGAACAATCAAACAGGGTTCGGATTATCCAGATCTTCGTTCGCCGTTAATTGAGCCTGTGTATTTTATATCTATAGCGTCAGCTTTCAATCATTCCTTGTTAACTAGCAACCATGATGACATCTTCAATATGCTATTAAAGGTAGATCAATTTTTTTCCGATAGAGGGTTATTATTGAATTAAGGATGTCCTAAGCGATATAAATGTGGATCCATGCGTTCTTGGAATGGGAAACTACATTGCCGGAAAAATAGCAGATTTTCGAAACATTCAAAACGTTCAGACAGCTATAGTGGAAAATACAATGTTTTCATTCAAAATGACATCGGAGGAAAGACAGAATGATGCGATTCAAAACGGCTTGAGGCATTATGTCAACGCGGGCCATTTTTTAAGCATTGAAAAAAATGGCAATTCGAAAAGAGCGGAATTGATAAAAAATGCGATACGTGTCAACACTTTTGACGGCTACATGAAATTATGCCAACTTCAAATTGAAAGCATCGAACGACCTCAAGAAGTAAGCTATAGTATTGGAATTTTAGAAAAACAATGTTTTTGGTTGAAGGTTTCTTTACCTATAGCGAGTCATGTGTCATTTCCCAGAACCAGAAGACACCATTCTCTGTTCTACAATACTTTCAAATATGGATATAATAATTGTAGGATTATTTTAAAAAGAAAATTCCGGAATAATATTGGTCTGGACTTTAGATATAAAATGCTTGCCGGATGTTTATAATCGAAACTGCAATTCGCGGAACTCACAGCAGAGCTTAACAACATTCATGATTTGCAAGGTGCTTACTCAATATGAAAACTGTTTATTTTAGTAATATCTTTCAGGCAGATTGGTATCGCTATAAGAGAATAATGCAAATACGGCGGAAAGAAACAATAGGCAATCGACCAGTAGTGAGTAGATTTAAAATGTTTCTTTCAAAGTACCGAATATTCAGATCAACGAGACTTCGTGGAAGTTGGCAGAAGTGTTCCCACGAAGTCGAACTTTTGATAAAAATTGGAGTCAGTGGAGTAAAACCAAAAAATCGTTAAGAATGATCGCGCCAAGATATTCCGATTTTGAGTAAGCTTATTCTTTCGGTATTGCGAAAATCCATGGAGTACGGTGGGGGGGATTTGTTTGAATTGTTTGCGTTTTTATTTTTTTTCTAAATTTAGAAGCAATGTTACCATGGGGCCATGGCGACGTACGGATTGGCCGAACTCGGTAGATTGTCAGCGTGTTGTTTCAATTTCGAATCCGTTTCGAGCCAACACGTTCCCACAAATATTTTTATCACCGGAAAATCGCGGATATGTGTATGTTTATTTTCAATTTTGGCAATTAGCGACTGCTCTACGTGAGTAGATTTACGAGCATTCGTTTGCACGCTCTCGCCACAGCAGAATGTTTTTCTCTTGATGAATTTAGAATTTCCTTGCGACTATAAAATATTTCAAATAACATAGCTGCATATAATAATCGCCAGTGGCCGACTGATAGTTTTCTTTAAATCTTTTCTTTGTGCATATTTTATTTACTTTAATCTTGTTTGAAAATTTGACGAAAAATTGGCGATTTTAGAATCTCTGAACTCCTAACAACTGAAATATCCATTTCGCAACATGAAAATTTACCGATGCCATGGTTGGAACCGAAATGCCAACGATTGAATGACGATGTATTCTTGGAGTTTAAAACGGTTTTTTAAATTTTAATATAATAGTCAATGTGATTTTCAGTATTCTTCCATAATAAAGCTTCGAGAAAGAAAATACAATACGAGACGAAATATTTACGCTGAAAAAACACTTAAAACGGTTTTGACGCGCTTAGCTGATCGAGTTCTCGACGAGTTTGAAGTTGGAGCACGAATCAACATATTGTTGAATTATGTAAGTTATAAACTAGATGTGTATAGCAATATGAGCGGGTATGCACTTTTGCGATGGTCTCAATAGGCGATCATGAAAATTAGGAAGAGACCATATCGAAAAACGCATGCCCGTGAATCTACCCATATATTGCCGGACGCCGAATATACGAATTTTTAAAGAATATTGGACCAAAGTGGGTGGCTATGAACCTCGCTGCTTTATATTGGAGAGTCGTGGGGAATCCATACGAATCAACAAATTGCCTCATTGGAGCAATAATTGAAAATGTAATTGGTATAATTGAGCGTCAGAATCCAACTTAAAATTTTAGCGTGACGAATCTTTCATCGCCCTAGTTCAATTAGCTCAGGTTATTGTCAAAGCCACTGGGAATGTGATTGAAGCAAATCAGCTAGTAACGGATTACGCGAATCCTATAGCATCGCGTGAAGTTTATATCCTTCAGAGAATTATAGTGAATTTAGCAATTTTTAGCCAATGTACCATTATATCCAAGGTCGATTGAATCTTCTTATTCACAACGTCGACAAAGCCATTCAACATTTCAAAGATGCGCTCGATCGAGAGCCGAAAGAAGTAATCATTGCTGAGGATTTGCTAAAAATTGCTTGTAGTGGAAAGGTTTTTTTGTTTCTTGTTGTTTTAATTTAAAATCGGGGGATTCTAGTCCACGAAGCCGGCGATTTCATCGCAATTTCCGACGGTATGTTGTTCACCAGGTGTACAGAACGCCGTGTGTATCAAAGTAAGCACTTGAAAATATTTTTTATTTTTTACCATTCGGTTATCAGTCACGCAAGGATGCCACTGAAGAATGTTACATCGTTGACATGCAGTCATCGAATCAACGGAGCAAATTGATATATCATCGCTGTAATGGCGTCTACACTGGTCAAAGTAAAAGGACTGCAGATTTTGCCAACATCGTCTCGCCATTTTTGCTAGTTTTCAATACCAGTAAGTCGCTTTTTTATTGTTTCGCGACTCGAAATCACACCTTGCTTAAATTAAGTTCATCGCAAAGATGACGTTTCGATTTGGGCGAATCACGCGGATGGCATTCAAACAGTTGAAACGCACGAGCTGCCACTGGACTATGGTGGGACAGAGGGATTTTTTGTCAAAAAACCAGCCGAATGGTAGATAGATATATTTTTTCTCGACAATTGAATTCATAAAACAATTTTTTTAGGTGGGATAGTGCAAAAAATGAAATGAGATATATTTTACCATCAACCGAAGAAAAAATTGATGAGTGGGAGGAGGAATGGGAAAGCGATCATGCTCAAATACCGCCGGTAAGCCGATTTTGTAACAATTATCATTTCGGTTTTGACACCAATTTTATCAGAAACCGCTGTCATTTCTCTGGATTCGCGAGAAAAGCCTTATGATGCAATTTGACACAAAAACCCCTTCGTATCTTCCACAACCATCGTTGTCGCAAATTCGTAGGGGTCTTGCAATTTTTCCGCCACCGCGGGTCGCAACGATGTCTTGCAACACCGTGGCGAAGCTCGACGTGCTATTCGATAATCCGCCATCGACGTGGGTGTCGGTGACGGCGAAAGGTGAAGATATTCAAAAGTACATGGATCTCAGAGGACCGATGCCGTCAATCGCGTCGTTGCAACCAGTGTGTCCATCAATGGGTAAATATTTATGTGATTATATAATTATTTAAACATATATAATATATTCAGACAAATACGAGAATTCACCGGTACTCGGCCTTGATCATCTCCCAGTTTTTGCACTTAGCGATCAGTTCTTGTTTTACAAGCCCGAAAAAGCATTGGCCAGCGTAATTAATTATTTTTGCATTCAAACAATTTTAATGGAAATACTTAAGGTTTTGAAATCGTTGGGAAACAAGCAGGATTCAATTGAACACATTGCTGCTCGTCTTCATACAGCAATGCTTTATAATCAAGCTAGTACGTTTTGCGCAATTAAATTTAAATGTTGTATTTATATGAATTGCAGAAAACGATAAGGTGAATTGGCTCCTATGTGTTCTTTCTTCGCTTTATTGGCGTGCCACTGGAAATCCAGAAAACGCAATGACATGTCTTCGTTGTGCGCTTCACAATACACCGCCGAATATGCGCGATGTTGCTCTGGTAAAATATGGCATAATATTATTTAGAAAATGAATATTGTTTAGGTCTCGCTTGCTAATATTTGCCATCAAGCCGGCCTACTCAACAGCGCACTTATATCAGCTGGAGCGGCTCTTACAACGTCACCACGACTTGTTGCGATTCATTTTACATTAGCTAACATTTATGCTTCTTTGGGAGATTACCAGCGCGCCTTAAACTTTTACTACTCAACATTGTCTCTGCAATCGAGTTTTCAACCAGCGAAAGATAGAATTCGTGCCATTTATTGCCATTCCAATCAAGAATTCAATTTTTGATTTTGAAGACATGTTAATTTATTGATTGTTCGTGATTTTCTTTCATCCATTTCACGGGTTTTTAGGTGTTTCTGTAATTAAGATTGCCTTAAAAGTTTAATAAATTTTTTGAAAAATTAATGTGACTTTATTTGTAAACCTTTCTGCGAGCCTGAAAAAATGTCTCCGCGAAAAATATGAGCTGCTGAAATCATAGTTTCTTAACCCAAGAGATCGAACTATGATTTTTTTTCAGTAAGGGACCTATTCTTGAAATTAAGCAATTAAAATACGTAAAAATTGGAACAACTTCATAAAAGTTCCATAACTGTCAGACACTAAATATGCGCCTCGCGAGGTTTTTCACTAGCGCATTTTGGGTGTTAACTTCAATGTTCAAATTTTTATTTTTGTTAAACATCGTCAACTATTAGATATGAATGACAAAAAGGTATAGATTATTCTCTCTTGTATTTAATTTTCAAACAGTTGTATGAAATCATTCAATCGATTTTATTTGCAGGATTATGCGGCAATTGCAAGTTTAGAAAAACAACTTCGAGAGCATAGTGCAGCCTTTGAACAATGGAAGATAGATAACAGGTGCCAAATATTTTTTGTCTATAATTATGTTAAAATTTGTTTTAGCCGACAGAAAGGAACCCCTTCATATGATGAATATGTATCTAAATTTGCAGAATGGGAAAGAAGTATTCGAGCAAGGTGAGAAATGAAGCTTAGGCTTTCATCTTGATCTCAAAATTATGTTAATGACATTTATGATATTATTTATCATTAAGGAAGTTCTAAAATATTAAATTTCAGGATAGCTGCACAACAGGGGGCATTTACAGAAGGGCAAACTGGGCCAAAAAGCATCGATTCAGTTCTTGGTATTGATAACGAATAACTTAAATAAGCAATACCGCTAATATTACAGACGAATTACTTGAAAAAATTGGAATTCACGAATTCATGTTCGCTTTGGCCACTGTTCATATGACCGACAAAACATTTATCAAAAGTTTTGTTCAGGCGAGCCAAATTGTTCAACGTATTTTGTTCAACCTTTAGAAAATGAGTGTGATAAATAATTATTTAGAGCGTTTATCATCAGGCGAACCTGCATTGGTTGTCCCGCAACCGCAATTTTATCCTGTTTACAGTAAGATCCTTTTTGATTTTTTTTAAATTAAAAAAAATACCATTTCAGATACAAGCACTTATAATTATGCACAAACTCCTGGTCACAATACTGTAACCCCGGTTCCAACATGGAATATGGCAGGATCTAACTCAGCAATACAACTAAAAAGGCATTTCGAATTATTTTGTAGTATTTAAATTCGATTTTCAGGCCATTATCACCAATTAAAGACTTTCAAAAAAAGGCTTCTGGAGCACCATTTCGGGATTTTAGTGTTTAAATTGCTTTATATATTTTTAATTTCTGTTGATTTGAAAAAATAAGAGATGGTGAAAATAAAAATCGTTCTGCAATCGTTCTTCATAAATCAAATCAAGATTTTAGATAAATAGATTTTAGAGGCGAGTTTGAAAATACTATACTCGCTACCATGAAAAATATTATTCTCTGAATAGATTTGTTACTCAATAATGAAAGAAGTGGATGATTTAAAAACGTTCATTTAACAAAAAATTATATGAATGAAGGAATTATTTGAAAATATGACTTGAAAAATTGAATTCCGCATAATGACAAAATGTTTCGTATATTAATACCCGTTCATACATTTAAATGTTTTTGAAAATTAAATACTGAGTATTTAGCCTACAGGGCCTACAGGGTCATTTAAGTTCCCGCACAAAAGTTTGACGCCATGAAGAGCTTGGCTGCCGCACTTTTCGTGCACCAATACAATTTATTTTTGTTAAATAAGGTATATTTTACTTACTTTCCAAGTTTCACCTCTTTCGGATGTGTTTCCGAGAAATGGCGAAGGCTAACATCCATCGCGCTTCCATTATCGAAGTTCATAAGCAAAATGTGAGCCCGAGAGACATCATTGAACGCCTCGCTGTGCCTCGTAGAACGGTTTGCGACACCATCAAACGTTTCAAGGAGCTAAATACGACCAGTGACCGTCCCAGACAAGGAAGACTCGTCTCAGTAACCACTCCTCAGAAGATAAACGCCGTCAAATCGAGGATCAGGCGAAACCCCCACAGGAGCATGAGAAAGATGGCGTCAGACGTGGGAATGAGCATCTTCGCTATGGAACAAATCGTCAAAACGAAGCTTGGACTGACCCCATATCGTGTCCAAAAAGCGGCAATTCTATCGGCCGTCAACAAGCAGAGACGCTTCGAAAAAGCAAAACAACTTCTTGCTCGCACGCAGTCTGGAGAACATCTCGTCACTGTCTTCTCCGACGAGAAGCTATTCACTGTGGAGGCGGCATTCAACTCACAAAACCATCGAGTACTTGCCCAGACATCCCAGCAAGCTTCTGAGAAAAGCAGAACAATACATCGAGCCTCACATCCTGCCAGTATGATGGTTTTCGGTGCCATCTGCTCAACCGGGAAGCGCCCCTGGTTTTTGCAGATCAGGGGATGAAAATGAACAAAGAAGTCTACGTTCGGGACTTTTTAGAGGAGCATGTGATGCCCTGGACCCAAACGCATTTCGTTGGGCAGAAATGGGTCTTTCAACAGGACGGAGCACCCGCCCACACTGCCAAAACTACTCAGGAGTGGTGTCAGACCCATTTTCCCGACTTCATCAAGTCATCCGAATGGCCTGATTGGTCCCCAGACCTGAACCCGCTTGACTTCTCCGTGTGGGGTCTTGCAGGAGAAGGTCAACGCAAAACCCCACTCAAGTGTAGAGACTCTGAAGAAGACATTACTGGCGGAATGGCACAATCTTTCCATCGAATACCTGCGTACCACAGTCGCATCCTACCCGAAGCGTCTCTGTGAAGTCATAGCTCCGAAAGGAGGCCGAATCGAAAAGAGTTAATAGATAAATATTTGTTATACTATAGATAAAAAATATTTCGAGTCTCGTTTGATTTGGACCTTTAGTTTCAGAAATATACGTCTTCAAAGTTGTGCGGGAACTTAAATGACACCCTGTATATTTGCAAATGAAACACATTACTTCTTTGTGTGATCAACCAGTAAGTTCACTAAATGTAGCGCATAAAAAAAACTTTTTTCAAAAGTATGCGCGCGTGTTGCAAAAAGCTATGCGGTTATAGTTGAATTGTGCCCGTATGGCTCCGCCTATTTATCTTGTTCTTTATTTTTTTAATATTCAACTGAATATTTGTTTTTATAAAATTTGAGTTGATTTTATAGAGAATGCTGAGTCGTCGCTCAATTAGTTTCCAGCGATTCTTGCTGAGAGCAGTTCGGCAGGTAGCGCTTTCATTAATTTTCAAGTATTATTAAATATTCTTTAAAATTATTTTAGAGCATTCCCGCGACCAGAAGTGTTTCAGCTAAGAGTGAGTTTTTCTGAGCATTTGTGACACAATTTTTCTCATTAAATAACATTGTTTTGACATGTGGTTAAAAAAATAATTTTCAGTTCTGTTAACATCAATTTTATGGCTGCTGATTTTAAATATAAAATGAGTCGCATTTTCCCTAGAAACAAAAATTACTTGAAATAATTAAATTATCAAAAATTAAAATAAATATATGTGAGTTTCTTGGATGTGGTTTTTAATAAAAATTTTAGCTGCTCTTCTGGAATCTCGTGGATGCAATGCAAGATTTGTTAATGCTGCGAAATTTCACGTTAGCTCTCTTCGATGTAAATAAGAATGAAAGGAAATTAAAGAAATAAACGCATTTTAGTGAGCGATGTGATTACTGTCGATGGTCCGGCTTTTGCAGAATCAATTTCCGAAGGAGATATCAGATGGCTCAAACGTAAATTTGAAAAAAAAAAGACGCTTTACATCAAGAATTTTAAGAAAAGGGTGATTTTGTCAAAGAAGACGAGCTTGTTGCTGAAATCGAAACTGACAAGACATCGGTTGAAGTGCCTGCTCCACAAGCGGGAACAATCGTGGAGTTACTTGTTGAGGATGGAGAAAAAGTTACGGCGAAACAAAAATTATACAAGCTGCAACCTGGAGGGGATGGTGGTCAATCGGAGGCGCCGAAGCAAGAATCAAAAACGCCAACTTCAAATGCTCCACCACCATCATCAACTCCAGCAGCGGCGCCGTCTTCTCTAGCTCCACAACAACAAGCCAAAGCGTCAGGAGAAATTCCCAAATCTGCCCCACAAGTTTCTCGTCCACCTTCGGCACCGTCTTCCTCAGTTCCTGTCGGTGCAGTTCCAGTGACACGCGTCGTAGTGCCTGCTGGAGTTGCTCCTGAACATGCGATCACTGGTGCTCGTGATGAAGTTCGTGTGAAAGCTAACAGAATGCGTCTCCGTATTGCTCAACGACTGAAGGATGCGCAGAACACGTATGCGATGCTCACCACATTCAACGAGATTGACATGAGGTTCTGATTTTACTGATTCTTCTCACGATTATTGTTTCTATTTTCAGTAGCGTCATTGAAATGAGAAAAACGTACCAAAAAGATTTTCTTGCCAAACACGGAATCAAACTTGGAATGATGTCTCCGTTTATTCGAGCTGCTGCTTATGCTCTTCAGGAATCGCCAGTTGTAAATGCCGGTAATATTATACATACAAATATTGGCAACTTAAACCGTCTAGAAATTACAAGATAATTTATATTTGACAAATTTTACGACTTCATGACACTATGAGATAATTTTTATCACCGAAATATTTACAATTCAATTATTAAGCTTTAGGTTTTTGAATGTTTGAACGTATAAAACCAAATATATTTTTTTTGTAATTAATGTGTGATCTATGTATTATTCTTTCAGTTCTTGATGAAAACGAAATTGTGTATCGTCATTATGTCGATATCTCCGTGGCTGTCGCTACTCCAAAGGGTCTTGTTGTTCCAGTGTTAAGAAATGTAGAAAGCATGAATTACGCACAGATCGAGCAAGAGATGGCTTCACTCGGAGTCAAGGTAAATTAAAAAATACGTCGAAACACACAAAAACGGTATTCTTGTCATATTTTTCATAGAAATTTGGAAGCTGAAAACGTGAAATATAACAATCTGGCGCACGTTGGGCTCAAAAAGAAATGTGCATGCTAATTATCACGTAAAAAAAAACTAAAATTAATTTCAGGCTCGCGAAGGAAAATTGGCAGTCGAAGACATGGAAGGCGGTACTTTCACGATTTCCAATGGAGGCGTCTTTGGTTCGATGTTCGGAACTCCAATCATCAACCCTCCGCAAAGCGCTATTCTTGGAATGCATGGAGTGTTTGATCGTGTTGTCGCCATCAATGGAAAGGTTTGCGAAATCAATTATGCAAGAATTAATATATTTGTTTCATTTAGCCTGAAGTACGCCCTATTATGCAAGTTGCTCTCACCTATGATCACAGACTTATTGACGGAAGAGAGGCTGTCACATTTTTGAAAAAAATTAAGACTGCCGTCGAGGATCCACGAACGATGTTTATGAATTTGTGATTGTTGCATTGAGCGTTCTTTGTAGCTATCGAAACTTCAATTACTTTAATTCTCAATTATTAGGGTAACTTTAGAAATCCAAGTTCTCCTTCCTGTTTTCATCGATTGTTCGCGCCACCAGATTACAAAATGTTTCGTTTTATTTTGATCTAATAAATATGAGCAAATGAATCAATGTTTTGAGCATATAAGTGCGATGATCTTGATTTTTTGTATTTTTTATGAGACCGGATGTCATGACTTCCGAATTTCATGTTTTTTTAGAAACACTAAATTAAGAACGATGTTGGTAGGTTAAAAAAAAACTATAACTCGGACGATTTCACAATTTAAGGATCAAACTCCAACGAAAATTGTTCCATGGAATCGTGAACTAACGAATAAACGATCGTCGCATTCGCTAACTGACAAAATAACGAAAGCCAGTCCCAGCAAGATTGTTAAGACTCGCAGGTTTTTTTTTAATGTCGGAATTTCCATACAATCTTTTTTTCACAGCAACTTAATCAGCAATCATGTGAACACTTTGATATTTATGGATCTTGAAACTACTGGTCTTTTCAAAGGTATTAAATATATATCCTTTAAAAGTATTTTTCTGATTTTGAGGGGAAATTTTTTTTTCTAAATTCACATATTTCAAAGAGAATTCCTTGAGTGATGCTCGATTTATTTTGATGTCTGCATTTTTACATTCAACCAAATTGGTGAATTAAAATAATATAAATTTTGCTACTATTTTGGATAAACTTCTAGAAAAATAAAAATTTATAAAAATGCATGATTAAAAGCCAAACGAATATTGAATTCGAAATTTTTTAAGGCCAAACGCAAATCAACGATGCTACCAGACTGGAATCACCTGATTCTTATACGAAGGCGCTAAATCAATTGATTTTGGAAAGTAGGTTAAATCTTTTTTTTATAAAATCGTGTTATTTAGTATTCTGCTTGGGACTTGTCAAATTTCGGAAAGCCAAGCTAAAAAAAACTTATTGGGAAAAATACGCTTTTCAATGGTTTTCATTAAAATTGGTATCAATGCTTAAAATGTTGGAAATTTTGTATACCGCATTAATTTTGTCTTTTTTTTTGTTTTAGCAATTATTAATTTTTAGCAACTGTGTCCGAATATCCACGCATCACTGAAATGAGTTTCATGGCCATTCCACGAGAAAATTTCAAGGAATTTTCAGACATGATGCGTAAAAAAGAGCAAAGCGGGGTTTCATTCTATTGTGCCCGTTTTCATTGTTTTTTAATCATTCGAAATTATAGGCAAATTGTTTGCATTCATTTATTCCTACTAATGTACATACAAGACAACTGAATCCAAAACTCACAGAAGCCGAATGGATAGAATACGAAACCGCAAGAGGGATTCATAAAGGTTTGATAGAATTAGAGAATGCCTACATTTATTTTAGAAATTGTTCATAATCGTAAATTTGTGCAATTTAAAAACAGTTTTGCCGAAGAATGGCCGTTGGCTGTCCAGTTCCTGAATTCGTGTCAGAAGCCTGCAGTGTTAAGTGCGTGCAAACCAAAGCTATCGCTCAATCACGTAATTTAGTTGCCCACAATGGAATCCTTTTCGATTTTCGCGTTCTATTCGGAGAGATGAAACGTTTCGATTTACTCGAAAAATATCCAATGCCTGAAGATGTAAATCGCTAGAAATTATGTCTTTCATCATATATTTTTATCAGCTTCTTTTCGTCGATAGCTATGTGGCAATCACGAAGCTCGAAGATCGCATGTGGGAAGATATGTCCAGAATAACTCAGAATGTTGATTTCAATAAATGTATGAATTTTATCTTTCAATCTCAAATAATATTGAATTTTCAGTTTTACCATCTACTAATCCTGCCATTGAAGATAATATGCCTAATGCATTGAGTAATAATGTTGGTGTTGTCAAAAATGAGACGAGTCATACCCCATATTCTTGCCTAAATACCACTTTCTGGAGTGTAGCACGAAAACGGAGAATAAAGGAGAAATTTTTCAAGTTTGATCTCATTTATAGAATTGAAATGATATTGACAATTCAGGCGAACGAAAACTGAGAATGCCTTTTGGTATTTCGATCGAGACGAAGCGAGAAAAGTGCGAAAATCTCTCGGCAACCTCTTTGAATCGGTGAGAATTGCACAGTTGCAGTTCTGTTTAATGAATTGTGCTTGAATGTCTCTGTCACACCATCAGTGTGTGATATTATTATTTTTATTGGCAGGAGTCTTGGCAAAACAGCTGGGGAAATTTTTTTCGGGTTGAAAATTTTTGATTTTTTTTTTGGTAGAACCGGATTTCACTGGAAATTTCCTCACACACTGACCACCATACATATATGTATTTTCTCCAGCGTCTTGAATTATATTCCAATTATAATGGTACCTTCAGATTATTGGTGGTGCTTATCAAGCACATTACGCACAACCAGATACGGAAGCGCTTCTTCTCGTTTGTATGGCATATGGTGATGAATTTTTAGAGTTTATTGACAAAAAAAGTGCCGAATTTCCATTCTAACGCTACATATTTTTGTTACACATTTGGATAATTTCTCGCAAAAAATATCTCAATTTGTTGAACTATTCTGTTGTATTGAACTTTAAATTAACATTAATTATAATAAAATATTTTCTAATGTTGGAAGTTTTGGAATTACGGTCTTTTTGAAAAAGAAACCTGGCCTAATTCAGAAAATGTTATTAAAACGTGTCAAAATTGTTAAAATTTTCAAAAATCTCGAATTCCGAATTTCTAGAAGCACTTTTTCAAAGTTTTTTGGCACCTGTTAGTGGCATATTCTGAAATACCAGACCCGCAAGGATCATATTCAGAATTTCTCAAAAAATGATGTTACCCCATTGCCATAATCAAATCACTCGCTGAAAAACAAAAATCGTAATATCTGAAATTGACTATATCCGCGTGTTGTTGTTCGCTTTGTGATTAGAAATGAGTGTAATGGGTGGATGGAACAAGTTTTAAACGAAAATCAGATTCGATTTCACTACAAACATGGGAATATTGACTACAAGATACGCCGATTTGGGGAATGCAGTTTATGTTCAATTTCAACGTCGACTTCACCAACCAAGTGGTCATTGTGTTGTATAGAACCTTAAATTGCCTTTTTTCTCAAATTTCGAACGCTTTTGTTGTTTTACTAATCAAAGAACTACTCATATTTGTAAAATGTTTCCAATAGAATTTTAAAAAATATTTAAAATAAAAAAATAGCCGAATCATAATAAATTTGAGACTTGATTTTTCTAGCGAAATTCCGATGAGTGTTCGGAAAACGTGTTTTTCACTGATTTGAAATAATTCAACGAACAGAAAGTTGTTTTTCTAGTATTTAACATTTTTGTGAATTACAGCGAGGTGAACTATTATTTTTTCAAAGTTTTGCTAATTTAGTGGGGTAGTCATTTTTTTTAATAGCCGTTCTCTAACTAAAATCAATTTTCATTAATATGTTTTTTTTTCAATTTCACTCAAGAATTGAAAATTTTTTTGAGAAAATCGCATGTCAGATTAGCATTGGTCTTCATTCTCTGAAGTGCTATTTGCCTTCTGGGTGAAGCGTTGAAAGTAAACACGTGACTGACATCTTGCCTGTTTGTGTGGTCGATAGTCGTGCGATTTCACAAATAAACATCCTAGGAGATCGTTGCTGACGAAAAGGCATGAATTCCAATGCAAAACTGCCGCATCATTCGCGAACATTCCAAGATATGACTTGAAAAGAAAAATTCAGCAATGAAAAATTCATGGCGAGACGAAATAAATTATTCCCTAAAAAGTCAAGTTTCTAAAAACATGAACTTTTGATTTTTCATCTTCTAATTATCGAACCTGGCCAGCAGAATAGGGATCATCTTATCTTGAGGGATCAAACAAAAAGGGTTTCTCAAAGAGGCATTCCTTAAATGGCTCGTTGTTAGGAGTCACCAAAATGCTTCAGTGAATAATGTTTTGTTCGATATTGTTATAAAATGAGAGCCACAATCAATCTAAATTCGGAAAATCCACAAAAAGTGGCATCATGATTTTTGGCTCGTTAGAAGTGGCGCGCACTTACTGTATTCCTAGCCTCGTGATTTTTGGCACGGAATTACTAATACCTTGACTATCGTGTCTTAAAATTGAACAAACTAAATTATTTGAAGAAATGTCAATTTAAAACCTCATTTTTCATTCAGATTATGATAAGAATTTGAGGGTATTTTCGATGGCGTTTTCTACAACGAAAAAAGCGTAGGCGCGGATTGAAATTTTTGAACAGCAGTTTAGTTTGCTCGAGCAAACCTCTCAGATCTCTGATCGAAACAACAATTCGTGCAATTCGCGACAAATTTTTTTTAGAAGATCGTACGCTGGGCTCATTGCGCGTTGCTTGCAATCGTGCACAAAAGCGAGGGATGGCGAAGTAAGAGTGGAAACCCGACTTGTTTGACCCCCAAAGGACCCCTAAGGGAATAACCCCTCCCGGTCCATATCTGGGGCTTCCTAATTTGTTCTAGACTCGATCATCACAAAATAAAAAAATGGGAAAAGCGCTAGGCAGTGTTATTTTTTTTTTCTATTCACGATGGAATATTTGGTGAACCGGGCTTGTAAAAAATGCAGTCAGGCCGTCATCTCACGATCTCTTTTAATCACCTGATGATCAATTAAATTTAAAAATAATTCATAGTTATTTGGAAGCAGTAATAAATTAAAAAATTTCAATATTATCTGCGAATGGAACCATTTGGCCAAATTCGTGTGAAAAATGTGCCATGTAAATTTGGTATTTTGAGAAAACCGATCAAATTTTCAACTATTCTTTTCTTGCGAGTACCAAGATTAATTTCATTGACTATCAGTATGAATATAAAGTAAATAAAAGACAGAGCTGTCAAACAATTATTTCTTTGTCTCGAAATAGATAACGCCAAAATTGGCTCCTCATACTTCATAAGAGCATTAGTGCTCAACAAATAGGAATATTATAGTCTATTCAAATGTGAAAGTATCGCGAAAAAAAATTTTTTTTCAATTTTAAAATGAATTCTTGTGAGAAAATTCTGTTCAGATTTTTTCTTTTTGAAAATTTGATAACCATACAGCATCAAATATGGTCGCCGCTTCTCAAAAAAATTTTCGAGGACATATTGATTTATTTTAAAGGGATGCCAACTGTTTATGAGAATTGTTCGGCAATTTTTTTAAAATTTCCTATTTGGTTTCAATCTTAGCTGAAAATATATAGAAGTTCGGTGAATAATTGAGTTTTTGCAATCGAAAAACCAATACTGTCGTGGACAGCCAAATTTGGTAATGAGTATCTTTTATCATTAGAATTGCCACCTAGGGTCTCGCATGGAAAACCCTTAAGAGCTAGGAGTATTTCAAAATTTACAAAATTGTCTATCAACCACAATATGAAATTTATGATTTAAATATTTTGAAATAAATAAAACTTTTGAAAGAAAAATCGAAAAAATAAAAAAAAACATTTTTAAATTAAATATGCATAGGGGTTCAAGAGATTTTTTTAATAGTTTTTAACCGGTTTCTTATTCAATTTTTTATTTGCGAAATCCGCCTAGTGTCATAACGAAATATGTAATTACGTTCGCATTTGGATGACAAACATTTTCCTGTTCGTTTTTTTGCAATTCAATCTCAAAAAACTTGATGAAAAATCTGTACTTCGTTCATCTGTTTACCAAAAACACGAATCGTTGGTGTTTTCAAAAAAAAAAACCGAAAATATTTCCTTTCCTTCAATAATGACTCATTTCTGGCAATCGTCCAAGTCGGGGGGTGGGCGGAGCCTAGGAAGTGCGACGCCGCCCTTGTCGTCAAACACTTCTGCCAGCTGGCAAGTAGTCTTTATCGCGTTTGACGCTAATGTATACAAATTCTCTTATATTTATATATTGTTTATACAATTCTAGATTTTCTTTTATCGAGTTTCTCAAAGTTTTCCATGTGTTCTAATTTTGCAGTTTGTTCAGAGCCGCCAAACATCCATGATTATGCCCAACAACAAACGAAAGAACATTTTTGTGAAACTTCTCAAATTTGTTGGAAGAGGAAGTAAGTTCTTATGTTGTTTATTTGATAAGAATTAATTATCATGTTTACCATTGGATAACAGATAAACGTCTATCTGTTTGCAATGTACATAATACGTGCGTTTTTCTCAAATGCGTGTTTAGACTGGTTTCCTGAAAAGATTTAAATCCATATTTTGCATATTAGCTGAAGCCGCATCGCATAATTAGCTTAACTTTAGTCGATTTACGTGAATATTTTGACGTTTCACGCAAAGGTCACGTGAAAATTATCTCTTTATCGTTTTCAATTTTTTTTGTAAACATCAAGTCACGTTATTGCAGACCAAATTCAGTCTTCGTCCAAAACGTGCCTTGCACAGATTTATGAACAACGGAAAAAACAGCGACAACGGTAGGGAAACAACTTGCCTTTCGACTTTTGTTTTAATTGATGAACTGTGGGATTCAAACGACCCGATGAAATTTGAGAAAATATTGACAGTGTGGGGGAATGTGCGCGTGTCTGCGTACTTTGCATTTTAGCGTACGCGCATTCAATGGTACTGTACACAATTTAGAAAAAAACTAGATTAAAAATTTTGTTTTTTGTTAATGACTTATTGAGATTGAACACCCGGCCCCTTTTAGTCGTTTGAATCCGACGATTTAAACAATGAAAAAATGTTATGAATTCAAGCAAATGGTTCTATTTTCGTCAAAAAAGAAACATCAAAACATGATAATTCACGGAATATTTTCAGCTCATCAATCAACTCTCATTTTTCACAAATTGAACCATTGCCCACAATCTTCGAGGAAGATGAAGTTGCCGCTGCGTAAATCATCAGCAAACCCACAAGAATATTGGGAACGGGTTGAGAAACACACGTGTATTATATGTAACGAGGTTTTAAATGGTTCAACTTCTTTTACATTAACACATTGCAATCATCACATAAATATTTTCATTTTTAGCTTTATGTTTTGCTTCATTCTGCAATAAATTTGATAATCGTTCAATGATTTTGCTAATACGATTAAGGAGTATCTCAAAAAATTGAAAGCTCGAGAATCAAACTAATCGAAACCGGTTTTTTCATCGAACATTCGCCAAGTTTCGTGATATCATTTTAAGAAACTATTCCACTTAAATAAACAATATTTTTCAGAACTTTACTATAACTGCTTGAACGTTTTGAAATACGCGGTAGTATCGAGACCTACATTTATTTGGAAATCGGATTTTTTCGAAAAATTAAAAATTAATGTAGAATCAAAATGCGGCTAATTAGTTGATTCATTTCATCTTGCAGAAATCCTTAGATTTAAAATGTAAATGGTCCAATTATCGACTTGATTTCTTGTTTTGAAGAGGCCCCTTCAGATGAGAGATGCGTCGTGCCCAACAAGAGTTATGAAAATTCCTTTTTGTTTTACAATAAATACATAAAATGCGCTTTTTTTTTACAACTCTCTATTGAAAAAATGTGTAATTTTCTACATTTTTATAGCATGAAGGTCAATTCGTAATCATGGACTAATAAAGAAAGATGAAAACAATCGATTGCTCATTGTAACCACAAACAATAACCCTCTAGATTCGGTGTATCTATTCGTGGTATTTAGTGGTAAAAAAATACTAGAAGAAATTTAGGACTTCACGTTTTGTAGTTGGCTAGAATCGAAGATTATAATCTTGCCAGTAACGAACTAATGTGTTAAAGGAAATTCTAAAAGAAATTGAAACGAATTTAAATCCAACCAAACAAAATCAAATGGAGTTATCGGGAAAAGTTCTGCATTGACTGTATATAATCGCATTGAATTCTGCAAATTTTCGTCTTGCGTAATTTTTTTTGGAGTGTGTTTCCAACAAAGGGTCTACAGAATCGGGCGCTGTGGAAAAAAAAAACTCTAAAACTGGATGCGCTTAATATATTACCTCAAATTTTCTTTAAAATCCAGTGATTTGTTTTCCAATTTTGTTTCTATTCTTTTGATATTCGGAATATCAAAAAATTACCATGAAAATTTTGAGTAAACAAAATTCAATTTAAATTAAAATAAATGAAATAATCTATAAAAGACCCATAAATCAGAGAGTGAGTGGGGTCTTGTGGTCATTTTTTTCATATAAAAAGACTATCATTCACATAGTTTTTATCAAAAAAAAATTCATCAAATAGAAGCTTCATGTTAATTTTCAACACATTTTTGGCTGCGCAAGTTCAAATGTTTTCCTTTGTGTTTATTAGCGATCCAATTGTGTTATTGTGCTGCAATATTTGCGTTTAAATCTAATGCACAAACATGCAAACACCAATTTACACGAGCACTCTTCAATCAATTCGTCTCAAAAAATGAATTCGTTAATTATTCTCCTTTTCACACATTTTCTCTTCGTGTTTTGCGCGTCCCAAAAACGTGTGAAACTGTGCATTTATTTGAAAGCGATTGGAAGAAGCACCACCGAATGCGATGCTAGTCTCAATTATTTCGAGAATTTCGAAAATGGTCAGTTTCATATTGAATCGATAATTAGTTAATTGGCTTTCAAGGATCTACCATTTCACCGCTGGCGCAAATAATACGGAATATTGAAAATAACAATAAAAAGCACAATTACAAGCAGATGAGAATTTGTTCAGAGAAAAATTTGGAAAATTTCAAGGTTCTACTTTATGAAATTATAGGCAACGTCCGGCGACGGCTATACGCGGGTAGATTTACGGGGATGCGTCTTTCGTAATGGTCTCGAACAGCCTAACAGGTCATTTCAAATTTTATGGATCGGTTCGATAATTTTTTAATCGAATGACTTTAGAAATTCAAGGAAAAAATTCATCAAGAAAAATGAAGCAGTTCACATGAAAACAGCAAAATAAGCGTTCACGCGTGGCGAGACCAAGGCGCATGCGCGTAAATCTACCCGCGTACAGCAGTCGCCGGATGCCGACGAGATCAAGCTTGTAAATTTTGAATATTGTTTGAGGATTGTGCAATAGACTACCGATGTATGTCAGGATTCAGTTGCTCTTCACAGGCAGGTCAGTGTTGCTTGAAAACCGCAAACACGATTCAAACTGTTGAAAAAACCAAGTGAGAATATTCGACCGTCGAAAAATTAATTGCATTCTTCAGAAAAAATGTGTGCCCTTCGATCAGCCAATTAATTAAAAAGTGTAATTCCAATCGGGTAACGAAGACATGCAAAACTGACGCCGATTGTCCACTGACTGTTGTTCAAATTTGTTGTAAAACGGGTTTTTCTCAATTTTAATAACAGTATTTATTCTTACGGTGTACTTTTAGATTGCGGTTTCAACATTTGTGCGAGAGCAAACGCAAACATTGTTGAAAATGGTGAAGAGATGAAATATTAATTCGCAATTTTCAATTTTCCAGATTTAATTTTCGTCACAGGAAATTCGTAACATATTAGTTTGAAGAATTTGTAATAAAATTTAACATTAAGGAAATTCCCCAAACTCGATGCGCCTTTAAATCTGCAAAAAAAATTGTGTTTTTTGGTATTTTTAAGTTTGAAGTACGTGATTTTGCGTCGCAGTGTTTGCACACATTTTCGCGGGCTACCAATAATTTCTTTTTTTTTTTTAGTTTTTAAAATCTCAAAACTTAATATATCGGGATTAAAAATCAAAAATAAATTTAAAATTTGCAAAAGCATCAACGTCAATTCATTTTTTCAAAAATTAATCGAGTTTGGGGTGTTTTTTTTTTAATATTTATTATAATACGAACCAAATAAATGTAAATCTATATTTGAGGTCGTTGGTTCAAAAAAAAATAATTATTTGAACAGACTGAATATAAATTACAAGTCTAGTATAAATATGCAGAGAATTGGATGCTTACTCTACTTTTCAACTGCGCCTACCAAAACAGTTTGTTTAATTTTTTTCTCGGCAAGTTTTCAAAGGCCCCCAATTTCCAGTGCGTACCCTCTTGTTCCTCGCCATTATTGTCGCAATCTCATGGACTCTTCTCGAAGTTGTCGATTCTAAAGGGATTCCGGCGAAACGAGTGAAACGTCAATATTACGGTGGATATGGTTATGGTATGATGTTTGTTTAACATCAAAAATTGAAAATATCGCTTTGAAATTTTTAAATTTTTAACTGGTATTATTAAAATAATCATGATTTCTTGCGAGTGAAGTGAAGCTTATGGTACCCTAAAAAATGATTTCTTATTTTCAGGCTGCGGCTGCGCCACTTATGCTCCATGCCCTCATGGAAACGGAGGATACGGCTATGGTGGATATGGTGGATATGGTGGATATGGCGGATACGGAGGCTATGGTGGTTACGGCTACAAAAAATAAGCATAATTTGAAAAAGCAATAAATAAATAATGTCTTGAATTGATTTTGAAAACGCCGTCGAAGAAGATTCGCATCGCAGATAATCGCCGATTTCCTCATCATCCAAAAATTATTTGATTTATCGCGCAATTGTTGCATATGCTTATTTTAGACAATTGATATGTTTTTTTTTTTTGACCGATCGTCCGCTTATCTTTGTCAAATTGTCTCATTAAAGTTAGAGAACAACACGTCAATAAAAGTTAGAGAAGAAAACCGCTATAAAAATGGGGTCATTTTATTCGATAATTGGATTGACTATATCACTTTCATTAATCAAATTAACACAAAGTTAGTTAATTGTGAGTATCTTTTTGGAGAAAATCGCTTTTCTAGATTCCAGAAGCCACCCAAAAAAAGTCGTCAATTTTTGAGAAAAACACTGGTTAACAAATCTCTACCTTTTTTAAAAAAATATTTTTTGACGTCGCTGACGATAAAAAATAGTTCCATAAAACTCCAGGAAAGTTATTTTCAATTATATTTTACCAGATTTTTCAATTTTTTTTTCAAAAAGTCTCTATTCTACAAATTGAAAAGGAAAAAAGGTTTTGTGCGTTTTTGATAACATTTTTGAAATCGCTGAATACATTTTTTTTTCAATTCACAGAATAGGGTCCCAAAACGAATAATAAATCAATTATTTGTTCATTAATCAATCATTCAATTTCTCGTTCGATAACATTTTTTTATTCTCGATATTTTAAAAAATGGGACAAACCGTAAGATTTAAAATGCGATAGCGTTTACAATAAAAAATGTAACGGCAGAAACAATCAATAAGCGTCGTGTTAATGCGTTGTTTTATATCGCTTCAATTTGCTCGCCATTTTCCCTTTTTTATCAATAATTAGGCGTATCGGGTTTTTGTACGAATTCTCCTTTTTTTGCAAACTTCCATTGTTTCTCTTGTCATGAATCATAAAAACATTGACAATAGGCACTGAATTCGTCTCATGACTCATTTTGATTTTTAGGACCCGCAGGGACAGTTTCTCCTAGTTAACTTTCTCCTACTACTCATTTCTTGCATTAAAACATTTTTTTGATTCTTCTTTCATCTCAAAAAATGACAAAACATTTGATTTTTGACGAAAAACCGTCGCTTGCCATTTTTTGTTTTGTACGATTATTTTATGATGCTTCCCATTTGGTTTCCCTTGGTTGAACACATGCATAAGACAAACAAAAATCGAAAATTTCCATAATTTTTTCTCGCTATTATTTCTTTAACCGTTCATTCATAATTTCAGTGTTTGGACACGTCGTCGAGAATGTCTCTTGATGCGGTAGGTGGAAAAGCGGCCAATGATTCTTCACTATCGTTTTTTTCGCTACCAAATTTTAACTACCGAAAATATCGATTTTTCACTATCGTTTTATCACTACCAATTTTCTAACAATTTCTGGAAAGATTTCTATTGGTCCCTTTACCAAAAAGAATTATTGCGGCCCTCTGCTTCGATGATTATTTTGTGCACCGGCGGGTTTTCAAAAAATCAATAAAAATCAAGATTATTGATATAATCGCCTGAAGTTAAAAATGATCGAACTTTCTTAAAAATTAGGCTTAGACAGAAATGATTATTAAATTTTTTAAATTTTAAAACTTGTCACTTTGAACAGGTGCAGAAAATTCGTTTCATTATCTGATACTCTATGAAATTAGGAACGATGGAATTTGATTCGCCGAATCATTGATGGCAGCAAATAGGAGAAATGAAATCAGTTAAAAAAATAATATTAACCTAACAATACCTAACCTAACCTAATATTTTAAGAAAAAAGGAATATACAACCTCTCAATTTTTAAAAATTGTTGGAAAAAATGATTAGTGAAAAACCAATATTTTCGTTTGTACAAATTTGGTAGCAATGTGAAGAAAGTAAAGAATCAATAATACAAATAAATTACCCCAAAAAATAATTTTTAAAAAAATCAGACTTCTTCAGTCTTGAATTGAGAAATATGAATTGCGCAGCTTGAATTTTGATTGGTCTCGCAAATCCAATTCCCCGCACCCCAAATCGTCTATTCATGATAATATGAAAAATAATACCTTAATTAAAAGAATCTTTTCTATCAAAAATCGAAAATGTGGAAGTAGATAATTAAGACGACCACGCCAAAGAAATGAAATGAGGCTATCTGAATTTTTTTTCGCTGTCAGACCTAGTAGATCAGACGCATTTCGTTTCTACAGAAGCGCACGCGAACCGCAAAGCGTCTGGTGACATGGAATAATTCCTTTTTTGGGAAACAGACTATAACTACTTTTTGAGCAATTTGTGAATCAGGATGATTTGCTGAATATTGTAGAATCGGGGGGAGAGGGCTAGCGAGATGCTTATTGATGCATCGGTGGTTTGTCCGAGTTGGGTACTCAACATTTTTCTCGTCGAGACCATGCCATGCTTGCACGGAATTCAGAAAATTTTCAGATTGAATGATTAGTTTACAGTCAAAAATGAATCTCTCTTTCAAAAAAATCAATATTTAATTTAAATTAAAAAAAAAATATAATGTTCGGAATCTCTATATTCAGACTCTCATCAATCTTAACGAAACACTGTCTCAAGTCGCAAATCTTCTCAAAGCCATCGAGCTGGCTGTCATCATGATTGCAGTAACTCTCGCGCTTACACTAATAGGTATTAATTGCTAAAAATTCAAACCTCAATGAAATTCTGTTTAGGGTGCACAGGAATATTTTACTATGCTAAATATAAAAAATATCATCCACTGAGAGAGGAGACCTCGCCGAATGTTAGCACGTACAAGCAAAGTAAATACGATCCGGTGGAAGTATAACAACGGTTTGAAATGTGCCATATGTGATCTTGCCGTCGTTGTATTATTATTAGAACGCCGCTGAATAATAAGCAAAAAATATATTTATTGAATCTTGAAAATATTTGGCTAATAAATAATGAATGACTTTCGTGGTAAAAAGAAAGCCATTACCAAATCAATATGAGATGCAAAAAGACCGGAAAAAAATCATTTAGGTTTCATTGAATTGGGTTGAAATCACGAATCAAATTCAATCAACTATCATCTTTAACGCATTTGAATCACTCCTGCTTCACGGAGTTTCATAAGCTTGTTGCGTATATCTGGGTTCTTCAGGTGCTCCTGAACCGCTTTGGGATCTTGGCTCATCTGCTCCAACAGAATACGCATTCCTGGATCGCGAAGAATTTCTTGGACCTCTGGATCATTCATAATACGTTCACGTGCCTAAAAACAATTTAAAACATTATAGTGATGTGTCTTCGTTTCAAACCTTCTCTGGATCTTCATCATTGTTTCTGATGCAGTTTCTGAGCCCCTCGAGTGCCTCGGCATTGTTTGGATCAATGGCTAGAGCATCTTCATAGGCTTTTTGAGCTCTTTGCCACTCGCGCATGGCAGTAAGCGCAGCAGCTTTACGAATATATCCCTTGACTTAAAATTAAATTTAAACGTAATTTTAGTTCATAGTTATAAAACATACTAAATTTCGGGTCTTTCTTGATACACACTTCGCAATCTTCGAGAGCTCTTTGGAATTCCATGAGCTTTGTCAGGCAAGCAGCGCGATTAGAGTAAAGAATAGCATTTTCTGGATCTCTTTTGACAGCTTCATTATAATGACGCATTGCCGATGGATAATCTCCCTTCTGAACATACAACAGGTAAAATACGGTAAAAAGTAAGAAAATACCTTGAAAAAATCGTTGCCTTTTTCTTTTTCTTGCTGGGCTATTTCTGGATTAATGTAAGCCAATCTCTCTGCTTCCTTGATTGCCTTTTCGAGCTCTTTAACCTTCTTAACGAGCTCTGGATCGCGATATTCCGACAAAGACTTCTCAAACCAATGAAGGGCTTGCTTTGTGTCGTTTTTCTTCTGAAACGCGTTTCCAGCACGGGCCATAGCTCTGAAATTTCAAGCGATCTTTAATGATTAATAATACAAACAAACTTTGCAATTAGTTTGTAATCTGCACGAGTTTCTCTTCCGACTTCCACAGCTTTCTCACATTGCGCAATGCATTCGTCGAATTTCTTTTCCTCGAAGTAGGCGGCTAAAATCATTTTCAAAAACAAAGTTCACGCAGTCGCATGTCTTACCAGCCTTGTTGTTATAAAATGCAATGTTTGATGGATCTAGTTCAATCGCTTTATCATAATGCTGATGGGCTTTTGCAAAATCTCTCTGCTTGTATGCAGCGTTTCCAAGATCCTTTTCGGCAATCGCCTAAATTATATGGGATGTTTTCGATTTAAATTGAATATTAACATACTGCTTCAGACATTTTTGGGTAATTAGTTGACTTCTGAAATAAAACAAATAATTGGATGCAGTTTCAGCGCACAGTAGATTCTTTTCAAATATTTGTAATTACCAAATTAGCAATTTTAAGAAACAAAAAAGGAAATTCTTTCTCGAAAAAACGAACAGAATGTGCGGGAAACTCAGAAACAGATTATTTCTGCAACGCGAGAGAAGTAAGGGTGCCCTATCGCGAACATTCTAGAAAGAGCGAGCGCATATTTGAAAAACGAGAGAGACGCAGACAAGTGTGTTTAGCGGCAATTCAAATATTGAAATTGTCAAATAATAAACGACCTTTCATGGTTAATTTAAAATAGTTCTCAAGATTATTACTAATTCAGCGAAATAGACATCAACTATTGCAATTTTAATAAATATAATAATATCAAATAGTTATAAGACCGTTTTCTTATTATTTCTTTTATTAATTGAAGAAAAAATGTTTCAAAATTATTGAAAATTGTCAGCAGTGCATGATACAACTTCTTCTTCAATTATAGGCTCAGTCCACGAGTTGTTGAGATCATCTTGATGGCGATTAGGCTGATAGATGTCTATTTCGGGCTCAACGAATCGTTGTTCAATACTATTTAGTAAGTGTTCGGCTCGGTCCAAAATTCCAGCTAATCGTGCCTGATTGAAACAAATAAAAACCAGCATTTTATATTAGAAAGCGACTTACCTGATTTTCAAATTCATTTTTGATTAATGTATGCCTCAACTCGAGAAGAGATCCATCGACTTGATTCGAATCATCGTTAACTAATATTCGTGTCTCCGATTCGCCTGATTCAAATCTCGGCCTTTTAAGTCTTCTTCGAGATCGCGACGGCTCATTCAGTTTCACAACTTGAACGCATTCTTCATCTAAATCGGGATCAATGAATTCATCCTCGTCGATGATCATTTTGCAGTCTTTCGAATTCTAAACCAGCAAACATAGAAAAAAATTAATAATAATTTCATAATCTTACCGCAATTACATTATTTTGAGCGCCCGTCGCCACAAATGGTATTGGCTCACTTTTCCACATATACGACAAAACTGCGACATTCGGCGATCCTTCGAACCTATCAAAAAGGAAAATGGGAGGAATTCATGAAAATCGAAAGGTTCGATTACATTAGTCCGGCTCTTGTGCTAGCGGTGTAAATTTTGCGCACAAACTTTTTGTCGGCATCAAGATTGTCATATCTTTTGCATAGCACTTTTATGTCATATTCAATTCCCTTCATCAGTTTTCCGCTGCGATCAACTCTTATCGCATCACCATTAGTGTCGAATTTGTAATATCGATTCTGCCCTGACGGCTTCGACCATTGTCCGTTTGCATCACGGCGAATTTCCAGAATATTAAATGATAGTCGTTTCAAATCAATGACGAATGTTCCATTTTCACGATATCCCACAGGAACCGCTTCGCATTTTCTAAAAAAAATATATACATTTTGAAATTTCATGAATGATGAGAACTTATTGGCATCTATAGTAGTTCCTCCGATAAGAATCATGGCAGCTTCGGTGAATTCTAATGGAGACGTTGAATACAATGGGAAGCCTTCAAAAAATGCGCAAGCGGTCTTTGGAATTCGCGTTATTTCGCGATTTGGATTTTCAGATTCCTGAAAAATTGCAATTTGTTGAAAGACGAAGCTCATTGTGAGCATTTAATCAATAATAATATTTTTTGAATTTAGCGCTTGAATTGTGCAAAATTTTCTAAAAATTTAAGAGGGTTTTCAAAATTTTCAAGCCGCGTTTTCTTCAGAAACCGACTAATTTTGTTATTAGATATTTTAAAAACTTACCATGTTATTGGATTCCATCAATTTCGAATGGTTGAATTTGTTTTGAGTTACAAGATGTGTGAAATCCCATGGATCTCCATCGATCCAGGAGTATGACAATACAATGTAGTATACATGCGGGTCCGTAACACTATTAGATAAAACCGTATAAATCTAAAATTCTTGAAATAAGAACATCATAAGATAATTTTAATACGTTCTTTTTTCTCGTAGAATCCTTTGCCGTTTTCTCTCGACTTTTTTGTTAGCACATGTTCGTATCTAAGTTTTTAAAAATCCTTCAATTACATCATTTTTGGCATACTTTTTCAGAGATACACGATAGGTGAAATCTTTGGCCCATTCTTTCAAATTCCCTTTACCATCATCAACTCGAATCACTTTTCCATCGTCGGATTTTTTGTAAAATCGAATTTTTCCACAAGGTGATCCTAGGTGAAACTCAATTCATCGCAAAATCAATTCAACGTACCCCATTTCCCAAGATTGTCAGACGTAACCGGCAAATGATTCGATTCTCCATAAATTATAAAAGTTCCTTCTTGTTGAAAATTTTGAGGAAACGTTTTGCAAATGAGCTCTTCGGGTATAAATCGAGCACCGGTCAAAATTTCGCAAGCGGACTGAAAATTTTCGCATTCTAATCAAAAATACTCAATAAATAACACCTTGAAATCAATGGATTCTCTACAATACAACGGCCAATCTTCGTGATAAATTCTTGATCCCAATGGCCGATACTTCTCCATCGGCTCTTGCGTCACCGTTAAATCCATTTCCATATTGTTCATATCAAGTTCTTTTTCTCCTTCACCGTCGAGAAACGAATTATAAATGTCCTTGGTTTCCGATGCAGATTCTGTCGTTGTGTCAACGTTCGAATTGAAAACATTCTCAACTTTTCGCATGGCGGATTGAGAAATAACGTTAAACATGTTTTTCATATCCGGTAAATTCTTGTTGAGAAGAGATCCGTCTTTATTAATTGTTCGATTAACTGACAAATCTAAAACAAGGAAACAGATATCAGAAAATTAAAAGATTATTTTCACCTTTCTTGCTTGAAACACCAGATTTGCATTCAAGGACCGGTTTTGATTTCAGGCTGTTAGCAGTTAATAGTACCTGTATTATATTCTTAAAATCTATACTTTATAATATAATATATTTACAGTTGAATTAGGAATTGCCTCATTTATAATAGTATGCTTCGTTCTCTTTTTATTTACTTCGTTTGGCATATCATTATTTGAGTTCATTCCAACAATTTCCTCTTGAACAACATTTTGCGCGTAATCATCAAATGACTCTGTACAGATTACAGTATTTCCATCAGCGTCGACAAAAACAGTCGATGTCGAAGCTGAAATGTATTTTTTAAATTAAATATCAAACGTGAATATGTTAACCGTCAAAAATAACGCTATTTCCTTGATCGTCGATATATTCAATAACAGTATCGTTTTTCTGTTCTTGTTCAAGGCAGTTTGATGTGGAAGGTTGATTAATATATGCATCATCCATGCCTGAAAGACAGAAAATTTGAAGAACAATGGTAATAATAATGGACGTAGGCCAATATACTACAGTCTTAAACGGTCCGCGATTTATATTGTTGACATCTTCCATTTATGAATAAAATAATCTATTTTTGTTTAATTTGAACGAAATAGTTTTGCGACTACGTTCTTAAGAATTTAATGTAAAAATAATTATTTTTTTCCACGAGTTTTACACGGCCGCCAAAAATTAGGCCATATGAATTGAAAATCTCGTCCATTTAGTTATTTATTTATTTATTTTAAAGCGTTCGATTAATGCGCTGTGAGAAGGAGCAGCTCCATTGAGGAAAGCAATATTATGATTTTAAAGGAAATTCTCAGTAGTGTGAAGATTCATGATTTGAGAATCAAATTAAACAATTTTGGGAAAATCTCAAAACATTTTTACGCATTTCCTAACTAATAAAATTTTAGTCTTAAGAAAAAAAAGATTAATCAATATTCGCGTCATTAAATTCATGTTTGCTTTCCACACTTGTCAATATTGACATTTTTCTTTTTCCTTATCATTCACCCTATTCTCACGATAAAAATGGCTAACACTTACACAATAATATTCGCTCTTTCGTTTTCGATTTTAATCATTGCTTCAATGGCTGATGATAAAATTCAGTAAGTTAAATCTAAATTGTAAGTTTAAATATAATTGTTTCGTAAAAATTTTAGCTCGGAAAATGAAAACCAACAAGTTTATATTCGTGGTTCCAATATGATTGGAGCTGGTGGTCGTCATAACAAGAAATTTAACAAGAGCTCATCATCATCCAATCAAGTTGCTGTGCCGTTAGAAAAATCGGTGATTGTACACAGATATATATTTTTATAATTAGTAAATACTAGATTATGAAACCAGGGTTAAATATAGAACACTTCATAAAAATATAAGCAAAGTTGTGGAGTTGATCTGGATTTTGCTACATATGGTTAAGAAATTATTCAAAAAATATTTTTTAAATTCGAAACGGTTCTGGTAAGTGCCATAACATAGACTTGAAATTACCTAATTAATGAAAAATTTGTTAGCCGATTCAGGAATTTTTGGAAACTTGTAAATTGTGAGATGATTATTAGGCTTACATGTAATGCGGTTGACAAGATCCGAATGGAATTTATGTTGTCCGTCAATTTCCTCATGTTTGTTTCGCCAAAAAAATAGTACTTCTTATGTCGAAACAATTTAATAGATTTTCGTCCGTTACGGTAGCAAAGTCCGCAGTCTACGTTACGGAAAAATGAACATTTTTGATTTTTAAATTTGTCAGTTCGTTCGTCAAAATTAAATAAACAAATAATTTTTACGTATTCCGTTTTCTGAAAATATCGTTGCATGAAGCTCTAATCTCAAATACATAACAGATTCTTCAAAACATATAAATTGTTCGCTTATATTCTAAATAATTATATTAACTGATTTGTTTTCAGGAACCAACAGCAAAGAAGCAGTAACTCGAGTAAAACTAAATAATTTATAAAATAAAAACGCAATAATAAAAATAATTCAAATTTTACTATTTAACGTTTGATGATAAAGACCCGCTTGATTATAAACCTCCAAATATCAATTTTAAGAGATCTTCCTATAAATATTGAAAAATGAATTTCTGCTCGAAAGACAATGAGCAGAAAAGGCAACGCGATATCACATGAAGTAATGAAAGAGCAATATTAATAAAAATAATGAAATCGAGAATCTGTGGCGCTTATGAGAAGAATTGCACTTGTCTCCATAACATGAGCACAGCTGCACATCTCCAATTGCTGGTGGATCCGTTGCTCGAGCTGGATTAAAAAGAGCAGACCGGCTAAGAGTTCGACATTGATTCTTAAGAAATGTGTTTGTTTTTATTGGCACACATCGCATTTGTGTTACATTTTGATGAAATCGATGTGTTCGCAATGCGGATTGATTGAAGCCATGTCGAAGTATGCGATCGAGGCATCCTCGAATGTGTTTGAATCCAATAAATACACCTGAGCGATGAAAATAAATGTGATTTTTTTTTTGAAAACAAATACCTGCTTCGATATCTGGTTCCATTAAAGAAACGCAAACACTACTACACATCACCGTAGGCATTCCTCTTTCACTGCTCGGGTCCCTACAACGGTCCGTGAATACCTGAAATTTTCGTTTCGCTATTATTTGTTTTTGAATAAAACAAAGTCATGCTTATAAAAATGTATGAAATATTTAATTTTATTCGAAATCAACGCGATTAGTGTATTTATGTTCAAATTTTAAAGGGCAATAGGCGTCAACTAAAGTGCATGTCCGCAGAGTTTTTCACTCGGTGATTGCACAAATTTTAGCAAACTGACATCCGCAACTTCGCAGCAAATCGTGCCGAAGAAAAAAACGCGAGATTCGGTGAAAATAAATGTTTCCGTCTCTCAAAATCACACACTCTCTGAATTACCGTTTTATCGGCGTTTCTACCCCACGATTTGCTGAGTTCTACGCAAACTTTTCCCTCATAACAACCAGAAGTCATAACTTTTACGCTGGTTTCATACATATTGGGTAATGCTTGCTTAGAAGTTGTAAGTTCGACGCATTAGCTTAATTAATATTACATTCGTGGAATGTCGGATTTTTCCGGGGTGGAGTCGAGCGAGAATCATCAGATTAAGCCTCTGCCGCACGAAATGCAGAAAAACAATATTTTTTTTCTTTTTTTTTAAATTTTTTTTTGAGATTAAGCCTAAGTAAGCTTTTTATAGCTTAAGCCTTATTTGACTACATAATTAACGTAGCGATTTTCCTCAAAATTGATAATCGAAATTCGGGATCAATTTCCAAAACATAAAGTCCGAAAATTTAATATACGAAAATATGTGGGAAAGTGTGTTTCGCCAAAAAAATCGAGCCAGACCTTTGTAAATCGCTGAAGCTATCATCAACTAAAGATGCGAAAAATTTCAAAGATTATACCAATATAACAATTCTGAGCAAAAAAGAAATAAAGCGACAACACATTTTGAATGAGCATAATCCCTTTCAAATAATGTTTTTGAAGGATTACGGTAGGGAGTAGCACACACACAAACATACCTTTGGGTAAATATACGTCGTCTGCAAGTATTTCCAGCTTGTTTGGTATGACAGTGACATGCATGAATAGCATTCGATTTGCCTCGGCAAAGCACCTGCACCTATGAAGAATGTAGTTTATTAATCGTTTCAAGACTTTATATTGATATTATTATATTTTTTGGTTTGAATTATTAAAAAAAAAAACAATTTTTGTTCCTACCGAATCCGTCTTCGAAACTGCTCACACAAATAATGATTGTGGCAATTATGAACTTGCTCATTTTCCAATTATCTCATCTCAGTTTTGCAAACATCTTAATTGGGTACAATAAATCATACGGTTTCAACATACAAAATAAAAAAAAGTTGGTTTGAAGTGAGTTTATTGAAATAAGAAAAAAGGTGTGAGGAAGCAATAACAATAAAATGCGCTGGCTGGGAGGATGTGATATTGGAAATGGCCGCGGGAAGCTGCACCCAACACCAATTGGTTTTGATTGATTCGTGGTGTCAATGGTGAAAAATCGATGACCCGATGGGTGTAATAACGTTAATTGGGTGCCGACTGGTTCTATCTGATTTCGAATTTTTTTTTGTATGTGTCGAGACGAACACCAAATAAATAGGGGGCCGCCCGACTGGACCGACGACAAGACAATGATTGTTGGATAAAGATGTCGGAGCTGGTGAAAATGGTCCCCAGAGGGTGCTTATGAAACACACATACTCACGAGCTCACACAGAAAAAAAATAGACAGCGAGGCAAGCGCCCCTCAAATATGTCTCGATTCCTAATATACATGTGGTGTGCATTGAGGGGGAAAGTTGCTCAAACTGATAGCTTCACCAAAAATAATCCAAATTCCCACCAATTAATGCAATCGTAGGGCAAAAAAATTGCGATGGTCCACAATTGTTTAAGGCGCTTCATTTTTGTTTGATTCTCAATTTATTTCATCAATGAAGCCGACGACAAAATCGCTCCGGGGGAGGGGTTGGACATTTGCTAGGCCTACCGTAATCCTTGGCTAGCAGTCGGCAACATCTTAGAATGATATGGTGTAATGATGAGCAGGTTCGATGGAGAAAATGCGCCTCATCCGTCATTGTCGACATGTCTTGTGGTATGTCGCCGACAAACATGCGGGAAATCGGACAGACTATTGTAGGGCATCGAATTAGAAAAATGATTTTTGAAAAAAAGCGGTCTCAATTTGCCTATTTTGCCTAGTGTGGAGAATATTGCAAGAAAGGAGAAATAAAAGTTATTCGAAATAGAATATAAATATATTAGTATTCCGATTGAGTACTTCATAAATATTGGACGACAAATCGTGGGAAATCGCTGCCAATAAAATTGGCGGGGGGGGGACCCTCTATATTCCTATAATCACACACAATAAACTAACGCATAAAATGAGCACAAAATGAGTAGTCGAGTTCAACCATTCATCGAGTAATGTACTACCGATGAGAATTGGTCGAAAATTGGGCGATGAGTAGTTTGAAACAAAATTGGCTCGGATTGAATTCCAATTCGAAATTGGTTTTGAGAAATCGGAGAAGAAGACGTGCAGCTCAATTATAAATGCGCTCATGAAGACACTAGCAACAACAACAACCACAACAAAAAAATTCGCAACCCCAATGGTATTGGAAAATTCATAGAGAAAAAAAAGACGAGGAACGTTCTGAAAATTCTAGACCACACTCGACGCATTGTGACGAAAATGCGCCTTTTCAACACAAGTTTGGCCTTTTGTTAGGTGTGTGCATGCTTTTGAAGAATGTGTGTTTGGCGTATAGGTTATTAAACATTCTGTAGTCGAATGCGAGTTGGTGGTCTGACTAGGGTGGGCTTTATGATTTATGGAGCAATACGATTTTTTTCTGTGCATGGGTGAAAAGGCTTTTATGAAAATTAGTCGTCAAAGTTTGGTGTGACATTCAGCGACATTTTCTCACAAATTAGCGCTAGTGCAAATTTCGCAAAAAAATTCCTAAAATTTTCCGGGAAATAACAATTTCTAATTTCTTTCCAAAATCCGCATAAACACAATTTTTGTCTTTTCTTTTTTTCTCCTTTGAATAATTCTTTCTTCACTTATATATATAGCTCATCTCACAAGTTTATTTGCTTCATCTCACAATTTGTTCTACAACAATGAGCACCTATCGAATTGATGATGCCAAGTCTTGTCCTAATTCAATTTCTACCACAACTATTGATTTTCAGTTTAAATAGAAACACTTAGACATTAGAAATGGCAAAAACAATCCTTTGTGGACCATCGAAATTTTTTTTTCAGGAACTGCAATTCAAATTTCGATTTATAGTATGTTTCCCAACAAAAAAAGGCAGATACCGAAAATCTATGTCGCCAGACTATTTTTTCTAAATCTAAACCCAAAGGTCTCGCAGCGAAGCCTCCTTTTTACTGTGAAGCGCACTATAAACTGTACAAATTCTACGGATAACCTAATAATAAAAAAATTCAAAATCATTATCGTGTGTTTTGCAAATTAAATAGAAAATATGAAAGATTTTTGTGGAAAAAATCTCTAAAAACAGCTTAAATTTAATATCTTTTAGATTTTTTCCAAAATCTGCATCATTTCAGATAATGAATAGAAAGAAAAAAAAATTGGAAAAAAAGGCGAGGGAAGAAAAATAGAAAAAAATCGAGCATTTTGAATCCATGATTCAACATTCTCAAAAGTCCGTCGCACAAAATGATATGCAAATTTGTCGAAGGCGCACGAATGCGGCGTCGCAGTAATAATAAGAAGGCGACGATGATGATGATGATGCGATGAGCGGCGACAGAATGTTGAGCGTTTGAATAAGTTCCGACCGGAAACTGATTAAAAGGAGCGCGAGCGCTGCGCGCGCGAAGCGTTTGATTGAAAACCAACGGATTAGACGCATTTCGACATCATCATCATCATCATATAAATATTATTTGGGAACGCGGCAGCAAAACGAAGAAAAAAAATTGAAATAGAATGCAATCCAATTTTCGCTATTTTTATTACTCAGGCAAAAAAAAACTTATTCATGCAGAAAGGTGAGGCAAATATTTCGTTTCAGGAATTATAAGGCCCATTCTGGGCAGCCAATTATGTTGATGAAAAGAATAAAAATTTCCTCTTGATAATTATTGGAAATAATTACATTTTCGAGGCAACACACACACACACACACACACACACACATTCACACATTTTTGAGACCCATCTTATATGGAAATAATTGGCAAAGAGAAAAAAAAAGATTTATAAATAATCACAAGAATTCCATGAAAGCTTCGATTGGGAATTAATTCGACATGTCTGCGTTTGTCCGAGAAAAATTCAATTCGTCTCAATTATTTCTAGCTGGATGATGGTGTTCATAAATTCATTCCGATTTCACTATGAATATCAAATAATCTGTAATGGTACTATGCGAATTTCTCAAAAAAAAAACCCGTATTTAAAAAATTATCTTTCTTTTTTAATTTTTAATTTTACTTTTTAATTTTTTTTAAGTAAAGTTTTTGTTTTTCCAAAAAATCTGCATAGTACCATAATTATCGATAATTTATTCAAAAAAAAAAAAATTCAGTATAAATTTATCCGAGATCCTCGATTAGAACACGATACATACAATTCAAGGTATAATTTCTTGTTGAGAAAAGAAACAGATTTTTTAAGTTTAAATTATTATAGTGGGTTTCCGAGAAAAAAGGCGACTATCATAATTTTTTCGCTACAAGACCCTGTATTTCACAGTCTTGCGGTCCACTTTAATAAGGGAGCGCACGCGAACCGCAACGCGTCCGGCGACATACAGAATTTTTACGGTAGCCGATTTTTTTTTCTTTTTTTTCGAAAAAAAATCATCGGTGAAATCGGTAGGGAATTTTTCACGCAAAAATTACGTCACAGTACTATCGTGATGTTTAAAGGCACATTCGGAAAAATTTCAAAATATCCAGCAGCGAAAAAATTTTTGCGCTCTAATATCAATTTCCGTTGGAGAATTGTATTTTTTTCGAAATTGTACCTGTTTCAATTTTTTAGCTAATATCCCATAAAATTGTAGTTTGAATTAAATGCACACGATATCTCGTCACGAAAAATTTTCGTTTGAAAGTTTCCCATTAAATCTTCACTTTCGACAAGCGAATATTGGAAAATAAAAAAACGCACTATACGTCCGAAGTTTTTTGTAGACTTGATCCGATGTTTCAGTGCGCACAAATTCCGTTTGATCATCGTCTATGTAGCGCCCTTGGCGTCGTTCGGGATGCTCGGGATTCTGCCAAACGACATTCCGCTCCTCTTCGCTGAACACGTCGGGCGGCGGTTGTTGCTCGATCATCTCGTAATCAGTCTCGTCGTCGCTTATCAATTCATCATAGTCGTGACGTCGTCGTCGATGTGCGCTTTTTGGCGACGCGAAATTGCGCGGCGGCATTGCCAGCATGAGAATTAGTGTGAATCCAAGCAATGGAAACGAAAACCGCATTCGATTATTCGTTTATTCAATTCGCCGCCAATTTTCAAATGTGATCACATTCGGGATATCCTACTCTATAAATAATGAATTTCAAATCGAAACGATGAATTTTGAAACAAAAAGGAAGTTTTTTCTGGCATATATTAAAATGAGCATTGCTCTATGACAGTAAGCGTCGCTGCGAGACTCAACACCAAATTCTGCGTGCGCCTTTAACAATTTTCTTGAAATTGTCACCACTAACTTTCTTTTTTTGGTTCAAATAATGTGAAAAAAATTTCATGGAATGCGGTAATTGATTAAAGGCGCATAAGGCAGAAAAATGAGTTGGGTCTTGAGGCGAGACGTCTTCAAATCCAACAAAAAAAGAATAAAAATTTTGTTTAAAAAAAACCAAATGCTCTTTTTAATATAGCCAAAATTGTAGAAAAATAAAGAAATAAAAACGGAATACAACAAAAAATGAATATTTGAAAAGCGATGATAGAGAGAGAGAGGTGTTTAAAGATCTTTTCAAGGATGCTAGGCGTTGAGACAACCTGTCAAGTTTGCGCAAATTTAATGAAAATTCGTGCCTATCAACTTATAAGCTCCCATTTAAGCCATTTGAAAAAAAAATCAATTGGTTAAAACATGAGATGGCAACAACAACAAAAAAACGAATGAGAAGTGTAAGAGAGCATCGCGAGAACAATTGCGCGAATGTAAATTAATTTGTAATTGAGCATCATGAGCACACAATGAGAAAGGGAGCACGTTTCCGGTGTGAGAATAACGAACTATGCGCCTACTGAAACTGACAGTTTTTGGCAATGTCGGTTTTTTTTTTGGCATTTGTGAAAATTCAACGAACCAAAAATGGCATGTTCCGGAACTTCTCGAATCGAAAACACACACACACACATTCACAAAACGAGATGATTCGTCGTTTTCTTCAAACTTTTATCTACCAAGTTTAGTTGCGAAGAAGAATGAGCAAAATTGAAAAATGAACGCGAAAACATGCGTCGACGGCGCCGATAACCATTGGAAACCCGAACATTGTTCGCCTTTTTGTTTTCAAATTTTCTTTTGAGAATTCCGGTTTTTGAAGTTTCTAAAAAATCTGAATTTCATGTTAAAAGAGCCAATTTATTTTTGCGTTTTTTTTTTCCAAAATCTGCATAGTATCACCATTTTAGCATATTTTGAAAATTGCAACAAAAAAAAAGATTTTTCCTTTTGCTTTAAATTTTTTTACACCAATTTATTAGAAAAAATCAGTATTTAAATTGATAAATATTGCAAAAATAAGTGAATTTGAATAATCAAATATGGTACAAATATGGTACAAATATGGAGATTTTGGAAATCATTTCTACATAATGGGTTTTCAAAATTATTCCCTAAAATCTCTTTAGTACAATCAAAAATAATTGGTTCATCGCATGCCAAAAATGGGAGAAACATTGGAGCTCAAAAATCTCCCCCCACCCAAAAAAAATTGTGTACGCTCTCAATTAGCACCAATAAATTATTCAAAACTTGGCGAATAAGTAATAAATGAAAACTTTTGGGTTTTTGAGTTCGACAGGCAAACAATTAATCGAGCCCCTCATCCCCACTATAATTAAGGATGACTAGTAATTAAAGGTTTGACGTTGAGAAGAAGGTCAACAGAAGAAAAAAAATAATAAAATGCGGGGAAATAATTCTAAATGTCATATGTAGACATCATTGTGTGTTTGATGTTTGAAGGAAAAAGCAGCACAATGATTTGTTGAAATGGCGGCAAAATTGAGGGGGGGCCACCGCCGACGTCTTCAAACAAATTATGCGAAACTTTGCGCGGACGGCGGGGAGGTCCGTTTCCGGACGTCTCACAACAATTTTGTGTGTCGATAACGTGGATGAATGAAAGCAAAAAAAAGAAAGATTGAGCAATGGTTGTCACGAAATTTCGTGGAATTTTCGCCACAAACATTGAATACAATTCTCGACGTGCTCAAGGAAAAAACAGTGGTCTTGAAGCAAAACTAAGTGTAGATTTACGGGCCTTCAGGTTAAAGGCGCTGCAAGACCTCTCCTTAAATTGTTTAGGCATTTGTTGATTGTAAAATATTTTTAAAAATAAATAAATTGCAATTCAACACAATTTTTCTGAAGCTCTTCTTTTAATTTCCTGCATTATTTTTCTGGAAATTATTATCAATAATTGCTGGAAAGTTTTGAAGAAATATTTATTTTACGAAGCCACAAGATTTTTTTTAGATTTTGCCTTCCTTAAATAGATTTCGGCATAAATTCTAATGAAACGGCTATTTCGTTCTTTTTTTTTCATCGCATTTGACTTATTTCGAAGAGAAATGGAAAACAGAAATTAATTAAATGAAGGCATTGACCAAATATGGTGAATATGTGAAGTGATGAATTATTCATGAAATGTTACGATTTCTGGAATATTAGGATAATGTTCAAAAATGAGAGGGAAAAAAAGAGTAATATTGAATGACATTTTTTTAGAGAGAGAGAGAGGAGAAAAAAAACTTCACACTAAACCACCAATACACACAAAAGCGTGTCAAGTCGGACATCATCTTATGAGTGTTACGCCCCAATGAGCTTGTTGAAGCATACCGAAGAAGGTGTGCAAACACAAAATGAACTCGTTTCGAAAGTTTTTCGTTTTGGTTCTGGATAGGAAATTTAGGTATGAAAAAGTTAGAATTTTTTCTCAATTCATTTATTCAATAAAATTTCTTAAAATATCCACTATGACTATAATGAATTTTTTTTTGCAAATAGTCAAAACTGAAAATCTATGTCGATAGGCGCGTTGCGGCTCGCGCGCGGTCATATTTTTTTGAATTTTGTTCCCATCAAACTATAGAATTTAGCTCTATTATCTTGGAGATCACAAAATTAGTTTTGACCGCACGCGAGCCGCAACGCATCTGACGACAAACATATATGTCTAGCGGTTTTGGTTTCCAGAAAAAGAGCAAATCGAGTATAATCTGAAATGTTTATATGAAACTATGGAAAAATCAATTATGTTTTTAATGCAACGGAAATGTAAAATGATTGAAAAGCACCGAAGAAAAAAAAACGGAAATTGAAAAATAGCGCATGACTATGCAACAACCGGACGACTACAATTTCGCGAAAATAAGACTGCGAATAAAATAGTTGCGAGGTTTGCGTTCCAAGTGATGAATGACTTGCTTCGAGGGGTCCGATTGATGGCATAATTCAGTGATGATTCGCCTATAGGGAATATACAGGGTGTCATTTAAGTTCCCGCACAAAAGTTAGACGCCATGAAAAGCTTGGCTGTCGCACTTTTCGTGCACCAATACAATTTATTTTTGTTAAATAAGGTGTATTTTACTTACTTTTCAAGTTTCACTTCATTCGGATGTGTTTCCGAGAAATGGCGAAGGCTAACATTCATCGCGCTTCCATTATCGAACTTCATAAGCGAAATGAGCGCCCGACAGAGATCATTCAACGCCTCGGTGTGCCTCGTAGAACGGTTTAAGACACCAACAAACGTTTCAAGGAGCTAAATACGACCAGTGACCTTCCCAGACAAGGAAGACTCGTCTCAGTAACCACTCCTCAGAAGATCAACGCCGTCAAAACGAGGATCAGGCGAAAACCGCACAGGAGCATAAGAAAGATGGCGTCAGACATGGGAATGAGCATCTTCGCTATGGAACAAATCGTCAAAACAAAGCTTGTACTGACCCCATATCGTGTCCAAAAAGTGGCAATTCTATCGGCCGTCAACAAGCAGAGACGCTTCGAAAAAGCAAAACAACTTTTTGCTCGCACGCGGTCTGGAGAACACCTCGCCACTGTCTTCTCCGACGAGAAGCTGTTCACTGTGGAGGCGGCATTCAACTCACAAAACCATTGAGTACTTGCCCAGACATCCCAGCAAGCTTCTGAGAAAGGAATAACAATTTATCCAACCTCACATCCTGCCAGTGTGATTGTTTTCGGTGCCATCTGCTCAACCGGGAAGTGCCCCTGGTTTTCGTGGATCAGGTGGTGAAAGTGAACAAAGAAGTCTACGTTCGGGACTTTTTAGAGGAGCATGTGATGCCCTGGACCCAAACGCATTTCGTTGGGCAGAAATGGGTCTTTCAACAGGACGGAGCACCCGCCCACACTGCCAAAACTACTCAGGAGTGGTGCCAGACCCATTTTCCCGACTTCATCAAGTCATCCGAATGGCCTGATTGGTCCCCAGACCTGAACCCGCTTGACTTCTCCGTGTGGGGTCTTGCAGGAGAAGGTCAACGCAAAACCCCACTCAAGTGTAGAGACTCTGAAGAAGACATTACTGGCGGAATGGCACAATCTTTCCATCGAATACCTGCGTACCACAGTCGCATCCTACCCGAAGCGTCTCTGTGAAGTCATAGCTCCGAAAGGAGGCCGAATCGAAAAGAGTTAATAGATAATTATTTGTTGTACTATAGATAAAAAATATTTCGAGTCTCGTTTGATTTGGACTTTTAGTTTCAGAAATATACGTCTTCAAAGTTGTGCGGGAACTTAAATGACACCCTGTACATGCATACGCATACTTGAGATGAGATATGAATCAAGAAAGTACTTGACATATTCCTTTTTTTTCGCTTAACAAAAAGTGATTGCGAAAAAAAAATTAAAATTAAAATTATTCAATTGAAAATAACTGATTGATTTAATGGAAAAGTTGAGAAACCTTGAAAATGAAAATAATGAAAGAGATTCGCGCATAGAGAATTTATTATTATTATTATTATTGTTATTATTCAGGAAACCAATTTTCAATAGTAAAATGAGATACGTATAAGCAAGCTATATTGTTTTGAAAATATGTATATGTAGATTCATTTTTTTTAATCTCAACTTTAGTTATGACGTAAAGCGTGCCTTGAATAAACTGAGACTATCTGGGAGGACAATTTGTGGTCCGCATTGCTTGACAATTATCGCAATTTGGTTTACGAGGAAATAATGATTTTTTTCTTCAA